GACGGACTAATATCCCCATCCGTGTCGGGCAAATCGGAGCTTCTTTATACATCGGGACCAGGGGTCAGAGGGTGATTGAGCGGGTGGGCGCCCTTGGATACCGTGTGAGCCGGTTGGTCGCTATTATTAGCCTTCACCTGTGCCTTCCTCCCAGGAACTCCCCCCCCCCCTCTTTTGTGGTGATTATTACCGTTTCCGAAAAGTTATTTCTCAAAAATGAACTCTCTGTCGTACTTAAATATGGCCAGCAGGTGACTAGAAGGGCTTTCGCCGGCGTCATCTCCTAAAGACATTAAAATCAAAATGAAGACTTCACACATTTTCCGCGCCAGCCTACCCATGCTTCCGCTATTGGCAGCCGCTCAGTTGCCTCTCCCATTCATCTGCCTTTCCCAGCCTCCAATCAACCTAGAGGCTGGTGTTTCCACAGTATCAGCGGAGTAGGTTGTCCTTGATCCAAATTACATCGCTTCAACTCACTTCCTACAGTTTTCAGAATGTATCCAACCATCCATGTCAGGCCACAGTGGCGTTCTCCGACCTCGACTTCCTGCCAATCGTATACAAGTTCAACACGATCCCCTGCAGCGGCGTAGTGGTGGCTAGCTTCTCCGTGCCGAAGGCCGTGCCCAACGGAGATGCTTTCATCACTTGGTGGGCGCCTCAAACTTGAGACCGATCATCCCTAGCCTGAACGCTAATTCGAAGATAGGCAGTGTCCCGGAATGCCACCAGTTTGCAACCGCGCGGCTGTTTCTGGTGGGCTCGGTGATCCTTCGCTGGCCCTGCAGGTGAATGGAACTGTGGGCTGTGCCTCTCAGGTTGTCACGACAAGTACCGCATTGGTAACTGTGACTGAACCATCAACGACGCTCTTCCAGACATCCACAACCCTGCTCACAGTCAGAAGTACTACATTCCCCTTGGAAGACACGACCGCATCCTGGTCAACGGCCTCCCTGGTATCCAATAGCGGCTTGGAAAACCTCAGCGCTTCGTTGCCACTTACCGTTATCCCGGTCAACGTGTCGTCTAGTAGCACCAACACAGCGACGTTGGAGCCAACTGTGATGCTGGAGCCAACTGTCGATGCATCACCCCCCCTTGAGACCGAGAAGTCCTCAGATTCATCTTTTTTCTCGTCTGGCGCGGCTACCAATAATCCTATTGTGGCAGCCACCGTAATGACCAGTGCTACGTGTTCACTTCTCTCAATTTAGAAACATTATCTTGCTGTAATTTTGTTGGTCCGTAGCGTTGGTTGTGTGGCGCATGCCTTTGGAGGAATCTTGATGAGCGTCTTGATGATTAGAAAGCATATATATCTTAGCGGAATCCCACTCTCTTTGTGAATGTCCTGGCACTCATCTTCACAAACCTTATGACAATACATGCTTTGAATCAAGCTTACAGTCACGTCCATAATGATGTCTGCCCATAGCCAACCCATTCGGCCGCGTCTTTCGTACCCCCCGCAGCCTACTTGCAACCACCATCCAGCCTCGTCGTCTCAGACCTCCGTCATTGAGCCACGTTCTATCCTCCAGCCGGCACCCCATCTTCAGCCGGCACCGCATCCTCGGCCGGCACCCCTTCCTCAGCCGGCCCATCCTCAGCCGGCCCATCCTCAGCAGGCCCATCCTCAGCCGGCCCATCCTCCACCGGCGTCATATCCCGCGGCTTATCCTCAGCCGCAGGTAGCACTTCAACCGACATACCGTCCCCATGCAGTATTCCCTTCCCCTCGGGTGCCCTATCCCCAGGCCGCTGCGCGCTCGGATGTACAAAACTGTCCGTATGGATGCCTCATGCAAGACGCTTGCATTCAAAACAAGATTTTGATCGTGTCTACTATAATGGGTGAAGTTGATCGCATTGCCGGCTCACTAGGCGAAGTTCGATCTATCTGTCAACTGATGGCGGCTCAGGTTCAGGTAGGAAACAAGTTGAGGCCTATTCTGTGTGGCTGTAATGCTAACCTTTTGACAGCAAGCAAGATATCAGAGTCCCTGGCACCAGAAGCCTCCTACGCCTAATCAACAAACCAACCCTCTCGGAAATGCTCCCACGAGAATGCATAGTCCAGTTACCCCCCCGGCAATGAACATAAGCACGCCACAGCCGTCCCGGAATGATGAGGAGGCAGATTAAGAGTAGGGACTTATAATGTATTTTTGATCGAGTACACTGTTTAGTAGTTATCATGAAACTGAGAATTAACTTGTGATATTCATTTCTATTACGGACATGAAGCTGTATTCAGAGTCACATTGACACTACTACATTTGAAACCGTGCAATGTAATCCATCAAGGCATATAAGTTATTCATTAGGAACCCGCTACCGGAATACTCTACTCTTTGTTAGTTAGACCGGATATCCGAGGTAGAAAGGTAAGATGTACTTCTTTATGGTAATAAGAAGATATATAGAGGCTTAGTCCAATCAGGTAGTAGATAGCTACATCTGTTGCTTGGTATTGTAGTATTGTAAAAGGTATGATAATTGGGATGGTAATAAATCGGACTTTGAAGCTTCTTATAAGAGACTTTCCAACATGTTTAATCGGCATTTCTATCATGATGATAAAGAGGCTCAAGAGTAGGTTGATGACTTGAAGTATAGGAATAGGATAGACAATTAGGTTAAGCCGCTTTGTAGCAAAGTCGAAAAATACCTTGGGATTAAAGAAACCAAGAACAGCAGCAACTAGGTGACCTAATTGCAATTAGCAGATGCTATCCTAAATTCTAGAAGGAAATTTACATCCAGCTGCACTTAGTATAATAAGTCGTGCTAGTCGAGTCCGTTGTAGCCTCGCCATAGGTGTCGTCACGGGGTTGTGGAGGGAAGGTCTGGTCCTTAGAGGGTGTGGGTGAATGGGCCACACTGGATGACTAAGCAGCTAGTGGGGCCCACGCACACACTCTCACGGGTGTAATAAAATATACTTAAGTTTAAAAGAGATTTATTTACTTTAGATATAATTTATCATAGTATTTATCTTATAATAAGATACTAATTTCTAAATATAGAATTATTAATATTAAATATCTCATAGTAAGATACTAATTTTAAAAAATAACTTACTAAAGTCTTTTTTTAATATATAAGAATAAACTTAGAATTTAATTTCGAGGTATATATAGTATTGAAGTTTCCTTAAGAACGAAACGTCTATCTTATAAAAATAATATCTGTGCTCACATAGTAGAACTTTGTGAACATGGATCCGGATACTCTCGACGGTGATGTGGTTATGTTATCACCAGAACCGCCCACACATGAGCAGGATTGCGGCAACCACACGGAAAGCTGTGAGGTTCAGACGACAGGATGGCAAGCTAAAATGGCCGTACAAACAATAGCAAGGCCTGACGCGAAGCTGGAATTTGCGGCCCATATCTTCGACATATATAAATTTTGGGTCCAATTAAGTTGTGACACCACGTTGCCAAAAGACATAGCTTGCACGGATCCTGCTGTCACGAGAGCCTTCCAGGCGGTGGACCGAGTCATCGAGGGCAGCGAAAACCGTCTAGCCAGGCTTGGGCATACCCGTCTGATCCGCCTGTTAGCGACGCTGGAGGGTATTATAGCAGCCGATCGGAGGCACGGTAGAATTCAAACTAGTGTTGGATATAGGAATGCAAGTGTAGCGCTTGATCTGTATATCATGGCTCGGGGGGAGCAGCAGGACTCCGCACGCAGTAAGCTTCATAAACGAACGCGCACTGCGAAGCGATGGTTCCATCTTGGAGGAAACTCACCATTATTGCTGTTTGCTCACACAGACGCAGCCGAGAATATTATGTAAGTGTGACTCTTCGAATCTCTTCACCACTCATATTAGTAACCAGCCTCCAACCAAGCGGGAGCTCTGCGGTCACAAGCCGCAACCTCATGGAGCTCGCAAATGAGACATTGTGTGTGTACCCTTCTGAGCTGGTGCAAACCGTCACATTTTTGGCCCACACTACGGATCTCGTGGTGAACTCTAGTAACAGGTTCGATTTCAACCATCCGTTTCAAGATATTTTTGCCCTGCGGCAGTTGTTGGAGTCATGAAAGCAGGATGTGTTTCGTAGATTTTAATCTTAACTCAACTTTTAGGTTCCCTTTCGTAGTCTGTTTTCGTGGCCTCTTTTGGTGACCTCAATTGGCGACCCCATTCGTGGTCCCAATCTGTGGCCTCAGTTGGTGGCCTCATTTGATGAAACTTATGTGGTTGCCTTTCGTGGTTCCCTTTCGTGGTTCTCTCTCCCCTTTCGGCGTCCCCTTTCGGTCGCTTTCGTGGTTCCCTTTCGTGGTTCCCTTTCGTGGTTCCCTTTCGTGGTTCTCTCTCCCCTTTCGGCGTCCCCTTTCGGTCGCTTTCGTGGTTCCTTTCGTGTTGCTTTCGTCATCTTCCTTTGGCTCCCTCTACCGGCATCCTTCGTCAACTTTCTTTACCTTGATGTGTGACAGTTATAGCATAAGCAAGAAGATGCAGACCTCAAGATGTCGCAGCCGTCCCATGATGCGGGGGCTGACTAAGCTAAGAACAATTATACTTAGTGATGGCCCGTGCGCGCTCAAAGGCTGAGTACTAGATACGTACCTAGGTACCTAGGCACTCTTGCTTCTGCATGTGGGCATCCGTGCCCACAGCTCATCGCACTGTGCGCCCCCTGGTAAGGATACCTAGCCTTGCCAACACGCAAGGTATATCAGCGCCTGCTCTTATTGCCTGGGCGCGAAACTGGGGATGTACTCACACATCTCGCGTGAGTGGCCGGGTGTGACGGTGGGCTCGACCAACGTCCCTCCTCTCACATTGGCCCCATGCTCGGGCGCACTTATAAGCAACAATGCCCGCGTCTACCTCTGATCGTGGATGCTCCAAATATTTGCCCTGGCGTCTTCACAACTTCCGCTTAACTGCCCATTCAGCAGACGTAACTCAAATTTCAAAGGGCACGATCTCGAGTACCGGTTTTAGATTAACTTTTCCCTCTTACCAAATGGCGCTGCCTATTTTGACTGACGAGATGACCACGGACCTCCTCAAGAGAGTGGATTCACTGGAGCAGTTGGTAAACAAAGCCCTCACGCTCGCCCACGCACAGTCAAATCCATCAACTCGCCACTCTCGACAACGCAATACGCGGACCAATTTGACCATCAGCCTCAGTGAATTCGAAGAAATTTCCAAGTGTCTCACCCAGCTGAAGGAAGACTTGAAGTCCGCTGGGGAAGGCCGAAAGCTCACGCAACAGAGGACTCGTGGCATTCCCACAAACGAAACATCGCTGTTGGCCGACGGCGGTGACAGCCAACGGGTAGGAAATGAAGTGTCAATGGGTGCCGACTCAGTCTTTCGTAGGAGGGACATGGGAATGGAGCTGGTGGAGAGCCTTCGCCGGTACGGCACCGACTTCGCCGGCACGATTCACATCTCCGACCTTGGGCACTTTGACCTGGCAAGTATCTCGAAAAGACTTGCTCAACCAGACCCAGAGGCATATTCTTCGCTCTTCGTACGGCACCTGTCCAGCTCCAAGAGTGGATCCTCAAGGCTTGTCCTTTCCGAGGGAGAGGGCCTCGACTTTCCGGATTTCTCAGAGTTCCCACAACGTCCGCAAGGATATGAGAAGTCATTCGAGAACATCATCGCTTCACCCCCACAGGAGCCCATCTTCTACTACGTGGGCCCCCCTCTTGCTCCGGACTTCAATACTCTGCTCAGCCCTGGGAAATTGCTTGAGCTTGGAGAGATTCCAGGTGTAAACACACCTTATTGGCATGTTGGCGAGAAAGGCTCTGGGACCGCCTTCCACTATGAGGACGCGGCTATACGATCCTGTAATGTCACAATCACCGGCTTCAAATTGTGGATCCTTGTCGATGTATCTTCAAACGACGACTTCGAAAGCTTTGTCACAAGTCTTGAACCTTCAGCAGCTGAGCAACCTCGGTGTGGGCAGTGGCTTCGACACCTGAATATCCTTGTTTCTCCTGAGAAGCTTACGGAACAGGGTATCAGATTTGACCTTATTCTTGCTGGTCCTGGAGATATGGTCGTCACCGCACCACACCAATACCACGCAGTCTTGAATCTGACAGCATGTTTTGCTGTTGCGATCAACTTTGTACTTCCGGAGGACCCTCTTCTATCACCGAGTCTCGTTTGTTCGAAGTGCGGGCTCTATGGGCTCCAGCACACTGCTATCGAGAAGATTAAGAGGCCAGTGCGACGCGTCCTTCCGGAAAGGGGACAGAACCAAGCGTACAGATCTATCGCTCCGTTCCCTGAGCCTGTTGAAGTTGTAATGGAGCCGGCTGGTGGCCTTTGTCGGCAAGATGCGGCTTCTGTGGAAACGTCTATCCGGGATGCAGGGTCGGGATATTCACCAAATGAAGACTCTGATGATTCAGATGCTGACGAAGATGAGGCCGGGACTGAGGCTCAGCTTGATGATGCTATCTCCGAGAGTACATCGGAGCAGAACGAGGACGGGGAGGATATCACGTCGGATAAACAACAAGGTGATTCCCACCGCGTCGCTGGCTCGTCTTCACCGTCCCCTTCTGTCGACTCTTCCACACCGAGCCCGGCCCGCCCTGGGCTTAAACGAGTGGCATCAAGTCGCGAAGTCTCCAAGCGGTCAAAAAAGCGTCGGTCTCCGCCCCTCGAAAACGGTTCATGCTTCCATATGGAGCTACGACCCGCCCCTGCCTCAAAGGCCTCCCAAGTCTTCAAATTGCTCCGCAGTCAGTGCGCGATAAAGCAATTCTGCAGCCTGATCAGCACAAAACGGGACTCGCAGCTTCACAGAGTCTTCACGTCAGTACAGAAGAGTGCAGCACGGCGCCTGATCGCCATGGGAAACGTCGAAACTAGCTGCAGGGCCCTGAAACTTATCAATCAATATCTTTTTGCTGTTGGTCTTCAGAGGAAAAGAATTGGTCAGCGACTCGACTCGTCAGACAAACGGAAGATCCTCATGGAAACAGGAATGAGTGACAACCAGTACAAGGTCAACAAACGAGACGGCGAAATCTTTCAAAAGCTATGTGGGTCCTTTGACGGCATATTGTGCTTCCTTCCTCTTGAAAAGTGTTTCGAATGGCAGCAGTCAATCACAGACTACATGAAAATGGACGACCCTGAGTTCGAAGAACTCCAAAGGCTCCTTCAAAAAGATGAGGTCTACTTCAAGAACCTCTGCGTGGCAGGAAAGGCTTTCCAGCAATCTCTAGGTGGTCGTGATACCTACTTTGCGTGGGAAACCTCTAATTTGAACAAACCTTTACACGAACTGCCAGAGGCCAACATATTACAGTACATCAAGCCGGTTCGATTACAAGAGGATATTTTCAACGCAACACAACATCCAAACTGGCCAGACCCATGGGCAATACCGCGTACAGAGACGCCATGCTACTGCTCATCTCGATCTTGCAGCTGCTATGACGCTAAGACATCAGAGGCGAAGCTTCGAATCATGCTATCCCCCATGAAACAACTCCATCTACAGGCCGTCTCGGCAGACCCTCAGGCAATTGTCTTCAAAAGCAAGGAGCTCCTTGGATTCCTTACGGGAAAGCTGGTACCACCTAGGACCCTGGACGATCAAGACTGGGTATTTGATACCCAAAAATGCCAGGTTGACTGTCGTGATGAGAGCAATGAATTCAAGCTTCTGCACCACGCCTGCCAGGTGCATGCTGTCGCGGAACTGACGGAAGAGAGGGTTTCTGGCCGCATCAGGCTTGCTGTCGTTGCCAGAAAGGACATTTGTGATGGTGAAAAGATCACAGTCTGCTTCAAGAGTGGGCACAAAACCTGTGCAGAATGTGACGGTGGGCTTTGATTCTGGCTTCTAATACCAATTGGCAATCCTGGGTCTCCGATGATATGCAAGCCTTTGGACAGCCGGGACTGCATCGTGGGCACAGCTAGTTCTCTTCCGAGGATGCAAAATGATGCGAGGTGAGGTTTGGCTACCTAGGTAGATGTTTGAGCACAATGATGTACAACCTCATCGCTCCTCACACCCATAGTATTGAAGTCGATGACTTAATAGGTAGACTTGCGTGTGCGAAAATATTGAAGTTTAATTGAGGATCTGGGTTGTGAGTGTTTATGGTTGTATGAAGGTGCTGTGTATGGCTACGGCTGTATACGGAATAGAAACGAGATACGTGGGGTTTGTCTACCTGAGCGGGTCCAGCGTTTGGGCCGCGATGTTGTCCTAGAAATACCTCTATGCTTAATCCGCTCAATATAAGCTACCCTAGGGTATCTGAGTGAAATCCAATAGGCCCCTCAACCAAATCAGACCTCCGCAAGATTAAAACCTAGATTGTTCATTTCCTCCGCCAAAATATAGACCGGGCAGTCGCAGATCCCTCAGTCACCTTGGCCGTTTGGGCGTCTTCTTCGCGACTTTCGTCACTGATGTGCGTCCAGCCATCCTCGTCCACACCATTAGCGCTCACTGAACACCAGCGCTTGTTCGACTTCGGGACCGTGGCAAGCGTGCTCTTGCTTAGCTGGACTCGGTCTTCAGGGGTCCGCGGGGCTGCATTTGGATTCTCGGCTTGGGCCATCGTTGCCGCTTGATCTTCGAGGAAGGCTGTGGCCGTGGCTGCATCTGCGTCTTCCCCGCGGTCTTGCGAGTTGTCGGGGCCTTGCACTAGAAGCGTCGCCTTCACCTCGGTCATCCTAGACTCGGGCTCAGACTTGAATATCTGCACCTCAGAAGCCACAGGTTGCTGTTCATTCGTGTCAGTACTGCCTTGCTTCAAAGGTCTTTGCACTGACCTCTTCCGTATTGCCCTCGACTTTCTCGTCGACAGCTGTAGCCACGTCCGTCCGAGTCACGGTCTTCTCGATCGCCCTGTCTTCCCAATCCCTCGCGATCCTCTCCTTCTCAACTTCGGCAATGTGCAACGAAAGATGGACATAAACGACGCCAGCGCCACCGCCGTGCTTGATTATTTCTGGCATCTGCATATGAGAGCGAGGCATAGAGGCTGGGCCTCCAAGAACACTGATCCAATGGCGTCCCTTCTCGTCGGGGCGGAAGCCAAAGAAGACACCAGTCAGCTGTCCAGCCAGGCACAAGATCTGTCTTGACCGAGAGTCACACGTCATGGCGTCCTGCACATGATCCTGGCGGACCTGTCTTTCGTCGAAGTCATATTTCGAATTCTTGAACCAGCCCGCGGGGAAAAGGGGGGGATCATGCAGGAACTCTTCCCGCGTATTCCTGTAAAGAAAAATGTCCTTGTTGGCGCCTGTCGATGGTTCGTTATAGGTCGCGTCAGCCTCTCTAGCAAAGAAATGCCCCCGAAGCAGCTCATCTTCCGGAAGTGGTATGGTATACATCCGCCTAGCGTCCTGATATCTCTCGTGTACAGCGTGAATATTCGTAACATCTTCTATTGTGGCCGATGATTCTTTCGAGTTGAGTGGGGAGCACAAGTTGAGGAGCTCCGACTGATACAAGCACTGTAAGGCACGCTCGCCTCGAGTCTCGTCTTCAAGCAGAAGCATATTGAGGAAAGGCGCCAGCATCTCAGCGTGGAACGCATGGCCGACCCATTCACGCAAATCGGGACGCATCTTCAAGGAGCGCATAAAGACCAGGGTTACATAAATAAATCCCCACACTCTGATATCGCGCGTGTCTGCCTCCTGTAAGAGGTAAGGGACCATAATGTGGACCAGCTCGATGATTGCGTCATGAATGTCCCTGGCCTTTCTCAAATTGGCGTCAAGATTAACTCGGTCCGCGTGTGTTACAAAATCGGGCGCCCACGTTGCAATCATCGGGCTCCGTCTTTCCGAGGTAGAGGAGATCCCCAGCAGCAGTTGGTAAAGCAGGAGACCGAGTTGGGCGCTGTGAATAGTCAGTCAGAGGCAGAAGGGACCCAAACCCGGGTTAGTACATACCTTGGACGAATCCTGGATCCCTGGGCCCGTTCCGCGCAGGCTGGCCCACCGAGCTTTGCAAGTGCCACATAGACAGCCTGAAGGTGGTCCTTTTCGCTGGTTTCGTATCCATGTGACCGGAGAAGCTCGGGCTCTACAGAAGCAAGAATCAGGTTGGCGACGGCGGTAAGGAAGTGGTTCTTATCATTTGGAGGGACGCTGGCCGGCTCCTCAGCTTCCTCCTTGGTCCGGGCAATAATTGGATCGATCACGGTAGTAAGCAAGGAGTCCCGTGCAGTAGCACACGGAGTTTCCACGACAAGGGATTTGGTAAAGTAAAAGAGCTGGAGCACTGTGGCATCGAAGTGTTCATCAGGCTGGAGCGCGAACTGGGGCCGCAGTAGGAGAGCCAGGTGGTGATAGAAGCGGCCGACGCTAGGATCATCATTCGAAGCTCGAGTGTACTGCTCCTGGGCAATGTACTTCCAGCGCTTGCTTGTGCTACCCTCAAAAATGGCCCATCTACGGCAGATATCAGTACTTTACAGTGTATGTGTTAGTGTTGTGGAGTAATGACCCATCACGTACCTGTATCGAGCTATATCTCCTTTGAATTCGACCCAGATCGAACGGAATTGCGGAACAGTCTCATCCAATACGCTCATCATACTATATGACCAGTGGATAAAAGAATCCATGCATTCCTGAGATTCGGGTAATTGCTTTCTTAGGAGCTCGAGGAAGGCATGTATGCCTTTCTGCCACATTCTCGCAGCCATGTTATATTTCCTGGCGAGATTCCGCAGTGCTGACGACGCCTCAGGGTGCTGAGATGCCAAGAAAAAGTCATGATGCTCGTGAATCAACTTGCGGAAGAGGGATAACAGAATCTGATACTGTTCGTCTTTGAGGCTGGTGGGCGCGGATAATGTCCTGCATCTTTTTTCGACCACCACAAGGCCGGCATAGATGCCCTTCACGTCGGCTGCCAGTTGCTTCTGAGAAATTGGACGGGTTTCAGGTGGCTTGAGCATCGGTATCGGGTCATTGGACTCGTGGTCAAAGGAACTTTGATCTCTCTGGCGACGTGTCAGCGGCCCATGATGAGCCTCAGCTGCAGCAAGTTGTCTGCTTAACAATGTGGTGGAAGGATCGAGCCGCGGAGAGGGTGGGTCTGAGACCACAGTGCTAGCTAGACCACCACCCATGGTATAGAATTGAGGAACGGTTCTTTAATTGACAGATTTCTTGGACTTGATGGGTTGCAATAGATAAGATGTCGATGTCACGTGGATGAAGGGACTGAACACGCAGTGAGAGGAGCAAGCAACGAGGAGCAAGCAACGAGGAGCAAGCAACGAGGAGCAAGCAACGAGGAGCAAAGAGGAAAGTAGCGTGGTTTATATGTTCCTTGTAATCAGCGTGTTGCATTTTCCGCACAATTGGCTGCCTTAAGGAGGGAGGGTCTCGGCACAGTGGCTTTTTCTGCCCGTTATGCAACACTAGATTTGCCATGCAGCGGTGACTGGAGAAGGCAGACAAGTATGCCCTGGTTCGCTTGGTTCGCCTGGTTCGCCTGGTAGATCGATGCCACCTCCCTCATCATAACCAGTCCGGCTGATCGTTCCCCGATCCAGGGATACACATCCTGCGCTAGAACTGGGACAAATCAGAGGCAGTCAACTTTTGGCCTCCAATCTAGGTTCCGACAAGGCACAAATCAAGTGGTGGGTCAAAGAAGGTCACAAACGGAAGGACATTGCACAGAGGAAAGATATCGCAAAGAGGCTGGAATTAATCCCGAATGCACGACTTTATCCTCAGTCGTCCATCTATCTTGCTTCTCAACTATTCCTGGTTAACATCTTCGTCATCGACATTCTCGACACAGCGTACAGCAGTTCTCGTCACGCTGCGACCATCTGTAGTATAAATGAAGCTCGGGAAATGATCCTCAGACTTCTTGAGGACGGCTGTCTGCTCCGTATAGAAAGACAATGTCCGTAGTGTGAAGTATTTCTTGTCAGGAAAGGTTATGGCGCTCTTGAAGTCTTCCATGGTGGCAATCTCCTTGCCGTTGACGCGATCGATGAATGTCTGAGTTGGGAAGTTATACACATGACCAGGACTACAGGTCCTGTTCGCCGCGGCGAAGACTTCTGAATGACACTTTCTGCTGAGTTTGGAGCGAAGAGATGGTTTGTGGAAAGTAGTCCCGCAGACGTAGGCAAATTCTGTGATCTGCGTACGATCGATGGGGATTGTGGGCACCAAGCAGTCAACCACCTTCCGGTCACGGAGGACTCGAACTGGAATAAGATCATCCATAAAGATGTAACGCAGGTCGGAGCTCTGCGTTACCCGCTCCTTGTCCAACTCCAGAATGACATCGCCCTCGCGCAGCGGATGCAACTCATCTTTGCCACTCAGCGAGGTGCAGTGCAAAGGCACCCTATCCACGACCAGTTGCTGGTCGTGTGAGTACTGAGCAGCGAGAGCGGATACGGTATGGTCTGGCAGGCTTTCCCAGAATGCGTCGGCATGCGAAACGCTTTTCACGTCAAAGTCCTGGAATCGTATATTGCCGAGCTGGTTTGACTTCCAGAGCTCGAAAACATCGGCTATCCGGCTGGCGGGGAGGTAGTAGTTCTGGCCATCGTCGTGATCAAGCCAGACTTTTTGTAACCCAGCCACTTTCCCATCGCCATATGTAATGACACCGCTCTCTCTTTTCGAGAGTGATGAAGTGAGGAGCACAGTCTCATGGTGGAACGGCATGTAAAAGGAATCGTCTCCTCCGTAGGTGCGATGGCTCAACAGCTCAACATAGGTACGGACAACGTTCCTCTGCTCGAAATTATTGAGAAAGTAAACGTCATCGCCTTCCTTGAGGCGTCTTTCCGAAAGGCAAATCGGTTTAAGTTCCGGGCTGTGTGGAAGCCCAGCAGGGTTGTATTCGACGAGAATGAGATCGGCTGCCTCATGCATGAATATAACATGCGCACGCACCTCTATTCCCACTGGGAGCGTGATTTTGATCTGATCGAAATATGAAGTGCTCCCGCGATGTGTGACAACAAGGCCATGCGCGAGGAGCAAGCCGGTCTTGATGACGTCGCCAGGTTCGTACCCATCAACCTGTACGGAGCGAGAAATGTGCAAAGACACAATGCCATAGAAGATTTCGTTGACTTTTTCGTCAAATAGATTTTGGGGAAGAGCAGTTTTGATGCCCTGCGCTGCGTTCCGGCACATGGCTGACCCGACCTGAATCAAGCACTGGTTGGAGGCAGCGCTGGGGGGCGTTGATGTTTTGTTCTCGACCCAGCCGCCCCCTTCCAGAGGGTCCCTCCTCATCTCCAGGGGCGAATCGAAATACATGGGCGGAAGGTAGGCCGCGGTGTGTACAGCCTTGCGGTCTATGATTTGTTTGTGTATGGTACTGATGTACTGCCCCCCCTGCCCAAGGGTTTGGAGTACTCGCAACAGGCTTTCCATGTTCGGTGTCGGATGGTTGTTGATCGACACAAGCAAATGGTGAGGCTTGAATGCCTCACTCGTAGGTTCTCCGGCGACATAGATACCACCGAGAGGGTGGTTGGCCCAGCATGCCGTCATCCACCCCACCGAGTGAAAGGTAGCGCCGAAGCAGCTAATTAGGTGGTGTGGAGAGATAGCGTGGAGATCTCCGATATAGCAGTCGACCTGGATTTCTCGATCCTGGCGCCAGACACGGTAACTGACTTCCCGACCAACACGACTGTCCTGGTACATACTCAGCCTCCGCAGATCGGTTTGCAGCTCTTGATCCACCTCCAGAAGAATGTCGCCCTCTTTAATCTTGTTGTGTGCAGGACCTGCCTCCAGTACCGCCTCTGCCACAATGGCGTTGGTTCTCCCTTGTGCCCGTATCTTGTTGTCCCACTCATCTGGCAGGCCAAAACGTTCGCTCTCGTGGAGTGGTTGTAGGGTCCATTTTGCCTGGATGGTACCTCGAGGACTAGTTATCCCGGCGGCGAGCTTCTCTATGACCACCTGGGGATAGTATAGAGGAAGGAGGTAGTTGAGAGCGGAGGTGTGGACAGTCGTTCCCATCATCAAACCAACCGCCTGACCTTCTATGTCTACAGCTGGACTCCCGGAGCTCCCACCCACGGTAGAAAAAGCGGCCTGCATGTACTCGCAGTTGAGAACCTTCATACCATAAGTCTCATGGGCGTAGTAAGGCTTCATATCGACCCTGCTTATCGTCGCCTGTCCAATACTGAGCCCATGCTCGTCGTCGTGGCCAATGAGTCGGATGGCGATACCGGCTTCGGCTTTTTCTGGGGCGAGAGGGATCTCCTTGATTCCACGGGAGCTTGCTGACTCCGGGTGGACCCGAGCAATGGCGAAGTCTAGCTCGGGATCCATGTAGACAACCGTAACCTCAAGCTACTCCACTCAGTAAATCTCTTCGTAACCAGAGAGGGTGACATGTTGGCCATGGGCATACCTCGTTGCTGTCTTCGAATACAAGGGAGGCGACGGCCGGGTTTGGGCCCACGATGTGCTTGTTTGTAAGCACAAAGCCGTACTCCTTATTCACGTAGAAGCCAGTGCCGTGGCCTACCACTTTCTCGATGATATCTAGATGCTCATACTTGGACACCGCGATTCGACAGATGCCCTTGCGGGCTCGTTGAATGACAGTTGCCCATTTCTTAGCTTCGTCAGCCAGGCCGATGCTGGACATCTCATGAGAAGGAGTGGGGTTGGAAGTCATTGTGAGGGCGAGAAGCACACGTCAAGTTGAAACAGGAGGAGTCAGATTGGTTCTAGGAAGAGAGAACAGGGCACGGTTTTGTTGCAAGAAAGGAGGGGGAAAATGAGAGAGGAGAGAGGTTAGTAAATTGTGGGCTGTGCCTCTATATCCCTCAATCCAGATCTGAAGAGCAAATGATACATTGGTACCTAGATAGTGTCAATATATGCCACACAATGCAAGTCTGTATTCCGCCCCTCCCTTGTACTTAAGCCACGTAATAAAAGCCGGCAGTAGCAGCCCTGTCTTGGGTTACAGGTGCTTAACTCACTCATTAAACTCTAAATAGCTATGGAGCTAGCCTACTTCGCTGCCTCTGAAGCTGCACTTCATGCTTGGCCGGTCCTCACCACGGCTTTGTGACATGCGTGACATCCTGAATCTGACCACGATTTTCAAGGCATTTCTTTTGCAGGGAGGCCAGTTCGAGGGTCGGGTGACATCTAACCCTAAGCTCATACTTGACTCCCTGTTCACGCCATGACTACAGCTGGTAGACCCTGTTCACACCATGCCTACACCCCAAGCCTATAGGTTGTACGTTGTAGTGGATCCGTACCTATCTGTACCAGGAGTGAGCTCATAGTGAGAAGTACAAGTGACTGCCAGATTGTTGATAGAGCCCACCTGTCCCCCTCCCAACACCCACCCGACCGATGCCAAATTTTGAAATACACCCTTGCACAAGTATGCGATCGACGAATGCTGATCTCCCGCATCTGGATACTTGCAGGGCAGGGCCTCCTTGCAAGGCCATGCACACCTTTCAGGATTAGCCCAAACATCCGAGGGAGCCACCTTCTCAATCTCTCGCATTCTGCAGTGTTTATAACAAGTACTCTTCGTGACTTCTTGCTCGCAACACTTGCTTTGAACGCAGCTGCTCCAGTAACACAACAGCTCAATATGCATGGCATAGTGGTGCAGAAAGACTCCAAGATATGGCTTTCTTGGTACACGGTTGCATTTGTATCAACTCTTCTGTTGATGGTACTCCACGTTCTTCTTGTGATACTCGAATTCATCAAGAAACGCAGAGTCCCACCACACGAAAGACCCGAAGTATTATCTTTGCTAATGCAACATCACGAACTTCATTGCTTTCATTGGGGCCTGCGTGTACCAGCCTACTTTTCAGGTGTTGTGCTTTTTGCGCTGGGATACTCCAAACCGGTGCTCGGGTTATATGCTATAATGCTGGGAATCTATTACAGTCTATCAGACGAGGTATGTCGCTACGCCGGAAGTTATTTGACACATTCACTGATTCCCCTAGTTGTTCTTTTTCATTTGCCTTTGGCGCGACTCATGGAAGAGATGCAAGATCTCTGGAGCGATTGCATACTATGCAATGGTATTTGGCGCTCTTTTCGGGAGTGTGCCACTAGCCCAGCAATGTCCATTTGAGGCCAAAATAGTTGTCTTGGTTACCTTCTCCATCTGTCGCCTGTGGTCCACATGGGAATGCTGGTCATTTTGGAAGCAGGTGCCTCGGCGATGGATTAACGGCATGCTGGTGGTCATGGTATTCTTCCCAGCCGTGTGGGTCACCATTCTCATCAAGGAGTACGGTTGGTTCTTGCTGGTAAGAAACGCTGTGTGAAAACCATAATTTTACGGCTAATTAAAACTGCAGGCTGTGTACTTGTCATGTGTTACTTGCGAAGTCTCTTATTTTCGTAAGCTTTGGGTCTTCTTTTCTCGTGAATATTGGCGAAAACGCCATAGCGAGCCTTCGAAGGCAGGAGCTGGCGTGACAGGAGCTGGCGTGGCAGGACGAGGAGTGACAGGACCTGGAGTGACAGACTCGCTGACGTGTCTTTGGGGCCCTGAGAACGCCCATGAACTCGCATTATTCGACTCCAACGCGTAGATACCAGCCTTGCTTCAAGGAGGGCCATAATAGCAAGGAAGGGGCATGGGGACGGTGGACAGAGTGCCCGGAGGGAGGCCATGAAATGTATAGAGATGATCAGGCTGTGAAGTATATTTGGGATCATAACTGCTTCAACTGTTTGTAACCACACCATAAAGTGGGAAAGTACTCCGTCGACAGCGTCGGTACTTTGTCGCCTGAGTGATCGCGTGGACAGCTTACCGTCCAAGATTCGTCAGACCCAAGGCGGAAGTCTAGGTGATCGTCCTAAATCAAATTCAACCGCTGCTATTGTAGTCGCATAGATGAGGAAGGCAGAAGACACCGCGGAAGTAGTGCCGTGTGACAGTTTATGGGCCCAGATCAAGGAGGCGAATGTCACGCATGAATATAGATGAATATCTGGAGTCTACACTACTTCTCAGCGAACGAAGAGTGATAGCAGACCCTCGGACAGAATTATGAAACGATCAGCCTATTCTTCGCCGGCAAGGCTCTCCAGAGGTGAGAACATGATAGTGTCCCGGCATGTCTCGCTCCAGGCGTTTTAGGACCTTCAGGACAAGGGCCAAGCCCCCTATTCCATGAGCGACCGCCTCAAATATCTTGATGGTCTTCCTGAAGAATCTCGGAAAGGAGGGTTTATCAATGAGGACATCCAGATGTCGGTCCCAGAGTATTGTGTATAGCGCGACCAGGTTGCCAAATTGACTGCAGGCTTCGTCAGTAAGTGTAGGATACAGCGGTTGGTCGACTAAGTCCAAGACGTACAAATGTGCCATGCCGACAATGTTGGTGATCATAGAGCGCTTCTCCCCTACGGTCTGGAAAGCTTTTGTGCTATTCAACATTGCATTGACGCACTTCCTCGTATTCTCCATAGTGTCACGAGAAATTCCCGGGCATGTCTTGCACGACCAGTCTGGGCACGCCTTGCGTGACAATTCCAGAGCTACCTTCAACCACGGGCAATAGGCGATGACCTCAGCATCCCATGACTTTTGTCGAATCCGAGCCAGTAGCACTTGATTCGTCGAATCATCATTTTTGACTAGATCAGGAGGCTCCCAACCTTTGTCTCCCAACTGCTTTCCAAGTTCCATGACGACCCCCTCCTGTAGTATGTCCAAGTTATTTTCGGCATCATTGAGGAGCCCACAAATCTTATTGGTTTGCATGCGAATTCGGATGTTTGTAGTGAAGCTGGCGACAACAGCAGCTGAGAACCCAAGGTTTTGTAATGCTGAATCTGGCAATAGGATTCTGTCGAACTTCAGGACACCGGAGGGCGAAAAGTACTGGTCCGTAAGAAGATCACTTCTAACCTCAGCAAACACGGTACGTTTTTCGCGAGACATCCTGCTTACCTTTCCACTTGCCAGCAGGACCAGAAGGCCACCAATAACTCGATTTCTTCCCGAGTAAGAGGTTTTTTTGGGGAGGATGGAGGTAGTTCATCAGGAATTGTGAGCCTTTCTATGTGACTTCCAAGACTGTCAGTCATTCAGAAGTCCAGAAATAGAGTCGAGCTTACTGAAAAAGCCTGTCGCTGATCTCAGCACCCGCAAATCTGATGTGCCGGAAGCTATCTGTCACTTTTCCCAGCTGGTCGCAATAGAGACTGGCGAGAATATGAGCGCGGATAACATTCAGGCCACCTTTGCCGAATTGAGTGCTGAGAAGCCGATTCGCAAGGATGTAGTACCGATAGCCGGGTTTCGCGTCGCTCTTTGGGCTGTATTTGTGACTCTTATCCCTCGATAGGCAAATGCACGCCACTGAGAAGACCAGGAGTACCAACGCTGTCTCACACTTCTTGTCTTGAAGGAATCTCCCGACCATGTCTTCCAAATCTTGCGGTGGAATCAGAGGATGTATATTCTGGATAGAGCTTTTATAAAAGTTGACCAAGGCCCAGGCCTCTCCATAATCGATCTGAGGCACGCCATGATCGATAACATCCCCGCGACTGGCCTGGCGCCTGTCAGCGCGTGGTCGAAATAGATGGCGATCCTCTTCTGATCTGGGCAGTCCTGGGGCGACTTCAATCTCCTCGGCCTGGAGCAACTGTTCTAACCTGCTGGACACAGCAGGCCATCTGATCAGATTTGACGTCGAAGCTTCGTAGTGGTACTTATTTATCACGCCAGACATGATGCCAGGGAATACCAGTCGCGGTGAGGGGTTGGTCAGGTTGTTGGGGAGAGCTTCGATGCCGCGTCGGTGGGACAAGTTGCGTTTCACATGGTCTGCAGGTCCTTCGATAGGGTGGGCGAGGGCTTTTTAAAGTGTGGAAAAGTTTGAAGAGGGAGATAGTGGGAAAGTTCCTCAGCTTCCGCGAAGAGTGATTGATCGCATGGCGCGGCCTTTACATTGCGCATCTGACCGATAGCAAGGTACCGATGGCAGCGCTACAGACCTGTTTGTTTGTCAATGGCTCGCTTCGCCGTCCAGCCCATCCATGAGGAGCCGGGTGTCCGCGGCACTAGTTCGGGATGCCAATATCTCATTGCTTCTGTGCCCAGCCATCTGGCAAGCGTGGATGCATGTCACAGATTTGAGACGTTGAAATACCTTCTTGGGATGGGGAGGGGGCGCTCCCTCGCATCTCATCCTGCCTATCCGGGGGGTGAGTCCTCGCTACGCCGACCCCTGGCCCTCCAGCCCAAGCATCTACCTTGGCGACTACATCCCTGGCGATGAAGGATCTGCTTTGAATCGTCATGACACACGTATTAAATGCGGGTATCCATCCCTCCAGATCATCAAGCTCAAGTACCAATGGCGCCACCAGCAGGCCTGTGGGGGGTGGGGGTTGCTGCTGATGGAGCACCGTACTAACCAGATCTACCCCAGCGTGTTATTTCAGCCAGACCCCGTCTACCAGCTGTGGGGGATTTAAGGCCGTTGCTCTTCCCAACGTTCCAATGACTGCTCAGGTCCCAAGCGCAGTCCCATACAATTCGAAAGACTCAAGCCATTCTACAACTATGCCACAAATTTCGCAATTGTCGCAATTCCAATGGCAATTCAGATGTGAGCTTTGTCACCACTTTATCGGTAATGCCGCGGCACTCTTCAGACATTACTATCAATCTCACATATTAGGACCGCAATATTCGGTTTGTGATGAACCAGATTGTATTTGGGTTTTCCACAAAGGAAACCCTCTCCGCAACAATCACCTACACCAGCATTCGCTCTATGATGTCGGGCAATCGCCTCAGGCAAAAAAATGCCATGATTGCAGGTTGGACATCACTGGTCATACCAACCATTTTCAACAAGGCCCGCATGTCTTGGCTTTATTTCTGAGGCATCTTCATCCGCTTGCAGGGTCTGGCGTGTCAGAGGAGGTTACACGGACTCCACCGACAGGACCGGACACCAGCGGCGCTCATCACCGGGCAAAGGCACATGAGTCGAACATCCAATATACCAGCCCACCGAATCCCCACTTCGAGCAACCGAGGATCGGCATACAGAGCCGAGGCGGTATGGCTCGCGTGCAAAAGAGAGCACCACGCAAACGACCCTACCGCGAACTCCAAAAGCCTGCCCCATCCAGGAATTCAGCTTCCAGGCCACATGTAGGAATGGACATGGAATTGCCGCGTAAGAATGTGGGGGGAATTTCCGTGGCCGACCTGTGCACGTCGGGCACAGAATCTGGAGGGAGTACCGTCTTTCCGCCGGAAAGCTCAATGCCGGTTATTGAGTAGGATAGTTTGCGTCAGTTTTCTTGAAGGATAGACATCTCTTGTATTGTGGAACGGCTCGGCTGTTGCTAGAACCGGTATTGAATATCAAAAATTGTCCGTTTTGCTGCCTGACATATATCTGTCATGTCTTGATTTGAGGCTGACTACTCTGTTCATGAATGCTATTACGCGTAAGAAGACCAAAGAGGATACAAAGGAGCATTCACCAAAGCTGTACATCCAATGAAATATATATGCCCCTCGATTCTCGCCTCATTTTCGACAATTTCACAAGCTGTTCGTCGTCTCCGTAAGTTGCGCCACATCAAGCTTGTTACAGTCTTCGAATATCTTGAACTGCCGAAGACATCGCTCCAAAATTGCTGGCTCAAGACCGCCAATTGGGGCTGTCTCGAGTTCAGTATCATCGAAGAAGAGAGAACTGAGGTTTTCGACATTTTCCTGGTTCAAGTACTTCGGCTTACAGGCATCCAAGCGTGGTCCTGCTCTGTCGCGCGCGTGTGCGAATATGGCTTGTAGGGGTGAAAGCGCTTGCATGACCGCATTTGTGCTTCGTGACTTCCATGCCGTCGATGAGACCTCTTCAATGAAACATAGCCACTCAGCATCAGTCCAGCCTGTGAACCTAGAATGGCAAGCCATTTCTGGGTCATCGAGTGCGTGTAGAGATATGAACAAGCAATGCCGAAAGAACTGCCGCGTAACGTTTTGCTTGGAAGACTAGTTGCTGTTAGATCCTTCTCCTAGCGATTGTTCACACACGGGCAGTACCTTTATATCGCGTAAAAGGATAGCCCACCCGACTGCAAGCGAGAGGCCACGGACGTTGCGGTAATCAGGGCTGGAAAGATAGTATCGGTCAAGACCTTGTCCGTGCTTCCCCGAGGAAACCGCACGCATGGCGGTCATGACGAATCGGCTTTCGGCCAACTTTTGAGCCTTGCAACATCCGTAGACATCGATCTCTCCCTGTCTCGGCTGTGACACGTCCGAGTCATAATGGAGCTGTTTCAACGACTCTTTGACCTCGTCGGACAGATCACCAGAGCGCAGCCCGTGATCAAACTCGAGTCCTTTGAAATCGTCAAAAACGACATTGCCAGTGACTGACACGAAAGTTTTGTACTCGGCGGGCTTGGTAGAAGGGTCGGTAGGCTCGTTGGCACCGGCAGACTCAGTGGAAAGACTGGTGTCGGGGTTCTCGACGAGAACGAACTCGTCGGGTTCGGCGGACTCGGTGGGCCCGACACCGACACATTCGTGAGGTTTGTGGGATTCGGTGGACTCGACACGGATGAAGTCGTCAGATTCGGTGTGCCCAACATGAACGATCCCGCTGGAGTCGTTGCAATTGGCGGAGTGGACATGAACGAACTCGTCGGGGGCGGGGGACTCAGTGGGTGCGACATCCATAGAGCCGTCTTCAGACCGGAACTTGAATGTGCAACCGACATGGTGGAGTAGGGGGACACAAGAGTCGCATACGACGACGTCGTAATGCTTGTCATTCGAAGTCTTCCCCACAATGTGAACTGAAAGTATGTTTTCGAAAAAGGGTAGCAGAGGTTCGAGTTGGTGTGCACGGACAAGATACCGCCTCCATGTCTCGTTGTCTGACGGCCTCGCAAGGAGCTTTTCAGGAATCTTCTCAACTTTCTGTCTGGCGTAAGCAGGGACCTCCGACACAGATGATCATTTTATTACCTGTTCGATTGTAAACTCCCACGAGTATCCACCGTTGTGATATGCATGGTCTGACACAGTGTTGAGTGGACCGGCGAAGTGGCTGGGCTCCTCCGGGCAGGACTGGTCGTCGTCCCCCTTCGCCTGGCAGGGCTGCACAGGGGCAGACACGGTCGTGATCAACATCAGGGGCTTTGACCGGTGGTAGGAAAGCCAAAGGAGAAGGCGGCGAGAAAATTAAGGCAACCAGATCTTGCTCCACAGGAGATTCGGTTGTACAGAAAGGCAGCAAGGCAACCGGGCTGCACAAGCGACATATTTCATATCGGGACTAAGTTTGTGAGACAGACCCCCTGCTGAGCTTACCTGTATACATCAAGCCCCGCCCCCTGTTAAGAAGTAGTGACCTTGCGTGTACTGTCCACAGTCCGTGTGAGTGGGTCACAGAATGTGATTCCCGGCTGCATGATGCTGACCGGCATGCTCCCTTGGACCAATTTCGAACGGTCACGAAACGCGGGGGTGGCGATACGAGCTGCCCACTTTTATTTCGTGGTTTTCAAAAACCACGAAGGCCGCCCCTCAACAGGCTTAGGCTTGCAAACGACAAACGTTGAGCGGCCCATGAAGCAATGACCGAACCGAGCGCAGCTGCCGGCATCCGACCGGTGAACGAGCCTGTGGGCGGCTCACCAAACAGCAACGACTCGGACGAAAAGCTGCTTACTCTCGCGCGCACGCTGTCAAAGAAAATAAAGACAGGGCAGAGAAAAAGGGAAGAGCGTGAGAAGCAGGGATATGCCGCCCCGAATGACTATACCCACCCAATTTACCAGTGCATGCGGCAGGCCACGGACAAGAGCTTTGACGATTACTTGGATCGAGTGGAGCATGCGCTCACGGTAGAGGTTCAAGAGTCGACGATGAAGAGAAGAACCTGGACCGCGTGGTTTGTCCTCTCTTGCCTACAGCTTATCAGAGACGAACGGCGCGGAGGCCGCAAGCGCCTGCCGGCCCGGGGGGCGAAGCTGGCCAACCTCATTGTCAATCGCCTCCTCATTTCTGATGGTGCGGCCGCGATGGGCGTGTACGACGCCCTTGCAGGTGAGGAATGCACATTCTTTTCCCCGCACGCAGCTGATGGTATTCAGAGCAATGCTATAAACTGCGTCAGGCATCTGAGTGCTCCGCTAAAGGCATCGACCGCCTGGGTGTACTGGTGTCCGAGGAGCTGCGTGGTGAGATTCATGTCCCTCTTGACCATTCCTGGCTGCCGTTGCCTGGGGTCTTGCTAAGCAGTCTATTCAACAGAGTCCCGTAAGTGCATCGAACCCCTGCAGAACATTAGGTGCTGACATAGCGGAGGTATCACATTATCTGTGAAGACATCGGACTCTCTAACCTCGCTCATCTACATTTCACACCGCCGCACCCAGATGGGTCTATGGTAGTCGGCTTGGAGATGTCTGCTATAAGGAAAGAGTGGGATGCGCTCTCCTCCTTGAGATCACAGGGAAGCATCGAGCGATACAACTCAGGCCATAGCACACCAGCCGCCGACTTCTCCCACATTATACTCTCTACCGCATTGGAACAGGGTACTCCCCATAGCATATCCTCTTGCGACGCTTGTCCGGACCCAAACATAGCCTGGCTCGTTGGCGACCTCGACGACTTTCTAGGTTGACATAAGAAGTACTCATCAACTATCATCCCGTTCATTTTCATCCTTCTCCCTGGTGGTATGCAGAGTTGCAAGCAAACAAAGGTCATGAGGGTCCACATCGCCTGCCTCGCGAGACCTTAGCCTCTCTCCTCCTTCGAGGATGATAATGTCCCCGACTTCGCATCGGAAGGTTGACTGAACAAATTGGTCTTCTGCGATGGGTCTATCAATTATGCCTTCAGAAGGTGGTTCTTCTCGGGGCACATGCCCTTCGACATGCCTATGCTTTGGCCGGCGGAGAACTATTAAAATAGAGATTCGTTCCTTCTTTGCTGAGACACCACCGCCCCGGATCCATATTATTTGTGGCCCAGCATGCCTTTCTTCAAACTCGACACTTAGGTTCTTCTGGCCAGCTAAATTGTGTATTATAGCTTGCTTTCAATTTATCTGTTAGCTGTTTCCTGCTTCGTTCCCAGAAAGGCTTCAGGGCAATGTACGAACCATAGTCTCACTGTTGTGAAATAGGTTGTCAAGTTGTTGTGCGTGATCGGGTAGGAGGGGTATAGGTTGTATCATCAAATTTGGCAAGCCAGGAACATCTCCCATGTCTTCACAGTCACAAGACACTTGGTCGGCTAGTGTCCGGATCTCACCAAGGAGCATCTGGAGGTCCGCATTCTGATGGGTGTCCGTAGATTTGATGATCAACATAGAAGTAGAGGCTGTTCTAACGGGCTTGACAGGAGAGCGTTCGGAATAGATCCATCGATGAAGCGGATGTGAGAGGTGATTGTGGATGGCGGAGTCCTTGGCGGCACACAAGCTTCACTGTTGTGGCGGGGTTGAGCCACGTGTGCACGAGCAGGGCCAAGCCTGTACCGAGCTGGGCTGCAAACCCCTAACCCTAGATTGAACCGTATGCATGTTCCACATTGTTGTGTAAGTTTTTTTTTTTTTTTAAGAGAACTGGTACGAACATGATCATTGCATGCTGGCAAGCCATTAAGCGGTACTTGTGCAAAAGAAAGGTCAGGGAAGCTGCGTGCATATCTGTCGTCCGAAAGGCAACGCTGGCATTCAGAACCAGATGTAGGCGGCTAACTCAGGGGAAATGAGGATTACTTATATGGGGCTGTGAAAAGGAAAGGCTTGAATCCAGGCTCTGGGTATATAGTTGAGACTTGCTCGGTGATCCTATTAATGAGGCCTCGCTGAAGAAGAAAGTAATGATTCATAAGCTTTCCAGTGGTCTACTTTCCTGTCTGGTATTTGAACAATCCAAATATCTGTCTAAGCAATAATTCTGACCTGCCTAATTTCGAAATGACCTTGTTGTATCTATTGTTCAGGTTTGCACGGTACTTTTTACAGGCCCCTTTAGGGTGAAAAATCAATGAGCGGCCTTTATTCCTTCTATGAGTTCTTTAATGTGGTCTTTATTTTTAACAAACACGTTTGCCACACGGACCTAGTAAAGTTTCTCAGTGAGAGTGCTTGTGAGTATTCGGGTGTGCTGTCGGGTGGGTGGGACAAACACTCGAATTGTTCTAGGAATTTTTTCCACAGGGGAACGTCTTCGTCTTTCTGGCCCTCTTCCCCCATCTCTTCTACTTCTGATGTAGCCACACTCTCGGGGGTGGAGGCTTGACTATCAACCCTCGCCTCAAAAGCCGCGTGTGGTGTCTTCGAAGGCGGCTCGTTCGGGGTGTTTTCTGGTAGCCCCTTCCGTCCAGTGATCGGTGACGGCGAGGGAGGAGGACTTAGAGTTTCCGTGCTTCGAGTTTCAGCACCAAAGGCTGATATCACGTTGCGATCAAGTAGCTTCAGAATGGACTTATCGCACTTCGGTCCTTGGGTCCCCAGCCAGGAAAGTAGAGGCTGAAAATATCTTTCGGGCATCTCTGACAGAGCAGAGTACGAGAGACATATCCCGCATAGCAAAGCCGTATTAGGGCTGACTTTTTGACTGATACAGAGGAGCCTTTCTTGTACTCTCCGGTCTCTCGATGGCTGCGTTGAGTGCTTGTTGGACAATCTCCGGCCGTTCTCAAGCAAATCTGCAGCTATTCCAGCCCTCTTCTTTTGGCCTTGACTTAGTCGACCACGTCTCAAAATTTCTGCCCTTTTGTCCACGATGATCCGCTCGATAAATTCTAGGTCAAGCTTCACCATTTCGGATGAGTGGAGCATTAGCTGTTTGTATGAGTCGACTGGGTGATAGATGGACAGTGGACAGATGGATGTGGGCGGATGGGGAGTTCACAACCCTGGGAGGACAAGGAACCGGGCTAGGTCGGAAAGACTGACGGGAGACTCTGTTCTAGGTAGTCGCCCCAGCAAGTCACCCGGCAGGATACGAGGACCAAGGAGACAAGTGGCCGGTTGGCAGCTGTGGCCATGGGCCAATGTCCACAGTGGACAATGAGAGGTGCTCAGCTCCCGTAAATGGAATTGATGTGGCGATCACTCATTTGGACGCTCGGCGCTTAGATCGGCTGATCTACGACGGTGATATATTTGGTTATGGCCAGGTGTGGTCGGATACTGAATCCAGCCCCCCTCGACCATCGGTGTCTTATCCTATCTCGCTACACGAGACGATGGCCAACGGGCAGGGATGGGCTTCCTCAGTATGCGAATGCGGCACTAAGGTGATCAGGTACTGAGTCACATCACTGATCTGATCAAACCTAGTCCTTGAGAGTTCATGGACCCCATGCGACCATGGTCGCCAACGTCCGCATGAGACGAGTCAGCCCTCCGACCCCTCCGTCAGTGGCTACATGGCTTGAGAAGGATGCCTGGGGTGGCAGAGCAGTCATCCATCTAGGCCTTCTCTAGGGCCAGATGCCGGATCTTGGCCGCCTCAGCAGGCCAGGCGTCTCGCAAGAGTCTGTTTACATGGGTTCTTAAATAGCGTTCGGGCGCTGTGATGAGTTCTCTCGAGTGGAGGCCACCTTCTTCGATGTTCTTTTCCCCTCACTCCTAGCCCACGGATCTTGTCAAGTAAAATATTTGAAATCCTAAAACCACTTCAATGTTAACTTCGCTTCCCAACGATGGAGACTACACCCAGATACATTCAAGATCTCAAGGAGATGGCCGTGTCGGTACAAAAGCATCTCTTTCAGGCCATTGATCACAATCAAAAGTTCTTGAATCCGACCAGTCCAGAGAAATTGATGAGAGCCAAAGCGGTTGATTGGCACGCTCTGTCGATTTTTCATTGCAAATTGGCCACCCTTGAATATGTGGATTTCGTGCTCGCGCAACAGACCAGCTCCTTCCCAATGTGTCTGGAGAAGACTTTATTTACCGCCACCCGTGCTTTCCTATTGGAAACCCCTACTCCACTATCACCCATCAACTCGGGGAGTATAGCCAAAGTGGTTGATACAGTGAGGTGCATTGTAGCTTTGCTCTACTACACTGAGCCGTGGGCCAGGGAAATTTGGACCGAACATCTCGTATTTCTCGATAAGTTTTGGTTCGTCTACACTAAGCATATTGCTTGTAGAGAGACTCATTTTCGGGGCAGGTCAAAAGCAAGTCCCAGTGCAGCGGCAAGTGACACAGATCAAACCGCGTTCTCTAGGTTCCTGGAAACGGACAGCTGTGGAGCTGTGAAGTCAATACTCGAACAACCGGCAATCTTCTTAGCCGCTCGACGAATCGACAATGCCATATGTAACATGGTCCTTAAAATTTACACAGACGTCTTCCTGCTCAAGAATCGATCGTCCATTGTATATAAATTTCGACCCATACGAGACAGTTGGTACTTCGTTTCTCCACCAAGGCAGCCAGGAACACCGAATGGGCAAGTGATAGGCGGCGGAGTGGAGTGAAATGACTATCTTCAAGAGGATATAGACTTATACTGCGATGTCGGGACAAATCCTCAAGGATATGTGAAGCACGTTTTCCCAGCGGGAGCGGGAGAGTGCTTGGAGCGGAGGGGAGGAGCGGTGAATGGCACGTCTGAGGGCATCACATCGTGGTGTAGGGCCCTGAACGTATGTCGGCCACGACTTCTCCTCTGTGGCATCTTCGGGCAAAGGTTTCCGGGCAAAAGCACCGATGGAGAAGATTCAAATCACAGTAGTGCTATAGATAAATATGTGGCATTGCTTTCCTACTAGATGTAACATCTCTCGCTTCACTTTCCCTCGTGTTTCTCAACGACCCGCTCCAGACAGCCTATTTCTTTCCCACTTTTTGAAGTCTTTGTTCCTCATTAGCCATGATCAGGAAGCTGGCTGACGATCACTAACCGAAGAATTATTGGAAGAGGAAGCAGGAGGAGATGAAGGGGCCGGAGGAGGGGGTGGAGGAGGTGCCTGAGGCTTCGATTTTCCCTGTTCTGGCGACATGATTGATCCCGTCTTTTGAGGGTTGCTTACGAAAGAGGTATGACCAGGGAACACGAGTCGCCCTGGAATTTCGGGCGCGGAGGAAGAAGTGATGGTTCTGCGAATTTGCTACATCGAGCACCAGAAAACGTAGAGGTAAGAGGGAGAGGCCAGAGTTTATATTCATCAACAGGCTCTCAAGTGGCTCCAAAGGACGCACATATTCTCGGGCCCTGCCGGGCTCGATGACCATTGAGCGACCCAAGCTGCTCTGGATACGCCAGAGATGCGCTCTGCGGCTCGTCGTCATGCTGGGCCACTACGGGCAAGGCCGGTCGAGCTAAGGTCAACTACGTTCGCTGAAGTATCCTCACACATCGGTGCTTTCTCCTGTCGGCCAATATCACAAGAAGCTCTGGGTAAGGCTTAGCGCTGCATCAGGGTAGTAAAATTGGAATGGAAATACCAAGGCCTGTATGTGGCCAAGCCGCGGGCCTGGATCGACACATATCTGGCCCAGACTCCGATTCTCCCAGCCCCCTATGACTGCCCCAACCCCGGCACGTAGGAGATGTTGACGCACCATTCACCAGAAGCAGGCTGGTGTTGTTGTAAAGCACCTGTACCTAGGTACACTGTACCACGCAGCGCCTAAATCAAAACAAAAAGCGGCAAAAATTCTCTGGCCCTCGCAAATTTCCCAGAAGCGTGTCTCTCTCTGCACACTCAACTTCCACACAACCGACAGCAGTAGTCCCTATTGAAGAACGAAGGTGCATCAAGAGCCATGACAAGCTCGTCCACACCGTCTACTGAATCACTGGAGTCTGCTGTTTCTGGGGTGGTTACTGCCGGACCGGAGCTGGAGCTGGAGCTGGAGCTGGAGCTGAAGACGACAACGTCGTCTCGTGGTCTCAGAAAGACTATCCACGAGAACCTGGATGTCCTTGGAAATCCACGAGAACTCGTGAAGATCTCAAGCCCCAAGAGAGAGGTAAGAGAGCTTGCAGCCCGAGACAATCGTCCAGCAGATCTAACTTTGCGAAGCGGAAGGCAGTTGACCTTGAGAACGCTACAAACGCGGTTGAGCCCGAGATGCGATCTGACCTCTATATGCCTCGAAATCTTTCACGCACCGCAACTCATGGCCGAGTGGAGAAACCTCACCCACGCAAGCGGTCACGAACTGCCAGTACATTCTGCGACAATGCGTTTGGAAGTGGAACACAAGTCTGTCCGCAAACGAAAATTCGGGGGTCAAACATTCCGTTGAGCACGACATTTAGGAAGACGCCGGGTGATGGCATCATCTTGGGGCGCACCTCAGTCTTCAATCAGTCCGCCGATATGGCGGTCAATACACAGTCGAAGCCCGGCACTTGAGCATCGACCGGGAAGGAAAGGTGCCGGTCAGCTACGGGGTGGGAATTGTGGTCAATGCTAGGACTATACTACAGAGATTAGCATGAATGTCTTTGTCGAAGCGTCTCTTGCGCATTTGAGCCGTCGCACATCACGAAGGGTTCCTCTGGTGTTGGCTCCGCAGTCGTGCTCTGTTTGCCCCTCCCTCCCGGCTCAGCGTTGCCATCACATTGCTTCGGTGGCTGATGACTCAGCTCGTTGTTCTGAGTGGTCAGTCAGAGTGCATATGATAAGGAGTCTGCAATTGTCGTGCCGAAGCCTGAGATGTCGTCTCGCAACTCGGGTGCATTACAGACAGGGTACCCCTGTTTACAATTGCAGGGGCTCCCGAGGCAGCCAGGATCATGCGTTTTTGCTCAGTGCGAGGTTGCTCCAAAGTCACGAAATAAAAGCGGGTACTCAGGTGTGGGCAGCCACCAACTTATTAGCACCGGGTGCCTTCCTGCTGCCCTTCCCATTGCTCTGCCAAAAAGAATCATGCGAAAAGCCAACGTTCAAGATGAGCATTCCAGATACTCATTCTGAGGAAAGTCCAGGTAGGTTACACTATATTTGTTCTGTTGACGATATACTGATCTTTCCAGCACGTGTTTTGTGGGTGATCACCGACGCACATAGTCCCATGACCGGTCATGTTGTAGACATGTCTTGTATCAGTCGTCATCAAGGTAAATAAATGGTACCTAGGCATATTGTTATCTCTATAATATACTGACCTCTTTAGATCTTAATTGGACGGCCAGGCTGTGTACCAGCAAAAAAGGGCGTCTGACTAATATAGACTCTGTTCGATACCATCTCGAGGCACATGCTACGGCATTGTTGGAGGAAAAGCTCACCCCGGGCGATACGCTCAACCTTCACGTACGCAGTAGCTGGAAAAAACCACCCGGCATGATGACTTTCAAAGTGGGCCCAATTTTGGTAGGCTCGCCCAAATCCAAGGTGTATCTCACCCTCGCTTGCACTTTAAGTCTCGCAGAGTTCCGAGAAAGTCTGGAGAATGATGTTGTTGTTTTTATCAGGAATGAAGACGGATCGTAATATCACTTGTGTATTTCTTGTTACTTAGCATGTTGCAAACTACTCTTTTACTATTTTTGAACAGTGCGAGTCTCAATTTGGTACCCATCATCATACACGTTATCGGTAAAAGTCTCTTGCCACAATCATTGACCGGCCGGCCGATCACTAGCATGGTCTCCAAGAAGGGTTGGCTCTGGGCGGGGAATTAAGCCGCCCATAGATTAGACAATTAGTAATAATCCCGATCCATTTGTATGCATGTGAAATTTGTGAGGCCAATGGCAAGAGGAATTTCCTCCCCGGTGCCCTAAACCCGAGGAGACTTCTGTTTCAATACATATGCTTGCGTGTTCTAGGTAGTTTTATATTTCTTTAGCCGGCCTAGGCTTACTTGAGGTCATTACTCCACGAAGACCCCCATGGCTTTCCTTAGCTAGCAGGACAGGGGCACAGAGACGCTCAAGGATGCAACATCGGAGCACAAAACCCGCCAAGAGGGATGTCAAACAGGAGCAAAGAATGCGAAAGGGTCGCTGCACTGGAGCACAAAACCGCTGAAGGCTGCCGCACTGGAGCAAAAAATGTGAAAGGTGGCTGCACTGGAGCACAAAACCGCTGAAGGCTGCCGCACTGGAGCAAAAAATGTGAAAGGTGGCTGCACTGGAGCACAAAACCGCTGAAGGCTGCCACACTGGAGCAAAAAATGTGAAAGGTGGCTGCACTGGAGCACAAAACCGCTGAAGGCTGCCACAACGGAGCACAAAATCGCTGACGGATGCCACACTGGAGCATAAAACCGTTGAAGAATGCTAAACTGGAGCAAAAAGAAAAATGTAGAAGGATGCCACACAGGAGCAACAAAAGAAAAATGCTCAAGGATGCCACACCCCCTTCTACATGTGAGCTGTCTTTGGTCCGAAGGACAGCCTAACTCACGGCCAACAGCTGCGGAATCCTGTTGCTTGGGGTTTCATCGTTACAAGATGCACTGCTGCCGGCAGCGTTCCTGCTGGCCCCTGGGATCGTAGCTCCAAAGGCGCATGATTATTGGGCTGTTGTTCGTGCTTCATGCATTTCAACTTTTACAGAGTCTAAAAAATAGTGCGGCGAATAGTGGGGAATGTCTATACCGCGAACTTGGTGCCGCCAGTAGGTGGTCATTATGTGCAATGAACGTTTGGTGTTTTATGATCACTCTATGGATGTCTTCGAAGAGGGTATTATCTCTACGATCAATGGAATCCAGCTGAAGACCATTAAACATCCTCTGATTCTCTGTGATCTTTCCCTTCTAACAACCATGCCATATGCCATAGTGGCAGTCACGCCTACTGTCGTTTTCCCAACCTTACAGTTGCTCATCACATCAAGGTCAAATCAGTGCTGATAGACCCAAATGCCTCGATCACTTGGAAAAGAGCCTATTCTAAGGCAAATTGCTAAAATTTTCCACTCAGACGAATTCCCCAGCGACCCAGGCCCTGCCCATGTACCTAGGTAATATCTAATCCGTGGAAACCGACCTCAACACCTCTACTGTCTCCAAAGAGCCTGACTCGACTGCACACTCCACTGGCGTCCGACCTTTGGTATTCCGAATGGCAGGATTGGCTTTTCTTTCTAGTAGAAATTGTACAACGTCTGCCTTGCCCATGGTAGCAGCCTTGTGTAGGGGTGTACCAAATTCCATGAAAGGATATAGCCTCCTTGAAGCCTCGTGCTTCTCATACATAATGGCCTCTAGCGGTGCACCTCGGTCAATCAACATACATAGAACCTCTATTGTATCAGTCGCCCTATCCAATGCATGTTGCAACAGTTCTCCACTATGTATATCACCACCGCGATCAAGCAATTTTTCGATGAGCGCAAGTGGGGCGAATTGGACGGCGTACGACATGGGTGTCAGGTCGATGTAAGTCTGCTTGTTTAGGTCGGCGCCGTGAGCAACCAGCCATAGGGCCATTTCTTCATTGTCAACGGCATAACTACACAGCCAGCAGAGACAAGTCTGTTAGCTCTAGACACATCGCGGAAATACTGGAGCAGGCGTACGCAAGTACAGTGGGCTCAGTCTCGCTAATAGGAGTATTGACATCCCATCTCTTGACGATGACATCGAGACATTGCTTCGCCTTGGCGCTTATCGCCTCCAGTGCGAAGCTGTGGCGCACAGTCATGCCACGGCTTAGTATCCTCTCCATGGCTATGGCAGAATCTTGCTTGATGGCTTCGAATGCAACTGGGTAGAGATCATCTATTTCGAACTCCTTGTCGGGGCCGAACGTCGCAAGGTAAGTGTCAAAGTCCTCCCAGTCACCGGCAGAGATCGCACTTATGAAGCGATCCAGAGTTTCTTGACGTATTCGTCGGGGTGGAATCGGCGGTATGGGGAACATTTCATGGCCAGGGAGAAAGCTGAGACTCATGATGGCGTCGTAGGTAACTGATATCCTCGATCGACTAGGGACGTGGTATGCTCTGGATTTTCGTGCGTCGTTCGTGGACGAACCGCACTGAAAACGTCGGTAGGGAAGTCTGGGGGGCGCCGAGTAATGTATGCGTATTCCCTCCCTCCCCTTTTTCATCCTCCCATCCGCGACGTGCAATTTGAAAGTACCGTATGTCGCTGGTTGCAGCCAGGACGCTGTTGGTGTGGAGTGACAGGTCGCAGACCCTGAGTCTGCCAAGGGCGACAGTTTGGCGCGGTTTCGTGTGCGGCGGTTCGGAATCAGACATCCGTGGACTGTACATGTGCCCAAATGCTCCCCGCAGCTGCTGAGCACATCCATATCTCCGTGTAATCTCCGTGACCTAAGACTCCAGTCGCAACCTCTCCGCCATGTCGTGATGGAGATACATGTAGAACCGAGTATTGCATATGTTTCAAACACTACGCCAGAACCAGTTCATGAATGGTATTGCATCCGTGTTTGGAAGGTGGTGGCGCGCGTGCATAAGTCAACCCGTGAAGAGGTACATAGACCACAACGCGCCTGCAAGTAGCGCGCTGGTCCGACGGCCGTCATTTATAGGGAGTTTGTCTGGCCCGATGTTATTTTGCCAACCGCTTCATCCGGATGAAAAGGTGTGCCTTGGCGTTAACATCGACCTCACAATCTGCTATGGAGCTTTGTGAACATGCACTCTGGAGGTGAAATCCTCTAGATCAAATATAAATGAGGCAACGTGTACGGCGTCAATCGGTCCATATCGCCTTAGCACATGGGCGGTGGCCGAGTCGCATTTCTTATTCTTTACGTGTGTACTTTCGCCTACCCATAGTCAGGAAGTGGCAATACTCTGTCAATTTCACTTGTTATGACAATAATGTCTGCGGCCGCACCGAATCATGGGATCCTCACAAGTTGGGAGGACGCCGGATTGGTTTTCGTGGTGCCGATGGGCGGGGTGAAATTCATCGCCTTCAGCAACACGCCTGCCATCGGGACCCGCAGCCTGGGCTCCTGTTCCGTTGCCTTGGTTGTGTCTCAACATGGCGCTATTCTCGCCCATATCCCACCCCTGCCGCTGAAGCCATCGTCACCGCCGTCGGGAGCACAGTCGAACTCAGAGTCGTATTCGTACGCGGGTGACGAAAACGTGCGGAAGATGATGGGTATGGTGAAGGACCTCTATAATTATTACCGATCCTCTTTCCCAGCCTCAAGTACCCATGTCGTTTGTGCATTATATCAGGGCGAGGTGGCACTGCCAGACCAGATAGCTATTATGCGGGACATCTTTCGGGAGATGGGTTTGGACCCTGTTACACACACTTACGACGTGCCCGGAAATCGTGCCATCCCGGGCCAGGGAACTGTCATTGCCATCTCGTCCCCCGACGGAGAATTCCCCAGTGTCTGGGTGGAGGACAAGCTAGTCACCGGCAAATTTCCGCTGGAAGCACAAGCCACTATGGGTCAATACCCAGGACCTGCCACGAGTTCTGGACAAGTCGCTGCGGCATCAGCCTGGTCAGGAAAAGGTAAAGCCCCAGCCACTTGGACCCCAGACCTGGAACCCCTCGTGACCCAAGATTTTGGTCGGCTGGATATGGCACAAGAGCCAACCTCCTCAGGAAAAGGGAAAGCCCCTGCAACCTGGCCGTATGTGCAACAAATACGCACGACGGGTGCCCAGTCTGTGACGGCACAGGAGTCGGCTCCTGGCGAGAATGAATTCGGGCAGACGCAGATGACGCAGATGACGCAGGTAGGAGGGCCGATGCAGACAGATCACACTTGGAAAGAGGTGCGGTTTCGAGTCGTGCCTCATGTGACCAGCCGCGACGAGTATATTTTCAAAGACAACAAAGGCCACTCTCACTCGACCGACAGGAGTCAATGGCACAAGGACGAGTACGAGGGGAAGTCGGTCTGGGTTTTCAAGCGTGGGAAGACGTACTATTTTACCTATCAGAAGATTAAACAATAAATCTAGCGCGCTTTAAAGTCAAGGGGTACGGAGTGATGGGGCAGAAGGGCTTGTCCGACGCCCGATAGCCTCTGACGGGCACCGTCTTGGAAACGCTGGGAGGAGCTCCATCTGCCACCGAGACGAGATCACGGCTTCTTGTATGTTCAGGATTCGGGGACGGGGGGTGTTGCAACGCCAGGTGAGGAACTTGAATGAACAGAAGCTCAGCCACGACTGCTTCAGATATTAAAAAAAAAAAAAACCCCCCCGCAGATTTGTCAGTACCAGCCTGCCTGCCCCAAATCTCTTCGGATGAGCCAATCTTGACTCCAGTGCCCTTTCCTCTCGTGAGGACCACCACATGCAGAACCTTGCCGCCCCAGTAGACATCCCTTCCCTTCTCAGGCCATCATACCCAAGAAGACGTATTGTGGATTAAAGTTGCAAATACGACCTGCTCTTGCCATCGATTCGAATCGTCCCGGCATCCATCTGGTGCGTTCCCTAACTCTGTCGTGGTCATACTGGCCGATGAATTGCCTTGTCCTACAGGCCAGTCAGGTCGAAACGATTTGATAGCGGATGAGGCAGCCTTACATGCTTGGGCCCGAGCTGTCAGTGCACCTATTTTCCGTACCCTTTGCAAGTGCCACAGATGATACCGTCTTTGATACCCAAGCCGTCACAGGCAGAACATTTGGGCGCTTCCTGAGGCATCTCGGCAGAATGGTGAATAATCAGTTCAAGACTCAGTAGACAATAGTTGCTTGCGAAGGGTTCAGCTCCTGAAGGCTCGCGTGCGGGAGTTGGCGTGGAATTGGATCGAGGTTTATGCGGCATTTTGCCTCGCGGGGTGTTCTGACTTCTGCCGCATCTTCCCGCGAAGCCCGCGGCACGGAGTCACATGCCAGGTCCCACACCCCGCACGGCAGCAATTAGGCTTAAATTGACAGGACCCGGCCAGCATGGTTTGGGCTTGGTTTCCAGCTCCACCCAGTCTCAGCATCCTGTCTATCACCACCATGGCCAACGAAGTCCGCCGAATCCCCAAAGTCGATACACACACGCAGTGTCCAAAGTGTCAGCAAACGTTCCTCACGACCGACTCACTCCAAGATCATCTTGAATTCTACCGAGTTAGTCCACGATCGCCTTAGTTGGTTCTAAGCTAATCAGAGTAGTCTGAAGAGCGGTATCTTCTAGCCAGACTCGACGCGTGTCGAGCGCACAGGATTGTATCAGACCCACCCAACGAAAACAAAGGTGACGAGGACGAAGGAGACAAGGATGAAGGCGACGAGGACAACATCGATATCGGCACCAAAAGTAATACAGCTGGCTGGCCCTCCAGGACGGTTTGTCCGTGCTGTCGCAAGGAGTGCCGCACAGATCTCGCAAGGCATTATTACACGCGTGAGACTCGTGTGTTCCTTTCCAAGATTGAGATATTGACCGCGGCACAGATATTGATGCCGGCCTAAAATGTTTTTTCTGCTCCAAGCCGTGCAAGAACTTAAGCACTTTCATGGGGCATCAGAAACAGTGCGCTGGTCGGGACAAGGCCGACGAGGCGAGTAAACAGTCTGCAAAAGCCACGATTGCCAAGCTCAAAGCGGGTGCCTGTCAACAACTGGACCAATCGCGAGGACCTCGTGGAATAATAGCATGGATGACCAAGCCTCGAACTGCGAAGAGGCGCATAGAAGCGGTCAACTCAAGGCCAGGTACTACACCCCATCCACCCAAGAAGGCTCGGATCGACTCGGAATGGTCGGCCGCAGACTGCTTCTTGAGTCCCGGACAGGACGGGGTTAGGCAGGGTTTCGACATGCAACAGCACACCGAGGAAGCTGAGAAGTCATCCCAGGAGGCCCAAGCCAATCCTGATACGACAGGCGACCCTGCCGAGTCATTTATTTCGAATCTCCAACAGGAGGGTGTATCAACAGAATCCCCGGCTGTTCCTCTAAACGGTAATGAACCTGGCTGGGCCGCCAGCCAAAGCATCCCCCTTGAGCCAAACTTCGAAAGCGACGGTACATTTTGTCCATTTTTTGAGCTACAGGATGTCCCCGGGGATCCAGACTTCTTTGGCTTTTCTCGCAACTATTATCTTAACCCACCGACTTGGGACCGCTCTCAGATCAACCAGTTGGAGCTTGCTTTGTCTCAAATCGAGCATGCAGCCCCAGCTCCGCTCCCATAATCTCATCCACCTTTTTCCTAACGTCGGGCGTATCCGGGAGGACCATTTGGGGCCACTTTGAAGCTAAGTCTTCTGTCGCAAAGATCGTAGCGTTGAACGCACCTTCAACGATTTCAAACGCAATTGAGGCGTCTTGTATAGTTCTATAGAATGTCAGAAAATTCAAGACACTGGCAGCTTGACGTACATTCCACCTTGGTCAAAGTTAATTGGTGTGCCCTCGCCGCAGCCTGCCCTTTCCAGCGCGGCAAAAGGGACTTCGAAGAGGCCGTTGGAGGCTCTCGCGGGAGGTAGCGCATAACGATGTGAACGAGTATAATACACAGCTCTTGATCCCTTGTCCCATAGCTGAACCACCAGTGCTTTTGGGCCTGCGCCTTCGCCACCCCGCAAGTATAGAAATCTATGGCCGGCATCGTTTGAGAAGTTGGCATAGCGTGCCATGACGTAGAACGAAGGTAGAAAGAACGAGTCGAGGATGGGTCGTATGCGCTGCAAGAGTGTCAGTGGGATCCAGGAAGAGGTTGCAGAAAGAACCTACGCTGTCATTCAAGACGTTGGCCTCATAGAACTCCAGGCCTTCCTTTGACAGAGGGTTCAGGCGTTGCTGGAGCATGGTGGAGATTTTCGCTCCGACAGTTGCGTCCTCCTCGTGGTAGAATCCCAAGTCCCGGATCGCATTTTCTGCACTTTCCATCGACGACATTGTGGTCAGAAGCGCTGTGGAATTAAGATCGATGATGCAGCAGCGAGAATATGGGAAACACTTGATGAAGTCGCCGTAACCCCGCCAGAAATCCACCGCACATGTGCCAAAGCTCGAACCTAACCCGGATCACCCCGCTAAATCCCGGGGCCAGCCGTGCCACGCCAGTCTCTCGCCTGTCTGCCTTGGGCAATGCGGAGATGAGTAATACCTGTCGCTTGCACGATGGCTAACCATCCATCTTCTTCGTTTCCCATCGCTGTCGATCGAGTTGTCTCCTTTCAATGCGATCAGAGGCGGTGCAGTTAGACGGCCCGCCCTATAGAGGGCAGAGACGATAAGTCGTCCTTCCTCTCGAGCTGGCTTGACCTCAGCTTTGGAAGCAACGCCACCGCGAGACCGTGCCACGACATGGTTCAGGGGACTGGCCCGCAAGCAAGGGCCGAGGCGCAGTGGATCAGGCAGCCATGGCAACTCAACCGTCGGCTGGGCATGTGTTGCTGACCTCATAATCGGAGCCGAGCCGAGTCTTACTAATTCAGCCTACAATTGTTGTTCCTCCGACAATTCCATGCCTGCCGCTGGCCGCCGGGATGGTCTCGCTGGTCAGATGCCCGCCTGAGCACTGGGCGTGGAAGGATCTCAGCGTGTGAGCGGGCGGCTAGCATGCCGTTCGCAGAGGTCCAATGCGTCAGTGACGTAACATTGCTATAAGAGCAGCTACCCTCGCCAGACATGCTCGCTGCCGCTGGTGATGCCGGTGACGCGGGGACAGGTATGGCTGCGCCCAGTATCTGTGTGCAGCGGGCCCCTGGTAAAGGGACTTTGGAGAAACGTGGTGGCTGGTCACTGGGCCACGTATTTTACGGTTCCCTACGGCGGCGACTGTCACTGCCACGACGAGAGACCCAATATGACGAGGAACATCAATGACCAATGACATACTATGTCGAAGCGCGTGCGGGTCGGTGCCAGGGCCCGGTCATCGACAAGAGGCGACCTGACCCAATGATTGGAGGGCGGGGAGGATCAGGCTCCAGGGCAGGGTGCTCAACAACCTTGCCAACTTTGTGCATCTCCGGGATGCAATCTCCACGGGCGGCTACCGCGGGAAGTGGTCCGGAAGGGCGAGGCTCCACCAAACGTCCCGGACAATGGTGCCCCCGCTCCGCGCAGTGCTCCAGGCTTGGCCATCCACCCCAAGACTTGCGGCCCCTTTCTCCTCACAACTAACAGCTTCCACATCACGCATATTTACCTCTCACGCCAACAACCCTATATTCTCATCTTCCAGTCTTTAATACCATCACCCAACACGAGCTCTACCTCACGAGATACCGGCAGTACTGCATTGCACTTTGCGGTACACAGTCGACGACCATTCTTGGCCGCGCCCATTGCTAAGCTCAGGACCGGAAGGCAGACCGTGCATCCCCTCTCGCACCTCGATCCTCGCCTCAATCGTGCTGCTATTGCCACGCTACAGACTGTGCCTGGAGTACACAGCTTGTGACTGCGGCTGAGGTCTGGGCTTTATGCAGCACGGAGTGGAACTGCGTGTGCACGATTGAGGCTTGGGTCACTCGAGGGGAGCCCGCAGCGCTGCCGGGTCCGTCAGGATCACAGAGTCAAGGCTGCTCTACGTCGCTACAGAAAGAAAGCCTGGGAGGGTGGGCAGCCTGTGTGTCTCGTTTCATTTAACCAATGATACTTGTCTCGCGCAGGGGGTTCCCGATCCCTTCATTCTTAGCTTGTGGTCTTCACTAATCACCTGTACAGTTTCCCCCGGTCTCGAGACCCATCACGATGACTACGCCGCCGCCCCCGAGCCTCTTCTCACCTCATGGCGGCTGCAGTAAACGCCGCATCGACGGCTGCCTTGTCGATATAGACAACGAGGATGTGTCACAGTCACCGCCCTGCCCGCGGTCACTCCTGCAGCCGGTATCTCTGCATCTTTCTTTCAACAAGACTGGCATTATGTCCCTGCGGCTCCGCGTTTCAGTTGCTCTTCGAGACGATCCCGGGCTCACTGCTATCCTTCTCGACATACCAGCCGATAAAATTGAATCCCTTTCTCTCAGCCGGCAACCAACGCTCCCTGAACGGCTGAAGTCAAAAATACACCGGTCCCAGGCCCGCCTCCAAGTCACTGTCAGCAACTCCGCCGGTATCCTCATTGCGCCCTCAGACATCGAGGCTTTGAACCCGGAAAGGTCGCTTGATGCACAAGCTCTCGAGACCATGCAAATGCTGTCCCGGTCTCGCAGGATCCTCACCTACCTACCAGTAGGTGACAACCTGTGGGAATATGTTTCTGCAGCTCAGGGGACAGCCGTGTCCAACCTAGCAATGTCCTTAGAGCTTCTCCTCCAGGTCGCCGAGAGCCCCGTCCACCTAGACCTGATGACGCTCTACGCTGGCAAGGGCGGCAGGATCATCTCGTCTAGCGAGGCATTTGGACAACCAGTCATCGAAGATGATGCCCAGGATAGCAGTTCTGTTGGCGATGGAAGCTCCACGCAAGAGGCCGACCTTCCTCCGTCATACAATGACACTGTTCCACACGGTGCCGCGAATTCTGCGCGAAAGCGACTGCGGTCTAGCCCTGGCGATGATGCTCCGCAGTCCCGGAAGGGCGAAGCATCAGACGACAAGGCCGGAAGACTTGATGGTCTGCGTGAAGCCTGGGATCAGGCGGGTGCGATGATAGAGAAATTGCGTGAATCGACCGCGGCGGCCGCGGCGATGGACGCAAGGCTCAGGGCCACCGTGCTGGAGCTCAAGAAGGCACAACAACAAAAGAGCCCTCCGCCTAATGCGGCCTCGTCTCCCGCGGCTTCCACTGCCGAAACAGCGTCCCACACAAGCTCTGTCTCCGAGACCATGTCCGAAAAGCTGAAGTCTTACCTCGATGATCGGTTGGCACGGTTTTCGCAGGACATGCGGATGTACTACAACAGAAGACTCGAACAGAGGCTCGACGAGGTGCTTGCGGACTACTCGACTATCGAATACATGGAACAACATGTATGGTTGGAGTTTGGGGAGTTGGCTGTCGATTTTGTAGACGAACATGAGATGTGGGATGCTATCCAGGAAGCAGTGGACAAGGTGGAAGAAAACATGCGAACTAGGATGCTTGATGCCTGGACGTGAAACATGACGTACTGAAGATAGTTACCGAGTTTAATATATATATGCGGATCAAGCAAAACCTCCCAACGAAATCAACAATTGTTTATCGAACCTTCTTCTCCGACCGAAAGGCATTGGTTTTACTTCGTCTCAGTCTTTTGTCCACCTAGTCATGTGTGTACTAGGAGTACTCTTCTGATGAGGTTGAACTAATTACTAGCCCTACCTAGGTACTTTTGCCATCACTCTCCTCATCACCGTCCATCGTCTCGCTGTCCGTCACCTCACCGCTGTCCGTTATCTTACCACTACCCTTCGTCTGACCACCACCCTTCGTGCTCTTCTTCCTGGCTAAGGGCTCCTTGGAAGCCGGAGAAGCATAACTCCTTGTCTTCCTCCCGATTTGCTGTCGTGCATTCATGTTTTTGTGATCCTTTGGACGTTTTGCTGCACAGTCCTCATCTTCCAGAGGACCAGCTACTTCCTCTTTTGTAATCTTCCCTGCTTTGCCCCACGGTGTGCTTCTCTTTCCACTGTGATCCCTCCTTTTCAACATAGCAGACTTGGGTTCCCGACCAACAGTTCCTGCCTTGGTGCTCTTCCCTCTACGGCGCGTCTTCTGCCTTGATACGGTAGACTCCTCAGAATCAGAGATATTCAGAAATAGGCCGGTTTCATGATTGTCAGAGCCTGAGTCCTGGGCAGTAGAAGGCTCTGCATCCCTTCGTTTTCTAGGGCGAGCACCAAGGTCTTCACAAGCATCACCTGAAGTTTTGCCTGGTCTGTTGGATCTCCTCTTAGTTCTCCCCCTCCTGAGCTCATCTCCTGTTGATCTGTCAAAGTCACGGTCTCCGTGTAAGTTGATCTTGCGTGTGGATTTGCCATGCTCACTTCCACCTATTGGGATGTCCTTGACTTGTTCCCCCGTCAGCAGATCTATATCTACACGACGAGGGATAATCATGAGCCCGAGAAGGTACTGGTGCTTTTGCTCAGTGGTGAGTTCAATCTGTCCTTGCGTAGAGTCAATCTGTAGCTTCATGTGGATGATTGACTCCCAGAATGCCTCTATAGACTTAATCTGGTCACGAATATTAAGCAAAGACTGGAAAGAACTGATGATCATGAAATCAGCAATTTGGCGTTCCTTCTCGGATTCCGACATTTCGAACACTATTTTCATAGCATGGGCCTCAGCCTCAATCAATGTGAGGTCCTTTCTGAAATGGACAGGCATAATGAGTAAGGGGTGTTAATTACTTTATATATTAAGGTAAGTATTGTAAAGGTACTAATGCTGTGTCCCTCTTTCTTTAATAATATTCTCAAAAGTCATTAAATACATTGAAGATGGAGCTAAAGTTTGTTTTAAGCACCTTAGATAGTTGTTAATTTTCAATAACTACTTATAAGCAGTATTATAAAATAAGGAATTAAATCTTAATATGTTGGAATTAGTTATAGGTTAAATTTAGAGTACTTGAAACTAATATCTAAACACTGCCCATGCCTCGAAGGCTACACTCTAAGAGTCAACAGCACATACCTGCACCTTTAATCTGTGACAGAGTATGGCTCAAGATAAGCGACTATGTGTTTATCCTACATCTTTTTGGCATTGTGGTCGCGTGCAGGTAGCGATTGTACGAGCACATTACGACCTGTCACAGCTAGATAACATTGTAATCCAATTGCACAGTGGCATTGTGCATAACGGTCATGGCATAAGCAATAGTATTCCTAAGTAACATAACTATATATATCTGCTAAGTTGATTTCTCTACTCTGACTATGCTCCTGATCTATGTTGGCTCCTACTGCCCCTGCTATCCAACCCAATATCGTCAGTTTTTGCCACCTTAGATAGGGGTTTATGCCGAGCCGGCTTCGGCTTCCTCATTCCAGGCCGCCCCGTTCCTTGTTTACGTTGTTTGACAGCTTATCTTGTGAGTGCTCATCAGCTATTCTTAAGGAAGCTTGTGTTTAAGTCATGCCTGCCTACTTAGGTAGCAGAGCCGTTTTAAACAAGATGTGGGTTGAATCACGGTATCTTACATTTGCTACATGTTAAATTTAGTTGCTTTATTCCTAGTCCCGTATGCTTACTTATGTGGAGCTGTATACTGGTCCCTTTATCTAGTGCTTTGACATGGGCTAAATTTAGACTACGCTTAAAATAGACGACACACTACTTATACCTTAAAGTCCGCTTTTTAAAAGTCAGCAGCGTGAGCCCAATGCGTGAGAGCCCGTCACTGCACAGCGCCGACACTGAGTAGGGCTCCGTTTACCGATCACTCCCTAAGTGGTCTCCTTGACAGACGTTGTCGAGGCTCTGGACCGCTTGAGACATCGACAGATTCTTCAACGTCTTTAAGGCTAATGAATAGAGTCCCGCTGGCTTGAGAAGGGATATTTGCCGTCGTGTATTCATTCTTTCGTGATCCTTTAAATTTTCCTAAACAGTCCTTATCTCCTAGGGCCAGTGACTTCCCTGGCTATAACCTTCCCTGCTTTGTCCCATCGTACTTCTCTTCACACTATGCTCCCCCTGCTTCGACATAGGAGACTCAGAACCCTGACCAACATTGCTTGCCTTGTTTCTCTTCCTTCTCAAGACCTCTTCTCAAGACCTCTTGTTGATTCTAGCCGCGATGCGAGCAGAACGGCGAGTACCTCGTGTTGCTTGCTGTTTTCTATTTCGTTGAGCTGCTTTTAGGCGCGTTGAACGCCGTACATTGCCTGGAGCGCACTTGACGGGCGTAGCCACTTTTGTAGGATGACTGGCTCGCATAACCTCAGCGGCCTCAGTGGTCTCCGCGGCGTCGGCGGCCTCGGCTTCCCTCGCAGTGCTTGAGGCTTCGAGGAGAGCCTTAAGTACTTCAGCGGCCTCCATTTTACGGCGTTCTATGGTATGGTTAACAGGCTTTTCAGTGTCTTCCAGGGAGATATACTCTAACCTTGGTGGTGCCGACACAACTCTTTAAACTTATGTGAAAGAATATTTGGAAATTCATCCTCGCTACTAGACTCATCATCAACCAGGGTCTTAGTATATATGCCCTGGCTTATATAGGCTGGGGAGGCTCTGCTTGTTGGCATGACTTGGTATGTGTGGTGTTTTGGTGGCAAGGGTTGAAAATATTGAAGGGAAGAAAGGAGTGAGCCCCGACCTGGAGGGGCGGCCTCCTCTTTATACCTGAGACCCTATGCCTGCTGCCGGCTCTCCTGGTGTGTATCCCGTGACATGGTAGCAGGGCAGCTCTTTGTTTCAAGGAGGTGTTCACAAACTTGTGGCTGTGCCACATGCGAGGTTTGTCTGGTGAAGGGAAGGCGACTGCATGCCTAGTGTTTCTTTGGCAAGGCAGGTTATGTTTGGGTCTCAAGATAATGGAAGGCAGTTCTATGATAACTACTTAACATCACGAGCGATAAAAGCAGGCTCTATAGAAGCAGATAACCAGAACGCTACCTATATTTAAGCACATCTTCCTAATATCTTATAGTTAACCTACCTGCGATACTCAGCATGCCGTTCCCTCAGAGCTCTTCCGAGCCCTGCCGCGGCGCAGCCCCCTGTTCAGTAACAGACTCATCAGAAGTTGAGTCCTTGATAGTAGCAGACTCAGACTGCTCGTCACTAGAGCTGTCCTTGGCGCTCTTCCTGACTCCTCGCTTCGCGCTATGGCGAGCCAACCACTTTCCCGGGGGCTTCCTCTTTTTCGATAGAGTAGACCCCTCGGCTGTAGAATCCTCGGCTGCAGACTCTTCGGCTGCAGACTCCTTGGCTGCAGAATCCTCAGCAGCAGGCTTCCCAGAAACAGAGTCCTTAGAGATTGAGTCCTCCCTAGTCTGAATCCTCCGCTGCGAAGTACTCGTCTTGGTATTCTTCCTCCGGCGTGTGCTCGATGAAGTAGACTCCTCAGAAGCAGAAGATTCAAGTGGGCTTGCTGTATCCTCGTCCTTGCTCTGAAGTTGTAAATAACTTTCTTTAAAAAGCTTTGGCAGTCTTCTTCCCCAGTCCGGATCATCTACCGGGTGAGACAGTATTTCCATCTCTATTATCTTCCTTATTTCCTTCTCCCGTCGTAGTAAGTTGTTGTCTGGCTCCCTTGATGCAGCCGAGTCCTCAGAAGAAGAAGAAGTTGAGTCATCCATGGTAGCAGACTCAGACTCAGACTCCGTGGCGGTCCTCCGTCGTCGGTACGCACCGGACTTTTTAGAAGCATGCCCGAAGTCTTTACCTGTCCTGGTAGATCTCTTGGTCTTTCTCCCTCGCTCTGGTTCATTTCTCCCTCCGCGGCGTATCCCCTTGTTCGGTATAGAGGATTCCGCAGAAGAAGAAGAATCCGAGTCCTCAACAGTAGTAGTCTTAAGCTTCTTGAGCTCCTGAGTAGCCTGCCCCCTAAGCCGAGACTGCACCTCTCTTTCGAACTCCTCATCTGACTCTGTGTCTTGCCACTTAGCAGGTTTACGCCCTTCCCTTACTTTTTCCATTTCAGCGTCTGACGCGACATTCAACAAACCATTTTCTACACGCTGAGGGATGATACTAACACCGAGAAGGTGTTGTCTTAGTTCCAGTTTGGACTTGTATTTTAAACCCTTGTGGGGCGCCCTGTGGTACTTTCTCTTTTGCGCCATTATTGATCTCCAGAATCTCTGAAAAGATATAATCTGATTGTCGACCGCAAGGAAATACTTGAAACCGCGCCACATGAATTTTTCAAGGCTGTGTTCCATCTCGGACTCTGACATGCGGCGGATTTTGTTAATGGTAGCAATCTCATCCGGCGTAAGTGTCTTTGGCGGATGTATCTTGCTGAAGAGTGCGAGCTTCCTCCACGACCGCGAAAGGTCCTGCGGGCAATCGACAGATTTTGGGTCCTCAAATTCAGCCATTTTAGTCGAAAAGTAATGGTAAATTGAGATCAATGTGAAAGTTGTTGTCAAAGTTACAATAGGGCTTAGCGTTTTGCTTTAAAGATCACATTACAAGTCAAGGATTCTAAAAGAATAGTTACTTATATATGAAAAGTCTGCTCGACAAACAGTAATTAGGGCTCAACAGTTAGTTGTAAGTCTTATTTTAACTTAGATGGTTAAAATAAAATATAAAATCTTGTGCCTAGCCTAAGGTTAAATTTAGCCCACGTTTAAAATAGACGAACAACCATCACCAATACCTCGAAGTCTGCACTCTAGCGTAAGCGCTATTTGGGATAGTGTTATTACACAGCGCCGATCGATGGGCTCCCTTCTCCGGTCACGCCACAAGTAGTATCCTTGCACAGCTCTAGACCGCGGGAGATATCAGCGGATTCTTCGACATGTTTTGCAATGCGTGGGACAAGTCGACGCCCTGGGTCACAGCCCATGGGTGGGTTCGCACCGGAAAAGGTGAGCTCTACACAGAGTGTGCTTGATGCCGGAGATATTGCGTTTCTACATATGTAAAGACCGTAACCCCTGCCAGATTGGTTTGAACCGCAGACAACGCCATACGCAGATAATTCACATAACAAGGAGAGCATTACCAACCCCCCTCCAACATCCAAATAACCCGAAACAAGTCAATGTAGAAACATGCCTTAGATTGAGAAGACATAGCACGGCATGACTAGTGGACAGAGTCCCGCGGGCTTGAAAAGGGATTTGTAGTGCTCCCGTTGTCTGCTGTGTCGGGCTGGGGCCTCTTTATTCGGTTGACTGTAGGACGTTGTGAAGAAGGAGTTGTGCGTCGGCCCCACTCGAGACGGGGATTACCTTCGCCTTTTGATGAAAGGCTCTCGTGTTCGGGGGGTGGCTCGGTCTTGTCGAGTCTCTGGCGGACTGGAGCTGGCTGCGGTGCAGTGGGCTGCTGTGTGTGGAAGCGTTTCCTTTGGGATGATGGCTGAGTATCCAGTTCCTGAGCTCTTTCTGCGAATCTGATGAAGTTGTCTTCGTTCAGACCAAATATGCTTTCTAGTAGGTCCACAATCTGGGCCGGATGCCCTAGGACTGCCGTGTCTTCACCGCTTTCGTCAGCATCATGATCCATCTCGATATGCACGTCGTAGAAGCTGGCGAGATAGATCAATATCTTTCGCAGGCGGTCCGTGCTAGGGTCTCTGAGGGCGTAAAACTCTCTGGCATGCCGAGGAAATAGGGCACGATCAGGCTCGACAATTTTCTGGCTGATGGGGTCGTAGACAAGTGGAGCGCGAAATGGCAGGATTGGGTTCTTCAAGGAGCCATTCATATGCGCGGTTCTGACATTCCTGATCTCGGTTCGGTTTTCCCTGATCTCGGTTCGAAGCTCTCTGATCTCAGTTCGAAGCTCGTTGACATCAGTCTTAAGGGTTCCGACATCAGTCTTAAGGATTTCAACATCGGTCTTGAGGGTTTTAACATCGGTCTTGAGGAGTTCAACATCGGTCTTGAGGGTTTTAACGTCGGTCTTGAGGAGTTCAACATCGGTCTTGAGGGTTTTAACGTCGGTCTTGAGGGTTTCAACGTCAGTCTTGAGGGTTTTGACATCAGTCTTGAGGGTTTCGACGTCAGTCTTGAGGGTTTCGACATCGGTCTTAAGGGTTTTGACGTCGGTCTTAAGGATTTCTGTATTAGTCGTGACGTTATGAATGTTGTTCCTAATTGATGAGAACTCCTTTCTCAAACTCTCATCCTGTTTGTTGCGTAGGTCCGCATACTCGTCAAGAGTGAGGTAATGTGGACTAGTGGTCGCCATGTTGACAGTGGCGTTGACTGTGAGTGTCTTTCGCTGCCTGCGGGCAGCGAGTATCACCTGTCGCGGTGGTGTAGCTGTAAGCATCAGTCGCATCGCCGATACCCAGGCCGGACTGAATTCCCAAGACGAAAAGTGGACAACACGGTATAATAAGAGTCGTAGATGTAGATAGTAGGAAGATGTGGGGTTTGACTGTGGGTAGGTTGTTGTTTGGAAGTCGAAAGTTGAAGTCAGCCCAGAACTGACCCAATGAGCTCCGGCGGGGTGCGAATAGGACATGGGCACTGTATTTTGGCACGCCGAAAGATCGTCACTGCACTCATTCTGTGAGGTGCGTGGGACCCGTCCATGTGCGGATACCAAGTCCACGCAGGATCTCGGCATTCGGTGTCCTGCAAGCACGGGCCAACTTCGTCCAAGAAGCGGGGCCATGTGTGGATCTTGGACTCGTTCTACAGTAACGAGCACGTTAACCGCCAACCTCACCTACCATGCTTCCAGTCTTCTCACGCACACATAAACTTGAGTTTCAGACTCTGCGGCAATTTTTAGGCAGCCATGGAGACATTGCATGTGGCGCCCTTCGAATCGAGTCGAGCTGCCCGACCACAACCCAAGGCGTGGTAGTGCGCACAGAGCATCGACTGGATCCCACGACTATAAGACCCTGGACCGATTTCGAGCAACAGCAAGCAGTCCTGGCAGCAGAACGAGTGCGCGACCCATTCTCCCTGTGTTCTCGTTGCTGACTGACGTGAATCGCCCGCAGTGTCATCCCACAGATCGCCGGGTCGAAACATGCATGGGACGACAAGCTCGTCGAACCACATGCAATTTTAGGCTCAGACGACACGAACGGTCGCCCCAAGACGCATAACAGACACGGGGCATGAGGCAGAAGTGCAAGAAGAGGAGGCGTCAAGCCTATATGTTTCACGCGAATGGGCTGAGCAACGACGACCTACGGTTCCTGTAAATTTAAGGGAGCCAAGGCTGCGTTAGAGGAGAAACAACCAGCACTCAACGTCAGCATTGACCAAGCTTTTCAAGGTCATCATTCCGCACAGAGCGGCGCAGAGGCAGAAAGACACGGAAACGACATTTTGAGACTCGGCTCCGAGACGCATCAGCGCCGCCGCGACCGGACGAGATGCCGCGTCCTGTTTGTCTACGAGCTCATGGCACCGCACAAGCTTCCTTGGAGTATGATAGCAGAGGCAGGGCTGGCAGGCAACTCTAGAACCCTCGATATGCGACGAGATGTTTGGGAGAGGGATCATGAAGACGCGATACACGGTAGTCAAGACGGAGACGCATTAACTGTCACCAGCTCCACGACTTCATGATCAGAAAGCGAACAAAGTAAGCATTCCTGTACGGTCTTGTGTACCGGAAATGGACTGAGGCTAGGGCTGACTGACTGTTTAGGTATGGCTACATCAGCACGTCGGATACCTTCATATTCCTACGTCTCGAACAGCACACTCCCTCGATTGTCGAATACTACACGGTTCGTCGGCCACAACCAGGCTCTAGCCTGCCGCCCGAGATTTTCTTGGCGCTTCTTTCGGCAGCAGACACTCGTAAACTATCAGACGTGATAGACCTGGTCAGAAGACCAACCATCGTTGGCCCGTGAGAAGGGCCCTGCCAAAGCCGCCGCCAACACACGCTTCCCTACCCTCGCCAGCTAAAGAATTGTCGATGCCCAATTGCATTCGAGCAGGCGCTCTTTTGCACAACTAAGTGTATCTTAGACGTGGTCATGGGTCGGCCGATGGACGCAAATTGCCCTAACAAGCACGGGCATCAGCACCCATCTGCCGCGGACTTTCGACAGGCACTCCGTGAGCAGCTCTCCCGATCTTCGTCAGGTCGCCAACACCTGTGGTTAGGCTGGTCAGGATCCGCAAGTTCCCTCTTCAAAGTCCGACTCGCTTCACTAGGATATGTCATTGTAGCCAAGGCTACCTCCACCGGATGCCGCCTTGCCGAGGACGAGGAGCATATTTATACCGAATACTTGCGTCCCGCACAGGAGATTGGCGTGGTCTCGCCACCTTGGAATCATAGATCTACCTAGACGATGGGACGACTGTCTGAGCGGATATAAGTTTGGGTCTTTGCTACTACTTGGCTGTGTTCCGGGACAGCCGATTGTCAACGTGGCACCTCTTCTAACGCAATCGTCGCCGTCCGCGTCGTCAACTGCCGACCCAGATGACGGCCACGCCTCGTTGCCTCACCAGCAGGAGCCAGCGAAACAGCCATTAGCTGCGGTTTGCAGGGCGGCGATACAGACAGCCTTCGGAGTCATCCATCGCCTTGGTGTGCTCCACGGCAAAGCAGGATTGCGCAACATTATTCTTTTACCAAGGGGGTCAACCAGCCTAGGTCAGGTAGTACTTGTTGATTTTGGGAACGCTATGCTTTGTGATGAGTGGTGGGAGAGCGTGCGACGAAAGAGGGCACGGAAACGAAGGCATCGCAAGCAGGCTCGGCTACAGCAGCAGGACGCATCAATAGCCGACCAACAAGCAGACTTTCAAGTAGCTTGTAGGCGTGAGATGCTGCGGTGCCTCGATGAGTTGGAAAGAATATGTATTTAATTAACAGTTGGTAGGAATGAGTAATGCCGATGAGAAGCATTCCGAAACCGGGGCGTACTCTCAGCATCGCGCTCTCGACCGGCGGCTGGTTCGGCGATCACGCTCGCGATCTACCACTGCATCTACACGTTCGGGTACTGCAACACGCTCGAGACCGACCATTTGGTAAAGGCTGGCCCAAGACGCAAGATGACGACTGTACGCCGTCACGAAAGCCCTGACCTCCCGCCTCAGCACTCACAACAGTTGGTGAACCATCTTTCGTACGGGCTACTCGCCTAGTGGCACTGAGCATCAGGCAAACGGTCCGTACATTTCAGTCACGCATTCCATGTGGAGCCTTGGATTGCCAGTAATCTACTCGCCGCACGTTTGTCATGATTGTGTGGCCACTTTCCATACATAGAACGGGCAGTGAATCTATTTGTGTTCCTCTCAACTCTTAGAAGTATAATTTAACTCTAGTCATAATTTACTCGAATCCACGGTTTCCCATCAAATGACCTGGCCACATGAACTTTAAAGTCGACTGTGGAATTCTCACCCTCATCTTCATAGTGCTGTGCGAGCACTTGCATCATCTTGGATTGAAGCCGTTGGTTTGAAAGTTTAGCGGCAGCAAGTTTTGACTCTGCACTGTCGCTCTCATCTATATCAAAGAAAGGGCAAACTATCCATTCATGTTCTTCCAGGTCTTCTCTTTCATACTATGCTTTATAAAGCTCACGGAATTTCAAGTAGTCTACTATGGACTCATTTGGCTTCGTCAAAGAACATAGTCCAAGGCCAAATCTCCAACACAAAACGGATCTTAGCTATAGAATTACTCTAGCTGGGACACCAAAGCCTAACAAGTTACCATAATAATCATAGTAGTTTTTCGCCTCAATAACTGTCTCCCAGGCCCGCCAAAAAGTTTTAATCTTATTTTTTTAAGCCCTTATATCGTCCTTCAATATTCAAGACATCGTTTCGGCAAATAGCTTATCTTATTTCCCTTTTCTAGTAGCTTTCTTTATCTCTTTGAAGTCCCGCCGCTTGTACCAGGTAAAACTTTTATCTTCCTCTTCTGTACCGGGATTTAGAGCCCAGTCAGACTTCTTCTTTTCCCTCCCTAGATTGAGTAGCTTAGGATTAGGTTCATCTTTATTATATGAATACTGTAGATCCCAGTAAAATATTAGTTCCACTAGGTCTTGATTAGCTAGCATTGTAAATGAATTTAAGGGGAAAGAATATAGGTTCTAATAATTATAACTAGTTCCGTAAGTCTTAGAAGTAAGTAATAGCTAATATAAGATAGGATAGTAAGTAGTATATATATAGATTTGTTTTCTATCTTCTTTTATTGTGGATTCCAGCTTAATAGAGGAACTAAAATAATATACAAAGTCTATATAAATTTGTTTTATACTTATTATTAATGTTATTTTTTATTTTTTATTTTTATTATACTCCTATCTATAAGCCTTTAATTTTAACTTCTAACTTTAAACTCCTATATCTCAGCCATGAAATAACTCTATAAGTATACTTATTAGTTTTAACATCTTGTAAGCGCTGCCCCTATTGTTGACGAGCGATCTATGGACTATGCCGCCGTTACGCTGGCTCATAACCGCGTACATTGCCCACCCGGATCGATATGTTACTGCCGCTATGATAGAATGTGTTGAAAATGCCCGACTTGCATAATTACTGGTAACTAACATGGTAGTAGTAAAAAATCTATTTACCGGCAACCCATTAAGCTTTATAAGTCACACAAAAAGGATGCAAATATCATAAGCCTAAGTAGAACGGCATAGTAGAGCTTAGATTAACACACCTCTTTATAACCTTCTTATATCCTACAGAGGTATTCAATAGTTATAAAATAAAAGATTAAAATTAAAAGTATATAGATTAAAACGTTATATACCTTACTGCTAAATAAATCTTATAGTAATAGATTCCTAATCTAATTACTAGTAAAATAAAAATTAATTACTTATTTCCCTAAAGACTTAGTTCCCACATACCGCCACCTTGTAATAGACCTAGTACCCTGATCGGCTCAAATACACACACCAGAAAACTCTATAATCAATCAGGATCAAGCTTTCTAATCCCTGTAATAGAGCTCGTCGATAAACCGAATCTGGGCCCATACCTAGAGGAAATCATCAAGATCGTGAAACGCCATAATTTTCCAAATATCACCCGCTATGTCAGGTGTCCCCATTTTAAGCACCTTTTCAATAAGATCCACCTCAGAACCCCTAAGTAGAGTATCAGGGTTATCCTTAGACTTAATCCATCTCTCTGTCAGCTCCTGTGTACAATCATGAGTCATTTTGAATAAGGTTTATTGTTAATTCAATACTAAAGAAATAAGTAGTAGAAAACTGGGTAATAAATAGGGCAAACTATGGGAGAACAACGCATAACTTTATGCTATATTTTTATTTATTTTTTAACATACTGACTCTTATAAACTTTTAATTTTAACCTTTTAAATTTAACATCCTAACTTCTCAATTATACAGAAATACGCATCTGGCTCTAGGGCCACAAAAGCACTATCATAGCTGTGCTGGGTAAAGGCGTTGCCCGTGATGTTGACCCAGAGCGATCCATTAACTGTGCCGTCACATTATACTCACAACCGCTTACTACGCGCTTACTAGCACGTACAAGTTCCATGGTTGCTAGTAGCCAATGTATACTAGTAGGCGCATGCAAAATTAGTTACAATACTCGTCTACCAGCAGCTAACTCTGTTGCCAATTACCAGTAGAGGCTCGCCGTTGTATTATTTACCGGCAGCCAACTTACAGACATCTACTGGTGTCGAGATGCGCTTACTTCTCGTATTCATATTCTTGCTGTACCCCGCTCGTCGGCAGAGATAAGTGTTCGGGAACCTGTTTGGGACAAGCTTCTTGACATATTTTCATGCGAAGATCCTGAATTCAAGTGGACCAAGGAGCCCTCCAGACCAAATACAATTATAAGAAGAGGAGGTACAAGTTATTTATCACCTTCTTAAGTCATGACAGCATATACAACAAGGCAACCTCTGATGAAAAAGTTTGCAAGGATATACACCACGATAGGTCAGAGATGCTAGAGGTCTAGAACTCTCGACATGCGACGACATATTTGGGAGAAGAATGCTGAGATGCACAGTAATCAAGATAACTCATTCTATCACGATAGGGTTGGAGAACCTCGAGCCTGGGCGATTGGCACCGTCTCTTGCCTTGGGTCTTTTCGTGACCCGATACCCGCCCGCCTTGCCTGGATGCTGGACGCCGCGGCCGCGCTCCACCTGAGATGCTTTGTTTCGACCCATGGCAGCCAGCCTTTCGCGTACGTCTCGCACCCATACGTCGCATCGGGCCGAAACATGGTAATCCACAAGCATCCTCCACTCTTTCGAACCGTTCCCAGCGATGTCGACATAGACCACAGTTCCCCCGTTCGCGGAGACGCTTCGAGCAAGCCTTTTAGCCAGAGCTCTCGGGCCGTCTTGGCGAAGGCTTGTACCGAGGACAAGTAAGAGGTCCGCAGTGCGCTGATCGCGGTTCACGAAGCTCGCGATGTCGTCTGCATGGGGATGCTCCTCACCGGAGTGGACAATGGCTGGACGGAGGTGACCTACAGGAATCTTGCGACTTCCCGCAGCCACTCTGGCGTCACAGGCAGTCAAACAATAGGGACAGGCTATCAGCTCTCCGCGAAGTATGGCCGCCTCGTACCCGGCCCAGTCACATGTGCACGAGCAGAGGTCGCAAACAAGGTTTCGAAGGCAGCCGTGAAGTTGAACGCAGCCTGCTGGCAACATGCCGACCGTGTCTTCCAAGCAGTCGATGTTCTGTGTATAGAGGCGGCGTAGTCTCCCCATATCCTGGAGCTCTTTGACGAAGTGGTGTGTAGCTGTCGGCTGAGCGTTCCGTGTGGTTTGGCGCAAGGCCAATGCAGTCTTTAGGACTTGAGACCTTCTATCTGGGTCGCTGAGAGACGTCACACAGAAGACCCTGCCTCTCGCGTACAAGCCCTGTTCTGAATGGAAGTCCTATAGCTGTTAGCCAAAGTCTTGCGCAGTGAAAGGTCCCAGAACAAACCGGAATACCTGCGTCCGTGCTGATCCCGGCGCCTGCGAGGACGACAACATTTTTGGCTTGGGCTAGAGCTATCGCGACTGCTTGCAGGTCCTCGTCCGACCCGGGCTCGACTTCGATCATATTGGTCTCAGAAACGGGAACACACTGAACTGTGGAGATGGGAGAAGGAAGGAGGGATGGAGGGCGCAAGAAGATGGCGAGGCTGGGGTGCTTTAAATAAGGAGGAGATGGGCCGTCAAAGCGGCCACTTCCATAGGTCACTTGCAATGGGATGAATGGAGTCCTGAGGGATTTGGGCAGGCAGAAGCTTGTTTTTGGCCACAATCGATGTACAGGTGGTTTTATCGCCGATGACACTACTCCTAGGCATGCGACTGAATGCTCTGCCGACGAGCGGGGTACGACAAGGCTACAATGACAGGAAGCGGAGGGTTGGTTCAACGATTGACCGAGGCAACAAGCGCCTTTCCCTCAAACAAGCATTTAACTTGAAAACCGATTCCTAGCAAAACACAAGTGGATTAAACTTGATCACATATAACAAAAGATGGCATATATCTCCCATTTTGAAATCATTGACCCAAATGCCGCGCTACGGCCACGACCCACTCCACTGGCATGAGAGTCTTCAAGCACGGACATTGCTGGCTTTGTGTCTACTGGTAGATAAATGTCTAGATGAAGGGAATTCAGATTCCTAGTCCTCAATCGCGCGGTGTGTGGTAAAGGTGGTTGCTAGATCGTCCAATTTCTACAACGGAATCACTACTATCTCTTCTGCAATGATTTCGTTGGCCTTGATGACCTCCGCGCCGTCGTTCACGTTCATGGCATTTTCCCTGGTGACAGCTTGGAAAGGTTTCGATACTTTAGGGTTGCTGAGCCGTACTGGAGAGTCCTGTCGAACCAGATCCTTCACATCCTCCTTGTCTTGGCCCTCGTTGGCTCGGGTCAAATTCTTCCCCCTTCTCTTGAGTCACACCGAGAAGGCGTAACGAGTGCACAAGTCGGACATATGCGTTCTGGGCCTTGCTTTGGTCCCAAGCTCGTCTAATGACGACCTTAATTTCCAACTTTCTCCAGGCCCTGATGGGGATGGGACGTAGCGCTGCAGCAGTATAGCTGGCAAAGATATGCATCGCTGCTTTCCCCAGGTGTACCAAGTAGTCCTCGTCTTTTCCCTGCATCCACTCTGCTGTAATCATTTTCAGCTCATAGAAACCCCAAAGGGTTTTAGCTGCCTGCCGTTCTAGTCCACGGTGATCGAATTCCTGAACGGAGTTATGTACCGACTTGTTTTTTGTATGAACCCATGCTATGAGAAGGTTTTTGGGATCTGTTGGGCCGATACCTGCCCCAAGGAAGCGAAGAGCTCTTGAAATTCCCTGATATGAGTCCAGTTTGGGAGGAGCTTGTCGGCCCATAGTCAACTTGTATACAAGGTCGATATGCTTCTTTGTTGTTTGTTTGAGCTTATAGTAGTTTTGGAACAAGGTTTTGGTATAGATTATATAGCTTTCAGCTCTCTCTGTTCTGGTGTTGCTTGTGGATTCCATTGTGTCAAAGTCTTAAATGATGTCTGAGGTCTGGTCTCTGTGAGTGAGGGGAAGAGGTGAAGAGAAGTGGCTTCCTGTGTCAGCATCAGCGGGACTGGGCGGCTTTATTTCGAGCTGCCGCATAAGCAGATTTTTATTACCCTTTATTTCTGGCTGCGATTGGCGCACCAGTCCATCACATCAATTGGTCCACGTATCCTTTTTCCACTTGGTAAAAGCGGCACAGAATATGCGGCGGCGGCGGCAGTCCTTCTTCCTCAATCGCCAGATGAGTACGATCGGGGTCCTGGGGGACAGGCGTGGAAACCTTGAGCAGTAGACCAGATCAGTTCGCACTTTTCCAGGTTCAGGTCTTGTCAATCTTGGCCAGTCACAGCCAAAGGCTTTGTAGCCGGCAGAACTGGTCACCAGGGAAGCGGCGGGCATATCTGGCGTCCGCGAGGCAACGCTGGCAATCAGAACCAGATGTCGGCGGCTAAGTGAGGGGAAATGAGGACCACTTATGCGGCCAGAAAGCCATTCGGTTACAAATGCCAGGATGCCATGCAGCTCTGTGAGCCTTTATTGGCGCCCATTTTGCGCCCGGCCAGTCTTGCCGAGATGGCCACCGATGCGTGACTTGAATTGACGGGCCATTTGCGCGGGCCGATGCTGAGGCAGCCACAATTGCCAGGACGTCTTGTAAGTGGCCGCCTATCCTCTGATCAGGCTGAATCTCACGTGCGCCAATGTTGCCAGGATTCTCACAAGTGCGGCCTGTTTTGTGGCCGGGCTGAGCTTTTCGGGCGGCCATGTGCATTATGCTCAAGACAGGATGAGCCACCCATAGGCGCTTCAGGAGCCACTACTGGCAAACGGCAACGAATCGGCTGCCGGTAGACGAGCATAATAATGTGTTTACCAGTCAGCCCCCCGCGAGCCACTACTGACAAAGGGCATTGAATTCCTGCTGGTAGACAAGCATACTCTCATTTAGTTGACTGGTAAACATATTATGCTCGCCTACCAGCAGCGGATTTGGATGGGTACTGTCTCGAGCAATAACGGTTTCATCTACTAGTACACAGCAAGCTTTTATCATGGCGGCGCCTTAACATGCCGATCGGACGGGCAGTGCGGTGCGACACAGTGGCTCCGCGGGGAACGTCGCCTTGCCGGGACGGACAAAACCGTGAGTCACGGTCAGGCTTGGGCAATTCGGTCTTGTCTTGCACCTTTACCACTATACGGACCGCGTACGTCTTCGGAATCCATATGGATTAAGAACGAGAATAGATTCATTGATAAAGAGGAACTATTTAACTTATTGGACGAGGCTGCGCCCGGTGCGTATCCATTGAAGGATAAAGGTCAGGTTAAGTACCCATACTAGTAGGAACGAATACCCAACAGCCCATCGAATCCATGGCCATAGAGACCTCTTCTGCCGGACGCCTAGCGCCAGATCGCACGACTCGGGGTATAAATCCTTGTATACAATTCTGTTGAATGTTATGGGGTTCAAGTTGGTAGATTCAGCCAACGGCTGAAGAAGCTCCAAGAGCCATACGTCACAACCATCAAGAACCGCAATGACCAGGTATGAAAGACATTCCAAGTAACAGAAGTTGCCGCCCCAGAGCTCATCAGAAATCCGTCTGGTAACCTCTTCGATGCCCCCATTACTTGTTCCATCCCATGCCGTCAGGAGGTAGGGGTCCATATCATAGAGACTGTCGTAAACATCCAAGAATTTCATGCGGACAGAGTCTCCTGGTAGGCGGTGCTCCTCTTTCGACCCTTGGTTGTGTCGTTGTATAATAAGCTCGTCTTCCTCAACTCTCTGATCAAGCCGGTTGCGAATGGTGTCGACAGAGCGTAACCACTGAAGAAGCTGGGGCACTTCTTCATGGTTTTGCCAGAAGCGTTCTCCTAAGGACTGATAGAGTCTGTCTTGGATATCCTGCCTGGTAGTTTTAGGTTGCATAGCGGTTGGTTTGATTTGATATCAGGTCAAGTAGGTTAAATCAGGTAGAATAGAGGGTCGACGACATTACTACAGTCAGACCGATAAAAGGCGGAAGATCGAGCCTTTTAATAGTTACGAAAGATATCCGGATACTGAGGGATTAGCATTTACAAAACACTGTTCACCATCAATATACCGTTCCTGGGATAGTCCTGTGGTGTGACGGGCAGACGTGTATAGTCTTTGACCGTCTGGACAGAATACAAGCAGCCACTCATGTTGTTGTGGTAGCCGCCATCTACAGTTCACGATGCATCATGTGAGAGACGTCAGGAGGCTGCGAAAAGGCCATCCTCAGTCACTGACCACCAGTACCCCTTCAGAGTCCTCGGGGACAATTCTGGCTCCTTCCCGCGCCTTGGACGCGACGAAAACAGGCTTCCATGAGGTAGGATCAGTATCACAAGTCAACGAGGCGCAATTTCCGGAAATACCGACCTATGGGGTTGGACCAAGTGTACACTGCGCCGCAATGCGACGATAAGGCTGGGCCACTCAGAAGTTCTAGGACTGAATGGAGGTACCATTGCGGGGCCATCGTGCCATTTGCGCTGGATCGACAAGATTCGCCGCAGGGTGAGGCATTTACGAGGACACATGGCCAAGGAGGACTCAACGCCAAATGCCTCATGATAGGTAAATACAGGGTGTCCCACATGGTGTGGGTTACATGACAGGGTCAACGACCGAATCTAGGCACCATCACGAGGCCATCGTGCGATTTGTGCATACGCGCTGGATCTTTAAGGTTTGCCAGAGGTCGAGAAAGCGACGGGACCGCAAAGGCAAGGACGCCTCGACACAAGTTGCCTCATGATGGGGGAATTGCGTCTTAGGAGGTGTGGGTTGCATGGCAGGGTCAACCCGAGTTGTGAACCCTCGCAAGTGTGTCTCAGGCGGTCCTTCGTGTGTCGAGCGCGAATTATTATGTCCAGTTCTATCACCTGTGTGAGGTGTGACGGACCCTACAAGGTGCAGCGTCTGCATCACAAGCGACCACGCAGCCGCCGTATCCGAGCTTGAAAGGCTGCAACGTTCTCACCAGCGAAGGCGCTTATGTCACAGATTTGTGATGGGTAGGGAGCTTCAGTATTCCTCTCTCCTTTTCAGTGCTGAGGGCCTTTTCTAAAAGTTCTACGAGTGAGTACTGAGATATGTGTGAACATAAATGATAGGTAAGTCTATTTACAACATATAGAAAACCGCATTCTCACAACCGAAAAGCAGAAAATAAAAAGAAAACAGACCTGAGTCAGTTGGAGTCTGCTGTGGGATCGCGACTGTTGGGCCTGCTGCGCCCCTTTGGCTGACGAGGAGGAGTGAGCTATCCACCAACATGGGCCGCGGGCAGCCCGGGCGCGAAGGCCGCGATGGACACATGAGGGCAGAAGCAGACCACAAAGCGAGGCCGCCGAGATGGAGGGGGTGTTCGAATAGCCTCAGGACAGCCAGGCACGCACAGCCAGAACTGGGCAGACGGTAGGGACGGGCGTTGCTGCATACGGTGGGAAAACGGTGGGCAAGGCCCGGAGGCCGGCCCTGGCGCGGCCGGCTGTCCTCCGTAGACGTCGGGGGGGAGGCTGAGGTTGCGACGACTACGAGTCTATCGATTAGTGGCTTGACTATGGGAGAGCGGACGGGATCCCGTATTTTCCACTATCTATGGCCGTATGTGCTTGGGCGTGGCCGTTGGCAGTTTATATCTCAGGTGTTCACACGCATTATGGGAGCTGGAACTGCTACGAAAACGGAGATGCATGCTTTTGAGCAACAAATTGAGGAGCATGACTTCGAAAAAGACTACACACATCGTCTAACCTGTTACTGGGACTATTCTATCATGGGCCAAATCACCCGACAGCTCTACAGGTAAGTACCCAGGGCCGATCACTGACCAGCTTTGATGATCTCAGCCGCCCTCTCAGCAACAGCATACACGGTAGCCATGGTATTGGCCCTTGTTATAAGCGGGAAGATGCTCGCGTCGACGACCCGCAGACCCCTGGCCCCGTACACGCGCAGCCGCGGGTCCACCACCCCGCCCTTGTCACGCGGCAGCATGGCGCACGAGCTGGTCCAGTGGAAGGCCCCGACGGCGGAACCGCGGACGTAGCTGCGGGCGCGCTCAAGCCCCTCTTGTTCCTCCCCGTCGGCCTCGTGGCCCCCGAACGCCGCCGGCCCGCGGGGCAGGCCCGGGGACCGCTTGGCGCTGGGCGACTGGTTGAGGTGGCTGGCCAGCGCGGACTTGGACGTGTCCGCGGCGAGCACGGACTCGACGAGCCTCACGTGGCGCGCGAGCACCTCGATGTCGAGCGGGTGGGACAGGTACGCCGGGTCGATGTCCAGGCCCAGGGTGTGGTCGGGCCCTCGGGTGACGTGGACCGAGCCGCGGGAGAGGGGGTGGGCGAGCATCACGGGGATGGAGAAGTATTTCTCGTTGCCCTCGGGTATTGCAGCCCAGCTGCCGTCGGGGTTGTAAGACGCCCACCCGGTGACCGTCAGGTAGACGGCTGATGCCTCTGTTGGGGACTCGAGGACGGACTGGACATAGGCCTCGACGGCTTGTTCATAGTCGCTCTTCCCAGTGGCGCCGTCGATGGTGCTGCGCAGGACTTGTTCCAGATCAGCTCTTCCCTTGTCGGTGTCGACGTGAGGGAAAGGCACCTGCGCCTGAACGTTGGAGTTGGTCCTGGACAGTGGTCCCGTCTGCCTGCCGTACGCCTCTGCGGCGGCAGCGAGGGCCGTTGGGTCTTGGCGTGAGAGCCCATCAACCGTGTCAAACCCTTCACCCGAGTTCTCGTTGACTTCGAATGACAGTGGCACGATGACGTGGTTCTGGAGGTTCTCGCCGACGGAGGGATTATCTACCACGACGGGGATCCCCAGTGTCTCGAGCCGGGCCTTGTCCCCGACGCCAGAGAGCTCGAGGATGCGCGGGGTGTTGATGGCACCGGCCGACAGGATGACTTCCCGGTGTGCTGTCACGACCTGCCCGGACAGTTCCTCACCGTCCTTGGTCAACGTATACTCCACACCCGTGGCGACAGGCTCGCCTCCAGACGAGAGGTCAAACAGGACCTTGTCAACCTGGACCGATGTGCGCACAGTCAAGTTGGGACGCGAGCTCGCGATGGCAAGGTACGCGCTGACGACGTAGCTCCGGACCTTGGTCTTCGGGTCGACGGACTCGGGATACGTAACCGCGCCGAGGACATTCTCGCCAAGAGGGTCGTCCTGGACGGGTAGTCCAAGACCGGCGATACTCTCGCGCCAGACCTGCGCCCACTTGTCGGCATCATCCGGAATGCTGATGCTGATGGGGCCGGCACCTGGGGCGGAAGCTGCCGAAGATGGATCGAGGTTGTAGACCTTGTTCAGGGACTTTCCGAGGCTATCCCAGTCCCAGCCCTCGTTTCCGAGCCCAGCCCACTGGTCAAGATTCGACTTGGCGCTGAGGATGAACAACATGGTGTTGAGGGCGGCTGACCCGCCTAGCAGGCGGCCCTGCGAGAACTCCATCTGGCGGCCGCCGAGCGCCTTTTGAGGGCTCGTCTTGAACCGCCAGTCTGCCGAGCTGCCACATAACTGTGTCCACATGGCGGGCACGTTGACGCGCGGGTCGAGACTGAGGTCCTCCCCAGCCTCGAGGACGAGGACCTGCACCTCGGGGTCCTCTGAGAGACGCGTCGCGAGGAGAAGTCCCGCGGCACCACCGCCGACAATGACATAGTGGAATGTTCCAGTGGCTGCCATGGAGACAGCACGGACTTTTGTCTCGGTGGGGTCGGAGATGCAGTAAATGTAGAATGAGCCGTTGGGAACACAGATCAGTGAGACGGGGTGGGACGTGGCTGGATGATGGGTTCTGAGAAGGGGATGACGGAGGGCTTGGAGCTGTCTCCTGTGACTTTTTGTTTTGGTATGGTTGATCGAGCCAATGTCACCCAAGATGGGTCGAATTGTATCAATTAGAAGTGGGCAGCTCTTTGGTTTCTCGTACTATCCCCTCTGAACTCCATTTGGGGAATCGATTGGTCCGTGGATCATATACCTAGCCATCTACCTGCTTTCTAAGAAGAACCCCTCGCCCTGTCGTCGACCGAGATATGGAGTCATTGTTGGTGCTTCAATGTTGGATGAGAACCTTGAACCAACATGCATCAAATGCTTTTAGTGCGGGCACTAACTGTGACTTTCTGCACAAGTTGGTCTGCTTTCTTGGCAAACGGTCGGCGGCCAGATTAGAACCACCCCATGCCGTTGGGCATAATTGAGCAGATACCGCATGACCTCGGTACAATGTTGCACCTAAGATTCACTCATCGAGGCTTTCTGCATTGGTGGACCAGGGCGATAAAAGACGGGCTGTAAGGGGGGGAATCCATGACAAGGAGAAGGAGTTACCAATGCAGTGTTTCTTCCAGAAATTAGGGTAATACGTGTCAACTGGTTCACTTGTGAGAAAATCAGGGTTTAATCGAGCCTACAGGCACTTGGTGGAGCATTTCAAGAGATACGAATGCGCTTCACGATTAGTACTTAAGTAACTAGGTAGCTAGAGGTATGAGAGCAGAGCCGACCGAGGCAAGCAGTCCTATGGTGATTCTAACTTCTGCAGTACAAATGTGGCCCAAGACTGAAATCCCACGAGGAACTGTCCTCGGAACCCCAAATTACGCAACATTATACTTAAGTACTTAGGTAGCCGAGACTTGAAAGTCATCATATCAAGCCTGCACGGAGCTCGAAACAAGGTTTACAACTATCTAGAATATCAATCCATGGTCGATCCCTTCTCTCCAAAGACACGACAGGCCCGATTCTGCTGACCTCCAGGGCTGACACTCGGCCCCACCTGTTCTTCGAGGAAAGAGACATCATGAAGAGTTCATGTGAGGGAATGGCCAGCCATATATGCCACTGGTCATATACAGACCAGACTGGATGCTTTCAGTCTGGGTCTTGAGCTCGTCTACATCCCAATTGGCTGCCACCATCCGGCCCTTGAGGAAGGCCCCCTCGGGGCTAGCCAGCCAGACCAAAAAGTCGGCCGGAAGCTCAACTGATGGTCGACTCTTGTCAGCATCGTCCAAATCTGTCATGACAACAACTAATTGCGATTTCCTGAAAACAACACGAGTTGATGAAGGGGCAGCTTACTTCGGTCCAGAGGAACCTCGTGCGGCTTCATGCCGCTCTTGGCCAGAACGGCCGTGTCACAGATGCCGGGGTGGACGGTCGCAGCGAAAAGGGACGGGTTCTCGGCGGCCAGGTACTCCATGATCTTGATCTGTGCGAGTTTGGACGCAATATACCCCGAGGCACCTGGGACATGGGTCACCGGAAAGGCCACTGCCTGGGTCGTGAGCGTGAGGACGGCGCCACCGGTCTCCACTGCCGTAGGAACGAATGCCTTGAGGGACAGAAGGAGACCCTTAACATTGGTCTTCAAGTCTAGTGTCAGTACTGAATACGAGACAAGCGTAAATATTGGAGAGTCGTCCCGTGCCAGAGGAGCTAAATGATCCTACTTGCCTCGAAGCCCTGCCACCACTCGTCCACGTCCGTGGAAACAATGGTCGAGGCTGCCGATGGGTAGACAGAGGCTATGACGATGACATTCCACTTTCCCACTTCGGCAGCAACATCTTTCAGTCTGTCAAAGTCTGTGATGTCCACGGTACGGACCAGTGCTTCTGTCACTGCCGAGGCCGAGGCGACCAGGGACGCTGTCTCCTTCAGCTTATCCTCCCGGCGACCTAGCAGGACGATACGGGATGCCCCAGCCTTTGCGAATGAGACTGCAGTCTGCCTTCCAATTCCGGTGCCCTGTTACGAAAGGTTCATAGGAAATCAGCTAAGTCTTGTCTCAACTCTTCTCTCCTCTCCCTTATCACTTCTCCCACAACTCCTTGTCCTGAACCTGTTGTCAGGTGGCACAAAATACTGTTTCATACGCATTTTCTCGCTCGATGGGTTTACCTACCGATCCAATGATGACAATCGTCTTGTCCCCGGCGCTGAGCTCAGGTCGTGAGGGTGAGATGGCCGGGTAGGTATCATTGTGCCAGGTGGCCGTTGCCGAGGGCATTGGGGGCTGCATATTGGGTGAATTCAATGTTATTTCAGTAATGTAATGTAAAATACAGAACGAAGAGGTCATGAGCAATGGGTAAAAAGAATCGATCGATTCTCGACGACACGTCTTCCCTAAATAAATAAATGTGGGGTGGCCAGTTGGCGTGCAACCAACGGCCCTCCCCCCTGGCCCAGTCCGGAAGAAAGGTAGCTTCCAGAGCAGGGAGAAGACGCTTCGTGGCAAAGCACCTGAAGGAGTAGGCTTGGTCCCTCGTAGACGCCGTCGTATGTGTGGTTTCGTTTCTAATCCCCATACATATAAAACACATGCGGCGCCTTCACAGTGGTAAACCGCTAAAGACCCAGCGTTGAGAAAAAAATGCAGTGCCAATAACAATACAGAGAGAATACAGTACGCCGTCGTAAGTACTCCGCAAAGGAAGCATCGAGACACTGGGCACATTCCGACCACCAACGAGCGAGGTCAACTAGTGGCAGCCGCGGGACGAATTCTTGTTTCCGGGCCATGCGTGAAAGCGGAGCATGGAGGATTCGGTGTAAAGCACCCGAGGAGGGGGTGTAAACCTATCTGCGCGGCTGGAGTGAGAACACCACGCGCCAAGAGTTCGCGGATCAATCGGTGTCACCTCGAAATTATTTACGCAACTATGTCTTCCAACACTCAATTTGTTGTGACCCGTCAGTTGGATCGTATGATATTGTGCGGCGCTGCATGAAAGCCTATCTTTGTCGTCCAGGCCCTATCGTCGTTCCGCGCCGCAGGATTGCAGCTCAACCGGGGGGCTGCCTAATCTCAACGTCCAGGCTGCCAGGCTCATACCTAGGTTTCACGCAGTCGTAGTGGACACCGTGCTTTCCCGAGAGCATGCGGAGTACTTCACGCCAGACGCCAGACGCCGCAGCCTCCAATCACAACCTTGATCCACGGGCTGCGGTACTCTCGCCCAGCGGCCGGTGCAGGATACTGGCAGCTCGCGACATATGCCTCAATGGGCCAGGTGCCTGGATATATCGTGACGCCAAGCGGTGGTCACAAGGTAAGCCTTTGAGTTCTGATTCGAGCTATATGTGTGAAAGTACTTCATCTAGTAGATGACCGTATTCTCGAAAGGAAAGGAGAAGAGACTGCCTGTCTGATGAGGCCTGTTCTGATTGACTCGATGATGTAGCAACGACTCTGGTTCACGGTGCCACATCTCTGAGGTCGCAACACAATGATTTAGAAAAGTGGAGAAGGCTCCAGGCTATTCAGCTGTGCTGTTGACATCCGAAGCCGGAAGAACTCCATTGCTCGCTCTTGACATTTGAAGGAGGAAGTATTCCCTGCAGGCTCGGCAAGGCGATCGATGGAACTGTTTTGCCGTAAAGCCGACCTAGATCTGGTAGAGGGCGAGTGAAGTTTCCGGGAATGTGAGACATGACAGCCTCGCCCCAGGGTACGATCAATCAGTTGGAGCGTGTAATTACCATGGAGCCACGGAGCTTTCGTGAGGCCAGCAGCAACGGTAGAACTAGCAGTGCAAGCGAGACGATGAAATCAATCAGAATGGCGGGTGAGGATTAGCCGACAAGGGCGACTTCAACATTATCGGCGCGTGTAGAACCACTGTAGTACCTAGGTATTCTGTATGCTCGTTGTCGTTAGTTACCGCACATATGGCGGTCCCAGCTGTTAAATATGTGCTTGAGATGCCGTGAAAATGAGCCGAAGGGAACAGCAGACGCCGTTTCAGCATTCACGAAAGATGAAACTTTCCTCCTTCATTCATGAAGAGAAAAATAGCATTTGACGTAACCTAATGAAGGGAAACGCTGATGATCAGTAAGGGAATGCTATACCTGTATGAACAGAACCTCCACACCTCCCAGGAGATAAATTATTTGCAGAATCAATAAATGCCGAGAAGATCACAACCACAGTTGAGCAAGCCACAGGAGTTTTCACGATATCATACAGCTTTTTGAATATTTGAAGACGTTACTGATCAATTCAATCATGTATTCAAATTAAGGCACCGACAGTTTGCAGGACGAACAACCTTGGGGGGTGGGGGCAAGTGTACAATATGTTGGCCCTATGCGCATCCTTTTAATTTCACTTTGAGCTCGCCATGCTAAGTAGAAGACATCAATGTACCCTCAATGACTATGCATCGATTGCTACATACACTTCGGCAGCAATGATTTCCATCCTGGCTTCGATATTGGTTCTTTGCTGTCGCTTGCCTCGTCGCCTACAAGGGCGTCAACCCGAGCACTTCGACCTAGTCCTCCATCTTGTTCTCGGCGGTCGCTTTCATTCCGGGCGAGTACTGTACTGACTCTGTCCAGACTGGTACCTCTGGCTGGTTCTCTGCATCCGTTCCCGCCCGTACCTCTTCAGCTTCGGGAGTAAAAGTTTTCCTATTTTTATAGAAGCTTTTACCTATTTTAGTAGTTTATTCTACCTAATGTATAGGTAAGCTACTTCTAGAAGGAGACCTAGCCTTTCCAACCCCATCTTCCACCTATTTTTCTACCCATCCACCCTGCCTAAGCCCACATCAAATGGTCGACCATGTATAGTACCTGTGCGTAACAGTACCCACCACAATCAGTTGTCGTAGAAGAGGGCGTAGAAGGCCGAAAGGATGATCTCGAGTACCACGAGGGCCCAGAACTTCTTGGCGGGCATAACGACATTGCCGTCGTTCCTAGCGCCGACCTCGCAGTCGAGCTTCGAGTTGGCGTACTGGACGACCTGAGGCCGGATATGGTCCCTATGAACTCGGGAAAAGACGTGCTGGTTGCGCATGGGCCACTCGAGAACGCCGTCGCGCGCCCAGAGAGTGTTGAGCGGGCGCCGTGCAGCCTCCATGCTGCTGCTCAGGCGCACGAGCTGTGAGGCGAGTTCCTCGCTGATAGAGTCGGGCCTGTAGCGGTCTGGGATGGTAACACCAGGCTGTGGCGGCTGGCCCTGTCGGGCGAGGATGCCCAAGTCTTGGAGCCGCTGGATATTGGCGCGGTGGTCTGCCATTGTTGTTGCGGTCAGGGTGAGTGATTCTCGTGCTAGGAGATGAGAGTGTGTTCCGTATTGGTCTCTAGTGGGATATCAGGTCCACTGCTGGCTGCTGCTGCCCTGATCTGTCATGGGATTGTGGAAGTCGAAAGGCACGAGGAATATAGCCTCCTTATATCCAACTTGGACACCACCGTCCCTTTGTATGCGTCCTGGGGTAGGCCAGGGTGAGAGACGAGGTGGGAGCAAATGTGACAATAGAATAAAGCCTCCTCCTTTGTGGTGAGTTGCCCAACAGGACGGGGCCAATGCCCCTGCGAATCTCGAACATGTCAGGGCAAGCAGAGCCATTGTCCCCGACGCACAAAGCTACCAATACCGACCGTCGGGAGAACGGGCAGCACGGCAGGGGTACCACGGGACAGAGGTCTTCACACTGGGACCAGCAACCTCCTGAGACATCTCCAGAATTGAGTCTCATTTCCAATCTATGAAAGCAGCCCACCCAGGACCCTTGCGTCCGATAACGAGCAATCCCAACAACAGTACTTTCCAAAACCCAACCCACGCTCGTAATGCACTTATTGAAAGTGCCAATGCCCAACATCACGACTCAACTGCTACTCACGCAACGCCAGCCTGCCGACCGGCCAAGAAGCCACCAGCTGGCACACCGGATTCCCCCAAGCATGCGGATACGAGGCAGCCCTCCCCCCTCCCACAAAACACCATCACGCCCGTGGCCTCAAGAGCCCGTCACCCGTACCTCGAGCTGCTCGGACACCCTGACGACGGCATCATGCAGGGAGCGCGGCTCTGCAAGCTGGAAGTACACGGCGGCATCAACCCCATCCAGAGCCCCCCCCTGTACCCAGCAAGACTCGCGGAGGCTGCCCAGAAGGTCATGCGACACCTGCAGCCGGTAGTTTGCCATGGCCAACGCTCCCACCCCGTCCTGGGCGGCGGCGGCGACCGTGTCTAGCACGGGCAAGGCTGACTCGAGGTGGAGCCAGTTGTCAATGACGCGAGCCTGGAGCAGGAGAGCATCACCCCCCAACCCGTCGCGAGACCATGGGGACACCGGGAGGGATGCGACCGAGGCAGGCGACGCACTCATGCCGACGATGAACGAGTTGGTGACCGGCGCGAGAGCAGCGATGGCCTCGCGAAGCGCGGCAGAGCTGTTGCTCAGCTCCCACAGCGCGTTAATGAACCTCGAGTTGAGCCTGGGCAGCATCCCCCTCGGCCCCATGTGAGCCTGAAAGACCGCTACAGCGCTGTTGTTGGCCTCGAAAAGGTCGCCGGGGGCTCCCATGCGGGCGGCACCGGCGGCACCAGGGACGAGAAGGATCTGCTCGGCCATGATCAAGAGCTGTGTCGCGACCTGATGCATCCAGAGCGACTCCGGGTAGGGGCCAGCGAGGGCGTGGGCCACCTCGAGGTATGCGCTGGACGTCGAGTTCACCAGGTCGATGACAGGCTGGCAGAGTCTGTCAATCACGTCTTCGTGGCGGCGTCCGAGGTGGCCCACAAGAGACTCGTCGAGGTCGCCCGCACGCGACTGCTTGATCGAGTCGCAGAGGACGGTAGCGGCATGGCCCATCTTGTCAAAGAACTCATGTGCAGCGCCAATGTGGTCGTCTGCATGGCCGCTGGGCTGTGCGCCCAGCGGGAGCAGGCCCGCCTTGCCGCCCAGGAACGGCTCATATGTCTCGACGACAGCCGCAAGCTTCGCGCTCATGTCGAGGGTGGCGCGGACGGGCTCCGGCTCGGATGCTGTCATCCAGGAGCGCACTCGAGCACGACATCCGGGAGGGGTGGCCATGATCTTGTTTCCGGGGCCGTAGTGGGCAGAGAGCAGCGCTATAACGAGACAAACGAGAGCGCAGGCCATGACAGTGACGCCCCAGGGCAGCACACGGCCAGGTCGGGCAACCGCTTGAGCAACGGGACCGTCATCACCCGGGACCACAGCCTCATCGTCGTCAGAGATGACGGGGTCATTGGCGATCGTGACCGACGACTGGTCGTCCGAAAGGGTGGCCGAAGAAGTGGCCGATGACGCGTCCGCAACGGCGGCCGAAGAGGCGGTCGACAACCCATCCGGAAAGGCATTTGGAGACGAGCAATCAACGGGGCTCGACATCGTCAGGACTGGGAAAGGAAGGATGTGTCTGTGATAGAGCGGCAGCTTAGATCGCACAGCCAACCTCGGAACCAAGGCCAGCACGGAGAGTGTGGAATGGGAGAAGAGGACCGAGGCCCACCCAGATGAGCAGCAGAATAGAGCCCAACTTAAGCAAATCCGAGACGCTCAAACCGAACACCACCCAGCAAGATTGGCTGGCCAGACTGGGCGGAAAGCCCACAAACAGCTCCCAGCCTCGAAGCAAATCAGTGCAATCCCTTGTAGAGTATGCCGGTCTGCCTCCCAGACCTGCAAAGGGCAAGGCAGCCATTGGCCGCAAGGCTGGCGTCTATGCTGCTTGCCGCTCCAGACCAACTGACAGGCCAGGCCAGACAAAGAGATATTCCTACCTCCCAATCGCCACCATCGCCAAGATTGTCCAGCAGAGGCCTGGGCTGCCATGAACCGAGTGCTTAGATGCAGCTGTGCGTAAGTCCCCGTCAAAGACTGAAGGAGGCCAAACAACAGCCCACGACGCAGAACACAACACCAGGTACGTGAGCACTTGCAACATAGCTTCTGGCAACCGCGCAGGCACCAGCCACCCCACCACATATCAGCCTACACACACAGGAAAAGACAAGCCACCTCTGGACTGAAAGCCCGAGGCAGCAATCACTACTACCCCTACCACACCACAGACGTGTATGTAAGAAACAGTACGCAAACACAAACACAAACACAAACACACCCAGAAGCCCAACCCGGCAACAGCACACGTGCAAATCGTAGGGAGCAGAACGAAACGAGACAGGCACTCGACATCACCACCACAACTACAACCAATCAGACCTCCGTCATACCATCCAGCCTTAAGGGAACCAGCCACAACTCAACCAACCAGACAGCCCCTCGCATCATCTCCCGCCCCAGCCGCGCCATACCATGACGCCACACCCGACACCCGCGCAGCCACCAGCGGCCAAGGAGGTGTTCGACATGAAGATCGACGAGCTCCGCAGCGAGTACCTCCTCGCCTCGGGAAGGGCCGCCGACGTCGCGATCCACACGCGCAAACCCCAGCTCAAGGCCGAGATCCTGCTGTTCCGGGCCGGCGTCCCCGAGCACCTGCACGACAAGCTTCGAGAAAAGGTCATCCACCTGAACACCCTCCGCGTCGACCACCTGCGCGCCCAGGCGTTCCAGAAGATGATCCCCGGCACCCTCACACGCCAGGAAACCGTCGAGAGGATGATCCAGAGGATGCGGGAGAAGATCGGGGGAAAGGCAAGCAGAACCCAGCCCGGGACCTGCAGAGCGCCGCTGACCAGCCACAGGACACGGGCGGAGCTGACGACGGCACGGAGCAGGACGAGTAACCCGTGGGCGAATGATGCCGCACGCCGCGTGGGCGGAGATATGTCGGCCGTATTGATTTCGGATGTAGTCCTATGGCCGTCGGGGACGCCACGGCGCTGACCGCCGATACATCATACTGTGGCTAGGTCATCAGTACCTGCACGGCCGCTGGTGGACCGGGAGCCGATTGCCCCCCGCCCCTCCCTTCTCCTGAGTACGACAGACTAGAGACTCACAGAATAGACCGTACTTCTTCTGCTGCTGGTGATACGAGAATGGCCATGCCCCCTGGCCGTTTGGCAGTCTGCTTTGGTGGCCAGACCGAGGTCAGCCGGTACCACACCTGATATACATGTGCATGGGGAACAATGACAGGGACAAGCCACACAACGCCTTCGTCACCAAAGGACTAGTCTGAGCAATACCAAGCTGGTAACCAGGGGGAACCACAACCAAAAGCATACAAGCTAATTAAGATCATTCGATGAGGCGAGTGTATAAATCAGACACATAGACCTGCGTCACAACCAGTAATCCCAGCTGTGTGTGGTGCTGCCCGCATCAACTGATGCAGAACCAAGTTGAACAATGATAAACCCCGCTTGCCTCGGCCCCCACCTCAAAGAACCGTCGCTACAAGCCCCACCCGGGAACAAACCTCACCAGTCCGGCATTCTAGCAGGCGACCACCATCAACTCACACACCCATCCAACTTCACCAAACCAAGACCACAGGGAAAGCCGCCTCTTCCCCTCCCGCAAGCCCCTAATAAGATGCAGCCAGGTACTAAAATCTGGGGCAGGATCAGACAGAGGCTGCAGGCACTCGGAAAACACACAAAGGGAGCAAGTGGGCCATTGTAGTCCTGGCAAAGCGTGATTAAATCTACCTCGAAATCAATGATAGTAGACCAATCGCACCAGTACCTCGGAATTGATCAGTCCCCAGATGGCGGGATCCACCCCCCGACCGTCACCTCCCAGCAGGCGGCTCACGACCCAATGAGACGCAGCTGCAGCCCGGGCCTTGGGGCACCAGACCGTGACGGCTAGGGCCGTAGACCCCAGGACTCCACGTCAGCCCATGAGAATGCGGGCCCCAGCGCCTGGGTCACCTTCAACACCGTCGGCGAGCTCGCCGGTGGCAATGACCCCCTCGCCAGCCAGTACTTCTGCCACTCTCCGGCGGAGGAGCGCACGGCGGCAGCGCGCTCTGCGTCACCCTCCCCTTTGTGTACCTGCACGATGTGGGCCCAGAGGCCGACGACGCTGTTGAATGCCATCCTGGCAGACGTACAAAACGGGCAGCACAGATCAGGCTTCGGCAGCCTCCCGGGGCCTCCACCGGCTACAACACCATCCACGGCGCCTGGATCCGCACCCGCTTGGGCACCAGGGGCCGCGTACGAGAGCGGCAGGCGCGTCTCAAAGGTTGGGAACCGGTGCTGCCGTGGGCGTGGCTCATGCAGCTCCTCAGCGCCGCGGTAGAACACGGAGCGCTGGATCTGGATGGCCTCGAAGGTCGTCAGGACGGCCAGCTGCAACATGCAAGGTGGGGTGTGCAGGGAGCAGCCCCAGGGGACACCCTGGTTGTTCCTCCTTATCTGCCGCGCCTCGTCCAGGCAGACCATGCGCGCCTGGTTGACGGACGCCGGCTCGTACCGAAGGTGGTTGGGGTTTCTAGGTGTAGGTGTCAGAGTGCAGGCTGGGAGAAGGACCTGGTGGACTCACATGCAAAGAGCGTGGTGACACAAGTGGCTCCCGTCCTTGCCCACGTGTCAGCCCGCGCCCAAGAAGAAGAAGGAGAGAAAAAAGAAGGGGCCACCCCCGGCCCTGGGAGTTCATAAAAACAAAAACTTGCCTGGGCTGCTGGTGAGATGCAGCCCTATGCGGCGATTACATGGGTAGGATCAGATGATCGTGTGTTGTAGAAGCCACTGGTGAGTCGGTGAAAAGGCAAGTATGGCTGCGGGCTGGGCAAGGTGTTGCTGCTGTAATCCCTCAATCGGGTGGGTGAGAAGGAAGGGGTCTTACCATGCGCCGGAACGGCCCGGACTCGAGAAAGTTGTCCAGATCGATGCCCCTCTTTGGGCTGCCCCAGTCGTTAAACCACGCCACCGCGCGCGCAAAGGTCGTCTGGTGGTCATCGGCCTTGAGCTCCAGCCGGTCCGACTCCAGAGTCCTGCACTCCTCGAAGCTAACCTGGGCCAAGACCTGCGCTGGATTTCGCATCTTCCACTTGGCCGGGACAAGGACACACGATGCCTCGTACTCGACACCCACACCCCAGCAGCGCATAAGCTGGCTGACACTCTTGTCCACCCTCGCCTTGGTCCTACTCGAGAGCCAGCTGAGAGCACACTGCTGCGACGGGCTGGCACGAGACTGCTTGACCGGGTACTGGGGTATGGGGCTGCGGTAGGCCGCCCTGCCGAATCTGAACCCCCTGTCCCTGCTCACGGGAAGGGCACCGTCATCCGCATCTTCATCGGCGGACTGCTGTCGCTTTCGCTTAGGCGCGCCACCAACAGTGGTACCACTGGCAGCCACCACACTGGCGATGGTGGAAGAACAAGTCGCAATCGACTCCGCATGACGGGCTATCGAGTCCGCGGCGGCCCTCCACTCGCGGACAGTCGTAGCCAGGTCGACGCAACCGTGCGCGGGCAGGCTGGCCGGTGCCTCGTGGCACGAATCGTCCTGCTCCTCGCGGAGGTCGCCCTCGCCGTCTGGGACCATGCGCACGAACCTGAACCGTACGGGCACATCGGCCTGGTGCTGCACGCGCAGGTGCCGCTGCAGGTTGCCGGCCCTGGTGAACACCTCGCCGCAGACACTGCCGTCCTGGAGCTGCTCGCCACAGCGAAAATTGCCCTGAGGTCGCCCGGTCATCGTCGTATCTCATCGTCGCGCGGGTAGGTACTTGGTGGCGAGCTGACCCGAATCGTGCCATCTCCATCCCGGCCATACCCTTTTTAAAGTATGCCCCTACGTGCCACTCAAGCCTCGAAACGCGACAAAGATGCCAGTGTAGCAGATACTCCTCGCTCAGCGACTATGCTAGCAGGGCTTCGAAACGACATATACAACCCGCCGGGCGACAGAGGTGCTGTCACGGACAAAGGCGCAACAACCAGGGCAGACTAGGAGACCAGAAGCAGAGGTCCTACACCGATCCAGGTCCTAAAACAAACCTTAACATGGAGGGGGGGGGTTGTGGCTGACATGCCGCGACCCAGTGATTGTGGCGGGTGAAAGCAACGTCTATATCACTTTAACACACATCACCAAGCTGTGATCAGGAAGGAAGCCAAAGGGATGGTTTGATAATAGTAGTAATGAACGGTTGGGCTAGGGTTGTGGTGTGGCTGTTACCTTGACGCCTGCCTTTCTATCCTTGCCTTCTCGGCGGCCACCTCGTCCAACCTGTCCTGGATGCTGTTTAGCTCTTCCGTCCTCATGTCAATGTCCCGGGCGGCCTGCGCTAGGCTCTCCTCGTAACTCTCCTTCGCGCGGCGCAGCCGCTCCCGCAGCAAAGCCGACGTCGCATCCGCCTCCGCCACCTTGGCGGTCAGCAGCTGGGCCCTCCTTCCCAGCACGCGCCGCTCCTCCTCGGCCTTGGCAGCCCGGTCCAGGGCGTCCCTCGCGTCGTCTCGCGCACGCCGCAGCTCCTCCTCGCGAGCGCCGTCGCCGTCGGCGGCCTGCTCGAGGAGCTGGCCGCACCGCAGCGCAAACCGGTCGGCCTCGTCCGCCCGGACCTCCAGTGTGCTGCACCTCAAGCTCGCATCCTCTGCCGCGCGGCGCCAGGCCGAGGCCTCCCTCTGGGCGGTACCAAGCTGGTCCCGGATGCGTCGGTTCTCTTCGACAGTATCCCTCCAGCGCCGGTCAGCATCCTCGGCCTCATGGGCCATCCTCCTCTCGTCGTCAAGCCAAGTAGATACCACGGCGAGGCGGCCGTCTGCCGTTTGGTCCTGGACAGGGGTTAGCATGCCCCACTGGCAAGCACGCTACAATCACCAGACCGACCTGGGCAGTATCAACACTATGTTCCACGCTCACCAGGGATGAGGCCGTGCTGGCCGGTGCATCAGACATCCACCAACCCTCCTCCCCCCCCCCTAGATATCAGGCCTAAGCTGTCCCTTCTGTAAGCACCGGGGTACTGTGCCGCGGTACCAGGTGCATGAGACCAGCGCATACCGAGTCGCGCCACACACTGCCGCCTAACATCCTCATTCCTGGCAGGATCCGCCCTCCTGGGCTCCCAAAAGACGCCGAGGTGCGAGACACACTGCCTCCTGGCCTCCTCGCCCCCCGTGCGCGTTGCCGCAGATACGCCAAGCCGTACCATGAAATCATCTTGGCCCCCATCCGCGGGCAGCTGTACAGTATGCAACGGCGTGCCCATTGTGAAGCTTACATCGGATCTCAAAAGGCGGGGTTCCACACAAAAAGCGCCAAGCGGATAGTACACATGAGCATATACATAGGTAAAGAGTGAAACAGTGCGCTACAGGCTAACGCCAATAGGCCTTCCCACCCTCTACACCAAACAGCTCCTACCACCTGGCTGCCAGCTGGCCAAGGTACACATAAACCTACTCTAAAGGAGAGATATAAAGGCAGTTACTAATTATTATATACTACTTAATAAATATATATATTAGTTTTTAAAATTAAACTTTTATAATATTTTTTTAAAGTAAATAAATTTATTAAATATTTTATAATATTTATTTAAATTTAAACTTTTATAATTTTTTAAAAATAAACTATTTATAAATATAATTAAACTTTATAAATAATTTTTTTAAAAATAAAACTTAAAAATATATATAATATATATAATATATAAAATATATAAAATATATAAAATATACTATTCTTTTAAGAATAATCTTAGATCCTATAATATTTTAAAAATTAAAAAGTAATAAAAACTTAGAAATTTATATTGAAAAATATTAAATATTTAATTTACTAAGAAAGTAATATTAAAATATAGCTTAAATTTTTATAAATTTAATAGTTATAATTTTATATTCCTTAAACTTTTATTAGTTAAGGAATTAAAAGTATAAGTTAAGATTTTTAATAACTTTACCCCTTTAATAGGTATATAAAAGGAATACTTCTAATTTAAGTTAAAACTTCCTCTTTTAAAGCTTCTAATTAACTAAAATAGCTTCCTTTAATTCCCTATATACCTAACTAAACCTCTCTTAACTAATATTAACTTTAACTTTAATCCTTAGCTTTTAATTAGCTAGTTTAAGTAGAGGGTAGTAATACACCACTAAAATAAGTAAGTAGAGTAAATAAGTAAGAGTAAAGTATTACTATTCTTTTAATTAATTACAACCCGGTATTTACTAAGTAAAGGTTACTAAGGGGCCTATAGTTAACTACTATCTATATACTAGCTATTACTATAAGGAGGTAGTGGTAGTCTTATATAGGGGTGGCAGTAGTTCTATATAAAGGTAGTAGTAGTCTTATATTTTAGCTAATTATAGTTAGATATTTACTAACTAATTACTTAAAAAAATAGCCCTTATAAGCTTTAAAGAAGTTATCTATATAATATATAAAATATATAAAATATATAAAATATATAAAATATATAAAATATATAAAATATATAAAATATATAAAATATATAAAATATATAAAATATATAAAATATATAAAATATATAAAATATATAAAATATATAAAATATATAAAATATATAAAATATATAAAATATATAAAATATATAAAATATATAAAGTATATAAAATATATAAAATATATAATATATAATATATAAATATTATATAATTTAAATTTTATTTAATTATTAAATTATATTAATTAAAATTATTATTTAATAATTTAATAAAAGTTTTATATTTATATATTATATATATATTTAAATAAAACTAAAACCTTTAAAAATAATAACTTTATCTTTATTTATTTTAATTAATTTATTTAAATTATATAATAAATTTAATACCTATATATAATACTTATTAATATTAAATTAATTTATAATTTATAATAACTTTAACTTTTAATAAATATAATTTAATATATTAATATAAAAGTATTTTTAATAATAAATAATATTATAAATAATTATAAAATTATTATAAAAGTTTTATATAATAAACTTAATTAAGTTAATCTTTAAAAAATATATTATATATTTTTTTAAAACTTTAATTATTTACTTTTAATTTAATAATAAAATTAAAAAAAATATAAATAATCTATATATTATATATATATATATTATAAAATATAAATATAATTTTATAAAATATATTAAAAAACTAATAATTAATATAATAAAAATATTTTAGAAATATTATTAACTCTTATTATACTTATTTCTTAACTAAAAATAAGAATATATAAATAGTAGCTTAGTGAGAACTAAATAGTCCTAGGAGCTCATTAATAGCCCTTATGCCTACTCCAACATGCTCGTGGCTCCAGGAGAGGCCTGCGTAAACTCTATCGAGGTCACCTCTGATGGCTCTCACCCTCGCATTTGCCCTACTTAGATGGTGCATAAAGCTCCATAGTTGTTCCTGCCTGAACTGTTTCCCCCTCTCCATCTCCCGGTTGGTCAGCTGGCACACACCGAACGCCGCGGAACCGAGGTCCCAGAGCCCTGACATCATCTGCTGGCCACGATGACCTCCGTCAGGGCCAGGGGCATGGAACCTTTCGCTAACCAGACAGACGTCGTCACGGGCGGGCTCGAGACCTCCCGCCTGCACGTCCTCGTGCTGCTTCAGAAGCTCCAGGTGCGCATATGTCATGGACGAGAGCACCTCTGCCACAGCCTCGGCCTCACGCCGCGCGATGGCGACCGGGTGGGCGGGGCATGGTAGCGTGTCAGTCACGGGGCCGCACGGAATGCAGGCCAGACGGCATAGCCACAGCGGCCCGGCATCCTCAAAGTAGCGCGCCTCGTCCAGTGCGCTGTGCAGCCTTGCCTCGATTGCCTCTAGGTCCTGGGCCTCGAGGGTTTCGCGGCGGGCAAACCCTTCCTCCATCTGCAAGATGCCCCTGGACAGGTCGACCGCGTGCCCTGCTACCCCCCCCGACTCCCTGCCAGCAACCGTGTTGGCCGCCGGACCAGCCCGCCTGGCCTCACGCTGGTAGTATTCCAGCCAGGTCAGCGCGTCGGAGAACATCGCCGTTCCTCCATCGTATCGGGACCCCAGCGGGACAGCACGCGACCCCGGCGGCGCAGCGGCGACAGTCCTGCTTGAGTCAGGGCAGATCCAGGGCAGAAAGAAGAGCCAGAGCCCAACGAGGAACAGGAGCACGTGGAGGAGTCTTCCCCACAAGCCCAACCATGCGAGGGGCCTGTGTATCGCCTCGTTGTGGTCTGGCGGCTGGAAAGGGGCAGGAGGACCGTGTCCGGGAGGACCGTTAGGAGGACCGTTAGGAGGACCGTTAGGAGGACCGTTAGGAGGACCGTTAGGAGGACCGTTAGGAGGACCGTTAGGAGGACCGTCTCGAGGAGGACCGTCTCGAGGAGGACCACTTCGAGGAGGACCAGGACGACCGTCTCGAGGAGGGCCGCCATGGGGCTGGGCCGCCTGTTGGCGAGGGAGAGCAGCGCTTGCGGACCGGGGCGGCTGTGTGTTTGGCGGGTTGACACCGAAATCACCCCTCACTGATCTAGAAAGTCCCGACATTGTGAACTTTAGGATAGCGTATGGTTGGCAGGGTGGGGGTGCTAGTTAGGTGTCCGGCAGGGTCTGAGGAAGACGTGGGAGCTGTGTTATAAGGGACTATATCGCAAGATCATGCAAATAACTTGTGGTGGTGTGTCTGAGTCGCCCTGGAATGAGGTTGAGCAATTTCGGTAGAGGGGCGATCGGACGGGATAGTGGGATAAGTACTACTAAAAGAAGAGGCCGGCTCAAAAGGAGTCAGAGGATAGGTGCCACCGTGGGTACGCGGCAGAGGGAGGCCTGAGTGATGTCAAAGGACAGGCGCCGCCACGTATATCCAGGAGAGAGAGGCGTGGGGGAAGTAAGAGGACGGGCGTTGCCAAGTGCGTCAGGAGTGTGACGCTCAGTACCACGCATATCTGATAGAGCGAGGCTTACAGGAGGTGAAAGGATGGGTGTTGCCGTGCGTGCTAGGGGCGAGAGGCTTACAGGAAGCAAAGGGGCGGGCGACGCCACGCAAGCCCAGCAGAGAGAGGCTTAGAGGAATAAAGGATAACTCTTCCCGTTCATGTTCACCGCCACCCTTAGTATACAACTGAGAAGCTAGATGTGACAGGAGGGGCGGAGAAGTCACATGTGAGCACGACCTGTTAGAGTCGACAAGTCTAAAGTTACGACACATAGGTTCCTCAGCTGGCAGCAGGGGGTGGTAACGCCGGCCCTGGGCACCTCCTCGGGTGGTTGTGCGGATAGCCAGCTGGAGATGGCGCCTGGTTAACTCGCATGCCCCCTCCCATGATTTTATAAGAATCGGAAGCCATGCCCCAGAGTTCAACACATGCTCCCAGTCACAACAACCACTCCATTTATTGAGCACCATCCGAGATCCCACCCTAGGGATGGATGATTTCACCACCGCCGTTTCGGTCATAGTTGGGTCCTTTGCCCTGCTCTTCGGCTGGAGGAAATTCAGGAGGGGGCCCCCACCACCGGCCCCCACCGCCAACCCTCCGCCGGCCGTCACAACCCGACCCACGGCTGTCACCGACCGCGAGGCCAAGCGGCATGTCCAGGAGGCGTGCTGGATCCACCAGCGGTGGTCCGTCGCCGAGAACACCCACGTCGCCTGCTTCGACCTGTTCACGATCCTGGCAACCGACGAGGCCTCGTTCTGCGGTGAGGCCGACTCCTTCGCCGCAGTCGTCGGGCCGTCGATGCAAGACCACTCCATGTAGGTGTCCTCACCCAACCCTGCCGCCCTGGGTGCTGACCGGTTCGCCACCAGGACCGGCGAGGAGAAGACGCGCGTGATGATGAGCGCGTGGAAATACCTGAGTGATCCCGAGAGATACCACACCTACACCACGGTCCTCGCGCCGCTCGTCGCCAAGCAGAAGCATGATCTCAAGCTGGACTGTGTGGCCCGGCCCGTAGGCAGGGCGCCACCGCCAGGACTTGGCGCCATGTCAAATATCTGTGGGTGGTGACACTGCGTGCCAGGCCAAGGGGCCATCGTGGTTGACTCGACACGGCGGGTCGGAGACGGAGCTGTCTGGGGTTGGGGTTGCTTGCTTGGGGGGGGTCCTTAAGTCTGTCATGTCAGTAGCTCACGATAACACGAACCAAGGACCACACCCATTTCACCTATTCCTGTTCCACGGCATTCCTTGTAGCACTACCATCCACATGAGGCTCTTGCGCCAGGACCATGTCCGGAACGCTCGGTTGACCCCGCATGGTGCGGGGTCGAGCGATGCGCTAGGGCTGCAGGCGCGGCGCCAAGAGATCCAGGACCTCCGGGTCTGCGCCTGTCAACCCACCCGACGGGCGCCTAATTTGACGACATGTTGCCCGGGAACCAAGGCTCTACTTCCCTCCGACCAGTACACATTCCGACTGGTTGCACCCTGCCCAATCAGCTATCTCACCCTTGCCATCCTATCGGTGCTGGGCTGCAAACTCACCACGACATCTAATATGGAGACGAGGTAGGCCCCCTGTGGTCTTGGCAAAGCGCCGTCAAGGTAGGTGTCGTTCGGGTGATGGACCGTCTACCTGACAGATTTATAAAAGCAAAAGGTCGCCAGCGGTGAGCCCCAAGGGCCTGTGTAATCGTCGAAATTGACGCGCACTGGCTGGTAGGACTGGCTGGGGCAGGGTGAACGATCCCGTGTGCAAAATGTCCACCTTCTCTTGACAAACATGCGTACCTAGGTGGAGAGCAACACGTCCACCACCCATGGCTTGGTCCCTGATGGTTTTGGAGTGCTGTGCAGATCTTCCTTGAAACCTTGAACGGCTGACAACTAGTGGTTCAAGATCACCTGATACTAATAGCAAAGCCTCCGAGATCAGATTCCCACAAATACACACGATTAGTACTACCACACCCATCATGCGGCCATGTCCACGCCGATAGGTGTCAACACAAGGCTACCAACATACCCAGTCCCAAACGGCACACACCATCACACCGCTCACACATCTCGTCATGCCACCAACCCCATCACGCCGCCCCGGCCGCGTACCGCACCGTCGCCCTGGGCTAACGCCAACTGCCTCCCCTGGCCCCCCGCTGCCTTGCATTGTCCCACGTCCTCAGGTCGCCAGGGCGGCTGAGGAACCAGCCGGCCTGTGAGGTTAGTGCCTATCTCACGCGGTCGGGGCTGGGCCGTGGCTTACCTCGGCAGACGTGTCCCAGGGCGCGTAGCGTCGACCGCGGCCGCCGCCCCAACGCGAGTGCCTGCTGCCGCTACTGGCCTCCGAGGCCGTTCGTGCGGAGGGCGGGCGGTAGCTGTCGTACCTCGCAGCCGGCTCCTGGGTTTCGTCGTCGCTGAGGTCAGCCGGCCCGTTCAGGCCGTCGTCGCTCAGCGCGGACGGGCGGCGCCGCGGTCCGTCGCCCACCACCACGTCGCGGGGAGGCGAGGGATCGGGCGCTCCAGGGAGCATAACCTCGCTTCCGCCACTGCCGCGCTCGAAGACGTAAGGGGCAGCAGCCTCCCGCGGCCTGTCGCCGTCCGCGGCCGTGAGGGAGCCATGCTCCTCGAGGCGCTGCCGGATCTCATCGGGGACGACGTTGGTCCTCCTCCCGTCCCAGTCGCCCCGCCTCCACCAGTCCGTCTCGATGGGCCAGTGGGCCTGCTCCACGCCGTCTTGGTCGGTGTAGATGACGATGTTGCCGTCGCGGTCGAGGTCCTGCAGCTTGCGCCGCAGCGACGCCTTGATCTTCCCCCAGACGGCCTCCTCGAAGCCGGGGTACGTGCAGCCCATGGCCGTCACCAGGGCCGTGATGTCCTTGCCGCAGTTCCGCGGGCAACACTTCTGCGTGGCGAGGAACTGGAACATGGCGCGGTTGCAGGAATCACACCAGGGAATCCGTTTGCCTGGGGCTGCGAGAAGGTGCCGGATCCGGACGCCCTCAACAACCTTGCAGCCCGGGTCAGCAGCAAGACCAACAGCACCAGAGAGCGCTTCCATGGAAACAGAATAAAGGGGGGGTGAGGGATGTGGAATGCTCGCCTACCTCGCTCGTGACGTTGTGTCGCTTAGGCATCGTGGGCTAGTCGTCGTGCAGGCAAAGAACGGGAAGGGTGAAGTTTGAGCGCCTAGCAACTGCCGCAAGGACAGTAGCCCGTCGCGCGAAGCCATCTGTTATATGCTTGAGCGCCGGTATGGCCGCCCAGCCCCGCCATCCAACACCTCCGTCCCGTCCCTGGCAAAACTGTGATGTGCTCGCCCAGTATGCCACTACCACGTGTGAGTCCTCACGTGATGAAACAGCTGCGAGTGGCACCCCATTGTCCTACCGGCAGACCTTGCCTGGCCTGACCCCTAGCCGGAGCCGCGTTGGAGTCATTGGAGCCAATATCGTCTGTGTGAAAGTCGCAGATCGACCCCGTTGTCGGTCAGGTCCGATGCCTGTACCGGCATCTGCCACGTGCGTGTTGTCAGGGGCCCAGTATCACCGGCAGCCAGTATCACCAGCCAAGACGTGCCCGGGACGCATAGGCACGACAGGATACCTCATCACCACCATGGAGGGCTTATTCCGACCACGCGGAATGGCTTGTCTACGTTGAGGTCTGTGTATCCAGAGGGCAGGAGGCGGTGCTCTGTCCGTGCATCAAGGCATGCTGGCCGATGCCATGCACCAAAGTAGACGTGACAAGGACAAATGCCATAAGGCCCAGGCAGGCAAGCAGTAGCAGCTACCACAGCTGTGCCGCAGGGCGTGGGGCTGTTGGGCCTCATCAATGAGCACCCCACGGGGCACAACCAGGAACCACGGTTGAAACCCACGCAAGAAAGTGTGCCAACCATTCTCCTTCCGACCTGCAACACCAAGAAGGCAGACCAGGATAACAAACCGTGCTCAAAAGGTGTGGGTGTGCCGGGGTATCCATCTCCCTCTGCCTTGGTCCCAGCCACACCAGCCCCTGGCTGTGGTGGTGCTGCACTAGCCTGCTGCCAGAAACATCTGCCCGCCAATTGGAGGTTCTTGTCAGCAGCCGTCACGCTTGAGTCGCCAACAAAACATAGCGTTGACCTAAAACCAATGGACACCGTCTTTGTCCAAGCCGCGGGGCGGGTAGCGCCGGAGCTGCCGTGACAAGGTCCTGTTACAGTACTGCGGGGGTGTGCAGGTGGGCCTACCTCCGAGTTACCTCTTTTCTCGCCATAGGAACTACAACTACTAACAGGAACAGCCGCCTTGTCGGACTTCAACCTTTGCGTCTAGCTCCAGCACGGACGTGTGCGCGGCACAGGGACCCGCAGTGGGCCCTTCAGGACTGATCCCGCCCCTCTTAGACATGTAATTGGTCCTCAGAGGAAGTCGTCACCCCTGTCCGGGGACACAAGGGTTGCCGCCGACGTTGAAGATTAGCCGCGAAGATTGAAGATGAGCCGCGAAGATCGACTCCCATCCTCAGCCCTTCAGGTTTTTGAGTACCTGCCCGCGTACCTGCCATGTATCCACCGGCTCTCCTCCTAGGACCCAACCAGTCAGGAAACCAGCCCTGGCCACAGCGTGGGGCCCGCGGCAGCAGTGCCAGGACCATGCGTGTCTCATCACGCATGGTCGTGCTGAGCCACCGTCGCTATCAAGCTCACACCGAGCTGCCGTCCAGCTGCGGGCGTTATAGAATACTGGTGGCTTGAGGCGAGGGTGGCTTGAGGCGAGGGTGGCTTGAGGCGAGGGTGGCTTGAGGCGAGGGTGGCTTGAGGCGAGGGTGGCTTGAGGCGAGGGTGGCTCAATAGTTCCCACAGGTATCAAACACAGCGCTTTTATCAATTATCTAGCCCTACCCTCATATCAACATTAGGCCAAGATCTCAATTAGGCCATTGGCTCCATGCCACGCCAACGGCCCCGCTCTAGACAGAGACCCTACAACACAGGACAAGGACGGACAAGGACATCAGGGATAGTAGATATCATATTAGATTAGGACTTTACATCAGAACGAGGACATCACGAGAACAGGTTGTATTAAAATGCTTGCTCGTCATACATTACATCGATACCTCGAAGGTCCCGCCTCTCCCTTCGGCGCCAAAGGGAGCAGTTCCACCTCATCTACCACACCGTCCTCACTTTTCATCCCAGACGTCGTTCCCCGGGAACACGATATTCCTGGTGCACCACGCTACGGGTCGGAACGCTTCTGAGGGCCGTGGCGAAGCTTCGCGAATGCTTCGGACAGCTCCATCGTGTGCGACTGGGTGCAGGCTGCCTCTGCGGTGCTTTTCGGGGCGGCGGCGGACGGCGTGGGACGACGGTTTCGATACGCGAGTGGCTGGACCGAGTCGGCCTGACGGCGCTTCCGGCCGCCCTCCTCGGCGGCGGCGGCGGCGGCAAGCTCGACCCTGAGCGTGTCCCCGGCGCGCGTCATGAGGCCTGCCAGCTCCTCGAGGGCCAGGGTCGGCGCGGCGTGGGGTGGGCAGGTGAACCTGATGGTGATGTTGCGGGGATTACCACGGCCGGCCGCGTCGCCGGCGAGGGCAGCGGCCACGTGGCCGCGAAAGTACTCGACGAGCACCCCAGGCTCGCAGACGCTGAACTCGACGTCAGGGAGCTCCTGCCACGCTACGGTCAGATTCTTCTACGTGTCGTGTTCTCGGCTCGCCTCGGCGCAGAGGAACGTGACGCACATATGGGGAGGCGACGCTCTCAGGTGCAGGCGGCTGCTCGGAATTCTCGGCAACCTCGACCTCCTCGAGATCCTTGAGGCCCTCGACGGACGCCAGCTCTGATTTCAGCGACGCCATGGCTGGGGCCACGCAGCATCAGTCATGATCTCAGGGGAGAGGCCAGGAGCCTCAATGGGCCGGGCAACGCCGGGCAAACACGGATAAGTTGAGCCGCGCACCTAGCGGGTCTCCCTCATAAGACCTCTAGGGGGGAACCTATCGCTAGGAGTATGGGACAAGGGGACTGTGCACTTACAGCTCGGCTTGGGAACAGTATTTAGGGAGGGTAAGGTGTAGGTGTGTAAAGGCAAGAGACGTGGGAGTATTCCAGGGCGCGGAGAGGTTTACAAGGCGCAAACTCCTCACTGCTTTGACAGACCGGAGAAGGAATTAGACAGGACCTATGAAGTAGGCCCAAGAATGGCCCGGATCCCAGTGCTTAGGCAGATTCGTCAGAGGAAAAAGCCAAGGAAGCCCTCCTGAGTCACACAGCTTGGATTGCAGGCCTGCTGCGCGAGAGCTTGGGTGGCCTTGCCATTCTTGGTGGGGGGTGAGTGAGTGGCTGGCTGCTTGGCTGGCCGTCCGGGTGATGGACGGGGAGCCGAGACACCAAGGGGCTCTCGCGCATCGCAGGTCTTTTGTCCCAGGGGTTCTGTCGCCTACATTTAGACGCCACCCGTCGATCTTGTCCGGCTTCGCTGGGCCAGTGCCGCTTGGCCTCATCATTAAATCCCTATTAGTTGTCTCCCTCACTTTGACCCCGTCCACCTGGTGCGATCAGCCACCTCTCGTCATATCAAGGCAGCCAGTCAGTCAGTCGATCAGTCAGTCAGTCATTCAGTCGGCCAGTCGTCAGTCGGCCAGTCGGTCAGTCGGTCAGTCGGTCAGTCGTCAGTCGTCAGTCGGTCAGCGTCAGTCGGTCAGTCAGTCAGGACTGCGTGGCGGGCCACGCTGCTCAAAGCAGGCCACCATGTGCGACCAGAGCAACGCGAACGTGAGTGGTGCCACCCCCCCTGACAGCCAATCGTGCTCGCAAGGGTTACTGATCCAGGGCATGGCGCCCCAGACCATCTGCGGCATACCGATGGAACAGATCAGGGCAGGTGTCGATGCCGGCGACAACTTCCTCGTCCCGTTCTGCCACATGGAGCTGACAGCGATCCTGGTGTCCGCGCGGGACTTTGGCATACACCCGGACAACATCACACAGAACCTGGAGTACCCGGCAAACGTCGCCACCACCGCAGCGCAGAGCGGGAGCTTGCACCGCGCCCTCACGCAGACGGCGAGCCCGGTACAGGACTACCTGCTCTCCCAGTACACCCAGCTGGTCGTCACGGTGGTCGACTTCGCCTACCTCCATGGTGCCATCGTCTACCGCAACGGGGGCTACTCCTGGGACGAGAAAACCCTCCCACGCTGGACGCACCGGCCGGCCGCCGCCGAGCAGTGGCTCAAGTCCAAGGGCTGCCCCATCGGGGACCATCACTTCATGGGCCCCGCCAACTGGCTGGTGACGTTCATGCTGCCCGACCCGAGCGGGATGAGGCGGCTCCCTGCAGCAGGCCTAGGTACGTTGCCCGGCCCGGCCTGGCCACGAGCGCTGGCTCTTGTCACCTCTCTGACCCTGGCGACAGGCCCCCTGAGCGGCCGCATCCGTCAGCGCATCTCTGATCTCGTCGAGTACCTCGACAAGGCGCACAGCGGTGGTGACGGCGTCGCTGTCAAGAAGTCCGTCAGGGCCCTCCGCCGCCTCGTTTCCAGGTAAGGCGGCTGTCGATGGGGCGAGTCCGACTGCGGCACCGAGCACCCGCAGAACTTCCCAGAGCGCTTCTTGCTCAGTCACCCCGAAGCCGCGAGCCAGCCCTCTCATCTCAATCGCGCCGGCACCCCGAGGAGGAGCGCCTAGATTAGAGACCCCAGCTAGATGAGTACCAATTCTACAGCTCAGAGGCGTGGACACATCCGTTCCACTCCAGCCCAGTGTGCATAACCCGGGCAGCTTATCCTGCGAGTAATGCAGCTACCCGCTGTCTGTGACAAGCGAAGTGATGCCCCCCCCTGGCTAAATTCGTATTTACACACGTGCCACATAATTTTTTCACACCCTCTTAAACTAGTCTTTTCTTAATAACTTTTTTATTACTTAACTAAGAATTATATAAAAATTATATCTATAATCCTTATTTTAAGTCTTATAAAGTTATATTTTTAAAATATTTATTTATATAAGTCTTTATATATTTTAATAAAATATAAAAGTTAATTAATTAAATATTTTAAAAATACACTTTTATTAAGTTAAAAATAAGGATTTTAAAAATACTTTTCTTATAATTTTAAATAAAGATTTAAAAGAGTTTAATAAAGATTAATATATTATATTAATAAAATTTAAACTTTAATTAAATAAATATTTAAAAATTATAAACTTATATAACTTTTAATAAGGATTATAAATATATTTTTTTATGTAATTTTAGAATATAAAATTAAGCAGTTATTTAAAGAAATCTACTTTAGAAAGGGAGTAAAGAAATTTATATAGCACGTGTGTATATGCGAATTTAGCCAGGGGGGGGCATCACTTCGCTTATCACAGACAGCGTCTGTACTGAGACACCCTCCAGATCGGGCCTAGATCAGAGTAGCAGAGGAGGGCTTCGACGGCAAGGGGGGGCCTGAGCAAATAGAGCGGGAAGCCAGACCTAGGTGGTATTCCCTGTGCCCGGCCCGTCTTTGACGGTCTTGGGCAGGAGTTAGAAGCCCTGGCTAGATGAACAACAGATCCTCGGCTCAGAGGTGTAGACGCATCGATTTGCCTCCGGCCTGGTACCTGTCCGGGTCATGTCCAATTCCTCGTCAGGCTCGGGGCCCTGGTGGGAAAATTGTCGGATGGGCCGCGTGGCCCGATACGCTACGGGGGCCTTAGAGGCCCACCGGCGGCCCGAGCTGTCGGACAGGTCGTGGTTGGTACTTGCGACCTGTCACACGGCTAGGGGCGGAGATACCTTGAGATCCCACATCCGGGCCGGCAGGATATGCGACAGGATTGTGACTTGTCGGACTGTCTACCAACAGTGTCTGTCCGCACCTACGACCCGTCCAGGCTGCCTGGCCTCTCCTGTGCTACAGTGCTCGAGGAGACTCGTTTGTTTGTGCCCAAGTTCTGCAACGGCACTGTGCTCAGTCAGAGGCCCAGGGCGATATCAACACATCACAGCAATCCTGTACACGATGCCCACCTGCCCTCCCGCCAGGTTCACTAGCCAGGGCGCTTCTGTCTCAACTCCCCACCCCTGCCTATTCGCGCCGGTACAGACTCTGGTCGTCAATTCTCGCTCGGCGATGCCCCGCCGTGCCGTCGCATGTGCGGAGACTGGCGCCCCCATTCGTAGACGCAGTGACAAAGCCGCTGCAGCCAATCAGAGCCCGTCGTCCAACCACATCTCACCACCCACCCCCATCTCCACGAGGGCAAGATGACCACTCACAACAACGGTCACCGGGTCAATTGATGTTCGTCGTCGGATTTGACGTGGCTGATTTCACGTGCTCGCTCAGAAAGGCCTCTCTGCTCGCTGACGCGGTGATGGCGGATCCACAAGATGGCGGCACCCCTGGCCAAGCCGAGACTCTGGGACAGATCACAGGCCATGAGACCAGATGGGTAATATAGCACAACAGACCGGGGCGGTCAGCAGCCTGAGGCGAGCTGAGGCAGGACCATTTCAAACGCGGATTGAGGATGTGATTCCCAGTGTTTTCAGAGTACTATCGACTGGCTGTACGCACAGGTTGGGTCGTGGGCGTGAATTCGTGCGCATAGGGCCGCATCTGGGGGTGTGCCGTCGGACCCTTGTAGTGCAAATCCTACCACCACTTTCTTCTCCTCTCCCCTGCGGGCGGCTCACCAGATGCACACGACCTGAGAGTGGCCGCAGGAAATGTGACAGAAGTCCTGGCAGATCTTACTAATCGTCGAGATCGGACCACGCGACAGGATCGGCCTCTGAGCGGTGGCCGACACGCAGCTGGGAAGCAACGCGCCACCTGTCGAGCGAGGGCTGCAGCCCCCACGGGCCTTGCCAAGACCGGGTTCAAAGTACGGTCTGGGGACTGCTGTGACCGGCGGACAGGCGGCTTTTGTACAAGAGCGGCCACATGTTCTTTGACACCACAGGCGGCCGCGTCCGGAAAGGTGACGGAGGGCTGCAAGCCCGCCGCCACGCCTGGGCCAGGCCGCAGGTTCGACTTAAAAAGCGAGGCTGTCCCCGTCGCAGGACCTGACTCCCAGAACAAGAGTCCGTCAGCAGCAGAGGCCAAACCCCCAACGCAGCAATCCAAGGACAAGCCGAGGCTTGACCCCCGACTAGGACTCGGCTCCCGAGACACGACTCGAACGTCGAGGCCAGCCCGGCTCCGAGGCAGACCCGGCCGCACCACTTCACTCCCCCGCCGAGACCTCTATAGCGTATTTCTCCCCGCGTCGCGAGTAGTTGGCTCTCGTAGCCTAACGCGCCACCCACACAGGCCCCAGCACAACCGTGCAGGCCCACGCAGCCGAGAGGAGCATCACAAGCCCCTAGCCTCGGCGGCCCACAGCCTCGACACCGACGGCGACGCGATGCCGACAGGCGACAGAGCAGGCCCCGGCCGCGACGCCCCGGAACAGCCGGCAGCAGGGGGCTGGCGACTCCCCCTACGCCCGGGTCTCTTGCTCCTGCTGCTCCTGGGCTGCGTCCTGCTCGAGCTGACGCGGCACCCGCCTGATGGTACCGCCCGCGACCCGGCCGCCACGACGACAGTCACACTGGCCATCCAGCACGACATCGAGGCAGCCCTCGACGGCTACGGGCCCCTCCTGCGCGCCGACACGCCGCTCCTGCAGAGGCCATACGACACGGAAGGCGGGGCGGCGAACGACGCCGAGTCGTGGGTCCTGCCCACCGCAGCGGGCAAGATCAGCCCGGTGTGCGAGCAGCTTCTATACCACAGCCACGACTGCCAGCCGGGCCCGGAGGATGCCTGCCAGAGGCTGACGCGCAACCTCAGGTCCGCCGCCGAGGACCACCGGAGGGTGGCGAGGTCCCTCGCCGGCCCGCGCACGGGGGGGCTGTGGCTTTCCCACGTCGAGGCGCCGCTGCTGGGGCTGCTCTGGAGCCTCGACAACACGGGAGCGGCGCCCAGGCGCCTCGAGGTCACCGGGCCGGACGGCGACGGGCCACAGCACGCTACCGCAGCAGACGACGGGGCAGATGGCGGCCAGATGGAGGTGACAGCCATGCTGATGAGGGGCTATGTTAAAAGCCAGAGGGACCCCCAGAGGTCGACCAACGGCAAGATCCGCCGGGCGCTGCTTCCGCTGCGCGAGAAGTGCGCGAGCATCGTCGCCGACATACGGCTGATATCCGGCCAAGACGCCTCCGACGGCGCATGCGGGTGGGCTGAGCTCTCGCCGCTTGCGGGACAGGTGCAGCAGGTGGTCTCTGCCGCCGACGACATCCTGGCCGCCCTCGACGCCGTCGACGGCGTGCTGCTACGCCTCGACCGGTTGCTGGAGCGCATGCCGCGCGGCTACCTCGAGGTCGACGAGGTCGCGGGCGGGACGGTGGTGAGGACGAGGTTCGAGCTGCCCCCGCCAGCGGTGATGTCTCGGTCCGTGGCGGCGCGCCTGGGGCGGATGCGCGAGGACGCATCCGCGCTCCAGCAGGGCTGGGTCCCGCCACAGCCCCTCGCGACTGGGCTGCCCGGGGGCGGCCGAGGCTCGGACCTCAAGCACGGGCATGGCGCCTGTGCCACTTGCGCTCCGGCAGGTGCCCAACACCCACAGGCCACAGCCGCCAGAATCCATTAGCGCCCGTATCCAGCAAGAATGCAACCTACTGCCCATCTCTGTCATCATGTAGCGGAAACACTGGTGACCTGGTCGCCCGAGTGTGTAGCCTTCTTGTGCTGGGTTGGCCTGCCCTTACAACGACTCCCAGTCCTCAAGTGCTGCTGTACAAGACTAAAGAAATGAGTTTATAATATCTACCTTAAAAACCTTAGGAAATCAAGAAGCTTTATGGCTGAGGGAATAGTATGTAAAGTCTCAGAGTTTATAAGTGATTTGAAGACGTGTAATCAAAGGTAGGGTGTGGTAATGGCGCCCCCGGCCTGCAGCAGGTGGTCTAGCATGACCATTTGATGTTGGAATACCGAGGTACGGGGTCATCCTTATCGATAACATGCCAGCCGCCCCTCAGCCGGCTGCCCCGGCGCTAACGCACCTCGGATCTCGTTCCCCCGCGCTAAGCATCGGGAGGGGCCCATCGGCTGCCGCCGAACCGTTTGGAACGGCGCAAGAGAACGGATATTCGCACAGGCATAAACGGCTGGTACACGGGTACATGCTGCCGCGGTACAAACGTTAATCTACACCACCACTTCGCCATGGTAAACATAAAAAACACATCTATCGCTCTAAACTTGCTGTTCTCGTCGTTTCTACTTATCCCCATCATCACTGCAGCCTTACAGTCAACTACTACTTTCCTCACCGTCTAGGACGATTACATACTAACTAGAGGACCCTTATCTCCTTCTAGGTCTCCCCCTCGTCGCCAACAAGGTCCTCACCAGTATCACAAGCCCTGACATAGGGCTTCTTAGCTACTAGCTTAGTAGAGGGCATCGTCACTAGTAAGGATGTAAAAGGCACTGGGTTAGCGGTGGTGAATTGAAGTTGAATCGGGCGCTCTGATTAACTACAGCACAGAAGTAAAGAACGTGCATATATACCATCCGTTTCTATACGAACATCCGATCTCAGCTTGAAAGGTTGTCAAATATGTATACATGCTGAAAACGTGACAACCTTTTATGGGCCGGGGACCAGGCCGAGAATTGAAAGTTTTGGACTTTAGGCCGGCACGCTTACTCTACCATCAACGGCCGAGATCTGTCAAAACACAGGTACGCAAAGGATACGTCCGCATAGGATAATTCAACAGGGTATCACCAGGTACAACCTTGAAGCCTAGAGGGGTACGTAGCCATGCTAGGGGCGTCGCACGCCAACAGGGACAATAGACTAGAAAAAAGAAGTTGTAGTGCCATAAGGGTCTATCTGTTATCAAATGAGCTGGATGGGCTGGTCTAGCCTGTCCCGGTTGGAATTCCTAGGCCATCCACAAGAGCACAACATTGAAGCCAATCTGGCGCTACAATGCTGCCCACCTCAGCCTTTGTCCTCTAGAGCTCTGTCGAAAGGGCCTTTGGAGGGGGATATGGCTCCCTTGTGCTGCTGGGATAATGGACGCGTGACCTACCTTGTACTCTTTTGGCCGGCACGGCCACCTGGGCAGACTCGCAGCAGCATTAGAGCTCTGTGTCGGCCTGCAAACCAGGCTGCCTACCAGACAAGGAAGCCAGCAAGGCGTGCCTTGGAAAGGCACCAGGGCAGCTCTTTGGCCACAAGGGCTGACAATGGCCCAGGCACCCGAGGTAGGAGGCGTAGCCGGGAGCTTCTGATAAAATTGAGAGCCTCCTGGTCTGTTCGCGGGGCTGAATCCTCAACCCACATACCCACACTGTAGCAGTCGCCCAAGGAGCCATCTGCCAGAATGGACAGGTCCTCCCCAGAACAAGAAGACGACCTGGAGCAGGTTCTCTCACGCATCCGCCACGACAAGCCGAAAGGTTGGCTCGCAGCAGATTACCTGGAAAAGCTGAAAGCAGACGCCTCGGAGGGCGACGTCGCCACCGAGGCGGCTGCTACGGGCTGGAAAATGCTGCCATGGCGCAGGTACCCGTCAGCCGAGCTCCACCATGTGGCCCAGCAATTCGGGATCGGCCCCGGCCACGAGCTTTACGAAGGCCTAGAGGCGAAGTTTCCCTTGGACACGTTCACCCGCCGCTCCAAGATCGTACTGGCCCAAAGGGGATACCTGCCCAACACCCTGCCCAGCGCGGCATTCCAGAGCATGACCTGGAAGGACCTCGTGTGCGTCGCCGTACTTGTAAGCGTGCCCGACCCCGGCTGCCAGCTGGGCCACCCTCCTTGTCGCATGCGCTAACCCCCACAGTTCCACATCGCCAAGAAGTACTACGAACTGTACGGCAACAAGCAGATGTCCAAGTTTGAGCAAGAGGCACGCCAGCGACTGAGGGACGAGGCGGAGCGCAGGGCCGCAGAGAAGGCAGCGCGAGAGGCCGAGGAGGCTGCTTGGCGGGAGCGGATGGAAGTACCGCCGCCGCGGGTGCTGCCCTGGGAGAAGCGGGAGGCGGAGGCCACCACACCAGCCACGAGCAGCTCAAAAGCCCCAGCCGCGCCAGCCAAGAAGCGCAAGGGAAACGACGGCGACGAGGGACGACCGGGCGAGGCAAGCGGGGCAGCAAAGAGGGTCTGTACGGGGCTCGAGGGTGCCGAGACGCCCAGCGCCGAACAGCAGCCACAGCCACGCCCACAGCCGGCGGCGGTAGAGGACCTGGACACCCGGATCCCTACCAAGATGCTCTACTCCTTCCTATCGGCCGCCCAGAAGGACCCCGACAGCGAGCACGTCACGGTCCGCCAGCTCCTCGCATTCGTCAGCAACGAGGTAGCCCACGCCCCGGGCAGAGGCCACGCCCAGAGGTCATGATCGGCCTTGCCTTGGTCCCGTCAGTACCTAGGTAGTTTTGTCGCGGTGCACGGTCTGCTTGGGAGGGGGGGTTATGAAAATCTGCGGTGGTACCCGCGCACATTCCAGGTGAGGTTTTTCACTGTTAGGTTGGCCAGGCAATAGATCAGCCAGAGATAGGGATCCGGACCATAGGAGAATGATAACAGACATCTGGTCCAGTCCGAGATGTGCTGGTCGTAATTTATCATACCACGAGCTTTGTGGTACTTGTGTGAGGTGTAATAGAGGCTTGTAGGGGCCACCACCGGCTACTGACACGGGAGCGTACATTCGCTTGCAGCCTCGCCGTTTGAGCGCAGACTGCGCTCAGGGACCCTGATTGGCCAGCCTCTCCCCGGCCTCTTAGCCAGGTCTTCGATACAGCCTGGTCTGCTTGGTTGGGGTCACCCGTAGCCACCAGCACGGGGCACACCCCAACCCGCATGCTCGCTCACCCTCCGAGCGCGGACTGCGCTTAGGGGCATTGGTTGGCTCACAACAGGCCCCAGGTCGCCTACCGCCAGACAATGGCGTCCTAGACGCAGGACCTTACTACCTATCTATGTTTCTTAATCTGACCAGGGTACGTCGGCCGGACCCCCCTGTAACTTACACCCTGCCCGTTTGTCGCCGTTTACAAGCAGCAGAGAACCCACACACCACCACGAGAACCACAGACACTCGGCAACGCCAAAGCCCATCACCTATCTCGAGCCACACAGCAACAGGACAAGAACATGACGCCCCCAGCCCAGCCGCCCAAGCGCAAGAGGGTCGACTCGCCACCGGCGGGAGCCCGTCGGCAGAAGGCCAAGCCGGCCAGGTTCTGCGCACACTGTGGCGCCACCAAAGACTCCCTGGAGGAAAACCTAGATGGGAGCGACCTGACCACCCACGAGCAGCTGTGCCAGGGCCTCGACGACCACGGCCGTCCACTCGGCACCCCACGACACTGCCCCGATCCCAAATGTGAGTACGAGGGAGTCCCCAACTACACCACCGGGAAGCTGCCAAAGCCAGCGGAGATGCTCAAGTCCCACCTCAACAAAATCCATGAGTTTCGTGTCAACAATAACAACACCCTGCGGGAGGCGCGCGCCAAGCTGTGCCCCGGTGAGTCCGTCACGATCGACATGAGCGGCAATTTCGGGATCGATTTCACAATGAGCACCTCGCCGAAAGGGGCCGGGGCGAAGAAGAGCCGGAAAGATCGTACCGTGGACGAGGTCATTAAAGACATATTTGAGTGGTTCTGGTAAGCCGTCAGACTCGCCATGGCCCCTACCCTTCCTACCCGTCCCTGCACACTGGCCTCCCCACCGTCCCCGCGCCATGGGTAAATGTATGCTGATAGCTACCCCGTGCCCCAAGGGGCCACAATCTGTACCCCATGTCCTTCAACGCCCACACCTCCGACGTCAATCAGCCGAATGTCCTGGCGGGCATGCTGCGGAGGCTGGCGTGCGACGAGACAAGCTTCATGCCGGAGGAAACGATACCACTCTGCAAGCTCGCGGTGTTGGAGGGCTCCTACGGGTCCGAGTTCGGACCGCTGGTACGGCACCCCCACCCCGGCTCCGCCCATGTTACTGACACTGCCTTGCGCCGAGCAGGCGCACCATTCGGTGGTGGAAGACTACAGGCTCAAAGCAACAGGGCCCATACCGGCCGAGGTCCCGCGGGACCTCAAGAAGCTCACGGAGGGCTTCTTCGACGAGCTCGCCAGCTCCGGCCACTTCGGCGTGTTCGTGGAGATGATGAGCTCCAGGGACGGCAAGCCCCTCGAGCCAGCGATCTGGAACCGAGTCGCACAGCAGTGCAGCAGGACGGGCCTGGTGCTCGTCGTCGACGAGGCCATGACGGCGGTGAGATGTGGCGAGGTGTTCATGCACAAGATGCCACAGTACAAGCAACACGCCCCCTCCATCGTCGTCTTTGGCAAGGGCTTCCAAACCGCCGGCTGCGCGCTCTGCGCCGGCGGCGTGAGCCTCGACGGGATCCTCGGCGGCAGCTCGGACGAGTACCTGCGCGACGCCTTTGATCCTCGGACCTTCCACTCACGGCCGATCCAACGGAATCAGGCAAAGGACGTCCTCAACGTGCTGCACGAGATCACGTTTGAGGACCTCCCGGGGCGGGCCAGGAAAATAGGCGAGGCGATGCGGGAGATACTCTGCATACTGGCCGAACTGATGGGCGACGCGCGGGCGCGAAACCTGCGCACGCGCGACGGCCAGGGACACGAGCCCACCACCAGCGGCGTCGGCGCGATAATCTATGTCACACAGGAGCTGGCCTGCGCGATCGGTGTCGCGCCCGCCAGCACGGGCGAGACCTATATGCGGCTGCTGCCGTACCTGCACGAGGTCATGACAGACAAGGAGAAGCTGCGTGAGCTCTTCGGTCCAGACTCGGCGGTGCTCCGCAAATCCCTGGCCGTGAAGATCGGCACGTGCGTCGTGTGCGGCCTCTCGACGACGAAGCCTCAGGCCGGAGAGGTCGGGCTGCCGGAGCAACGCCAGGGCGGGGGGAAGGCCTCGGCAGAGGGCGGCCTCGACGCGAGCTTCCGTGATGACCCCATGTATACCTGCACAACGTGCTGGGTCCCCATCTGCTGGTAGTGCCGCCAGATAGCCCAGGGAGTAAGTGTAAAAAGGGGCGCCCGGAGCATGCCAAAGGCAGAAAAGGAGCACAATACGACGATCAGGCGCAGAGTCCTAATGCACGAGAAAGAGGCCTGCCTAAACCTCCCAAAGATGGCCCTCGGGCGCTTGTAATGCCGGGGGCGGGGCTGAAGCAGATGTCGCAGGCAGACGGGGACATTTCAGCCGGTGTCCATCAGTCGTCAGTCATCAGGAGTTGACACGTCCAAAAGTCGAGGCAATGGGCGGCCCGGGTCGGTCTGACTGTGGGGTTAGTGTTCGGTAGCCCGAGTTAGATGGCCAATTAGAGACCGCATCAGCCTGAACCCGAGACGATCGTGGCGCTGAGTCAGCCACGGACCCTGCTTGACACCAGGAAGAGGGAGAGACTGATAAGCAAAATCCGGTCTGAGATGGTCCCGATGAGGAACAAGAGCAGATAAGCCTTATCAGTCTTGGCAGCGCAGCCACGGTACCACGGCAGCGATATATAAGCCTCGGCCCCCTTACAGAGAGACGTGACGGCTACTTCTTTAAGCTGATTCCCCAGCCTCGCGGCGGCCAAATTACCGCCGACGTTGCCGTCAGGAAGGACAGACACGAGGCTCTTGCTAATCTTAGCACCTCTATCCAGTTCCGACTCCGATTCATAACCAGGCATTACAGTCCGCCATACCTAAGGAAAAACGATCTAATCCTACCAGCCGAACTAGCCCACTCTTAAAATCCCCAAGGTATCAAGTATCAGGTAGTTCAACAAGACCGGGAAGCCCTAGCATCACGGAACTGCCAGGGCCTGGGGCGTCCCCCACAGGGCCAAGCCAGCCGGCCCGCGCGCTCTGCTTATCTTATCAGCCCAAATAGCCGCCGTATCTTCAACCGCGCCAGATTGCGGCTCCCCGTTGACGCCGTCCCCCAGGCAACCATGGCTCTAAATCAACAACCTGGGCCGATAAGATAAGCTGACACCCTGCCGAGTTCAAGAACACACCCGTCCACACCATCCCCGCGCCACATATGGATGCGGGGCCAGTGTGATTCGTGACCCGCACACAAGGGGAAATGCCGCAACTATCATAAGGGATCGCAGGCTGAATGTCTTGGGTACGTGGGCTGTCGGTTCTACGTGCAGACTGCCGAACGGCCCAAAGGGGGTACCATCCCCAGGACATTACCCCCCGGATCCATACCAGGCGTGGGTATGTAAGAGGCTGCCAGAAGCCCTCCCGGACAAACGGCCACCCCTGGTTGAGGGCACGCAAAACCAGGCAGGGCACCCAGACAGCTGTCGTACAGCACCCAGCCACCCTCCGACCCCTCGGCCCTGGGGCTTTCAACATGTGTTTCAGAACATGTGCGTTGCCATACAGTACAAACGCACCCGGTCCTACTGCCAGAGGATGCCGCCGATCGCACGTCACGTGGCGTTGGCTTGACCTGGCCCCAGGGGACGGGCGTAAGATGACATGGCGTCTAGCAGGGGCAAGGCGGCACGCAGCAAACGCCGCTAGGCTGTACACCGCAGGTGCACTCGATCACAGGCGACCCCCAGGGTCGGCCCGGATAACCGATCCGCACGCGGGTCTGGGTTGAGGGCACTTACATGCACCACCCTGAGACGACCTGATCGGGAACGAGAAGTTCAACGACATAGCAACATGCTGACCGCCGAGCCCGGTGACGGTCCCCGCCCACAACGGCATGGGAGATCCAGGCCTGACACTTCACGACCCGTATACCAGAGGCCATGGTGGTGGCGGCCTTGACCGGTAGGTGTGATATCCTTCTCGACCCCGTCAGGAATACCCTTTCACCATGTGCGGTCGATGGACGTAGGCGTGACATCTCATTCACCCTGTCGCTCCTGCAGATGGATCAGGCCTCGGATGCCTCCTCCTGCGTGCGGGCAGGAAACGGAGGCCCAGGGACTCTTTTCTCGTAGGGAGCCCAAGTATGCCTTAGCCCAAAACCCACACCGGGGGGCCAACGGCGCCCTGCTATGGTTCTCGTGCTTGCCTGAGTCCCTGGTAGACAAGACTTGCTGGCGTGTACAGCCCACTGGTGCCATCTGGCTCGCCTCGCCAGCGAGTCCAACTGACAACGTCATGGGCAGCAGGACACCCGCAACTCCTATATCGTAGCTAAAGGGTGTCCGATCCCAAGGCTGCCTACCAGGCCCGGGTTAATACCTGTCATCAGACAGCTCCAACCAACCCCGGGCCGCCGGGCCCAGGTCGGAGCAGATCAGCGAGTATCGATATCGGAGGTTTGTGGAGAGTGTCGTAATGGATTTTGATGACCTCCTCGGGGCCGGACCCATATACAGGCGGCACGACCAGTCCAGAGGACGCCAGGTTCGACTCCGGCCGCCTCCCTCCTCGCTTGTTCTATTTCCCTCGCCGTGTCAAGCAGCCGCGAGACACAAGGCAGCAGGTCAACGGCCTGATGACCGAGGCGTGTATCAGGTCAACACTACCTGCCTCACTTCTCAACAGTACAACCCGTGGATAATACATGCATATACCCGCCAGGCAGAACCTTACCCACACACAATTCAGCACAGGATGGCCTTACCACTGCCGTCATAAATATCCCAACCCCGCCCTCTTTCATGAGAACAGAAACCTCCTCCCCTTTCCTTCCACCCGACCTCACCTTTCTGATTCGTTTGCACAAAGATCACCACTCGTATCCACATCATCACAAGAACGCATCAGAGAGCATACCTCTCCTCCATCCCCTACCCAGCCGACCCATCTCCTCATCCCACCCGACCTCCCTCCTAAGGTTTGTCTACACAAAGACGACTACTCCACTTCACACAACAGAAGCACGTCAGAAGACATCCCGTCTACCACTCCTACCAGTAAGAACTCCTCCTCCTACTCTTCATCAATCACTCAGTCTAACCTTATATTAACAGTACTTCTTTCTACACCATCATCATCAGATAACATACCTCTTCTTCCATTTCCAGCTCAGGTAAGAAACCGTCTTACTCACTCGCTCACACAGACACACACACACTCTCTCTCTCTCTCTCTCTCTCTCTCTCTCTCTCTCTCTCTCTCTCTCTCTCTCTCTCTCTCTCTCTCTCTCTCTCTCTCTCTCTCTCTCTCTCTCTCTCTCTCTCTCTCTCTCTCTCTCTCTCTCTCTCTCTCTCTCTCTCTCTCTCTGTCTGTCTCTATCTCTGTCTGTCTGTCTCTAATTCTCCATCTCTCTCTTTCTCTCTCAACAATATCCCTCATCCAAGGCCTTCCTAATCTCAGCCAAGAGGAGGGGCCTCTGTCTAACAACAGCCTACAGCAGCATTTATTAACGACAACCGCCCGCCAGCATCCTTTATCAGCTCATCAACACAACCGCCCGCCATGACGAGAAGAATCCATCGACGATGGAGGCACATGGCGCAGGCCGAGGCGCCTCCGGAGACGCCGGCCCAGAAGGCCGAGAGGGCCCGGCAGGAACAAGCCGCCGCCCACCACAAGGCGGTCATGAAGCTCGCCAAGAAGGTGGGACGCCAGACGAGGGGGTTTACCCAGGTCAAGATCACGGTATGTAGCAAGGCCCAAGGCAGAGGCCGTATCCCAAGCTGAACATGATACTACAGGACCTGTGGAAACACATTGACGAGACGACCGAAGAGAGCCTATACATGCCCTATATCCGGCATGTCTTCTACAAGGTGACTCTCCGCCGGAGTCGCATGGGCGGCTCGTTGAAGCAACGGAGGGCTGCCGTCCTCAAGAAGTGGGACCGCGCGTTGGCCAGGTTCAGAGAGCTGGCGGACAAGCAGCAGCAGGAGAAGAACCCCAAGCTGAGGGAACTCATCCAGACCTTCGTCTCAGTCCACATTTCCAACAACATCCCCAACATCCCCAGAAACAATATCCCCAGCAACAACATCACTAGCGACAACATCACTAGTAACCTTACTGGCGAGAACTATAACCATGCTCACACAGATCAGAGCCAGTGGTTTGGTCTTGACGGGGCTAACGACCACACTGACGACCTGACTGGCGAGGACTATGACCATGCCGACACGGATCAGAGCTGGTTGTTTGGTTTTGACGGGACTGACGACGAGTATAGACCTTCCGACGAGGAAGATACTCCTGTCTCCACGTCTCACGCCAAGCTGCCCATCATGCCTTCCCCTTCCAAGGCCAAGCCAAGCGGCGACGAGCCCGACACGGACAGCGAGCCTGCCCATGTCCATGAGGACGACGAGCCGTCCGCCTCGGCCTCGTGGACAGACCCGCTCCACGGCGTCGCCGCCAACCTCTCTGCCGACGGGGAGGACGCTGGTAGCGACCGCACAGCAACGAAGCCGTTTGACTTCCGCCGGGGTCCTCTCGACCACTCGGCGGCCCTGATACAACAACGCGCAATAGAAGGGCGCATCAAGATCGGTCTTGGTCTTGAGACCGAGCAGGCCGTGGACAGGCTATACCCAGGCGCCAGGCAGCTACGCCACGAGGACCTCGACACCCTCAGCCCGGGCCACACGGACTCGGACCATGTTGCGTCGCTGCACAATCTGTACGTTGACCTGTGCAGGCGCATGTGGGTAGAGACCGACGGCCTGATCCACGGCATGCTCCTGAGCCTCTTCGGCCGCGACGACGTGTACATCCCGTACCTCGAGCTCCAGGTCAACGAGCACACCAATCCAGGGCAGTATGAAGACGACCATTTCCCACAGGAGGGAAGGGAACGCCGATACCACGTCCTACCGGTCAACACTGGCAACAACCACTTTGTTGTCGTGATTGGTGACCGCCAAGAGAACAGGGCGTGCTTTTTTGACGGCTACCACCAGGGCGACCCTATCCAGCGGGACGAGGTCCTGCGCCGCGTCAAGGAGCACTACGAGGCCTTCCTCGGGTTGATCGGAGCGCCGAGGATCGAGCTGCGGTACGGCCGCGCGCCCGACCAGCCCGACGACGTCTCGAGCGGGCTGATCGCGCTCGAGGTGGTGCGGTACGTCTTCCGCGAGCTGGGCGGAGACCTGGCCACGGCCGAGGAGCAGGACTTCATCCTTACCAACGCCGTCACCAGAACCGTGGGCAGGGAACCGTGGGCCGGCGGGAGCGACGAGGAGCTCATCGGGGTGCTGCTGCAGGCGTGGCTCCTCTGGATCGAGAGGGAGCTCGGCGGCGACGGGTCGAGGCGCGCCCTCGCCGGCGAGCTGCTCGACGCCGACGAGCCCCGCGGCACAGCCCGGCCGTGCGTCTACAAGAAGGGCGTCAGGCTCAGTGAAGGACATCTGCCGACCTCCGACACACAGTTCTTTGCGGCATTCCCGAAGGACATGGTCGAGCGCTGGACGAGCCTCTGTCGGAGGAATCCCCATTTTGCTGACATGGCGCTCGTGACGGCTGGTCTCGCGACCGCCGAGGAGAACGTTAAGCGCCACGAAGACTTCTCCCACGCGTACAAGGGGAGATATGGACAGCATGACGTCCAATCCCTCGGGCAGGACGACAGGCACGCTGACCTCCCCTCCCAACATGTCTTTGACGACCTCACCGGCCTGCCCCTGGCCGATCGCGGCCCCTACTCCATGGCGCCTGATGCTAACCTCCAATACGTCGTCTGCAAGGACGGGGGGGAGACAACGTACGCCCGCCACGCGGATAACAACCTCACAGCCATCGCCACGTGTACCAACTGGTTAAAGGGGAGCCAATTCACAAACCAGGACCTTGCCGCCGCGGCCCTCCTGCTGCGGCGGCTCCACGACCTGGACACCCCTTGGCCGCAGCGGAAACAAGAGGTACAGTTCGCGCTCAACTGCCTCGACAACCTCGCCGGGGCCCGGCTGGTGGACGCGTGCCGCAGCAACGACCACAGGTTTGAGAATCGCTGTCAGGTGTGGAAGGGCCAAGGGGAGGACGACCTGAAGGCGTCTGACTACTTCTGGGCGCGGCCAGAAGGGGACAATGAATATATGACAACGTTGGTGGAGGAGCGGATGAGCCAAGAAAAAGTCACCCAACGCGCAGGGGTCTTTTTCTCCCTCGGCCTCGAGCGTTGGCTCGGAACCACAGACAGGGCGTTTGCGCGGGGAAAAGAGCGGAGGGGAGAATACGAAGGCCTGCAAGAGGAGATGTGGGCAGTGGCTGACGGGAAGGGGCTGACGCGACGCGAGTTTGAATTTTTCTTCCTGCTGCATGGGGTGTACTTCCCATTCCACATCAGCGCACGGAAGTACCTGCTACGAAAGGAGCACTGGACGATCGCGCACCTTGTCGCTCTCGCCCGAGACGAGGTGGAAGGGGGCCTAAGGTATTGTAATAAGGCGGCAATCGCGAAGGGTCTCGGCGAGGATGATCTGTACAAGGCCGAGAACTGGGCGCGGGTCATATTCCCCATGTTCCTCAGTGCCCTGGACAAGCTCATAGAGGTGAAGAAGGAGCTCAGGGACAGGTGGCAGAGCAAGAAGTGGCCGCCGCCCGGGCCCGGCGTCTGGGACGATGTCTTCATGGACGAGGCGGCGCACCTCCTGACCGACGACTTGGGTGTCCCGATCCTGCCGTTCCAGTACCACATCCTGCGATGCACGCATGAGAAGCGGTTCGACCCGCAGGACATCATGCTGTCCGGGTACGAGGTCGGCCCCAACGGCATGCCCTTTGACAGCGCGGGGCCCTTCACCCACCCCGAACCTTTCCACCTGATGCGCTCCTTTGTCCCCTGGGCCAGGACCATGATGTTCTCGTCCTACCTGACAAACATGATCAGGGGGAAGGAGCACTGCTCGCTCTGGGAGGGGAGCAGGGCGCTTCTGCTGAGCATCCCGCCGGACGGGCCGATGTCCACGCTGCACAGGTCCCTCGGCGAGAAGCCGTGGGCCGCGGCGGACCCCGAGGCGTGCAGGGGGGCCCCGCCTGGTCCCACGTTTAGCATCGACATGCCCCGGCCGAGCGCCGACGACCTCGTCCTCCGCCCGCGCGGCTCCCGGCGTGGCATCCGCCTCAGCTGCCCCGAGTGCCAGGGCGCAGAGTCCCAGGACCTGACCCCAGGCGGGCTCCTCCACCACTACCTCGTGGAGCACAGCCTGCTTGGGCGGCACAAGTGTGAACACTGCGGGCTGACGTGTTTCGACGGCGAGGTCCTCAAGTTCCACCGCCTCCTCTGCTTCATGGACCCGGTACACCTACAGCAGGCGTTTGCATACTACCAAGACTTTGGCCACCACGTGGATGGCGGCGAGGGTTGTCTGTTTCCTACTGGCGAGAAGAGGTGCTATGAAATACATAACCTCAAGAAGCACCGCAAGATATGTGGCAAGTCAATTGCGAAACGCCTAGACGACCAGTTCTGTTGCATATGTGGCCTGGCCTGTTCCCACAGACATGACGACATCGTGAGGCATCAGAGCTCTGAGCCGCACAAGAAGCAGATGGCCTACGAAAACGACCCCTCCACTGCTGGAGACCTAGCGCCCTGCAAAAAGTGCGGGATCTTGTTGGGCGCCACACCCGCCACGAACGGACTACACGAAAAATTTTGCAAGATGAAGCAAATGATCAGGGCCGACCCTGGCAGGCTCAAGATTGTCGAAGACGGGGCGGCGGCGCGCAGGGACCAGGACAAAATGCTCAAGCATTTCCGGGCCGAGGCTAAGGGGCTGGCGGGTCCTCTTATGAAGGTGATCGCCGAGCACGCCCCGCCAGGGCCTCTCCCGGGGGCTGGTGTCTGCCGGGTGTGTCTCCAAAAGCAGAGCCCCACCAGTATTGACAAGAACAAGCGTAGGCACGAGGGTCTACCCATACACACCACAGCCCACAAACTGCTCAAACGCCTCTATGACGATGTCCCCGAAGACGACAAGAAGCCGGCGGACAGGAAGCGGCTCGCCGAGCTGCTCTCTGGTCTGCAGGCAGTCTACCACGGCGGGACAGCACTGCCGCCGGGGCTGCTCGACAGGCTGTTCAAAGTCCACATCCCGCGGGACGTCAGCACCGAGGATTTTCAGAAACTGGTCATCAAAAACAAGTACCTCACGGCCACCTTTCCACGTCAGTGGAAGAAGTCCGACCCTAGCACCATGCTGCGGATACTCGGTGTCGGCCCGACCCAGAAGCCTGGCAAGCTCGACTGTGTGGACTGCTGCTTGTTTGGCCTTCACAGATCTCCGGGTGAGGCAGCCATTTCTTCACACACGTCTGAGATCAACCACCTTGGAGCTCACGGGTTCATTGACGGCATGCTGGAGCTTATGGGCCCCGGTAAGAGCCGGTTTGATGCGGTCCTGGAGGTGCAGAGGAGGTACCGGGACAGCGACTCTGATCCGGACAGCCCCAGGAAGCCACCTCGCAAGAAGGCTAAGCTGGCGGCGGCATCTCCGCGGGGCAAGAAGGCGACCCCGAAGGCTAGCTTCCAGGCCAATAGGCCAGCAAGAAATACCCGCGGCCGCAACAAGGGGAAAGCGGCGACGGGAAAGTCGGTGGGTGTGCAGGCTGCTCGTCCTGATATCAGAGCGTTCTTCACGACCAAGCCCCAACCGAAAGCCAAACAAGACCAGGCTAGCAGGGAGGACGATGGTGGGGATGGTGAGGGTAATGGTGATCTAATGGATCTGGACAATTAGCTTGCTGCTAAGCTACCTGTAGACACAGAGGGCCTGGATAAAATTAATGATATTAAGGTTAAGTACCCTTTTATAGGAATAGTAATTGTAATGGTTACAATATCCCTCCTTACTAGCCTAAAAAACCAAGCCAAAAATAAGCCCCTACTAAAATAAAAAGACATTCTCTCCTAAAGCAATTTTAACCATCACAGAACAATATTCTCCCTATCCAGGACAACACAGTACCATTCACGACAAAAGCTCCTTTAAAAACGGGAAAACATCAACTCCCAAAGCTACGATTAACAGTTTCAAAACAACCTTCTCCCCTATTGGGGATAATATGGTACTGTTTAAGGCAAAAGGTCTTATAAAAACGGGAAAACATTGTCTCCCAAAGCTGGACTGCATGATAGAGACGGGGTCAAGTATGAAAGACCGCAGCTTTAAGTGGTGCAAGATAGGCCCATACTTGATATATGGGTCCCGAGGTAATGGGTCCCGTTTGATAATAAGCTGACGGGACGCCATCCGCGCCGTATCCTCCCAAGCCTTCATCACCCCAGTCCCGATAGTTGATTTCTCGGAACACCATGAGCTTCTCCACGTGAGCTGACAGGTATGAGACAGTAGGCCTGCACCTGCTGTCTCGTACCTCAAGATAGCCGCACGTCCCTTCTCGCAGTTCCACAGCTCCATGATCTGCAGTTTTGGTAACTTCCTAACTGCTATGGCGGCTCGCAACAGAATCTTCCTAGGCTTGCCGTCCTTGGGTTTGAGATACCTCTTGGAAGTAAGGGCAAGTGATAACAGATTTGGAAAGGCATCAGCCGGGAACTTGAAGAAATCGATTGCGTCGATAGTGAACGAGACAGAAAGGTGCTTGAGATTAACAGCGCGGCGGGAAACCCAATCGTGGACTCGAACCGGTGAAGACCAGAGTTCCCCGGAGCCCAAGAGCGGAATCAAGGTTCCCGGGCTGGGAGACATTATGCTTTTAGCTTCGAACAAAGAGAAGACTTCCAACGAGGACGGCGAGCTGCATGTGCCACAATGCACCTTGCCTTGGCGGGTACGAGCCTCACACAACTTGAAGTGTCCGAGATCTATGTGGGCTGCCTGCTCATCTGTCGGATTCGGCAGACGCCATCGTTCGTATCTGATGTTACGGCTGCAACAAGATGGTCAGTAAGCACGGAGGGTACTTGGATGCATCCTTAGGACTCGAATGCAAGATAGCGACCGCAGCTGTAAAAGGATTTCATACTTACAGACCAGTCAAGGCCTCGTGGAGCAGTTGGCCAAAGGCGGGAGGGGACAATTCACGGTGAAACTGTCGACGAATAAGAAAGGTAGAGATCATCTTGACCTCGGGGAACTTGTCTCTTGTGGAGTGGACACGAGAGAAATCGATTTCGAGCGGTTTTATAACCCTTTCTGCCGCACATTGAGGATTGAAGGGATATCCTAATGAACGCAAGTGGAAGTGGCCGTCGATATAGCCGTGGGCACGATCAGTCAATGTGTTGTCCCCGCTGGTGATATCTTGTTCGTACCGCAGGATATAGTCCCTCTGTGCACTGACAGGGCCCATATGTGGATAATCGGGTTGCAGGCCGGCATCGCCCTGAAAAAAATGGCGTGAATCACTGAGAGATTGAGCGCTGAGCTCCAGAGTCAATTCCTGCTTGTGATTGGGATCCCGCTTTTCCCAACGGGAAAGAATGCACAATAATGTATAGAGAGACTTGGTGAAGATGCTGTTGTTGCTAGGGTAGGGAGACTGTTAGCAATTGTAGGTAGCAAGAAACAGCCCATCAAGAGACCTACTTGGAGGATTCCTGATCGCCTTCCCCTTGCCCGCAGCTTCCACAATCGTACGTTTGAAGGTCGTCGACGTGCAGCCAAATGTGGCGTATTGGTGGCATGCAAGACAGGGGTGAGGACTCATGCCTATCGGTCGTTGCACGTGGATTTTGCCGTCTCCTGTTTCCATCCTCCTCGATACACGACCGACGGTTTACGATATTGTTGAACTCTTGCAGAGCCGAAGGACGCAAGAGGAGTTTTTCAAAGTTTCGCTTTTCGAAGAATTCCTGCCACTGCAGGCTGACGGCGGCATAATTTGCTCGGCACTGTCGGTCTTGCAACAAGCAACGGTTGTAGTCTTGGGCCAGTTCCTTCATGACCAGGTCCTGCACAATGAGAGGTAGGTTTCGCCACTGCAACCGGGCGTCCTGCCTGGTGAATTTCACCCTTTTCCCACTTCTGGTCTGCACCATGATGACTGTACCGGCTCAGGAGCAGGTGCGTTTTTCACCCGTCTCGATGACACGATCGGAAAAAGAGGACTGGCTCCTGCCGGGGGGGGGGTTGTTCCATGGATGGCATTTATGACCCTACGCCTATCACGCTATTACCGCAACGAAACCAATGTGGACACTGTCAAACAGCAAAGAGCTGCCGGTTGGGCACCGTGAGACGCGGACGCCAGACCGTCACTGCAAAGAAGGCTTGACTGTTTGCTGGCTCGCTTTTAGTGGCAGCTGAGAGTCGGACTGCCCAGCTTTCATGTCGGGCTAGTTGGTACTTGCTTTCGTTCAAGAATCACAAGGCAATGAAAGTACTCAAGTACCTAGGTACTTGCCCTATATAAATAAGGAATTCCACCATCCTGCCTACCCTAGGGTACTTCAGCAACAGGCCATTGGATCCGTCCGTATCCATGAAAAATAGGCCTGCATATTAAAACAGAGCAGTACTTCAGTACCTAAGTACCTAGGTGGGCTGTACTTTGACACTACCTAGGTACCTAGGCATGTACTTAGGCAACTTTGAAAGAAACAGGGTGGGGGCCTCTGACTGTTCAGGGTTAGGTGCCGCCCAGAATTTGTCGCCGATGACAGCATCGGCGAGCCTTTTTGACTGACCCCTCCATTATTAAATTCCACCCGTCCCGCAATCCCACACCCGGCCAAAGCACCCGGACCGCACCCACGCTCCTTCTCGACCACGACACACTCTTGCCCTCACCCACAAGGCACCGGCAAGAAACAATGTCTAGTCGACAGTTGAAGAAGCTGCAGAAGCAAAAGGAGCTCCTCAAGCTGCAGGAGCTCGCAGGCAACGACGACGAATCGTCAGAGGAGGAGGTCGCACCACCCAGACCTCGCACCAGCGCCTTTGCCGGGTTTGCAGCACTAGGAGGTGACGATGATGACTCCGACGACAAGTCGGACCAGGACGAGGCGGCGAAGGAACAGGAGGTAGTCGAGCAAGAGGACGAGGACGAGGAACCTGTAAAGCCGGCGCCAGCGAAGAAGAATAAAAAGCCCAAGAAGAAGAAAAAGGCCAAGAAGGCCGAGAATGCGCCACCAGAGGACAAGGTAGACAAACAAAAGGGCGGGTTGGACGAGATCGACCTGGCCCTCAAGGAGCTGAGCCTGAAACCACAACCGCGAGATGCATCGGGCCGGGAGACGCACGAGCACTATGATGTCAACCTGGCGCGTCTCCTGAGCATAAGTTTCGACCACCTGAAGGTCATCAATGAGCTCAGGGCGATGTTCGGCCAGGACACCATCGACTCGGTGCGCAGCCAAGAGGAGACGCAGGCCCGGGACGACCGGCGGAGGAACCAGCGGCGGGGCCACATCGACGTCAACATGGAGATGTACCTCAAGGGCAAGCCCGGCGAGAAGATACCAGACGTTGTGCTGAGGAAAAACCCCTTCATGCAGGGCAAGGACTTCTGGCCCCGCGCGTCTGCCGGCGGCCTGAAGATGGAGGCTGTTACTGACGAGAGGGTGGAGCCGACCGAGTACAGGTTCACGCATGACCGGAGCTACGGGTTGCTGGAAATGCAGTTCTACAGCCTGGTGGACATGATGGACCCGATGCGGATTGTGCACTTTGTGCACGACAACCCATACCACGTCAACTCGCTGGTGACAACCAACAAGGTGGCGATCAGGGACTCCAACGCAGCCCTCGCGGCGGATCTTTTGGAGCGGGCTTTGTTCACTTTCGGGCGGGTCACGCTGTCCTCGTTCAGGAAGAAGCTGGAGAGGGGCGTGGCGCGACTCGACTTCAAGCGGCCGGAGAACAGGCAGTTCTGGCTGGCAGGGTACCATTACATCAAGAGCCTCATGCAGAAGGGAACCTACAACACCGCACTGGAGTGGACGAAACTGTTCCTCAGTCTCTCGCCAAACGACGAATACGGCATACTGAACTTCACCCACGTCCTCGCGATCTACGCGTACGAGTCCGAATGGTTCATCGAGCTCTGCAATTCCTCCTACTTCAACAGCGACGAGTACGACCTGCCGATGAAGGAGTACTACAGGCAGAGCGTCGTGCTGGCGAAACTACTGCTAAATGACCGTGATGGCGCGCTGAAGGATCTCATCCACGGCATGGAGACACTGCCATGGCTCTACTCGTCGCTGTGCAGCGCGGTGAACATCGACACGCCCAAGGCGGTCTGGGGGGTGCAGCCGCGAAACGACGACGACGCCCTATACACGGAGCTGTACATCCACATGGCCAAGGACCTCTGGAAGAAGGAGAGCGGTGCGATCCCCCTGCTCAAGGAGGCGGGCGGGCTGGCGAGAAAGGCTGACGTCAAGTCGCTGCCGCTGGCGCGCGAGGTGCCGCTGAGCATCGGGCGCTTCATCTACCTGGATAACACCCCGGAGCTGATGGGCCTGGTTCCTACCGACATGCTCCACGCGTCGCCGAACTTTGACTACGACCCACTGCCGCCCGCGAGGGAGGAGAACATCTTCTCCAACGAGTGGCAGGAATACCCATGGAGCAGGTCGGAGCAGCCAGAGGGTGTCTACACACATCCGGGCGGGATAGAGAACCTGCTGCGGGAGGCGCAGAGGGCGCTCCAGCAGCAGCGGGAAGCGCAGGGCCTGCCGGACAACGCAGATGAGCTGGGTGCCGACCTGGATGGCGACGCCGCCGAGGTCCTCGGGTCCGAGGAGCAAGGGCTGCTGGGCAGGATAGCCAACATGCTCCTGCCGGTGTGGATGGCGCGGGGCGGGCAGGGTGCAGTGGACGACGAGGCGATCGACGACATGGTCAGGGAGCTGGCGGGCGGGGGCGCCAACCCGTGGGCGGATGGGTCGGAGGATGGCGATGAGGATGATGAGGATGATATGCCCGACCTGATCCCTGGGGCGTTCCCTGAGGACTCACCCGAGCTCCGCCCCAGCCGCGGCCGAGGGGACGAGGATGACGGGGACGATGATGACCTGCCGCCTCTGGAGCCGGCGGGGCGGGGCCACGGTTGAGGCTGTGGGGCTAATCAAAGTAAACGACGGAAGATTCCACGACTTCGAAATGACCACAAGTGGAATAGTCTGTGTGGGATACACGTGTGTTTCATCCATACCGCCGAAGGATTGCATGCCTTGCGGAGTACGGAGTACACCACATGCGCAACATCCTGCATGCATGCATGGGGATCGAGCTGCTGTCACCTCGGCCGCCTCTGGCAGTTCTGGGCAGTGGGCACACACACACATAGGCCTCGAACCAAGACAAAGACTCGGAAGCCGGCAGGGCTAGTAAGGATTCGTCATGCAAGGCACGAACGAGCGTTGTGGGACGGGGGACAGACAGAAACAAAACGATGCGGTATTACGTGCTGAGCATATTGTGCACACAGCATGCACCCAGCCGCATATATAGAGGATAAAATACCCAGTTGTGAATACTTGCTCATCAAGCGAGATTGCCTCCCGCACACAAGAGTCTCCAGAAACACCCACCAGAGGCGAGGCTGAAAGGGACTTGCAAGTTATCAGACAATACTGTCCAGCCGGAAAGAATGAAGATAAAATAAAATAAATGACTGACTGACTGACTAACCCTGGCATAGTTTCGAGACTGAGCATGTTTTACCCGGCCTTGATCCCCCTGGCCGTTGGGCGCGATGGCCCCGGCCGCCCTCACACGGTCCTGGTGATGGCGCAATCCACGCGGCCAGCAGGTGTGATCGTTTAGGAGAGCCGGTGACTGGTCGGTTTTGAGAGTGACAATGCCTCTTGGTGGTTGACAGAACGGGACAGGTGTACAAAATGAATACACTGCAACTGCACTGTGGCATTTCTAATCAACCACCCTTTTCCTCGCCCGGCCCCCCTGGCAAAAAGTGTCTCAGCTTGGACGGTGTGAAGGCCACGCGTAGAAGGGGGGATATATAATCAAGACAAATCCCATTCTGGTTCTTTCTCTCGAACCTCTATTCCGAATGAGTATTTGAATCGCCCCTTTTCTACTGAAGAACCACCACATCACGCCAGGTGCAGTGCAGAGAGAGTCTATCTGCAAGCGGACAACTGCAATCTATACTTAGCACACGTTACCTACGGCACCTACCCCGCGACCCCACCACCACCACCCGCCCGAAACACCCTTGTGGACAACGACAGCTCTCCCTTTCCTCTCCTTGCGACTGCGACACACAACTCTCTCCCTCCACGAACCCTACCAACCACCCAAATCCACCAACACACCCACACATCACACCAACACACAATCCGCAATGGCCTCAACACACACCTACAAGTTCAACGTCAGCATGAGCTGCTCCGGCTGCTCCGGCGCCATCGACAGGGTGCTCAAGAAGCTCGACGGTAAGCCGTTGCCCGCCCCCCCTCGCGCCCCCTCCCCCACCAAAAACCCAGGACAACACACACACACATACACACATGATAGCTAACGCGGCAAAAAAAAAAAAAAAACAGGCGTCGAGTCGTACGAGGTCTCCCTCGAGAACCAGACCGCCACCGTCGTCGCCAAGGACGACCTGCCCTACGAGAAGGTGCTGCAGACCATCGCCAAGACGGGCAAGAAGGTCAACACGGGCGAGGCCGACGGCGTCTCGCAGAGCGTCGAGGTCGCCGCCGCCGCCTAGGGGGGTTTTGTCTTGTTTTGACGGGCCTGGATGGCGCCGCAGGAAGGAGAGGGAGGATGGAATGGGTGGGCGTCTCGTCTGGCAACCAACCACAGACTGGACTGCCGTTGTCAAGACGTGGGTTGGGTTTGGATGACCCGGGGCAAATGATAGGGTCTCGAGGGGGTTTAGGCCCATGGGAGCGGATAGAAAAGAGCTTGATAATACCGATACCTGGTTAACCTTCCTACCTGGGCTCTCCATACCCTGGGGGACGTCCCCATTCGAGTGCGCTGACACGTGGATGTTGCCGCGCTGGTCGACGGCGGATGCGCCGCGCCCGGTCTGGGGTTATTCTTTCTGTCTCCGTGGGAGCACCCTCGGGCACGGCGCAACAGGGAGACATGCGCGCAACTGGCCAGGCTGTCTGTCTGTCTGTCTGTCTGTTGGTGACCTTGGTGCTGAGGACATCGCCAACATGTCCAGGAGGAGGGGAGGGGTGAGCTCGCTCGGTGCTTGGTCCTGCGTATCGCGGCGCCCCGTCCCCAACAGCCTGGACATCGCATGCGGAAGGACACGCGCTCGAGGCTCAGACTGCCTCGGCTATGGCGAGGAAGCCTACACACATGGCGGAGGAGGTGGTGAGTTCCCCCGGGCGGCGGCGGCGGCGGCGTGTACTGCATCAACGTGCCGGCAAAACTCCAGACAACACGCATGCGCCCCAGACAGCATGCAGTAGACCATGCAGCCTCCGTTCCTGCAGCCTACGGTTCTTTCCGGGGCCCTGGGAGTGGCAAGACGTCCAAGAACGCATATGCCGTCATGTTCGGCCGAGAAGAGCTGGACTTCCCGTGGCGCACTGCCGCTCGTGTGAGAGCCGAGGCCCTTGGTCCATCCATGATGATTGATGTCTGCAGTATGATGGCACTCAGATCACGACGACGAGGGAGAATATGCATTCATCGGCGTCACAACTGACCACCGGGGTGGGTGGCAACATACACGAAACCACATAGACGTAAGCATAGGTTGGTGTGCCATCCCGAGGGCTGTCTGGCTCCCTGGCTCCTAAGGCTGATGATGATGATGTTGATCCCGAGGAGACCCCGAGAGCGTCACGGGTGATCGACATGACCAAACACACACCCACACACACTTTTGCATTAATACACAACCGCAAAGACTAGCGATCCGGTGATGCAAGGGCACGGAACCCAGCATCGAGCCTGCCAGGAGGACAAATACATGACCAGGACAGTGAGACCGGGCCCGGCATCATCGCCCCCACCCAACCGAATCTCGGCGCCGAACCCGGCCCCGGAACTCCGGGCCCAGGCGCGGAAGCGGAAGCAAACCATCCAGTCCAGTCTGGCAGGGGATGGACGAGAGCTCGCGACACCGACAGCATCTACGACGGGTACTCCTTTTCCTCCTGGTTCGTCTCCGCCGTGGGGCACCCAGGCAAGTGGACTGTTTGATGCGCGTCGGCAAGAGGGCAACACGTTCCCCGCGCGGGAACGCTGGCGTCGGCGCTCCGTTGCGGCTCTCCCGTCCACACAAGCGGGCGGGCGGGCTACCTTTGAGAGTATCCAGCCCAGCCAGCTCAAGCGAGGCCAGGCGGGCGCAAAGCTGAGGGGATGAGCGACTGGGTTTGTGTACGATAATAGTAATCAACGGCCACTACCCAAGAGTGGACGTTGATCAAGTTGGGGTGGAGCCACGAGGGTATGAACACGGCGCGCGGACCCTCCCAGGGGCCTTTTTCGCCTAGATACGTATGTCGCGAAATCTTACCCACTCACTAGCTTTCCTATATGGGAAGCTCCGTATAATGTCTGTTTGCTGGATCTGTTGGCGTGCCTAGGTTGGCCCGTGACTTTTCGCAATGTCTCGGAACCGTTGATCTCAATCCCTCCGCTCCGCGAGATCATCCCGGGTGCTCCGTGCAGACACTCGTTGCTTCTTGGGGTTGGGCCCCATTGTCCGACACCTACCACGGGACGCATCAGCCCTGTGTTTGCGTGCCTCAGTCCCTCTCATCCTACTAATGCTCATGATGCGCGCGCTGTCGCTCAAGATCTGCGTCGCTACCATCTCCATCGTAAGTCCTGCTCACTTCTCGGGGGAACTTTTTCTGTTGGGGCTCCTGAAGGAGGCCTACCGGCGGGTCCAGCCAGCCGTACCCGGTTTGTGATTTGATTCCCCACGTGTGAGTACGCACGTACTGTAGAGCGTGTAAGTCCGAGCCAGCCCAACTAGGTGGAGACAGAGATGCGCGCAAGGAGAATTATTCGAGCTTCCTGCTGTTGTTCTCGCTTGAGACGGCCGCCGTCTGGGGCCGGTGGACAACTCTTCACGGTCGGTCCTGTTGGTGAGTGGAGGAGTTGGTTTGTAGTCCTGCCTAGGTAGTGTTCGGCGGTGCCATCATCCTCATTTGGGCGTGCCCAGGGCGCAAGCGTCACTCACACAGACACGTCCCGATACCCATATCCATGCACCCCCTCCCATCCTCTCCACTCGAACAATCCCAAGCGCTGGCTGGGAGTGGCCCATGGATTTCTGTTTTGGGGCTGGTGGGCTGGATGGATGCGGGCAGGGGATTTGAGGTGACGGCAATGTGGAACTGGAGAATGGGTCACACGTGATCTGGACGTCTAGGAAGTGAGCATGCGGGCACGGGCGCTGGCGCTACGGAAATGGGGAAGGGGGTGGGCGCGGACATGGCATGGGCAAGATTTGGTAATATACGGTTATCTTGGTAAGGACAAGGGTTCTGGCAAGTTGAGATGAGATGTGCGTGATGACTTGAGGTCTGTGTGTTTTGATGAGTCGAGGGAAATAACGATTGGTCCGGGCGTGATCTGCTCTGTTTCCTGCTCCCGGGCTCGTCTGGCGACTGAGTGTTGGAATTGACGGGGGCAAAAGAAACAGACCAACGAACAGTGCCGTGATGAGGTGCCGTGGCTTGTCCGCTGGTCCGTTGACGGGTCGCGGGCATTTGAGTGGCGTGCGTGCTTGAATAGCCAGTCATTATTTGTTTCATAATTTTCTTTAGGCTGTGAAGTTACCATCGATGGTGTTCAATTGCAGCCTGAGACTCGTCGCGGTTTCTTTTGCCCGGATGCAGGCGCGGGAAGGGGTGGCGAGGCCCGGGCGGCGACTACTTGTACGTCAGTAGAACCAAAGTTGACTGGCTGACTGGCTCGTCTATGACATGCATATAGACTACGCGATGTCGACGTCGATTGTGGGAATTAGGGGTCCAATCCACTGGGGGGCGGAAGTGTCCCGCCCCTCTCCGTATGTCGTGTCGTGTCGCTGGCTGATGTGATGCAACAGTAATTTAGCGTCCGTCTTTTCCTCGGAGGCGAGACTTGCCTGGCAGCCCAGCCTGCCCTGGTGCCCTGGTGCCCACATCTTGGAGATTTGGAAGTGTGAGTTGCATCGCTTAGACTAGCCTTGTGCTCCCGTCGGATGATCCCCTTGTGAATTCGGTTACGCTGCAGCTCTTGGGATGGGATGGGACGGGCAACGGGCCAGTGAGGTGTACAGTGACAACAATTCTTTTTGCCACGGAAGAGCTGGCGGCCGATACACTACAGGTTCGGCCGAGGACAAATTAAGACTGCGGCCCAGCAGCCTTAGATGTTGGCGAAACGGACTGGACGGGGGCGGGGATAGATTCCCGTCCGGGAAGGCCATGGACGGGAAAGCGACAGCCGAGCCGAGAGGCCGGCACAACCATGGCATGGCACGCACTTGGTTTTAAGCATATCTGGGGGCAATCTGGCACCTCGGTGTGATGGCGATGCCATCTAGATGTGCCTGCGACGCTGCGTCTCTTGCTGCTTCTGGTGGCGTCGGGTGGCTGCAAGAGGTTACAACACTTGGTTGGCCCGTGGACCCCGGCAGTGTGTATTTGATTTGGTTGCAGCGCAGGGCAGAAGAAGACACCCAGAAGGAAAAGCTAGGGCATTGGAGATCAGCCCCAGCAAAAGCAAACTCACAGAAGCAAAACATGGCATGACACCCGTGCCGAAGCCCCATCTTAGCGCGTGGGGTCCAGTCGCTTGCCCACGGCCGGAGGAGCTGAGGCGCAGATGAGCCAGCCCTTCAAGAAAATGCCGCGCGCCGAGGCCTATGCCCTACGGCGGCAAATCCGGATTTTGGGGCCCAGCACTTACTTGCTAGCTGATCACGGACGGGCGGATCACCCCGCTTCAACCTGCCGTGGTGCTGCTACCGTGGTGCTGTCGCCCAGTGGCTCCGGGGCCTTGCGTGCTGCCTGTCAGTGTCAGTCATGACTTGGTCAGTCCCCCAGTAGCCCCCTCCCCCCATCTCGGCCGTGCCAGCGGCGCTGATCATTCGGGCCGGATGGGACGGGGGCGGGTTCATCAAGAAAAGCAGACAAGTCTTTCAGGGGCACGCCGCGACGTTTGACCATTTTAGGCGGCCGCCTGCATAGGACTGGACAGGACCAGTCCCTGCATGCAGTGGGCTGGTGCTGCGACTTTGGAGCTGGGCCTTGGAGGGGGTGGCCGGCTCCGTGGCCGCAGACAGCACGACGACGCACGACCTCCCGCGCCCCCAAGCTTCAAGCTCCGTTGGGCCTTGTTCCTGGGCAGCGTGGTATTAGTCCTGGGGTCTTGGGTGACAGGGCTCTGCAGCGGTCTAGCCTTGTACACCAATGCTATGAGCCTATGGCACATGTTGGGAGCAGTAGAAGGGATGACACACCAGAATGGGACCTTGTGGTAAAGGCCACCGAGGAAAATCTCTTTTCCTCGTGTCCCATTGCTTACATGAGCAAGAAGGATCGAAAGACGGTCGGGGAGGGGAGGCCAGCGGATGTAACGTCAGTCAGCGTGTTTGGGGTGGAGGATCGCGTGCATTATGCTTATTGGCCCCTACTACCCTAGGGTGCTCTGCCATGAACGACTCGATACAACGTGGGGCCGTTAGCTGAGGGTTCGCAACTGCATGACCAGTGATGTTATCGATCTGTACGTGAGGGACGCAATAATAGCATGTGCGTGGTAAGCGATGAGTAAAAAAAGCCCAAGCTGCTCAGCTGCTGAGCAGGCGGGTCGCACGCCAGTCATCCATCCCAAAGTCGTCCCAATCAGCTCGAAGATGAGCGCAGCGGGTGAGCAATGTGGACACACACACGCGTTCGGCGGCAAGTACGGGTCAGAGTGGACGTATCCGGGCGGGCGTGTCAGCGTCGTTGAGAGTTGAGAGCTGGGTTCGCGCAGGGGATCGGCGGAATTGCCAGAGTTGCTTGATTCAACCATGCGATGCGAGATGGGGCGAACGGTGGGAACGTGCTCGACAGCAGAGTGCGATTCGGAACGGTGGGCGTGGGCGGCGTGGGCGGCGTGGGCGGCGTGGGCGTGGTGGGCGTGTGTGCCTGTGGGGATGGAGACGGCCGGAGATGGGGCAGCGGCAGCTGGAACAGGACTCTGCAGCCGAAATCGACGAGCATCGCATCATGAGGTAATCTCAGGGTCTGGCGTCAGCCCTTCTGGTCCAGCCGGTCCAGCCTGTCCAGCCTGTCTGCCTGTCTGCCTGTCCGGCTCTTTCCCAGGGCTACCAGGGTCGGCCAGGTTGGTGATGATATGCGCCCTGCCCTCAGGCAATGCAACTAAGGCCAGCCCGATTTGATAATTACAGCGTGGTTTCATCGCGGTGGAGATAGCTCGGGGTGTTCCAAGGCGGCTTGGGAACGCTGCGGCGATGCTCGAGGGACCAGGCAACCAGGGCTGCCGCTGGCAGGACGGTGGGGGGGAGAGCCCTCGCAGGCTCGCACCCAGGAGCCTAGAGGGAAATATTCCCGCAGGTTCAGACTAGCCATGTGGTTGGCAGGCATTGGGGAAGCCACCTGGTGACAATTATCAGATTGTCGGCCAGAACGCAGGAGATTTCCGGGCTCGAGGGCGGCGTGCCAAGGCGAGTCAGAAGCAGTTAAAAGTCCAGGGCCCCAGAGAAATCATAATCCCGGCCCGTCCAGCGTTGCACCGAGAGCTGAGGTATTATGGGGCCTCGGACGGGCACTTGAACTGTGGGCTCGAGCTGGACTACTGTAAGAGGAATGGAGGACAGGGGCGAGGTGACATTGGTGTATAGGTGAGAATGGAGGGGGAAAAGTTAGAAAAACAAGTTAGACACCACCATGGAAGGACGAGAGAAGACGACTGGAAGAGTCGCCCAGGCACCTGGCGAGGCATGTATCACGAACCTAGGTCGTCAGGCAGGAGACAGATAGAAGACAGAGATACAGACTACCACCTGACCTGACTGACTGCCCTCTTGGGAGCAAGTCTTGGGCTGGACTGCAGATGTGGAGCCCGACATTTTGGAAACGGCAGCAACTCTCAACGTGCCTTCCTCTCGGTCGGGCTCACTCGCTGAGCAGGTACCTGGACCTAGGTACCAAGCTCCAGCTCGGACGGAGCAGGAACAGAGCATCCATCTATCTGCCAGTCTCCTCACACACACACACACACACACACACGCACGTACACACACCACCCCAAAACCCAACACCCAGCCAGCCAGCCAGCGAGCACGGCTCCGGCCCCACACCAGCCCAGTGTCAGTCCGATGCTGGGACCTGCAGAAGCTTGATGGCCACTCACCCAGCCATCGCAGAAGGGATCAGCACTCAAAATCACTCGTCCATTCCACCGAGCAAGGGCTCGACACTCAGGGCAGGTATATACCCACAGTATACCGCACCAGATTGATACGTGCAGCTCAGCAGCAGCCCAGCCCAGCCAGAGCAGAGGCCCAGCTCGACTCGACTCGACTGAACTCGATTCAATTCGACTCGGCACACGACACACGACCGGAACGGGTTGTCAGGACCGGCCGATCCAGTCCAGGGATATACATTTTTTTCTTGCCTCGCCCTGCCTTGCTTTGCTTCTCCTCTGTGGTGGCTCGAACCTGACTGACTGGCTGACCGACCCAACCGACCGGCCTGACTTGACTCTGGGCCATTGAGGCCTCGTTTCCTCTCCCAAGTCTCTTTCTCTCCCAGTCCTCGTCCTCGACCGGCCCCACACTCCCTCGATACCCAGTCCAGTCCCCCCGTCCCAGTCCGGAGGGCGGGCGAAAGTCTCATCGTCTCATCTTGTCAACTCGACCACTCGCACCTCCATCTCATCTCCCTTGTGCATGTCCAATCTCCAACCACGGCTGGCCATCGACAACCTGCGCGGGCGTCAAATCATCACAACCTCCACAGCACAATTTCTAATTCAAGCATGATCGGCGCGCGTACAACACCCACGAGGCGCACAAGAGATTACGTGCTGATTTAAACGTCTCCGCCGGGGCTAGGCGCTCAACGGCCACCACGGGTCTGCTACGCCTGCACAGCTTGCCCTGCTTGTTTGGTCCTCGAACGGCTTTCTCCGTCGCCTACCACACAATACCGCACCACTACCCTTTTTTTAGCCCTCCCTTGCTTGACCTCTCGGAGCCGAACTGGGGCAGACAGGGCACACACGCATATCCTCTTGTCGCACACGCCCACGCAGACGCACCCCAGGACCAGGGCCAGGGCCGGATCCAGAGCCCACCCAGAGCCCAGAGCCCAGAGCCGACAGCCACTGCAGCTCCAGAGCCAAGCCAAGCCCCAGACGGCCGCACCACACACGGCTGCGCTCCCAGAGGCGGGAGAGCTTCAGATACCCATCATATTATTATCCCACGCACACCTCTCACCCGTGTACACGCTCTCACACACTCGCACACTCACACTCACGCACACACTCGCACACTCACATATCTCTCTGCCAGAGATATCTTCATCCTCACCCCTCCATCCCCCTCTCTGTCCTCCCTACCCTCGTATACCCGGACCTTCAGACACATATACTTCCTCGGCCACATACACTTGCGACCTCGACCACGACAACGACCAGACCGCGACCGCATACACCCTCGCGCCCCCGTACACGATCCCGTCTTGCGCTAGGAGCCTATTGTCAGCTCCCTCACCACCCATCCAGCTGCCAAGTCGTCGTGTCTTGCGTTACCCTGCCTTACCGTCGCGTGGTGTAAGACTTGAAACCCCGACCACCACCTCCGTCATCGACCGCTCCAGGCATAACAATCCTGCGCCTTGCTGTGCATCGGCCTGCATTGTCGCCGGACCGCATTATACTTGCACTGCATAGCTTTTTTGCACTGCACTGCATTGACTGCACCCCTTCGGAATTGTACTTCTTGGCGCCCACCTCACCCGAGCTCCAGCCTTTCCAGCATTGCGGTGGACCGGCTTCACATCTTTTCTGCGGCCTGCTTTTATTAATCTCGGACCGTTCTCAGGAACCCACCAGCAAGGACCTCGGCCGACCGAAACCTGGGCGCTCAATTGAGGCTGCGCTGAGGCTGCACAGGCGCTGTCCGTCGCACACAAAAGCAGCTCAGGCTCGGACTCGAGCCAGTCTCCCGCGCCCGTCCAGTTGGCATCGGCGCCCGACGTGCATGATCCCGGCCCCAGTCCAGCGTCCCGATTCGCATACGCCCCGCGGGCTTGATGCTCTCTCGCCACTCACAAGCATGGCAACACCAATACCTGGAGTCCAGGTCCAGGTCCAAGACAATGGATCCGGCTCCGCCTCTACCACCACTCCCACATCGACAACGGCAGCCAGCGCCCCAGGCTTCCCGGTCCACATGACAGAGCGGCCGGCGCCTGTCGCCAACATGGCGTCTAACATGACCACTATGGTCTTCGACGGCCCCGGCTCGACGGGCAAAGCAGTTAAACGGCCCCGCCCTGTCAAGAGCTGCAACTCATGCCGCCAGCGCAAGCTGCGCTGCGATCGGACCTGCCCCTGCTCGCAATGCCAAAAGTCCAACCGCGCGTGTAAATACGCAAATGAGCATGAAGTTGGCCCAGGGTCCGAAGGCTCCGACGTTGAGGCCTCTCCCAGGCCCGCCAAGCGCCAGTACCGGCCGGCTCCACCATATCCACTGGATGCACCATCACCACAGCTGCAAGCAGGGCCGGGGCCTATGGGCCTGGGGCTAGGACCTGGGGCGGCAGTGAGTACGGTCGGAGTGGGCGAGCAGCAGCCTCGTGGCTTGCCGGGGTCGGTCCTCGAACAATTCGGCACCCGTCTGGAGCGCTTGGAAAAATTCGTCTTCAGTTCGAGCCCCGCCTCTACTGCCGGAGGAGCCGCACATGCACCGGAATGGGGCCCGTCGCGGAACCCCTACTCGGCTTATGCCGCAGTCATGGGGTCGCCGACCACGATCCGGAGCCTGAGTGTCAAGGGCAACCTGCGGACCCGATTTTTCGGCCAGAACAGCACGAGGGTGCTGCTGAACCTATTTGACGAGGCCAGAGAGTTCATCTTCAGCAAGTCAAGAGGCGGCGACATCAGGATGTTGTTTGAGCAGCTGCACAAGGTGCACCGCGCCTTGCAGGAGGAGAACAAGCGGGCGCTCGCGCCAATCTCAGTCTTCACGGACTCGATGTTGCCCGTGCAGAAGAGGATGGCCGACATCCTGCCGGGTAGGGCAACTTGCGACAGGCTGCTGGACGCGTACATATCCATGTCCGAGGGCATCTATCGCGTTGTCCACGTGCCCTCCTTCAAGGCGGAATACGAGGCATTCTGGACCCAGGCGGGCGTGTCAGATGGCTTCCTCCCTCGCCTGATGTGTATGCTGTCGCTGGGCGCGCGGTTCGAGACGGAAACGCGGGGTCTCAGTCACGATCGTGCCGACGGCATCAACGCGCCGACCGCGTGCGCCCTCACCAGGGCGTGGCTCGATGGGCTCCGGGGCAAGCAGCTGGTAGACATGGACACGCTGCAATGCGAGGTGCTGCACCTCCACGCATCGCGCATGATGCTGTCACGCAACCAGGAGTCGTGGGCTCAGCTGGGCTTCATAGTGCGGATGGCCATGACTATGGGCCTACATCGCGACCCAGACGAGTTCCCGCAGATAAGGCCCTTCTACGCCGAGCTGCGGCGACGTCTGTGGTACACCATAGCCGATATGGATGTGCACCTTGCGCTAGCCTGCAACCTGCCTGGGGCTGTCCGTGAGGGCGAGTACACGTGCAGGCCACCGAGCAATCTCGACGACACCGACATTTTTCCCGAGATGAAGACCCTCCCACCATCCAGGCCTATCGACGAGTACACCAACACGCAGCTGCAAGCGTACGCCTCCCGGACACTGGCTCACCGCATCCGCGTGTCGACCATCATCAACCGCCTGGACACGATTCGCGACTTCCACGAGGTGCTTGACTGTGGCACCAAGCTGGAGCAGCTGCTGGACGATGTCAATCACTTGTTCCCGCGACGAAACCAGACACTGGACCCGCGGGCCAAGTTCAATGACTGGCGCATGCGCGCCCTGCTGGACATGCATGTGCGCCGGCCGCTGCTGGCGCTTTACCGGCCTTTCGCCTTGAGCACAGTCGAGTGCCCTGCCCACATCACCACCAGCTACCTCAAATCCTCGATGACGATGCTGACCTACATGGACGAGTTGGACCCGCGCATGCCGGGTTTCGGTGACGTCAGCCACATGTACCACGTTGTCCTCAAGCACGATATCATGCAGGCTGCATTTAGTGTCTGCCACTTCATCAAGCTGGCCGGCGAGGAGCAGCAGCAGCATCTGGCACGCCAGCAGCAGCAGCACTTCGCTAGCCAATCGCATCAACAGCAATCACGCAACCCTCACAGCGCAACAACCTCGCCCACGGCCACAGTCAATGGCCAGCTCCCGAGCCCAGACGCACACAGCCACGCGCGAGATGGAGGGCCAATCGGTGGCGGCGGCATCACCTTCAACAACGCGCTGGACAACCACATGGTTTGGTCAACCCAGGGGATGACACGCGCTGTTCAGAACACCCTAGACAGCTTCGCGGCGATGGTCAAGGACGATCCAGCGTGCGACCTGCTCAAGGACACGGTGGTGCTCGCAGTGGTGCTTGGTTCCGTAGCTGGTGGGACAGCGGACGAGCGGGCGCATCGTATTGCGAGAGGTGTCGCCCGCATTGTCGATGCCGGGTCCGCAGCACTTAACGCCACCCCCGAGGCTATTGCTAGCCTGCCTGGGCCGCCTGGCAGCGGAGGGTCCAACAGTGCCGGTGGTGTCGGTAGCGGAGCAGGAATACTTGATGGTGGCGCGTATGGGTCTTCTGGTAGTGGGACCATGGGGTACAGCCCTACCACTGTGAGTGTTGCCTCCATGCTCAGCTCTTTCTGCAGTGTAGCTGCTGCATATTGAACGCTGGTTTTGCTAACCTGTCTGGTTGCTCGGCAGTTCTTCGACGATTTATCCTACTGGGATATGGACCAGTGGGATCTTGCCACTGTCCCTGTCGGCTTGAACTAGACAACCGTCCAACTCTGCATCTATATTGGAGAAAAAGTGCATGATATTTCTTTTTTTTCAAAGAGCTGGCAGCATCACATTGAAATCGACTATAATATGCGACGAAGAGAAGGACAGCTTGCGGTGTCACTGCGAGGCTGGTGTTACATCATGGCAACACGATGCAAATCAGAAGAACAGGGGGCAACGTTGATATTTCGCCGTGAGCGGGTCGGAACATGAGCGATGCTACGTCAAACCTTCACGATTCGACGTAAAGATGCGGGCGATACAACTTTTATCCGACAAGACCCAGCCGGTTGTCACGTGGGCGAACAACGTTTAGCAGGCCATGGCTGAAACCTAACTGACTTTCTCCTGGAGAGGCCCTTATGCCATTCACATTGGAGGGCCGAAGCAAGAATGAAGAGCGCTGCCCAATCTGGCTGCTAGTCGATGTGCTCTGGGAAAGATGGGCCTCGTATGGTGGGCGGGTCCGGTGTGCCGGACCAGAAGTTGAGTTGAAAGACTCAGCGCCTGGTCTTTGAACCATTTTCGATCATTTACAAGTACTTTCTTTTGGGCCGCGGTTTTACTCTCTCGGATTATTCTTTACTTGATACCCCTATTCCTTGAACCCTTCAAGTTTCTTCACTTCTTCCCTTCTCTACTTTCAACTTCGATACCATTCTCTTTTTCTTCCCACGAAAAAAGATTCATACCCACCCCAAGGTGGTGGCCGGTCGGGTCTGGTTGGGCTGGGCATACTTCGGGGCATGCATTTTACGTTGTGTATTCACGGGCAGAGAAAGAAGAGTTTTAGATATCCATGTTGTTTTGCTTCCAACGCTTGTCCATAGACCTCCTGTCTGTCCTTATCCGTACCCTATATACCCTTTTCTTTTAAAACCTTGTTTCCGATGTACCATCTAGAAGAGAGAAGAAAAACATGGCCTGTCCAACGAACATACGTCTGCATGAATCCGTGATACTCATTGCTCAAGGTATCTTTGCCTCGTTACCCACGCGTCGCCACGACGCAGACCATAACCAAACAAAAGAGAAGGCGAGAAATCAGACAATTGAATATCACACAAATCAACCAACAATGATCGGCGCCTTCCAGTCCCAATCCCTCTTCTCCGCAGCGTCGACCAGAAACTTCGCCACAGCGCCCCGCGAGATGGTCGCCATCACCCCGACCGTCCCGTCCCCGCCGAATACCTTTGCAGCGCCATCGCCCTCCTCGACAAGCCGCGTCGGCCGCACGAGCACGTAGGGCACGGCCCCCGCCGCGGTGCCCTCGCGCTCCTTGCGCTGCCGCACCAGCTCCTGCTCCACCGCGTCGTGGTCCTCGTACGTGTACACCATGTTGCTCTTGCGGAAGAGCAGGCGCAGCACGCAGTTGGTGTTGGCGGCCGAGGAGCCCGCGCCGAGGGCGGACAGGGCGACTATCTTTGGCCTCTTATCGTTGTTGTTGGTCTTGGTCTTGGTGTTGTGCTCGTCCAGCGCCGCTAGGAGCCCCGCCATCGCGTCGGCCATCATCCGCGGCGGGGAGTCGGTCGGGTCCACGGCCGCGAAGGGGCTGTCGCTTGTGCGGCGGGGGTTGAGGGTTGTTATCACCACGTCCACTGGGGCTTTCTGGGGTGTGGACAGCAGGGCCTTCAAGATGTCGGATTTGTTCAAGGGTGACCCCTGGATGATGGTCAGGTTGGCGGACGACGGGTGTTTGGCGACGGCTGGGTTGGAGGAGAGGGACTCTGGGTTGCGGGCTAGGGCTGTTATGCTGTGGTTCCGGTCGAGGGCTTCTTTTAGGACGAGGAGGCCTGTGCGGCCTGTTGCGCCTAGGAGGAGGATCTGCATTTCGGTGGTGGGTTTGGGGGAGGGTTTGTTGGCTGGTGTGGTGGTTGGTGAGGAGGTGGTCGTGATGTGGTGGTGTGTGGTGTGGAACTGGTGAGGTGAGGATTCGTAGTGCTGCTTCAGAAGACAAGTCTGGGATAGATAATTGTATCGAGATCCTTGAGGAGGGATTTATTTCTTAAGATTTGTTTAAATGAGTAGTTATCAAGGACACTGTCATCTTATCCTGACAGCGTCTTACGCCTTTTATGTGCTCGTGCAAGTCCGGCTCATCACCCGGATCCGAATACCATGCCTTGCTGTCTCGGCCGAGACTTACAAATAATCCCAGCAAAAGGATCCACTAATACCATAAAAGGATCTAGGTTCGCTCTTAGCTGGGCGCCAGCCCGTCGTGACTTGTCAGCATTCGTTAGGCACCCGTTTAAGCAATTGTTTGGGTTGGTTCATGTGTTGCCCGGACCCGAGTCGGGGCCGGATTGATTCACGATGCGCCTGGTTTGCTCCGCTCCACTCCGGAGCCGAGTCTTTCGGTCGAGTGAATCCAGTCCTGCGCACGGTGTAGCGTCGTCGCTGTGCAACGATATGGATGAATTTGTAATGCGCACGAATTAGGTGTCAAAATGGCCTCCCGTCGATATTCCAACGTACCACGGCAATTAACCGCTTAATTTCATCGTTCGGGCTCATCGTGACGGGCCATGCGGCACGCCTCGACGCTTCCCGGGTAGACGTACTACTATTATACTTCCAGCGCGGCCATGTCGAAGCAAGGAAGAGAGGAAACCTGCGAAAAATCAAAGTCTAATGTAACATAGCCATGAGCCTTAGAGGACGCTGTAGGTCATCTGTGTGCAGTCCTGGGCAGTCACCTACCTCAGCCCCCAGCCGGGTGCGGGCATAACAAACATTACACATGTAAGAGAAGGAGATCAATATGAACAGGGGCCTTTATACAGCCCTGAAATTGATTACTCGACGACTATTAATTCATCACTCATATCCCACCCTAAGTCACCAAGGGAAACATATAATTAATAGTAATATTGGCACAAGCTACATCTATGATTCCCAAACAAAATTCCATCGAATGTTTTCTAAGTCCTTCCGTGGCGAAATTGTAAGTCTTATGTCCTGCGTAGGCGTTGGGATACTTGTCGATACATGGTGCTTCGTCTTCGGTCTTTTCCATATTCCTTCCAATGGCTCCAGATGATATTTCAAAATCATCACGACCAGGACAATCATGATTTCTCGCAATGCAAAATGTCTCCCGGGACAGAATGCATTTCCTCCACCAAATGCCGCCACTCAGAAGAGGCCACTCGTCGACCCTGTTGTTTGAGCTTCAGGAAGCGGCTCGGGTCGAACATCTGTGCCGTCGGTCCCCACGCAGCCCATTTTGATGTACAGGCGCAGCAGGCATCACGAGTGACGAGCCTTTCTTGAGGAGGTATGTGCCGCCACGACTGTCTTTAACAATGGTGTCCTGGAGTACAGATCTGGCATGGGCGGCGTGACTTTGAACGCGAAGGACTTCATTCACGAGAGATTCGAGCAGGGGGACCGCTTCTATGACCCTGGCGATGTTGACAGTCACAGTCAAATCTTCTGCAACACCATCAAATTTTTTGAAAGCCTCGGCTTCAATACCATGTCGCAGATCGGCCAAGAGCGATTGGTCCGAGAAGACATACCATAGTGTCCAGAAGACCGCGGGTACAGTATTGACAAGAAGTCCTGTACAGACCCCCAAATCAAACTGTGCAATGTCTTTCTCTGGTACTCCGTGTTTGCGGTTCACCTCATGCCGGGATTTGATGTGATAAGAGGCTGTCTCAAGTCCCCCTAAGGCGTAGTATTTGTCGAAAGCATTAAAGAACGTTCGCCTCCCTACGCTCCCTTTGGGTGCGATGTATTCGGAGAATATCATCAGGCCTAGAAAGGCGAGGTCTTTGTCAAACGCCCTGAGTCTCCATGTGAGCGGCTGGAGCTAAATTGGTAGGCAGATCGAGTAGGCAATGACTCACCAGAATCCTTTCATGACCTTGGGGTCTCTCATCGGGTTTAGCGGTCCGTAAACTGCATTACCTAGTACTGGCTAAGGTGATGCACTGGCGTGTCCATTGGAACACAGAGATGACGTCCCCGTTGGCACTCAAGTTCAAGTCGATCATATGTACGAAGCTCCTTAGGAAATATTGGGACATCTCGGTGAGGTTGGCGCCCGGCATGAGCGACTGTTTTATGGCTTTCATCGTTTCAGGGCGGAGGCTCACGACCCCTCTTTCCTCGAGCAAATTTTCCGACAAGAGGTCTACAGTATGCTCACTTGCTAAGAGGATTCGTTTGTCAAACTCGACAACATACGGTGCAAATGATACCACATTGGCGCGCCTGTCGCATACCGCTACCAGATCTGGAGAGGTCACCACGTACGTCTTCCCTCTAGGAAGAGCTAGTGTAAATGTTGGCTTTTTGCACCTATGCCTTTGACCAACACGTAAATCAGTAAAGGTATTTGATACGGAGGCAGCCGGACTTCAGACTAACGCGACAGTAGAATAATATTTTGTGCCATGGCGCAAAAGTCCAATGACATGACCGATCACCGGGATTGCGGGTCTCATCAGTGGCGGTTCCTGTGCATTGTAAGGAAAGCCCAATGAGCGGTGGATAATGTATAAAAGTAGCATCAGAAGGACGCTGATTCCTGGTATAAGCTGAAAATACATGCTGAGGGTGGTGCGGGCGGTATCAAATGGTATCGAAGTATTTGAAGCAACAAATGCCGAAGGGACTTTTTCTGGCCTCGAACACTTGAGTGAAAGAGCATCGGGAAGACGGGGAGACTTGGAGAAACTGCGAAAGATGCTGGGGACTGCTGTGAGCCCATAAAATTTCTCTGTGGCCTCTGGGCTTGGTTCTCAATGAGATGAGGGCATCATCTCCTGCGCCATGCGGCCTCTTCATGCGGCCTCGTCCTTGTCAGTGACCGCACAACAGCAGGCAACCGATAACGTAATGTGACCTTCCACATCGAGTACACATTTCTATTCTGGTAGCATACCACTGATTGAGATCTTGTCCTGCTCTATCACACAGTGCGCACACTACCTACATGCAAAACGCAATGTAGCTGTGAAATTGGTGTCTTGGCCTAGTCTTTCCAATAGCCAAATACGCCTCATATATTCAGCGGCTACAAAGCCCCAGGCTGTGCCACTTGACTGCAGTAGCCTCTGATTGCAATTGAAGCACTTGAGAAATGGTAAAGTGGTCCCGTTCCTTGGCGTTCAAACCATTCCGGGATTCACTTTGACGACGCCATCTCCAATTTGTGCGATCGTTGCGCGGAAGATGCCGCGAAAACATATCTTGACATGGCTGAAAAATTCTGTTTATTCCATCTTCCGTCTTAATCTACAGTCCGGTCACTCACGTGGACTTCAAAGTCACTGTGCTACCGTCGAGGGCCGGCACCAGATTCGCGATTCAGGGCTCACATAGGGGCATTCGCGCGTCAGGTCCAATGGAATCTTACATTGTGAAGTATGATGCCGTAGCTATCCAAATCGGGATGGAAGTCTTCCATAGACGATTTTCAGAAGTGTTACTTGTCATTCGATGCTACGGCAGAGATGAATTCTATCATACCCATGTCTGAATTTCCGATGAGGGGTGTCATATGAAGAGTAAGTCGCGTAAATCAGTTTCCGGAATGCTCGATGTCCTCAGAAACAATGCCTATGGCTTCATCTGAACCCGTGAAAGTGACTCGCCACTTTCTGGTTGGGTCTCTGGGCCGAAGTTCAACATCAATATCGCTGTCTGGAACAGCGAATCCTGCCTGAATCGGCGAGTTCTTGGACGTTGGCTCAATCCATGCACCCCCATTTCCTGTGGCCACAACATCGAACTGGAGCACTAGTAATGCTGCGAGGGCCATTATCTCGGTGCTTGCGAAGTGCCGCCCTGGACACAAGACGTGGCCACCACCAAAAGATCGGAAGGCCACCCGATCATGTTTCCTTTGCCCTGGCTTCCTAGCAAAACGCAGATGGTCAAATGTGTTGACATCTGGTCCCCATGCTGAGGTATCTGTATGCTGGACTGGAGTCGGAATCATGAGAAGGCTACCTTTCTTAAGGAGAATCTCATCGTTAAGAAGGACCTCTTCGAGAACCATGCGTACTCCTGGGTTGACAGAATGGACGCGTAGAGTTTCTTGGAAGGTGCTCAGGAGGATTGGACATGCCTTCCGGATAGCAGCCAGGTCAATACAGTTGCAGTCATCGTCCTCGTTGACTGTCACCATAGCTGAAACCTCTTTCCGAACATCATCCAAGACCTTTTTATCTGAAAGTATGTGAAAAAGAAACCATAATGCGCACGGCGTCGAGTTACCGAGCACTGCAAATGTGTTACCGAGTTCGCCACGACCAAAGTCGTCCAGGCTAAGTCCCCACTGTTTGACGTGATGCTCGAAGCGCATTCGAACGAGCCCCGACGCGGTCTTATACCCACCCTTCCGAGTGTAGTCAACCAGGGCTGCGGTTGCTAGTTCACGCGCCCGATAGAGCTTTGGGAAGAAGACTGAAGCCAATGGAAAGACAGATAGGGTCAAGAAGCCCTTTTCGAACGTCCTGTAATTGAATCTCAGCACATTGACAGTGACCATTACATTTGTTGCACTTACTTCCACGCTTCTGCAATCGAAGAATCACGGTATGGGTTCTGAGGCCCCCAGACAGCTTCTGTTGTAGACTTGATCATGATGCCTCTCGCCCACTCCATCAAGCCTGTTTTAACTGCGGTGCCATTGGCCCTCAGTTCATCCATGTCTTGGGCAAATACCTGTATTGACCTCCTGTTGATCGAATCAAGCTCCTTCCCAGGTCCCATTGCCGTCATTATATACTTGGGCCAAGTGAGACTGAATCCATGCTCGCTGGTCAGATCCCGATGCAGCAATTCGTTCCCTTGCTTGCTAATGCCAACAATAAAGCCAGCATCCGCAGAAATAGCCGCAAAGCTGATGGAACGATATTGCTTCTGCAGAGCCGGAATGAGTTCTCTAGAGTTCACCACGTAGATTCGTGAAAATGGCAGCCTGAGAGTGTGTATTGGGAGCTTGTATGTGTCTCTGTTGAAAATAGCGTCAGATCCTGGCAGCAGTCTCAGCCGAAAACTACATACTTAAGTACCTTAGGCGAACATGAAAATCCGATCTCTCCCTGATCATTCCAACTAAGGGGCCAATAAAGGGTATCCCAGTCAATATCGCTGGTGGCTCTCTCCTATCCTGGGTAAGATAGAGGACGAGACGAAGGAAGACATAGACCGCTGTGAAGCTACCCAGGACGACAAGTAGAATTGACTGCATGATTGCCGGAGTGCTTGAAGCCTTCTTCTAGCTGGAGTTCTCAAATCTCGAATGCTTCGAGGTTGAGCAGAGAAAGATGAAGCAGGGAGGAACTGGAGAGCGGGGGCGCGCTGTTCACCAGCTCATGGTGACACAAAGAGGCCGGGATAGTTGGCGATCGTTCGATTTTGAAGCAGTTGGTTACTTAAGTATGTTGGTCCTGCAATGGATGCGACACAGGGGCCACCAGGCTGCTATGCACCTGTCCCCACAGTGCGGGATGGACAATGTCCGTGCAGCTGCACTGGACGCGCAACTCGCATGTCTAGATGCTGGAAGAAGCAGGAGGTGTCATGCCTGTGATGACCTCGATAATGCCAGTCTTCCGATATCTCCAGTGTTGGTGGGGCCTTCGACTGTTCCTGGCTTTCCCGTTCTTATGATACTTGTGTCTTCGGACGTATGCGGAATACAAACAAAACCAGCTAGGTCAATTCTCCTACTCCTTCAATTTTTGGTCTGGGTTCGCCTCGATTCTCTGCTGCTCACTTCGATTCCCTGCTCATACTGTTGTGTTCAATCGTCAAATCCGCAATCCAAAGCGACATTTTTTGTTCCTGCGACCATGGATTCTGCACAGCAAAGCTCAGAAACTCCTCCCGCGCAAGTTATCCCAACCAGCAACAATAATATTCTAGCCCCAGCATTTTATGTAAGTCCTACTCTATGTTTTTCAGCCACTGAATGGCAAGGTAAGCACGACGATGCTGTTTTGTTGCTCTTTCTGATGATTCTAAACTTCGGACTCAGGCTGTTTATACTTTAAATATTCAAATTTTAAAAAATAAAAGTATTTATAATTATAAGAGAGTTATTAAGAAAAGTTAGTATTAGGTGGATATATAAAAAATACTAGGTAGGTGGAGGTTAAGGCTGGGTAGGTGGATGCTGGCTCGGTGGGATGCTGGACGGTATCTTGGTTTGAGTATCATCATGCTCTTCCATGGACTGGTTTGTCAAGAAGCGGGCTTAACTCAGTTGGGAGAGTGTCAGACTGAAGCGTACTTCAGTAAGAAAATCTGAAAGTCGTGTGTTCAATCCACACAGGCCGCAATTCTCTTTTTGTGAAATTTTTCCTGCGTGTGGGGGCAACTAATGCCCACATCGCGAGGCGCCAGGGGTGCATGACACATCTCCCGAGGTCCACATGCTTGAAAGCTTGGCGGACCGTGTGTCCCGGGTCGGTTGCATGACCAAACTTGCTTTCTGATGACACCTTGGCCACCCAACGTCGAGAGCTCATCCTTCCCACAGTGCGGTGTGGACAATACCCATGCAGCTGCACTAAACTGAAGGTCAAAAACACCAAGAACCTAGTTCGACTATCTTTTCCGTGGCTCTTAACAGAAGTCTTAGGACTTAATTTGGGTTCTCTCTGCAAATTTTAACATCGCATTGGCTATGCCGAGCTCTGCCTGCTTTCGACGCCTGCTTTCGACGCCTGCTGTTGGAAAACCATTGCCTATCCTTGGCGCTGTTCATGCACAATTCCGAGGCTGTGTTGATACAGCTTTACGTCCCATGCACTGAAGACAGGTCTGAGGCAGAGAATGATGCCGAATTCTGCAATGCGAGCATGGTGGGCACACACTTGAAGTGAGCACAATGACTTTTAGAGCCTCATTTACCTGCCCTTCACCTCATCATCTGCAAATGTTTTCAGTGAAGGTCAACAGGCAGAATTGAATCAGGTGACCACCCGAAGTTCGCCAAATGCAAGCTCTTGAGGCCAGGCCGAGACATACGAGCGGCAACCGCTGTACGGGGCGATGGCCGACCTCAGGTGCTCGGAAAGCAATGTGCGTCACTCCTGTTCAGCCACGCAGAATGAACCTTGCCAGCGGTGAAGTCCGAGTAAGTTGGGCTCTCATGAGTATCTAGGCGGGGACTACCACTGCTTGCACAAATATGACACGTATCCCGCTTCCAAGGTTCGGAACCATCCCCCGGGAAGTTGGCGTTACCCTGCTGTAAGGGTAAGCCCAATCGAGCGACTTGTTGGTGGCCTCTCGCATTCTAACCGAGTGCGGCCCCAACAGCTGGGTCAAGGGGTTATATAGTAGAATCTGCAGCAGCACGTCTTAAGTGGATTCCATGGTTCTTCGGAAGCCGACTCCCAACTATTGGCAACGGAATCCTCGCCTCTTATCGTTTACTGCCATTTACAGGCCCACTTGTTTCTTTACTGTCCATTGCATATCATATTTTGCCTTTCAAACATCGGTCGGGATGATTTGGGATATGTCGTTGGCTTGGTGCATGGTGCTGCTTGCAGCATGGGTCACCCTTAACCTGTCCGCGGCCGCCGCCGAGTACATGTTGGTCAGATTCGCGAACATGAAGGCCAGAAAGAGAAATCTCAATGGAAGTCCATCAGTCTGCTAGCTCTCGCCTCTTGGGTCCTACACAGATGGAGAACTTGTTCTTTACAAACGCTCTGAGCCTGAGACTCCTCTATGGGCGAGGGCACAGGTCCAAGACAAAATTTAACTGAGAATTGGTGTGGTCTGATGGGAAGCTTCATACCTCGGATAGGTCCAACGATGGCTGCCATAACGTAGGTGGACTCAAAATTTTATGGTTGTTCTGATCGCACCAATCATCACGGGCAAGCGCAAGCTCAGGGAGGAGACTGTCTTGATGAAGCTGGGATTTCTACATCGTTCCATAATCAGAGAAAGTCTTAGATGCCTTCCCAGCATTTCGCAGGGTTTCCACCAGCCATGTCGCAATTAGTGTGCATCTAGCCAAACTTGGTGTGAACAACTTGAAGGGGGGGTGCCGGCCCATCTCCATCTAGCCTGCTACAGTTTGACGCCCGGACAGTAGCTGAATAGCCAGTATCAGAAAGAAGAGCTACCATGACCGGGACAAGGATAACCAGCTCCCAGAGGAAGAGTCAGCAGCGAAGTATTGAATGGAAGTTTCGCTGTCTATGCGGGAGACATGATGCTCAGTAGTAGTTGCTATTCTTTCTCCCCTTTTGTGACTCATGTGTGTCTGCGCTTGACTCCCCGTCTGTGAGAGAGATAATTGATGCCCACCTGGGCAGCTGATAGTCATGTAAGCTACATGCAAGGTCTTAAGTCGACATGGGCATCGGATCATCTGCTATCAACATAGGACAAGTTTGATTTTAGAGGCTAGCGGTGGCCAAAGCTCAGTAATCTCGGGTCTGTGAACCAAAACGTGACGAACGGGCGAAAATATTGACTCCCACAGACTGTGCTACAGCTGCACAGTAGAAGCAAACAGAGTCTGAAGCTGCGCAATACGTTACTGATTAGTCGGTTCGTGGCGAATGCGAAATACATAGCCCGCATATGTGTGACCAAAGTCTTGTCGTTCGTATCTCGACTCCGCCTGAGGCCGTAGATGAATTGCTTGGCACAACGCAGTACTGGAAGCTGGGCTAAGCGAGGTCCTACCACGCATGCTCCGGGTGAACAGCTGTATCAGCTTATGAGAAAGCCACCCAAAGTGACGTGAGAACTGAGACGCGGCACAACATATTTCGGTGTCACTCGACAGGATCAAGCCAAGCCTTTGGGGCTGATGACGTGCATATAATTCTTGGTTTAGCAGCAAGTGTACATTGAATCTCAACCTTGCCTCGACCCCTCCACCTGAGGTTGAAGATGTGCTGACCACTAATTCTTACGCTTGAGTATGCCTTCGGACCCAAAATATGCATGCATCGCACAGCCTAGGCCGATTCAGGTCATCGTAACATAGCCGGACCCGGATGTCTTAATCTCGACGGCTTCCCAAAATTTCGAGGGCGAGGAATCTCTTCGTAAGCACAACAGAGATTTTGTACTACCACGCCAAGAAGTCTGAGGGATTACCGTGCACCGTGCCAGAACCACATCAAATGGCGTCACAACGTGACCACATGGTGTAACAACAAGTGTTATGCAACCAGCCCTTCAAACCTGGCCGATCAGTCGCAGGAATTCAGGCCTACCCGCGTAACAATTTGTGCTCATAGATATCGCCGGCCTTCCCCGTGACGGATCTCAGGAGACCAGCAAGAAGGAACTAACAAACCAAGCCTCACAAGGGAAGCATTTCCGTACCTACAAACATATCCGCATGGCGCTCAACTCAATTTTATCCAAAGCCTGAGTACTCCCATCAGTGCACATGTGAGCTCCTCAATCTACATTACTGGCCAATACAACTGGAGGCGGTATCGCTAGCGCATCATAATATGAATCATGGCTCTCATCTGTAAAAATTGTGAAGGGGACATATTTGAAATCATTGCCATATAGCAGCGTTATGATCTTGCCATAAGCCAAACATCCGCGGTTTCTGGACCACAATATCCGACGATATGCTGAGGTTGGACCCCTGCTATTAGTCCATTTTGACTACCTTGGTATTGTGACAGTGCCGGGTGAGGGGATCTGCAGGTGGTGATTATCCCGCCCATTTTCAATGTCATTCACATGAGCTTCAGGCCTGGCTAACTCTGGTATGTATTCCCTAGAGATGGTAGACCCAAGGAACTGAATTTATACACACCCAAAAGATAAATCGTTTGTTCCTTGGCACTTGTTGCAACCTTGAATTCTTTCCATCGTTTTCGTCAGTCATCTCGCAACATTTATGCAACTACCTAGGTATTCAGAAAGTCAAACCCTTTGGTCCACTTCATATTCACGTTGTTGTAGTTATATTTGTATTCAGGTGAGCTTATTCGCGACATCAACTGCATTACTTGGCTGGACTTTGCAGTTATGGCTCACAACTAGTAGTGATTACTCTATTCAAGTGCCCCCCCCACCAATTCAAAGACAAAAGTAAACCGTGGAATGAAGCATTGCATTATAACCTCTTTGAATTAACTCACGACCAAGCCCTCTCGCATGTAGTATTGGCCGTCGTAACCATTCCCAGTTCGATATCCTGCGCGCTTGCTGCGGCACAATCTTGTCCAATTAGCCCGTCGCTACTGCCGTTGCTCAAGCTGTGTCCATGAGAACCATGCTCCTCGATCTGAATGACAGTCGTGGCTCGGATCGTCGACCCTAAGACGGATTGCTCGTCTTTGCGTGAGCGGCCATGGAACGCGCTGCCGGCACCAGACCGTGACGTAGTGCCGCCTGTATGGGGAGATTGTGTCCGACAGCCCATCCACGCGTAGACGGGCTTCAGTAGCGAGTTGAAATTCGGAAGGCATGCGCAGATGATGCCGACGTATATTTCAAGGCCTGACCAGGTTCCGACCTGCAGAGCGTCCGCTGCGCACGGGGAAAAGTCAGTCATGAGTGGTATGGAGGTTGAGTATAATTGGGAATTGCGGATCAGTCCAAACATGTGGCTTTGACTTACCGGTTGGATTTTGCGATAAAGTGAAGCGATTGATCATGGTTAGGCGGTAGAGGCTGACGACGGTGACACTGATATTCGAGAGACATCAGCTTTCAACATGCCTCTCCCATTGAGCTTGACCAGCAAGGCACTTACAAAATTCCAAAACCGAACATTATTCCTGACAGAATCTTTTTGCGGAACGAGAGCTTGAGCCGCATGATAAAGGGAATGGGAAGGAGCAAGATCCAGAGGTCAATGGATATGTCAATGGCTGCGCCGGCCCAAAAAACAGCGTGCAAGCTGATACAGCGACCTTCGTGCTGATCATCCCAGGAGTTCCAGAAGTGGTCAATCGGTGTACACCCAAACAGAATGGCGAGGTCCAAGGCAATGCAGAAGGCGACTAGCAATGCAAGGGTGCATTGTATCAGCCGCCTTGGGAAAGGGTCATGGCCCAAAAGTCGGTAGCAAAACAGTAGTATAGACCCTCGCACGAGATGTCGGCTCGTTATGTAGATTACGAAGATGACATAGATTCCCTTGAAAATGGTTGTGATGTCGTCGAAAGGTACAGCCCATATATCCATACCTAAGCCAAGGTCGAGGACTGTAGAGCGGTTGTTAGTTTGTTGGATCGTTTACAGAAAACAGAAAAGGGGCACAAGATGGTATCTGAAATGCTTGCTCATCAGTCCAGTTGTTGTAAATGCAACACATCCTAGCTAGAAGGTACCAAATGCTCCTCAGTCAGCAAAGGAGACATATGGGGTGGAGTACTTCTGAGACATGCTTCGGACCTACAAAAGACAGAGCGATAATTATATCATCCCACCAGAATGGATACCCCACCTTCAGCCTCGCGATGACCCGTAACAAGACAGAAACCGCGCAAAGGGCAGTAAAAGTCAAGAATACAGGGTAGGGATAAAATGGGGACGTAGTTGGTGAGACTCCACAGTAGGTATCAGTCAGGTTCTTGGTCGACAGAGCCTCCCGGACGGTGCAGCTGTCTTGGATGCAGACGGTCGCTTGTTTTGTGAGGTCTTCATCATGGCAGGCGCAGGTTTGATTCGTAATTGCACAACCGACATTCTGAAATGCGGTGAATAAGCATCCTATCTGTCAGATGCAGTCTTAGCATACGAGTCAACAGTGCTCAAGCGGGCTTTTACAGACAGGAACTTACAGAGCATTGGGGCAGTGTGGATGCCAAGTCCAAGAGATCGGACATGGTGTATGGACGAATCCAACATGAAGCATGGAATCAGCTCACCACTGGAATTTCAGAGTTTGAGACAAGACCACCTGACCAGGGAGGTCACTTTTATTTTATAGGACAGTCTCGCTGACCACCAACGGACATTTTGCATATGCAGGCTCTTACCCAAGCTGTCTCACCAAATTCCGATCCTCACCGGTGAGCAGCGAAGTCTTGGCTTGCAGGCTGTAGTGTTGGAAACACGTAGGTTGGATGCACGTCTTTCGAATAGTGCATGTAGTGTAACTTTAAAGAGTAAAGTGGCACTCCACCCGCCCATGATTACTCAGGGACGAGCTTGTCAGCTTCGGTACCGAGCCAGCCTCTCTCAAGGTCCCAACAGTCTGCGCTGATCGCTGTCACGCCTGATCTCCAAGAGATGTATAAGACGGGGCTACGTGTCTGACTGCTTGTCAAAGGCGTGACGCTAATTGAAATACCACATGCCTGCTCATTCACTTGCTGCTCTGCCTCGCCGGTCGCCCTCTGAAGAAAACGGGGTCCGCGGTCGGCTGCTCAAAGTTTACGGGGCCTATCTAACCGCCGGCTATGAACCCGGCCGCTTTATAAGGTGATCTTTCCGAAATAGGAGCCAAAATCGACATGTTCGGTAGGATCCCTGGGGGTGGAGCCGCATTTTCTCCCCCTGCATCCGGGTATTTTGAAAAGACCATTCCCCAATGGAACGTCAAGAGATTGGGGCTTGTCGAAACCAACAAGGCTCTGCCAGTGGGCTGTTGGTCGCGCCACCGAGGCAATGATTAGCACTAGCACCACGTGGCTGCGTACCTTCGCTCGTTTCAAACGCGCGCTGCAGTGATTTGAAATTTTGTTCTGATGCCGGGATTGCATTGGCACATGTTTGTGAGCAAAGTGAGTGCGTGAGCCCAGGTCAGGAGTTGAATACACAAGAGCCATGAAAGATGAATTCGCCTTTTCACTCACTCAGACAGCCTCGGTGTTCTCATGATCACCGGCACTATCCTGGCCCGGATTTACTTCCTCATAATGAGCCCACTTGACGAAGCGATAATACAGAGCCGCCAAGGCCGCCCCCAGAACTGGTCCCAACCAGTATATCCAATGATACCCAGGAAAGCTCCTACCGGCTACAGCACAACCAAAGCTTCGAGCAGGGTTCAAGGAACCTCCCGTATAGAATACTCCTGTCACGGAAATCAGTGGCAGCTCTATGAAGAGGTTTGTTCGACCCTGGGATGGACGAAACATGGGAAAATGTTGAGCTCACCTGCAAGTTCACAAATGAAGAGAGCTAGTCCGATGCCGATTGGGGCCAGAAACGTATCCTTTGACTTTTCTGCGGCGAGCATCAAGATGACAAAGACCAATTCCGCGGTCATGAACATTTCGATAAACAAGCCCTTTGCTGTGGACGTCTCCGCCGATAATAGCGTGTTAACTTGAGAGATGTCGCCACTGAACATTGCTGCTGCTAGGCCACCAGCACACATGGATGCCAACAGCTGTGCAGGGATGAGAAATGCGGTTCGGACCCAGGGGAGCTGCCCAGCAAAACTGAGACCCATGGAGACCTGAGAGCGTGGAAACTGTCAGTACCTTCTTCTCGCATGCTCAGCCTTGGTGCAAAAAACTCACAGCTGGGTTGAACAGGCCGCCGCTGATCCGGTAGAACGCCCATGCATTCACAAGTAGCGAGAAGCTATAAATGAGGGAGATGAAAACAACCGTCTGGCTGCTGGCGCCTCCGCTCTGTCCAGCAGGGGCGGCGGCTTGCGTAAGGGCCATCAATTGGCCGCCATATCCAAGCCAGAGAAAGAAAAACGTCCCCAAGAACTCGCTGGAGGCTGCCACGAGATGACTCCCCAGGACGCTGATATTCCCACCCTTCACATGCGGGTTGCTCGCCGCGCGATGAATCCAGTTCTCCTTGCGCTGCTCGGGTGCCATTGCTCACGAGTTGTCCTCTTCCGTACTTGCAGCTCAAAATTCGGGAGCCCAACAGTCTCTGTTGCCTGAAAGTTGGAGGGGTGATAGTGATCAACGTGGAAGCGTAATCGATATCATTACCACGTAGGCGGGAGACGGAAACGGGATGTCGCTCATGAGATCAACGACTCCGGATTAGCCCTAGTGTATTCAATGCACCGACATGATGGGCCGTGTTGATTCATAGCGCTGCTGTTAGCACACTTGTGGCTTGAGACTAACAAGAGCCGCTTCGTGTTATATATAAGGGGCTGACGCTCTTCCGTAGGCCAAGAGTGATGGGGCTTTTGAAAGAAGAGGAGTCACTTTCTACATGGAACATTGGAATGGAATTTGACGTCACACAGTCTAGTAGCACCATCCACAACCAAACACCCACACATTGTGGAACATCGGTATTGACTGATGTCGGCAATGGCGGCAATCAGTATCACGATTCAATTAAAATGCAAGTCCTTTGTACTAAATTCTGAGCATATATATCCAAGTGACTACCTACTCTAGGGTGGGTACCCGATGGCCCCACGCGCACAGAGTACAGTAGAAATGCACGATGTGATACAGATTACGTTTTTCTTAAACAATGATTGTTGGCCTGATGTCAGTGGTGGATGATACGTTAGCAAAAGTCTTGGTGGCCTTGTTTTTTTCTATACGAGGTTCTGTGCTCGATACCTACTAGTGTGGCACAGGGTTGGAAATGAAAACCACACAGAGCACGGCATGTCGGTAAATGGATGCTAGGGGTACAAATTATGTGGAGGATATCCCAAACTTCGGCAAAGGGCCCAAACGACATCTAGGATCGGAGAGATCCCTTTATTATCGTGTGGATATAGATGGCACATCTGGGACCCGAAACAAAGCCTACAATGCCATGCTCAGGCATTGATCGTATTACCTAATTACCTAGGTAGGTAATGTTCTCATCAAGAGATTTGCAAATCAAGTAGTGATGCTACACTATCGTCCGTTCAGAATTGTATTTTTGCTGAGATACGGGAGGCCAAGCAATCTTGAAAGTCAAAATTTTATATTACTTCAATCTCCTGCCATGATCAGCACAGATTCAATACCTGTGTACCTAGGTATTATGATGAAAGCATACTTAGATCATGTCACCTTCCCTCGAGGCTCATTTTCACCACAGATTTGGAAATAAGAGAGCCACAGGATCCCCTACATGGGGTATGTTACCTAGGTATCAGTTCTTGTTTGTTGATGTCAAACGGTGAAGAGCTACATGAAGCAAACAAATTCCGTGGTAATGTGCATTATTCCGCTGGCCGTCTGGTGCCTGAGCTGCCGTCCCGGCTTGAGTGAGGACTTGGATGCCATCCCTTTGGACTTCGAAGCTCGTGCAGAGGTGTCCAGGACAATAACAGCGCCCCTACTTATGACTAAATACAGCATCTCACTCCATAATCTTCTCAATAGCACGGTTGATGGCCCTCTTGGCCTGCTCAGTGCTTGAGCACGAATAAATTGACATCTGGATCCAAGAGATGGCGAGTTGGTGAGCGGACTCTGGCTGAAAGTATCTTCTGGGTCATCGGTGAAAATGCTGTGTATATGAGCATATGTTTGACATGAATTGTGGACATTTCCGATTGGAAGCATCGGCCCAAAAAAACCCGACTCTTCGTCTCGTTGAATTCATCTTGACTCAGGCACTGCATCCGGGCCGCTCGAAATCATCCGCTGAACTCATACTCGGTAGTATGCTGACTCTTATTATTAAAAGTTCTAAACACCATTTAGAGCACCAGACACCGCGGACATGTGTGTGGTGCGTCGTGTTGAGTGGGCGTTAGAGTTTGTTTGGCCCAGTCCCGATAAGCCGTGTCAGACCCCCGCTTCCAATATGACGCACGTGGGCAGGGGTTAATGTGTGCTCCCGAGACTCTGAACTGACGTCCAAAAAGTCTAGCAACTCACGTTACACACTCCGAGCCCGAGGAAGTCGGTGATTGAGTAGCGCGGCCTCTTCGGCTCAATTATAACAAGGCATTGACCAATCTGGGCCAAGACTAGCCAAATCTCACCAGGCTTCTCGGATATTCAGCATCATTCACGATGAGAATCATCATTGTCGGAGCTGGCCTAGGTGGCCTCACTGCGGCATTGTGCTTCGCTCGTAATGGTCACAAAGTTCAAGTCCTCGAGCAGCGCCCGGATCCAACCCCTGCCGGTGGAGCTATCAATATTCGGCCGGGAGCCACGAGGCTTCTTCAAAACTGGGGCTTGACGGAACGGTTGGATCAGATCTGCGACATCACGACTGCCAATGCTCTTCGAAGCCTGAGAACTGGCAAAATCGCTACTCGCGCTATTGCAACCGATGTCTCTGACTCTCAAGACCTCGGGACAAACCGGGACATACTGATGTCCCTTCTGCACGAGAAAGCCGTTGAAGCCGGCGCCGTTATCTTGTTCAATACCACGGTGGCCCGGGTCTCAGAGACCTCTCAAGAAGCTCAAGTCTGGCTTGGGGGCGGGGCAGTCCTACAAGCTGATCTGGTTCTGGCAACCGATGGAGTCAAATCTAGCATCCGCAAACAAGCCCTCCGGGGATGTACCGGGCCGACCAAGCCAGAAGTCAGCGACGTGACACTCTATGGCATCCGGCTGACCAGGGACCAAATGATTGGCGAGCCCGTTTTGGCACCTCTTATGAATAACTCTTATATAAACGTGTACATGGGCGAAAACGGCGTGGTGCACGTGACGAGTCGATACAATCACAAGCTCAACATATACCAAGCGTTGTTCTCCATCAAGGGCGAGACAGACCAGAAAGGACTGTGGGATGAGGAGGGCGACATAGAATATGTTCGCGGATTCTTCCGAGACTCCTGCAACGAGATTGTGAGAGTGCTTGAGATAGCCGATGCTTGTGACAGATGGAAGCTGGCGGAGCTCCCGGATCTCCCTCGCTGGGATAGCAAAAATGGACGAATCCTGTTACTTGGCGATTCTGCGGTGAGTCTCAGATGCACATCTCTGATGTTGACCTCTGGTACATTGACTCACAAGGTGACACTAGCACGCCATGTACCCAACCGCTGCTCAGGGGTACTCGCTGATCGTGGAAGATATCGGTGTCCTCGACTACCTCCTATCGAACACCCCGGACGCCAACGACAACATCAAGGTAATCAGCGAGGACTGGCAGAACTTGAGGAAGTCGAGATGCGAACGTATCAAAGCATGGGCAAAATACAACATAGAAATTTTCGCAAGGCCACCACCGCAAATCAAATCATCAGAGTCCGGTACATGGCAATACCGATCTCTGAAGGACACAAAGCCGGATATGAATGCTCGGTTCGGCACAGCTCCGTTCCTGAAATGGGCACAGGGCATCGACGCTATTGAGGAGGTCTGTTCCCTTGCCAATACCATAGCAGTTTCACGTCGCTGATCATAGATTACCTGCAGACCGAGAGGTACCTGCGAGCGAAGAAGCCTCGCCTTTAACTGGATGACTACTTTCGATCAGTCAGTAAGTCTCTGGTCATGGCATGAAAAGGGTGTCGACCCGGGGTTGGATCTCGTGCAACGATTTACTTCAGGTTTGCAAACAGTTGTGGTTCTTCGTGTCCATAGGAGATCCACCTTGCGACCTGTCGCTCCTGAAATGGAGTGATAACTTTTTAAGCAAAATTGGACATCCCATGCCCTCTCCGACCAAGATATCAACATCATTGATAAAGGCTACTCCGTTGGCCATACCTGGCTTCCTTTCGAAGTCACACTACTCCCATTACGTTGTCTTCACTGGCATGGGTTGGTGTCCTTCTGAACGCAGCACCAGTCTCATAAGGTAGTTAATCACTATATTGCAATGAAATGATCGACCATAATCAGTTTGTTATAATGTTACATCATGTCTGTGCCCTCTCTCAAGCTGACAATTACGACTACACCCTATGTATGTCCTGGCACATGATAGAGGCATTTCAACGTTGAGCATGCCGTCCAAATCTCTAAATTTGACAAGATTAAGCAAGATTTGGGTAGCCAGGTAGCTAATTCGAAATTAGGGCCACATCGAAGATTCCATACATCAATAGGATAATCGACCTCTGTAGGAGCTGTCACTACCGGTGCGCCAGTTGGGAGCATGTCAAAGTCAAAGAGCTCGGCACCAAAGTCGTAGATGCTAATCTCAGCCTCAGTTGTGCCCACAAAATGCTGACTTCTGTCACCAGACGAGATCCCCAGCAGCTGATCCTGCATCCCCACTGGCACGGAGGTCAACGAGTCTCCTGCTCGACATTTGTGGGCGTGTCTTGAGACCTGGAAGGGTGTAGACTGTCCGGTTGGTGAACTCTCTGGCGAAGGCTGGGAGACCTTCGCTGCGGGGGAAAGTCGTCAGCGTAGGTATGCTTTCTGAGGGAAGACCCTGGCTCCATTGATCAGCGATGAGCTCGAGGCCTTCGCTCAACATTACCCGGCATAAAAAGGCGAGGTCCTGTTCCTTGAATTCGCGAAATTCCGGCAGTCTTTCACCTTGTATGGAAGCGCCCTCCGTGCTGGCATAGTCACGAAAGGACCGTAGCTCCTCCGATAAGTTGCGGCTGACGTACGGAGACTTGGGACGAGTGTGCCCGGGGAAACAGATGTCGAAGACTCGGAACCATTGCCAGTGTTGCTCGACAGGAGCTTTGGTCGAACACTTCCCGGAAATTCTCCGTGCTTGAACCTCGCTGAGTCCCTCAACGGTGAACCCCAGCTTCTCCACGCAGTTGTTCTTTCTCACGTGAGCATCTCGGGCCTCCTCTGAGCCAAAGTTTTGGCTACACACAGGGCTGTACACATCCTTACGATGACATATTCTAAGATGTTGCTTGAGGTCCCGAATTCTCTTGAGATCGTACCGATAGCAGCGCCTATGTTTTGATGGTGACTTCTTACGTAACGGACAGGAGCATCATCGATATTCGGTCGTTTACTCCGTTGTCTCTCTGACCCTTTTCCGTTTTCTTGGGTCCGCCTCGTCGTCATCTTTAATACTTTCATCGCCGTGCAAATCTGAATTTATCTTTCTCTTCTTGCCTCCATCCTGTCTGGCGCCACTGGTCTTGGGCTTTGCCTGTCCGCCACTGTTTCTGCTGGCGGAGCCGGCCCTTTTTCCTCTCCAATCCGTGTCTTCGAGCTGTCGCTGGCCGTCCGTGTGATAGGACATGTATCTCTGCAAGAGCAGACTAGCGATTGGATCTCTTTGGGAATCAAGCGGGTGTAAATGCTTTACGTTTGATATGTCTGTCTCTGTCTCATCACAAGACGAGAGTGATCCAGCACTCGTATCGCCAGAAAGTAGTCCACCGTCAAGTGGAAGCTGGTCATATGGCATCGCGGCTGGATGTATAGACACATGTGAGCTGTTGGCGGTGAAGGGTCTGCTGACGGAGCAGTGTTTGCGTTCCATGAAGAATCCGTTGGGAGTAAACCCAGAGTCGGCACTAAGCGATCTATGCAGCCGTACATGACGCTTCCCGAATGTTGGTTGTCTCCTCTTCTCCACTCTCATCCGCCCTTCATGCTTCGGGTTGCTCGTGTCATTATTACTGGTCTTACTTGGAAGCCGCTGCCATCGTGTGAGACCTTCTTCGAGTCGATATTTCTCAAGGTATCGTGGATGGTCGTCATATCCTGATATCGAGTCTTCGGTAGTGTCTCCGGCACAGACCTCTGCCCCGGGGCCCTGCTTGGCGCAGGTATCATTCTCGTCGGCAGCAATTTCGAATTCATCGCCGGTCGACTCCCCCTGACTCCCTGCTGTTGGCGTGTCCGATCGACATGTTTTGGGTGGCACCGGATTCGAAATACTATTGCTATGGACACGCCCGTTGCTTTTGCCTAGCTCGTGAACTCTGGTAGTCACTTCACTCGACACTGGTAGCACTTTGACAGATTCCGCTACACCATCTGAAGTCTTTTGCGTCGCAGTATTGTCATCCGAGTCACTCTTTTGAGAGGCGGCATGGAAACCAGCTTCCGAAAAGCCCATGTGATCTTCATTGTCCTGCGTGTGTGGAATCAGCTAACCGCCACACGAATGAGACTTCATGTCTAGAACGATCTCACCACTGAGAACTGGGTTTGTTGCGGGCCCACCAGAATCCTCGCACCTGGACTGGAAGCTAGAGGCAGTGGCCTCAGATGCTCAGCAACACTCTCATCATTTATGGAGAGTTTGGTCTCTCTCAGACAATTAGCAGTGTCTAGAGGGCTGACATCAATGACCGAGTCGTCAACCTCCGCTTCAAGACTTAGATCTGGTACTGAAATAACCAGCTGGGTTGGCCCGGATCTCGGCGAAATGGGTGGCGATTCGAATTGGAACTGATGCCCATGTGAGGACTCTATACCATTGCCGAAAGACCACTGATTCATGTAATTCCAGAGAGCTACATGGCTTGAGTTGAATATCCAGGGGTTTTGCACACCACTCTCGTGCTCTTGAGTCGCAATCGGGGGCCCAGCCAAGCATGTGGCAAGCGGGATAGAGCTCACGCATTCCATGGCGGGAGATTTGGGATTCCGACTCTTCCGATCAAGTCTCCGCAGAACCAAATTCGAAAATGCTAATAAATCAATAGGCGTGTGCAGGAGAGGGAAAGTGGGGATTGGGGTGTGGCTGCTTATCAGAAAAAAGGCGGTTCTCAACTCGGACGAGAGCACGCTTGTGCTCTCGCGAGCCGGACTCTGACTGGTGCTCTCAGTACAGCCTGCTTATTCGAATGCAGGTACATGCACGTTCTGGGCTCAGCTCGCTCCTCATCTCTTGCGCTATTTTTCTGCTGCATAAAGATCGACTCTAGTGGTGCCCGAAGGCGGTGTGGGTAAAGCGTCTCTCATCGAGTACGAGTACGGTGTCACAACCCGAGTTCTCTTGGAGCTCAAGTTACATCGGTTCTGGAGTGCTCAAGTGGAAAGCTGCTCTGCGGCCTCAGCCGAGTGTCTATTGATTACTGAGCGGTCTGGCTGGGACACCCGTCTCACCTCAGCAAGGTCTCCGTACTGGGTGCCCAGAGTTGCAGATCTGCTAATTGAGGATGACATGCATATGCCACATGTCTCTCGATCTAAAGACGATTTGTGCTCATGGGCTAAGCTGGACCAACATTTGCAATTCATCCCCTTCAGAGCCAAGAAACAAGGTAAGCCCCAAGATATGTGAGTCTTCCACACGGGGCTCATTGGCAATTTTCCTAAGATCGCTTTACAGAACTTGAATGAAATGGTCACCTCGGGAGGCAGATACTGTTGAACCTTCAAGGAAGTAAGTTTGGCTTGTAACTTTCATTTTTTATGTTTTTCGAACTTGCGCACTGTGCTGACACTGCGGCCATCCCACGACTCTCCAGATGTCCACAAGCTGGCCTGAGCAAGATCGGGTTGTCATTCCTAACCACAAAACAGAATTGCTTTCGAAACCAGCCTATAAGATATTCAGCACAGGATCCCCGTCAAGCTTATTGCCCCCGAAATCCCCCCCCAAAAAAAAAAACCCACCAAAAAACCATGGGCCTGGAGTCATCTTCTGCTGGGTGAGGACCTTGGCATATCTGGCATACTTACTCAAGCACAGTAGCTACGCATGGTTTGAGGGTTATCACATGATGTAACATTTATTGGCATTCCTTTCTGTCATTTCAGTGGGATCGCAAAGCCGCATATGAAATGTATTTAGATAGGTTGAGTTGGCAGCACTTGGGCAGCTTCTGCAAGGCTAGCTCCCTGCTAACGCTGCTTAGGTGCTCGAATGCCGCACGTCAGGTTGAATGCCCAGGCAGCGGCCCCACTTTACAGGGGCTTCTCCCTCTTGACGTTTGGCGGGCCGTCCACGGGTGGTCCTCTAAAGTCTAATCCAGTGCCGACGCGGAAACGTCGGACCTTGACTTGTCCCGGACCCCAGGAAGCATAAAGTCAGCTTAAAACCTCGCAGCCACGGGCACGTCGTCAAGTGTCTTGGCCCAGAATTTGTTCTGTTTCAGTCAGACACGATTGTGCTTTCAAAATGGGTGTCAACATCAGGTCAAGCATCGTGAGTTGTCACAGTTGGACCCTGCAGCGTGTCCCAATCTCAGGGTCCAACAGCTAACCCAATCCGCAGCTGGTGGTGCTTCTTGCCCCCCTCGCTGCGTTGCTAGTCGCGCGGGCCCAAGTTCTGTCGTTGGCTTACTTCAACGCTCAAGAACGGATGCCTAGGCATGCAAACTTCAGCTCGCACGAGGTCAAGTTCGCAAACCAGATCCGAAATTGCGAGGATGCGGTGCTGGTCGAGACCAGAGGCATCGCACTTCTTGCATGCGACACAGGCCGGGAGAACTGGAACACAGTCATGGTAGGTCTACAGCAACCCCAGGCCTGCCTTGGTACCAACATAAGACTGACCCAGCGGCAGGGTGACTTGGTTGAGGACGCTGAGCCTGACCCCAATGCTGAGTTTTATACCTGGAACTATGGCGACAAGGAGGGCAGCCTCGAGCGTATCCAGATCGATGGTTTCCACTCGGAACTCCGCACGATAGGATTCGAATACCACGAGCCCAGCTCCACGCTCTTCGTCACGAACCATGGCCGCCAGGGCTCCCGGGTCGAGCAATTCCAGCTGGACCTCGACACACTGACAGCCACGCACGTCCGCACCATTGCTCACCCCTTGATCAGCATCCCGAACTCCATTGCCGCAGTGACCGGGTCGGAGTTCTACGTCACAAACCAGCACTACTTCACCGCCCGTGAGCACCCGCTTCTCTGGGCCCTCGAGACATACACCGCGCCACCTATCGCAACAGTGGTGCACGTGCAGGTTCTAGAGAATGGCACCATCGACGCTGCCGTGGTCGCCCGCCAGGCCTACCCCAACGGCATCGTCATGTACAACAGCACGACCCTGGCCGTGGCGTCGTCGAGCAAGCGGACCGTGAACCTGTACAACGTCTCGTCGGCAGCAGGCGCGGGAACGCACCCGAGCCTGGAGCTAGCTGACAGCTTCTGGCTGCCGTTCCTGCCGGACAACCTCGCCCTGTCGAAGGATGACGGAGCTCTTCTCGTCGCGGGTCACCCGCACCTGCCGAGCCTGAACAAGTTCGCCCGGTCGCGGAAGGTCTGCCACCGCCCAGAGGTGCTGAAGGCGCAGGGAGAGGAGGCACAGGCCATGTGTGCAGGCACCGGTGCCGCTTCATGGGCGGTTGAGTGGACTCCAGAAGGTGGTGTGAGGCACATATATGCCGGATGGGATTACCCAACGAGCGCGACGGTTGTGAGGGATAGGAAAAGAGGCATGGGGATCGTGGCGGGGCTATATGCTAAGGGCCTGCTAGTATGGAGTGACTGACCTATCAGGCAGGGACGGTGGATAGAGAAAGATTCGGGTCCTGGGATGGCCACGAAACGGACCTCGAGAACCATTCGCGTCGGGATATTTTAGAAAGCAACCATGCCTGGGTACCTCGCTACCTAAATGGGTACTGGGAGACAGGGAGACAAAGATGCAAACTGGTGCTGTTGCCTACTGCTGTCTCATGCTCGTCGCTGACAATGTGAATGCGGATGCTTCTCCCCGTTTCATCACCGACCATGTCAATTCTACCAGTGCTCGTCGCCGCCGCTGCAAATATTGCAACGGCATCGCAAGTAGAAAGAGAAGGTTGTTGCTAGAGGCACAAATTTAGACGAGAGACAGTTCGATGAGTACATACCTCTGATGAAGGTCAACATCTCACTAGTAATCGTCCGGACTGCGTTTAAGGTAAATTTTGTTGAATTGCAACCGTGATCCTTATTGCTGAAATTCATGCCTGGTATCACCTCGCCCAAGATCAAGCAGTCAGTGGGCCGCCCTCCAAGGCAACCTTCCTGGGGACCAAATTGCTGTGGTCACACGTAGGACGGGTCAGATAAGACTGGTCTACACTCATCGCTGCTTCACTTCATTGAGTATGGTCACACTCTCATCTCATGCCATCCAGTCTAGGTCACAGCTCGGGTTACCTATGCACTTTCATCCAAAATCTCAACTAACTAAAACAGAGAGTTGACCCGTGCAGAAAGAGAGCGGAGAGAGACTTTTATCACACCTTTGACACGGGAAGTCAGGGTTGGTGATTGCTGTGGCTGGACTCGACCGATCTCGCGTGATCACGGGCGATGGGCCACTGAAAACGATGTCTTGGCTCTCACTAATGTATGCCCAGAATTCGAGGCAAGCATAATAATTAAATTAGATGTAGCTGGCCGTAGACGTTCTGCAGTGAACGGGCGGAACACGATGGCAGGGCGGGCCCTGTTCGAGAAAGGACCGCAAACAATTCGCGGCGTGAATTCGTTGGATTAAACGCCGCTGCAGCCTAAAATAGTTCGGCGCGGCTCACTTTTCGGTATGCTTAATTTTAAATCGAATGGAGCTAGACCGTTATGCATTAGTATTGCTGACAGAGAGCTTTTCCACCCGTGGTAGCGGGAGCGGAGGATGAACGCCAAGAACGAGAAATCAGCATGGGCAAGCAGGCAGGAGGCAGAAATATTCGACTCCAGAACCAACGCGTTCGTCGTGTCATTCCTCTTTTTCTTTTCTCACCCTCCCGGCAGCCGATCACTCATTTGACGCCCAGTTTTCTTGTTCCCAGGCTATCTGAGTTCCCACATTGAACTTCACTTTACATTGAATTGACAGAGGACCCGAGAATCATCATGACAAAGGCGTTGTTTCTGGCCTCGGCCCTGGCGGCGGGCACAATAGCTCAGACCACATCAGTCGTGGGCGTGTTCCTCAATACCTATGAGGTCGGCAACATTACTCTACAAGGATCTGTGATTTCTGCTGCACCTGACGCGACCACCTACTCTATCACGAGGGTAGATGACGCGACTTGCACCCAGGTAAGAATGACCCCGACGATGCTTGACGTTCCAGACCTGACCCTGGAGACAGGACTGCACAGACGATCCCCAGCAAACAGGACTCACAGATGACCTGCAAATGACATTCGTCAACGGGCCATCGACTTTTGCTCACCACCTTATCAAGCCTGGCCAATAGTAAGTGTTATGGCATCCCATGTTTGGGAGGCGGCCGCCGGCACGGTCTCGATGCGAATCCAGGCTAACACTTCAGAAGCACGATTGACTATGAGTGTAAAGTCAGCGATGGTACCAATGCCGATTGCGAGGGTACATCGAGCGGCCCGTCGGTTGTGCCCGGCAGACAAATTGAAGCCATGGTGTGGGCTTCGACCAGCCTGACGCCGGTGACCATCACGGCCGGCCTGGAGAAGATACTGGCTGTGAGCACTGCTACGGCTGGCACGGCTCAGACTGCCGCATCTGCATCTTCGGGCGCCTCTCAGACGGGTGCTTCTGCGTCTGCGACTTCTTCCGACTCGGCCCCCGGCGCCTCGACTACGGCGAGCTCTGCGGCCGCGGGCGCTGGCCACAACATCGTCCTTGGAGTGGTTTGTGGAATACTCTTTGTGATGCTGGGACTCTAGATGCAGACTGGTTTCCATAATGCTTCCTCTTGAACTTGGCGGCCAAAGGGTAGTAACTCTTTCAAAGAAAGACATGTGAGTACCGTTTTTTATAGTATTACTACCCTAGGGTAGTGACATAATAGCTAGATAGTCAAAGATGTCAACGCCACTTCGGCGAAGTCCCCATCCAGCCTTATTCCCCACTGTTCACATCGTCGATTTGAGCACTAAGACGACAATTCCCCAGGTATATTTGTGCGTGACCAATCCGAGGAGATAGGTCACTGCTTTCTTTGCTGTGGGTTGCACCAAGGTCCACGGTGTAACGCCAAGCCTTTGGGGGTCCCCAACCTCGCAATAGTCATCATCCTATCGCCAGTTAGTTTCCTCATCCTCTTGATATGCCCTTGTTAGGAAATGATGACTGCAGCTGCCGTTTCACAGAACTGTGCCGCAGCGGGGTGCCCTAAGGGGAAACAAGATTGAAGGAAAGATTTTTCAGAAGCTGCTTCAGCAAGCAGATCATCATTATTAAACTCTTTTGTTTGGAGAACAGGGCGGTCGAGAGTCTTTCGTCGGGTTTCCGTGAGAATATCATCACAATGTGTTTGCGACTGATTTCATTGCATGGGGTTGCAACTTTGGCAATGTTCAATGTTGCTGCCCTTATCACTGGAACCAAAACTCACATCGCTTCACAGCAGATTAAGGAGTACGGACACCATCGTCGTCAAGTTACTAGTATCTCAATAGCGTCCCCGTCTACATGCGCAGGTCTCGCATCCTACTTTAGCTGCCCACTCGACTTGGGAGGAGGCTGCTGTCCTCAGGGGCTGGTTTGTGGATCTAATCAGGCTTGCACTCCTTCCGCAGTCACCTCTACAACCACGACACTTCTTTGCGATCAAGGCTGGTTCGCCTGTTCTTCAAGCGATGGAGGTGAGTTGCCCACCCCGCAAAACAAAGTAACACGACTCATTATCGACTCAGGAGGCTGCTGCCTCGGAGGTGGCATCTGCGGGCCAGGAGAATGTACATTCTATGTCGCGGCTACGACCACTATTGGCCCTTCGTTCTTTGTCTCTGACGGACAGACTGGCACAATTTTCAACATTGTAACTACAACCTCAACATCCTCAACTAGTCAGACCAATCCGACAATTACCTCGTCCATATCTACATTGGTCGTAGGCACGGAAACAAGCCCTCAGATATTTACCTCCACTGTGCTTGTCATGGATGCTTCCGGCGGCGGTGGGGGCCTAACAGGAGGGCAGATAGGAGGCATAAGTGCGGGAGTTGTCGTGGGATTTCTTCTTCTGGCGGCCTTGGGATGGCTGATCGTACGTCATCTGATTCGGATCTCGCGCTTTATGGATAAGTTTGACGGTAGCCGGGCTACGTCAAATAAGCCGGCTACGAAAGAAGGAGAGCCTCACACCAGAGACACAGAGCTACGGGGACCGAGAAACAGCAATGTAGATAACGATCAGAGGACGACTGAGATGTCACCTCAAGAGAGACCACAGATGTTGGAAGAGTGGGGGAGACATGGAAGCCGTGGAACCGAACTCCCTGGGAGTTACTTGGCACATGGAGTGTCTGAGTTGGACAGCTCAACCGTTGGCAGGACTTGACGGAAGCATGGGGGAGATTTTGTCAGTATAACAATGCAGTTAAGGGGGGCAATGGCGGGCTGTATTGGTCGTGTTTTGAGGCTATACTGGTTACCGTATCACCTGCAAAAATGAGATGTCGTCATGACGGAGGTCTCGGCTGAACTTATATCGAAATGCAGGTACAAATCTTGTTCACATGCCGATCTTGAGAGTCTCGCACTTTGGAATGTGCCACAAGGCACTGTGTCAAGGTTCCAACAAGGTTCGTTAAAGTTGATTAGGACAGAGAAGTCCCAGGCAGGCCAGGGAGTATACGGCATGGCGGCTTGGGTCCCGGGTCAGCTGACTTGGCGTTCGCGTCGCGTCATGACCTGAATCCCCGAGCGCGCCCTTCCGACGACACGCCGATGTGAATCACGCTGCACAAAGCACCGACTCCAATACTTTCTTCGAACACATCGTTGGACATTCTCGATTCTTCATCTTTCTATCCCAACACTTGACCACACCTCGCTGCAGCAAAAAACACACTGGACCCCGTCGACAGCCTGAAACATCCAGCACCAGCCAGCCAAATCATCCACAACATTGAAGCATGGCTGTCGCCGTCAATGGCAAGATCGCAGACACCCGTCCAACCAAAATCCCCACAAAGACCACAAAGGTCGAAAAGGCATACCGAGCCAACACCACCGCAAAACGATCAGCCGCACCAAACACCAAACCCACCAACCCCCCAGCAGCATCAACAACAGCAGCAGACATGCAGCCCCAGCTAGACCGCATAGCAGCCAGTCCCACCCTGACACCCTACCAGAAGCGCGTCCTCACGCTGCTCTGCCAGGTCCCGCGCGGCCACGTAACCACCTACGCGCTCATGGCGGCCCACCTGGGCTCCTCGCCCCGCGCGGTCGGCAACGCGATGCGGCGCAACCCGTTTGCGCCTGAGGTGCCCTGCCACCGGTGCGTGGCGACGGGCGGTGGGCTGGGTGGGTTCAAGGGCCAGTGGCCAAAGGACGGCGAAGGAATCACGCTTGATGAGAAGAGGATGCTGCTGCGCAAGGAGGGGGTCCGGTGGGATGATGCCGGGAGGGTGCTGGGGACGCCTTTTGGGGGGTTTGTGTGAGTTTCAAGACGGGTGGTCGAGCCCTTGATATGGGATATGTGTTATTGTGATGGGTATGGAAAAGGCGTTTGCGGTATACTGGTTCTTTGGACAGGAAGGTCTACATTGATTGCCAATTTGATGAACTCTTTGAGATTTACGCTGTCCATTTGCCCAAGTTTGCTTCTCGTGTGCGATAACCTGGAGCTGGAACAAGGCATAAAATATCGAAAGCGCCCAGAACTATATTGTCCTCGGTTCGGCATGTTTTCGCGTGGGGTTGCACGAGGCCACTTGAGTTGATCTGCCCGTCACAGCCTTGGACGGGGCACAGGCGCCAGACTTGCCCCCCATAACAGCCTCTCGAGTCGAAGCACATCGTGCTTGTGCAGAGCAGAGGCGGTATATACAATGTGTAGACTGCAGATGCTGGGTAATTTCGTCCGGGAGGTCTGAGAAGGGCAAACCTGGTGCCAAAAGATGGGCTACCTGAACCGGTACAATCGCAATGCGAATGTCCACATGCTGGCCGCACCTTTCCCCAAGTGCTTCAACACACGAGGCGCATTCAACACATCGAAAGAGCTCACTTCCACAAGCCGCGGCCATACAGCCATGGCCCACTGTCCCACCCCGGGCACCGTACCACGGCTTCCACCTTCCGATCAATCACCGGTGTCGACCTCAAGATCCAGCTGCACACCATTGCTGACGCCGTAGTCAGCAAGACAAATGTGGTCCTTGAACGGCCTCTCCCCCTGCCGCTTGAGCAATATCTCGTGCGGCTCGCGCCCGATGCGGCCCGCAACCATGATCTTGAACTGCCCGACGAGGTCCGACCCGAAGCACGGGATCGCAGCCTTGGTGCCCAGCCGGTCGTTGACGTGCACGATGATCATCTCCTCGCCGTCTGCTGCCGCCGGGGGTGGCGCGGCCGGCGCGGCCGCCTTGTCCTTCCTCTCTCGTCGCGGCGGCCGGTCGTCCCTGTTCCTGTCCCTGTCCCTGTCCCTGTCCCTTGGCCGATCGTCCCGGTCACGGTCACGACGAGGGGAACGGCTGCGGCGCCGGGCGTCGCGGTCTCGATCGCGGTTCCTGTCTGCGTCCCTGCCGTCGCGCGGTGGCCGGCGGTCGTCGCGGTCCCTGTCGTCGCGGCGGTAGTCGTCGCGGTAGCTGGGCCTCGACGAGGAGCCGCCGCGCGGGCCGTCGTCGTACCTGGAGCGCCTGTCGTCGCGGCGGGTGTCGTCGGCGCCGGAGGCGGAGGGCTTCTGCTTCCACTTGAAGCCGCCGCTGGACTTCTTGTTCTTGCGCGGCGGGGATCGCGACCTTGAGCGCCGGGATGGGGACGGTGGTTTGGCCTCTGCGGCGGGCGCGGGGGAGTCGCGGTCTGACATGGTGGTGATTCCTGGTGGTTGACCTTGTTGGATTGTGGCCAACCGTCGTGGGCTGTGAAGGCGAAAGAGAGGCCGAGAGAAAGATGGCAGAGTTGGCTGGCGGCGATAAAATGACGTTAGGCAGGGGAAAGCTTTATCGATAAGCCCAGGCCGCAGCGGGCGCTAAGAGGTACGAAGCAACGTAGGTACTTAGGTACTTGGCGACACCGCCTGACCTCTGAGCTCGGCTTCATCTCCTTCACTTACCGTGTCGGGGGACGAGTCACAATACGTATGCGTGCACCACTTGAATGCTGTAGTGCTCGGAACCCAAATTCAAATGTTCTCACAGAAAGGCTCAAGGCAGGTTGGTATGTGGAGCACGTGACTTTTCAACGGAATCGCCTTGGAGGCAGCGTGAGGAAGAGACTTCTCATCAATCACGACCCTGCGTGGCTCATGGGCCAGTATCGTCGAGTTTCAATCAAAAGGCTGTTTGACCATGAATTATTAGGAGTCAGAAACACGCCAACCAATGTTGTTCAAAGTTGCTCAGGCATGGATTGATCACGAGGTAAGATATATATCAGCACAAGGAAAGAGTTCATTGGTCCCCGGGCAAGGCGTTAGTATTATGTGCGAGATGAACATAGGTAGCTGGTAGCTTGAGGCAACCACTGCGGCGCGTCGCCAGTCGCCACTATCAACACATCCTGAGGCTTGGGGAAATAAGTGGCAAACACCTCCCAGCATTGAATCTTCTAGGTCACTTGGCCAATTGAATTTTGGTTGGTGCTAATTCCCACCTGAGCATAAATCTGCTAGTATTCATAGGGCCAAGGTCTATATCCTGGAGGGTGTCGGATGCTACATAGAACCGCAGTGAATGGACCCGAGATCGGTGTGGCAGTCAGCGTGGTCCGCCGTGGACATATTCATTATGAAGACTCGATCAGTCAGTCTGGGCAACGCCGGAGCTTGCAACCTTAACAATGTTGTGTCAAAGCTTATACATAATCAATGACTGGAAGTATTCCTTCTATTCTTAACTGCAGTGTTACTAGTATGGTGCATGTTGAGTGTGCTGAGGAAAAGTGACAAAATGATCTCTGCTAGAAGCTTCAAACTGCCCATTTTCGATCTTAGCGGTGTCCTGCTGGAGAGGAACCACCACAGCATCGACGCCATCTCTCCGGAGCAATTTCGAACCATAGCACACACTCTCTACACCATGGCATCGCCTGGACCGGGGTAAAACACCCCGCAAGGAAGCTTGTCAGGTAACCATTCCTTACATTCAAATATTCACATCATCAATTGATCTCAAGCCGCCGGCTGAGAATTTGGGAAGCCTGTTTCTGAATTCGGGATCATACTTGGTGCACAACCTTCATCTGTCAAAACCGCACTATATCAGGCTCAGATTTCACGTCAAAGCCGAAAGGGAACTTCTTCTTCAAGATGATTGTGACTAGTAAAACAGCCTCGGAAGGACGCATAGACTTTCCAACATCAATGTCCTCAGCTGGGATGGTCGTTCCTCGGTACCAGGTGGCCGCACGCGCGGTTCACACATAGAATTATCTACTGTGTTAGGCGCGTCAGGGACTTTCCGCTGACGGAACAGCATCGTTGCTTACCTTGGACTCAAACTATTTATTTATGAGCAGTGGCCAATTGACACCCGGTGAGGCCATCGTCCCTGCAAGAACTCCAATCAAAACATAGGCACCAGCAGAGTCCGGATGTCTGCTGTTTGCACCTGAAAAAAAAAATCAAATTTGTCGATGCTATATCATCGATTTTGTCAAGGTCTAGTACATAATTCCTGTCTGCATTCTCCTCCGCCCCCGGACCTCCTCATCCAGGGACATACCTCGGTGTTGGGATAATAGCTGCGGAGATATGGATGGCATATTTCAATGATTTGATTGGTATTTTTTCTTTTTTTCTTTTTTCATTTTTTTTTGTTATATTTCTTTGTTATAGGGCCAAGGTGTATTTGACGGCGACGTTCTATTTCTCAGTGGCTGATCAGCAACGTACTGCCGGAGTCGAACAACGTCGTCCGCCTGTATCATCCCTGCCGGGACGCCGCTAATGACCCGCAGGAGGTCCGAGCCGTGACCATGGGCAATCTGACTCGTTTCTTGGCAACATTTTTCCACTAATGGTGGAGTCTCTCGCCTTTTGCGTTGTAGGTGGAAAAGGACAGCCAGCACTTTCTCAATATCACTTGGCAGGGGGTAATTAGAGAGACCTCGAGCTCAAGTCCTACTGCAACCCACGCCTGAGCAGCAGACTGGGCGTGTGCGACATTCATTTGTGGCAGCAGCATACCGGGTCCAGTCCAGCAAATGCCTGTGCAGAGTCCTTAACTGCCTCATTAGCTCTCCGCATAAACCTCAAGTGCTCTCCGCTGGCGACAAAGTAATACAAAACCATGGTGCCCAAGCAGGCGTTCCTTGCGGTGATACCGATTCTGGGTCGCACTTGTGCCGATGCTGATCCATTCGACATCACCGCGGATCATCTGGCATGGGACGATACGACGTACACTCTCATTTCAAGCCGGCCTAATCCAGAGGCGGACCAGGCCTGGCTGCCCCAGTCGAACGGGTATGTTAGAACCACGTTGAATTACACACAATAGTGCAACACTTTAGCATACTGACGTCGCCACCTTCACGCAGGTACATTGGCCTGACCCAGGGCAGCCTAGGCCCATTTCTGGAAGTGAACAGCCTCCAGCAGACATTCGCCACGGTCAATGGCTTCTGGGACCATGAGCCGGATGGCAAGAGAGTGATTGCTGGCATTCCCCATTTCACTGACCTCCTCGTTGGTGCATGCAATAGCACCTTGAACGGAACTACTGCCACTTCAGAAATCAGCGATTTCAAGTCCACCTTTTCTTTGTGCGTCTACGCAGTCCCTACCGCCAATGTTACTCGTTTTAGACCATTCGTGCTGATTCTGTGACAGCTCCACTGGAATTGCAACCTGGGACTACGTGTGGTCGCCGTCAACTTGCTCCGAAGATATTGCGTTGAAAGTCTCCTACGAGGCGTTCTTGTCATTGGATGAACGTCATATTGCAGCCGTGAAATTGGCAGTCAGTAGCAACTCCGAGGTTGAAATCCTCGTCACGGATGTCTTGGATGGGCACAGCGCCAGTCGAACTTCGGACGCAGAGCCTAGGTTTTTCCCACCGAAGAAAGCCATCTTGACGTCTGTTAAGCCCGCGGGCGTGGAAGATGTATCCGCATTCGTCTTTTCGACCATGCGGGGTGACGACCTGCCAAAGTTTCAGAAGGGCCTTTCGGCAGACCCTAACACCAAGACGATCTCCCAGAGTTATAGCGTGACGCTCGATCCCGACTTGAATGATGGCGCATCGACTTTTGTCAAATATGTCGGGGTCATGTCGACAGAACATTTCCCAGACGCCAAGGCCCTCGTACCCAAGGCCGTCACCGAAGCTGCTGAAGCCGGATGGGACGCCCTTCGCTCGGCTCACACTGCCTATGTCGCTGCATTGATGGACAGCGACTTGCTCGCTGACTTCCGGGATACCGCCAACGGCGTTCTACCAGAGGATAAAGACATACGCTGGCTTCAGATAACAGCCATAGCTTCCACATACTATCTATACACCAGCCTCTTGCCCTATGAAGAGCCTGATGCTACGCTGTCTGACAGTCTTTGGAACATGCTCGAGTCTGGGTGCGCCTCTTGGACGCTCCTGCTCCAGTCCTTCTACCCCTACATCGGCGCGCCCTGGTACCATTTCTCGGAGCACAAGAACGACAACAGGGACATTGAAGTTGGCCCCAACCCGGGCTTTCCCTTCATGACGGGCCACGAAGAGCTGCTTCGGTTTATGACGGCCGGGTTCCTGGGCGTGCGGACCACGGACGCGAACCTCGTACTCAACCCCTCTCTCCCGCCGCAGGTGGCGCACTTCAAAGCCCCAGTGCAGTTTTACAATGGCGCCGTGGTTGAGTGTCGGATGAATAGGACCCACACCACCATCACCCGCCGTGACGGAGCCGAGTTCAACGGCCTCGCCGAGGATGGGTATGGAAATGGTGCTATGCCCATCACCATTGGCCGCAGCACGGACGATTCAGACGGGTATACGATCCATTTAAAGGTCGGAGAGACAGTTGTGATTGCCAACAGGCAACATAGCGACAAGCTTACCACACACGGAAATATTCTCCAGTGCAAAGCATCCTCGTCGCCCGACGCACACGTCCTGGGGCAACTGCCCATTGCCGCCACCGACGGTTACACAGGCACCAGCTGGCAGCCCGAGTCAGACTCAGCCGCGACACTAGTTGTGAGTCTGGGAGCTTCCGCGGATGAGCATGCTGTAGAGCTGGACAGCATTCTACTCGACTTTGGCATGCGGCCGCCGAAGAATATCCGCATCCTCATCTCCAACCAAACGAGCTTTGCTGAGCCTGCGGGAGTAGAGCAGCAGCAGTCACTGGGACAGTGGGTCCCCGTCGTAATCACCAAGCCCTGGATTCCTGATTCACAGGCTGTGCGGGACTCTGGAAACACCACGGTCGTCGAGCTTCCACGCGGTGTGTGGAGCGGGAGGTATGCCAGGCTGGACATTGATGGATGCTGGACTGAGGATAGGGCAGGGGCTACTGTTGCTGAATTTGCGCTCATTTCCAGAGGTTCTGCTGTCAGTGAAGGCGAGCACGACGCACCTAAGACTGTGGATTTCGAAGAGGTTGGCCATGACGAGTTGTAGGTGAGCGATGTGCGGTTTGAAGTTGAACGGAAGGGCACGGGCAGTCCGGCGTGGATTCAGAATGTCTTAGCGAGCTGTACATATTCATTGGGCTCCAATTCCAGTTCGGATGTAATGTTTCCAACAATGGTAGAAGTACTAGTAGCCGAGGTGGAGGATCTAGATACGCGCGCTGTGGGCAGCATACCTACCTAGGTACTATAGCGCTCCCCTAGGGGTTTTTGGAAATAGTTACTAGACTATCCCTTCTGCTTTAAAATAGTATTTTAGGTAGTCCCTAATACTTTAGAATTATTCTTTTATTAATACTTTTTAGTGATAGTTATAAGGTATATTAGTATCTTTCTTTAAGATTAGATTGTTTTTAAAATTAGAGGGTCTTTTAAAGACCTTCCCTTTTTTTTTAAGACCTTTTTTTTTCTTTTAAGACCTTCCCTTTCCTTTTAAGACCTTTATTTAGAGCCTTAAAAAAAAAGGGGAAGGAACCCTTCTAAACTAGCTAGGTAAGTAGAGTAAATAGAGGGTTAGTTAGGGGTCTATTTTAAAGGAGAAGACTATTAAAGGAATAAGAGAAAAATTCTTTTTTAACTAGTTTTTATATTAAGGTAAAAGCTTAATGTTAAAGAATTTAAAGATTAAACCTTTTAAAGATTTAATTTTCTTTTAAAGACCTTCTTATTACTTAAAAGTTAGTTAAAAAAGGAAGGACTATTAATAGTTATAGTTATTATTAGAGAGTATTAATTAAGAATACCGTTTTTAAAAACCCCTAGGAGTGTGGTATGGTATTAAGTACTTAGGTATATGTATCTAGCTAGGTAAGAACATTTATAGATAACACCCTGAGTTAGTCTCACCTCTATTACAAACAATTACCAGTGTGCTATGATTACCTGGATCACTATTCACAATGTACCTAGGTAGCCACGGTGATCTGACGTGAGCGGACCTTTGGGGAACGATAAGAAATGAGGATTTGGATGCAATTGACACGGCCCATGTCCAATATACTACCTAACTCAATTTAGTGATACAAAGTCGACAGCATGGATTCAAGGTTACAGATAATGTCAGCACTACGGCCAAAACGGTGATAAATTGAACATTGAACAAGGTATCCAGATTGCGCCATTGGCAGTCCAAGTGCTTGCTCAATCTGACCAAAACAGCATGCATATAAGTATTTCCGTGAGTCACACATAGAAAGCTTATCTAGGTACAGTCACATAACTTGCCCTCATCAGTTTCTGGTAACCAATCCAGGCCATCAATATCCAGGAGCAAAGCACAATTGAAAAGCCAGGCTTTCATCACAGCAAATCACCCACGCCAAACAACTTTTAATAAACGCTCGGCCAGCGCAGTAAAGAAGCGATGTCGAAGTCAAAGGGCATGGCAACTGCGGAAACACTGTTAGAAGGCTATGGCAGTCTGAAAGTCGATCAACTCATTGCCCCCTTATCAGACGACTTCTCTCATCAAGTCCTACCTGAGAGCTTAGGAATGCGAGCGCGAAACGTAAAGCAGTTCGCGGAGCACGCAGCTCAAATATTCGCGGTTTTTAGCACGTTTCGAATGAAACCCAAGGCTGTTTTTGAGGACCGTGGACGAAACGTGGTCGTTGTACATGCGCGAATGGAAGGGACACTGAATGGAAGTAAAGAAGAATGGCAGAATGAATGCGTTATGATTATTTTTCTTTCCGCAGATGGGACGCAAGTGGTCAAGATTGAGGAGTTTGTCGACAGTGCGAAAGCTATGGAAATGCAGAAGAACCACGCTCCGGATATGGCTGAATAGCCGGTCGAGGCTAGAGATGTTCATTTGGTCTCTAGCATATCTAGGTGCCGATCATATTGAACATTATAGCGGATGAGTCAAGTGCCGTACAGGGAAGTGCTCAAGCTCTGCTTGACGACCCCGGGATAGTAACCGTCGCACGCGCCTGTGCTAATTCAACCGTGAGAAAGGTTAATGAACACCACTTTATTCTTTCTCACACTATGCATTGCTCGCTTTAGTCAATGCGACGCCACGAGCTGCCAGAGTGCGCTTGTGCCAGCTATCAATGGCATGGCAATGCGAACAGTGTTCCAGCGCATCCAGCTGCGCGCGAAGCTCTCAGCTTGGTCGACGTCGCTTTTGCTAGCTTTTGCGCTTGCCAGCCCGTCGAGCTTGTTGTTGAGGGGCTGCATGTTGACCGCAGAGTGCACCATCGTCACTAAATGGCATAGCGCCGAGAGTGCGTAAAGTCTCCAGTCACCAAAGCCACCGCCACGACCTTGAGCCGCCCATAAAGTGTACGAGTATCCAAGGAGCCCTAGTGTACTTATGGGCTTGAAGAAACCGTGGCCCACGGCCCAGAAGACGGGCCACTGCCGCCCAAGATGTCTCACCCGGGCAGCGTACTCTGGTGATGATTTTGGAGGGAAGTCAACCAGTAGTGCAGGTACGCCCATGAATGTTTGTGTGATCGCGTTGCCTTTTAAGCCTTTTCGTCAGTGCACGCACCACGTGATGATGAGGATTAGTACGTACCGACTAATGTGAAGGAGAACGCGATGCTTGCGCCCGCTACGGCGCCAGGATCAATGGCCATCTTCTAGGCTAGATTCTGCTTCCTCGCCAGAATGATAACACTTGTCGCGCATGAAGAGTAATAACTATTAGCACGTTTCTATCCGGTATGTTGAGCTTTTTTCTGTAGCGTTTGGGAGTATACTCCCGAGTTCGGACTGAACTAGTTATTTGCACGCTTTTAGTGGTTCATCATGATGTTTATATTCACTTCGCCGCATACAAAATCCCAAGGTCCTGCGCAATCCGGACGTCCGGTGGGGACAAAATTCACACCTTAGTAAGCGAGCAAGCGCTTCATTTGGAGTACGTGGCTGATCTGCATGGCTAAATCCATTCTAGTAACAGGAGCATTCTAATGGGTGGTGTACTGTAGCCTGGAGGGCAGGAATTTCAAAGACATGGAGTGATGAAATCAGGCCTGTCACGGCAAGCAGATTACGGAGCAAGCGGGGGTACCTACTAATGCAACGTTAGCACACTATCTCAAATAGAAAGACGCTATATATTCCTACACAGAGTAAGACCTCTTAGATATGGAAATGAGAAGCGATTGGTGGAACATCAGGCCGGGTTTACGGGTCCTAGTTGCAACCAGAATGGCCGTCAGCTGACGGTGAACCCAGCCAACAGGCCCCATGTGACTGTCGAGAAAGCACTTGAGTCTATACTCAAGAGGGATAAATCTCCAGGCACGATTGTACAAGGATACAGGTGTCAAGTGGCAAGGAGGATCTAGTTGGAGCTAATAATAATAACAAAATGCTCATCCTCAGATGAGGATGAAAAGGGAAGTGTATTTCTAAAAACATGCAAGTTGTTCAGCATGGCGCGCCCACTACCACTCATTATGAATCTCACTAGCTTGTGGAGTAAGTGAGTGCCCAACTCAATCTCGCAATCAGATAACCCTTCAGATTCACGTTGACCTGTAGACAAAGCTCAACCATCGCCCGTTCCAATCCCGGCCGACCTTGCACCCAAATCTCGGGCGCTGTATATATAGCAGGCTAAGATGACTGGCTTTGCTTTGTCGCATTCAAAAATGCTGCCCTATCTTGAGCGTCTTTGGTTTCAGATTCTCTCCAGAGGCGAAGGGCTTCCTGCTTGCGCGCTTCGCTCCGGGGCTCAAAGGCCATCTGGAAGGGGTCTGGTTTGAGGATAAGTAGCGAGTTGGTCTTGTTCACCGGCACAGGAAGAGGCCGCCCGGTTTCGGGGTCCTTTTTGTGCTTCAAGTTAAAGCACCAGGCCAGCGCACCACATGCGACTATCAACTCATCTTCTGTGAGGCTTTGGCCCAGACACTGTCGTTGTCCCCATCCGAAAGATGTCATCCCCTTGAGTCTCGGGAAAGTAGTCAATGGCTCCTGGTATGTGGGCCATTCTGGCTCCAGCCATCTTTCAGGGCGGTAGTTGTCTGGGTCAGGGTATTTCAAGGGATTGCGAAGGAATGCCCTGCGAATGTTAGGAAGGATGACGTTGAAGCGCAGGAGTGATTGCCTCTCACCAGTCCAAAGGTAGGATCCGCGTTCCTTTCGGGAGGAAGTAGCCTTTGTAGACGTCGTCCGCTTCCATCTCGTGGGCAACCCCTTCCCGTGCTTATCAGCTAGGGAAGTTGACTCAGTCCGTTTGGTGCTATACATACCTGTTGGTACATTGGGTCTCCATCTCATGGTCTCTTTGATACAGGCGCGCAAGATCGGCAGGCTTGGTTTGTCTTCGAGAGTCGGTAAACGCCCCTTGCAGACCTCATCAACTTCTCTCTGGACTCTTTCCTGCCAATCTGGATGATGGACCATCGCGATCAGGTAGAATCCAAGGGGACCACCGACAGTAAAGATGCCTACTAGCGCTAGCATTCCAAAGGCTGAAGAAGCCTCGTAATCACCCGAAATATTGTATGCATTGATCCCTTTCTCCAGGAAATGCCTGGTATAACACGGGCGCTGCTCGCCTTTCTCCATTCTCTGGCGGGTGGTAACGAGTCTTTCCATCCACCAGGCATGCAATTCATCGTGGCGCCTTTTCTCCGCCTGCTTCCACGGATTCAGCGGCAAGGGCAAATCCCACAAAGGCGTCAAGATATTTGTGATAGGTCCGGCCGGGGATATCTGAGTGAGGAGCTTCCAGGCACTCTTGGTCAAATACTCACTGACGGTGGGGTCGTCCCACGTGAGCTGGCATGTTATCTTGGCTGCCATGTCCTCAAGAGAAGAGCCGAAATCATCCGGGTCCTCAATCAACCTGGAAAGCCAGCGTTTTGACTCATGGTAAATCAAGCCACGGTACTGATCATTCGCTGCATCCGTCAAATATGCATGTGCAAGTCGCCTCTGTCGAGCCCAATATTCTGATAATGTTAGCAGGAACTTGAAGCCTGCCCAGGGTGCACGAACAGGAAAAGCGCGTACTGTTCTTCCCCATGAGCGGCAAATATTCCATTGAACCGAATGTGCTCTTTGGGTCAAATAAAGATGTGATAGCAGGGCGATCGGAATTGAACCTGGCCTTCTTGACGAGCAGGTCTTCTGCAACTTTCTCGTCTGAGATGACAAGAAACTTGGCTCCGAGCATCTCAGTCCTATAGAATCCATCTACAGCATACTCATCCGCCCATTCCTTGAACTTTATCCACATAAACTGTATAGGGAGATCATGGATGCGGCCGATATACGGCAATAGAGTCGGTCCCGGAACACCTTTCGGGTCATTTGCTTGCCTGAACAATTTTACAAGCTGGGCAATAGCAATGGCGATGGTGGCTAAACAGATAGCGATGGGATTGACGGTTTGCATCGTTACTCCTGAGTAGAAGAAAGTGTCCAAGGTTATCGCCCGGGACAATGCAATAGGATGAGCGAAACACTTGACAGACCAGAAATGAAATTAGCTACTAACAAGAAAGAAGTAGAATATGCGAGGCACCCACTTTAAGACGTAGTTGTCATCAAGCGTGATCTATGACTTCAAGTCTAGCGAATCACCTCTACCCAGGTGAAGGCAGCTACTCGAACTACTGCTTACTATCAGTGGGACTGTGAGTGGGTAATAGATAACATTTTGGCTCGTGGCCGTCCACACACATTCGTGGTAATCTGTTTCAGAAAATGATCTGCGGGTTCCACAACTAACTCTAGGGTACCTGAAGGCAAATATATCAAGTAGATCCAACTTGGGACCGTTACCAAATCAGGCATTGAGCTCTGCGCGATGGATCATTGGTCTTTCCATATCTAGTAAACACACAATGAACGTGTCCGCGCTTCTCACGTCAGCGCGACCTGCACTTCGGCGCCAATGGTCATTTTACTATTTCGGACTCTGTGGCGACTCGCATTTCTGTCCCCAAAACCCCTGTAGCTCTAATCTTGGTCCCGGAGGCTCACTACCCGTTTGGCATGATGCCGCGGTGTGCCTCGTCATAGAGATACGCCAGCTGGCAGCGGTTCTGGTCCGGGACCGTGTTTCGGGACCGAAACCTGGCTTCCTCGGTCATTGGCACGTTTCTATTCTGTATCGCCGGATTTCGAATCTGGACCAGAATCGAACTTGGACTCATGGTATCACAAACCTCGGTATGTTCAGTTATTTGTTACCACCTATCGAGTCTCTGTCAGTTCTCCAAGTTCGTCGCTAGGGATTATTGGTGACGTCCCTGACCATCCCTGGCTGACTTTTGGGAGATCTCTCCAGAAATCGTATGAACTTTACAATGGAAAGCAAGCCTGTCGGGTCATATCCATCTACAGGGATCGATGTACTCATCGTCGGTACCGGCCTCGCAGGTCTAACAGCTGCAGTTGAGTGCATCCGTAAAGGGCACAATGTGCGTGTGTTGGAGCGAAATGCTGGTGTCAACACTATTGGTACGGTTCTCTGAGAATCGAAAAAGATGAATTCTGGTTTGGTTTCCCTGAATACGAACTAATGGCTACTCCCTTCCTAGGCGACATGTACTTCATGGGTTTAAGCGCGACGAGGTTATTCAAACACTGGCCTGAAATGGCAAAGGATTACGATGCGATTTCCCTGCATAATCTGTGGATTGAGACATTTAAACACGATGGTACACACATGATTCCACCACTGAAAGTCGCCGACCGCCTGCGTGATGCTGGTCTCGACCCAAATACGCCCCCGGGAACCTTCCAGATGCGACCTCTCGTTTACAAGATGTTTCTTGCACAAGCCGAACGGTTAGGGGTAGACATCAAGTTCGGCAAGCGCGTTGTCGAATATTTCGAGGACGAGCAGCGCCAGATAGCCGGTGTGAAGACTGAAAATGGAGAAAGGTTTGAGGCAGACGTCGTTATTGCCGCTGATGGTGTTGGCTCCAAAAGTCACGTCCTCATAGGCAGCCAGGTAAGAGCCATTAGCTCTGGAAGGGCCATGTGGCGCGCTGCCGTCCCGAAACACCATCTAGACAAAAGTCCAGAGGTCAAGAGGTTCTTCAAAATGGTCGATGGTGAAACTGGCGATGAGCCAATTATAAGGACGTGGCTGGCGTAAGTTAACGAAAAACGAATTACACGAGAAAAAGAGACTAACGTGAAGCAGTCCAGGAGCGTATGGTCTTGTTTTGACCCGCCCCGAGACAATCGTTTGGATTATAAATCATGATGTGAGTATGCTTCCTTCCTGAAATTTCCACTCAAATACTCATCTTCGTCGAACGAACAGGTCACCGGCTCTGAGGCGGAGTCATGGCGCAACACAGTAGAAGCCGACGAAGTCCTCGCCAACATGGACAGAGGCGTCGGCCCCAAACCCTGGGCCCCAATACTCAAACAACTGATCGCACTGACACCCCCAAAGACAATTGTCAATTTCGAGCTTTTCTGGCGCAACCCACGACCGAAATGGGCCTCGCCACATGCCCGCATCATGCAAATCGGCGACGCCGCGCACTCTTTCCTCCCAGCCTCGGGTAACGGCGCGACGCAGGCCATCGAGGACGCCGTCTCTCTTGCGACGTGCCTTCAGCTAGGCGGGAAGAATAACATTCCACAGTCGGTCCGGGCACACGTCAGACTTCGATTCATTCGCAATGCATGCGCGCAGAAGCTGGGGTTCAGCAATGCGGAGCTGCTGCAGGACACGGACTGGAGCAAAGTCAAGCTGGACCCGCGGCGGGCGCAGCCAAAGCTGCCAAGTTGGGTTTTTAATCACGACTCGGAGTCCTATGCTTATGAGAACTACGACAAGGTTGTTGAGAGCATGAGGAAGGGAATACCTTTTGATGAGGACGACAGCATCCCGCCTAATTATCCGCCGGGATATAAGTATGAGGAGTGGAATATTGAGCAGATCATGGAGGACATTCGGAGCGGGAAGCCGGTAGACCTTGGTCCAGGGGAATGGGCATGATTCTTGTCAACCGAGCGGGGAAATATCGACTCGAAAAATGGTGACCAAGTGAAAGCCTTCGATTGAAGTGGCCAGGTATCTTGGGTTACTCGCTGAAAACTATTTATTAACGCATTGTCTTTTTGAATCTCCTTATTCTCTATTTATATCGCCCAAAATCTAGCCCTTCAGAGACTCAACAGCGTCCAAACTTCTAATCCACCGATGAAATGCCTTCCATGAGGTCACGAATGAATGGATTCTATCTGCTTTAGGCGGGGATCTCTTTCAGTTTCCAAGCAAATATACCATTAGCGAAGGCCCCATCCCCTCTCTTCAGCTGGCTATCCATCATGAAACTATTCGTGCGCACGATGCCGTCCGGCTTCACCTGGGCATTCTAAAATCCCTCTTGGGATCCACTATGGCCCACGGCGCGGCTCTGCAGGCCTTCGCCTATCCCCTTGGAACTGCCTGATCCATTTTTTAAGGAAAAAATTTGGCACCTATCGTATTTTTTCCACTGTTATCGACACTGTATCTCTTTTACAACGTTGGGTCTTGAGCGTTTACCGCTACATGAAGTGGTATGTATTCGGACGTACATGGAATAGAAGCGAAACCAGCTGGGTACATATTCCACTTCAAGGCTGCCTGATTTGGATGACCGGAGCAACGCTATTATCTCCTGGAGTTCGAGAAAAGCCAGTTGCTGCAGTTGGTTCCTTTCAATGTGAAATGTGACAGTCTTGACTTGGACCGCCGCAACAACTATTGGCAGCCCCACATTCTACGAGGTCTTATCCTCTTTGGTAACCAACGGAGAAGACATTTTCTCAGCTGATTTGTGCTGCCACTCAAGGTGCAATTCGACGGAGCTGAAAATTATACAGACCCACCGGACAACGCTGGGATTTGGACTGTGGATCGGCCACAGTCCATGTTGACCAATCATGCAACCTTTAATATTGGCTGCGTGATACCGTCTAGCGCGAGTGACCGAGATGGGCGGCAAAATCGTTCGAGTTCTCGGTACTTATGTTTGCAGGCAAAAAGCATGGGCTACCATTCGGTACGTACATAAGACTGGAAGTACGTGTGTGCCTGGGAGGCAGGGAGCACATCGTCCAAGTCGAATTCTGTTCTCCAACACAAGCAGAACCAGAACAGTCATATCCACTACCTACACTTAAGTACGGTGCAGAACCGCAATCCATAATGACTACGAAGCCCTCAAATGCTCCCTGGGCCGATGAGCCATTCCGTCTCATTCCAACACCATCAAACCGACCTGAACTAGAGGTATGCAGCCCTGGAGTGAAGAAGCGTATCGATTGACATAGTTAGGCTGACAACAAGGTGCGCAGAATGAGAAGCACTCATACGTTCATGTCTCCTCAGAGATGGCCCATGTGCATAATGTTCTCATCCGGGGGTTGAACTCTATTGTACAGCAAGCGCCGTACGTAAAAGCCCCGAAGGATTGCAGAGACTTGCTCTCGTACGTTGCATCCTGGGTCAAGATGGTAGAACACCATCACGACACAGAAGAATCTTTCATCTTTCCCGAGGTCGAGAAGTTTGCTGGAACCACGGGCCTGATGGATGCTCCAAAACATCAGCATGAGCTGTTCCACGACGGCTTGGAACGGCTTCTGAAATATGCACAATCCACGCAGCCGGAGAGGTACAAGTGGGAGGGACGTGGCGGGATGAAGGAAATTGTGGATTCATTCAGTAAGGAGCTCATGGACCATCTGTACGCCGAGGTCGATCTCTTTCTTTCCTTGAAGGACCTTGATAGCGCTGGGTTGCGGAAGACTTGGGATCAGGGCGAGGCAATTGCGGCTAGGCAGACCAATTTTGGTCTGTTGGTAAGTCTTCGCCGTCTCGACCTATCTCAGCTTGAGTCACATCACTGACTGGAAAACAGACCACGGTCTTCCCTTGTGTTCTGGGAAATGCCGACAAAACATATGAAGGCGGACACGAGTTTCCTCCCTTGCCGCGTGTGCTTCCTTACATTGTCAAGTACGCTTTGGGCGCTGGCAATGGCGCATGGCGATTCAACTCTTGTGACTTCTTTGGCCGACCTCGCCCGTTGGCCTTTGGCCCAGACCAAAAAGAATGAGGTTTTAGCGCCAAGAAATATTAGGCCAGTGTTTATAAATATAGCCCGGCAATATGATCATAGTGGAAACTTTTTAAGAATTTGTTTCGTTCCTCACATTGCTCATCACTGGGACGAACATTTCGATAAGTATCTTATGTCTCGTACCATAATCAATCTGATTGGCTTGGGAATGAAATACGCAATACCACTGTGTCAACTTTCTAAAGCATGTTCTCGTGCTTGCGGGTACTGTTGTAAGCATCATTTAATACTACGGAGAGGGTGGGCGCAAGGATCCTGTGCTGGGCGTTCTCCTGCGGAAAATACGCAGAATATACGTTGACCGTGCGTTGAGCCGGTTAAAGGAGAGCCGCTTGCGATAAAGTTGTCTAATTTAAACATTTATGTCTTAATTACATACCAATATATTACAAAAGACACTCTACCCCAGATAAACAACTAAGGCATCATGGGATGTTAATACCAAGCCAGGACGGGATGTACTACACTGCCAAATCACCACAGCGACACTAACACCAAGCATAAGTTAGTCACAGAGATCAAATAACGAGAAAATACACATTCATATATTCCTTAAGCTTCAGCTACACTATACTTTTCCTTTACACTATATAACTACTTATTTCTTTCTTAATAATCTAAAACTTATATATAAAGTCTTTAATAACTTTATATATATCCTTATAATCCTTTTATAAAAAAACTTTAAATCTATTTTTTTCTTTATTTTTATTATACTTTTTATACTATTAAAAATTAATAATTATTAATAATAAAAATATAAACTTAAAGGAGAATAAACTTATTATACTTTTTTATCTTTTTATAAATTACTTTTAAAACTCTCTTTAAAAGTTTTAATACTTTATTATAAAAATCTTAAAGATAATATATTATAAATTATTTCTTTATTTTAAATTCTTTTAAAGTTAATTATATATTTAAATAAAGATTATAATATTTATTTAATAAAGGTTTTATTATAAAATATATATATATATTTAAAGGAATAATTTTTAATTAAACTTCTTTTAATATTTTTATTTATATAATAACTATTTTTAGATTTAATTTTATTATATAATTACTTTATAATAATTAAATTATAAATTACTTTTATTTATAATCTTAATTAATATTATTATTAAAATAATATATTTTAACTTTATTTATATATTATAAAGTTAAAATTATAAATATTTATTATATTATAATTATTATTATTAATATTATATTCTTTTTAAATATTAAGTTTTAAATACTTATTATTATATAAAGGTACTATATATATCCTTAAATATATATAAAATAAAAGTAAAAATACATATATTCCTTGCTTAACACGCTACCGATTTTAACCACCTGCCCGGATCGGCCATAAACCCTTCTGATATGAAGAGAGTGCCGCACACAAAAGTCGGAAAGCACAGAAGGATACTAGTTTCAACCGTCGTGGGGGCCGCGTAGTTGGGTTCACCCTAAACCACATCCGCCCGACGCCGGGCCAACCCCAAGTGCCAACTTGTTGGTTGCCGCGAGTCACCCGTAGACATCTGCACACGGCTTCCAACTACGCACTGAGACACCAAGACGGATTCTATCAACAATGTCTCTTCGATAAGGCCATCTACCCATATGCCGCGGAAAGGAAAGATATCCGAGCCAGTTGTCATCCATCACCTGGGCGGTTTGTTGGAACTGAGAGTGCTCGAAACCATAAAAGACGGCAAAGAGAAGCGCTCGAATGTATTCCTCGTCGAATGTCGGGGCAGCCAGAAGACGCAGTCTGCCCCGGCCCTGGCCGACCGTTCAGCCACATGTGTCTTGAAGACTGTAAGATCCCAACTAGGAGACTTGTTTCTGTTGTCCACTGACCACGAGCACGACAGTTCCCACCGAGCGAGTTCCATAACAGGCTCTTCGAGAGAGAAGTGGCCGCGTACACGGAACTGCAACGTCCGTCTGCAGCAGTTGATCCCGAGGGCGCGTGGGCAGTCCTCTCAACTTACGACGCGGAGTCCTCATCGTGGCCGTTTTGCTTCGGACGGCTGGGGTTGCCAGACACCGCGGAACCACTCCAGGCCGGTGGCGGGTGGATTCGTCCAGGCCCTCACAACAGGCCGGTGTCCGTTGCAAAGCAGCGCCAGGCCCTCCTCCTAGAATACATGGCCGATTCCTCGCCTCTCACTACCGACAGACTGAACTATGAAATTGCCGGAAAGATCCGACAGATCATACACGAGCTGCACACGCGCAGGGTGGTACACGGTGACTTTGTCGATCATTGCTTGTGGCCACGCATTGGCTTCGGGAACATCTTCCTCCAGAAACGGAAAGGTTCGGGTGTGGAAGAGGTATTTGTGATGGACTTCAACCGGTCCCGGATCATTGGGCCACATCCTAGGGATCAGGCGATGGCACTAGAAGAGGAGCAGCAGATGGATGATCTGCTCAGGCGTGCGCTGGAGAGCAAGATGGCCATCGACGAGGTCCCGAGGGAACTGCGCAAGTTATCAAGCTAGAATGCGTAAGATAGAAGTCTGGTTCGACTCCCCGGAAAGCTTACGAGCACGCCCTTGGCCCCATTCCAATGACTGAGACCATAACATTCCGGGGAGGACTTGAGCCAATCACAGCAAGTGAGCATTAACGAACGGACCCAGATATAGGTTCAGAGATTCCCACCCAATTGAGGCTCATAGCGTTCCAGAGCTATCTTCTAGCAAGCATCATGGCTCATCGTCCGAGCGGGTGTGCATTCTAACAGCAACGGATTGCATGAGATCGGGCACATTGGATTGCCGGATCTGACAACGTGGGGGACATGCGTGTTCAAAGGTGGCTTGGACAGCCAGACTATAATCAGAGAAGGGTCCCATGAGAGCTAATTAGTTGTGTCTTTTCTGATTGTGTTCGTCTGGCCCTCACTTCCACGGTTCCAAGAATCGATCTTGACTCGAGGTTGCTGACTGGCACCCTAGAATTAATCCCGTCAAACAACAGTAGGTAGTAGATGGGAGCCCACCGACCTCGGGAGTGAAAGGTCGGGCTCGCTGAATTGTGTTCAAGGGGTTGTGTTGAGTCTGTGAGCTTCTAAGAGGCTGTTGATGAACTGTTGTAACAATTCTTCTTTGTCTGGCACAGTGATTGCCACTATATGCTACCGAAATAAGACGCGAAGCTGAACCATAGAGCCTCAGGTAGGAGCCTCAGGTGAAGCAGTGTCACTTACAAACCTTGGAAGTTACAACGTCCGAGGAGCAAAGCAGCTGTGTCTGGATGCAAGGCAGTAGAGCAGCAGCAGCACATAATGGCAGGTGCAGCGCAAAGACCACAGCGCGGTACGCGTTACATCCCACCCGTCACACACGTTCAATACTCACGTGGGCATGAACCGCAGCACGGGAGTCAGTTCATGACGGGGCACGAGCACATCCATGCTCGTCCACTTGAATACCCGAGGTCAACAATTTCTATCAGGGGTCCAGGTCGCCAAGGTTGTCGGAGAAAAGGGTGTGTGTAGAGCTGACTGGCTAGCCGGCTGGCTAGCTACCGAGCCAGAATCTGGCTGCTACCCCGTGTGGGGTAATAGCATCTACTATAGTCTATGCTGCAGCCGAGTCCATAGGATACCGGGCAGAGGCAGGCGGCCGGCCGGCCGGATCTGCAGTGCGGCCGGACCTGCAAGCAGCGAACAAGCAACTTTGCCGTGACGGGCTGGTGATAGCGAACCGACAGGACTGCGGGGACAAGCCCATTCTAGGCAGGGCGATGCGTGCCCAGGCAGGTGGACCAGTGGTCTAGGTAGTAAGTTGGATAGTAATAAATCATCCGCAATAATAGATTAGGGTTGGGCGCACCAAGACCCGGATCCGCACTCTGCCACACCATTTTAGCCCAGGCGTGGAACAGCCCCAACCCACCAAACTCCAGTCCAGCGTAGCGTCGCAGTCCGGGGTGGAGGATATGACGAACGCAAGCAAGACAGGTCCAGGACAGATGGGATGGGACGTGCGTTGCATAGGGTGGGTGGTCATTCTACGTACATGAGTTCTTCCCGGCGTGTCGGATCCGGGGTAGAGAGAGAACACGACGGGTGCAAGGAGGTCAGCGGGGAAAGAAGCTGGGAGGAAGAGAGGGGGATTCACAGCAAGTCTGGGGAATGGGCTGATAGTTGCGTCTGATCAGCCCCCTCCCCCCTCCGAGTACCCTTGAACCCCGCCGACCGGCGGTTCTCAGCCAGACAGGACAGCAGGACTCGGAATGACTACTGCACGTTGCCCCGGACTGCTCGATGTCAGTCAAATGGCGCCTATCTTTCCTTAGCCTGACCTCAAGCGCCCCCTTTGCCCCGGCGGAGCCGCACCCGGACGCCAATCGCCCTGGCGGAGGCGGGAGGCGGAGGGGATTCACTCGACAGCGTCAGGGTGCTTCCAAGGCGTGAGGATGGGTGCATGATGTCGCGTGTGGGCCCTGGACGCATCGCTACCCAGCTGCTTGCTTCCGCTCGTCCATGATCCGCATATCCTTTCCCCCAGGCGCGCAGGAGGGCAGGGACAAGTGCTGGGGGCGGCGGCGGGGAAGTGGGATGGCGATGCTCCGTATCGGGCACATTTGGGGAATACTACACTAGTACTGCTGTTGGGTCTGCTGCCGTGGTTTTGTCTCCCCGTGGGGTGGAGCCGGCATGCCCTGGTCAGCCAGTGCTGTGCCGCTTGCTCAACCGCGAAACAGCTCAGCCATTCAATGCCTCATTCGGTTTTGATGATCTCGAAGTACCGCGAGGCTTCGGAACAACACCTCGAGCCATTCTCCAGGTGAGAGGTATGTATGATAGCATCAACCGTGGCAATCTTGGAAGCAGGATTCGATGATGGACGTTGGATGCCCAACCCGGCCACGTAACAGCAGTGCAGTCCCACAAAAAAAAACCGTGTTGGATCTGCCAACCTGCACAGGATATCTACCTGGTAGCCCAATTCGTATACTCGTACAGTATGCTTGATAGTACTGTGGTGATGGCTGCTGTGGCAGGGTGCCTGGGTGCCTGCCACGCTGCCACGCTGCCACGCTGCCACGGTGCCACGGCAGGCTGTCAATGACGAGTAAGTAACGAGGATGGGAGGCTCGAGGTGCAGGTCCGACGGGGGCAGCTACTCGGTAGTCCACGGCGTACACAGCATGCTCCCACCGCGGCTCCTTGCCCCTGGGAGAAGGCAGCTCCGACAAAGGAGTGGTCATGGAGTGATGATGCCGGCCACCACACCACAGACACGTTGCTGCTGAGCACCGGGCATTGCTTCGGGGATATGACTGACTTTGAGTTAAAGGGTGAGCATGATGTTCATATAAATCGCTCAAGCGAGGAAAGGAGCGAGAGGACAAAACTCGAGTTGGTGTTCTGACTGAGCCACGGGGGCCAGGAAAATATTTGCTGCCAGAACACGCCACGGCTGCGGCCGTTTACCGGCGAGGGTGGTGGTGCCTCTGTTGGTGATGATCTCAGTAATGGGCCATGGCAGGATCCAGAGAGATCAAGCCACCTTCTTTCCCGTCACTCCAAAACGGGCTGCTGCAAGGGTGGTTGATTGGCGCCTTCCCGCCGTTGACAGCGGGGGCCTGGGCCTTTTGGCCCTCCCAATTCCGAAGCATCCATCCAGTCCCTGCCCAGTCCCTGCCCCACCCCTGCCCCACCCCTGCCCTACCCCTGCCCTGTCTTGTGCTCTTGCTCCTAAAACATCCGCCCATGGCCCAGATGGGCTAACTGTCGCCAGTACCACCTACGCAGTAGTGTGAGTGTGAGTGTGAGTGTGTTCGTTCTCGGAGCCGCATCGAAACGCCACGACCATGGTCACTCGCAACAGTAGCACATTATCTCGACTCAAGTCAGGCACACACACGCCCACGGTTATCACCAGGGCTGACTGACATCTGCGGCTCCGCCAGCCCGGCTCGCTTGGCCACCTCCCGCGCTAGGACAACCGCCTGCAGGCCGTGTTACAGTGTTACATTCCACGACGAGGCACGTTCGTTCGTGTCAATGTTACTCGCCCTATGCAACAACTGCACTGCATGCCATGTGCGGCTGGCAGGCAGGCAGGCTGGCTGCGGCCCCGCACGTCTATCGCCCATGCTCGTTTGTGCGTTTGAGTTGCGGCAGGCCGTTTGAGCTGAAGCTACTGGAGCTGCTGAAGCTACTCTGAACATCGGACAGGCGGCCCATTCCCAAGGAAACTCAGTCAGAGATGAGGGACAGGGTGCCATTGCCACGAGCCTTTTGCCCGGAGCTGAGCCGGTGTGTGTTGACTATTATGCATGCGACATGCTACATGCTACATGCTACATGCTACAACATCTTAGTCTGCTACTACACGCATCACGGCAACCGATGCAACAAGAGCAACTGTTCTAGAATCCCGGCAGGCTGGTACCCAGGCGCCAGGAGAGCACCTGCGGGAGTGGCCTGACACCACCACGCCGTACGAGTACGGTGGGTTGGGTATTGTGCTTTGGAATTGTGCTTGGGAGGAACACGACACGGCCATGACAGGGCAGCAGGGCTGGGCCAGGGGACCCCTGGGGCCTGGGCGGGCAGGCGGGCAGGGCACACAGGCAGAGGGAACGGGTGAGGTGACGGGGCCCCACCAGTGCGTGGGAATCGTACGACGCAGACGTGCTATGGCCGGGCTCGAGTCTCGTCAGCCTGCTCCAGCATCATCAGATCTCCGGGGAGATGCCAGCGGAATTTCTCCGGTGGCATTGTTTTACTGCCCTCAGTTCCCCGGCGAGCGCCACCTCGTCGGGACCTTCCACCTCTCTTCCCAGCTTTCCCAGAGTTGCACCGAGAAAGAAGCTTGAAACCCGTCGCTGTCGAGCCTTGAACTGAACCCGCCCCGTATCGAAATTCTGGGTCGTACAGACAGACTGACAGACTGCATCCACCGCTCACTGCCCACTGCATCCACTGCCCACTGCCCACTGCATGCTGCATGCAACCCGCCGAGCACGAGCCAGGGAATTCCTAGACAGACACCCAGGCCAGGATCGTCATACCTACCCGGGAGGTACTCCAAGCAGCTTCGCCCAGCCAGCGAGTGACAGCTGTGACACGGACCAAGCAAGCTAGCCCGCACCACGTACCACGTACCACGCACCACGCACCACGCCTGCACGCACCATGTATCGAGCTCGAGCTTCCCGTGTAGCTCCCCTGCCAACCCTGTCGTCCATGACCTCGTCCTTGACCACCACCACCACCACCACCACCACCACCGCACCTCCGATCTTTACAGCGCGCCTTCCCCACCTGGCTCTTGGACAGCAGAGATATAAATCTGTCCAAGTCCTCCGGCCTCATCTGCTGCCCTCGACCTCTCCTCTCATCATCCACAACAACAACCACCACAATCCTAAGAATACCAAGCCCTTCCTAAACCTGAGGAACCACTCAGCAGCTTGTACAGACAACAACCACCACCACCACCACAGAGGTTCTGATATCACCGCCACCTTGGCCACTCACGACATCTACACTTCACCACACACCAACAATATGGGTTTCGAAATTCCAACTGAGCAGTGGGCGCAGGTCTGCAAGCAGGTCGGTGGACGTAAGTTTGACCTCATCACCCAGTAGCAGCAACAACAACAGCTACTGCTAGCTTCCCCTCCATGCTGGACCCTCCAATGCCCGCCCCTCCAATGCCCCTCCGCACGAGTCGGGCCCCTGCACCCTGTGCACATCTCCAATCCACAATTCTCCCGCCTCTCCCAAAAAAAGCATCAGACGTCCCAGGCTAACGTACAATTTGCAGCTCTTGAGTACAAGAAGATCCCCGTTGCCAAGCCCGGTCCCGATGAGGTCCTGGTCAACGTCAAGTTCTCGGGTGTGTGCCACACCGACCTGCACGCCATGAAGGGCGACTGGCCCCTGCCCGTCAAGATGCCCCTCGTCGGCGGCCACGAGGGTGCTGGTATCGTCGTCGCCAAGGGCGAGCTGGTCAAGGACCTGAAGGAGGGTGACGAGGTCGGCATCAAGTGGCTCAACGGCTCCTGCCTGTCCTGCTCCTACTGCATGACCGCCGACGAGCCCCTCTGCGCCGAGGCCTCGCTCTCCGGCTACACCGTCGACGGCTCTTTCCAGCAGTACGCCGTCGCCAAGGCCGCCCACGTCGCCCGTATCCCCAAGGGCGTGAGCCTCGAGGCCGTCGCCCCCGTCCTGTGCGCCGGTATCACCGTCTACAAGGGAATCAAGGAGTCTGGCGTCCGCGCCGGCCAGTGGATCGCCATCGCCGGTGCCGGTGGTGGCCTGGGCAACATGGCCCTCCAGTACTGCAAGGCCATGGGCATCCACACCATCGCCATCGACGGTGGCGACGAGAAGCGCCAGGCCACCAAGGAGCTGGGCGCCTCCGCCTACGTCGACTTCTTCACCTCCAAGGACCTCGTCGCAGATGTCAAGGCCGCCACCCCCGACGGCCTGGGCCCCCACGCCTCCATCCTGCTCGCCGTCTCCGAGAAGCCCTTCCAGCAGGCTGCCGACTACGTCCGCCCCCGCGGCTCCGTCATCTGCATTGGCCTCCCCGCCGGCGCCCGTATCTCCGCCCCCGTCTTCGAGAGCGTCGTCCGCATGATCTCCATCAAGGGCTCATACGTCGGCAACCGACAGGACACCCAGGAGGCCCTCGACTTCTTCGCCCGCGGCCTCGTCAACGCCCCCTTCAAGACTGTCGGCCTCTCTGAGCTGCAGAGCATATTCGACAAGATGGCCGACGGCACCATTGTCGGTCGCTACGTCGTCGATACTAGCCGATAAACAACTGGCCTCTGGCAGGCAGGGTTGCAAAAAGGAGGGCTGGAGTTTTTTGTGAATTGAATCGGGAGTTGGGTTTAACTTTCTGGGAAGGGTGGTCTTGATTTGAGAGTTTTCCAAGTGTACATAAATACCAAACAAGAAAAGGGCGGATACCATTGTTGTGTTGCCGGTGGGTGGGATATGAGATCTGAGAGTTAGTTGTATACATAATGATTGGAAATGAGAAACAAACTACTGAAATATTTGTATTGGTTTTTAACAACCGTCATAATGAATATATGCATAGCTCCAATCCGGACGGAAGATGCCGCCTTCCTTGTCTACGCTAATGTACTTATTATAGTGGCTTTGCTGCGGTCGACTGCAGACATGTGGTTACACCTGTGGTGTCATGATTCCTTGGAGCTCGCCCGCTAGTCAAGGCGGCCCAAAGATGATCGCTTGGTCTTCTTTTGAGCTGAATGCGTTCAGAATTCGACACGAATGGTCTAGTTGTGTAATGTAATTGCGGCGTTGCTCAAGTGCACGCATCCGAGTCACACAACTACCTGAGTAACATCGTTGTCTTTCGCTGCCTCGAACAGGACGACGATCGAGCTTGCTAGCACCCTATCCTATCGTATCGTATCCTCACCATCTGACTCGCCTCCAAAAATCCGCCCCTTGTCTTAGAAACCAAGTTCGGCATCATAATCAGCAGCAATAACATCCCGCAACTACAACCCATCCCGCCTCTCACCAGTGCATGCAAGGTGCCGACCTGGGCTTCCGGGCGGGATACCGTGGCCCGTTCGAGGGTGGATGGCCTCTTGGCGACGGCGGTGGGCGGCGGCGGCGGCTCTTGAGGTCTTGCTGCCGCCATGCATGGTGTGCCGAGGGAGGGGAGGGAGGTCGGGACGACGCGCGGACACTCGTTGATCACGGCGGGGAGGTCTGTGCAGCTTGTTAGTTCGTGGCCGCGGCGGGTTTCTCTGCCTGAGGGTACCTGGGGAAGGTGCTGCGGATCTCGGCAGGGGGGCGCTGTAGACCTTGGGGTGGCGTGAGAGGTATAGGAAGATGGATCTTATGAGTGTTGCGGTTGTTGATCAGCCTGTTTTTTATTATTGGTAGAGCACGCAATCAGTACATGGTATTCAAGTGACGTGGGAATGTTTTATTGCTCCCACGTGTTGCTTGCGGGACCATTCCATGCCCGGAAGAAGGAAAAAGCTATCAGGGTCCCCGGGTCTCAGACAAACCTGCTCCGATGAAGATAGCCTCTGCCTACAGCTCACTCTTCATCATGTCCTCCCGAGGTCCTTTGAAGTATGTGGTTTCGCTTCTATTCCGTATACGTCCGAGGACATACATGGCGCCTTCATACGGTGCCTTTGAAGTATCCACTTCGATATCGTGTTTGACACTGTGATTCATGACGACGTTGTACAAATCAAGTCTGGCGTCCTTGTCGCGTTCGATTCCGGCTGTCACCGTACTTCGATAGAAATCCAAGTACTCGACACCTTCCACGCCAGTAACTTGATCAGAAGATCAACAATCGCAGACATGGCGGGCCAATTCATATACCTAGAGCGCCATCCACCCAGTTATAACTGGAAATGCCTCCAAGAGCAGCCTGTTCGTCGTCTCCGTCGGTGTCCTGAGCGGGTACCCAAGCCCCAGCTGGCAGATTATATCCTGGGCAAGGAGCTGGCAGCGCGCACCGGCGCGACATGTCCAACGCCTCGGCCCTGGCCTCGCTGGCTGCTCGAGTGAAGGATCTCTCGCAGGAACAAGGCCAATTTCGCCGCTCAATGGTGGGGCCTCGAAGCTACGCATGGCGCCATGCTCGGAGAGCAAGAACCCCTCCGACGACGCGGCGCTTGCGACTGTGTTCGCCCTGGTCCAGACTGCCGAAGAGGCTTAGGGTTGGAAGGAAGCGGGAGTCTGCGTGTTCCTGGCCTCATGTGCCTTGTGGGTTCCAGTCAATGAATGTTTTGCAGGACCCCAACGGTGTTGAAGATTAACTGCCTGGGCGGTTCGGTCCCTGTCTGAACACGAACCCTTGGGATGTTGGGTTATCGGTTCTTACTATGCATGTGCGCACGTTTGTGACGCGATGTTCGGGCAAAACGTATCAAGCAACTGGAGGGGCACATTGTCTCACCATATTTGCGGTGATGTTTGCGGGTTACGACTTATCAAACTTCGTCGAGCAGCATAGATCCCGTCACATACGTTGATGAATCTCGTGGTAAACGGGCCGGAGAATTTGCGCAGAGGACCATGCGAGACATAATACGCGATCGCCACCAGCAACTGTGCATAATATCAGCACGGCAGCTTGACAGAGTTCACTCGAGTAGGCACATGGGGCTCTCTAAGGGTATCACAGCCGGGGCAGCGTGTTGAAACCACGCAAGGAGGGTAACGTGCATCATGTTGGCAGCCTCCATCTTTTGTACAGGTAACACGGAGCAGCAAAATAGAGCGTTCACTTGTTTGTGAGGTATTGTGGTGAAATGAGATCCCGCGGAATGGAAAAGTCCACAGAAGGATGCAGGATTATATTCTAACGGTTGGAAGCAGTTGCCTAAGCCCAATTTTCAACCGATTGGATATAGGGTCGTATTGGAGCCGTGCGTCGACTAATAAGGCAGTCAACTGGTCCGCGTTCAACTTGTCCAGGGGTTTCGCACTTGCAAGGCATAGTTACATTGCGACAAAATATCAAGCGAGGGCCAACTAAGTGAGTGTTTGTCATATTAGAGCTAGTGAAGAAGGCCATTGATGTCTTTGATCAGCATCAAGAACGGACCCCATTACAGACCCTGGTCTCAACATTTCCCGAAGCACACGTGCCCATGTGTCTTTTGTCCCATTAAACAGAATCAAAAAATACTACGGGGCTCTGATGCATAAAGGCCCTTGTTAAGAACCCTGGACTCCTATTCATTTGCTGTTGAAGGGCCGCTACGTGAATGCCCAAAGTTTAGTCCTGGTCCTCCCTTCCAGACTCCAGACGAGTTTTCGTACGGAAGGCCAGATGAATATTCCAAGGTAGCAGTTCCGGTCGGCTGTGGTCCTGATTAGTCTAAATAACGAATTATGTGAGAGGCTGGTTGTGAGCAGCTCCCAGCGGTGATAACGTTGTCACTATACACCCGTGGACAGCAGTATGTTTAACACACCGTATTTAGTGATGACAAGCTCCAGCAAGACAGACACTGTATTGGATTTGATTTTGTTGTGGCAATTGGGACGTCCTATGGTATGCCCCTAATCGTAGTTTGAGATAGCATAATTCACGTGGGTACAAGTACTAGTACGCAACCGGTGAGGCATTAGCCAGCCTGATGGACTGCGAGTTTAGATTGCAGCGCTTCGCTACCTAGCTCGTAGGAAGGAACAAAAATAGTCGCACGGCTACCTGGGGCTCTCGCATCGGATTTTCTACTCAATTTTGGCCTGGCGGGTGGGCGAAGTAATAAGGTATACATCATTATATGAGTTTAGTTATCTTTGTCGCTGTAAATCTATCATCTGACTTCAGTCGACTGATGGTAAAACGGCCGCTTACACGTTATTTAAAGATAGTATAGAGCCTCAATCGGCCATTCCTCAATTGTGCATGCATAGGTACTTGGCCTAGCCTTAAGGGAGAGGTACATGGTCTGGGGGTCGATAGAATGCTGTCCCCACCCGTTTGTTCTCGCGTTGTATGACAGGGTGGTTTCGTTTTTAATCCCCATACATGTAAAATGTACGTGGCGCCTTCATACAGTGGTAAACGCTCAAGACCCAGCGTCTGAAGAAATACAGTGCCAATAACAGTGGAAAGAGAATACAGTACGTGGGCACGTGGCTGAGCCTCGTACCGCACTTGTATGACATTCATCCAGCGATCATTGACGCCATTGGATTCTGCCTGATATAGAAGGAGGAGCAGGCAGAGCTCAGTCAACGTCCTGGGATCGGAAAAGCTGTGGTTGCAACCGACAACTTTCCCGGATGCGATAATGCCGTGACATTTCGGAAGTAACCGAACCAAGTAGGCGCACACATACCGCCAAGAGATTATGATTCAAAGGGGGGAGGTGCGGATAATGGATGGGGAATTAGTGTTTGGTTGGTAGGCTTGACGAGGCTTGGCTTTTTGTTACTTGAAGACGAGAAATTAGCCCAAGGCCAGAGATAGATAGAACTTGGCCTAATTCAGTAGGCGAAAAGCGGCTTAGCGACCCACATTAGCTTTGCACGCGCAAAATCATCTCAGGGGCAGAGAGCGGACTCCGGACGTTGCGCACGACTCGATATGTCTTCCGCACATGACACGGCCACATAGAAGCTCGATCGTTCTCACTCGTGGACAAAATCAGCTTTTTGCGGCATTGTCCGATGTCTCTCAAGCATGTACAGAGGCTTCCCGAGAAGACTTATTAGACGTACTGCTTTGCGGAATTCGCATGTACACGTGTACGATTTGTATTCAGCTGATCACCTGGCTCAAGTCTCCGGAACCTCACTGCACCCCTTTCCACCCGTGAGGCTAATGCCATAAAACCTTAAAAGGTGGCCATGTGTTTCAAAACCGGACATCCTCCAGCCCCGAGGCGAGGCTAACGGGATTTGAGCGGAAACATTCAACCCGGTGTTGGTATGCTCTATAAGGAGCATCAACCGATTAAGCTTATAAACGTAGCTCTCAATGGGAGAGGATGAGCAAGGCAGACCAGGCTGGATGGAGAAACAGGTGGATTGACGTGATTAAACAGACGCGACCAGGATATTTCCCTGACTCAGTCTGTGAGTGTGAACCCAAAATCAGACATTTGAACGCGGGCACAAGGGGGCCTTCTCGGCCAAGACGGATTATTCTTGCAGAGCGGCACATGGAAGATGCATGTCTTGGCCGGGGTCTACCATAGTGGGTATCAACGGCAAGGTCGGAGAGGCACGACCTGTCCCTGACTGGGTGGATTTCTATGGCCCCCTTATCGCGTATAAGATGGACTACTCCGCTATCACATTCACAGTCCCCAGAGTGCTCACAACTCGCTAGTTTTGCAGAACCTACATTCTTTTCTTCCCAGGCTGTGCCACTGTACATACGACAGGCATGGCTTCACCACGCTCATTTGGACGTTTCATCGTCGCCTCTCTCCTTTGCCTTTCCCCTTCTTTGGCGAGTGCTCAGGACACCGCCAGCAAGGGCGCTGCTCTCCAAGAGTGCCTCAACACAGCCGGCGTTCGCAATATTGTAAGCACTGACCCGAGCTGGTCCAACGAGACGACCGGGTTCCAGAAGCGCCTCAAGGTCGATCCCGCTGCCATCTCCTTCCCCGACAACAACGACCAAATTGCCCTCTCCCTGGACTGCGCTCGTAATGCCTCCGCCAAAGCCACTGCCCTCGGAGCTCACCACTCCTTCCAGGCCTATGGCTTCGGAGACCCGGGCAGCTTGGTGATCAGCATGGCTGCTTTCAACTCTGTCTCCTACGACGACACCACCGGCCGCATTACCTACGGCGGTGGCTCCCATGTCGGTCCAGTCCTGAAGTACCTCTGGGACACTGCTGGCCGCCACTTCCCTCACGTCCGTGGCGCGCACGTCGGTCTCGCCGGCTCCAGCATCGGGGGTGGGTTTGGCTCCACCTCCCGCCATCTTGGCACGCCGATGGACAACCTCGAGTCCATTGAGTACATGCTGTACAACGGTACTATTGTCACCGCCGCCAAGGGTTCCGACCTCTTCTGGGCTGCCCAGGGTGCTGGTGCCTCCTATGGTATCATCCTCTCCGTCACCACCAACACCCACAAGCCGCTCTACCCCACCGCCGTCAACTTCACTGTCTCCATCGGCAGCGTCGATGTTGATGCCGCTGCCAAGGCCCTCATCGCCGTCCAGGACTACTCCCTCAGCAAGGACTGCCCCGATGAGTTTGCCCTCCGCTGGTCTCTGAGCGCTCCTCCTTACACCGGCACCGGATATTTCTACGGCAATCCCGCCGAATTCGACACCGTTATTGCCCCCCTCGTCTCTGCCCTCAAGGAGATCGCCCCCAACACGACTCAGGTTAACAAGACCGAGCTCCCATTCTGGGACATGGAGGTCGCCGTCGCCGGCGCGGGCATGAACCAGCCCGAGGGCGGCAGCCTCGGTGGCCGCTCTTTCTACACCCAGGCCCTGACGACCACCACCGACTACCCTCTGACCGTCGAACAGGCCAAGATCCTCTTCGAGGGCACTACCCTGGCCTTCAACCGCACCGACCTGAGGAAGTCCGGCTTCCTTGACCTCTGGGGTGGTATCTCCCGCGACATCTCCGACGCCGACACCGCCTTCGCGCACGGCAAGAACCTTTGGCTGATCCGCTGGGAGGCCAACTCCGTCGATGTGACCAGCTACCCTGCTGACGGCACCACGTACATGAAGAGCCTCATCAAGCCGTTTGAGGAGGCTCTTGTTGCCGGTGGTGCTCCCCTGCGAGGATTCGTGAACTACGCTGACACCGAGCTCACCGAGGCTGAGTGGAGTTCTCGTCTGTACGGTGCCAACTTTGACCGTCTTAAGGAGATCAAGGCTGCGATTGACCCCGAGGGTCTGTTCGTCAACCACAAGCAGGCAATTCCTCTTCCTTGAGCGTGACTGCTGTACACAGTATCCTTACAAGATACCGTCGTTGGTATGATGCATTGGAGGTTGTTCATTGTATATAGTACTAATGCATCATCATATTGTATGCAAATAAATCACATACATTCAAACTTGAAAGCGAAGAATTCGCGATGTCTGTGTACCTAGGTACCCTGATGACATTCAAGTCAGGCTTGGTGCTTCACTGTATGGTTTCGCAATTTATACATGCCCAGTCGCTCGATGAGACCTCGGCATCATGGTTCAAAGTTATTGAAGCTCTAACGGTGCTCATGTCGGAGCGTCCATGATTGATGAAACAGTATTCAGCTGATCGAGTTGTTTGGGCTCTTTCAAACAGAGTGGACAAATTTTGACCCTTCTCTGGTACCACTATATGCTTGAAGACAAGTTCTCAAGAGTCAGAGATGTTTGTACTCCAAGAGACGATATATTTACAGAGAAATGGAGAACTCGATGGGTCACGCCCCGGACATTTCGCGCCCCGTCGGAATCGCAATCCGTCGTGTTTTGACCGTGCACGCACTACAAACAATTCCTGGTGTTGAGTAGGTATTAACAGGTTTTCAGAAATTATTTTCTGTTCGGGAACGCATCAATCAAGCCTTCATGAATGGTCACATCGCTGAAAGTCGCCTTGCCTTCACCATCGTGCAGGAAGCTGATGTTGGTTGAGTTTGCGTACCATGGCCTGATCAGCAATTAGTATTTTGGCCCATTACAGTGAGGAATTCCACTTCGCAATCAACGTTGTAAGAGTGTGCCAGAGGGATCACGAGTCAATGCACTCACTTGATTTGTGAAGCCAGGCCAAAGCGCTCATTGGCAAAGATCTCAACAACAGAGTTGTCGACAACGATTGTGAGCTGGAGGACCTCGACGTTACCGCTTCGCTCAATGTCAAACAGTCTGAAAAGGCCCTTCTCCTCTCTCAGGTCGAATTTCGCTGTCGATAAAGCCGCTGCGCTGGACTCGGACCGGTCGATAGAGAAAGTGTCGCTCGAAAGCTGGTACCAAATATTGGTCCGTTCGTTCTCACTAGCCAATATCTGGAATCCTACCCGCAGACCACTCTTACGGGCTGACGCCGGGAAGGTGATGTTGGTAGACATGGTGAAGAACCGCGAGGAGGGCGAGTTGGTGAAGGGTACCTCGCCGGGCTGGCTAATAGTAGTGCCGGGCTCGGTGATGACGGTCGTCGTGGCTGGGTCCTGCAGAGCGGCCAGTGTCTCCCTTGCGACGACCTGCTTCAGCGTCTTGAGCCGCACCGTGTTGGTCGTGTCGTCGTGGCTGTCGATGGTCCAGGCGGCCGGCGTCTCGGAGGATAGGTCGTCGAGGACGACGTTGTCGACGTAGCCGATGGACAACTCGCGCGGAAGGCAGAGGGCACCAGTCCAGTTCTGAGCTGCGGGTGGGGCGTACTTGAGCGTGCCAAATTCGTCGCCCGAGAGCCAGATATATGCGATCCAGCGGTCGACGGTGACGCCGCTTTTCGTGGAGGTCTGGGAGTCAGCAGTCAGGACCTGCGCGGCGGCCGCGTAGGATGTGAGACCCCAGTCCAAGCGAGAGGCCATCGTGGGCGTGAAGACGGGCTCCTTGGTGCCAGGGCGGAGGGTCACATTGCCGGTTGCCCAGTTGCCATGGCGTAAGAATTCGCCGCCCCAGGAAGAAACATTGCGGACAATGCCATCCCAAATCGTAGCATATTCTGCACCCATGAGGTGGAACAATTCGCCGTCAATATTGTTGATGCCATGCTCGTCCAGGTTGGCCAAGTTGGCCGTCTCCATGTTGAAGCCCCAAGCGACTGCCCAGGAGTTGTTTGAGGTCGTGCTGTTGGCAGCCTCCCGCCACCACATGCCCAAGTATTCCCAGTCCAGGAAATTCTCAGGTGTTTGCTGGCGGTAGAGAAACTGTCCCGGGCCTGCATCGGCCTCCCAGCCTGGTTCTTCCGGGTTGGAGCCCTTGACACCACCAGAGACCGTTACATACCAAGTGTCCTTCTCGCTGCCAAGAAGTGAGTCCAACTGATAGCTGTGGAACATGTAGGGGTCTCGGAAGGCAGTAGGCTCGATACCCTCAGGCTGCACGATCACCGGTGGATGGTCCAGTTTCTCGAAGGTATGGCCTCCGTCGCGGCTCACAGCAATGGACTGAGTCTCGCTTTCAGGCTGATAAGACATAGACCAGGTTATCGGCAGAGACTTGACGCCGCTGTACATCAATGTCGGATAGCCATCGATACCCTTGGAAATAACCGAGCCATCAAAGATGGCCAGCGGGTCGTTCTTGCCTCCACGAGTGATGACATTCCTTGCTAGAGGGTTTACGTCCTCGTAAGTGACCAGGTCGTCCGTCTTGCAGGAAGTCATACCCCCAGGGCTCGTGTTCCACAAGTAGCTGACATGGAAGGATCCTGTCTGAGAGTCGGTGTAATGCCCGCAAGGATCTTGCATTCTCCCAAAGAGAGGTGTCACATGAGCCTTTGGGCGCCATGTGTGGTACAGCTCGGTACCAGTGAGCTCTGTGAGATTCGGTGGTGCCTGGTTGTAGTCCAATTCGGCGGCGAAGTTGCCTCGTGCCGAAAGAAGTGTAAGTCCCACCGTCGTGACGATCGACTGCTTGGACATCTTGTTATTCAATATGAAACGAGCGATTACCGTGGAATGAATGTGGTTGTATTTGGGATAGGGTGAAGAGAATCAACCCTGAACGAGCGATTTGATAAGTTAGAACGAGTGTGAGAGTTGCATTGAGCAACTAATGACTGTAGATAAACACCAGAGAATCTTTTGTGATCTCTTTGCAAATCAACGAGCTGCTTCCTTGCTATTTATCATCTGCGTTTTCGGAATTAGGCATGGGTCGCTTCGAGCTCCGTAGGGATCGCCTTTTGTTAGATGTACCTCTACTACCCCGGTACAAGGAGTTGCTGGTAAGCCGGAATGCGTTACCCCAGCGCGACTGGGCACAGTACCTAACTATGGTAGCCAGTTGTCAACCAGGATCCAGAGTGTCGCCGCTCGCAGCGGAGACTTGCCGTGGCCGAACGACCCGGTAACTTGGCTGATCATCGACAAAAGCTCTGTAGTAATTCCAAATGTCATGCCTCCGAGCTGACTCCGTTATATGGAGGGGTTGGCCAACATGGTCCACTGCAGGTGAACGCTGCCAAGACGTTGTCAAAAAATAGTGCGAGGTAACATCTATATTATGGAATGACTCGGCCGATTTTCGCAATGCTCAGTCCGAGGATCCGTAGCAGAGCCTCAAGGAAACAAACCCCGTAGATGCACAATGCATGGATGGTTCGTGACTTGATGCACTTATACGGAGCTCGGAGTCGATACCTAGGTACCTTGCCCCCTCCAACTTCATTCATCACTGTCTGGCTTCGTGGCTATCACTATAATAGGTTCTCTTGCATCGTATTGCTGCACATCATCAATGTCAGCAGCCCATTGTCATGGAGCATGAGGTTACTGGGTATCTAGTATCCGATACTTGGCCTGACGTAGGTTGACCTGTAGTTCGCTGGGTCAAAATCCGAAAGGCTGTGAGTCCTGAATAAGGTACCATGAAAGAAGGCCCGTATCGGCAGCGATCTGCAGAAGCTTCAGATTAAGCTTCTGTCGATCCCTGCCCGCACGCAGGAACACATTGCAAAACCATGCGGTTTTTACTTTTGATAATTCCGGGTCCGGTGATCTCCGGCACTGAAAATCGGTGGGCTCGGAACGGTGAATCAATCCCTCTGCCTTTTACAGTGAAGCGCAGGTAGACTTCGACGGTAGCACTCGAGCATGGCCTTGCCTCGCCGTTGCTTCCATATTGCTCATCCTGAAATAGGCGAGGTAAAGGTGTAAACAAGCGCGCGGTAGTTGGGAATCGGCGCTCTTTTATTATCCCCAATCTCTGTCTAGGGTGTTTGCGTTATTTGTACTTAATATTTGGAGCTTGTGGTCTGCTCTGAAACAAATATGACTGACCACCTTTATGACCCTCGCTTGTTGAACCCATCCACATGTGTCGTGTTCTTCTTTTAACCGCCCCGTGCTCCTTGCTGTCGTAATTCTAGCGTCTTCTCAAGTCAACTTATTGTCGCCTCACAGAATGGACCTTCGAGGTAAATTTCATCAGTTCTCCTTCGAAATCACCTTCGCACATGCGACGATGGCCCGCTCCAAACGATCTGCGAATGACTCGCCCCGAAAAGCCAAGCAGTGGAACACCGTCATAAAGCCGCCGCAATATTCGCTATTTTGCGGCGCCACTGGATCTACCGGTAGTGACAGCTCTGTACACGCGGATGGGCGCCTGGATCTCAGGTCTACCAGGGAGCAATAGCCTAGGAAGTAGGGGATTACAATCCACTTACCAAGGTCCCAATTATGCTGGAGCTTGGGCTTGAGTCTTCTGGGCGCTGCACGACCAAAGTAGGTACTGATCAGGATTCTCCAGTCCGAAAGCACGACTAGGAGCTAGGAGCGGCTGGCTAGGGCAGAGAAGATACTTTGACCGCTGCTTTCCCCCCTTCTATGCAACTGGGTATAGTATTGGTTGGTGTGGATGCGAAAGAACATCATAATCTCCAGGGACTTAGGGCGGGAGCGTCTACAGGTTTTTGTCATTCTCAAGTGCTGTTGTGATATCTGCAGCATTCTAAAACCCAGCCTCTCATTGAAGGGGCGTTATCAGTTCTTTTCATGGGTCCAGGTGGCACATTTTGCAAGGAGGGCATTTTCTTCATGCCTAGGTAACGCCTGGCGCACTCGAAGTCTCGTCTACTCGGAGGTTTTGCGCTTTGCTGAGCAACCGACACCTCCGTGACATGTGGCCATCGTCGAGCAAACTTCCCTCTGAGGTGTCCACGGGTCGCAACTACAGAATCCCTTCAAGAAATTAGTGCCTTTCCCCCAAATATCCAAAGTCTCTACGAGGCCATCAAGGCCCTTGGTATGAGGATATCGCCTCGCAACATTGAATGTTCTAGCTGCCAGCCCGGGCTTCTTCGTAGGTCTCGTCTTCAGTTGATCTATATAAGCTTCGACAATGGAGATGTTGCTCATTTAAGCGCTGGGTCTTGAGCGTTTACCACCGTATGAAGGCGCCATGTATGGCCTCGGACGTATACGGAATAGAAGCGAAACCACATATATGTAATTACGACCGGTCCGATGATATCGATAGTTTGAAGAGGCACATGGTCACTAAACGGGCTAAAGGGGTCTAGGAAACCTTGTATTATGGTATGTACCCAGCCTCAGATGTATTTCATTTTTGACCACTATCATTGGTCTACTGTCATGTATGGCCAGCAGCTAAAGGATCACACAACAACCACCCCCAGAAGCAAGTCCCTCCTTAAAGCCCTCGGAATGGCCTGTTTTTCGGCCTTCGTCTCTGCCTTGAAGACGTCCCCGTTGATATCCCTCATTATCTTGAGATTTATCATAATTAGATTCAAATGTGAATGGTACTCTCATTCATATCGTGTCTGAGAAAGATACATACATGTTGCGATCTGCTTGTCCCTGCAGGCGACACAAACGATGTCCCCAGCTCGCTTATAATGCGACTCGAGCTCGTAGGTACCAGGGCCTCTGCAGGTATCTAGATGAAATCAGCCCTCGAAACCTAATGAAATGAGTTTTTGAGTTCTTAGAAAACCCGAAAACCCAAACTGTACCCAGGGGTGTCTGACGCTCGTCGCACCATGAAGCTCGTAGTGCGCGGTCCCGGTTGCAATCTTGAAGTCGACAATTTGTGCCAGGCATAGTTCTCTCTCGGAAATGTGATTTTGGAATTTTTGAGGGGTGGAAGGACTGACTTCAGATGTTAAGTGCAAGGAAAGAAATGCCAGTGTTTACGCTAGCATGTAATTATGGTATGACCATCTATGTAATGAGACCCGGGGCACCAGTATTCAGATTAATCTAGGTGTCTAGATATGCTTGACCACAGGGCAAGCCCTTCAGGCATTTATCTAACTGGCGCCTCATCACCACCATGGGTCATTGTGTTTGCTTTTCCACTTGAAGATATGGAACACGCCCCTTATTGGTTGTGTGACTTCCTCAGCCGTGTCTAGGTAACTGCCTAGGTGCATATGTAGCCTCATCCAGCCCAGATAAGCTAGATCCGCGTCACACTGACATTTGTTTGCTCTTCTTTTCCCAGGTATGACGATATTGTATCTGTGTCGGGTACACCTAGCCATTCAAAAGCACATGAGTACAAATTGATGCTTTCTTTATTTTCTACCTGCGTAGTTTCCGGGCCGTAGCAGTTCGCCCTGGAATGTCAGTACTTGAATCCGGTACAGACGATGCATCTTGGGGCGAGTAAATTCCACATGACTATCATTTTCTGTATCTGTAGTGTCCCGAACACGTCATTTGTTATGTCATTTCTATTATCTAAAACCACTGCCTACAGATATGTATACTACATGTACCCTTTCTTGCGCGTGGATTGAGTGCATTGGACGCTGTGTGGTCACCCCCAACGGATGTGACCGCACGCAGGCTTCGGACTATTATCGATTGACTGGTGTCATGATCGGAGGCAACCCCAATATGCTCGGTTAGATGCATGAGGTGCGAACATTCGTATCTCGGTGTTCTGTGCGCGTCTGGGTCGGGTTCAAGCGGCATGGTCCAGCATGGATACCTGTTTAGTCCACGTGTCAACTGGTCAGCCTGAGCATCTGCAAACATCAGGCATGCCTGCGGAAAGTTTGCGTGCTTCATCGCACAACATTCGCAAGCAACCAATAACTTAAGTGATTTCGCTCAGGGTGCTTTTTCGTATACGTCCGGAGACATGCATGGAGTCTTCGTACAGTCGTAAACGATTCCCCTGTAGATATTAGAGGATTTCCACCACCAAAAGGGTCTCCGGGGAGACAGTCCCTAGCGAGAAGCATTTTTGTTCCAAACGAGCCTGCTGACTTTTGATTGAATTCAAGAAAGTCTTCTGTCACTTCCACTCCCTTCCGTCTCCATCTCCATCCCCCCACCTCTTGCTTCCATACGCAGAAGCATGGCTACAAGTACAAGCAGTGGATAAAGGGTCTCTTCAGGGCACAGATATAAATGCCCTCAGCGATCTTGTGGCCGTGTTCAACTTTTTTGCAATCGGATTTGGAATGCGACCTCGTGCGGCGTGAGATTGACGCAATTTGTGACGTGTTTGACGCCCCTTGCAGCTGACCCCGTCGCAGACGAAGCAGAGAGGCAGTACCCCCAGCAGAAAATGAACCTCCGTTGCGAGGAAAGAAAAGGAGATGAATTAAGATAAATTCATGATTTTCTTGGCTGGCCTCATAGTCTGAAGAGCTACGCGGCGGGCATTTGGCAGCTGAGCACAGAGCGATTTGTTAAAGCTGAAGATTCAGAAGAGTCGGGATGCCAAGAAACAGAATCCCGTCTTGATAATTCACAAGCTTCGTATGCCGATGAAGGCTCTGCCAGTCCATCCGCCGCCACTGCACATTCTCGTGCCTCTCTCGCATTTTCTCTCCCCTAATACCGACTCAAGTGTTTTGTCTCTATTCTTCGGCAACTAGACACAATGCACCAGAGAATCTTGGGGTCAACTTCACCCCTTTTCACTGCTATGTCCGACGGGGGCCAAGTGACGTGTAATCTCTTCAAGCCCGGAGACCCAAATCATCTTCTTGCCCTCGAAGTTTCAGCCGTTCAGTACTAATTTGAGGGTCGTGCCGGAAAGCCATTCGCCATTTTTGTTGGAGTTTTGTATTGATCTGCTGTCTGCTGAAAATCGAGTACCTCACTCTCCGCCTGCTGTAACCTGCTGCTAAACCCCCCTTTAAGAACCACCCGGCCCCCCAAGAAGGGCAAATCTTCGAACGATGCTTGGTCCGTACTCGTCGTACTATGACGGAATCAGTACCTGAATCTGATGTTTGGAGAACAAAGAAAATGTGTCTTACCTCCGCCTTGGTGTGGCAGTACGACCTGAACTCGGGTGTCTGTCCCAGCAAACTGCCTCCGAACCACGGACCGTGCCTCTGCCTCTTGTGCGTAATGACCTGCACCTCCAAGCCGCCACTCCTCGCGCCTCCGCTGCGCACCTCACTGGCACGGATGCGGTTGTCGACCAGGTGCTTGATGTCTCTTTGCAGCCTGCGGCCAAAGTCCTTGTACAGCGTGCTACCACCCGAGAGCACGATGTTCTTGTACAGACCGCGACGGACGTCGATGGGGCTGGACTGGATGACGCCGTCGACAACGGTGGGCAGGGGCGTGAGGAAGTCGGAGCTGTAGATCTCCGGGTTGAAGAAGATCTCGGGGGCCAGGAACCGCTCGTAACCGACGTCGACGGTGACCTTGCGCCCACCAGGCTGGAGTACGGGGTGCTGGGCGAATCGTGTGGGGTCGCGGTCGAAACGGCTGAACTCCTTGACGATATCCGGGCAGACGTAGCAGTGTGCCTCCTTAATCTCCTGGGCGGTCTTGAGAGAAGAGTCAGGCTCACCGCGGTCACGCAGGAGGGACTGGACGAAATATGTAATATCGCGACCGGCGATGGGGATCGACTTGATCGAGGAGCCGATGACGTATCCCTCGGCCACGGGAATGACATGGGTAACACCGTCACCGGAGTCGATGACAGTTCCGGTCAGTGAACGGTCCTGCACCTTGGAGGAGGTCCAGGATGCGGCGAGGGCGAGGACGGCCTGCACGGCGATGTAGAGACCGGCGCAGTTGAATGACTCGAAGAAGATCTCGGCGGTGTTTTCTCGGTTCTCGGGGGGGTTTAGGGGCTGGGAGGTGAAGGTCAGCCAGCCGGAGTGACAGCGGAGACACCGGTGTATTACGTACTGGTTCGGTGAGAAGGAAGTGGTGGTCCTCAGGCTCTACTCGCAGATATTTGAAGATCGAGTTCGACCAGAAACGCTCCATGTGATCCTGCGCACAGTGTCAGCTGCCCATCTTCCAACGTCCCACGAATTGCCTGCTCGTACCCAGTTCTCTATTTGTCCATGGCGGATGGGATAATGGAGGCCGTATCCTGCTTCGGTCAGCCTTGCTGCGGACCAGCATTGAATTGCGTGTCGCGCTTACCAGGTCCACCAGATGCTGCTATTGCCTCATCGCCGATGAAGAAGTCCAGATCCTCTGTACCACGTTTCGAGTTGAGATGGCCGGACGGGCCAGCACCGCCGGTCAGGAAGGAAGGCTTGTTCCCAACGGCAGGACGTCCTGAGCCTGAGCCACCGGCGCCGCCACCGGCGCCTTTCGTTGCGATCGCGGTCGGGAAGACGAAGGACGGGGAGTCGTTGCCGGCGAAACCTATACGAGGGGTCCAACGTCAACGCGCTGTGGTGGGATTCGGTTGGAATTATGGGGGAATCATCCATACCTAGCTTGGAGAAACCCGTGCCGCTGTAGTGGGATTGGTTATCAGCACGATGCGTCCAGAACAGATGACAGCGACACTTCTAGGCGGGAATAGCTTCATGGGGGAGGGCGGGTGCTGGCTCGACCAAGCCCCCTGGTGGAAGTGGGGTCAGGCAGCTCCAGCTATGCCATGGGGTTCGTCCAGGGGCTGGAATTGACGTACTTGTCCATGACAACGGCGGGTGTTTGGTTGGCCATGGTTGCGAGGGCGGGAGCTGCGCACAAGTCTGGGTGGGTTGGATGGGAGATGCGCAGCTCTTGATCGAATTGGCGAGGGCGATGGCGGTGGTGATGGTGTATGAGGTGGGTAGGCACCGGGGAGAGGTGTGGTTGCCGTTGCTTGAGTACGCAAGTCGTAATGCGGTCAGGCCAAGCTAGTACCGTCCGCCTGTCTCTGGTCCACCCCACCCCTGAGCGTTCATGTGGCTGCCCGTGTGGCGCTTCTCCAAAATGTGGCGCTGCTCGGAATGTTACTGCTCCCTGGGTACTCCGTATTTGGCTACAGTATTTGCGCAGGCCCCAACTACAACCTTGCTCAAGCGCTCATCTTGATGCCATTTCCCCCTTCAGGGCTGCTCTCAACTCGCTAGTATCGACTCTGAGATTGTTATAGATCCAAATAAATCGCCCATGACAAGAGTACTCCGGAACTCCGGGCTCACTTTAAGGCGTTGAGAGAGAATGGCAAGATGTTGAAGCCTCCGTATCAATAACACAGGCACGAATGCCTGCACTCCTCTGCGACCTGCATCTCACCTGCCGCTTCTGGGACTTCCGGGTCTCCTGCCACGTGCTGGCCAAACACACAACTGACGTCTAGCGTGCTTTCAATTGCAGACATCTCGGCTTTTCTTGAGCGTGAGTCTTTCTGAATATTCTCTGCTTGATTTGCAACCCCATCATCCACAGGGGCGTTATTCCCGACTCCTGTGGACCCATATCATTCGTTACTCCATCCAATCATTCTCCCATTCGCCTCATCACGCAACATTCTCCAGCCTGTGCCTACACTTTGCTTCTGGCTCTACCTTCTTATTTCTGGTGGTGGCATCGCTCCTGAATGCCACCGTCCCACCGCCGCGTTCCCCTGTTCTCTCAGAAACATTGCCCAGACACCAAGCCCGGAGGAGACCTCCATCTGCTAGTAGGTGGTTTCCTTTTTGCACAATCCGCTTTGTCTGGTGTGGCATATTGCCCCTACCTGCCCTTTCTTTGCGTGTCACCATGATGCACTCTCAGAGCTTGTCCAGCCAGCCAAACCTCACTGCCCTGCGGTCAAAACTTGACAGCCAGTGACAATGGGGAGCACATCGTCGCCTGGCAGCTAGCAGCTAGCCGCGTTTCTCAGGGATTCTGAGACCTTCGGGCAGTAAATTCATCTCATTCACAGCACTTCCGGTCCACAAAACCGCCAGCAAAGTCTCCCTCTGGCTTCGTTGAGAAAAAGTTGGTATTGTACCGCTTGCTGGACAAGAAGCGGCAGAGAGTCAACCACTGCCACTGTCACTATACCAAACTCTGGCTCATCTCGAGTTCTGCCAGTGCCGTCTTCTACTAGGAGTTTGGGCTAAACTTTGCATTTCACTGACAAGTGAAGCAGGGTCTACTCATTGGCGTTGGGCGTTTGGCCGTTCCATTTTCTGTTCACTCCAAAATCGAGACGAAGCCGCTCTTCGTCTGTTACCAGCCAGAAGCCAACTGGAATTCCTTCTCGCTTCTCGCTTCGCGCTCCGCTCCAAACCTTCGAACGGGTCCAAAGCAAACCTGCTTTGACTTCCACGACACTTGCCAGTGCAGCATTGCAATCATGGACGCTTCTGATCCGAATCGTCACTTCTTTGGTCCAGAGACCCCGCCCAGACCATCACCAGCCTCAGATGCGTTAGAAGACAGGCTTGATGTGGGTTCTGACGGCACGGTTGACCGTCTCATTAAGAAGCGTAGCTCTATCGGCGATCAACGCCCGTCAATGGCCGTTTTCATCCACGCTGGCGCTGGCTACCATAGCCTCCAGAACGAGAATGTTCACCTCACTATGTGTGGGAAGTAGGTCCTCTCGCAACCCCTTCCTTTTCCCATGGAGCAACTTGTAAAGCAACATCGATACTGATAAACGCCAGGGCTGCCCAAGCGGCCATGAAGTGCTTGAAGGCCGGCGGTTCGGCCACTGACGCCGTAGAGGCTGCCATCGTGGTTCTGGAGAACAACGATATCACAAACGCGGGCTACGGAAGTAATCTTTCAGCCGATGGTATTGTCGAGTGCGATGCCACCGTTGTCGATCACTTTGGACGTAGCGGAGCTTGTGGCGCTGTTTCCTGTAAGCACCACTTGGCAAACGTCTTTTTTTATACTTAACTGACTTACGTCGTTTCCCATTTCAGATATCAAGAACCCAATCTCGCTTGCAAAACTCATCCTCGACACCAGCCTGAGACCTTTGACCCTTCGGCGCGTGCCCCCCAACATTTTGGTCGGTAAGGGGGCCACGAAGTTCGGGTTGGAGCACGGAATGTCTCTCGTCAAGAACAGGGCACTCATTTCAAAGAATGCTCTTCAACGTTACATGAAGTGGTGTGACGACCTCAGCAAAGCTCAAGCACGTGTGACACAGGAGTCTGGGCAGACGCAGGCTGAAGCGGCTTCCCCTGAAGAGGCCAAGTACAGTTCTGTCCCCGGGCCCGTGATCGAGCCGGTTGTCCAGGCCGAAGCTCTCGGCGGGCTGCAGTCTCTGACCAACATCAGGGCTGGCCAAGACCTCACGACACGCAATCACTCGTCTGCCCTTCTCACCGGAATGTGGAACGAGGGCCAGCCCGACTCACCTTGCGACTCTGCCTCGCCCAGCGCACCAGCTTCCGATCCTAGCACCCCAACCAAGCCGTCGCCCCTCGCAGCGGCTCTGCAGAACGGAATCCAGACCCCTACCAGATCCCCGAGAGGTTTTAACATGACCCGCCCCATCGACGCTACTGATGGTCCGGTGAGGGAGTCCCGATCCAAGCGCCTCAAGACCTCTTCCGAAGACTATGTCAACACAGCTAATGGCGCGAGTGACCTCTCGGATGACTCTTGGGACTGGGTGGACCACTCTGTGGCCGAGAAGCTGTTCTCTCGGCCCTCCAGCGGAATCGACCTCACCGAGCTGACCGCCGAGCCCGACAAGGCCGATAACGACAAGATCACAGACACTATTGGTGCCATTGCGATCGACGGCCAGGGCAACATAGCAGCGGGTTCCTCGTCGGGTGGCATCGGCATGAAACATAAAGGGCGTGTGGGTCCGGCGGCGCTCGTGGGGATTGGCACATTTGTGATGCCGCTTGACCCGGACGATGAGGAGGCCCGCTGCGTAGCGACCGTGACCAGCGGCACGGGCGAGCACATGGCTACCACCATGGCGGCTCACAAGTGCGCTGACCGGCTATACCACATGACCAAGGCCGGTCCCGGCGGGAACAACACAGGGGACGTGCCGGACGAGGGCACTATCATGGCCGACTTCGTCACGCGCGACTTCATGGGCCACCCAGGCGTGCGCAACCAGACCAGCGCCGGCGCGATCGGCGTCCTTGCTGTCAAGGCGACGTCGTCTGGAATTTATATGCACTGGGCGCACAACACCGACTCGTTTGCCCTTGCGCACATGGCTTCTTACCACAAGGAGCCCCAGTGCGTCATGAGCCGCCTCGGCCAGGGAAGTGGACCTGTCAATATTGGCGCGCAGAAGGTCCTTCGTGATCATGCGGCCGGCTCGAAGTCTCGTGGCTAAAGCTTTCGACCTGGCGGCGCGATACGACTTTTGGAGGGACGAATCACCGGCGAAATGGATCGCTGGTTTTCTGAGCACGGCTGGCATGGACTTGGCTGGGTTATGGCTAGATTGCACTGGTGGGCTTCACGCCCTCGATTTCCTCCTCGCTTTATTCACGTAGCCTAGACCGTCTCGATAGATTGCACAAATACAGATCATTTTCCTAGACCTCGGGATCAGCGTGACGTGTTTGGCTCGAGGGCGCTTTCAAGACCTCGTCAAAGGGTATTTATTCCTGGAGATGCAGGTCCCCAATCAGTTATGGGCATGGGCGCTGTGCTGTTTCTTTCTATCACGTCCTATATCTCTTCTTTTCCCGTCCATCATACATACTTCGCATGGTCAATTGGATATCCATCATATCCTTTCCCATCACACGCGGGACTACCTGGTCCGCTGGGGTATCTTATTTGATAAGACTCACCATGGTGTCTTGGTGGTACTCTTCCTTTCGTCTCTTCTTGGCTGTCCATTCTAGCAGCCACTCTTGCCAGCTGGAGAGCTGGCTAATCCCGGTCGCTAAACTGGACTGTAGGGTGATTCCCCGTCTGCCCAGGATCATTTACGAGCGACTCTCTTTCGTCTTTTTTCAGATACTCTCATGCTTCGTTTCATCGCTACCAGGCAAGCTGTCGCACCGGCTATCCAGCGCACTACTTGCTGGCGTCAGGGGGCAAGCATCCCCAAGCTCCTAGAAAGACTAAGCTCCATCTTGGACGATACAAGACCCCCCCAGCTCAGCCCGGCCTCGGCGTGCCCACGGCGCTACTGGGCTGTTCGCTGCCGACGGGCTCCCCGTTGAGCCCGAGCTTCCTCTTCTTCTTCTTCTTGCGCGGCACCACGGCTGGGCGTGCGCCGTACGTGCCGAGTGCTAGCCTGTTGCCGCACGTGAGGCACTCTGCGTCCTGCGGCACCTCGCAGAAGATGGACAGGCAGATGCTGCAGACAAAGCCCGTGTCGATGACCTTGCGGTGGCAGAAGCAGGCGGCGCGGAAGTCGACGCTCACCGTCGACGGGCTGACCAGCTGGTTCATGCCCGCGCCGCCACCCCCGCCGCCGCCGCCGCCGTGGTCGTCGTCGCCGTCGTGCTTGGTGGAGCCGCCGGTGTTTGACGTCGTCGTCATGACCGCCTTGGCCGAGGAGATGGAGGAGGCGAAGCCGAAGAGCAGGTAGGTCAGCAGGCCCTGGGGGCTGGCGGCCTCCATGAAGGTGCCGCGGGTGATGTAGCTCGCCTGCTGGAGGAAGGTGGCGCTGCCGTGCAGGGAGAGGATGTCGATGGGGATGCCGGCGTGGCTGGCGGCGAAGACGGCGTTCATTGTGGGGATGTACTGGGCCGGGGAGCTCTCGGAGACGGAGACGACGAGGATCCTCGCGTGCAGTCCCGCGAGGAGGCCGGCGCGCTGGGCGGAGAGGTTGGCGGCGGTGGAGCCACCGTTCTTCTTGGCGGCGAGGGTGGAGGCGTCGGCGTTGTCGTTGGCGGACAGGAGGATGGAGGTCTTGTTGATGTGCGACAGGGCGAGGGTCAGGGCGCCCGAGATCTGGGTGGTGGTGGTGGCCTGCAGGTCGGCCTCGGTGGTGGAGGACATGAGCTCGCGCAGGGAGGCGACGATTGAGGACTCGATCTGGGCGAACTGGGGGTACTTGTTGGCGGCATTGGCATTGCGCTTCTTGGGCGGCGGTATTGACGTGGGAGCGGCGTCTGCCATCTCGACGTCTCCGTCATGCTGGCCGTTCCCTCGAGGCCGTGCCTCCCTGGGCTTTGGACGTGGCGGGTAGAGCCATACTGCGCGGTTGGTGTGCGAGGCGATCAGCGCAACCTGGTTGGTGCTGCTGAAGGCGAGGTGGGAGTTGATGAAGACGAGGATGTTGGCGAGGGCCTTGGAGATGGGCAGGTCGCGCTTCAGGGCCGCCCAGGCGCGTGGGTTCGTGTCGATGACGACTGCACAGAGCGAGGGCGTCTCCTCGGTGGCGTAGATCTCGTAGTGGTCGGTGGCGTCGACAGCGTCCATCGTGCACGTGGGCCGTTGGCCGAGGGCCGTGAGCCCGTCAACTGAGCTGCTCTTGTGTGCCCAGCCTCTCCTCTCGAGGCTTGGTAGGTCTGACCGACTGCCTCGTCTGTGTAAGGTTGTGTCGTGGGTCGCAGTGGTGGTGTTGATGGGGTTCTGGGGGCAGGCAGACGAAGCTTTACGGACTGAATTCCGCGCCCTACGTTGGCAGCTCCAGCTCCCCCGGCTCCCAGTACGGATAGTACGTACGGATAGTGCAAGCAGTACCACAGCAGCCAATCTTATCTGATGCAACAAGGTCGTGTCGCCGTGCAGTTGGCAGCCGCAACGGCAGGACCCGAATCGCGGTCCCAGTTCAGATGAGACCTGCAGCCAGCTAGCTGGGTTAGGTGCTAGCACCCCGACGCCTTTCTGCCTCTTCAGTCCATGGACTACAACTTGCTGGGGGGTGAAGCAACGGTGCACGGAGTACTCCGTACCCACAAGTACCACCGCTCCCGGTCGCAGCGACATCGGGTGACGCTGTGGTGACACGGCCAAGCGCGGTACGGGGTGGTACGGGGTGGCACGGGCCAGACACGGTGCGATACGGTGCGCGGGCTAGCTCCATCTTCCCATCGCCCACATCCATCTCATTCTCCATCTTTTGTCCGCCAGGACGCGAGGAGGGGCACATCGGCCACAGCAGATTCATGTTCATACCCACGTCCATGGATGCTCAAGTGCGACCAGACAGACCACTCCTGGCCCCAGATGGTTCGCTATCGTTCCAGCCAGCGTGCACCTTGACCTTGACCATCCATCGGGGCCCCTCATAAATGTCAGCACCATCGGACGAGTGATTTTTTGGAAACTGACTTGTCTCTCGCCGATGAAGCCAGTCGCGTGAAACCCGAGCCAAGATCCCCGCGGGCATTCCGTTTGTTCAGAAATAGAACTGCGTGCCCCCCCTCAACAACTCTTGTTGTGCATTTATATGCGCGTCTATCTGGTCAGTCGATCAACCGGCTCAGTTGATTTATTCCACAGAACCTACCTTCCTAGCCTGCATACCACGGCAGCAGCTCCAGCTGTAGCTCCAACTCCAGCCGCGGGGTCGCCAGCTCCTCAACGCTTCTTTGCGCTTCGGTCGTCTTCCCCCAACCAAGGCGTGACTTTATCTGTTCTCACCTGATAGATCACGTCCAACATAATCCACCAGAACCCACGGTTCTGTTCATAGTCCCCAAGCCGCACATTCGCTCCCTTGTCCCACTCTACCCCGCCCACACATCACAATGGAGACAGTCAACGAGTATGCCAAGCAGGACCTGTCCAAGCTGGGCAGGGAAGACCAGACACTGCTGCTGTTCGCGCGGTTGATGGAGGGCGGCCAGGAGGACGACGATACCGTCAAGGACCTTGACTCGCTCACCAAGCTCCTACACGACGACCCCGAGGCCAGGAAGAAGGACAAGTCGATATGCGACGTCATCGATAGCGACTGCTTCGACACAATCCTCTGCTACCTCGACATGCGACAGCCCGATATCGTCCGCGGCCATGCCACCCTCACTGCCTCCGCCTACCTCAAAGCCTCCGGCGCCGATGGCTCCAAGCAGCTGCGCGACTTCTTCCAGGACCGCGTCAAGCGGGGCACCTACGACGACTACATCGTCGCCTTCTGCGTCGCCGCCGCCATCTTCCCCATCGTCCCCGACCTCATTACCGAGCTGTTCCTCAGCGAGGGCTTCCTGCCCAGCCTCGGACCGCTCATGCGCCGGAAGTGGAAGAGCCGGAAGGTCGAGACGGCGTGTCTGGAAATGTTGAACGCGGCGTGCATGAACCAGCAGTGCCGCGAGGCCGTCCAGAAATACTGTGTGGAGTGGCTGGAGGAGGTTGTCGACCAGGACCCTGATGAGGCTGTCAAGTCCATGTACGTCCGCGGCGGCCACGGCTCACATGGCGACGAAGGCTCCGTCTCCATGCGAAGGCACTCCGAAAACGTCCAGCATCTGGCTGCTGTTATACTTGCCAAGTTAAGGGTTAGCACCCCCGCCTCGATGCGACATCCTTCCGTCATCACCGACGAGCCCGAGGAGCTGGACGTCTAACTGACAGTTGGACACCCAGGCAATACAACCTGCCCGCGCACCGGATGGCCAGGGCGGAGACACGGAGCGAGTACAACAGGCCAGCACCACAATCGAGGAACTGTCCAAGATGTTCACCGACATGTTGGTCAAGGACCCAGAACACGCGCGTAATAACTCGATCGAGGGGCTGGCCTATGCGTCGCTACGGTCAAACGTCAAGGAAGACCTGTCCAAGAATAAGGAATTCTTGAAGCAGCTCGTCAAGACACTGGAAAATGCGCAACCAAAGTCACCACTCACATATGGGGCGTTGACTATACTGGTTAACCTCACTCGATTCCAGCCCAACAAGTCTGAGGAGGAGAAGAAGATGGACCAGCTGAAGGCATACGCTAACGCGGCTGGGAAGATCGCGCCCGATCCCCTCAACGACAACGAGCACGTCACGGCCCGATGCAAAGCGGTCTTCGAGGCAGGCGTCACGCCCGTCTTGGTAACACACAGCAAGAACGGCTCCGTAGCGTCGCTGACCCTAATTATTACAATCATCAACTCTCTCTCCCAGATAACCAGCATCCGCGGTCTACTGGCTCAGCAGGGCGCCGTCCGGCTCCTCATAGCAGCTTGGAATGCCCTTCCTTCTTCCGAGGCTCAGCCAAAACGCGTGGCCGCCCAAGCTCTCGCCCGCATACTCATATCTACCAACCCTGCCCTGGTATTCGGCGGCACGAGGCCCACACCACAGAGCGCAGCCATCCGCCCACTAGTATCCATCATCACACCAGACCAGGACGCCGAGACACGTGATCTCCTACCGACCTTTGAATCCCTCATGGCCTTGACCAACTTGGCGTCCACTGACGATGACACGCGCGCGGCCATCGTGCGCCAGGCCTGGCCCGAGCTGGAGGAACAGCTGCTGTCGACCAACGCACTGGTGACTAAGGCAGCAGTCGAGCTGGTGTGCAACCTCGTGCAGTGTGTGGAAGCGATCGCGCTGTACGCGGATGGGACAGCCAAGGCGCGCGACAGGCTACACATCCTCCTCGCACTGGCGGACGCCGAGGATGAGGGCACAAGAAGCGGGGCGGGCGGCGCGCTGGCCACGCTCGTGGGCGTCGAAGAGGTTGTCACGGCCCTCCTAGCGCGCGAGCGCGGTGTGCGCAACATTCTGGGCCTGTGCGCCGATGAGTCCAGCGAGGATATCCGTCACCGGGGGGTGTTTGTCGTGTACAGCCTCGTCACCATGGACAGCGATGTCGGGGCCCGCGCGAGGGCCAAGATCCGCGATGAGGGCGGCGTTGATGTCCTCCGCGATTGTGCGCGCCGTACGCGGAGGCCTGAGGTGCTGGACTTGGCCGTGCAGGCGTTGAAGCTGATTATGGAGGAGAACTAGGCCCTTTGTGTTTCACTTTCGGTGGGGTTGGGGTGTTACGATGCATACATCTTGTGAGCGTGTTTGATTATTCCAAAACTGGTGCGTTAGATGACTTCATGATCCGTATGTGTGGTTTTACTTTCTGGGATTACCGGTTTAGCTGGAGTCGGTACTCATTTTGCCTTTCCAAGGCCTCCCACGTGGATCATATGTGAGCTTTTGCAAGACTTTTGGAAGAGTTTGGGGAGATTGGCTTTCTGAGATGCCAGGTATCAGCCAATGAATCGAGCATCCTCCAGGATTTCAGGTCATGATGTGTCCATCCCCGTCTACTTCTGTCTCCTACGCCGACACTCAAATGGCGACTTCGCCTCTCTAACCATCGCGTGTGCTTCTATCGGTCTGTTAATGAGCCACCAGTGTGGTAAGATGGTTTGATGTTGTCCCTCGCGGAGGGGTGCAGTGCAAGGGGCTGAGCTCAAGATTCTTCCTCCTGTCTTCTGTCCGTACTCGGAGAAGGGGCTGTCGAACTTGTAGTAGTACATCAGAACCTGTTGTGGACATGCACTTACATTCTCGTCCTCGATCCGATTCTCGTGTTTGCAACCACACCTGCGTGAGAAGCCAGATGCCACTGTCTAACCATGCGATCTGAGGCCTTCTACACAATACAAAAACGTTTCCGAACAAAGCCCCGGGACAGCACACTAAATCTCTCATCCTTGTCAGCATCCGGATTGTTCCATCCTGTCTCCAAAACTCCGACTCTGCGGAAAGTATCCTCGCCCACCCGCTCCAACAATAGGCATTGCGTTGGGAATCGTATGCCCCAACAGATCATCGCCGCAGTCCATTCACACACCCAGCGCCCATCTACTCGTGCTTTGCCTGCGCACAGGTTCTCGGCCGTCTGGTCCAACGTCATGATGAATGTCCGTATGCCGCCTCCTTCTAGCCACACGGGCATCCCCGGCGAAACAAAAGCAGTGACGGTCGTGGACCAAGCGGTAAGGTAGAGAATGGGCGCCGGCTCTGGACCGCTGCCAAATGACAGTCCGGGACCCCGGCGAAAATGATCAGAAATATCCAAGACTTGCGAGCCGACCACGATCTCTAAAGATATGTCGCTGGGTCCCCAAGACGTCTCAGAGTGAGACTCTCCCCGCGAGCGTGCCCTCTCTACCAACCAGTGATAGGGTCCGACGGGGAAGTGTCGCGAATCGAAGTCCCACTTCGCGGTAAAATTATCAGACCAGATCCAAGCAGCCCACGTCCAAGAGGGCATCCCCGGGACGCGGCGCAAGGCCCCCCTGCGGTTGGCGCTCCAGAGCAGGCCGTAGCCGGGCTGCCTTATAGCACCATCGGGGCCGAGGAGGAACGGGACCCCCCAGACATGCACCGCCGCCGGGCGCAGCCTCTCGTAGGCCCTGAGGATCCCGCGGAAGGCGTTGAGCGAGTCGGACGGGTACGTCAGGTTGCGCCTCGTGTACTCGTTGATGTGGGCGAATATCCCGCTGCTCGCCCTCACGCGGTCCTCCCCTCTGAACTGCAGGATCGCCCAGTCGTCCGTGAAGACCAGGCGCCGCCGGGAGAGGAGGCCTTCCTGGTATGTCCACCCGCGTGTTGACCAGACGGACGTCTCGATCTGCCCGAGGCGCACGTACGATTCGAGGCACAGGTGGGAGAGCCTCGCGTATACGAGGCCATCCCACGGGGGCACGTGGTCCTCCCCTGATGCCTTGGATAGACCGGACACGCTGGGCAGGCCGTGGGCGCCTTCGCTTCCGGAGGCCGCGATTATGGTCAGGGAGGCTGCTTCGTATATGGCGTCCATGTTGCTGATCATAAAGTGCTTTGTCCCTGGCTCCGTGCTGTTGATACAGTACCGGTCAACCCACAGGAACTGCTTCCCAAGCACCCGGACGACGTTTATGGCGTCTTGTATTGTCTGTGGGAGACGACGCCCGTGTAGGTCCGACTCGAACGTGTTGTCCTCGTCTTCACTTGCTTTCGAGCCCCAGACGTAGCTCAGCGCCACGTACTCACAGCCCGGCTCTGCAGCAACCACGCGCATCGAGAAGCAGTCAATGACCAAGAGACCCGGAAGTGCTGCCGAGGAGTAGTGATTCCCATCCGGCTCGAACTCATCATCGGCCTCCTGGAGAAGCTCTCGCACGTCACGGGGGCTCAGATCTACACCCGCTGACCCCGGCGGAGAATTCCCAGAGCAGTCTTTCAGGAAGTACTCAAGGGAGATGGTCCTCCATAGTTCCGCGGGGAACGTTTTTCCTGGTTCTGTCACAGAATTGCAGCTGTTGAAAAGTGCCTGCGGGGCTTCAGCAGCGATATCCTCGAAGGCTGGCTCGTCACATGCATGGCCTTCGAGAGTAGCTGAGGATTGCGCGTCAGGCCCTGCTCCTGTCAGAACCTCTTGGCAGAGATTCCATGATGGCCTACAAACCTAGGCAGCGACTCACGATGTTTTTGTCTTGGGTACCGGTCAGACCTGTTTTTCGGAAGCGAGCGGCTGGACTCTGCTCGTCTCGTGCGAGGACCGGTCGCCGAGGTGACCTGGGCCGCTTGAGTAAAGCCTAACTGAGACATGTGTTTTTTGTGTCTCGATTAGCGTATTACAAAAAAAGCACTTCTCAGTTAATAGAATCACAATTGATGAAATGCGAGTCCGGTTGCCCGTAGCTGTGTTATAATGCTCTCCATAGTGTAAGCGACGGCCATGGAGTATCAAGTAAGCCAGGTCCCGAATGAGACCCACGCCACGTGTGCCCGCCGCATTCGTAAGAATGGCTCCAGGGGTCCCTAATCGTGACTGCGTGCACGCAATGTGCTGCTGTAACTGACACCCACACCAACAAGTAAGTTGAGGCCTCAGTCTTCAGATTCTCGGTGTTGATTTGTGATTTGAGAATATTGCGTATGTTCATGGATGGCTGTATGCTCTCATCACTCACCTGTGCTCTACGAATCCTCTTCATTCTGTTCACCCTTGCCCCATGGGGCCGTGCCCACATGCAGCTCGTCATTGTATACATCACGGGTCCTCTTCTGCGGGTCAAATTGCCAGCCTCACATTCCAAGAAATCCAATTTCGCATGCCACAGAGGCCAGCAGGAGACGAGCTCGCGATGCTAGATAGATAGACCCCCGCTGTTCTTCTGTCTCGGCTCTCCCACACCAAGGAACGTCCCATCCCACAGCCTCTGGATCCCCTGCACGGCACTCACCCCTAGACGCACCCATATGCTCTTGTGGCCCTTCTCGACCATGGCGCCGACCGTACCATTATCATAAGTCCACTCGAACTCGGCCTGGTTAGGGATCAGCTGGTCATGGAACCGCGGCTCGGCCATCGCCTGGCGCATGTCCATGCCGTGCTCGAGCAGGTGCCAGGCCGTCAGCGTGGTGGACGAGATGATCCTGCTCCCGCCCGCGGCGCCCGTGACGAAGAACACGGTCCCGTTGGGGAACTCGGCGATGATGGGCGTGATGGAGCTCATGCACCGCTTCCCCGGGCGGATGAAGTTGGCGGGCGAGGGCGCAAACCCGAAGACGTTGCGGGCGCCGGGGGTGCTGAAGTCGGCCATCTCGTCGTTGAGGATGATGCCGCTCTTGGGCGTCATGATCTGTGCGCCGAACAACAGGTTCACCGTCGTCGTCGATGAGACGGTCAGCCCGGACGCGTCTGCCGTCACGATGTGCGATGTGCCGTGGCTCTCCGCGGCGTACTCGCCGCGGGGGTCGTACTCGTCTATTGGGAGCGTGCTATTGTCGTCGATGCGGTCGTGGATGGACCGAGCATTCTGCTTGCTTAGCAGCGTGTCCTCGAGTGCCTCGATGCCGGGGAGGAAGTCTGGGTCTCCCAGCGCCAGGCGGGCGCCGTAGGCGAAGCGCATGGCCTCAAGGAAGCGGTGGGTTGTCAAATTTGTATCGGCGAGGTCTGCGGTCGGATACTGCTCCATTGTCTTGAGCGTGCTCAGCATGACGGCGCCTGAGCTGGGGGCCCCGGTTGTGTAGAGCTTAAACCCGCGGAAGTCGATGCTGAGGGGCCGTTTGGACAGGGCCTTGTAGGATTTCAGGTCGTCCAGTGTGAGGGTCCCGTTCGTCTCCCGGGTCACCTTGACCATTTCCTCTGCGAGCTCCCCCTCGTAGAAGGCTCTCACCCCATGCCTTCCGATCTTTTCCAGCGTGCTAGATGATGAAGTTAGCAGACAGCATTTTTGTGTCCACGAGCACACACCTACTCTGCGTAGCGTCTCCTTGTTATTACATCTCCAAGTTGAAGAAGAGAACCGTTTGGAGCAAAGTCCTCTGCCCATATCGGATCATCGACCAGGAAATTGCCGTTCGGCCCGTTGATAGCGGCATTCATGTACCGCACCAAGTCCTCGGTGACATTGAATCCGTTGCGTGCCAAGTGTACTGCGGGGTTGACCAGAGCTCGCCATGGCAATGAGCCATACTTGTTGTGCAGGTACTCGAGGCCTCTCAGCTCACTGGGGACGGCCACAGAGAGACCGCCAAAGACCGCCCCTGCCAAGTTTCCTTGGTACATGTCCTCGTACGCGGCGGCTGGCGCAGCTTCTCGGTAGTCTACTGTCTCATAGTTGCCGTGTGCGTCACGGACAAGAGCGAACCCACCACCTCCTATGCCGGAGTGGTACATCCCAATCACGCCGACGCACAGGTTCGTGCCCACCATGGCATCGGCGGCGTTGCCCTACAGATCGTGAGCGTGGGATTCCAGAGAGCAAGATGCAGGGATACAAACGCCGTTCTTCAGCAAATCTATGCCTATCTGTGAGCATATTGTGCTCTCGCTTGCGACTGCTCCATGCGATCCCTGAAGTGGCGCCTGGAAGGGCGACAGGGGCGAAGATGCTGCTGCGTGGTAGAGGGCGATAGTGGATAGCAACTCAAAATGAAAATTCCCTACGTGTTGGTCAGGCACAGAACTTTGAACGCGGGAGCTTCCGGGGCAAGGTGAGTCGGTGGGAAATCTCACCCATGCTTATCAATGTGCGAGCCGGTGCAGCCGCCGAGAAGAGAACCAAGAGACGAAGACGAAGGACCAGGATAACGCCCGATAAGTGCGAGAGACGCTAGAAGTATAGGACATCTATCAAAGAAAAATGGGGAGAAAAAAAGGATGAATTCTAGGAATAATCTATTCAAGGGAATCAATGAATCAGCTCGCCGAGGGATTGTGGACAGCGAGATGACGAGCGCCGGCACGAGACCGGCGTGCTCACGGGGGCGGGATACGGAGACGGAAGTCAGGTTTACATAATGACTGCAAGTGTGCAGCAGCCCGTGTGCAGTGTGCACAAACGCCAGGGACTAGGACCAGGGTGTGGTACATCAGCTTGGCGCTAACCCGATCGGCGGCCACTCCTCGAGCCAATCACGGCGCCCTTGAAAACAATTTCGAAATATCAAGTCCATCTCACTCGCCCTCATCAAGACGGCGCACTGTATCATCAGCATTTCTTTTCGTGTGGTATAAATCCGATAAGAGCTTGAGTATAATCGCATTCTCGTCATCGATGCGTCTCTTCTCATCCAAGTTTGTCAGGACTTTCGCATCATCTGCATACAAGAGGCCTTTCCAGCAAAGACCCGACTTCATCCAGCGACAGCCAAGGATGGCTTCGCCTGTTGCAGAGCCTGGCGCTGAGCCACAAGCAAAGGCGGAGGCCCACAGCAAGACGAACGGCAAGCGACCATTCAAAGGAGGCCAGGATGGTCCAAGGGGCTGGGGCAACAACTCCAAAAAGAAGATGCCCAAGAAGCAGAAACCAGCCAAGGAAGGCTCACACGAGGAAGTCCTCATGCTTGACATCCAAGCTCTCATCGAGGAGACAAGAACGGCGGACGAAGGTGCAGCTACAGAGGCTCCACCTGAGACTCTCCCAGAACAAGGCTCCGAGATCGAGGTCGAGGTCCTCAAGCTCTCCTCCACAGGCGACGGCCTGGCAAGGCAGCCTGGCTCAAAACAGATCTACGTCGTGCCCTTCGCAATACCTGGCGACACCGTCAAGGTAAAAGCGTATCGACACCTCCCCAGGGATGGCTACTCCGTCGCAGACTTCATATCCGTCGTCAAGCCATCACCACTCCGCGACGACAGCAGGATAAAGTGCAAGTACTTCACAAGATGCGGCGGCTGCCAGTTCCAGATGATGGACTACTCAGAGCAGCTGAAGCACAAGAAGACCATCGTGGAGCGCGCCTTCAAGAACTTCTCAGACCTGCCGCCGGAGCTGGTCCCAGCGGTCCAGGACACGTTCAGTAGCCCGCTGCAGTATGGCTACAGGACAAAGCTGACGCCGCACTTTGACGGCCCGCCGGGCTTCCAGGGCAAGAGGCGCGGCGGGCCCAAGGAGAAGAAGGTACTGCAGGAGATGCCGGACATCGGTTTCATGCTCAAGGGCGGGCCGAGGCGGGTCTTGGACATTGAGGACTGCCCGATCGGCACGGACGCCGTGCGCCGCGGCATGGCGCGCGAGCGAGAGCGCATGAGGGCCGAGTACGGGCAGTACGAGCGGGGGGCGACCATCCTGCTGCGCGAGAACACGGCCCGCGTGCCCAAGGGCGAGCCACTACCCGACCCGCTGCCGCAGGACGCCGTCGTGGTCGAGAACGACAGCAGCACCGACATCAAGACGTGCATCACGGACAACAACGCCATGTCGACCGAGTTCATCGGCGACTTCACGTTCACCAACCGCGCGGGCGACTTCTTCCAGAACAACAACTCCATCCTCAAGCCCTTCACAGACCACATCCGCGACCACATCCTGCCGCCGCCCCCAGCTACTACTGCCCCCGACGCCAACGACGGCAAGAAGCCCATCAGGTACCTCATCGACGCCTACTCGGGCTCCGGCCTCTTCACCATCACCCTCTCCACCCTCTTCCCCGGCGGCAGCATCGGCATCGACATCGCCGAGAAGTCGATCGCCTTCGCGCGGCGCAACGCGGCCCTCAACGGGCTCGCGGAGGGCAAGCAGTGCACCTTCATCGCGGCCGACGCGCCCCGGCTCTTCGAGTCCGTCTCCCAGTTCGACCCGGACGAGACGGCGGTCGTGCTCGACCCTCCCCGGAAGGGGTGCGACGAGAGCTTCCTGCGGCAGCTGCTGGGCTTCGCGCCGCGGCGGGTCGTGTATGTCAGCTGTAACGTGCACACGCAGGCGCGGGATGTCGGGGTGCTCGTCCGCGGGGAGGTGGGCGGTTTCATGAAGGGGGCCGCTGGGGGAGGCGGTAGTGGGGAGAACGAGGAGGGCGAGAAGAAGAAGACGAGGTATGAGATTGAGAGCTTGAGGGGGTTTGACTTCTTCCCGCAGACGGGGCATGTTGAGGGCGTGGCGATCCTGAATAGGGTTGACAATTGAGGAGGACTGTCTGGATGGAGCATGATGTCTGCTGGGTCATGGCCATATTGGAGAAGGATATGGGCGTTGCAATCAGGCCGTACGCGAAAAGGGTGTGTGACGAGGTGTATGACCCAGCATTGAATGTCGACATCAATACCAATACAAATTGATACCCTGGTGCTCGAGGCCCATCAAAACACCCAAGACTCTCAATTGATATCATCAGCACCGTGACTGACAACTTCATTCGAATGCTCAATCAAGACCATCCAAACGTTCCTCTATCAGTTGCCTACACAGGTACCGAGTGAAATCACACCGTAGCACTCCTGCATCCTCTAATTTTTGTACATTCCAATATCTAACGCAGCTAAACAAATGTAACTAAACATGGATTGCGCCCACGATGCATTGTGAGATACACAGAGTGAGAAATAAGGGGGTATCACCTGATGCAAGTTTTTCACTATATCCTTTTCCTCCCCATCAATAAGAACACGTACACACGATCTCCCCCAAAATACACTGTCGCGGCTCACCGGACAAAGCGCCCGCCACATGTTCGTCCTTCTTTGCGTTATTGCGCTTCATCTACAGCTTGGGCGTCTTTTGCGGCCTAGTGCTTCGTCATGTTCACCAGCTTGGCCGTCTGCTCGATCCACTTGCGCGCGAACTCGCCCTCGCTGAACCTCCATGCCGACTCCCGGGCGCGCAGGCGCATCTCGAGTGGGTTCTCCACGGTCAGGGCCTTCTCGAAGGCGGCGGCGAAATCGGCGGCAGTGGTGGCGTGGAATCCTAGATCTGTGTCAGCACATTCGTGCCTCGATTTGTTGTCATGGCTGCATGAGCTAGAGCGGCACTCACCTGTAGGCAGCCCGCCCACGTCCTTGACGATGTCAATCTTGGGGCCGCCAGAGTCATGGACCACGCAGATGAGCCCGCTGGCCTGGTACTCGACGACGCCGATTCCAAAGTGCTCGTTCCACATGCCGTTGACACCCACGTGTGACCTACCTAACCAGCCCAGGATGTCGGTCCACGACGCGTCCAGCTGGAAGTCGACCCGGCCGTCGACTCCGAGCTCGCGCAGCAGCAGCCGCAGCTTGTACACGCGTTTCGAGTCCTGGTCGTCGCGGACGCTGCCCACCAGCACCAGCCGCGCGCCCTTCGACGCCTCGCTGCCGCCCTTGATGAACTGTGCAAACGCCTCCAAGATCAGCGGGTGGTTCTTCTCCGGCCGGAACTGCCCGATGTACAGCAGGTTCTTCTGCCGCTTCGCCTCGCTCGCTGCTGACACCTCTACCTCCTCCTCGAGCTCTTCCACGGCGCAGGGCGGGTAGACCGTTGCGATGGGCTCGGTCTTGTGGGCTTCCCTGCGGCCGGGCCCCCAGATCGAGGTGACGTGCGCCTGGGTCCAGCTGGAGTTGGTCATGACCACGTCGATGGTGGCGCCCATCATGGCGTATATCTTTGCGAACAGCTGCCAGTACCTGCGTTTCAACGTGCCCCTGAGACCTTTTCCCTGGCCTGCGTTCACGCCTTGAGAGCCGAGCGGGGAATCCGGGTCGAGCGATTCCAGCATGTCGGTGGATATTGTGGGATAGTGGACGTAGGCACCGGTCGGTACGTTCTTGAATAACCATTTACTCAGGCCCAACGAGAAAGCATACCCCATGGTGTCGATGAAGATGTCTGGGACCAGCAGGGAGAAGGCGTCCCATGCTAGAATCAGAGACCCAAATGACTGGCCGGCAAGGGTCATGCGCGGCCACGTGGATGCTAGGACCCAATGCCTAGTGGACAGATAGAGGAACTGGATGCTCGGTGCGTGCAAGTGCACATTGAATCGGTCCTGCAAGGTGTTAGCTGTTGTGCAAATTAGTCTGGGAATATAGAGGCCTATGTTTCAAGCCGCACCTTCACTCGACCTAGAATCTGCTCCTTTGAAGCTTCGTGGTCGCCAGTGTACACAACAATCTTGGCATTGGGCCACACCTTCTGTGTAGCTCGAATGGCGGCCCAGAGCACCCGCTCACCTCCACCACCAGCATTGCTGCCTCATATTAGCACAGTTTCAGCAGGACAGCTGAGTTTGGAAGCTGGGGGCAGGTACCAGAAAGGATGGAAGAATCCTATGATGCCCGACCACTCCTTGTCTGTCTTGTCGCCCTTGGGCAGCTTGCCCTGTATGGATGCCTCAATCTTCTTCCATATGTCCTTCTTTCCCTTCTCAAACTCCTCTTCCGGATCGTCCCCCGCCTTTCCATTGCTGCGGTAGCTCTTCTCATCCTCGGCCATGACCTCCAGTAGCTGTGCTCTCCGGCCATCTGTCTTGTTCCGCAGGTATGTCCCGCCCACTGACCCGAGGGCCTGCCATATAGCGGGTATTCCGAAAAGGATGAAGAGTGGTATCAAGCCGAGGGGTAGAGCGAGCAGGGCGACACTCGTAGGGCTGAGGCCGAAGGGGCTCCACGAGTCTTGGCCGGAGGGCGCCTTGCAAGATCCGCCTCCGTCCATGGTCGGAAGATGCTTCCGGCCGGTGGGGCCACAGTTGGGTGAAGAGTTGTCAAGGGACCAAATTCAGTTCTTAGTATAATTTCGTGGGTGTCGAGTCGGCGGATAGGCTCGGTGGTGATGTGTCGGGTCGGGCGGAGGGCACGGAGCAGAGGGAGGAAGCTGTGTTACAACAGAGATGACGGCATGGATTATAGAGAGCACTCCATTGAACGCTAGTGACTGGAGACCATAGCAGTGGAGGAGTCTGTATTTCGGTGTCGTCCAGTCTGTCAGTCACAGGCAGAGCTGTGGCCTGCAGGACTTGGGCATTCCAAAAGATGAAGAGGCAGGCAGACCAGAGACGACGAGACCAGAGACACGACACGACGCATGTTCTGGGATGCAAGGGTTGCCGGAGCTGGCCATGATTTACTGCAGGGAGCCTTAGCAGCTGACAGCGGGGCCTTCCCTCGTGGTGGCGCGGGACGGACCCCTGCCCAGCCTACCTAGGTACAGTAATAGCACTCAGGTACTCCGTACCTCGTACTGTTGTTGCGAAACGGTGGCCGTCGGCAGATGCGGTGGGCTGTACGTGCGCACCCAAGTACCCAAGTACCTGCCCGGGGTGCACCGGTGCACCACTGCACCCATCCTTGTCACTTGCATTCGAGCTCTTATCCGTCACCTGGTCGTCGATACAACCAACACATGAACAAATCCATCTTATGGATGAGGACAGCCCACCACATGATCCCGTATTTTGCATGAGCAGTCCTGAGCTCTGAGCTCTCACAATGCAATGTCAGGACACGTGGGCCACCGACTGAGGTTCTCGGCCACGAGAATACGGCCTCACCTTGGCCGACATCTTCAGCATGAGCCTCACATACACCTCCATCCCTTCCCATCCCGAGTACGACTATCTGCTGCCAGTCAGAGGAGGAATTTTGGGGCTGCAGATGCAGTAGGATACCTCCTGAAGGGCTCAGAGCTCCTCATCACCAACGTCCATGAGGTCACAGCAACACCTTGGTTCATCTCACTTCCCCTGGTCGCCGTCGTCGTCAGCGCCGTCATCAGGGTACCCCTGACCCTGTACTCCAACAGCGTGCAGCGCAGGAAGGCAAAACTCTTCCCGCTGGTCCAGGCACAGTATGCCCAGATTGGCCTCGGTCTGCGGCGGAAGGCTGCGTCCAACGTCATGGAGCGGGTCTCCAAGGCAGTCAAGTCGAGAAGCAAGAAGATGTTCAAAGCCCTTGCTATCAACGAGACCAGGTCCATCTGGGGAGGCTTGATCAGTCTGCCCATATTCCTGAGCAATCTCGAGGTCATCAGGACCATGTGCGGAGGGCCACGCGGCCTGTTGGGGAGCTTCTTGTACGGATGGCAAGGTCGAGAGGGCGCTGCCTCGGGCACAGCAACCGCGAGCCCTACAGCAACATCTACGGCGGCCAGTTCTGGACTCGAGTCGCCTGCTGGGGAGCTACCGCCCGGCACAAACATCAGCGATCTTGCGGCCTCCGCGACAAGCCCAGAAACCCTCAACCCGCTCGCCCTGGAGCCCTCGTTCGCGTCAGGAGGCTGTCTGTGGTTCCCGGACCTGCTCGCGCCGGACCCATACCACATCCTCCCCTTCGCCGTCTCGGGATTGCTCCTCATGCACGTGATTCCGCAGACGGAGGCTGAGCTGCGGAGCCTGTTAGGGATGCGGCCCGCAGCCGGGTCGAGCAGAATTGTGATCGACGGGGCAAGGTCGCGGGGTTCGATGGCCCTCCGGCGCCTGCTGGTAGTGATTGCGCTGGCGATCGGGCCGGCTACCATGGACATGCCCGTCGCGCTGCACCTTTACTGGGCGTCGTCTGTTGGATGCAGCTTGGTTGTGATCAAAGGCATCAGGAGGCTCTTTCCTATACCGCGGGTTCCAGTGAAGGCTTGTTCGGGCCTTGAGATTCCCTTGATGCGGCCCAAGCCGAAATGAGCTTGTTGTTGACATCAACGCCATTTTCCGAACAGTAAATACAAAACTTTTGGTGTCCTGCAGCTTTGTTTCAAGGGGCCATAGAGGCGTTGGGGGTGCCCAGCATTCAAAAATCTTGGATAGCATAATGATCAGAAGAGGGAAATCATATTCCTGCTCTTACTTCACAGCCAATAAAGGCCGCTGGATTCTGGACATCTTGCTTATCTTGAGCATTCCGTACAATAACAGCATCAAGTACTTGGGAATCAAGAGTCAAACAGACCAAAGACATTGTAAATGAAAGGCGGAAACCTGACTCCTGTGATAGTATTGGCACCAGCCTTCTTATGTACACACAGTTGTACAACACAAAGGGAAGACTGTCTAATATTCGAAAGTACGCCTCCAACGCCATGGAGTGCTGTGAAAACCCTGCCAGAAAGGACCCAAGCCAACATAGCATTCATCATCGTCGCATCCGCAGCCGCAATCTACCCCAAGACCACGGCCAGCACTATAATCGTAAGAATAACCGCCAGGACAATCAGGAGGCAGCACGCCTTGCTACGGGCGTTCTTCTGATACCGGGCGGCCTGGCGCAGCTCGCGGTCGGCGCCCCGGGTGTCCTCGTGCGTGCGCTCGACGTTCTCGGCGATGCCGCCCAGCTGCTCGCCCTGCTCGGTGACGATCTGCGCGACCTGCTGGAACAGCACGTTGAGGTCGCCGACGCCCTGCTCGATGTTCTGGATCTCCGTCTCGCGCTCGGCGATCAGCGCCTCCTGGAAGTCCACCTCGTCCTGCGGCGCCAGCCGGAGGTCCTGCTGCATCAGCTGCTGCTGCTGCTGCTGCTGGCCCGTCGGGCTCAGCGGCACGTTGTCGCCGCCGCGGCCGCCCTCGTCCTCCTCGTGGGCCGCCGCCCGCGCCGCGGAGACCGACGCCCGCTGCTTCTCGAGGGCCTGGCGCTGCAGGCCCTGGAACTCCTCGAGGCTGGACCGGAACTCGCGGAAGAGCTTCTGCTGCTTGTACTTCTGGGCGGGCGTGAGCTCGTCCCCGCCGTGGTCGTCGCCCCACGTCTGCACCCTCTTGACGCCCTCGCCCACCTCCTTCAGGGTCTCCTGTGACTCGTCGATGAGGTCGCGCACGCGCTCGCGCACGCGGGCCGTGTCGCGGCGGGTGCCCAGGTGCCCGATCTCGGTGCGCAGCCGCGACGTGTTGCCCGACAGGGTGAAGAGCTTGTTCATCATGTCTTGTGACAGCCGGTCGAACTCCGGGTCGTCCGTGTAGGCGGACTGCCGCGGCTGCGACTCCAGCGAGGAGAGCTGGTCGAAGGACATTGTGGTGGTGTGTGGAGAGTTTCTCCTTTCTTTTTTGTGTGCTTCTTTCTTGTGCTGTTGTGTTTTCTTCGGTTGGGTTTATTGGGTCTCGGTCTGGTAGAGGAGGCTGTCTGGATTGTCGCTGGTTGTCTGGGAGAGAGGACCGACATGGATCGACCGAGTTGAGGCTGTGACGTCCCTCCGTTTCGAAACCGGGTGCCTGGGTCCAGGGTTACGTAAGTCATCCTGGCCGGAACGGCAGTCTCAGACGGTCAAATCGGTGACAGCCCCCAAGGAAGCCAATGATCCTACTCGCCTACCCTAGGGTAGGATTTTATAAATACTTTCCTGAAGGTCGTCTGATATATGATTATAGTAAGATGGCTACATTCTGAGCCCCTAAAAAAAGCCATTATGGAGATCGTCTAGCTCACCTCAATCACATGCAACTCTAGCCTGGGGGCAGTACTTCAAATCAGACATTCCATGTAAAAGGTTTCGTGAAAGAGATCATTTCATGGGAGATTATGTTTGACCATGAACTAGGAGACCGCAATTCTGGCCTGAGCGGTTCTGGAGGATCTCAATATGGGGTGCCGCGGTGCCTACCTGTCCACATTGGTTACGGAGGTGTAAAGTTGGCGTATTCTTGAACGCGCCACACCATAATATGACTTTCTAGGTTGTCTTGTTGCTCGGCGCTGTCAAAAGACAGCTCCTGTCCCGCCAGTGGCCGATTCTTCTGGCCGCCGAGGAGATCCAGACCGCTCCCAGGACGACGTGATCGATCACTCCGTCTCGGACTTTTCTTTCCATGCACAGAGACTTGGGCCAGATTCCTGGCCACAATAGTAGAGCCTGACGCGGCAGTGGAGACCTTGAAGAGGAGGACTTAATACGATATTGGTGTGGCCATGTTCCGAGCCTTGCCACAGTAAGTAGTGGATGGAGCCTGATATGGCAGGGGAGGCTTTAGAGATTGGACTGAAGCTGAGGGCGGTAGTCAGGCTTCTGATTTTGAGAAGCCCCATCCTTTCATCAACCAAGCAGCCATAAGCCCAGGCCCTCTGCTAACGTGTTCCGCCAAATCCATCCCAACCGTTGTCGCTCGTCCCCAGAGGTGACGGCCGGAGCCTCTTTGTCGCCCCTTGCCACAACTGTAAGGCATCTCGGCTATATGGTAAAGTGAGGCAACCGCGCCGATGGCCAGGATTCCCCACAGTACCCTGCTCCGGTTTTTCCATCCCCCCCAAAAGTTTGCCTCTACAAGTAGCAGGCAGTCTAAAGTACCAACCCACTGAATGCAAAGCTGTGCCTGGCAGACTTTGCATGGCGTTTCAGGCCGGTTCTCTTCAGCATTCCAAACCGTGCTGCTCGGCATTTTTGAATGGTTCGTCTGACTGATTTAGTGTCAGTGTGAACTTTCTTGTTCCCTGGGGAGGTTGGTGGCTGGGAGGGTGTACCAGATTGGCAGTGTATGTGAGCTCATGTGCTTACTTGCACTCTTGCGGTAGAATTCAGTGTCGAGGATTCGGTGTGGATTGGACACAGTGGCTAAGCTGGATTTTGAATTCATTTAGCGAGGGAAAGTTCATTCTGTGGAGGTCAGGCTGACAAGCGGACTATCTCTCCGTCTACAACTTGTCATCCTGACGAACTAGCTGTTAGACAGTTTTTGAGCCTGAACCTATAGCTGTTCCGGACGAGACTAAATCAAATAGCTCAACATCCGGCAACATCTAAGTACTGATATCAAACTAGTTTCGTTTCTATTCAGTATACCACCGACCCTATATACAGCCCTCATACAGTGGTAAACGCTGAAGATCCAGCGTTGAAAACAAAAAGTAGTGCCAATAACAACAAAACAGTACGACTACGCGGGAATTATCTTATTGAGACAACTCTGGACGTGTTTCACTGAGTTGGTGGCGACATAGGGGCACGCTGCAGTTGGGAAACTTTCAGGATCATGGAGAAAGCACAGAAGAGAAAAGAAGGCATGGTGCCCAGAGAGGTGTGAATGATTCGCGAATGGCTCCACCGACCTAGCTTGTGTAGCTAAGAGACGTTAGGCCAAAGACCGTCTCGTCGTAGCAAGTTTTCGAATTGACCTAATTCTTATACTACTGTCTAGACACTGCTGAATCTCAAGCTACGGGGTTCGGTCTCATCTGAAAGAGCAGGAGGTTCGGGACAAGTAACAATCTACCTACCCAGGTACTTACTTAAGTATTGAGGTTCCTGGCTAGGCCTGTCTAGGTAAATTTGCACTGGTGCGCGACACGTTTTGTCGGTTTTAGGCAGTTTGTCACACGCTCTCCGGGTACAAATTTGTGCCCGCTGCCTGACTTTCCTCAAATAAATTCTTGCTCCGAAATCATCCAACCCGAATCTAAATCAGCAGCTACTGCTACTTTACATTTGATTTTCGACATACAAACTTTGTTCAAAGCCCTAGGCCCAGCTCATATAGTCAAATTTGGTATGTACTCCTCGGTCTACATCGGAGCCCAAACACTGTGAGGACAAGAAAAGTCACATGCTAACCACTCAAGTAGTATTCAATCACAACGGCGTTCCAAAATGCCACCTAACAGGGTGCAGGAGGTCGAGGAGCCCCAGCCCACTAGCCCATGCAGAGTCTGCCGAGCAGAGCAGGGCGTTGAAAGCCTGATCTTCATGTGCACAAATGGGCTCTGGAGACCAGTAATTCGGAGCAGGATCTTTTGGGATCTTATGTTGGTCGGCTCGGCTGTCTTCCTTTACATGATAAGCGACGAGCCTCATCATGGTGGAGAAGGACGGCCAAGATGTCCCGGTCGTCACCTTTGGGGAAGAATGGGAGCGGCCAGGTTGGGGATGGTGGCGCAGAGAATTGAAGATGGGTCTCGGAACGTGGCTGCTTGGTTCCGGTAAAGATGCGAATTATCACAATTCCGTGGTAGCACGCCAAAGATGGAGACGGATGGCAATGACGAACGCTGCGACGTGGAATTATTTGAGAGTCACAGTTAATCCGCCTTGAAACGCAACATTGAAGATCAAGGGACCAGCATATCAAGGAGATTCTGTCTACTAATAGGGTTTTGCGATTTCGAGTCCGCTTCTTAACATGGGAGGGAACACCTTGGAAGTGAAGTCCATGGGTGGTGGAAATCGAAGTTTGGATTCAATACATGTGTAAATACCACCACCGTGAGGTTCTGTCAGCAGGCTATGATCACAGTTTTTTTGGACAATAAAAATGTCATCAACTAGGGCAATGAAATCTTACCAATGATGAGCAATTAAAAAGAAATTTGACACTATACCCAAGAGTATTACGAAACGTATGGCTGTCAAAGTCCTTCATCCTGATGTTGAAAGCTGTGTACATAAGTACTGCGGCTAGCGCATCGTGAGTGGCGTTGTATCCAGATGATGAAGCAACTTTGGAGGCAGTCGGTGCTGACGGGTGAGAGCCGTTGTGGTCCCTCATCCTCCTGCCCCTCACCTCCGGTGACCCAACTCCTTACCCACAAACACCCTATCACCCATCCTGTTGTTCCCTGTGCTCCTATAGTATAACCTCCCATAAGATAGATAGCCTCCTATAGGATAACCTCCTATAGGATAAACTCCCATAGGATTACCTCCCATAGGATATCCTCCCATAGGACTACCTCTCATTGTAAAACCTCCCACAGGATATCCTCCCATAGAATAATCTCCTATAGTCCTATAGGATAACCTCCTATAGGATAACCTCCCATAGGATAACCTCCCATAGGATAACCTCCCATAGGATAACCTCCCATAGGATAACCTCCCATAGGATAACTTCCTATAGGACAACGTCTCATATGATAACCTCCTCTAGGATGACCGCCTATGAGATAACAGGATAGCCTCTACAGGATGCCCTACCACAGGATAACCTCCTACAAGTTAATAGGATAGCCTCCACAGGATAGCCTCTTGTAGGGCAACATCTTAGTAGTTAACCTCCTCTAGGGTGACTCTGGATGAGAGAGCCTTAATTGGATGACCTCTTATGAGATGACCTGATATAGAACAGCCTTAGGTGCTCCTGTAAAATTCTTCCTGTTGGAAACACTCCTTTGATGGAACAAGAGAAATTCAATAAGCCAGAGAAGCTGCACAATGATTTTGGGGACAGGTTATGTTGTGGTTATGTGAGTGTTACCGTGCTAGGGCGTGTGACAAGGGTGTCGTTGGTTAGCTGGCTGCGGGATTGCTGGCCCCTGCACGAGTAGGTACCCAGGTACCTCTATTTTCTGCCCCATGCATTCAAGCTTGCTCGACCTTTGTTTTGATTCCGACCATCGATTCATTTTCGCCGCCAACCACTCAACCGCCCACCGACCGACCACCCATGCTGCCCGACAGCCAAGATGGCTTCAGTCAGGCGGGCTCCATATAAGGATTTCCTCCAGCCCGCGCTGCATCGACGTTTCACTAGCACTGCCACCCTCCTCTTAGCCATTGCCTTTGTCGAGGCTGTCGTCCTTGCCCGCTGGGACTCGCGTCAGTTCTGTCTTGTACTCAGTATTACACCCCGCTGGGTTCAATTTGCTAACCTTGTGCATACCGTACAGCCTTCTGGGCAGTTTTCCCCGTCGGTCCAACGGGCATCCGAGCCTTCTTCATCTTCCTCTGCGGCCTCGCAATTCTCGTCCTCCGAATCGCACAATACCACATCGGCCTCCGTACGTCCAACTCGGGCCTGCAGACCTTCTTCAGATACGCCGTGACCCCCCAGACACTCGAAGCAATCGTCTCGTACACACTTTCGGCATGGCTCTTCAGCCAGATCTACCTGTGGTCGGCGACAGAGGATCTAGCATGGGTGTCAATCCAGCCTGGCGTGGGCGGCAGGGTGCGGCTGAACGAGAAGCCCATCTTCTTCACTGTTCACTTTCTGGTCCTGGGTGTCGTGCACGGCGCTTTGCACATCTCCCGCGATGAGGATCGGTTGCGTCTCAACGCAGCAAGGCTGAAGGCCAAAGACGCGGCCCCCGCGGAAGCACCACGGCCCTGGTCAAAACGGCTGATGAGTGAGGTGCCCCTCCTGGCTCATCGCGCTCTCGTCCAGACTCTGTCTGTGCTCGTATTCAACATATTCTTCTACCATGCGGTTCTGCGCAGCCTGGCTTGGCGGGTTGCATTGATCATCTTCCGTCCTTTCTACACGATGCCGAAGACGAACCTGGCTCCGACAACACATGGCGGCATGAGCTTCCCGCTCTGGGTTAAATGCTCGGGCGCTAGCTTTATGTTATTATTCCTGTGGCTGGCGGGCAACAGGATGTTCTCAATGTTCCTCGTTAGGCCCCCGCTGAAGAACGGAAACCCCCTCACGTCGGAGTCGAAGGACCAAAATGGAAGTCTTTTGAATGGATTGAAAAGCAAGAAGCTCCCAATCAAGGTCAGTCCCCCAGCTTCATAACATCTCTCCTTCACAACTGACTTTGCCTAGTGTTTCGCGACGTGGGAGCTCGCACTCATCGCCAGGGACTTCCAACCACGGCGCCACGCTATCTACCAGGACATTGACAGGGCAGATGGCCCGATGTGGTCGCAAGTATACGCGCTCTGTCTTCAGGTTGTGAAAGACATGGAGTCAAGGATTGACGGGCACAACCAGGCCGCTGCTGCCGCCAGAGAAGCTGCCGCGAAAGCGAACAGCAACGCACAGGCAGTGGTCCAGACGCCCACCAAGACCTTCCGAGCCGAAATGGGGGATATGCTCCAAAAGAAGGTTGTCGAGCCCGGGCAGCCCTCGCGGCTTAGCCCGCTGGTGAAGAAGGGGGTAGCTCACGCCAAAGACTACGTGGATGATATTGCCCGGCAGGCGACCGGTACAGACGCTGCGGATAACCCCTACAAGCACTGGACCAGGCTGATCCTGGACTCGCCACTTGGCCAACCCTTCAAGCAGGGATTCTCCCGCAGAATCACAACCGTTGTGCTCGGAGAACCATATGGAGAGCCGGCACTCGTGATCAATGCCGTATCGGCACTGACGCGGCTAGCCGTGTCCAGCCTGGCAGAGGATAGCTATGGAAACGTGCAGCGGGATGTCTCCACCATCATCCGGACGTTCACGAGTGTCAAGACGAAGCTGGAGGCGTTCAAGGCCGACTTCCCCCTGCACTGGACCGACCAGGACGCAGCGAGGGAGTGTGCGGAAGTCGAGGCGATCCTGGAGACGCTGAAGGAGGGACTGGTTCAGCTGATCGTGGCGTTCGGCCCATATGCGAGGGATCTCAGGCTGACATTTGCGGACGTGAGACAAGCACGGGAGGCGGCTGGGCTGCCGGCCAGAGAAGGTGCTGCTCCTACAAGAGCTGAGGGGCGGCCGGAAATGCGGCAGGTTCGGTGAGCATATTAGGATGGGGATGGAAATCAAAATGTGGCCGGGCCTGTGTACATGTACGGTGGCTGTGCGGTTTATACCCGAGCGTTGTCGCTCACACTGCAGAACTCAACAGAACAGACACTGTTGTTTATGCGCGCTAGATTCTCAAGCTGTTCCTTGAGTGCGCGGATTGTTGCTTCGGCTTTTCGAAGCGAAGCGCAAGATTAGCCCCGGGTGCTCAGGGGTAATGGGGCATGCATCCGTCGATATTCGTTCAATGCTGGCTGGGTAGCACCAGCCCTGACCAGTTCAAATGACCGAGGCCTAGGATAGTCAAGACTAATAAGCCATGGATCGATCATAGATGCTTTGCTGTATTGGAAACGGAGATGGCTTGCGGCAGATGCACGGAAAGCGGGAGGGCTGGTGCTCATGACCGTTTAATTGGCTGTGGGGCTGGTTCGCACGGCAGCACTCGACTGCCTGGTCGCCTCGTATTGGCGTGCTTAGCTAGTCCAACCTCTCTCCCATTAGGCCTCGACGCCTTCTCTCTTCTTTCCCAAATGTTCTTCCTTCTTTGTGATCCACCCTTCCTTCACCCGCTGCCATCGTCATCTCTAGCTCGGCCCCAATGCTAGACAGCGAACCCCTGGGCACCAGCTCGCCATAGCATCCATCATGATATCGGCATCATCATTCTCGAGGTCTTCGATTGCGCGGCAGTTGGCCATCCGACCAGTACCGCCGAGGGACTCGTCGAATAGATAATAAGACCAGTACCACAGCCAACAGCTACGAACCAGAACCTTGGTCTGCGACAGACTGCAATCCAAACTCGAGGCTCGGAGGCGCAAACACCATGTCAGCGCTGCACATCATCTTCCGCGTCATCTACGACTCATTCTACGTCTTCCTGTCCCTGATCGTCCTGCTGCTGCTCCTTGTCACGCCAGCCGACAATGTGCGCCTCGCCCTGCAAAACGGCCAGAACCTCCACGTCCTGACCACCGTCGTCTGCCTTTCCGCCACGCTGCTTTTCGTCGTCCTGCTCTATTTCGCCCGCCTCTATGTCAACCGAACCGCGCTCGCCAACATACCCAAGCCGTGGATCCCCATCGGCAGGGGCGAGGTCAAGAAGAGTGTGCGCAAGATGATTGTTGCTGGCCTGAGCAGGAGTGCCGCTATTGCCTACGAGTCGAAGCCAAGGGTCGCACCCGCGAGACCGCCCACTGCGATGACGGATCCCGAGCAGGGAGAGGACGAGCACACACGCGAGGAGGGAAAGGGAAGGAAATCCACACTTGGGGTTTTCAGGCTCAAGAAGGCCCCGACCGTGGAGGACAAGATGGGCATCACCCTCCCGCCGCACCGGGCAGTCTGGGGCGAGATCGAGCACTACGGCTGGTCCTCGCCCAACTCGTTTGACCTGCCGAACCTGCAGTACAGCACCGTCATATCCGAGCTTCCAAACCTGATCGAGGCCAAGGCCCTGACCCTGGCACCCCCGGCGCCGGGGCCGGGACCAGACAGCGCAGCCGACCCGCCCGCACTGGACCCGGAGGCGATCGGCCTGCTGCAGCGGCCCGACAACCTGGCCCTGCGGCAGTACCTCACCCAGCTGGCCGAGCTGGGCGTCCTGGCGCCCTCGCGCACCACGGCCGACTTCCTGTCCGCGTACGAGTATGCGCGCTACTCGACGCGGCCCATCTCCAACGCCCGCTTCCGCGAGCTGATGCACCTCTTTGCCGAGCTGCTGCGCTCCATGCAGCCGCTCGACCCGGCCGTCCTCGTGGCCCTGGACGACGGCGGCTACTCGGAGGACGACAGCGACATTGACGACGACGCGCCCCGCCGCAGCCCCCCGAGCACCCCGCGCAGCAGGCACTCCGTCCTCAGCCGCCAGCGCAGCACGGCGTCGCGCGCCTCCACCGCCACGACCGGCAGCGGCGGCTCGTACATCCGCAGGAAGCCTGGCCAGAACCCGACAAGGCCGCAGGTGGCGGGGCGCGTCTCCTCCGGGGGCACGTGGGGCGGCGCGCCGACGTACCGCACCGCGCCGACGACGCCCAAGACGCAAAGGACCGCCGCGTCGCCGTCTTCGACCTCCAGCAGCGCCAACAGCTTCGCGCAGACCAGGCGGCCGTATATCGGGGGCAGCGGCTCCGTCTCGACGTCGAGCATCGCGTCCGCGTCCGTGGTGGCGCGGTCGCGCTCCGGCCGGTCGTCTGTTGCCAGTGGTGGCAGCGCCGGGTCCGTCGTCATCCGGCTGGCTGGGCGGGGTGATGGGGATGGAAGTGGGTTGCCTTATGTGCTTTCGCTTGGGGGCGATTTTGACCGCTAGGGTTAAACGAACCGGCAGGAGAAAGAGAGAAGGAGTGGGAAAGAGCATGTCTTCCCGACACTTTATTCCAGCATCTCGTGTTGGCGTCGAGGAACATCAAATCCCGACTTCGCCCAGGCTCTCGCACCGATGAGCTGGGCCGGATTTGGACTATTTATTGCATAATGCTAATGTCTTTTGAATCATTGCCTGTCCTCGATTCTGTCGGCGTTCACTTGCTCGGCTTGCCGCCGATCGCGACCCACAAACTCAGGGGAATGGCCCTCGTTGCAGATGAGACGCTAGGTGGACCTGGTGCCACGCTGCAGGACTGAATCTGAACGTGCCTAAATCGAGGTGAGCGTCCTGTCACCTGCGGGGGCTAAATCGTCAAATCATGAGTGTGGAAATTCGTATGACAGGGTTCATCGAGCTGTTTTGGCCCGTTCCCCACTGCCTGCTTGCCACCCTTGTTCCTGATACCTCTTCGAGATGTTCTAATTATGCCGGAGAGTGTGTCGCTGCGGTACTGTTTCAGTCCTCTCTGCGTCCATTGGCGCCAGCCTCTGCTTGAAACCCACCGACGTTCACCAGCTTGCTTTCTACTCCCTACTTATTCTTGGCCGGAATCTCTCCCCGTTACATTCCATTCCATTCTTACCTCAGGAGCCCTTGCCCGACTTCATCTGCCCTAACAAGATCAAAAAGAGGAAAAGAACCCGGAGAGATTTTGGGGTGACAAACGTGCGGAAAGAGTCCACGGGTGATAAGAGAAAGGGAAGCAAGAAGGCCGCTTCTGAAGATGAGACCATAGTTTCATGAAAGAGGCTCATGAGAGAAAAACCATGAACTGACCCACAACTCGCCGCCAGCCCGGCATGCTTACCAGTTCAAGATGCTCACCAATCCCGCTGCCACCACAGGAAACACATCGACGATCCGATAGCAGCAACAACAGGGTGAGCCTGTGTGTATCGCGCTGTAACGTCGTGACATCGGATCAGTCGTTTTAGCCCACGCCCGGCGTCCAGAATTCCATGCCTTGGTCATGAGACTGGCTAGCCACTTGCTTGGCCTTGGTGAAACTCCTCATCAATGGGAGCCAGCTGGGTCAGGATGATCAGAGTCCTTTTGCATGAGAGTGTTAGCACAAGAAGGACCGTTGGTCAGGGTATAGGAGTAGGTACGTATACATGTATTGGCTACCTTTCATCGGTGGCTGGAGCCATGAAACTGTTGACCAACACCATTCAGGTCTGTGTCGGCTCTGTTATGCGTAGTACCACCACCCTGGGCCTGGGCCTGGGCCCCGGCCTGGGCTTCGTGGCTCTGCTGCTGTGCTGTGACGATGTATTGGTTGGGGAAGTGAAGGTCGACAGCCTGGATCATCGCGTTGACCCTATTGGCCCTGCTCTGCCTACTTTCCCTGCCCGGGACGAAGGTGTTTCCCTGGTGGGTTGTGGTCCAGGGATAGGACTGCGTTTGGCCCTGAGTATGGCTACTGGTGCCGCTGTGGTTTGTCATCAGTATCAATTGAATTTCGACATGGCTGTGGCGCAAGGGAACGTACTTGGACATATCCAGGGTGTGGAGAGCAAGTCTATTTGACCTGTGGTGAGCCTCGGGAGAGGTATATATCTTTGATAATGCTTTTGTAGCGATACAATCGACGAAAGAGACGAGAGGGATAAAGCCGGTGGTGGAAGAGGGCACGATGCACGTTCGGATGAGCGCCTGGGACAGGTAAATAGTATATAATAGGAAAGGAGCAGAACGTGCACATCGAATGACTTATACCGACTGATGCTGAACGTGTTCTGGACATCTTGGAAGACAACGACTCAGGCTTTATAGGAATCTTCCTGCTGAGCAGACTGTGCTATGTCACTGCCGCAAGTTGGTGTAGACGTACAAGTCCCAGAGTCCAGCTTATTGTCAATGACTGCCTGGCGGACTGGTGGCCTTACGACACATAGCCAACACCATGGGGGGGGGGGGGTTGTGGCATTCACTTCGGCCAAACACTCCGGCCAATGAAGCTCCTGTGGTCAGCTTCTTTACTTACAATTTTCATAGCCTCATGCATGGGTGTTTGTGGGGGTGGAGGGACAGCCACCGCCGACACTCAATCGCCCTGCGACTTCAGGATGCCCACAATGCAGCTTGTGAGACAATTTGCAGGGCCTGCCAGGTCGCGGACCACAGCGGTATCGGCGCTGCTTCAAGCTGAACAATCTGTACGGAGTACCTCCCTCGATAGGTGCTCTCAGGTACTATGTCAGCGTGGGTGCCATTAGCAGCGCTAACCACGGGCCTGGAGCTGCAGTGCAACCTGGGAGTGCCATTGTGGCTCCAAACACTGAGGTCGTCAAAGTGCTTGCCAAGCTCTGACGGGCAGGATATCAGCCCATCCATTCGTGGATCCTGAATAGGTGAGTTGGCCCTGGTAATGGGCCCCCCCTTGGGAGTCGGAGACTGAGAAGGCTGGCGTCGAGGTTACCTAAAAGTTGAGGCAGTGCCACGTTCTGACCAGCTGAGGAGGGACGGGGCTGGAGGGTGGGAAAGACCAGGGTGGTTGGTGCTGGCACGATAGCAACTTGTTCACGCCCGGGCGCCAGACACGGCGACATGAACGAGACGGACGAGGATTGGGGGCGGGGTGATTTTGCGGCTCCGAAGAAAATGTGGTGGGAGGGGCGGCAGAGCGGTTGACTACTATGGTGTCTGTGTACTCCGTACCTACTTAAGTACCTAGGTCTTGCATCTTCTCAAGCGACCTGCAGTGTTCAGCACAGAGCTTCAGGTTGCCCAGGAATAATCTCACCCAAGTTCGGGTCCGACTTGAAATCCACCTGAGGCATACCTGCTGCATGTTCTTTTGCGTTGTAATCTGTCCCCAGATGGGGACTTTCTCGGGGTTAATACTCGTCGATGCTTTCCTCAGAGCGAGGCAATAGTTGTGTCATCAGCCTTCAACGTGGCAGTCGAGGTTGGCTTACTCTCTCCGAGTTTCATGTTCTATACATAGGGCAGGTGCTGTAGATTTATGAGCAGAAATAACGCGAGCAAGCACTGGCAGTTGTGGTTGGCTTATTACCCTAGTTAACTTTCAATCTTTTTGTAGGGCGGGGTGATGCAGCTGTCATGGGTGGTAGGGCAAGCTGCCTGTGAATCAGCTGCAGATGTGACTGCTGTTTGCATCGGATGTCAGAGTGGCCCGAAACAACCCATACCTCATGTCTCCCTGAGCCGGGGTCACGGGTATTTCCTCCATAATCTGTGAATACTTAAGTATGTTTCCTCTCCTCACAGGAGTAGCGAAACCGAGCCACACCTGAGCAAATCAAGGCAGCCACTACATGGGACCACTTGAATCGAGTATATGGAGACAATCTTGATGCTGCGAGGAAGACATCGGTGTACGCAGCGTCGAGTGAGATTGCCACCACAAAGTGATCAGCCGAGCTGGACCGCCGTGAGCTTACAGCTACGAGCAGTTCAGCGCGCTCTGATATGCAACAGCGATTGCCTAATGACCCGGGGGAGTCGCAGGGTGGCAATTTATACGTGGGCTTATGTAAAATGGCTTTGGTCAACAACTGGTGCTCGATGATGGGTCCACGACAAAAGGATGCATCCTGCTCGAGGATGTTCGTCCCGTGCCGCACCATCCACTTTACTGCAGGGAGCCACTATGCCATCTCGCCGTGAAGATACTGTGCCTAGATTTGTGAAAGGCGAACCCGGATTCCTCCACAGGCCGGAGAGTGCCCATGGCATTTACCTTCCCCGGCTTCAATGTTGTTCCCGCCCTGTAACCGCCGCTGCTGTGCCGCTTCTCTGCTGCTTCTTCTGCTTCTGTTGCTATTCTGCTTTTAGTCAAGAACGGTGTCACAAACATCGCTACTTGCATAATACAGCAGTGTTAATCGCAATTCAATCTTTAGGTCCCCGGGTGTCCATAAACCATAGATCAACATCAAGCCATTACCTCTTAATAAACAGTATCACTAACTAACCTGTGCGTCGACCAGTTCAGCGATGAAACTTCTTCCACGGGGGTAGATTATTGAGCACTCAGCACATGCAAGAGGTCTCGTAGAGTCTACACAAGTGAAACTGGTGATAATGTCTGCCTCGGTAATCATTTTGCGTAGCTCAGATGCCCAATTTATAAAAGGGGTTGAGGGTTCTCCAGGGTCGAATACTGATGAGCGTGCCGTTTACTTAAATACCTAGGTATGTCGCGTCCGACTTGCTGTGAGTTGGCGGGGGATGTCACTTGCGTGCCGATGCAGACCTGCCGTGAAATCGGCCCCTTGAGTGCAAATCTGCAATAGCCTCGAATACCTGAATATGGAGTTTATAGTTGCGCTGCATATTGGGTAAAAGAAATGATACAGATCGGGCACCACGACACTACCTAGGTATCAGGGATCAGAAAGTCATCTGGAAGCAAGAGTGCACACGGGTGAGCCGTCCCGTGCTGGACGTGAAACTCGCCCAGCTGCGCCCGGCCTAAGGTTCTTCACTATTGTGATGAAGATGCGCCCGCGAGAAATCAATGTCGACAGGCGGATAATAGAGAAAAGGGAATGAGTGTCGCTGCGTTGTGCTAAACGGAATCCCCGATAGCATGTCACATAATCAGCATCCCTATAAAGTACATCACCACCAAACCAGTAATACCCTACAACCAATAATAATATTAACCTCTATTCCCTTCTCCTCCTCTAACTTTAAACTATTATAACTTTATAAAAAAAAATTTTATATTATTAAATTAAGTATAATAAACTTATTTAAAGTTAAAGAATAATATATTTATATTACTTTATATAAAATTTATAATAAAAAGAAGTTACTTAATATAATTATTTAGAAATTTAAAATTAATTAAAGTACTTTAAATAATTAATTTTATAATACCTAAATATATTAGAAAGCCTATAAAGGTAAGTAAAAGCTTTTAATAAGGTTAGAACTATTAATTATATAATAAATTTTTATAAAGAATTTATTAATTACTTTTAATTAAAAGTTAAGTTAAGGTATTTATTAATAACCTTTATTAGTTTATAGGTAGTAATAGAGTTATTGAGTATTATTAGGTTAATTACTTTATTTAATAGTATTTATATATATAAATAAAGGTTAATATACCTTTTAAAGTTAAGAAAACTATTAATAATATAAAAATTATATTAAAAGTTTTTAAATTTTTAAATTATATAATAATAATTAAGAAAGTTAAAACTTATAATATTATTAATATTAATAAAATTAATATATTTAAATAAAAGATTTAATATTATTAAGTATTTAAAATAATTAAATTCTTTATAATAACTTTCTTTAATATTACTTTTAATAATTAATTTATATATATTAAAGCTATTATTAATAATAAGTAATAACTAATCTTTATAATAGTTTTTAAAAGGTAAGAACCTTTAAGATTAATAGTTTTTAAGGAAATATTTAATTAATAATATATAAAGAGTATTAATAAGTAATTTATAGTTTTAATCTTTTATAAATAGTTTATTAAAGTCTATTTATATAAAACTATACTTAACAAAAAGTTTAAATAATATTTATTAATATTAAATAGATTTTTAACTTATATATTAACTTTAATAATAGTTAAAGCTTAATACTATTAAGTTTTCCTTCTTTATTTACCCTTTTATGTATTATATCTTTTATAACTTTATAATAAAGATCTATTTTTATTATTAAAAATATTTTTATAAAGAGTATATTAAAGTTTTATTTATATTTAATATAATATTTATTAATAAATAATTTATAATTAATTATTATAAATAGACTTTTAATAAGGCTTTTTATAAAAAATATTCTAAATAACTTTTAACTATTAGAATAATTCCATATAATCCTTAAAAATCCTTTATTATCTTTAATTACTTAATAATATAAAGAAGAATTTATAAGTTAAAAAAGATTAATAATATTATAATTATATTTTAAAATATATATTAATATATATATTTAAACTTTTAAAAATAATAAACTTAATTATAATAATAAATTAATTAATTAAAGGTATTAATTAAGTTTAAAAAAGTTTAAACTATAATATATAAGGTAGGTAAAGTATTAAACTTCTTTTAATAAAATTATTACTTTAAAAAAGGAGAATACTTATTTAAATATATTAGTTAAAAAACTTAAACCTTATAAATATTAATATATTTAAAGGGATTTAAATTAGGTATTTATTAAAGTATATAGGGAGCTTAATAACTTAAATAATATAAATTTATTAAAATATTAATCTATATATAACTAATAGGTAAAGATAAAGAAAATTAGTAATATTATATTAATATATTATAAAAATAAACTTTAAGGTTAAATTAATTTTTAAATTAAGTTTATAGTATATAAATTAAATATATAAGCCTTATTTAAAGTTTAATAGTTGTGATTAAAAGTTTTATTAGTTGTAGGGTGTTACCGGCTTGGCGGTAACGTACTCTATACCGTCCCACCTCATCCTGTTGAGATCACCAGCACCAATATCACATCAATCACACCAGGCTGTGGCATCTCTGGCCACACTTCTGCTTCTTCTTGCCTGGCCGTTCCACCGTGAAAGGGGAAAGGGAGAAGGTGCGGTTCAAGTCCGTCTAGCAGAATGAACAGCACGGCGCCTAAATTGGGCACAGATTGATATGCAAGGTATCAATCTCGTTCGAGACAATCCTCACGTCATCACCGTGCAAGGGTATTTACATACAACAAGATCCGAGGTTGCTGAAATGGGTTTCTCGATCCTAAAAGAATGATCAACTAGATTCTGCAGCTCATTCTCATGCTAAATTCATTCCACCGTTGAGAAGGTCCATGAGCTTTCCCAATTGTATAGCTCGCCCGGTTCGAGAATTTCCTCATCGACACGGCCCCATTCAGGACTGTATCGTTACATTAGTACATTGCCTCTACCTTCAGGATACTGTGCCTTGGACTCAAGGGCTGCCCAGAATGTGTGCCGGCACACTGTCTCGAATTGTGTCAAACTTACTGATTTATCCCATCGACGTAGTCCTGTGCCTCAACAGCGAGGCAGCTGCCACTTGTGACTGTTGACCTTCCCGGAAGTCCTTGGGTGCTGTTCTTCAACGGCGCAGTCCCATCGCTCCACCAGCAGCTGTATAGCTGAACACCGGGCTGGTTCGTGCGGAGCTCGGCCTTGACACCACTATACTTTGAGGCGAGGGTCACAACCGCGGCGCCTCTGGGCGCAGACTCAAACAGCCAGTAGCCATTGTACCCGTTGCAGCCGCTGCCGCAGTTATTCTTGAAGCTGGCGTCCGAGGCGGCATGTCCAATCGTGATATTTTTCGCGGACGCGAAATCATTCACGGATCCAGGGGCTGCGGTCAGAATCTTCCCAGTGGGCAGGGCTCCGCCGTCGATCTCGAGGTAGCGCTTGGAGTACGGCATGGACAGGGTGTAGTTCCATATCGATGGCGTTTCCGGGTCCTTGTAGGCGTCGAGGTTGAAATAGGTGTGGTGCGTGAGCATCACGGGGGTTTTACCCGTCAGCGACTTGGCCGACATCTTTATGTCCAACTTATTAGGTTTGACGGTGTAGGTCACGCTTGCTTTGACGTCGCCGATCATGTTGAGCGAGGTGTTGGACTTGTCCAGGATCGAGAAGGTGATGCTCTCGTCGGAGACGTCGGTCACGTCCCAGAAGCGCCAAGACCAGTTGTTGTTCCCGCTGTGTAGAGTATTGCTCCCGTCATTCTTCTCGGTGTGGTAAGTCACATTGTCAATGGAGTACTGGGCGTGTCCAATGCGATTGACATATCGGCCAGGTATGGAGTTGTAGACCGGGTGGCTTGGGTCCTTGGCTAGATGGAGATCAGAAAATGGCACATAGACGCTTCTTGGGCAGGGGGTGTCATGCGGTAAAAGTTTATGTCATCATATCCAAGAACAATATCGACATCCTTTCCGTGTTTATCCTTGACCCACAGATTGGTAATCGAGGCACCATAAGTGATAAACTAGTAATTTCTCAATAATCGCCAGTTTTATGATGATTAGTTTTAGTACTTCTAGTCACTCACCTTTGCCTTTATGTTAGTCGCCTCTAGAGTGTACTGCTTGTCCTCGGCATTACGACGCAATCCCGCGAGGGCTGTAGTCGTCCAGGCTAGAACAGCAGTAGCAGAGCATCGCATCTTGCGTATCCTTGATTAAAGTTGAAAGTCAGGAAGGAATATCACTGAAATAACAATGAACTGTTTCCATAGAACCAGGCTTTCACGGATATATAAGTAGATATCTATCGGGCCTACGGTGTCATTTATGCTCCAATCAAGGTAACATTTGAAGCCAAGTCGGGCGAGAGGGGAATTGCGGAGATTGGTAGCCCGTTTCCATTTAAACAAGGCTCCGAGCGGAGCTTAATTGGTTGCATTTACCGCGGTCCATACTCTGTGTAATTAAAAAAATGTCATGCTTTGGAAGATTGCAAGGTAATAGGATCTTGAAGCGGCATAACGGGTATTTACTGATCACTCCTGCTGCACTATAAACTGTGACCTACAGACGAGCCTAGTGGTGCACTAGTAACCTGCACATCGTTTAGGCTTTTCACGTGAATTGAAAGGTGGCGTGGATAATCACATACATGGTTACAATACAGCCGCACTTCAAAACGCGGGCAAGTCCCCTCACTTACACTTTTGCTTTTTGGATTTAGTCCGGTCCAGTATTGGATCACCTACGTCACCGAGAGGGATTGTATGTGATGGAATGGTGCTGTATGAGACTTGCAGAAGCTTCCGCGGCTTAAAGCAACCGGGTCTGATGAAGAAGAGGATGTCTTGAGTCATATCGCATCTAGGTACGATTACCCTATTGCACTCGCAGGGAGTCACAAATGAAGTGAGTATGAGTCTTAAGAATGAAGAACGATATTCAATGATCAATGGACTGGCTTTAGAGATCGTCATGGACTGTAATCTGCGGACCTAATACGAACCCTTCCCCAAGACAACCTTGCTGTCGCCCCATTAGGCCGCTGGCGCACTTCTGCCCAGGTGAGGACGAAATCATGGGCCATGTTGGTAGGGTAATAGTCTTTGACTACTTGTTGCAATCGTTGAACAATTCATACCAAAAACGGGGTTTAAAATGCATTTAATGCCTTGGTACACACATTCATCAACAAGGACGTCTTTTTAAGAAACCGCCTGGAAAGGAGCAGGGGAATTCTGGCTCTTACCAAGATTTCTTTGCTCCTCTTCTTTCAAAGACCCGCGCAAATTCCTACTCGTGTACTTCAATATTTCTCAATCTAGCAAGTACTAAATTGATGTGAACTATTACTGCTCGACGACGTTTAGAAATATAAACCCCCCCCCCCTCAATTTAGTGCTGCAAGACTTCCAAACATCGCCACGAACGTGGGATGCATACCGAGGTCACCGGCCGCCTTAGCCCATTCCACCAGCCCAACTTCCCGTTTGTTTTCTCCTTGCTTTGTACGCTCTGACTGCTGCACATCTGTATTGCCCTCTAACATCTGCTCCGGATCTCTGTCACTGTCAGCCTGTGTCTTTAACCATTCACGCAAGGCCATCGTCGAAATTTGGACGCCACTAAGGAGGTGCAAAACCCGGAAACTCTTGTTCCTGCCCGCTATCCCGGCGCCTCCTGTTGACTGAGGCTTTCCGTGTACTTGACCATTTTGTATTGGAATGTCTGCATTTCCCTTCGGAACAATGTCTTCTAGAATGGCGTTCATGATATCCTCAACAACTGTCCGTAAGGGAACTATATCCCAACCCCCACGGATGACATCTAGGTTCGGCTTCATGCCAAGTCTCTGGGATGACGAAACTCGGACGATGGACGGCCATGCGCCAGTCTGGATGGCACGCGCTTAGACGCTCGAGAAAGACCTCGCTGGCCCACTTGGATGCTGCGTAGTTGTAGCCAAGTGAGGCATCTGAATCTGCCAAGACCACGGGCAAGCTGTTCTGGCTGGTATGACAAGAGCGGAGATGACGAAAAGCATAGGTACAGGTACAAATATGCCTTGCCAACAGTCGACCGTCCAACCATCCTTCTACATTCTGTTAGGCGTCTTTGGTCAAAGTTGGGCGAGATCAGGCAACCAACCCACTACCCCACTGCAAACAACTCTTGGTACCTAGGTACCTTGAGCTGGACCACAAATCCACCTAATCACTCAGAACCCACGACTTAATTGTTGGATGAAGAACACGAGGAGGTACATCACAGGCTTTCTGGTTGCTGCACCAACCAAGAGCAAGTGCGACCGGCCAAAGTTCCAAGGTTCCCTCGAGCCTCCTGCTCTGTGCAAGATGCTCAGATTCCTATTCTTTCGGGGAGCACAGCAACCTGGGCCACGGGTGTCGTCTCCATGCTTCATAGGTCTTTGGTGCAGTCTTCAGCACACCCTGCCCTGGCCATGGCCCCAATCTTTTCTCTCTCCACCTGTGGGCATCGAGTGGCGACATTAACACATGCCACCTACCATGTTGGCCCGCACTTGGAGACAATCGTCAAGTCAAGTGCTGGTCAAAACTCAGCCAACCTTCACGATGCCTTCAAACCTACCGTTCTCCTCTCAGTCGGTCAGCGTTCGACAAACGACTCCCTACGTCAAGATATCGAGACCTTTCGGCGAGATGACGACGTTTTCTCGGATGACTTCCTGACTGACTCTGTCCTGGTCCAGGGAGTTCAAGGTTGGAATTTCGAGAACTCGCAAATCAATTGGGGTGGCCTGGGAATACAGACTGCCAACGGGTACTGGAACCCGACTGATGTTATGACAGTCCAGACCGATCTGCCCCCAGGGCCTTACTTCTTGACGGCCGAGAACAAAATCGCCCAGGCCTGGCGGCTCTACCCTGACGTACAGGATGCTTTTGCGACTACCTTTGTACCGTCGGAGGATGATCCGGGCCGGTAAGTGTCGTTGATGGCCCAAAGCTACCACTAGCTAATGGACCTGGGCGCTGATGATTCCTTGGAATTCACAGATTTGAGCCCCTCGAACTCACCGGTGGGAAAGGTCTCTGGCGCCAAGTGGCAGTTCCCAGTCGCCTTTATTCGATACCAACGAAGAAAAGGCCGCTAGCTGGCAAAAGAATCAGCATCAAGGACAACTTCAAGATAGCAGGGGTCCAAACTACCCAGAATAATCGTGCATGGTGCAGCCTTTACGGGGTAGAGAATGAGACTGCCAAATATGCCCAGCAACTCATCACCCTTGGGGCAATCATCGTCAGAAAAACAAAGATGTGCTCGTTCGCATCTTCAGAAGAGGCCACAGACCAATGGATCGACATCCACGCTCCCTTCAACCCAAGGGGAGACGGTTACCAGAGCCCCTCGGGCAGTACCACAGGTGGTGGTGCCAGTCTGGCCACTTATGACTGGCTTGACTACTCTATTGGTACTGATAGTACGTTCTTCAACCCAGCCAATTAATTCAAGCGTACTCACTGATTCTCCACTCAAGCAAGCGGAAGTATACGATGGCCTGCGGCTTACAATGGCTTGTTTGGGATGAGAGTCTCTACCGGGACTGATACGCTTGAGGGGATCTATCCTGCCTGCAGGTATGTGTTTGATTGATATGAACTTTTCCACGCGGGAACTAACCTGCCACAGATCCATGGACACACTAGGGCTCCTATCCAGGAGTATTGGCGGACTCCAGAGCCTGATCAAATCTTCGTTGCCCTCATTGGGTGATCAATCAGAGACGAATGTATGATAGTCGCTGCCTAGAATCCCTGCCTCTACTGACATTTTAGTTCCCAAAACGACTTCTATACTGCACGGACTTCTTTCCCCACACGAACGCGGCACAACAGTCTCTTGTCGAAGAGTTCATTCAACTTGTTGAGAACTACCTAGACGTGAAGCGGACGAATTTCAGTCTTGAGGACAGGTGGTCACAGTGTCCCCCACCTGAGGCAGAGGGTAAAGATTTCAAAACATACATCGACAAGGTAGGTTGGATCCACTGTCTGGCCACTTAATCGGTTGCTGACACTTTAACCATAGACGGCATACTACCCCTTCTACTACGATGGCTTCAATGAATTCTCACAATTTCGCAAAGATTACGAACAGAAGTTTGACAAGCCTGTTTATGTGGGACCCTATATGCGCTGGAAATGGCAAGAAACCCCACAGCTGTCATATCATACTGGAACCTGATATGTTAACACCCAGCACAGGGATCGAGGGGCGGAAGTTAGTCTCAAGCAGAAGGAACAGTCTCTCAAGGAGCTCGAGGTGTACCGTCGCTGGTTTCATGACGCTGTAATGAAGCCGGAAGCCGGTGGCGGTTCTGACGCAATCCTGATCCTCCCGGTTGGTAGCGGTGACCCAAAATACCGCGACGAGCCAAATAGGTGAGCACCATACATATGTAGCAGCCCTCTCATCTGCCAAAGCGAAGACAGATTGACTGACTCCGGACAGCCCCCCGGGTGTTGTTGGTGCCTTCAGTACAAACTACATTGGATCAATGCAAGGGTTGGCTCAAATAGTCGTGCCGGGTGAGTGTGAGATTGTCCTAAGGGCACCGTATCGCCTGCTAAATGGCTTTTTGTAGTTGGGCAGACCCCGTACGAGTCTAGGATCAGCAAGAGAACTGAGTACAATCCTATTGTGGCCTCAATGGCCAGTGCCCCCGGTAAGTTTCTTTCAAGTCACATCACTGTTGCGCATTTTAGGTCTCGAGCTCATGAAAAATACAGGCAGCGATTTGATGCTAGTTGCCCTCGCCAAGGCGGTTTTGGAAGGCGCTCAAAGACCGACCAAGGTGGAAACCGGGCGTTTTATGTTCAAGTTGTAGGTGAACTACACATCCGTGGGCAACTAACTTGGACCAAACAACGGAACACATGGACACTTGTGGACACTTGGTCTCAATGAGGAGCTTCTAAACGTGACCTATGATTTCGGGACCGGGTTTCCCCCCTTTTTCTTGCTCCCTTTCTCTCTCTTAAGACCTATTGCCATGAAATGGCCAGCTTAACTGGCGAAGTTTCCACAAAAATCAAAACTAAATCACCAACCGCACCTGACCTGATGCTGGCTGTAGCTCAGATTTCACTTGTCACGACAACAAGTTAATGTGTCAATCTTGCAGACGTCATTGAAGACACTATATGTCTGCGTCAGTACTCCACACTGGTGATAACACTAAATTGGAAAATTTATACGTGGGAGCACTATCTACCTAGAGGCATTACGAGCTCATACATCACGATATGATAGAATCCTGCTCCTCCAACAGCGGATGGGTGTAGATATTCTACAACTCCCCTTGCAAGATCCCGTTGATCTAACGTGGGCGGCCCAGATTCCGACCACCCCCTGATTTCGATTGCCTTTTCTATATAAACTCCTACTTTTCTACCCTACCTTATTAAATCTAAATAAAATTCTATAACCCTAATTTTAAATTTTAAAAATAGTATTTTACTTTAAATACTATATAAAAATATTTTAAAATTTATTTTTATGCTTTAATATATTTAAAAAAAGTTTTAAAGTTAAAGTATTTTAAGATATTAAGAAATATATAAAATCTTATATTATTAATATTAATATTTTTTATTATAAACTTATTTTAATTATAATTAATTAAATAAATTAGTTATAACTTTACTTTTTTTAAAAAAAACTTTAATTAATACTATTATTATTTAAATATATAAGAGTTTTACTTAAAAGTATTAATAATCTTTTAAAAGTTAAAATCTTTACTTTTTCTATATAAACTTTTTAAAGAATTTATTAATATATTTATTTTATAAAAATAAAATTATATTAGTAAAAGTAGCTTAATATATAATTATATAATATTTATAATATAAGAATAAATTCTTTTATAATTTTTATTATTAATATTTATTTTATAAAATCTCATATTAATTTAATTATAAACTCTTAATATTTTATTAGTAATTCTTAATATTTTAAAACCTTTAAGTTTAAAATTTTTTTAAAAAATAATATTACTATTTATTTATTTATTTAATATTTTTATATAATAATATAGTTAATTAGTTATTTATAAAGTTTAGAGTTAGGGTTATAGGATTTAATTTAGATTTAATAAAGTAGTTTAAAAAGTAGGTGTGTTTTGGTGTAGTTTGTATTAAAAGTGGGTGGTTGGAATTAGGGGGTGGTTGGAATTTAGGCTGCCTACGTTATGCCCGGCCTCTGTATACGAAGTGGTCACCCTCCTGGCGCAGAATGACAGGGATATCGCTGCCATAGAAAAGGGCTATCACGCCTCCAATCTCTTCGCTTTTAGGTCCCAGACTGTTGAATCCAAGCGACGTTGCCAGAAAGAAGCAGAACTGCTCTTCTTCCAAAGGGTGTTTGGAATCGGCTGTCTTCTTACCATCCAACACTTTATAGTGGTTATCTTAGAGGCTTATCTTTTCTTCATCACAGTTAGGTAGTTTTGCTTCTGTTCCGTATACGTCCGAGGACATACATAGCGCATTCATACGGTGGTGAACGCTCAAGACCCAGAACAATGCCGATGTGGTATGGCCTCTCAAAATTCACCAAATTTGGGATGAAGATTCGAATACATGACATATTAACCCACGAAGTGCCATATCTCACTGTCTGTCATCAAAGCAAAAAGTACTCGTGCTACATTCTGACACGATCCCAGACTACCCACATCATACAAATAAACACTCACACACCTTCTTCCTGATGACAAATAAAAATTTGGTTTTAGGAGGCCCTTCAGGCTGGCAGACAATCCAAAAGAAGAGTCTTGTCCCTCTGCAGCGCTTCCTCAATTGAAGTGAACGTAATTCCAAATTTCTCCTGGGTCTCCTTGGCACATGCCTTAGTCCAACTCAGATCCTTAATGTTCGACATAAGATGGAACGCCTGACCGAACACTGCGATGCCCATCTCCTCCACCTCTTTCGGAGTCCGCTTCGTCGCGCGCACCTGTCTCCCACTGACTCGGATAAGAATGTCGCGAACTTCCTCGGCGGTGAGGAGCTCATTCCCAAGATCGATCTCCTCGCCGCCGAATTTGACCGGGTCCTGCAAAGCCGCTGCCGCGTACTTGCCGATGTCGTTTGCGTCAGTAAAAGGCAGCCGGGCCCCGTCTTCGAGCAGGTGGTCTAGCTCTCCGTCGCTGGGAAGGCGGGGAAAGTTCCCGTAGGCACCCGGCACAAAGAAGTCGAAGTGGAGGACTGCCGGACGGAGAATAGTGTAGGCTTGAAACCCGCCAGCTCGGACGATCTCCTCCACTGTTGCTTTGGAGGAATAGTAGTCATGGAGATTGATTTCCTTGGTCGCCTCGTCATCCCAAAAGGCTTTGCTGCCAGCTCCGTGGGTTGTGGATGCTACGATCCTATCGACGCCGGCCTTCTGACAGGCCTCAACGATGGTCTTGGCCTGCAAAGCCTCCAGCCCTGGGTAGGGGAAGGTGTTCAAGAAGGCCCCCTTATAGCCTTGGGCTGCTTTGAAGATGTCCTCGTAGTTCTTGCTCTCCCCCTGGAAAAGGATGATGTTCGAGTCCTGTAGGCTCGGGGGGACTTTTTGAAGGTCTCGCACCACTGCGTGGATCCTAAAACCCGCCGCAAGGAGGTGTGAAATGACTGAACGGCTCTGCTGGCCGGTGGCTTGAGTGACGAGGTAGGTTGCCATTCTGGAGATATATTGTAGACAAGATATTGTATCTGTGCCAGTGTAGCTTATGTTTTGTGATTCAAAGAGTTGATTAATATGATTCTGGTGATCTCACAGGCTTTGCTTGTACAGAACACAGCAGGAATCCACCAATTTATATTGAAAATGCAGCCCTAGCAATATGCTCCGTGGCTGACCACACCTCCCGTTGATTCATAATCTCCCGCAAATCTGCGCACCTCTTAATATTTTGGCGCCTCGCATTTGTCTTCTATGGCATGAGGCAATGGAGAGTAGTGAAGCCCGAAGTAAGCAAGCAGCTGAAAAGGGACAAGCGCCGGGAGTCCTCACAGCTCTTAGCCTCGATAAAAGTTGCTTCGCGTGGGGCTCGTCATAGACGGGCCGCATTCAGGGATCTTGTGGTAGACTAATGCGTCTCAGAAGGATTTAGGGTGAGCTGACAAAACAGACTGGGCTTGAGGATTTAGCTGCCTGGCAAGAGTAGTTATCTAGACCAGAACGTCAGCGACCCACCGAAAGTAACTTTCTCCGACCTCGTGAGACCCACTGAAGTCAACGACCGCTTCCACACTACGCGACGTTGATTTCTTGGACTCGGCACGTCGGGCACAGGTAATACCGAGTCATCCGCGGCCGCAATGAGAGCTCGCAAAGGTTGCTGGACTTGTTCCGGTCAGTACTTTCAGCGAAGGGCAAAATAAGCCTAAAAATGTGACAACTTGCAAGACGTGGCTAACAGCGCTTTCACAGCTCGAAAAATCCAATGTGATGGTGGTCTCCCGGCCTGCGCAAAATGTGTCCGTACCCGACGGGTCTGCCAAGGGTATGAGATGCGTCTTTCCTGGCCCAGAGAGGATGACCGGAGACGTTCGTTAAGGGCCGATACGTCACCATCAGTTCTGAAAGCTTCCGAACAGACTGACAATAAGTACACCAAATTGTTCTTTATCAGTACGACTTGTCAGGAGATGGAAATGTATGGCTATCTGCCCGGACAAAAGCACGCTGGCAGCCTCAATCAACTGCCCCCACCATTGCGGAGGCAGCCCCAGAAACAAGTCCGCGACATGGACCTGGTTCACTATTGTAAGTGCTGAATTTTACGGTGAAATATTCAAGTGCCTGGCTGCAAATTGTTATAACTTACCATACTTAAAACATACCAGTCCAACATTTCGCCCATCTCTCCTTGGTAACATTCGGTCAACGGCCTTCTCAGATCCGAGACATCCTCTTAAGCATGGCTATGACACAGGACACAGTTTCGGGGCTCGCATGTTTATACGCGGTGCTTGCCTTCTCCTCCCTTCATCGCTACGGTATCAATGAACAGGCTTTGCAGCTGAAGGTGCAGGCAATCCAGTCTCTGTCCGCTTCGGTGGCAGGTGAGCCACTCACCTCGGAACAGGCCACTCAACACGTGGCTGCGTCTATGATATTGGGGGCATTCGAAGTAAGTTTCCGACGAAGTGTGATCTGAAGAGTGGAAGGTCCCAGCCTAATCTCTGCTCGTACTGTAGATCCTAAATCCCCTGGAGGCGTCGGGTGAATGGCTTGTGCACACATGGGGAGCAATGGATGTGATACAAACCACTGGACTCAGGGATCAGCCATGCGGGAGCAACGCTGGTCATCTGCTTGATTGGGTCCAATACCATGAAACGATTTCTCGATTTACCATGCATCATTGGCGTCACAAGTCATTGGTTCCAACCACCACGGCCAGAATCGGACACAGAACACAGGATATTCAGCATTTGCCACTGACGCAATATAGGCCAGTACGTCAAATTGAGACTGACCCGTTGACGCTAAACACTGATTATCGCTGCTTAGAATATGCCATCCGTGAACCCCACCTTTGCAATACTCAACCTACTTTCCGAGATCAGTGAGACGTTAATCGATCCTCGGGATCCGAGGAGCACGACCGGCGAGTACCAAGCCCACCTAAAGGATATGGACAGAAGGATCAAAGAAATACCTGCAAACTCGGCTCAAACTAGCACTGATCCAGACTCCAAGTTCGCGGTGGAGTTGTACCAGATGGCAACACAGATATATCTGGCGCGAGCCTCCCAGAGCCCATGGGAGCCGGCGGCGGACCTCGACTCCTTGATAGATTCCGCATTTTCGGGACCCGTGCAGTACTGCAGTTGCGAGCATTTCTTTCCACTGTTGATTCTCGCCTGCGAGGCCCAAAAAGATGAGCAGAGGGTCGCCATCATCAATCTTATTGAAAGAACCCAAAGGGACACCCGCATACGGAGCATCCAGGGGGTCAAAGACACAATCCAATCCATCTGGGTGCAGCAGGATCTACATAGGGATGATGATGTGGTGGTGGACTACCTGGACATAATGAGCGCGGTGATCAGCTCATGTCGAAGCGTGCCGTCTTTGGCTTAGGTATCGTGTTGACAGAATCAGTACCACCCGTACGAAGCGGTACTTTCAGGACCAGCTAGCCATTTGAGAACTACCTCCCACCCAAGCCCAGCCCTCTGAAGATATCGAAAGTGCAAGATTGGTCTAGTGTCAGACTATGGTTGCCGTATCTTAGAAGCAATAGTCCCTGCAAGTCACCCCTGTCGATGTCACTGGCGTGGCTTGGAAAGACGAGCAGAAGTCAGCACAGAATTCGACGGCAAACAATGGACATCCGAGCCTCAGACTTGCCCTCATGATCAGTCGAGCTTGGAATTGCCGTGAGTATATACATCTCCAGCGTATTACGCGACTGCATCATCTGCATTTTGAGCTAGAGCAACCCTGGGATGTGATAGAAGTGAGGCAGGGCACCTAAATCGGTCGAAGAGTACACATGTGTGGTTACTCTGACTGACAACAGATCTAAATCGCGTCATCCAAGTTATCACAGTTCCTATCACCTACTCCGAGACAATGTGACAGTCAACCAAGCCAAGCCTGGAAAACCCGGCATCGGCTCGAATGACAAGGCGATGACATACGGATCTACACGTCAACTACTTACAGTACACTAGGATCCCGAAGTCATCCTGGCATGTGCATAAAGTTACCTAGGTACCTAGGTAGTCCGCTGTACCTTTCCTTCTGGTTTAGCTGCTATCTACAGATTATCAATAATTATGGAGAAAGCCCACTGTTTATTCGCAAGTACTCATAGCAGAAAAGTTAGATTGGGAATACCTCACACCTAATCTGGCCAACCATCTTCTGCCAAACCAGGATAACCTCGGTATCTAGGGCACTGTAGGCAGCCCAGAGCGGTCAGCTGCACTATGTATGCATGCGCGTTTCCGAATCACCCACCCATGCACTTTGCAGATGCGTGGAGCACAAGCAAATTTGACAGGTTGAGACGATCACATTTCATAAGCATATCTCTGTTCAGAATGTGACCGAATCAACCTCACACCGTGTTCATGCCCCCACCTTATTTTCCTCGTGCATAGGCTGATGTCAGCTGTGCAACCCCAATGCAGGTACGTCCCAATCAGTCAGCTCTGATGGGGGTCATGCTTGGCCATTGGGCTTCTCGCCAGCCTCTCTAAGCGCGTGAGAATTGATCAGGCCATATGAAACCTCCGAACATTTCAGCTGGACAAGAACTTGCGACTGCCTGTTATCGACCGGTGGGGGAGATTTAGGCCGAAAATCTGCAACGTTGTAGTGCAAGGAGAACCACTGGTCTGCAGTCGCGAACTCGAGCTCGTATCTTTGGTCTGGACCTTAGTGATACTTGGCACTCTCTAGGGGTTGTTTTGTGGCACATTCCCATCACGCTCGCGTGGCTGAAAAATGGGTGCGGGACCACATTATGCACATGCTACAATAGCCCATGTCCCGTTTCACCAACGTTTGTTGCACCGGGCGGCGGGTGGCTGCTGCTCACAGCAAGTAAGAGCGAGCTGCTCACTGATTTCAACCCGGTCGGGCGGATCCGGCACACACTTTTGTGCTCGTCAACCATGCATGCTCCGGTTGGGAGCTGAGGATTTGGCAGCTTACCTGCAGCTGGGGGCGTTGTTTATTTCGTCTAACCCAGACTTCTGCATGCGGCTGTGATGGGCAACTAGTGTCTGGCATGTGCTTGGGCGTGGTTCGAATCAGGAAATCACACAAAGAGTCGACGGCGCTTCTCTTGAACAACAAATTGGTCTCGAGCATTCTTTCCCTGCGTCCCTGTCTCGTTACACATGCACCTATGCACGGCCCGAATGCCCGGAACCCTCAAGGCAGTGTCACCAGAGGCAGGACACTGCAAGAACTGCAAGCCACTCGTACCGACTGTGGAAGGCGGTAGGTCTCAGGTTATGAAAGAAGGTCCATGCTATTCCTGGGACAATATCCCGGGCAGGTCGTGTGGAACTCGTGCAGATCGCACAGGTTGTGAATGTCTCATTGCCGTCGAACCGGATTTGAGGCATTCCACCCTCCTCGAGCGGGGACCTCCAGCAAAATCGACTCCTCAAAGGTCCCCGAGGCCATCGTCACAATTGAATTCTGACTATTGTGGGCGCGGTGGGCCTGTTCTAGATGGTTAGAAATGGCCAGCCACCCTGGGTGACCGATGCCTGCAGAAGCGAAATTGTGATCCCTATTCTTGGCAGCCATGGCTACACACATACACCTTGATCACATTGAGCTTGATGTTTTGACAAGCGTGGAGTTAGACATCTTTGCAGAAGTAAGTCGTATTGTATACAAACTCTGAGAAAAGCCGTTCTGGTCACGATTATGAGTGAAGTCCAAACGAATCGGAATGCAGAATGCACAGCCTTGGAACCGGCCAACAGATTTGGTGCCGACAGAATCCTCCAAGGTGACAACATGAAACTATTTAAACATAGAAATTGAAACCACGATTGAAACCCAGTAATATGAATGAACAAGATGCGCACAATATCCTCTGCTTGTATTCTGCGTCCATACATGCACGTGTCAGCCTGACCAAGACCCGAGCGTTAGAGCTGGTGACAAGAGATCTGCCCTGGACAGCCAGATGAGGATAAAACTCACGCCATGATCAGCGACGCTGCCTTTCAACTCCCAAACCTCTGCTCGAATGACGCAATTTTAGTTGTCATACTTGCAGTCTGCTGTTGCTGTCTCGCCTTCTCGTCGCCAGTCTGATCGGGGATCATGACGATGGTGTTCCCGTCACGGGATGGCTCTCTGAGGAATGGCTGTGTTCGGATCGAGGACAGAGCTTGGTTCTTGGGTGCTCCACCACTGTTGTCGTTGGGTGTCGTGCTTATCCGCATCCATTTTAGCTTTTGGATGCGACAGGCACTGGCATTGCAACATACCGGTCCATTCTTTTGTCACTTTGTTTGTGTAGGGCTCAGTGCACGGTCTGAATAGCCGCTCTGGGGAGGGGCGGGTACGATACAGAGGCGGAATGTTCCAAGCACAGCTGAACGCGGGAAACTTGGGAATTCGCTGCTGATGACGGTAGAGGAGTAAGCGCTGAGGCTATAGATAATGAAAACGCTGCTGTGATGATGACGACTGGTGAGAACCATCTTCTCGCATTCATTCGAGGGCCATGCTATCTTATATATCTTGCTATCGAGTGTGAAATGACTACGTCGCCTGCATTCTCATCTCTGCGTTCCCAAGTTCAGCTCTGGGGGACACAACGGAGCTCAGCACGCACAGATTCCCATCATTGCTGTGAGCGGACCACTGCAGAAACATCAAATGAAGAAAAGATCATCCGATCTATTGTCAAGGAGAGATACCCGCAAAATCAGAAAAAGCAAATAGTCGGGAATGGCAATGACTGGTATGTCAAAAAAGGAACGACGGCCAACGTCCGGTCAAGTTTGGCTGACTGTTTAGCGTTGCATTCGAAGGATTCCCACGTGGGATTTCCAAAACCCTGTTTCAGCCGGATGCCGCCTGGGAGGAGCCGAAGTGCCATACGTCTAAGTTGGAATCGAGTTGTGTAAATCTTAGACCCGGTTGCCTTGAGAGCCGCGCTGAGGCAAGCGGGTGTGGTCCGCCAAGGTTTGCACCAGGGTGGATTGGGGGTCTCTCGTCTGCCCCGGAACACACATGAACCCTGCTCTGCCCGCCTTGCTCTGGCCATACGACTCTCCCTGCCAGGCATTAATCAGCTCAACTACGGGCACCAGTGATCTAAATGAGTGGGAATGATAAAAATACATCATGGTCAAGTCAGTCATCATGTGATTCTCCTCTGTCTAACAATGCTACTAGTAGTCCTACACGGACTGCCACAGTGGCTTGTGAGTTTTTGAGAAGCCCTGCAAATCCTTATTAGTCAGACACGAGCGAACTCCTCGACTCAGCAGTCATACTACTTAAGCAACCAACAACGTCATGCCTGGGAGAACGAATGACCCTCTCGTCTGCACTCTCGATCCATGTTGCTCTCCTATCGGAATTCTCAAGTGCTCCTTGCACAACTTTGGTGCATAACTTTATCCAAGCATACCGGTATCTCAACATGCACCGAATTCTCATTGAGGCGGGAGTAATGTATCGAATAATCGTCAGGGCTTCAGCAGGAATGCCGCATTTACCGTTTTCGCGTGCCTGACGCTAGCCATGCACATCTGCCCAATTTGAGGTGGCGGCGAGGGTCGGGCTTGGGTGAGATGACTTAGACGAGGCTGAGTCTCGGCCTATTGGTCAGCATCTCTGATGCGTCGCGTTTGATTGGCCACCCGGCCAAGCCGGTCTGAAAGCAGAAATGCTGTCTCCCACACGGCAAAACTTGCCAACGAGAGTGACCGATTGATGACCTGATAGTATTGAAAAATGAGATCATTCCTTTGAGGTTGCTTTTTTCGCTTTTTGTCGAGAGAAATCGTATGACTGTCACGTCTCTCAATCTGTATCAGCGCATGGAGTTACACTGAGCACATTTGTGTCGCCAATACCATCGCCGGGCTCAACAAGTCCTCAATTTACCACTTGAGCTGCCCTCATCAGGGCCGCCCATCCGGTCAAATTCACGAGGACATATTTTTCCTCCATCTCAGAAATATGCTCCACCGGTCGACTCAATTGCACTCTGGTCACTTTTGGCTGTGGCCCGGGGGCCAGTTTCTCGATTCCGCCTGCTCGACGCCTTGTCATGAGTAAGTAAAGAATGACCTGGAAGCCTGATTGGTTTGGTAACAACTTCCTTTTTGTTGGGATTGTGTTAGCTGGCCAGCCTCATAATGACGGCCACTGGCTCCCTGGAAGTGCACTTTATTCCTCCAAGTGTCACCATTTTCTATTGTTCCCCCATCTTGGCCGCGTGTTGGGCCTTCAACAGACATATGGATCCACATCACCCTTGCCATTCGTTTCCCCGGTTGACGCAGCGATGCTTGAACTTTAATCCTTGGTAGGCCCGTGTACTGTACCCGCATACAGGGGTCGGGGGGCTTTCCTATTGGTTTTGGGCTCGGCCATAATGCCAGTCATTACTCATGCGGCTCCAGAGCCTTGTCCTGCTGCAACTTCGACGTATGTCAACATAGTGCGTATGTCGCATATGAGGAATGGCGGAAATGAATTTTTGGTCGTATATACTGTCTCCTTTTATCTGCATACATGTAATACCATGAGATGTATGGAGTTCCGGTCCCCAGAACTGGCAGTCGGTCTAGCCTGGATCATGGGGTGATGTTGGTCCCTGGCCGTGTGACTCGAGATAGCAGCACAATGTAACCATATGTAGGTCTAGACTCCAGTGCCAGTGAGGGGAGCTGGGGTAGCTGAAACGGTTAGCAACGGCGGCGAACGCGGAACTGAGATCAGGTATGGCATTTCGCGGTCAAATCTTGTCATTGGCAAAAGGGAGACAAGCCGAGTTCTGCTGTGCAACATGGCGGAAAGGGACCACGTCGTCATCTTTCACATCCCTTCATTGATCGCTTGATTCGACTTGTAGAACCGGTGAGAGAGGAACGAGGCGGCCCCCGGAGGTTTTGTACCGATCAAGGGGCCTGAATACTCCTTACAAGTGTGTTGAACCTACTGTCCAGGCTCATGCACACCCTTTCTGACTTGTATTTGGCCCTCGGTTTCTTTCTTCTTTCGTCATTCAGGATTTATTCGTTGTGACTTCCCTCGGAATTTGAGAGAACTCGGAGATGAGCCGAGAATTGCCTTGCCATCGAACCCCGCTCCTGTACTACACCATCAGCCATCACACCGGCCAACGCACTCGCACTTGGCAATGGGAGCCACGGGGACAGAGCTGAATGCGGTGTCAAGCGAGAAATGCTACACGTCAGTGTGGGGAAAATGGAACTGGCATCTGGGGTGGGTGTGAGGCAGGAAAGCCTGGATTAATTATCAAGCTTTGAGTCTCAGCCTCACGAAGCTGGTGCAGCACATGTAGCCGAGGCGTCAGGGGCTAAAGACTGGACTCGGAGAAACGTCCTGCCTACTGGAACATCCAGTAGGAAGTAACACACCTTGAGATTATGCTTGGGAACTCGAATTCGCAGAGATAAATGGCATAGCAAAGGAACTTCATGTGATAGCACCAAGCAACACACCATGATATTCTCTCTTGTCCAACTGTCAGGCTAATATAACATTGGGAGCCAAAAAGAAACAGGAAACCCCCCCCCCCCAAAAAAAAAGGTTCAGTCCGTATGTCTACCCTCAAATGCGGAACAAGGGGCCTTGGGGTGGGGGCCCTAAGTAAATTATGATGAGATTGTGCGACGGCGCCCGAGTGGGTAGAGATGAGACACGGGAATACCTGACAGCACCTAGCCCCCACTGTTCAGCGCTTGCTCACGTATCGCGTGCTGAACAGCTTGACCTCCTCTTTCATGGCATTCTTCTTCTGCTTGCGGTTGGTCTTGACGACGGGGGTGCAATCAGGTAGCATGACGGTGATGTTGCCATCTCGGGGCTTTTCTTGAAGAAATGCCTCCAGCCGCCCAGACGATAATCTATGGTTGCTTATCCGATCACCTCGCGTTGGAAACTGTTTGTCCCTGTCCGTGGTCAGCACCTGAAATGCAACCTGGCGTCAGCAGATGGGCGCGGACCAACCTTGGGGTTTCCATGGTCACACCGTAGTTATACTTCCGCTGTGCCACAAAGAGTCACCAGAGTCCACTGAGAAACATTTCGTGCGATGTGTTTCTTTACAAGACGGTTTGGAACTCGAGAAGAGAAGGAACTTCGGGCTTTATAAAGTGTGATTTTCCCCCATCAAACTCACTTGCATCGCTGTGTTCTCATACAGCTGCAGCTGCGGCCGCGTACCCTGGAGTAATATTCAATCCACGTTGCTTGGGGGTCCTACTGTATGATGCTGCTTGCTTTTTCTCACAGGAACAACCGGTACATGCATCCGCGCATGAAATCCGGCCAATGCACGCCCGCGAGGCATTCTTCACCGTGGCAGCCATTCCCTTTCGGTATATGCCACTGGACACTGCTATTATGAGCTGTCTCAAGATCATAACCCTGGCCCCTGTCAAATCCTGACCTCGTACCAAGTTCCGAGGGACAAGGCGCCCAATATTGCGGTCCGAGTCTTCAGCGGGTAGCCGTTTTACGACAAGTCATATCTGACAACCAACAAATCGTCATCTGATGTATTGTAGATCGAGGCGGGATATCTGTGGGGATTGCTCGATGGTTTTGCTTCTCCGTATCACTCTGTCAATACGCTGCGGAATCTCAGTTCGTGTTTCTATGCATGGGAGCCATCAGACTATCCTCGGTGAGCAAACCGCGACAGGAAAGGAAACGACCAAGTACCGGCAAGAATGAGAGCATACCGAGTCCAGATGATGCACATGCGATGCATTAGTACAGAGGGACTGAAACAACACAAGCATTCATGGGTACATTGGCTCGGACTCTCCATGGCTGTGGCGGAGGATTCGGGCATTCAGGCGACAAACACAACGTCGAGGTCGCAGTGCCATTCCCGGCTACCCTACTCTCTATTCATTGGCCTTGCGGTGGCTTTCGTATCAGCCCCCACCGCGAACTAGGGCCATGCCGTGACCGAAGTGCTGTGCGTCTTCAGCTGCAGATGGTTCTAAGCCATTGACTCCAGGCTATTAGAGTCAATGTGACGGGAATTCCCGTCCCATGCAACCAGTCAGTCGCCAGCTACCCTGTGTATGGGAGATGACAGGCGGACCGAAGAGCTCATATCCTGTACCTCCGAAACTGAGAGAAGGTGACAGCGAGGTGTGGGTGTGACGGGCATGGTTGCCTGGCAGCTTGTCTCAGACATGCATGCGCAAGATCGTGCAGCTACCCGTGCTGAAGGGTTTTCAGAAGGGGAGGTGACGGAAACTGGTCGGTTCAGATGGCGGGATTTGCGGGTGGCCCGGGCAGTGAAAGTGCAGTTCTGTCCGGGTTCACCGGCCCAATGGCGCAAGCAGGTCCAAGCCACCCGCGCTTAAGACACAACTGGCAGGTGGCCCTGAGACATCGGGCGAGGGTATCAAGGGCTGTTTATACCTAAAGGTACTGTATTCCTTCTGATGGAATCAGCCGCTGGAAGGCGGGATTTTCTCCCCAATGCTGATAGGCCCCACGCAAGGTGTCAACGAACTACATTCATGAGGGACCACATTCCACATATTACTGGGAGACAATTTTCTGTACATGGAATTTACTGAGTCTCTTCTTGTATTTCAAAGTCATAGTGACTTCCCAAAGAGAAGCTACCCTATTCTTCAAATGAGAATTGTGACGATGAGCGGCGGCGGCCCATGACACTCCATCCCCTAAGCCTGATCTCATACGAGATGCACTTGGTGCTTTCACAGCTATCTCTCCGCCGATCTTTACATGACCCTCGATCTCTCCGAGTCCCTGCGGCCCTCAAAGCCTTCGTCATGGCAATACCATTGACACTGACAGGCCCCAAGCGCTCTATGCTATCTGATACTACGTAGAAGGTGTAACTGACCAACACCCGAAACTGCAGCCTTCCTCATTATGGCTCCAGCGCTTCCAGGATGTGTAACCATAGTAATATCGGTCCCGAAGTGGCACTTCGTGGAGAACTGCACTTGGTCAGTTTCGAGGTCCTCGGCCATGATAACGCCTCTTGCGTTTGCCCTGCACAGAATGAAGAACCCATTACCTAGGTAGGCTATCAGTAGTCCAGTCTCCGTCTTCTTTAAGAGTATCTAGACTGGTCCATCTTCGGTGGTGACAAAATTTGAGCAGCAATACGATACTCACTCAGGTGACAGTCTCGAAGGCTTTTGTGTCTTTCGTTGTTATCTTTTTTTTTGGGGGGGGGGGGACCGGTGCCACGTAATGATCTTTGTGGTTTCGCTTCTATTCCGTATACGTCCGAGGACATACATGGCGCCTTCATACGGTGGTAAGTAATGATCTTTCCTCTTATTATTTAAGTCTGTACCTTCGTGTATCTTCCAGACTGTTGCTGCCATCACACTTAAATGTATTTCATGAGGATGGAGACCAATGTTTCTCTGCCTATGTCACTGTATACCTAGGTAGTGGTTGTGCTCTTCACACTAGCAGAGGAAGCCCAGATATCAGTGCTCTGGACCATCTTAAATCAAGCACCGGCCTACTACTAAGGGTAAGAAGAAATGGAATTCTTCTTGATTTTAATTAAAACAAGATTGACCAAAACAGTACTTACTCACCGTGATTGCAAATGTGCACAAAGGCACCACTGCAAGTCGAACCACTTCAGTACCAATCAATCTATATGGATTCCATCGCATCTGGCCGGGGTCACCGAAATTTTCGTAAACGACGGATGTTATCAAAGGGGCACTTAGGTACTCCTTCGCTTATACCTTCCCTCGCGCACCCACCACTCTCCTCTCACCATAGCTCTGGTATCATGCAGTGACAGACCTGCCGGACTCCGCATAATCGGTGAGATCCCTTCAATAAACGGGTATTTTCAATGGCGTCAACCTCGAGGGCTAATGCAGTGGTGCCCAGGAGAAGTCGTAGCTGCACCTCTACGTGCGTGGGCCGCCACAGCGGGAAGGTAGTGTGATGGACTGGAAGAGATTTGCCAAGGAGGAACTGAAAAATCACCCAAGTCTCGTACGACAAGAAGTTGCTGTGACGTTGACGGTGAGGCGCAGGCAGCTTCTGCTTGATTGGGATGTACGAGGATGAGTGCATATGCGCCGCTATCTGTGATCACGGCAAGACTGGAGATACTAGTCGCCAAAGCCTCAAACCATCCAATGTTACAGACCAATGTATCACAATTTGTGAAGATCTTTGCTGATTAGAATACTTCGTACAGGCAGACGCATGTATCTCCCAGTTTAGGCTCTTGAGCTCGCATGATGAAAAAGAGTTGGAGTGGCTGCCTGACCAACTTGCTCATCGTGGTTTATGCCGAGAATCTAGACTTTTCCAACCACTCAACTCACACCAAGGCCAATCGTTGCATGTCCCCAGCTCACAGCGTAAATTTGGCTGACATCATTCTAAGAAAACATGCTTCAAGGCAAGACACTGGAGCTGAAGCACTATTGACTAGCCTAGCTTGAGGATGCGTTGCGAGTGACTTGTAAATGTTGCACACAGGGATGCAGTACCAATAATTGATGGTTCTTAATGCCCATGCACGAAATATGATCCTTACTAGTAGAGATCAGCATTGGGTCAACCCCCCAAGACTGGTCTCTCAAATACTGTGGCGCAGGATATGTTGCTTGAAAAAGAATTTCCTAACACGGTCCTTGTGAATATGACCAGTATTTTCGATCTCAGCAGGCGATCGGCCATGTGTTGCTGCGTTTATGTTCTCCGTGAGCTTTGAGCACGCCTCTCACTGGAGCCTGACCGTCGTGGGGGCTCAGACGATTCGCGAGAATGAATTGGAATCTATTCAAAAAGCTGGTCACAAAATAATGCTGACCTATTGGCTCTTCTAGCGAATTTCATTACTTCTTCCCGGGTGATAAGCCGTACCGGCCGCCGAGTCAAGTACCCACCCGGAACAAGCAAAATGCTGACTGTGATACGAGATCTGTGTAACGAGATCGAAAACATTTCATCACCAATTTGTGTGGGTATGATTCCCGAAGTGGCCGGCATGGGCTCCCCGAGACCTGTCAACGGCTGTGCTTCGGCCTGTAGTCTGGCGCCATGCCCCGGGGGGAAGGTTGAGCGCGAGCTGCAGTGCAGCGCCACACTTGCCATGCAGGACTGCATGGGCGGCTCGTCGGTCACCAATGAGGACCGCATAGAGTATGTCTCAGTCTCGAGTCCATGGTGTCATAGTTGCCCTGGTGGGCTACCTTCTTGTTGAAATCTCTAGGTCCAATGCCGTGTCCGTCGGTCGTACCACACCACTGGGCTCGAGGCCAAGGACATGGCCGGCGGGTGTTGCAGCCGGCTATCTTATCCCTGACGGTTCATGCAATAGCGACAGCAGCAGCTTAAGCCGCGGAGTTCCTCTTTCTGGTGTCACTGAATTTCGGCTCAGCCTCGTCGCAGTGACGCCGACTGCTGATCTGCACCTGTGAGTGACACACATTTGCAGTTGCGGCTCGGGCAAAGCTAAGTTTGAGCAGCAGTTTCTTTACACACGCACACACACTGAAAGCTTAGCTGGCTCGTAACGACTAGCAACGACATTCACATACGTGAAGGGATACGAAGTTCCCATGCTGCCGTTCGCGTGACGTCCCGAGGTCGTCAGGACTCAGGTTCCAAGGAAAAGCAGAATCTTCAGAAGAATGGCTCCTGCCCAGCCTTAAGTTTGAAACATCCAGTGGCTTGCCTCTGGATTGGTTGTAATGCTTTGTTCAATTTGTGACAAAGTGACGGAGGACTTGTATTATGAGTCTACTGTCGTGTCACTACATCACCCAATCCAACCTCCCGACGTCTCGTCGAATGCTACCACTTTCGTTGTTTGAAGCTCTAGCGTCCGGACCTCAGAAACCAGGTTGAAACATCTTCAATATCACCGGTTCTTTGGGCGAAAAGCCTTTCCTCCCATTCTTCGCCTTCGCGTCTTCACCCATCAAACCACGTTTCAGTCCGCGATTTCTGAGAATCGGTGAGGAGATCGGCCCATTCTTGGACATTTAATAGTTTTAGAGAGGCAATGGATTGAACCAGAGCTCGCAAGATGCCCATGTAAACAACCCAGAAAAGTACGATTGGGTTTGAATTGCATTGAAGGCGTGCCTTGGTGTCTCAACCACAGCTTGACACGCGCTTCTTGCACCCTATGAGTAGACACGTCGTGACCAATTTGATAGTGGAGAGAAATAGATGACTCGAGAATTCATTTGAAATTTTCAGCAGATGTGGGAAATTCAATGTCTCACTTTGCTCAGTTTACTTCTCTAACCTCTATAGTGAACCCGTGTTTAGCTTAGCCATGAGGAGATATTGATGACCTTTATGACGCGAAACCAATCTAAAGATGACAGACGAAAGGTAAAGGTTCGTTATCATGATCATCATTGTTAAGTATGCTATATGAAATCCAAGTGCCGCATCCGTATGCTGGCAGGCACGCAGTTATGCTATCCGTGATCCTAATCCCCGTGTATCCATATTGAGACAACACTATCCAAATTCAAGTCAGAAGTGATGTACCCTAGCCTTTTCGACTGAAAGAAATTGCACTTCAAAACTCTATCGATGGAACTTGTCGTTGAAGCCGGCTATGTAATCCATCATCTCGACTTTCATCTCCCGGCGTCGATCATCCACATTCTTTGTCTGGTAAGGTAAGGTGGCAAGGGGGTTTCCGCTCTTCGAGGGCTCTTGGACGAAATCATTCGTACGTGAGGAAGCCAGGTCCTTGGATTTAGACTTCGAGTCTTTGGTAGGTGGGGGGCTCGCTGATGGTATCTTTCTTGAGCTGAACCCGATAATTAACGGTAGCAGAGACACTCGAACAAATTAAACACTCACCCTTCCATTTCTTTTGCCCAAGTTGTTAGAAAGTTTGGATAGAACACCTAACAGCCACAATGATCAAGAGGAATATCGGTGCTGAACTCAGATAGAAAATCACGGAAAGACGTAATCTGTGATCAGCCTGAAGCAACTGAGGGTTCAAAGCTTCTCTCGAGGTTTTCTCTTCTGCGTAGATGGTTTGGACCCATGGAACAGCAATTCAGACATGCTGTGGACTCTTGTGGTTTCTTATACACCCTCAATCTGTCGACCATGTTGACCGAAGGCGTGGGGGTGACTGACGACACCCCCACGACGGCTTGCTAGGCATGCTAATCTGTCTTTGACAGCATGAGGAAGACGGGATCCTCACCGGTGAGAGCGAGCTCTTCACACCAAGGTTTGTCTCCTTGACCGATACACTCTCACAGGTTGAATAAGCCAGCCAGCCAGATTCCTGTGGCCACTTGACAAGGAAAGGCCTGTCAACAACATATTCTGTCTTAGGTCCACCTTGGGCACCGATTCAGCCCCGTTAGACCGAACTGCTCGGCTGTCTGCCGGTTGGATAGACTTCTTTGGGTTAGTGGCAGCCATCGCAGGATCACTTGCAGTGTTATCACCACTAGGATCGTTTACCACGTGGGCATGGCCGGCTGAGACGCCTTCGGTCCCGGGAATAAGGAGCCTCAGGAGGAAGGTACACCTTGATCCGGCAGGGTTGATCTGATCCTCCAGCTCGCTTAAGCATCTAGTTCCCGACAAGTCGCCTACCCGTAAGCAGGTCTCTCGCCTAAATCCTTGTTACATACCTGAGTAGGTATGTAGTCTCTCAGCTCACGCCAAAGCAATGCCTTGAGGCCCAGACGGTAACAGAGATTACGTGGGGAATTCTTTCATTTTGCCCGCAAGAGTCAGATCAACAGATACCTCGGCCACCAATGTGTTGAAAAAGCAAAAATTCTTTCTGCGCAGCTGAAAATATTTATCCTCTGATACATGGGTCGAAGATGCTGATCCTCAAACTCAGGGCCACTCGGCCGATTTCCATCAATATCTGGCCGAAGGCCGTCAACAAAGAATTGCATGGCAGCGCATCAAGAATGCATGCACTGCCGTGCTGCAACGGGCTCGGTAAATCCGAAATGACGACGTCCTGCATGCGTAATGTTTGCTGCAGGACCCTGCGCCCTAGCCCGAATGTCTCGGACGCTTTTTCTCTCCGGGATATGCAAGGCTGGCGGCAGAGGATCCGTTTTTGAGGCTAGCCACTATTTTGTGCAGCTTTGCGAGATTCGCATGGGACAGACGCCAGGCAGAAGAAAGTATGGGTGCCGCAACATGTTTCTTCACCGGCACCTGTGCGTGTGGGTGAAAGCTGAAGGAGGGTCTTGTGTCACAATTCGCGTGCGTCTATGCACGTCGGACTGCTGCTGTGCACGGAGTGGCTGTTCTCACCGCAGCACCCTGAAATCAGGCTTCCTGTCAGCGCGGACTTGAGTGGCTTGGCTCGGGCGTCGGTTCCTTGGCCCAAGGTGCAGTATCCGGTGCTAGTTGTGTAGGTTGTGCTTTCTACCCTTCGGGAGGGGGGAGGGGTTGAGGTGTGTGGCTGTTTTACAGTCGCGTGCCCAGGTGATTGTACATTCCCTCCGGGCTCAAGAGGCTTCGGTGGGTAATCGAAACCTGTCGAATACGCTGCCGAAATTCAGTGAAGCAGAACCCAGGCGGTGAACTAAACAGCGAGACCGTTTCGTGGGGTGTCACAACACTGACACATGGCCAATAGACACAAGGCGCCATCATATGCACACTATCACGGTCCTGCAGGTATCAAGTCTCGTTCATATGGCTCCCAAGACAGCTCGCATGTGGTCAGCATAGAGACATGGTCTCCCCATGCGAACAACCGGGATACGATACCAATATATGTCCCCTACATGGCAGCCCTAGGGGTAACACGGGCCCGCACCTGAACTGAGCAGTGAGATGTTGCTCCTGCCTCGACGCTACAGAAGCGCCCCGAGACATGAATTGTGGAGCATTCTTACCGTCTGGGGTGCGATGTAAACTTCCGTTTCGGGTGTGCTGCATGGAGCTGAACGCCTACCTTTTTCTGCCATGCGCATCTCTGGCCGGTTCCTACACCTGACCGGTGAGGCCTGTTGTGGGTCTTCTACCGTCTGGAAGGAGCTCAAACCATGTCATTCCATTCACTCGGGCTACGTAATAATTTTCTTCCATTCTATCGTCTTCTCATCTATTGTGTCATATCACTCGCATCCCAAAGAGCCATTGTCTACTAAAATAGACGTTCCTGCACGCTTCCCATTTGATAATGGGGACGTGGGAGGCCGTCCAGGATTCAGGGATGACCCACCTTCACCTCCAGGGCTGCCATTGATGGTGAAATACCCACTTGGTGCTTCCCCCGTGCCAGAAGTTGCAGATCAGGCCACCAGAAGGCCTGAGTTCGTAACATGTTGAAATACAGTACTATTTGGTTTCGTTTCTATTCCGTATATTTCCGAAACCATACACGGCGCCTTTATACATTGGTCAACACACAAATATCCAGCGTGAAAAAACATATAATGTCGATGATGATAAATACACAGGCACCTAAGAAGCTCAAGATAGTCTGGCCTTGTTTACATAACAAGCCAAAATGAGAGTACATGGTGTATATCAAACCAATCCTTACGCAGTATTCTTTTCCCGTCTTCAAATTTGCCTCCAGAAAGTGATATAGCGCTTCATCAAGTCTCCCATCAAAGCCGCATCACGCCATTGCCATGAAATACAGCGCCGGGGCGCCCTCGCTAACAACAGGAATGCTCTCGGGCCTTGGTACGAATACCGGCAGGCCGTGCTCGTTGCTGATCGACTGGAAGAGCGTCTCGCTGGCCCACTTCGTCAAGCTGTAGCTATAGCCGTGGCAGCTTTAACTGTTTGATGCAAGAGGACAGGCTGCACAGGGTTCTCAACCCAATGACTGTCTCTGAACGATTCGGGGTGTTCTTTATATCTCCCTTCCGGTCCATAGCCTCTGGAGGACCACTTGCATCCCAATCCAGCATGAATAGCTTGCGGCTGTGGATGCCCGCGCGCCGGAGCGCGCCGGAGCGAGGCGAGGGTGAACTATGTGCTGGGAGTGGTACGCTGTCTAAACTTTGAGGCTTCTCGAAACCAGACCTGCCTCACCAAGGAGCAGTTTTTACCTAATTCAAGCGAACCTGTCTTATCTTCACCACTGTTATCAACGCTGTATATTTTTTAAGCGCTGGGTCTTGAGCGTTAACCACCATATGAGGCGGCATGTATGTCCTCGGACGTATACGGAATAGAGCCGAAACCAGACCAGTCAAAAAGCACACAATGATTCTGTACTATACTCAGTTGTAAAAGATCCTTCCTGTGCAATTGGAAGCGGTCAATGCATCTGATCAAGAGGTCAGCGCCAACCGATCACTGCTAGGCAATTCTGGCTTTGCTGGAGCTATGAGCCGCAGACGGGTTCCCACACACACCGGGCCGATATTGCAGTTATGAGCAGTCCATTTCTCTTACCCTAGGGTAGTTGTTGTCCAAGTTGTGTGGCCACATATCTGTTTCTCACGTGACCATTTGTCTCGCTGATCTGCTTGCTGCCTCTCTCATGCTGCCAACGATCGCTCTGACTTGGTCGCTCCAAACCTTTTCTGTTGGGAACTTTTCCTACTCTACCATTTAAGAGCAGTGGTCATTGATTGGAGATCCTGGACGGCTGGTATCGAGCTTTCAAGGCTCTCGAGGGTCGGCAGCCCTTGCAGCCACATTTGACTGCGTCATATGCGGTTGAGCAAGAATGACGGGAGTCCAAAATCTCCCGCTGTTTGTGAGGGCCAATCCTGTTTCTGACTTGAATAGCGTTCCGATCTAGTAATTTGCTCCGTTCGTGTAAAAGCCCGCGAGCAACACCTGCGCCTCCTGGCTGAAATCTTTCATGCCTGTCCATTGATAGGTCACGTAGATGAGCCGTGCCTTTGACCGCAATAAAAGGCTTCCATGTATATCATATCCGGAGTCTACCTAACTAATATTGGGGAACTCGCTCTTAATATTGTGCATCAAGTATAGCACATTCAAAAGTACATACCAACAATTTCTTCCAACGAAGACCAAATTACCAATAATTTTTTTAAAGTACTTCGAAATATTGAGCACAATGAAGACCCCTGTCACCGCGATCTTGCTTCTTCAGCTTGGAGGCCTCGCCGCTGCCCAAGTTACGACCCCGGGCGCTGAGTTGCAGTCGGAGGAACTCGATTCTAACAACACCGTGTCAATCGCCGCGCGCAGCGAACAAGAGAAAAACTGGCACGGCTCTGGGCCAGTAGTGTGTGGTATCTATGCCAATGCAAAGCCCAAGAAAATCAGAGACTTTGCTTATGATCTGGACAACAAAGATTATAACAAGGAGCGGACAATCGGCGCGGGGCAGTGCAATCGTGTGAAGTGTTGGGATACTTCTGCGCTCTATGTTTGCAACGTAGGTTCTAACCACCAGTTGACTCTAATCACATGAGGAAAGAAAATCAAAGCATAATAGTATATTAATATTCCTCTGCAGGACAACCCAGATGCAATCACGCTCAAGGGAAAGCAAATCGGCATGGCCACCTTGTGGCTTCGCAACCATTGCTGCTTAGCCAGCCCTAAAATCAAAGCAACTGACGACCAACTTAACGGCCAGCAATTTACACCATGGGGGTGGAACGTCAACGCTGCTTACGGCAACTGCAACGACCCGCCTAGTATCCGTCCCCATATGGCTGGAGGCCATGGTGTGAACCCTGGAAAGTGTTGGTATCACAAAGAGGACAGCGTCGATTTCTGAGAGCGCAGGTATCTCGACAAGGTCAGAGGTCCCTGAAAGGAACCTTTTGTCCCGTTTCTCAAGTGCATAGTCGCTGTACTTCCTGATTGTCCGCACCGAGCCTCTGGCCAATAATCATAATGTGCCTGCCCCCAGGGGCCGGCTACAACCAGCAACACTATGAGGGAGTGTTCGGAGAAAGAGAGACACTTCTCATTTTTCAATATTTCCTAACTGCCAATCACATTCTGGAGATACATGATCATAATGAGAAATATTCTGAAATTTACACCTTGAATGGTTACGATAGGAGTAGAAGCGTGACCAGTTGAATGAATATGTCAGAAAGTAAGAAAGTAGTCTGGGTGGATCATCTACTCACTGGCAATTTGTCTGATGGCTGCTTCCGGAAAAATAAAGTTCATGTAAACGGGAGTGCCGCCTGATAACAAAGGCTAAAGAATGTGGAACCAAGGCTTTGTGGGCTAACATTTTGCACGATTGTACAATGACGTCGTTTTAAAGTAAATCCTATGATTTTTTTAAATTTAAGAATTGCGCGGTCTTTTATACAGACCTTAAGTGGTTTCGCTTCTATTCTATAAACGTCCAAGGACATACATAGCGCCTTCATACAGTGGTAAGCACTCGCATATATTTTTAATACTAGGTCTTAAATATTTACCACTGTGTGAGAGCGTTATGTATATCTTTGAATACTTGTGGAAAAGAAGTAAAACAAGACACACACACAGATAGTCTTAAGTGCTTACCACCATATAAAGGCACTATATATACCCTTAGATATATATAGAATAGAAGTAAAACTACACACATATAGATAGAGAGAGAGAAGCTCTCCTATAGACATGATGAAGGGATGATATTGAAGAAGATAAGACATAGAGACTGTTGAGAACGTGCAATAGAAGTAAGTGGCTGTGTCAAATGTCTTGTTCTGTCGGGGGGTTGGACATAAAAGTGCAAGTCGAGGGCCGGGGACCGATAATGTGGAGCTAAACAGGATGGGATGAGAAAAGATAAGATCAAATCTATCATGGTGCTCTTCCTACTCTCTCTTAGAGTCTAATTAGTCCGTCTTATCTCGTACCCGAGACCACAATCTTTTTCTCTTTTTGCACATCTGGAGATAACCAGAAAATATTCCTCTCAGGAACCCTATAAACTTAATAAATAAAGTGATTCAGAAAGAAACCCAAGGATGTAGGACATAAGCACAAATCAGCCCGGAATTTGTGGTGTGGCAAACACCATGCTGTGCGCGGCTGACGCACATTTTGGTGGCTGCCAAGACCACGAGTGGAATTGTAAACCAGCTGCGAGCGACCGGGCCCCGTCTGGGGGCAGGAACTACTTATATTTGCCACAGCCTGAACAATCTCAACATTGCACGGGCAAGAGGCTGATTGCGTGGGTGATATCTCCAGGCTTAAAAGTCTTGTGTGTGTGCCCAGTCTCGTTTCAAAATGAGCTTCCACTGCCTCTGCGTTGCACAGCTGAACTCTGTGGACTGCTTGATGGCTCCCTCCCGCTGTCTGCATCACATCAGATGTGTCCCATGATCACATGCTGCTGGGCAAACCTATATAGGTACAACTTCGTTGAAGCTGCTCGGTCGGTGTACGGAGTACTCCGTAGACAGCCACAGGTCAGCCGGTATGCAGTCTGAAGGGAGTGCTTGCATAGTAGAGTACCCACTTTAGCACGGAAGACGAAAAGATTAAGATTCTCAGCCTGTACTTGGGAATATGGTGCAGCTTATTGGATTTCAGTCTATATGACCTTCTGGTTATCTCCAGATGTGCAAAAAGAGAAAAAGATTGTGGTCTCGGGTACGACACAGGCCCGGTTTGAACGGACGCCTCCGAAGAGAATAGATATCATGAATGAGGATTCAAGTCTATCGCATTAGACCACTCTGCCACTGTGCCTTGAAGGTGGAGGGGGCGGCGAAAATTATGTCTGAGCCGCCAGTTCCGGGCCGGTGGCTCGTGCGCCGCTAGCTCCCGCCACGGTCCGATGCGGTCTAGCCTGAACTGGACCCAAAACGTGGGTGACGCATGGGCCCTCACTATTCTGGCAGTCACTCACACTTGCACGCAGCAAACACCAGCTGCTCAGTCGAGGTGGATGCAAGATCACAACCTGCACTCATTGTTTCTCTGCAGTGTTTTCATTTTCTCGTTGCCAATAGTCACATTGTCAGCCCTCAAGGTTGGGACGGTCAAGTGGGCGGGACCAAGCGTGTGAGCCAGACAACGGGACGCAAGACTTTTCACAGCACAACAGAACTGCACTGCAACGCAGCACCAAATCTCCCGTTGGGCCTCCACACACATACCAACGACACGATGAGCCAGGGAGCTAGTGGGCCCATGTCCGACAAGGACGTCTCGGCAGCCTTCACCTCATTCTACCTCCAGCGGGCGACCAAGGAGTTCGCAGAGGACCTCGATAAGATCCGCAAAGCCGATGACTTTAGGAGTGAGGCCATCCCCACGCTCGTCAGCGCCTTGTCCCAGGGAACGGCCATGTTCTCGCCTGCAGACCAGCGCAGGATCGTCAAGGCGGAGGGTGCTTCAACCAGCGAGAAATCTTGAGCGCCCTGGGCGAAGGCCCGGGACAACACATGAGCAGGCCCCTCAGATTTGGGTCGAACCTCTTTAAGTGGCACAGCGGTGGTCAGCATTATACTTGAGGAGGAGCGCCTCAGCTTGGGTGCGCTGGACAGGCTTCGCTCGGCTGGACTGGCATGAGACAGCCTGAGAGAAGATGCATGTGTGGATGACGAATACGGCTCCAGAATGCGAAGGTCAAAAGAGAGGGCGGAGGTTAGTTGCAGAGACCACAGATCTCATGATGCCTGCCATTTTAGACATGGTGCTCTATTGAACCCAGACTAGGCACAGATACTCGACCATAATGGATCGGAATTTTGCGTTACTGATGAATGGGCAAATAATTTAGAAGAGGCCCAGAGATGAAGAACAGCTCGTCGACCTCCGCGCCCTGTACCAAATCCTGATCCAAGATGAAGCCGGTCCTGCTGCAAATTAACTGCGCAGCGCAGACACTTGGATGATAGAATCTCAAAAGTTGCACTTCGCGGGCATTTCGTTCCGGCGTCTATGTCGAAGAGTGAATCCCCCACCATGCGCAGGCCTGGCCACCCAGATGTGAAAATCCGGGCCTGTGTCCGGAAACACGTCTTTGTGCTCAGTCATTCTAAGTGGTTTCGCTTCTATTCCGTATACGTCCGAGGACATACATGGCGCCTTCATACGGTGGTGAGCGCTCAAGACCTAGTCCTTAAAAAGCATACGGTGTTGATATAGTGTTTAAAATACGATGGGTGCTTGTGGCCTTAGCCTTGCGATGTACAGACAAGGCTCTTAGTAGATTACCCAAGTAAACCTAAATCAATCCCAGCAAATTCAAAACATGTAATTGTTCAAAGCTCCTGTATTAGACAACCACATGTGTTGCGCACATTTTTTCGGTCTGGAATTTAGCTTGATCATAGCGTACTGAAGATTACGGCAAACTGTATTTACATCTTTTGTCGCCGTCTCTTTGTCTCATACTGCCACTGACAGTATCATTATCGGTGTCCATATCTTCAAGGCTCGAAGACGTCGGAGAAGAAATGGACCAGAGTTTCCGTCTCCTTGGCGTTACTGTGAAGCTCAACGCACGAGTCCTCTTTCTTTTCCTTGAAGTGCAGCCACTCAATTATCACTCTCAAATCTTCCTTATTCTCCTCATTTCCATCATCGACTTCCTTTAAGAGGTCCTGGAAACTCGAGAATTGATACTTTCTCTCCCACTCCCACCACAGATCTGCCGCCTTAACCCATTTTTGGAAAAGTTCTCTTTCCTTTTCTCCCGGAGGCTTTTCATCCAAAGAGTGGTTTTCAGTACCGCTGGTGGAGGCAGAGTATCTCCAACTGGCGCCGCCAAGATAGTTGTTGTCAACGTTTCGCACGCAACTGTACTCAGGTTCTTGTAGTGGGCCAAGCCAGTACCTATGGTCCCCGTTTTCTTTGAGCCTCTTTTTGTGAAGCAGATCTACCGAGAAGTGGATATTCAGGGGACATGCGGTGTCGTTCCTGATGGGCTCTTTGTTGACTGGCTGGCTTCCACTGGCCCCAATTGGCAAGATTCCCTTGAAAAGAGACCATGCTTTGGATAGAAGTGTGAAGAACTTCGTTGTCTCTCTTTTGCTGTGATCAAATGGCAAAACTCGATCATGTCCTCCCTGTAAAAGCCCCAAAGTCAAGGTTCTCTTGAAGAGATACCATACTTTCCACCAAAATGTGAGAGATTCTGTGATATCCCCTAGTATGTATAGGAATTCTGTTAGCCTATATTTCTGATAGTGGTTACACTGAATAAAGATCTCCGAAGCCGAAAGTTTCGACAAACCTTTTGTTGATGAGAAAGTGTTGTATAAATATTTCGTTTCCCTGGCTGAGGTCTCTGAATTGATCCCTCCCCGCTGATCCACGGCTGATGGAACGCCATATAGCACAAGCTGGTCCATGCTGAATTTGGCTCCATTACCTTCACCTCCATCCTTTTTACTCCTCTTCGAAGTTACTTCTTGGATTTGAGTGATCATCCACAGTAGTGGGAGTTGTGACAGCCCCGAATCTGGATTGCCACCACCAATGTCTCCGTGACAACCTAAAAAGGCATACTGTCTCACGTCCTTTCCAGTCTTTTTAGTTTTCCATAGCATTGGCTTGTACTCGCTCCTCTTCTCATTCAAGGCAAAAGCCAAAAATGCGTTTTGGACCTTGCTTGGTACCTTTTCCCGTACAGAAGCAATGCCCTTGTGTCTGCTAAAGGGATCGAATATGGCGCTTACTGGATCGAATTCCGCGAGCACTGTGATGTTGACTTTCGACAGTAGGCTGAGTTCTCTTTTACTTTTGGGCGCGAGCACCTTCTTCAGCCGACGGAGCTCCTCCTCTTTCCCATTCGCCCAAAGCCGGAACAGCAAGCCAAGGAAAGGCAAAGCTACACGCCGAAGAAGTCCGACCTCACTCATAAATTCAGCTAAGCATCGGACAGTGAAGGCGCCTCGTGAGTAGCCGACTAGGATGATTTCGTCCTTGTGATAAGCGAAGTTGTAGTTTGAGGACAAGAAGTAATACGCGTCGAGAATGATTGAATGAATACCTACTTTGCTGGTTAGATAATAATCGTCAAGGATAGGCAGACCGTAGAATTAGAATTTTGCATACCTGCACCGGTGAACCCGGACCAATACCACTCGGTCATCAGGGAAGACAATGTGCCGACGCCAGCAGAATACCATACTATCTGAGGAACGTGGTCTATTGTTTCGTTTCTCTCCCTCGTACATTTGTAGCCGTCGAATTCAAGACGGCTCACGCTGCGGGCAAAGCGTGCCACGTTGGTCGAGTACTCCTTACTGCTCGCCGCGTCTTGCCAAGTCCCGTCGCAGCACACAAAGAGACGCTTTTTGTGTTTGTCATCATTATCGGACTCGTCATCTGTGGTCTCTTCATTATTGTCGGACTCGGTGTCTGCAGTCTCGTCTTCGCCCTCTCGTCCGCTATCGTTGTCGGATACTGTCGCCCTCGGCTCATCCTGGCATCCTTTATCGTCCCTAGGTTCTGCCGCGGTCTTAGCTTGGAAGTTACTTGTGTCTGTATCCATAGCTATAGATTTTAGAAGCAGCTGTGCCCCGACCCTAGCTATCTCATGTTACTTAGTACATGAGCAGACACGTATGTCCATGTGGGATTTGTTATTGCCTGCTCAAGAAGCACTTAGTACGGTCGGTGTTCAGGTAGCGAAAAGGTGTCAAAAAAGATTCTTGCAGAGTGCCGAATGGAATAAAAGCCCAGAATGGGACAGACAGCTTTTTGCTTTGGTAGAGAAACAAAGCCTTGCATTCTGAACATCGCAGTTACCAACAAGTCTTATATAGTCAATTCAGAAGCCCTCGAGCCCTGCCGAATACATGCGGTGCTTGTGCGGATCTGCTCGACACACACTCATTAAGCTATTTAGAATTCTCAGCAGTGGCGATCTTCGGCATGCAAACCATGCTTTAGGTACCTAGGTAACAAAATACCTACCGGTCAAGCCGTGCTGCAAGCCTCGCGACCCGAATACCCTGCCGAATACATGCAGTAATTATGTAGCGCTGCCCGAAGACCAGCCACTTCACACTCGAGAGGCCATTCAGAATCTACCATTGCCGACATTGCAGCGTAGCCTTGCTTTAGGTCACACAGTACTGAGCGGTCAATCCATACTGCAAGCCTCGCAGACTGAATGCCCCGCCGAATATATGCAGTGCCTTTGCAGATTTGCTCGAACTGCTGATCTTCTTGCATATCCATGCTTTGGGTAACACTATACTGACCGGTCAACCCGTGCGGCAAATTTCGGGGTCCACAATCATGAGCCCTGCCTCGGCGGCGATGGCACACTTGCGTCTCTGGGCACTGATGGCGCAGCCAAGGTCTCGGATAACACATGAATTGTGCAACTCAGAGCAAGATGATCAGCAGCCGTGTGTAGGAAAGAAGAGGGGTGATGTGAATGACAATACAATGCATGTGTAGGGTAGGAGCAGGGTCTCAGGTACAAAGGAATGGGGGAGGAAAAGGAAATGAAAACAGGGAGGTCATAGTATAGCAAGCCTTGTTCGTACCATCCACCTCAGTGCCCACCACAGCTCTGGGCTTACTGAAACAAGCCAGACACAATCAGGGTGACCATACACTACACTCAATACACTACATTACACCAAGTGTGTATAAATAAGTACACTACATACACTATACTAAAGCTATTTTAAATTCCACTATATTACACTATAAAACCTAGTATATGTAATGTAGTGGGTTTAAGTGTAAATAGGGGGGGTTAAGGGGAGGAGGGAGATAGAGGGAGGAAAAAGGAGAGAAAAGCTAACTAAGTAGCTAGATAAGAGATAAAATTAGATAAGATAAGAAGAAAAGAAAGAAAACTTACTTATTTATTTATTTATTTATTTATTTATTTATTTATTTATTTATTTATTTATTTATTTATTTATTTATTTATTTATTTACCTCTCTACCCCTCTTATAATTATATTTTATTTATTATATTATATATATAATTTCGCTTCTATTCTATATATATTTAAGCATATATATAGCGCCTTCATACGGTATTATATTATATATACTTATATTAAAAGCTTATATATTATATTATATTTATATTTAAACTATTTTAAATTCTATTATACTATATATAGTTTTACTTTTATTTTATATATATTTAAAATATATATAATACTTTATATAATAATAAATATTTAAAATTTAATATTTAAAAATATAATATTAATAATTATAATTATAATACAATAAATATTTATAACTTTAACTTTATAATATATAAATAAAGTTAAACAGTATTATTTTAATAATAATATTAATTAAAATATTATAAAAACGTTATATAATAAGATTAAATTTTAAAAATAATTATTATATAAATAAATTATATTAAAAGAAATTAATTAAAATTATTCTTTTAAATATATATATATTATAATAAAACTTTTATTAAATAAGTTTATAAAGTTTAATATAATAATATTTATTTAAATATATAGTTATTAGCTTTAAAAATTTAAAATAAAAAATAATTTATAATATATTATTCTTAAAACTTTTATAATAAAGTATTAAAGCTTTTAAAAAAAATTAAAAATAATTTATAAATAAATAAAAAAAATATAATAAGTTTATTTTTCTTTAAGTTTATACTTTTATTATTAATAATTATTAACTTTTTAATAATATAAAAAAGTATAATAAAAATAAAGAAAAAAAGAGGTTTATAGTTCCTTTATAAAAGAATTATAAAGATATATATAAAACTATTAAAGACTTTATATATAAGTTTTAAAGGGAAGAAATAAGTAGTTATATAGTGTAAAGGAAAAATATAGTGTGGCTGAAGCCACTACTAGACTATACTATTAAGCCTAGTATATGTAGTGTAGTATATGGCCACCCTGGACACAATAAGGTAACTAATCCTGCTTTACTTTAGAGACACGATTTAAGCCACCGCAAAAGGCCAACGAGGATCAGTCCGGAAGCGTGCCTCCTTGCAATTCAGTAGCAAAATGAAAATTCGATACTTGAATCATTCGAGCCTGCTTCGAACCCGGAGGGTCGCGTGTTGCTATCTAACATGTCGCCTGATCCTGAGCAGCGGAGTGGGAGCACAGGACTCACATGCGTCTTCCCAATCGCTATTCATCCTCAAGATAGCCACGTTTCTTTGCAGGGCATTGGTGTTGGGGCGTACAGCATTTCAGCCTACATTTCTCTGCATTACCGAGGCCCTTGTCAAATCACACACTCAGCTCAGAAACAATCACAATATACAGGCTCCGATATATGCAGCATTTAGAGTCCACAGAACTCTACTAAATCCCGCCAAGATACCAATAATCTTTTCAGGCGGCAAAAGAACCTCTTTTAGCTTACGTGTCTGGCCCTTTCAGATAAACGAGGTGCTGCTCAGCTCCGCATTGCGTGTCTAGCAATCGTACGATTAGTTTTTCCTAACCGGCATCATGGCCGCCCATCAACTTGTTCTCGCGGCGTCGCTCGTGAGCGCTGCCACCTGCTCGCCCTTAGTCCCCGATTCCAAATCCCGGGCTCGATCCCTCATCGCAATTGCTACCACCCAACGGCTTCAACAACTAGGCTCGCTCCATGGTCAGGGTATTGAATGCCTCTTTATCCCAATTGCCGAGGCTATAGTCTCCAATGATCTTCCAGAGGGTGGCTTGTTCTTCCGGCCACACAGCAGGCACTCACCCGCACCCCCCCTTTCGCTGTGAATTCAGTGAGCCCTGGCTGCCCAGCTACAGCTGTGATTTAGTAGCCGTTATTTCGCAAAACCGTTGCCTCTCTTCATCATCCTCATTAGGTCACGCCTTGCGCAAAGTGACTTTAACTTCTGTGGCATTGCATAAACAGGCAGCATTTCAATCTTCATGAAAAGCGAATTGTCGTCACAAACTCCAGTGTATGCGCAAGAGTCTCGGCCAGAGCAACACATTATTGGCAACCGTGGAAAGAATTCATCAAATTCCGCAGTCAAGTCTGCAGCTGAACAGCCCCCAAAAGCATCTCACGCCTTCATCTGTCGTGGAAATCTCGTCTCTATCGACGTCAAAGCAGCTCGGATTCCGGCGTCAGCAACCGTGCATACGATATCCATTCCCTTCGATCTGAAGCGGGGCTGGGTCCCTTTGGTCCTTTGCTTCGACTGAGCTTTTCGTCTCTGTCTTTGAATGTGAGACAGCTGAACTGATTCCCCTGCTGCACCCCGCAGCTCCAGAGCAGGTTTTTGCACGGCGTTCCGGGGCCCCGCATGACTGCGCAGCATTGCACCTTCTTTCTCAGTCTGAATGAGCCTGGGTTGCACTCTATGCATCCCCATGGACAGCGGCGCAGTGCACCACCCACTCTGCACGGATTTGAATCCGCACATCCGATTTGTTTCCGGCCCTAACACACAGAAATGGTTGCGTGAAGAGGCCCTTGGCTACATGCCTTTCTGCAAAGTGCCCTATCAAGCCCAGGTCGCTTAAATGCCTGTTACAGATCAGACACCGCACGCCCGATCTCTGATTCAGACCAGTCACTTCAGCTGTGGGAGCCATCTGCCCGTGAAAGACCGCACAGTGCAAGTGCCAGCTTCGTTACCATTGCTGACACACTCTGGACAAGGTAACGGTCTCTCAGACTGGCCGGCCTTGATGTGTATGTTGAGAAAGTGCCTCGACATGTTGGTCACAATCGCGTCGCACAGCAGGCATCGAAGTCTGTCCTCCAGTGGTACAAGGGGGATTGGGGGCGTTCTCCACTCCGTGCAAGCCCGACACATGGACGATCCAGCCGGCCAGATCCCGTACAATGTAGTCCTCCTCGCCCCGTCGACGGCACTCGGGGCACGGAAAAGGACTCCCAAACGTTCCTTTCTCTATGTGAGACTTCGTGTTGTATACCGACAGCCCGCCCTTTATGCTGGAATATACATTGTCACGGAGTAGAAACCTGTGGATTTGGACTTGACCGAGACCAGGTGGGAGGACGTTCCGATCGTGCTCGGCTTCGACATGTGCCCTCAAGTCGGAGAATTTGTCAAAGGAGGGGGCGTCCAATCTAAGCGGCAGCATTCCGGGCAAGACAGTGGCCTGTCCCCGTTGAACAGGTTTTTGTGGCGCCACTCCAGGTGGTGTTTGAGGTGGCCTGGCTTGGAAAATGGCCGACAGACCAGCAGACACCGCAGCGGAGCTTCGCTTGGTGGCGCGTGATGTTCGTGCACGTGGGCGCACATTCGTCAAGAAAAAGTCTCCTCATGGTGTAAGCGGAAACATTCGGGACAGGAGAGTGGCCACAGCCGTTGGTTTCGATGCCCCTTATTGCTGTGCTTCCAGGCATCTTCCCATGAATCGAAGCTGCTATCACTGCTGCCACTGCAAGCCCCCAGGATGCTGATGCAAAGGAAGCCCTTTGGTTGCTGCCTCTCCGTCTCGTTGAGAAATGAGATAGGGAGGCCGATGTACGCAATCTCGTGGTTTCCTCCGGCAGAGTTGTCGGAGGCCTACTACAAGAAGGAGTTGATGGCTGCACACGGTGCCGGCGTAGTTGTGTTCCCGGCTGGCGGTGCACGTAGGTCGGCCATAACTTCTCGTCCCTCCTGTGAGCGACAGGCTCCATTTCGCCGCGTTTCGAGGGTCTTAATTTCTCTTCCGCAGGAGCAATGTGAAAGTTTAAGACCAGCCGCCTCCAAAGATCCACCAACGTCACACTTTCTGTGACTGTTCCTTCAATCCCTTCTCCTTTGGCTGAGTGAAGGGCGTTCTCGCACTCGCCGTTCCGCGTATATTCGTAGGAACTTCTGGCGGATTCTGAGTGCGCGCTCACTTCTGGGCCCGGATTCGTAGAGGTCGATCCAGATCTGGTCCGGGTCAACAGCGGTCTTGGAGATGCCTGTCAGTTCTGAGGATAAGTTTAGACCGGAGCCTAGCAGCACAACTTGTTCGTACCAGCTCTTGCTGACAGAGGCACATTTCCGCCTCGTCCACCCAGAAAAGTATCCTTCCGCCGGTTTTCAATCTTCAGCGTCGGCACACCCCTGCAACATATATCCTCATTCTCACCCTGGTCTATCTTGAGCAAGGCCATTTCTAGGGCTGTCGTTCAGGCACAAGGATCGAGAAATGGCAATATGCCTTTGCAGTCATTAGCTCAAATAGGAGTCGCTATTGCCGAGGTAGTAGGGGGAAGAACAGAGAAGGAGCGAGGGAAAAGAGACGAAGACACTTGATCGGGGGACAGCTGCGCACGTTGCAAGGCAGTCCCAGCCCATACGAAGCCCAAGACACCTCATGCACCCCAGCCACTCGACTCGACAACCCGATCCACGCTAAGAGCGCCTGCAGCTTGATGATGTACACGCAGAAGGACAGCATGGTGCCTAGAGAGACCTACCAGCAAACCCAGGCTGAGCCATAGAGAAACAGAACTCATACCAAGCTAAGTACTTGTAGCAGATCTACCATATTCTGCTTCTAGAATCCCCATAAGGAGGAAAGGAGATCATGGGTCGAGATCGGGCAGAGTACAAAGCATCGAAGACCTAATTCCAGAGATAAGTAAAAGGGAAGAAGAATGGGGGAAACAGATTCCAGAGACTTGACCAAATTTCCAGAACACCGGGAATAGAAAGCAAGCAAGGAAAGGGAAACGGAAATTGGAAAAGAGACGTGTGTTGGTTGCGTGAGTTGCGTGAAATGGCAAAAAAGGACATCCGATCTCCGATACGGGGAATCGAACCCCGGGCGCCGCGGATCTCATCATGAAAACGCGGAATGTTGGCCACTACACCATATCGGATGTTGTAAGGACATGCTTCGCGCAGCTTACGTAGCTGACTAGCCGAGGATCCTCCGCCAGACTGGCCCGAGCCGTCACAAAACGGCACCGGCAGCTGGTGCATCAAAATTGGGACTTTTGAAATGAGACTTGACACTGTGGCTCAGGGTGGTTTCTGTATTGTTGTTGTTCGTGTGTTGTCGGTGATGCCGCCCCCTTTTGTGAAACACGTGTGTGTGTGTGTGTGTGTGTGTGTGTGTGCGCGCGCGTGCGTGTTTGCGAGTGACCTGTTCCGGCTCCGCGACTCACAACACCAGCATGGTAAATTAAACCTTATGGCGCAACTGCAAGCGGTGATTGTCTGTCTACCATCTCTGGCTCGCGGAAGTGATGACTTGGGCTGTCTTGTGATGTAGATCCAACAGGCGTTTTGCGGATCCGGGCAGTGGCTCATCCATTTGACCGTTTCGCCGAAATACGAGGAAAGAAGGTCTGCATTGCAGACAAGACAAGCAATGGAGAAGCCAAGGGCCCGGTCGAATCCAATGTAAAGGCGTAGCTTGGAATGGCTCTTGAGGTTGTCCTGGGGGCTGAGATGCGCGTTTGTATTGCATCGGTGCAGACGACCACATGGAATGTGTGACGTGCTGGACGCGTCGTTGCACTGGCAAAGGTTAGCAACACCCATGAGAAAGTTAACAAAGCAGAAAGAAAACTCAGAAATTGAAGCTGCTTCTCGATTTCGTTTCTGGGTTTTCCGATGGCAAGCGTTTGCTTGATTTGAAGTGGCAAAGAACAGACGAAAGACGCAACTTGGTTGGCTTGTTGCATGGTGGGTGTTGCACCAAAGTCGAAGGCACCAGACTACAAGGTACCTTCATACTTGAATACGGAGTAGCGATAGCGGGGTAGTTACTCCTCCAGCAACGCAGGGCACAGGGGAGGAACAGCACCAGAAATGGTATCAAATAATTGCAAGTTCCAGAATGCCCGTGTATGGGCTTAGGAAGTCTAGGTGAATGTCTGGGTACACCATAGCTCTCCCAGGCAAGACCAGACTGACATATATTGGCACCCAACTCAACAACCTCCTGCAATTGACTTGGGTAGGCGATATTCAGTTCTTGGGCCAGCAACTACAGCGCACATGCAATGCCAGCATCTTACTGCCGAGACCTTGCTCACCATGAATATCGTCAAACAGGCCCCTCGGACAAGGGTAGTTCGCTCATAATGGTCTCTTTTGTCTTCCGAGCCTGCCTCTAATGCATTTACACAAGCCGGCCGACGGCTTTTGGCTTCCAAGGCCATGACAACCCTCGCCCGACTCCGCCACCTCCAGTCGGCAACTGTTCCCTGAACCGCCTAGACTGCTCGCTACGCGGCCCAGACATCCTGGCCCGACTTCTCGATCCAGTTGCCCAGCTGGTTGACACTGCTGTCCCACTCAGCCAGACGCGAACGCATGCTGTCGATTTGCTTGAAGTCGAGGACCTTGGGCTGGACCCAGTTGATGTTTGCCACCTCGTCCACCTGGTCCACCGTTCCCCGGAGCAGGCCCAGGCTCAGCGCCTTCATCACGAGGTGCTCGATCTCATGGGGCTTGACCTTGGTCTCCTGCTCGATCGTCGCGAAGCTCATCGCCCGCTCGTGCGGTGGCCGCCGGAAGACGGCCTCTGTGAGCGCTGCCAGGTAGATCTTCTCCCGCAGCTTCTCCTTGTGCTGGGCCAGGAGCTTGTCCGAGTTGATGCTCCCGGACAGCTGGTCGTACTTGACCAGGTCACCGGCGTTGAATGTGAACAACAGCTCTCGCAACCACCGGTCCTTGTCGTTGTTCAGCGCGTCCAGGACAGGGTGCAGCAGCAGCTCGCCAAAGTTGTAGATGCTCGTCGATACCAGCGCCGCGGTCGCCAGGTCGTATGCCCGCTTGCGACACTCGCCGGCGTCCAGGCTCTTGATGTCAATGCATGCCAGGTACAACAGTGCGTTGCGGTAGTAGGATGCGAAGTCTTGCTTCAGGTAGTAGAAGTCGGCGTTGATCTTGTAGAAGGCGGCATGGACGACCGTCTCGACAGAGTCGAAGACATCCAGCTTCTTCTCGGCCTTGGCCAGGTCCTTGCGGGCGTCCTCGAGGTTGCCGAGGTCGAGCTTCACCTGTGCCACCGCAACCGTCGCGTACACGTATGCGTTTCTCGAGTTGGGATCCTCCTCCTCATCGGCGCTCTTGTTCTTCTTCTTCTCCTCTTCGGGGTCCACCTTCTTTGCGACTGCCTCGGTGAAGCTGAGGCGTTCTTGGAGATCTGTCTGCTTGTCAGCCGGGTGTCCTCGTGTGATTGCGCAGGATGCTGGCAGAGGACCGACCAGAACATTGTTGGGCGGCCTTGAGGGCCAGGTCGACAAGCTTCAGCTGGTTGATCTTGTCGGCGAACTGCAGGATGAAGTTGTTGTAGATGGGAAGGCGGGATGAGGCGCTCTCGGGGTTGTTGAAGATGGTGATCAGGGTCTCGGTGAGCTCGTGCCAGAGCTTCTGCTCCCAGAGATCTTGCAGCCGCAGGACATCGGCCTGAAGGTGTTCTGGGGACTGGAGCAGGATCTCCTGCAGGAACGCCTGCGTGCTCTCGTCGTTGCTCATGTTGTTGTCGGTACCGAACGGGGAGCACCAGACAGCAGTGGACTGTTACCCTTGTTGCGTACCGTACGCACGGTCTGACTGACTGATTATGGGTATGGGCAGGTATTCCGCGTGCTTGGTTCGTCTCGATTATCGTCGGATCGCAGGAGAAGCTATTCGGGAGGAGGAGAAAGAGATCTCTGGGGAGTCCGTGGTTGAGTGGCTGATGTCGATGTTGGCAGGCAATCAATGGTCGCTAGGGTCGACGCGGCTGGAGTGCAGCCTGTGGTCGAGCTCCAATTGTAGAGAGAGCTCCAATGACGCTCTAGAACCGGGTTGGCCTACTAACCCAACAAGGGAGCACTACAGAGCGAGGGGGGGGCGGGAGGGGGGCAGACGGGGGGAGGGTGCCCCCAGGCTGCTTTGCTGGCTTAGGTAATACCTGCCGCTGCTGGCTCTTTGGCTGGCCCAAGCGTCCTCTGCGGCTCGGCATTGTTGCTTGGGAATTGGTAGCGTCTGGTTGGAGCTTGCCAATTACCAGTCCGAGGCGAAGCTTCATCGAATTCCCGACGACGGTCGACAACCCATTGAACACAACACCGGCCTTCTTGCGACCGCGGATTCAGCAAGGATGGCTTCCATACCGACCGCATCGCGAGCCTTCCCCAAGATCGCCCGGAAAGCCATCCAACAACGATCGATACAGGATGTCGCGATTACACGCACCGGGAAGCCTATCATTCGAGTTCAGGGTGGAAGGTAGCCATTCAAGAGCCCCTCGCTCCGTTCCAGATCAAGGACTGACCCGTGCTCGAACAGGTCGGCGCTAGGCGGTACGATTTGACGGCAACGCCCCATGTTCGCGAGGCAATGGATCTCTGACACGGCAGCACAGGACACACGGCGACGGTATTCGGCGCAACGGGACAGCTCGGACGGTACATTGTCAACCGATTGGGTACGCTCAGGGGGGAATGCCGAGCAGAGGAACAAAGTCGCTGACGGAGAATCGCACAGCTCGGCAAGGATGTCAGGTTGTCATCCCGTACAGAGAGGAGATGGCCAAGCGCCACCTCAAGGTGTCGGGAGATCTGGGCAGGGTGAACTTCATTGTGCGTGCGGTGCTGTCTTGGTGTTTCAGGAGTGATCGCTCATCTGCAACCAGGAATACGACCTCCGGAATACCGAGTCGATCGAGGAGGCCGTCAGGCACTCAGACGTCGTCTACAACCTGGTGGGCCGGACATACCCGACCAAGTACGCCAGCAGACACCGAGGTCGGGGGCTTTTGACTGACATTTTGAGTTCAGGAACTTCTCTCTGGAGGATGTCCACGTCGAGGGAGCCGGTCGGATCGCAGAGGCTGTGGCCAAGTACGACGTAGACCGCTTCATCCACGTGTCCTCCTACAATGCGGACCCCAACTCCCCGGCAACATTCTTGGCGACCAAGGGCCGTGGTGAGCAGGTGGTTCGGGACATCTTCCCCGAGACGACCATCGTGCGGCCTGCACCACTGTTCGGATTCGAGGATCAGCTGCTGCTGAAGCTCGCCGGCCAGACGAACCTGTTCACCTCAAATCACATGCAGGAGAAATACTGGCCAGTCCACGTAAGCTTTGGCCCAATGGGGTCGGACAGTCTGGTGAAGCAGCTAACCGTGCGTAGTCTATCGACGTCGGCCATGCCCTGGAGCTGATGCTGTACGACGACAACACCGCAGCACAGACGTTTGAGCTCTACGGGCCCAAGCAGTACTCTACTGCGCAAATCGCCGAGCTGGTGGACAGGGAAATCTTCTCCCAGCGACGACACATCAACGTGCCCAGGAGCATCCTGGAGCCCGCTGCTAAGCTTCTGAACCAGGTGCTGTGGTGGCCCTGGATGTCTGCTGAGCAGATCCAGATGGAGCACGTCGATCAGGTGATTGACTACAAGGCGAAGACCTTCAAGGACCTCGGCATTGACCCAGGTGACATCAGCAAGTTCACATACCACTACGTGGTAAGTCCTTCCCGGCCTTGACCCTCAGCAATCCAGATCTTTAGTTGTACTGATCCCCCTTGCAGCAAGGCTTCCGTAGCGGCGCATTCTACGATCTGCCGCCAGCGAGCGAGAAGGAGAAGAGGGAGGAGAAGAAGTACCTGCATGTGCTGGATGATCAATAAAGGAAAGAGAAAAATGGCCGCGGGCACCTCGACATTCAGGGGGTGTACGGCCTGTAAATACGTAGCTAGATTTCTTTGCGTTTTCAAATCAGAGTGCAATGCGAAGAACCAGGCACGCTACATCGTGACAGAATTAAGCGGCGACGATATGCCCTTCTTTTTGTTGTTTCTGAGTTGCTATGATATGGATCAGGGGAGCCAGGAGCCCCGTTGGGCTGGGCTGTTGTGCAGTCAAAAGCGGCAGCACCTGATCTAGATCGACCCTCGGAAAAAGCGCAGGCGGCAGAACCACCCCAAAACCACCCCAATTCCACAAGCCCACGCCCAAAGTCCAGGATTCGAGGCCTCATCGCAAGGCCCGAATTGTGTGAAGTACACTCATTCCCTCGACCGAGAGAGCGTTCAGATGGCAGACAGCAGCGACGATGAGCCCATGTGAGTAAGAGAAATCCAAAAGACCCGCAAAAATGCCCACACAAGCCAGCGACGATCGATCGCCGAGACACCAGATGACGGCGCGGGGCCAATGAACGGGATTGGCATGACTAACAGACGAGCCTCTGTCTCTTTGCGGCCCTGCAGAACCCTGTCTGCGCACGCCCTCGACGCCCTGCAGGACTTCTACTCCGGCAGGGACGCCCGCGCGAGGCAGTTCGAGGAGCTCAAGGCCGCGGCCGAGGAGCGCGAGGCGGAGGGCAGCGAGAAGGAGGCCGCGCTGGTCTACCCGCTGTCCATGGAGCTGTTTGGCGAGGACTGGAACAAGTCGCAGTTTTGGGTAGGATGCATCCTGATTCTTGGGCTCCCCAGAAACATGCCAGTCTGGGGCGGGCGGCCATAGACGAGGGAGAGTGAGAGTGCACTGCAGTGCAGTGCAGTGCAGTGTTGCTGACCCGTGTGAAACCTGCACGCAGTTCTCGGACGAGACGGCGGCCTTGTACGCGAGGCAGCTCCTGGAGGGGGCCACTTCCGAGACCAGTATCGCCGTCGTGTCGACGCCGAGCGTCTTTGTCGCGCTCAAAAATATTCTTGTAAGTGGCCCCTTGACATCTATTCCGTCCTATATCTGTTGCATGTGCGTTAACTCGCTGCCTTCTTGCGGGCCTCGTCACCGCCCGGGACCCCCAAGCCGACCCTCACCCTCCTCGAGCACGACCACCGCTTCGGCGTCTTCTCAGAGTTCCTGTTCTACGACTTTATGCAGCCCGTCAAGCTCCCGGGTAAGCCGGCTCCGGCCCAATGTCTCATCGATGGCTTGGCCCCCACAGTTATTTCGTCGTCTCCTAGACCCCTAGGCTGACTTGGATGCGCACACAACACACAGCCAGCTTGAAAGGCAGCGTAGACCGCTTCATCATTGACCCGCCGTTCCTCAGCGACGACTGCCAGACCAAGATGGCCCTGACCGTAAGGTGGATGGCCAGGCCGGCCGCAGCGGACGTCAGGGTCATCGTGTCCACCGGCGAGCGCATGGAGGGCCTGGTGACCAAGCTGTACCGGGGGTTCGGCATCAAGACCACGGACTATGAGCCGGCGCAGGGGCTGAGCAATGAGTTCTTCACTTACGCTAACTTTGACAGCGAGGCCTGGGGCTGGAGACCGGACATGCAGGATCGGTAGTTCTCACGGCGTTTTCGGGAACACTTTTCTTGACAGACAACAAGATTATGTAAGGGGACAGCACAGAAACCCGACCATGTATGGAACAGGGCAGAACAAATCTGAACTTGACGACGATACCTTCTTTCCCGTGTAACGCCTGCCGACAATGCTGGGCCGGGACCATCCCGGCCCGTAATATTTTTTTTCTTTTGTCTTGCCCAGATCAAACCAGACGGGGAAAGGAGAAAATAGAGGTATCCCGGACACCGTATGTCTTTGTATGCATGCACAATCGTTACTTCCAAACGCACAAATCCGAGAAACTCCGTACATCAGGTCCACCAGCAGCCCCGCGACACCTGTCCCCGTTGTCACGCCAGGGTCCGGACAATGTAGAACAGCAGATAAGCCTTGGCGGCGAGCACGTCGGCCTTGGACGCCAGCTCTACCCGGTGGTCATTGAAGGTGAACCACTGGTTCTCTGTCAGTCATGCACATGTTTATAACTCATCGGGGCAGATGACGGAATCGTCAGGGGAGTCGCTCACCTGTTCGCCCACGCGGCAGTAGCAGATGTAATGGCCGGTGTCGATCTCGCCAACGTGCACGACAGCACACATGAGGTCGTACGTGCACGACCTCGACAGCTCGTATGCCTCCTTCGCGTCTGCGCTCCTAGCGCGATTTGTATAGGGTAGCATGTTGAGCTGCAACGGGAAATTGACCTGCGTCTCGATCTTGGCTGCCGACTTGTCTCGGGTCCCGTTTCGGAACTCAAAGCGCTGTCATCATCAGATTCAGTAACGTAGAGGCAGACTTTTGGACAAGGGCCGAGCAAGTAATGCACACAGGAGAGGGGACGAGCTACGATAACTGCTTACCTTGAGCTGAATAGACAAGACGTTGGGGAGCCTCTTGATGCTGGTGTTTCGCCTGGCCTGTTGGGTGCCGTCGCACTTGTTGCAGCGGTACTCGCACTTGTCCGACTTGACGTACTCGTCCTCGAGGCATTCCTGCAGGGTCATGGAGGTCTTGCCGTGGCTCGCCTTCTTGCCTCGCTTCTGTGCCAGGTTCTCCAAGCCCACGCTCAGGTCCAGAAATGACTGTACCTGGTTCGTAACGCCGCCACAGTTCTGGCATGTTGTCGTGGTCTGCAATTTGCCGTAGTAGGTCTGGTGGATGATGCAGTTGCAGCTGTGCTCACTGCCAATCTCGGGCCTCTTGCCGTCGCCATTACGCTCGTGCAGTTCCTCGGCCAGGAATTGGAAGAACTCGTGGGCATCCTGCTCCTTTGTCGTCACCAGGTTCTCGAATGCCTTGTTCTCCGATATCCAGAAGCTCGACAGGATGTTCGCTGCGGTGTAACCATTAGTAACCTCGGAGCCCCAAAAATCCTGGAACATGTCGTCCATCGCGCAACTGAGGCAGTGTGGAATTTCGCAGTTACTGCTTGAGTGACCATCACTCAGGTAAAAGTTCCGCAGGATGGGGTTGTGCAGGAAGCTCTGAAGTATGACGTTCTGGTAGCAGGTCGCGCCGGCATTGTATATACCGCGCAAGCCATCTGCGCGACATGACGGCATTATAGTATTTGCGGTGATGATCTTGGGGTCCTCCTTGATGGCCTCGGCCAGAAGCTCATCGTACTTCCTCTTGCGACCTGGATGCTGTTAGCCCCGATGCGCACGTCCACGTACCGGTGACCGCCGGAGCTCGGGAACACAATTTGAGGGTCGTGGTTAGGAGGGGGAGGGAATATCGTGTCTTACTTGAGAAGGTACCTGTGTCGATCTTGCGGTTCCGCAGGTCCTCTAGGGTCGGGTCCCAGACGAAGTCATCGCACATGTGGCAGAATAGCGACCCACTTCTGGAATCGATGACTTTGTGGACTGCGTGTCAGCTTCCGGTAGCACCATGCGGTCTGGCGAGCGGCATGGCAACCTACAGAAACGGTGGCCCTTCTTTGTGCCGTGCTTTGCCATGGTCTCCTCCTTCTCGATGGCCGGGCACTGCAGGCACAGATAGTTGCTGGTCAGGGTGCTGATGAGCCTCCCGTCCGAGTCCTTGCGCATCTGTGGGATTATAGGAACATTGTCGAAGATGGAGCGCAGGATCGCCTTGTAGTGCTGTATGCATGAATTGGTGGTCTCCTGATTCTGGCTCAGGAGACGCTGGGCATGCTCTACATCTCATGTCAGCTGGCTCGAGTGTTGGACATTGCGCATAGACAGCGCAAAGAAGTCAAGTTGCATGACATTGGGCATGACATGGCCGTACCGCAACCAAACACCGGAATACCCTGGACGGGTGAGTTGATCTTGACATTCTTGGGCGACGCTGGCGTTTGCGGCCGGGTTGCCATGTTGGGTGTTTCAGTCCCTTCTCTTGCGATATTTGAACAATTATAGCGGCTCCCAGACGGAGGGGCGACTGTAGAAGCCTCCTGTATGCGAGGTGTGCCGCGCAGGAATCGGAAGCCGTTTGCGAATGCAGGTGCAGCGACGAAGACCCGCCCGGGAAGTTCTCGTGGCGATGAGTAGCGAAATCCGCCAGTTCGGACCGGTCCAAAGCTCGCCCGGGACTAACAGCCTGGTGACGGCGATGGCTCGTCCAACAGCCTGTCTATCCGTCCCGTCCGCAATCGCACAGGAACCTCGGCTCAGCGGAGTGGGTCGTGCGAAGGAAGGGGAAGTCGGAGGCGGATGTCGATGCGGACGAGGACTGCGACGCGGGTGTGGAGGGCGCGAGGAGGGACCGACGTGCAAGCTGGCAGCCACACGAGCAAGTCAGCCTGCATTGCCTTGTCGACTAGATTGCGGACGGAGGACGGGAATGCTTCGTATATCGCACTCACCAGAGCTGTTCAGTATAGGAGGTGGCCTACCATGACCAGCAGATTGCGACTGGGCAAGAGTTGCGACAGGCAGACAATTGACAAGCACATGTCATTATCCCAACCGACCAGCTTCTTCCTCATTACGGGTGGCACGCGGGCGGGTGCTTGTAAATTCTTATCGGCCATGGGACGGCCCAGGAACCTGGAGCAAAAGCTTATCGCGCTGCTGGGCCATTACAGCAGGGATCATTCAGCACCCACGGCCTCTACTGTGGTAATGCGTTGCACCCTGGCGCACCCAACAACTGCCCTGCCTACTTACCTAGTACTCACCTGCCACACTTCAAGTTGAGGTGGTCACATAGTCATGTAGGGACATAGGTACTTAGGTAGATATGGTGCGCGACAGGGGCAACTTTCTAAAAACCGACATTACCTTCTATTAAAACTATTAAAACTATTAAAACTATTAAAACTATTAAAACTATTAAAACTATTAAAACTATTAAAACTATTAAAACTATTAAAACTATTAAAACTATTAAAACTATTAAAACTATTAAAACTATTAAAACTATTAAAACTATTAAAACTATTAAAACTATTAAAACTATTAAAACTATTAAAACTATTAAAACTATTAAAACTATTAAAACTATTAAAACTATTAAAACTATTAAAACTATTAAAACTATTAAAACTATTAAAACTATTAAAACTATTAAAACTATTAAAACTATTAAAACTATTAAAACTATAAAAACTATTAAAAAAACTAAATATCTTTTTAAACTAATTATATATCTTCCTACTCTACCTTTACACATGCTAGGATTCAACAACTTACTCTGCTGCTGCAAGTCTACATTTACATGAATAGGATCCGCACTTTATTGCTTAAATATCCCTTCTATTATTATAAGTCCACTTCATGTAGATTGGCATGAGGCATAACTAACTACCTAGGTAGTCAACTCGCTTGCAAAGTTCAGATCGTTCCAATGTGACGTGCGTGACAGATCTTGGAACACATGGCCTGATCGACCGACACCGCGCAAGCACAAGCACGCCCAGCGCGCCCCTCACGGGGTTCGCATAAATGTCGCCGTCCGTCCCTGTCTTCCAAATCCCAAAGACCAGTTCCGCTGCCCTCGCACCACAGCCAATATCCGCCTGCCCGTGCCCGCGCTACATACGACATGCATCCATCTTACATGAACACCAAGATCCAGCCTTGGCGGATACCCGCTACACGAACACGAAAACGTTCCTTCGTCGGGGTCAGCCCACAAAAGTTTGTGCGCACCGGGCCCAGCTTATGTGGTTTCGCTTCTATTCCGTATACGTCCAAGGACATACATAGCGCCTTCATATAGTAGAAAGTACTTAAAACCCAGCGCTTAGAAAGAATGTAATATTAATAATAATAATAGTTATAGTATAATAAATGCTTATAGCCTTAGCCTTATAACACATAGACAAGGCTAAGGGGTACCGTCTTAATGAATGATAATAATAAACATGTAAATAATATAATCGAACCTTGGGAGCCTTATAATACCGCACAGATGAGGCTAGTCAAGACCGGCAGCAGACTAGATCCGTCAACACAAGCAGCCCATCACTATCCAACACCAACTTAGGGTAATCAGTCACACGGCGAGCGATCTAATCTCGCAGAAGCCTTGTATAAAAAGGCCCCACAGCTGCAATCCCAGCTTACTTCAAATGTTCTCCATCCCACATCCATATAACATCCATATATAAAGCAATCACAAGATTATACAAGCTCCCAAAGAAGACCTTACTACGGTAAGCCTGAAGAGACTACAGCTATGATACAACTATAAACTTCTAACATTAACAAATAGATCAAAATGGACAAAGCACCCAGCACACAAGACTATCTGCTCCGAGCACTGTCAAGAGTTGGCGGCAATCTTTCTGGCGCAGAAGCCGTGGTCGAAGGTCCCAGCTACCAACCGCAGACCCAGGCAACGCGAGAAACTTTCGACTTAATAAAAACCATCGTGGCCAAGAAATCGGACGTTGTGCGCATTGTTGCCAACGCCATACTGGAGTGTCTGAAGGACAAGTTTCTCAAGGACTTTGACAAGAAGAAGGAAATCGAGGATCTTCTCGATAGCTCTTTGAGTCCGGAGGAATTTGATGAGCTGGTCAATCTCGGCAAGAACATCACGGATTATGTAGATCTTGTAGGAGACTCTTTGAGCCCTTTGAGTGTGGAGGAAATCAATGAGCTGGTCAATATCGGCAAGAAAATCATGCAATCTGACGATCTTCCAGAAGACTCTTTGAGTCTGGAGGACATCAACAAGCTGGACAATCTCGCCAAGAAATTTACGGATTGTAATGCAGAGGATGAGGAGGATAAGGCCACCATGCCCTAGGGTACTGTGGGCAGGAGCAATGGACCTACGGGCGGGGTGGTCAAAACAAGCCCTCTCCAGCCAATTTTAGTGGGAGATTCCTTTCCAGAACACATCAATACGAACCTACCAATACACACAGTCATTTGCCGGCAGGCCTACGCACACATACACAATTGGAAGTCTTCAGTGCCCTCAGTGTTATAGCCGCAGCGGGCCTGGGGCTGGCAGGTGGAGGGTGTTGCGCACAGACCACTTGCTGCAGTATTATTTGAAATTCTATAATTTTGAGCAAGACTTAAGAGCTTCGCCTCTCTTATGTCCCTCCTATGACATAGCTCAGCTGAGGGCTGAAGTACGTACAACTGTCTGGTTCTTGACAGGCAGGCTTGTTTACTTGCATCTACATACCTAGGTAAGTACTTAGGCACCCAGGATAAGTACGGTAGTAGGTAGTACACTTGGAGCACGGTGCACACAGAACCTCCCTTTCCCAGCGGCCAGTCCCGGCGCCGGCTCGGCGAGCTGACCTGGGCAGGCAGGGCCGCGCCCTTCGCACACCATCCGGCGTGCACATGATGTGGCGATGCCTCGGCTTGACCGGGCACCAACCGTGATTGATTACCCGGACAGTGAACTCTCAGCAGCGGGCAGTGGACCGGATGCGCCCGACACTTGCACTCGTCGCAAAGTCCAAGATGGCCACCCAACTCACCCACCTGCCCGAGGTGCAACGGCTCAGCCCGGCCTGCATCCGCATCCTCGGCGGCAACCCCGGCAAGTTCACCCTGCAGGGCACAAACACGTACCTCGTCGGCACCGGGTCCCAGCGCCTGCTCATCGACACGGGCGAGGGTAAGCCCTCCTGGGTTGCGGCCCTCAGGAGGACCCTGGCCGAGGAGAACGCCGTCGTCTCCCACGCCCTGATATCACACTGGCACGGTGACCACCAGGGCGGTATCAAGGACCTTCTGGCGCTGTCGCCCGACACCAAGGTGCTCAAGAACCAGCCCGAGGACGGCCAGCTGGACATTGCCGACGGCCAGAGGTTCAGCGTCGACGGGGCGACCCTCACCGCCGTGCACACCCCAGGCCACACCGTGGACCACATGGTGTTCGTCTTCGACGAGGAGGACGCCCTGTTCACCGCCGACAACGTGCTGGGCCAGGGCACCGCCGTCTTTGAGGACCTGCCCACCTATCTGGCCAGCCTGGACAGGATGAAGGATCTGTTCAGGGGCAGGGCGTACCCGGGCCACGGCCCAGTCATCGACGACGGGCCGGCCAAGATAAAGGAATACGTCTCCCACCGACAGCAGCGCGAGGACCAGATCACCCAGACCCTGCGGTCGGTCAACAGCGCCACCGGGACCGCCCTGTGGGAGCCCATGGAGCTGGTCAAGGTCATCTACCACGACGTGCCCGAGACGCTGCACCTCCCTGCCCAGGGCGGCGTCATGCAGGTGCTGCAGAAGCTGGAGGGGGAAGGCAAGGTGTCAAGGGAGGGCGGTAGGTGGGCCCTCGGTGACAGGTCAGCCCTCTAGCTAGCCCCTGGACGTCGCATGCTGCAGGCGGTTCATTCACATAGTGGTCAGCGCCCAAACACCCGGGGTTGAACAACGTACATTGCCGATACATCAGGAATCTTAGACCTTGGAATCTTCTTCGGTCAAATTGCGGTCCACATACTTGTGGTTTTACTTTTGTTGGGCAATCTACCCACTTCCATGCTTCAATTGATGACTCTTGTCGAAGACAGGCTTTACTGATTTCGCTTCCGTATACGTCCGAAGCCATATATGCCACCTTTACACAGGTTCAAGCACTGGAAGACCCAGCATTTTAAAAGTATACAATGTTTACAAGAGTGATACAAGCACGATATAGATATGATTAAGAAGCAAAACAATGCGGAATTTCGAACAGGCCTCTATAAAGTAACTATAAGTATATATAGAGATGTTAAAGACTTTCTATGTGGGCCTGGCCTGCTGGGGAAGAGTCTGACGGCTGAGCAGATAGCAGACAGAGAAGACAGACAGTAGAGAGGGAAAAATGAACAAGCATTTGTGTTCCCTTGAACTTGTTCAATACCTAGGTATCAAGCGAATGATCGTCCTTATGCGTCAACTCCGCTGGTACCTCTAATTAGTTCGAGAAGCTCATCATTTGAGACTACTGGTTTTGCGATTCATTGGATTTCAACTACTGCTGCTTTACAAATTACGGCTTCCGGCATATACAGAATAGAGCGAGGCCACCTGGGCAGTTACACGTCGGCCGGCCATTTATGACTTGTCCCTTGATAGCATCCAATTACTGTGAACCAACGCACTCCTGAGGTCTCCAAAACAGCCACGTTTGCGCGACGCATACCTAATTGGGGGATCAGCTGAACTCTATATTCCCTCACCGACCCGCAGCTGGTCGAGCACTGTTGTGCGGGGGCGTGGAAAAACATAAAGGTGTCGAGTCTTTGTGAGGCTCAATAACATACGGGCGGGTTTGTATCGTGTAAATTTACTCTGGGAGACAGATTAGTAATAGATGGTTGCAAGGACTTGGTCTTGGGTGGCTACTTGGAAGTGTTGATCCTGAGAGAAGCAGCCCTCAGGTGTTGAAGTACAGCTGCATTGTAGAACAGTTCAGGCTTAGCCCCGTTCCCTGATCATGTACCTGATTAGTTGCAAGGTTTTCATAGGACCAGTGCAGTAGTAAGTGGCCGTCGGGCACAGCAGTATTGACTTTTGAGAGATTGTAGAGTCGCTGGCAGATCTACCTTCCATCGGCAGTGCTACGGGCCAGAGAGTTGGCGAGTCTAGGACCTTGAAAATGTTTTGGGTCGAGTTTTTTGTATGCCAGGTTGTGAGCGACTCCATGCTGCTAGATCGAGTGGCCAGCCTGTGCTGTTCCAGCTGAGATCAAAGAATGCCATGGGCAGTTCCTCCTACATCTAAGTCGAGATACAAGATAGGCTTACTACCACTGAACACACTTGACCAATGGGCGCGAGATTTGTTTCGATTGCATTTCTATTGATTTTATGTTCGATGGAAGCTGGTACGTGCTATCAAGCTTCGCCTGCGATGCGTGGTGGGTGTTTGACGACACATGCTCGTGCTAGAGTGTTTGCTTTCGCAGCTCTCCTAGTGATGCCCAGGTGGAATGCCAATGAATTGGGCGCCCTTCATCTGCAAAACTCAAGACACAATGTGAGAGGGGGGGGCAAAAGGTTTGGAGGAAAAAGAGAAGAAAAAAAAGGCGCCCGCCAGAGTCGAACCTGGCTCCCCCTGCACTCGTATATCTGGGCCCAATATCCAAGTCGCACCACATTTGACTTGAGCCACGGCCCGGGGGACTGACCGTGGCCACCTTTGCGGTGAGATTGTTTGGGATGGGATGGTTTATAAAGGTAGGGGCAAGGGGCATTCTGTCTGTCAGTTAGTGACTGACTGTGTGGCACGCGTGGGCGCGGTCTTGTCCCCCAGTCCAACCTACGCGAGGTGGAAGCTCCTTCGACTACCCCTGTCACCTTCACAGCAACACACATAGGAGGACTTTTGCTTCTCTGGGGGTTTTGAGATGTAGCTGTTCATAGGTTACGGCCATTGTGCCAAACCAAGGGCCATGTACGGTGGCTCTGCTGTCCCCCGAGTTCAGTCATTTCAACTTGGAATACTCAAACAAGCTCCGACAGACATTCTACATCATTCCAAAAATCCACAAAGCAAACAAAATCAAACTGAGACACCAATTGAGGTCACGAACAAACCTAGTCGAAGTCTCCAGCTTGCAGTGTCTCGTCGCTCGAGCCAAAGCCAGCCACCATGTAGACAGTGTCTTGTTCGAATGAAGCAGGAAGGGAATCAGACTTGCATTTTGTTTAACTCTGTACTTTCGCCTCTGGTGTGATATAAGATCAGGACAAACGCAGATGAGCTAAAGGCAACCTTGAAGAATTCACCTGCAGTCGAATGCTTCATCCATTGGGAGCTACATCACTTCTCAGCACAACGTGATCTCGAAATCACATCTCAGCATCGCAGATGTCACTGCGTCAAAAACACTTGCCGATGTCAAGGTCCACGTCAAAGCAGCCCGGCTCGTTCTTACACACTCAACTCACCGAGACCAAATCAACTTCAACGTTAGCCCTAGACCAGAAAAGAACCCTGGGAATGTATTATCATGAACGTGTTTGTTGTTGCAGCCACGAAATTGTCCGAGTACCTGTAAGGATCCTTTCGTGGGCTCAAGGACATGCCCCTCCAAACTTGACAAAGCACCGTCATATGTGGCCGTACCAACGGGCCCTCGCACTGGGCTCTTCTCCTGTCACACAAGTTATCTACCTAGCCCACCCACCAAACAGAGCGCCTGAACTGAAAGCTGATAGGCCTGCGCTCTGCTCGAAGTTCACCCGCAGATTGCATTTGTAATCCAAAATCAACTATGTTGAGGCTTACGAACGGATCCACATAAGATTGGGGGCCGGGGAGAGCAGGAATAAAATAGCAGAAGTGAATAGACTGTGTACAGATTAAGCATCCGCAACCCCATCAAGAGGACTTGATTACATGGAGGCTTGGTGCCCGTCTACCTCTCCTGAAAACGGGCAGATCAGCAAGGGTCCGACGTTGCACAAAAGACCAAGTGTGCTGACTATGGCCCAATTCCCCGAAACGTCCACTGGGCTGGTGCTGATTTTCGCAATGCTTCGGCTTCTTTGAGCCCCAGAGAAATTCATAAGGTAGTGGCGCATTGACATGGCCAAGCACAGAGCATTGCGCGTCTTAAGCAACTGGCCCTCGCAAGTCTCAAGCCACTATCATAAAGGTGCAGTGTGTGCGTAGTATCGATGTTACTCAGGCTGGCCCTAGCTTTCGTATGTCAGTCACTGGTTCGTAGAATGCCGCATGTTATAGAACATAATATCGTTGAAATGCCATGGGTAGTATGTTACTCCATCAAGAGAGGTCGTCAGTTTTACGGGAAAAGTGGGCATCAAACGTCCGCCGATAACCCGGGAGGCAGCGGTGACCGCCCGGCCTGGGGTGCCGTGTCCAACTCTGGAGAAACGCACATCCGAGGGATTAGTCACGACATGGACGTCAAATACACCATAGCTGATCCTGACCTGGTTTTAGCGCACGGATCATGTGAGGGACTGTCTACCCCGATGGAAAAGCTCTTGAGCAGAAGTCCCAGCATCCGTTGCAGTGGCCCAGCTCGGTTGATTCGACGGTCCTGTCTTTTTGGCCGATGAGGCAGGTCTGGTGATTCGAGATTTCTCCGGTCTGGGGTCGAACGATGTCGGGGAATTCGACACCCGTGAGACTCCGAGCGCGACGGTGTGACTGATCTGGCATACTACGGCAGATCGAGACCGGCCGAGAGAAGGCTCTGCGCTTCATGGTGGGTGCCGTTACTGGCAGTGGCCCCCACCGGCGTCGCGGCAGCAAGCGAGCCCGAGTTCTGGGTGGCTGGGCGGAGTAAGAACATTTCACGGCAGCCTCGGAGCGGGAATTCCTGTTGATGAATCTCACCCTGCATGCGGGTGGGCGAATGGTTGCATGAGAACCCTGCAGACGTCAGGTCAGGCGGGCAGGGAGGGGAACATTCGCGACTACATGCCATGGCAACCAAACAATATCAGCAGCCTTTCTGCCTCTCCCGCCCGAAGCCCGAGTCTGGAGAGCCCCACAGCCAGAACCCGGGCGGCAGACTTGCATATCACACCTGCTGTAATGTGGGCTAGGCAGGACACGCGCGCATGGCATTGGGTTGGGTTGGACAAAGGCTGGCAGCGACCGAACTGGCCCGATATGTCCGGCCAGACAAATCCTGGTCAGCCTGCCCCCGTGGGTTCGGTTAGGACCCGCCTGCAGCATTTTGCAGACAGGGATCAAGGCTGCCAGGGAGGCAGAATCTGAAAGATTCAGTATAGATTTCGCGATCGGCCCCAACGTTGGCCATGTCTGTCAGACAGCGCGTTTAGCCATGGTTGTACAACGGCACAACCGTTGCCAGAATTGACCCGACCCTGGCGGCGCAGCAGGGACTTCGCGGCTGGACCACCACTACGGCACGTAGGTCTACTTATTAGTACTGTCGTGCAGGATTGATGCAGTGCAGCCGGTGGCTTTTTTTAGGCGGCCGCGACGCAAAGGTGTGAACGAGGTAGTGGCCAGGCAGGCAGGTAGCGCACGGGTCCTTATCGCAATCGTGAGAAAGTGAGGCTCCGTAGATGCCGGCAGATCCTGGCACTGTGACCAGGGGCTTGGGCTCCGGGGTGACGTCGCGACGCTAGCCCGGCCCTGTGGGTAACAAACTGCACGGCGGCGTGAAATCGACGATCGAAGCAGCCCATGGCCGATGCCAACAGTGGCTAGCGACCACCTGCGCTCGACTGGGGGCCTGCGAGATCGTACGAGATAGCCCAGTGTCTGGTCGAGGATGCTGCCACCTGTGTCGCGTCTCCATGCAAGCTTGAGGCGAAACGAAACGGGGGCGCTGCCCCTGTGGCATCGTAGCAGTTGGCGGAGTTGATAGCTGAAACCCGGCGTGCCGTTGTTTGACGGATTTTGGTGGCTCGCGCCGGCGCCGCGCCCGCGCCGCACAGCACAGCACAGCACCGCACAGGAATGCCCAGGATGCACAGGAAGTTCTCTGGGTTGCGACAGAGTTCAGCTGACAAGACGAACATGGATTGGAAACCTGGCCAGGGCGTGGGGTCTGTTGTCTCGTGGCGCCGAGCAAAAACCCCGGGCTGACCAACTCAACTCCGGGGATGCCTCTGCTGCATGCGTTGATGTGTGTAAGTCGGTCTGTAGGGCGACAACAGGGCGACAACAAAGTCCTAGTTGCAAGTGACTCATGAGCCGATCGCCTTGCTCTTATGCATGCAGTTGCCAGCGCGGTGGGAGTAGCGTGAGTCAGCACTTGAGATTGCTTGGGCTGGGCAGGGCTGGGCTGGCTGGCTGGCTGGCTGGCTGGCTGGCTGGCTTGTCGACTTTGCTGCAACAAGTCTGGCCCAACGACCACGTTGGTGGTGAGGAAGGGTGGCATGTGATGGAGATCGTGCGTGACTGGGCCGGAGTTTGCGGATGGACCGGAGGAGGGTCAGCACGGCGGCGGCGAGGGCGGGACACACAAAACGCGAGGACGAGGACGAGGACGAGGTTGTCGACGGTGTAGAGTAGTCTAACTCGAGAGCTCGACGAAGGCGGCCCGGTCGACAGGGACACTCGAAAAGGACCCCTCACAGTCTGTACACAGTGTGCGATCTCCGAGCCTTGCCCAGCCTTGGGGGAGAGCATGCAGCAGCTCCTTAGCTGGGCGGACGACGGTTGGTTTCTCTGACCCAGCCAGAAAAAAAACCACCCAAGAAACTAAACACCTTGTCGCGCCGTCTCGGCAGCCTCGGATGCTAGCTCCTACTGTACCAGCGCACCCAAGGCAAGTTGGCAAGCAAGGCGGCAGTCAGCTCAATAGTGTGTTGTCAGTGACTGCCCAGGTGGTCGGTGAGGTCATGCCGTCGGGATGCGAAAGGGATGCAAGAGGGATGTGGACCTTCTCAGGCCGAAACGGATGGATTCAGACGGATCCCAAGGCCTGTCGTCGTTCGACGTTGTTTCCCATTGCATTACCAATCCGGCCGGCGCCTGTTGGCCTGCACGGTTGAACCCCCATGGCAGGTACGAAGTACCTCGGTACCGTGCTTGCTCCATTCTGCCCAGTGCCCACATCCTCCATACAATGGACCACCACGAACGGGCCCAGTCCGAACAATATAACATGCGCCCGCCTCGCCTCGCCCTCGCCTGGGGCCTGCCGTCCCATGCCACAACTGCCTCACTCTCGTCACGACCCCCTTTCCCAACACACATATCCATACCGGTACATACCTGGCACCCGTCACCGTAGCTGTTTGTTTGCGGCCAGACTGATGCCCGCTTGAACACGCCCTCACCGCCGCACCTCCACAGACAGTCCGGATGCGGCCAGCTGCAGTACCAGCCTTCCGCCTGCTTGCCACGGCTGTGGTCCTGGGAGCCGTGCTCCCGGCCGTGCTGGCGCATGGCGACGAGGGCATGGCCATGGACGGGGACATGGACGGCGCCATGGATATGGGCGCCCAGCAGCCCGAGCATGACGCTCACGAGTACCCGCCAAACTACTTTGGCCATGCCGAGCATAGGGGGATTCTGATTGCACACATTGCCCTGATGGTGCTAGGCTGGGTTGTCGTGCTGCCTCTGGGTGAGTCTCGGCTCGCTTGCGCCTTCTCGTGAGCCCTCCTGCTGACCCTTTTCGTGCGACAGCGACCATGTTCTCCCTCGCTCGATCACGCTACACCCTGGCCGCGCAGTTTGCATTCCTCGCCGTCAACGGCCTCGGCGTCGTGTTCAGCACCATCTACAACGCCAAGACACCCGACCTATACCCAAATAACGCGCACCACAAGCTGGGCTGGGTTGCGACGTGGGTCCTCTCCGCGCACGTCCTGGTCAGCCTGCTGGGCCGCCTCGCTGGCGCATTCGCAAAGAAGGCCGACAGTGCGCTGGACACCGCGGAGCGACAGGGCTTCCTCCCCGTCTCGCGAGCTGCCATGGACGCGCACCACCGGCTGCACGGCTCGCCATACAGCGCCATGCACCGGCACTCGGATGACAGCGGCCACGGCACAGAGTCCCGGCCCCAATCGCCCAGGAGCTCGTCCTTCTCCTCGAGCCCTGACACCCTAGCTAGTCCCAGCGCCCAGACGGCGCACAAGACTTTCCACGACGAGGACGAGGATCTCGAGGCCGACGTTGACCTTCTCGACTCAGAGCAACGAGGTGGCGCTGTCCGCAACTTTGCGACCAAGATTGGCAGCAAGATCTCCTCTCGCGCGTGGCGGGTCCTGATCCTGGCCTACAACGTCGTTGACCGCACGAGCATGATCCTGGGCTTTGTGGCGCTGTGCACTGGTGTCATTACCTACGGCCGGTTCTTCGAAGGAAACATGATCTTCACAGGACTCGCACACTGGATCAAGGGTGCCATCTTCTTCTGGCTGGGCATCTTCACCCTTGGAAGATGGTGCGGCAGCTTCGGTGACCTCGGATGGGTAAGTCCTCAGCCCTGCTGCTGTGACCGACAGCCGGTGCTATTCTCGTGCATTGCGACGGAATACTGACGTCCTGTTACGTGATACAGGCCTGGAATGTGAAACCGAGATCTGTCAGCGGCCGATGGGTCCCGTCCGCAGAGTTCGTCGAGAGCGCTCTCATTTTCATCTACGGTGCGACCAACATTTTCCTGGAGCACCTAGGCGGCTGGGGCGGCGAGTGGAGCTTCGAAGATCTCGAGCACATCTCGATTACCGTGCTTTTCATCGGAGGTGGCCTTGTGAGTAGTCATCCCTCTCCCCGGAGCCTCATCGCCCTGCCCTACCCGGCACGCGCTACTGCACCAGTGCGGCGACGCTAACCGCTTGTACTCCAGTGTGGCATGTTGATCGAGTCCATAAGCATCCGCGACCTTCTGAACACCACGGTTGTCGAGGCCACGCAGGATTCCTACGACAACGAGGAGCGCGAGATGGCTCTCGAGGAGCCGCGCACATACAACTTCTCCACGAACCCGATCCCGGCCCTCGTGATCCTCCTCCTGGGAATCATGATGTCCAGCCACACCCAGCAGTCCATGATCAGCTCCATGGTGCACAAGCAATGGGGCAACCTCCTGACGGGCGCCTCGTTCGCCCGCGGATTCTCGTACGTGCTCACGTACCTCAAGCCGCCCACCTCGATCTTGCCCTCGAGGCCGCCCACCGAGCTCCTCACCAGCTTCGGCCTGATGGCCGGCGGCATCATCTTCATGGCCTCGAGCGGCGACACCGTCCTGGCGATGGAAATCCAGAACCTGGACGCCATGTTCATGTACACGGTGACCATGGGCCTGATCGGCGTTCTGATGGCCTGGGAGATCATCCTCATCGCCATCAAGGGCTGGGCCGTGCGCAAGGAGGCCGGCAAGCCCAAGATGTCCCAGAAGTACTACGAGGCGTGACAGCCGACCGCAGTACGATGTGACCTCCCCCCCCCCGGCATACCTAGGTAATTTGTGGTGTAATGCAGGCCTCTTCCACAAGAAGAACTGGCCGCCCGGATTCATTCCCCACCACCCTAGGTGTGTGGGGTTTTTGGATTCGGTGTTTCTACGTTTTCTTTTCTCTCCTTTCATTCACTTTTTGGAGTCTTGATCGCCCATGATACCCAATTTATACCAGACCGCCACGTTTGCAAAGCATTTACAAAGAAAGGGATGAATGAACATGGAGGCCTGGTCAGGCAGAGAGCGGACGAAAGTTAGGGGTATATACGACAGAAGTGATTGGGCCGGCATGATACCCCCCTCTTGGAATTTATGAAACGCGTTCGTTGATTGGATTGTTGGCATCCTCCCCCTTTTTGGGAGACAGTATAGAATGAGGAGGCCATTTGGGTCGGGACCTTCCTAATGGCTGCGAGCGGTCGGCATATCTTAGATGAGGCTGTTGTAGACATGCAGCGTGTTGAGCACGAGCGAGACATAGACGTACGAATTTAATGGGCTTGTTGACTTTTCGCATTCACGCGTCAAGGTGCCCATAGGGAGGGGTCATTTGATTTATATCACACCTCAATCTATTTCTCTGGTGGTCGGAACCGCATAGTTCTGTGATTGACTGCACGGTCTCCTGGGCTTCTTCATGGTTGTAGGTATTCAAAGTGAGTGACAAGTCTGGCTGACCGGCCAGGGAATCCTGTATATGGCTATCTTCCATTAAGAGAAATGAGAACACTGGGCCGAGGTCAAACTTGAGGCCTATAGCGCAAGTTAGGCCGCACGCATTAGCTCGCGCTGCCCGCCTTTATCAGGAGTAGCAAGTAGTCACATAAACAGTCACAGAAGCATGGTACAGACAGGTTTTGTTTTCGGACCAGTATCATTATAGAATTCAATCCCACGCCCGTCTCAAGAGCCCGAGCATCCATCCTGTCGTCTCGCTGTCTCTCGCTCATCGCGTACCGGTTTTTCTCTTTTTTTCCCTGTACCATATGTATACACCCGTACTGAGCTGTGAAAAGTAGGCATATGTGGTATGTACAATTTCCCACCTATCGATACATATAGCCCAGACTCGCTCTTTGATTCAAAGCATCTCCGGAATCAGCCCCCACGGCTGGGGGGCTCTCTCCTTTCGAAAAAATAATCCTCCGGCTTGTCTCGGCCCCACGGAGTCGAGGCTCGCCTCCAAGAAACCAACGCCGGTTGGCGTTGCTCGTCGAATTTTCGCTTTCCCCCGTTCGCCCGCCCGCTCATAGGTAATTTCCCATCTGCCTCAGACGGTGACGCGTTATGTGCGCTATGTACAGGGTGTGTCATTGTTGATTGTTGGTCATGTGTCTCATATAGGTGTACGTTGATGAGGTAGTGGGATATCAAAAGACAGAAGTGGAAGAATAGATAGTAGTAGAGATAGTGGGTATATGTAGGGAATCATCATAAAGCATAGCCCATCCTCACGCTGCCCTGGCTCGTCCGGCGGCTGTTCTCGTTGTAGGCGGCGCGGGGCCCGACGTCCGGACCCGGGTCGCTCCACTCGTCCATGCTGCCCTCGCTGATGCCGCTGGTATACTTGGAGCTACTCAGGCTGTTCACCCTGGCGTGCGCGGCGGGCACTGGCTTGCGGATGACGTCGCCCCCGGCCACGGATCGGCCACCCACGCTCATGCCAGACTGATGTCCGATCGGGATGCTGCCGCTAGTGCTGGGATATCGCCCATCGCCACTACTGCCGTTGGTGGAGAATGTGCTCGACGCAACCGCAGACCGGTCGAACGAGCTCGAGCCCTGAGATAGCGGCTCCAGGTCGAAGGGGTCGGACCGGAACTTGTTGCGCCTGGTGTTGAAGCTTTCGAAGCTTGCGGCGCTCTCGCGCATGTACATGGTTGACTCATATCCACCTGGCCGCGAGGTCGCTCCACTGGGCGGCCGCGAGGCGCCTCCATTGACCACCCTTAGGTCCATGACCTGGTTCATGTCGACGGTGGTGCCCACGGACTGTCCCCTCGAGCGGCGGATGTCGGCGACGTACGAGGATGGTTGGGGGTTGTAGGCGGGTCCCGGGATCGCATTTGCGTCAGAGAATGGATTGTTGGCGGCCGAGACGAGGAAGGGGGCTGGTTTGGCACTGTTGCTTGTAATGGCGTTCACATCGCTGAAGGGGTCCTGGCCGAAACTCAGGTTCAGGCCGCCCAGCACAGAAGAGTCGCTGCCACCGCGGGACCGCGACATCCGGCGTCTCTGGGCCTCGCGATCCAGCTCGTTGTCGTCCATGTTGAGTAGGGTGAGGAAGTCGGGCTTGTTGGTCACTGGCCTTGTTCTGGGGTTCTCCTTTTCCTTCATGCTGCCACCGAGCCCCCGGGCGGCAAAGATGTCGTTCTTATTCTCGTTCCATCCTGGATCACGCATCTTGGGCCCTCTGAGCTTGGCCCAGACAGCCGCTATCCGTTCCTTGAAGGACGAGTCGTCCGCATCGTTGAGTGGCATAGCGGACGAGTTCTTCCTGCCCCTGTCGACCACGGGCGACGAATCCATGAACTGAGAGTTGCCCCTGTTCATATCAACGCTACGCCCGCTGTTCGTGCTGGAGATGCTGCGTATGCTGCCGCTACGCGCGATGCGGCCACGGACACGGCTGTACTGCGCCCTGAGCGCGACCTTGACCTTGGTGGAACGAGGGGTAGGTCCAATGCTGTCACGCTCGATCATATATCCCCCTTGGCGGTCCCGGCCAAAGGCCGGATCGGCGGACAAGGGTGTGAGGAGCGTGCTCCGCCGCTTCCTAAGCATCCGCCTCCTCCAGAACCATATCAGAAAGGCAACCAGACTGATGACCGCCACACCACCGACGACACCGCCGGCCACGGCGATGGTTGAGCCGGAGCCGCTGCGGCTAGGCCCACCGGCGGTCCCGCCAACCGGGACCACATTGACCCCGGACGTGCTCTCAGCCGCGTCGGGCGCCTGTGGGTTGTTTGCTGGCCTCCCAGAGCCAGCACCTGTCGTCGTCAAGGGCGCCGCCGAGGAGGCGGTGCCAGATGGAGCAAGCCCGATCTGCGGTGGTGAGGCAACGGCAGGGTCTGCCGCCGAAGGGGTGGGCACCGCAGCTATCGAGGAAGACACAGGGGTCGGAGCCGCTGGGACGGGTGTGTCAGCTACACTTGCCTGGGGTTGTGGCGCAACCGCGACCGAAGGTATCGATTCTGTAGTGAAAGAGCTAGAGAACGAGCTAGAGCTGACGGGAGGAGGGAACTGTGGTATTGACGGCGAGGGTGTCGCCACGGCAGGCGGAGGAGCAACGACGACCGGTGCAGCGGTCGTCGTCTGCACCTCAGGTGGCGGCACGAGCACTTGCGGCTGTGAGGCGGCCGGAGGTGGTGTAGCTACTACAGGCGGCGGCGAACTCGAAGAAGACGACGACGAAGAAGACGAAGAAGAAGACGAAGAAGACGAGCTTGACGAGGAAGACGATGAACTCGTACTGGTGGTGCTCGCGGGCGGCGGCTGGGCCTGAGTTGCAGATCTCGGCACAGCCGTACACCTCTTCCCGTTGAGCGTCGTAACAAATGTCCCCTCGGTGGGGAAGTTGGGACTCGTCGACATGATGAAGGTATCCACGAGCCTCGTGTGTGGGCGTCTATGAGGGGCGATTCCAGTCGCAAAATTCGCTCGGTAGTAAAACTTCTCACTGTACAACAGGAGACAGACCCCCTCTCAAAGGGGGTAAGAAGAAGTGAAGACGTAGGCCTCTCGGGCCATCAAAGTCGGTACAGATTCATCCAGGTGATGGGCGGACCGTCTCGACTGGTAGGTAGGTGTTCGTGTATGTTGTCGGTGTTGTAGATCTCGTCGTCGTCGTCGTCGCTGTTCTGAGTGTGCGCAACAGACACAGGCGAGGCTGATAAGACAGGCAGACAAACTGTACCACCACGACGGCGAGGGTGGTGAGAGGTTTTGTTGGATGGGGCAGAAGCGAAAAACCGGGCGCCAGATGTTTGAGAAAGAGCAGATTCGGATCAAACTATGGAAGGAAACCTGCGACAAGGGCAGGGAGAGGCAGGGCTGGCACAGCAGACAAGGAACAGGAGTGAAGGGGAAGAAAACGGACGAAGGGGGTGACGGGAGAGGAGGAGCGAGGTGTCACACAGTCAAAGGTGAGGGTTCCCTGGATTCCTCGCTGGTCTCTGGTTCCTCTGGTTCCTCTGGGATCCTTGGGGGTTGTGCATCCGGTGCCGAGCAGAAAGGAGCATAGACTGCATGGCAGAACCGCGGCATGGGCATCGTCGAAACAAGAGAGGTGGATCCGCCGGGTCGGGGTCGGGGCATTGGGCACGAGGCATGGGTTGGAAAGGGCAAGTGGAAGGTGATGTGGTGGGACACGGGCAAGGGGGGTCGCAGACGGCGGGCGGCACGAAATGTCGTCGGTCGTGCAGTCAGGCATGGGCAGCCTGCTGGGGGCGGCGGCGTTGACTTGGTTGAGAGAGGCTAGCGACTGTGGTGTTTGAGGTAGAAGCGCACGAGGCTGGGATTGGTCGAGGCCGACGGGTGGTGCGTGCCCATGTCAGTTGCTCTGTCCCGATGCGGTCGTGCCCTCTGTCCCTTCTCGGTGGTGAGCCTCAAAACCTCCAAACCTCCACCTTCCCAAAAGCCACAGCAGCAAGGCCAGGGGGGGCCCTGTCGGCTCACGCACTCCTACTCGCCCTCCAACTCGCTCTCCCACACCCAGCCTGCCAGCCAGCCCGGCACACCCAAGCACCCTGCTTGCTGCCTGCGTCTTGGGACTCGTGGCGCCGTTGATAGAAGGGCGCTTTGATGCTGTCACCCCTGTCCTGCGACACGTTTTGCAGCATCCAAGCCAGGGGCAGGCTGCCTTCAACCTGGGCACGGCACAGTCTGTCGGTTTGTCTGCTGCATTCTGCTTGTACCCGCATAGTCGCTGCCTCTGCTGCCGCCCTCGAGCAATATCTTGATGCATCGGCGACTTCACTTCCTGCCTGCCTGCGTGGCCTACACATTAGCATGCCATGCAGGCCTGCCACACAGCATAATGCAGAATATGCACAACTGCACAGGTTCCCGGCGACAGGGTGTGCCAGGGCCTCAGGTTTGCGTGCTTGGTTCGTTGATGCAAATCCCATCCCTATTCTGTCGGGTGCTCGCTTGCCCACGCGCTGGTTTGGACGAGGCTGTGCTGCCTACTACTGGCTGGTGGGCTGACGACGTCGATGCAGGCCGTAGATCGTAGGTCATCGTGCGGAAGACTACGGAGTAGGTACGGAGCACCACCGACTGGCACACTCCAGATGCTTCATCAAGGGCAGGCGAGGCGTCTCGCCTTCCACCTGGCTGGCCTTTGAGACAGTCAAACACACAACCTACGCAACTATGCATCTCTTGGACAATAATAAACCATACACAACTCTTTGCACAGCACTACGACGTCGTACTGCGTCCCGCGTATTGCAGCACAAGACTCGGGGCAGGACAGGGGGGCCACGGCACGGTGCTAGCCCAGAAGAGGCGGCTGAAACCTAAAACATCATCCAGGTCGTGCCCGCCTGTTTCATGGGGAAGCGCCGCTCCCTGCCATTGGGTTAGAGCCGAAGAGTCCCACTCTCGGTCGGCCGTCGGCGTCGGCGTCGGCGTCGGGACCTCCCCCCTCTCAGCCAACATCCATATGTCGTCTGCTATTCAACAATCAAGGCCCTGGTAGAGGCAATGAGGCCGGCAGTGTGGGCACGACTTTTGCACGTCGGAAAAAAATACCCGCCCGCCTGCTGTACTTCCGTGGGGTTTGAGTTTCTGGATTCTCTGGTTCTCTTGGTTGATTTCTTACACGTCTTGGGCTGTGCGCACAGTACTACTGCCTCGTCGTGGACCAGCGTTGTGACAAGCAAACCGTCGCCGACTGTGCGGTTGGCCAAGCCGGTGTCTCAGCCCACACATCAACACAGGCCCTTGACCGATTTCCAGTCTGAAAGAGGACAGATCAGCCCCAGGGTCCTCACGCTACAACCCCCCCATCCGATCCTCTGCTCGACGACATCGAGTTGGGTTGACACGCGACGTGTTACGCACTAGATGCACCTCGCCTTCTCCCGCCCAATGCCAACGCCCCTTTCGCTGATGACCCCTCACGATCCCAAGGGCCACGGCCGCAAAAGTTGGGAGGATGCTAGGGGCAGAACTGAATTCAGACGGCTGGGTGCCTCCCACTCGCCAAAGTGTCTGTTCTCGCCGCAGATCACGGCCGAGAAAAAGCTCCTAATGGTCAGCCCGTCGCTCACCCGTCAGTCATCCGGACTCGGTTGATGCAGAGAACCAGTGCCTTGTTGTCGTCGCGGTCGAATCAAATGTGTCTGATGACGACTCAATCACCTGGCCAGAACCGACTGACTGAGACTTGACGACGGGTGAGATGGAACTGCTCAACGGTCGCCCGCTGTCAAGTCCCACCCAGGTTAGAAAGGGGGCCTTCGGCGTGAGCGGCCAGTCGCGCCCGCCACGCACCGCCGCAGATGGTGCTGCGCAGTGGTGGGATGAGACTATCACCACAGTACGCAGCCAGGCCGTGTGTGGCAGGAGCAGGAGGAGCCAGCGGATCCTCTGGGCAGCAGCGACGGTGACGTTGTGTTTCCTCCCGAGGAACCGAGAAGTCAAGCGGTTTCCGGCCCCAGGATCCACTGCACATCACACCGATCGGAGCAAATCCCAGGGCCTTCCGGGTCTCAGCTGCGCGCCTGTCAACCGGCACGAAGGTCCCGTCAAGGCTGAGATCGTTTCTCGTCCCCGCGCCCGGGCTCAAAATCGTCAGTTTTGTCTGTCGCATCTGCTGGCTGCCGCTGCCGCGGTGCTGTGCGGGTCCCGTGTCGCTGGTAAGCTTGTTATGCAGCGACCGCACCCACATCGCGTGGACAACCTTATCGGCGCTCAGATCTTTGACTGCTACACATGCCTGGTTGATATCCGCCCCTACCCAACTGTCAGGACTGTCAGGACTGTCAGTCTGTGACACTCTGCACAGATACTTACCATTTCCTGGCCGTCACCTTCAAGCAAGCCATGCCCATCGCCTCCACGAGACATGGGGAAGAATGTGACCACACCTGAGGGTTCGGGTTCGGAATCGGATGCTGCTGAGTCTGAAATGCTGTAATAAGTAGGACGAACTGCATGAATTGTGACTGAGTGCAAGGCAGCACCCTGACACTTTCCTTCTTATGAGACCTGGCTTGGTAATAGTTGACGCTGGTGGAAACCTTACGATCGACAGGTGTTACTGGTAAGGCGATGATCCAGACTCAAAGAAACCCCCTCGACATGCCAGGCACACCACGCCGGCCCCGCCAATAGACCAGACATTGCAGGGGCCTCGAGACGGGCGCCAATTGAGCTCCCTGCAGCTGCAGGTCGACGCAACACGCAGCAGGCGAATGCCTCCGTCGTATTCAATGCCTTTCTTTGCCATGTCTTGCCGCATTTCCGTAACGCCGTGTGACGCCCGCTGCGGAAGCTATCGCCTGCATCATTCAGCGCCAGTGCCTTTGCGTGAGGCTCTCTTTGGCAATTAAGTTGTGTGATGCCGTGACCAAGGGCGACGGGCTACCCACAGAGAGGAAGACGAAGACTAGGACACCTTGGCAGACAGGACACTGTGTGTGTGTGGCTTTACTGTCAGACACGTCGACAGCCAGTCGACAACTCGACTGGTCCCGTCCCAGCCAGCCTCAACCGGATCGAGCTGCCGCCTACCATCATCATCAACAACAACATCAACATCAACAGCATCCACATCTTTCTCTTCACCCCTATACTTCTCCCTCCTCCGCTTTCTTCTCATCTCCGCCGGTAGACCCTGCTTGACCCGGTCAGCGTGACTGTCGACCAGGCAAGCTACTAGCCACTTCCTCTACCATCGGACAAGACCAACACCACCGTGTTTGAGTCGGGGCTGATCTCGTTGTCGATCACATCCCCCTTCCGCCTCAGTCCGTAGCGGCGCCGAGGAGCCCGCGCCCACTCACAACGGGGTCTAAGCTAGCTCTGGCCTCGAATTGCCTCTTGTGTCTTCCCCAAAGCGGCTGTCCCTCCAGTCCCCGTTCTTGTTTAGGCAAGGCCAAACAGAACATCATGTTTGGCACTCTCTCACACATCAGTAAGTCCCAGCCTCTGTCCAGCCCTGGCTGTCAGCTGTCAACCTCACCCTTCACCTACCTGGGCTGCCCAGCTCCTGGGCATCCGCTGTGTGTTTTTGATCCGGTCTGGCAGCTGCGAGGTAGAGTTTACCGGGCCAAGACGTCCCAGCCTGTCATCTCGCTGTCGTCCCTTCCCTTCTTGTTTTCAGACGAACTACCTGTCCATAATGGGGGCACCAAGCGCCAGGCACGCCTCACAATGCATTGAGATCTGGTAATCACAGCTGCATCCGAGGGAAGTCAAGCATCTCGCAGGCCCGATCACGCCTCGTCAAGCTCGACGGTAGTGTAGCGGCTCGGGAGTTTCAACATGTTGTCTTGCTTGACACTGTATGATCGTCCCTGCACCATGCCCACACCCCAGCCCCGGGAGCCCTAGGAGCCCTATACTGCCCGTTTCTTGTGTGCATCACTCGCCTGCATCCCTCGCCTCTGTTTGCCACCTCGCTCGTTCTCTTGCCTCTACTGCCATGCCGCAATCGTTATGTTCCGGCTGACCAAGTCACCCCAGTCCCCCCGGTGCCTCCGCCGCCAGAGGGCCCACCCAAGGATGTTCCAGCACCCACCCCCATCGACCTGCCGCAGTGCCGGCCAAGGGCGTCCGAGGGCCGATCAGGTGACTCGGAAGCCACGCCGGCACCACATCTAACGTCCATCCTGCAGAGTCTGGTACGCCCGCCAGATCAGGTGGCTGTCGCGCACCTCGAGGCCCTCGGTGTCGATGTGACCGCAGATGTGTCGCCCGCCGACCTCGTGCCGGACCCTTCGTGTCTGCCAGACTTTGACCGGTGGGACGCCTTGTCTCGTGAGGAGGCGCACAATAGTGACTCCGAGTCACGTCCAACATTGGAAAACGGTAAGCTGGCGTCCGGGCCGCTCAAGTACGTCGACCTCCGGGAGGGCCTGGCCACCGACAACGACAGGGCATTCCGGGCCGTGAGGAGGGTTGCCCCCAAGCCTGGGGAGCAGTATGTCCGGCTCGGGTACTGCCACGAGTTCTTCCGACATCTCGAGTCTTTGACTGGCTTCTGGGATGACACCTCGAAGCCAATGCCCTCCGAGCCCCCCGGCGACGAGCCCGCCGAGGGCAGCCAGGAGAACTACGGTTGGTATCGCACGAGTGCCGGCACCTCCATGCCCCCTCAGTATCGCACACAGCTGCTCACGTCGTTCCTAAAGTTGATCATCTACGATTTCTCGTGTAATGTCATGTCACGGCAGGAGCCACGCCTGTACATCAAGTCACCCGCCGCCCAGTCCCAGCCCGGCTCACCCGCCCCGTCCCGGCGTCACTCGTACTTCTCATCCGGCTGCAACTTCATATTCCGCATGCCCACGGACCGCGAATCCGCCAGGCGCGGCATCGTCGAGGGCCCCATCGCCGCGGTCAGCCCGCGGCACACGACCGTGTTCCCGCCGCACGGCCGCGAGCGCGAGTCGGTCATCGACCTCTCGCGGGAGGTCGTCGCAGCGCTGATCACCGCGCAGCACCGCGCGCGCGAGGGCCGTACGGAGGAGCGGCCCGGCAAGGGCGCCTGGTGGACGACGAGGCCGCGCTGGGGCGGCGGTCCCGGCGGCCCCATCGGCAAGGAGGCCGAGGCCCTCGAGGCCAGGGACGCGTCCGCCGTCCTGGTCGGCGACAAGGACGAGCGCCCCATGGATCTGGGGCACTCCGTGGCGGCCGAGGGCGACCTCGGTGCTGTCGGCGGCGGCACGCGGCCTAACGGGCCTATTGTCAGCCCGCGGCAGTACATGATGATGCCGCCACCGCCGAGGTCGTCGTCCCGGGGCGCCACCAGCCAGCAGCAGCCACAATCCAAGCGCCCTCGGAAGGGCCTCGCCGTATACGACGCGTACAGGATGGTGCGGCCGCCCGCGATGCACTGGGACCCCAAGACGCGGTACACGCCCGTGGGGCGGCGGCGGGGGCTCGACTACGACGACGTCTTCGTAATCTCGTCCCTGTTCCACCACGTCTCAGTCCTGCGCGTCAGGGTCCCCGACCGCCTGCTGCAGGTGCTGGACGGCGCCCCGACCCCGGCCGGCAGGGACTGGGGCCCCGTGAAGGTCTGGCGGACGCGGTGGCTTGACTTCTTCGTCCCCGAGGACAGGGTCGAGGCCATGAAGGCCGTCTGGGCCGTGGCTGCTTATGCGATGAGGGCTGTGGGCGATGGGGATGCGGGCGGGGGCATGGATGTTGATCAGCCTGGGGCGTAGGGAATGATACCTTTGCCATGCATTGACTTGAGTCGACTGCCCTTTCATCAACATGAGGATCTCGGCAGTTGTTCGTGATGGCCGGCTGCCTTAGGTGGCAGCTTGGCCAAGTTGATGGCGGCCTTGCATCTTGACGGGACAGGGGTGACGAAACTTGGCGGGGGTTTCGGAGATAGTGGCTGGCATGTTTAAGGGCGGTAGACTTGCCGAAGGGCGGATAGAACACGGGATATACAGGACGGCAATTGCATTGGCCATTCAGGCGATTTCTTGACTTGTTTCTAAGCGTGATATGTGTTTCATCGTTTGGTGAAAAGAAGCCGGATGTTCAACTTGCCCGGCGCGTTCCGGGTGATGTTTGGAGATAATTAGGTTGTTTTCGGGAAATAAACCGGCACTGTCGTACTGGGGATCGGTCTTTAAGATGGTAACGGGCTCGATCGTCCTGTGCTCAGCCCAGTATTCTGCTGATCCAACACTGCCGGGGAATTGCTGAAAACCACATGTCTCCTATCACAGAAAGTGGTTTAGTCTCTAATCCCCATACATATAAAATGTGTAGAGCGCTTTCATGCAATGGTAAACACTCAATACCCAGCATTTGAAATAATACAACCTTTATTACAGCAACCAGTCTGATCTTACCTCCCATAAACACAGACTGGCTCCTGTTGATCAAAGCTGCTGCGTTAATGTCGAGGTTCTTCTTGTTCCATGAGGCACGAGGCTGAGGCCACGTGCCCACAGACGTACTATATCCTCTCTTTACTATTATTGGTTCTATTCTTTTTTTTTTTTTTTTTTTTTTGAACGCTAGGTCTTGAGCGCTTACCACTATATGGAGGTACCACATACATTTTATATGTATGGGGATTAGAAACGAAACCACTTACTACTCTTCTTGTTCCATCGTCGCAAACACCAAATAGCGGCCGCAGCCGACCTTCGTTTACTAAAACGTTGTCGTTGAGATTGACAGCATGAGGCTTCATGGTTCTGGTTTACATCCACATAGGCTTGTTAAAGACTTGAAACAATAAAATTGGAAAACACCAAACGTAGTAGGCCCAAGTGCTGACCACCTAGATACAAATCTGGAGGCATTGGTTCTTCAACTCAAGAGGCGTAATACCAACACAGCACATCTATAGATGGTAGCATTTAGTGCTTTTGAGTCTCCTCCCGAGACACCGTACCTCTGCCATATCAAAGTGCTCGCTCTATCAAAGTGCTCGCTCTATCAAAGTGCTCGCGTTGGAAAAATCATGTGACACTCCATGCCTCGTTATACTTCATTATGAGTATATACAACCCTCAGTCCACCACCTCGATCTCAGTCTGTCAGCCTTGTCCATCGTTTTCCTGCTCTTCCCTCTACTTCTAAGTGCTCAATCCTTATGTCATCTTTTTGTGTGGATCTGACTCGATATAACTATGTCGACTTCTACTATCATTTCAAAAGATTAGAGATTTTTATCTCTAAGTAGATACTTCAATTTCTAAGAGGTCCTAAGCCTTTTATAGCCTTCACTGGCTATTTGTATTTAGTTTCGGACATATGCGGAATAGAAGCGAAAACAGGTATTCACTTTCAGTATTCTCTCCGCTTTTACAGGTGCAAATCTCTACATGTGATTTACTTTCAAAATGTGATCAACTACTATGTAGTATCTCTATTTTCAACGGCCAAATGCCTTTTCTCGTTTTACACACGTATTACAGTCTTCCCAACTTGTACCTTGCAGGGCTGGAAAATGCTCTAATTGCTGTAGCCATCATGCAGGTGTGCACCGGAGTACACCAATTTACTATGGCATATTCCCACTACAGGGTCTATTGAAGACCCAAAGGAGTGGACCCGAAGACCGCAAGCCGTAGCTTTGGTGGTGGATGTGTTGTCCAGAGCTTCACAGGCTACCTAGACACCTAGCTGATCAATAAGGGACTCCGTCCCTTCACGGGGCAGCGAGGCTGAAAAGTCAGCAATTGCCGGCCTACCTCACTCAAGCTGTTGGCCTCTACCTCTACCTGACCACGCCAGAAAGGTGCCGTTTGCTTCCTACAATACCCCTCCTTTTGAACCGTACATGACCACTTGCTCAAGTGTTCCGACTGCAAAATTCACTTGTGATTTTGCCGCTGGCGCACACGACCACAAACCGCAACTGGCTTCATCCTTTATCCTTCTCACTGCTGCACTGGTGCCCACTCGAATGCGTACGTACCTAGGTATGCTCACAGTCGAACCGTGCCAGATCATATGGCGACCGAGTCCCGCCCCAGATAGACCCAGGAGAGCTGTTCCGAATGGAGGAAGCAGGAGATTGCTTAGAACTCGAGGGAGCAGGCCATTTTCGTTAGGGAACTCGACTCCTGGCACAGCGGCATATTGGACTTTGTGCCATCTCAGGAGTACCAAAATTCCATCAATTCCTGAGTGAGAACTCAAGACACTCGCCCTGGAGCGTGCTGGGCTAATTTGAGGCCGACTTTGATGATCATGACTAGGAGGCACACAGTTGTGTAGATGCTGATCAAACCCAAATGATGCAGTGTCAAACTGGCGTGAGATTAGAGTTTTACAACCGCCAAAAGAGAGGGCATGCTTGTCCCGTGCTAACACAGACTTTCAACTATCTTTTTAGGTTAATACTAAACTGGTTACCTTTGTAGGAACTTATCAGCCCCATCCCATAAGAGGCTATCTATCCCGTAGGATCTCATTCTACAGAAGGTTGCTCTAGGAGACCATCCTATAGTACTTACAGGTGACATATACAACGGGTGTACCCTCTGTTTTTGCGGGTACCAACCAAACTCTGGTCCTATTGGCATTTGACCCATTCAAACACAGATTCCAGGGGACAAAAAGTATGCGACCAGAACAACCCCTTAGCTAATTAGGAGAGAGCACAATCAATACCACCCAGCTTCGAAACCACTCAGCAAGGTCCACGGGAAGTTCCGAAGGATATAGATGCAACCTGAACCGGAATCAGGGCGTGGTTTGGGTTGATCTGCCGGGCTGTTGTGGCATCTCACGCTGCGAGCATGCTCCTGATGCCGACGCTCCAGCCTCGAGAAATTGCGGTGTCACAACGCGCAAGCCAGCAACTAGCTTCGTTATCACAGACGACACAGACATGACAGCACACGCACGACAAGCTCTGAATGTCAAGAGTCAAAAGCTCATAGCTCAACTTAGTCATTTGGGAAATGTGGGTACCTAGGCAAACTCCAAACGGGGGGCTCCCTTAGCCGGGGTGTCCTGCTGACGTCATCCCGCACCCCACCAGGAGGGACGCGCCGTCGCTCATTGGCCAGACCCCGAGGCCCGGCCGCGACCTGCTCGCGTAAAGTCGCGGTGCGCGTCTCCCGCGGGCATGGCTTCTCCAACAGCTTCCCACCTCGATGAGGGGCACTTCGTGAAACCTCCCACACCACACCATCTCTGCCTCCTCCTTCCGCCACCACGCCCCCGATGCACCCACCACTGTCCGTGCTCGGACGAAAGCCTCCCCTTCAGTGTTCTTTTCTGACTGATCCGATTGGTCTCGTCGATTCGTTCCATTCTTTCTTTTCGTCCATCCTAAATGCAGATTCGTGCAGTATAAAAAAACACGAGGGATATGGTAGGGGCAGAGTGTTCATGCCGCCCGGGCGTGCGTGCACCCGCCTTTTTGGTGTCATGACGCCCACGTGCCCTCCTTGAGGCGAGAAAACAGGTTGGTTGCAACAGCCCGGGGATAATTACGCAATACTGGGGCAGGCTGGAAAGATAAATAAAAGTGACAGGGGGCTCGCAGGTATTTCCGTGGCCTTTGGTTTGGGCTCCGGGGGCTTTGTTGCAGCCCTGGTATCATGTACAATAAGAAACAAGGACGACGGGCGCGGCGGTAGGTGTCTTGCCGACGGGTCGTAGAATAGGACAATACGAGAGATCCTGGATGCTCCAGGTCCGGAGGTACCAGTCACGGCTAGTCAAAAGCCCCGAGACGCCTCCTAGCCACGGTCCTTGGGGTCCTGGCAGACCCAATGCCATTGGGGGTCTTCCAGGTCTTCTGGGCGGGACTGGGCGTGAAGGTGAGGTAATCGGCAAAGTCAAAGCCCTGGCCTGGCGTGTGGGGGAAGAGAGGGTTGTTCAGGTTGGGCGTGGACATGGCCTGCGGCGTGAAGCCGAGATGCTTTGGGGGCGGCGTGGACGGTGGCTCCATCTGGCTCCGGGGGGGCAGATTGGCCGGGGTTGGTGACGACTTCATGTATAGCAGCAGCTGTGCACCCTCGTCTCTTGATTCGAAGGTGGGCCCCTCCTTCCCAGAGTTGTTTGGGGGGAGGCGCCGGTTGCGCATCGGGGGCGTGCTGGGCGGCGACGTCCGCGAGCCGTTCACCTGGAAGGAATGGGCAGGCAGGAGGTCATCATCATCGTCGTCGGGTGCATTGAAGTTGGGGCAAGCAAGGCTGCGGCCAAGGCCTGTCGAGGACTGGAAGAAGGACACGTCGGGGCCAGCCGAGGTCTTGAAGTGTGTCTGGCGGCGTTGCTTGATGGGTGATGATTTTGCGAGCTGGTGGCTGTCACTCCACGAGACGTGGTTCGAGAAGGACTTGTGGGCAGTGGGCGAGACCCTGTAGCGCTTGGTGGGACTGGAGGACAGGTTGACATCGATGTCGAAGCTGGAGATATACGTGCGTTTGCGGTGGCCGGTGCTGCCGCTGCTGGAGCCGATGGCATCGGAGAACAAGGGTGCTTTTAGCGGAGAGCTCATCAGGGCTCTTGTGGGGTATGGCAGGTCGGATGCGCTGGACGACGAGTCGGACAGGATCTCGCCGTCGGCAATGCGTCTGCGGCGGATGGCAGCCTTGCGCTGGCGTAGCTCCTCCTCGACCTTGGGCTCGATAACGTCGAGGGACAGGTCTTCCCAGCCTCGCTTGGCCTTGAACTGTGCCAGGGCCAGGCGGCTCTGGAGCTGGCGGGCCATCTGCGAGGAGCAATTGGGCCCCATGGTCAGCGGCTACTGATGCTTGGACACGAGACGCCCACGCCCAGACTGACAAACGGATGAAGGCAGGGCAGCCGGGTTGGGGGGGCCAAGGGAACAAAGGCCGTGGAGAACAAGACCGGCAGCTGCAGCAGCAGACAGAGACTTACCTTGCCCACCTCTGTCCTCTTCAGGACCTTGTCGGCCACAGCCTCGGGCTGCTGGGTCGACGTCGATGACATGCTTATGGATCTGGACATGATGCTTGACGGAGGGCTGGTCTGATGGTCGGCAAAGTGGGTTTGGTTTGCTCTCAGCCAGAGACCAGGTCGAGAAGTGGGAATCGGGGTAAGAAGTTTCTCGGTGGTTGCCAATGAGACGACGGCTCGGTAAAATTGGCCGGGCGCCTAGTGGTTGATGTACTGTGCAGCACTTTTTGCAACTCGAGCGTCCGCCCCTCCGAGGCACGAAGTTTTTGACTTGAGTCGGGGCCCGGGAGACAGGGCTGTGGCACCGGGGATGGCAAAAGGAGAAGCTCGATCGGCCGATGATGGAAAAAAACAGAAATGCACAAGAGGAGGCCCGGGGAATGAGGATTATGCCGTATCTACAAGGAGTTGGACGGGCTGAGCGAGTGAGTCGAGGGTGGGAGTGAGGAGAGGAGCCAGGAGGGCGGGCTGGGGAGCTGGCGGCGGTGCTGGCGGCGGTGCTGGTGCTGGCGCTGGCGCCCAGGCATTCCCGTCCCAGTTGAGAGGGAGTTGCCCAGGTGCACCCGGACAGTTGGGGGGACGAAACCAGGCTGAGGTATCAGTTCACCAACTAACTCTGGTTAGTGTGGTCCGACCGCCATGCCTGGTAGTGCTTGCATGGCCGGCGATTGGCACCGGCAAGAAGCGTGCAATTCTCCCAGAGACAGGCCACGAGATCCAGGAGGAAGACGGGAGTTGCTTGCTCGACACTTATTAGTCTTTGCCCTACGGCGCAGCTGCAGCTAAGACCAGCTGGGCGTGCGAGTGCGCGATCCACTCATTCCTGCTCGCTAGTCTAGACCGTCTGCCCTGGCCGCCCTGGCAGCCTGGCCCGTACCACACACACTCACAGCACCGTCAGTCCCCGTACCCACGGGTGTTCGAGAGAGAGATCAATTGCTTGCCGTGTGCTCCAATTGATTCCCCTGGGCTGTCGTACATTCCACACAGTACAGTCAGGAGGCATGCTCGCAGATACTCCTCACTGGATAGATAGCAAAGCATCGAGGCAGGTGACCCCACACCAAGACCTGCAATCGAGGGTCGGCTCTCGAGTCAATGAACATTACGAGTAACCCTAACCGACAGGAATATACATATCAGGCGAGACTGCCAGCGGTCAGATCGATCAATCCTATCTGACGTAAACATACACTCGACTTCGACTGTGTGTACTCGAATGGGTTGTCTGGTCGTCGGAGAGGCCTGCCAGCCTGCCTGGTGTTGCTGTTTCAGCAACCACCAGAACGGGCGTGCGTGCGTGCGTGCTGCAAGTGGATGGGCCTGCGAGGGTTATGTGCCACCGCTCTGGCAGTCCTGGCAGTCTGGCAGTCCTGGCCGGTCGATGGTGACATGTGTCTCGTGGCCGGCGCCTACTCATGCCAAATCCCAAGGCGCACAAGAATGCATGGCATTTCCCAGAAAGCCGGTCCAAAACTATTGGCAAACGCCGGTGCGATGTGACTTTCAATTAAACCCCCTGCCACCCGCCAGCAAAGCGAGCGAGTGGCCAGGTCGGACCTCGGGCGCCTGGTGGGATATCCAAGCTACGAAGCCCCCTTGCGACACTGACATTGGCCAGTCCTTTTAGAGTCTTGAGCTCCCCTGTGTCGGGCGGGCCTGGGGATCCTAGATCACTCCGCGTTGTGGGTCCCTCGATCGAGATGTCGGAACCGTTGCTCGTCTTCTTTGAGCAATCCGCGCAATGCTATGTCTTGACCACGCCATAAATCTGCTAGGCCTCTGCTATAACCCGATTATACCGCAATCTATTAAGCTTGCCGGATTCGTAGTGTGCAGCACATCGGGTCCTCGCCTCCCTATCACCCGAATTGATCGCAGTCGGGGATGGAGGAGGCTCTGCCAGCAGGTTCGCGCAGCAGAACCCCATGGCCGATTCGCGTATCAATCCGCAGATGCATCATCGCGAGCGAATCGAGACGTCGTCCCAACGATCACCTCGTCTGACTCTGCGCAGAATAGGCCGATAGTCGCACCGTCAAGGACCGTTGGCAGCAACGCAGTTTGTCACCGACCCAGCCTACAAAGCCTCCGCCCGGGCAGGTGGTGGTATGTGTGGGGTGCGCACACCAACCTGGACCTGCAGCAGAACGGGTCCGGCCGAGCCTGCGCGCCTGCGTGCCTGTGCAGACGGGGAAATGACGGCAATAGGACCGACAGCTATTGCATGGTGATGGACGGGGCCCCAGGTCACGGTGTGCGATGGTGCCGTGTGTTGTCGGGTTGTCTCAGAGCTCTACCGACCAAACGCTCACGTCGTCGTAGTGGTTCATTTATATTGAGGGCTGGGCCAGCCTGCGTGCCCTGCGTGCCTGCCAGCCCTGCTTGTCTGGCGAGGTGCAACGTTCTTATCATCTGCGCCAGGCGTGGGAGCATCGGATCTGGTGGGCCGAGCCAGCTTGGCCAAGGCAGCCCGCTAGCCCAGCGCAGGAGCCGAAGCCGATCTGGCCGTGTGGCCGCGTCTGCTAGACTGCTAGACTGCAGAGGCTTGCATCCTGGCATCCAGGCCGTGATACACAGTACTCCGTACAAGCCGGTGCTCAGGCAGTGCTGTGTGACTGTGGTATTATCCCCATGACTGACAAGATCTGATGTAGAGATTCCATCCGGTGGTCACGGACCGGGCGCCCACAGCATCCTGCATCCAGCACAACGGTACGCCTGCGCCGGGAGGGCAGGCCGGGCAAGCAAGCTGTGTGTGTGCCTGTCTGTCTGTCTCTTCCACAGTGGCTTCGAGAAGTCGGGGGGGTGGGCGTGAGTGCGTGTGTGGTCTGCCCTGCACACCGAACAATAACCTTGTTGCGTGGCCCAGCTGGCATTGTCCTGGGTTTGTGGGTAGACTTACGTGTATCTTCTGGTTCTCGTATTCTGCATGCATATGCCCATACAGCCCATCAAGCCCATCAAGCCCATCAAGCCATCCATGATAGCTCCCCTCAGTGTGCCCGCGGGTCGCACTGACGGGGCGATCAAGCTAAGAGATACACCAGTGGCCGCGCAGTGGCAGGTGCGACGGGAAGTAGCTCGGTAGCGTGGTCTGTGGGCTCCTCCGGTTCCACCGAGACGGGACGACTCTGGCTCATTCTCGAGCGAGTCGTCCTTGGTGGCCATGCGCACACTGCCGCGGCAGATTGGAGGGAGACAATGCTGAGTCGTTGACAGAGAAATGTTTCCATCCCATGCAGTGTGCCCAGGGTGCAGCACATACCTACATACATACAGACACAGGCACAGCTTCTTGCGGTGCTGAAACAGGCCCCCCTTCGGCATGTCAAGCTGGAGAAAGGGCAGGGGTGATTCAGGAAACAAACCGGTGGGTGGGTGGCTACCGGCCAGGGATCCAACCCCCTGTCCCCATCGCCATGATGATGGAACACAGCAGGACACGGGGATTACACGAGCTGTCAGACGCTGCTGGCTGCTGGCTGCTGGCTGCTTCCTGCTGGCTGCTTCCTGCTGGCAACATGGCAACAACTCCCTCATCACCAACAGCCTCTTGGACAGACTGCAGGATGCACACGTGGGCAGGTGGGAGCATCAGGCCAAGCCTTCGTATAACACATAGGAACCCCCCCAAGAGGACTGAAACCATATCTACATCTCTAATTTCCATGGAATGCAGCCTGCCATCCTCGTCCTGTTTTTATGTGTCTGGGCTGGCCAAGTTCAAAGTCACATCAACAAGCCAATCTGGCCACGCTTGCACACCAAAAACTTGGAACAGCTTCCCACTTTCCCTCCTCAAGAGCCTAGAGCCCAGAGCCCACGTTTTGCTGTATTGGTCTGTGTCCGTCTACCCGTCCGTTTTGTGCCGTCCCATCCAGAAGTCAGTCAGTCAGTCAGTCAGCCACAGCAGCAGCTTTCGTTGATGAACCACCTGCACCTGCATTTGGTGGTGATCAGATGTTGCAAACCGCCGTCCTGCTGTGCTCACCTCATCTTGTTTGTTTTTGGTCCAACGTCAGGGCATCGGCATTGCATCTCGCCGTGTCTGTCTGCCTGCCTGCCTGCCTGTATATTTGCTGGTCAGCCTCTCTGCTGCCGGTCTACCATCTCTCCCTCTCTCGAACTGGTTCCATACCAATCAATCAGTCCTCCTGCCCGCAGCCAGCCAGCCTCCTTTCTCTGAATCAAGATCATCCAGACAGCCCCCTGACCGTATCTTGCGGCGCAATCAATACCAGCAGGGCCGGACGGGCTGCAATCAGTGCTCGGCCGGGTCCCAAGGCCCAGCCCCCATCCTGCCGTCTGTGCCGGACTATTTCCGTCGGCCCATAGCGCCCTTCTGTCCTGCTTCCTCTGGCCTTCCGGGCCTTGGTTGTTCTCAATATCGCCGAAATTTCGAAACGGCCCGACGTCATCAAAGAGCAATCCACCCTCCTCAGCGAGATACAACTGATCCACGCCCAGCCTGCGAGCTCGTGCAGAATGGGAACCTCGAGCCCGCCCGGCGCCCACCCATTTGATCCATCCCGCTGGTTCCTCCTTCCCTGCACTGCCTTTCCCGCCCGCCCAATCGACTCAGGCCAATCCGTTTATTAAAAGCAATCCAGCCACAACCTCGACATCCACATCCGTCGCTACTCTACGGCACCTCAAGCAAGGAATCCTGGCCGGCCCACCCTGCCCACCCTGCCCACCCTGCACTGCCGGTCAATTCATCTGCGACCTGAGCTCATTGCGTATCTATTCCATGCCCCCCCTTGGTCTTCACGAGCTTTCTTTTCCCATGGTGGGAGGCCACATCTTCTCTGCCTCCTAGCAACAATATCCCTCCCTCCCTTCCCGCCATCTTCACATGTCGGGCCTTGTCTAGTCCCACGACGATCCCGTCACCTCTCTCGCCTTTGCCCGACTCTACCGACCCTGTACGTCGCCATCCTCTCGCTTGGCATATCCCAGCCGGAATATAGCTGGACCGTCGCATAATCCAAATTTCAACGGCTTCTCGTAACAAAAAAAAACCACCCCAAAATCAGCTATCCGAGCAAACAAGCAGACAAGCAGACAGACACAGGGTCCGGTTCTTCTCGAAGCCCCTCCTAGCGCTGTTTATCCGCCTCGCGGCAGACTGGCCTTGGCCTTGACCAAGCCGTCATGGCACCGAGCCTCTTGACCCTCAAGTCTATCAGGCGACGATCAAAAGCAAGCTTCAAAACAGAAAAGTCCGCCACAGACGCCAACGATACCTCTAGCGATGCAAGCAACGGCCAGACCCCAACCAGTGGCTCATTGACCCCTCCCTCTCTTGCGCCGTCCGTGGCAGGCCAGTCGGATCCCGCCCTGAACCACCAGCTGTCCAGGGAGAAGCTCAATGGCGATCTGTTGGCCCCACCAGTCCCTCCGATTCCCCCTTTCCGTCCACCACTGCGTTCTGCTACCAATGGTTCTGGTTCCAACCGGAACAGCGTCTCGGGCATGACGGGGCTGGGGTCGCCGTCGATGGGCGGCCGCGGGCCCTATCCGCAACTACCTGTGTCGCCCTATGCGCCCCAGATTGATAACATTAGGCACGGAGCATGGGTAAGTCTAACAACCACCGCCAGAGATCGTCTTGGGGGCGGTTTTTCTTTTTTTCAGTGGGAAGGTCCTATCGGGCAGGTGGTGGCTTTCCGAGCTGCGGCTGGTGCTGTTATGTCGCGCATAAGATACCCTCCAGCCTGTCCTCCCTATTTTTAGCTTTCGGCTAACATCGCAACCTCACAGGTCTCTCAGAAGGTCCTCATCATCACGGGTGTGGTGCCCGGGCCGGGCGGGCGAGCCATCGATGGCGAGGTCACAATTTCGCGAATAGACGACGACTACCCATCGGTCTCGTGGCCGGTGCACGACTGCCAGTTCAAGGCCCTCGTCTACCTCCAGTCTGGCCTCAACAGGCTGCGTTTCGACTTTGCCAGCCCCAAGCTCCCAAACAGCAACACAACGAATCCGATCCACTCTACGCAGCTCACCATCAATGTGATGCCTGTCTCTAACTCTCCGCCGTTGCAGCTGGCTATACTGCTGGCAAAGGACTCGCCCGGCACTTTCGATGCACCGCCAGCACGGGCCGAGCGGGAAGGGAACAGCTTGGAGGTGGCCATTCGGAAATTCCGCATGGCTGTTTATCTGTGGCAGGCGTACACTGCCGAGCAGATGTTCCGCAACAAGTTTGGCCGTCGCACCTTTAGGTTCGAAGAGGAGTGGACACAGGGCACGACTTGTTCCAGGGACCACGAAACCGGGCGCATGCGCAATGAGGCTCGGATCCATGTTATCCGGATGGACAAGACGCTGGCCGAGATCCGGGACCTCAACATTGCACAGCAGTACAAGGACGCTGCGGATCAGGGCGGGCTGTTCCCGATCGCAGCCGAGGCTGTGAGGAAGTACTTCGGCCTGAAGCCAGGTCAGCAGCAGTATGTTTCTTGCATGTTCCTGGACAGCCAATGGGACCCCAAGGAGAAGATCATCCGGGGACATGCTGCGCTTGGTAGCTCCAGCGGAGACCTGAAGTTGGCGATCTTTGGGTCGCACAGCCTGCACAGTTACCCCACAATGCTGGAGGAGGTCGTTCCGGCCTTCACCGACTGCACTCCCACGGACACCAAGTATGTCGCCAACGACTGCAACGAGGCGGGCAGCTCCTGGGAGAACGCCAACATCGGAATCGGTGCGCACCTGCACGAGACGGGCCACCTCTTCGGCTGCCCACACCAGGCCAATGGCGTGATGCTCCGAGATTACGTCTACCTGCACAGGTCCTTCGTGACCCACGAGGCCTACTGCACCCGGACAAAATCCAAGGGCGGGCCTGTCGCTCAGGCAGATGAGTGCACATGGCACCGCCTCGACCTGTTGCGCTTCCGGGGCCATCCGTGCTTCTCGCTCCCTAATGACCCGCCTCGGCACCCCGACGATTCCGTCCAAGCCTGGCCTATGGAGGACGGCAAGGTGGCGATAACAGCGCCATCTGGCATATCCTTCATCGAGATTTATGGCGACGGAGACGACCTGTGCACGACGTGGATGGAGTGCCCCACCGAAGGCGAACAGATCAAGCGGCAGCTCGTGGTCACAGAGGATGACCTTCGGAAGCGTCTCCCCGAGAACAAGCGAAAGGGCAAGATAAGGCTGTCCGTAAAGTCCCACAGCGGCGGCGACCTGGAGATCGAGGATGTGCGGGCCCTATGTGGGAAGGAAAGCAAGCTGACGGTCGGCAATGCCGTGACCGGCTGGACGGCGTACCGTAGCAAAAAGTTCGGCATGAGCCAGATGGACGGGACTCAGCCGATCGAATTTGTGTTTACGAGCGCCACGAAGCAGGAGAGGGTGCTCAGCCGGATTGTGTTTTACCACGGCGCCGCATTGGATGGTATGGAGTTCATCTATGACGACGATTCGAGACAAGTATTTGGCAAGGTCGGTGGCAACGTGCAAGTCGGGGTGTTCGATCTCGGTAAGTTCAAAACTACGACCAATGCTGGCGCTGGGAAACTTGGACATGCTCTGACACCGGCGTGAACAGACATCCGCAAGGGCGAGTATATTTCAGGCTTCCACATCCGCTCCGGCTTCTGGGTCGACGGCATCCAGGTCCTGACGAGTTTGGGCAACCGGTCGCCTTTCTTTGGTAACGCCCACGGGGGAGACATGTAAGTGAAAACAAGCCATGAACCGAACCATTGCTTTGGGAAAGGGGAACTAACATTGACTGTTCTTAGGCACACCCTCATCCCACCTTATGGATACAACATCTGCGGCGTGTGGGGAACCTGCGCTCAGTGGATTGATGGCTTTGGCGTCATCATACGGAAGTGAGGAGCTGCAGGCTTCTGGACAGCCTGTCAGCTAGGAAACGGACACATAAAGTCCTAAGAATGGTGGCCCATCACCTGAGAGCCGATACGGGCTCGCACGACATGACTTGGTCGGAGCGACCACGCCCTCAGCCACGAGTGGCCGGGGCAACAACTTGACGAAACTGCATTTACAAATGGTGGTACACGATGACAACATCCTGGGGAGGCAACAATTCGTACAGATTTTAATTCTTAATCAGCATGGAACCTCGGTCAATTCCGAGGCTGGCGTTGTTCTCTCCTTCGAAATCACCTACCCCAAGGTAATACCCGCGCCAGGGAACTGGACATGAACTGGACTCTCCAGACCATCTGGCTTCGACGCGTCCAACACACGCAGAGGCGCGGATCCGCATGGCTTTATTTTGAAGCTCGTCCTGCTGTAAGGGCGAGCGAGGTACGGCGTGTTGGTTTGTGCATTTGTATAGAACAAGGGACCAACTATCCCATTTTGGATGGGGGGCAAGGTCAGGGCAGGGCAGGGCGTTATCCGACTCTCGGACTGGAAGGTAGTCAATCACCTTGGTCGCACACCTGTCGTCGTTTCCACGCCACACAGATCGAGGGACGACAGGCGGGCGCATAAGAATAGTATAAAATTACATGTATCAACTCAAATCTCTCGTGGGTGACTGCTGACCTGTCAACAGCCCTTTTGTCTCTGCCTCGGATCCGACGCCCAACAGGACAGGACTCGGCCGAGTTCCGGTGCTGCGGTAATGGGCAGCCAGCCTTTTGCTGAACTATCGAGCAACCCCGTACCAGTGTTTCCGACGATATCCCAATTGGCATTGAATCTGTGGCTGAACGTTCGTTCCAGTTAACAATGGCTGCCGTTCCCCGCCCCGGTGGTGGTAGTGGCTGGACACCGCCCGGTTCTGGTTGGCCGCCTGGCCGTTGACGTGCTTTGGCCGCGTATCTCGTCATGTAAGTGTGCCCCGGGTATTATCCCCAGCTTTTATATCCATCCAGGTAATGGTCCATATACTACGGCAAGTTATACCATCGCTCGGTGGAAGGACATGGTGAACTCTGTGTGCAGTGGCTGACCACCTCGCTACCACCACAAGCCCACCAACACCATAGCAATACCAACGTGTTCCTCTCGTCCCGTCGGTATCCCCTGCCCACCCACACACCATGAAGCAGGCTTCTTTATGATAGGTCCTGCCCCAAGCCCCCCTCCCCCAGGGAACGAGTGTTCCCAGAAGTAGTACCGTCAGGACCCGATTGCGTGCTCGCGGAGGAGCTGCAACATGTCAATCTATTACGTCCCCCTCCCTGGATGGCGTAAGCGAAAGCTTTTGTTCTCTTCCGTACCCTTGAACCGAATGCTTGGTTTGATAAACATATTAAACAGGCCAAGACAGCCCGATCTAGCGCAACCGTTGATGGGGGATTCGACACTTGCGACCCGGCTGCTTGGGACGTCTAGCTTATCCTATTAGTTTGAGCCGCATCTCTTGGCCGCTTGGGGTTCTCTTGTCTTGTTGGGTCGTTTAGATTTGATTATCCATACTTGAGCAAGACAGAGCCCCGAGATGTCCTCCGCAGAGCACATCGGGATAGAGAAGGATGAGGAAGTCGTCTCGTCCTCTCCAGCAGCCGAGGTGGGCAAGACGGCGTCGGTATCTGGGGAAAATGGCGTCGAGTCCAGCTCTGACGAGTCCCTCGACGAAAGCTACCAGGTTTTCAAGGCGACCGAGGACCTGCGGGTCGACCCGGCTGAGGCGAAGCGGGTTCTGCGCAAGATCGACTTGAGAGTGGTGCCGGTGCTGTTTTTCACATATATGCTGCAGTACCTCGATAAGAGTGAGCCCCGGTGGCGGAGGACAGAGCCCATCTGCGCATCTACTTGACGTCTGAGGGATTATGCTAACGTTTGGTCTCACCCCCATAGATTCGTTAAACTTTGCCAGTGTATATGGCCTCAAGCAAGGGACAAACCTGCACGGGCAGGACTACTCGTGGCTAGGTCCGCCTCCCACACCCGCCGACTGGATGGTTCCGAGGGTACTCACACCTGTGCACAGGATCGATCTTCTACTTCGGCTACCTCGTCGCGCAGTTCCCGTCGTCTTTCGCCCTCCAGGCCCTCCCGATCGGCAAGTTCGTCAGCGTCATCACAGTGCTCTGGGGCGCCATCCTGATGACGACGCCGGCGTGCACGTCGTTCGCGGGCATTGCGACGAACCGGTTCCTGCTAGGGTTCTTCGAAGCGGCCATCAACCCGGCGTTTGTGATCATCATGAGCATCTGGTACACGTCGGAGGAGCAGCCGCTGCGCCTCGAGGCGTACTACTGCACCAACGGGATCGCAACCATGTTCGGGGGATTGATTGGGTACGCGGTGGGACACATAACGACGGGGATCGCGGGGTGGATGTACGTCTTCATCATCTTCGGGTCGCTTAGCGTCTTCTGGGGCGTCGTGAGCCTGCTGGTGCTGCCGGACCTCCCCTCGACGGCGAGGTTCCTGGACGAGCGGGAGAGGCTGGTGGCTGTTGACCGGGTGGCACGCAACAGGCAGGGCGTCAAGAACCGACACTTCCGGTCGTACCAGGCCGTGCAGTGCGCCAGGGACCCCAAGACGTGGATACTGTTCGTGATGGCCGTGGCGGCGCAGGTGCCCAACGCCGCCATCACGAGCTTCAGCAGCCTCATCATCAACGGCTTCGGCTTTGACACGCTCGGCTCGCAGTACCTGCAGATCCCCGGGGGCGCGGTCCAGTTCCTGGCGCTGATCATCGGGGGCTGGATCTGCAGCAAGTGGCCGCAGAGCAGGTGCATCACCATGATCGTTGCCAACACCATCTGCATCATCGGAGCGGCGCTGTTGGTCGGGCTGCCGGATGACAACAAGGTGAGAAGGCTCTCTACCAAGTCAAGCAAGCCTGCCCATGACCGATCAGGATGGGCTGACCGTGACGTTTGATGCCAGTGGGGACGGCTGGTGGCGCTCTGGCTGTGTTACTTCCAAGGCCTGGGGTTTAGCATGTCGCTCACCATGATATCGTCAAACATTGCGGGCAGCACCAAGAAGCAGCTCACCGCCGCCGTACTGTTCACGGGCTATTGCATCGGCAACATCGTCGGCCCACAGACTTTTATCGACAGCGAAGCTCGTAAGTCGGACCTGCTCAGTCAGTCAGTCTCCTCGGTGGCTAACTGTTCTCAGCGCGATACCACTCGGCATACATAGCCATGTTGGTCGGGTACTCGATCAAACTGCTGGCGGTGGTGGTGCTGTATATTTACATGTGGCGGGTGAACAAGGCGAGAGATGCCGCCGGGCACACCAACGATCGAGAGGCGGTCGAAAAGGGCATGCACGATACAACTGAGCTGGATAATCCGGGGTTCAGGTACTCGCTGTGATTTGCCGGATGGAGGAATGCATAAACATGGATTAGGTAAGGCGTGCATATATATACATAGGTATGTTGGTATATAAATATAACTGTGTAGGATTTCCAATACAATAAGGATTTGGCCGCTTGGTTGGGACCGCAGCCGCTGGCCGTGGCCATCCTGGTTCATTTTTGGATCGTCAGACGGGCTGGCAGTCAGACATCGACGGTAGTGTGTAAAGAGTAACGGAGTACGTACGTCTCTGTGACGTGGGTGCTGCGGTAGGGTGGAAGCTCTATACCCAGACCCAGGTCAGGCATACGGGAGTACGGAGTACGGAGTACATACAGCTGGACCCTGGGCGGGCCCCCTTGTCTGGTGGGTTGGGTGACGATCTAGGCCCAAAACAGGGCGGCCAGCAGACGAAAATGACGGCATTGGCGCCCTCGCAGGCCAAGAAAAGCTTCAACCGCAGTCTGCCCTACTGCTGCCCTCCGCTCCGCGCCCACTCCACCTCGACCGACGTGCAGCGCGAACAATACCTGCACCACCACACCCTGTACCACCACGACACCACCTCTCAAGACCCCTCGCCCGCCCTGCCTGGTCACCACTCTCTCCTCGACCCTCAACACTCCCCACCGCCAAAGCTGCACGGCAACAATCTTCCAACGACACGACGCGACACGACACCGCAAGCCCTCTCTCCCTCGTCCCACACCGACTACACCCCCAGCCAAAAACACAACCAGCTCCGTCATGTCCAAGAGAACCTCCTCCGCCGCCACCAACGGCGGTGCCCAGAAGGCCGGGCAGGTTTCGTGTATGCTCCCCTCGACATGCCCGACAGAGAACAGAGCGCTGACCCCCTTCCTCCCTACAGCATATGACAAGCAGAAGGACCTCCTCTCCTCCGAGACGGGCCACTTCTCGCTGATCCGGGCCATGCACCTGGCAGACCTGATCACAGAGCTCAATGGTACGAGGCCCCCGGCCGTGCTGTGTGTGGCGCACCCCCGGCAGCAGCTAACCTAGACGCCCTCACCTACAGGCTTCTGCGGCATCATGTCCGTCTTCTCCTCGCTGCGGTACTGCCTCCAGGACGACTACTCGCGCGGCAACATCTACGCCGCCCTGGCCTTCCTGCCCTTTGGCCTGTTCTTTGACTTCATGGACGGCAAGGTCGCCCGCTGGAGGAAGAAGAGCAGCATGATGGGCCAGGAGCTGGACAGTCTGGCCGACCTGGTACGTTTCTTGTCCCTGGATATATATTCATCCAACCCCCTTCGCAACCCCCAAAACTCCACCCGGGCAGCATAGAAAAAGACCCCCACCGCCGCTGACAGGCTCCTCCCCCCGTCCGCAGATCTCCTTCGGTCTCGCCCCGGCCGTCGTGGCCTTCGCAATCGGCATGCGCACCACGGTGGACCACGTGTGCCTGGCCTTCTTCGTGCTGTGCGGCCTCACGCGGCTGGCTCGCTTCAACGTCACGGCCACCTCGATCCCCAAGGACGCCACCGGCAAGGCCCACTACTTCGAGGGCACCCCGATCCCCACCAGCCTGGGGCTCGACGCCGTCATGGCCTACTGGGTCTCCCAGGGCTGGATCCACGATGCCATCCCGGGCGGCCTCTGGCTCGCAGACACCCCCTTTGCCTTCCACCCCGTCGTCGCCGTCTTCATGCTGCACGGCTGCCTCATGACCAGCAAGACCATCCACGTCCCTAAGCCTTGATTGGCGCCGTCACGATTGTGTGTGCTGGGCTGGGCTGGGCTGGCGTGGTGAAGAACCGCCCACAGCTGGGGGCTGCCCAGGCTGGGGTTCCTCCCTCCCACCAGCCATCACAACCATTCTTACGTCCGTGGCCGTGTGAGGGTTTTCAGGCCTGATATTGACGCTGTTTCTCAATTTTGTCCTCTCCCGCGGTAGCACTGTATGGAGTCCTGCGTCAATGGGGGCCACACGGGAGAATCCAAGTCGATTTCAATTGCTTTTTTTCGGGTTTTCAAGGGGCAACTTGTTGATGATACCTTTTTTGCTGGCATGACGGAGAAAACAAGGGTTCACGAAAAGATAGCATAAATAAACAAGGCCCAAGACAATAATGATGGGTCCAATAAAAAGATTCTCTCTATTCGCCTTCTTGGATTCTTTTTACATCTTCTCAGCAACTCCTCACCCGTCACGATTCTCTCTCTCACTCGTATCTACCACCACCACCACCACCACCACCACCACCCTACTCGCCGTCCTTCTTGGTCTGCACGGGCAGCTCCTTGGCCGCGGCGGGGAACGGGTTGTACATGCCGCGCTCGTCCCGGAGCTTGCCGATCTTCTCGGCCGCCTCGTCGAGGCCGACGGGCGTGCCGCGCGACTGGGTGTCGGTGTCGTCGCGGTAGCGGATGTTGACCTGGCGGTTGCGCATCTCCTCGTCGCCGACGACAAAGACAAAGTTGTACTGGGCCAGCTGCGCGCGGCGGATCTTCTTGGGCAGCGTCTCGCCGCTCGTGTCGACGTCGACGTACATGCGCATCCGCGTCTTGAACAGCTTGCGCACCTCCTCGGCGTACCCGTAGAAGCCCTTGCCCACGGGGATCACCATGATCTGCCGCGGCGACAGCCACATCGGCCACTTGCCGCCGTAGTGCTCGCACAGGATCGCCGCGAACCGCTCCACCGACCCGGCCATGGCGCGGTGGATGATCACCGGCCGCGCGCACCCGGGGCTCAGCGGCTTCTTGGTCGCCCGCTTGGCCACCTTCTCGGCGTTGTCCTCCGTCGCCGCGGGCGTCGGCGCCGGCTTGGCGGCCTCCTTCTCCTTCTCCTCCTTGGCCTTGGCCGTGTCCTTGACGCCCTCGGCCGTCATGTACTCGAGCGAGAAGTTCTCGGGCTGCACAAAGTCCAGCTGTGTCGTGGCGCACTGCCACTCCCTGCCCAGGCTGTCGACGACCTTGATGTCGATCTTGGGGCCGTAGAAGGCGCCGTCGCCGGGGTTGAGCTCCCACGAGATGCCCATCTTCTGGGTGAAGTCGTCCAGCGCCTCCTTGAGGGCCGCCTCTGCCCTGTCCCAGGTGGCGATCTCGCCCATGAAGCCCTCCGGCCTCGTGGAGAGCTTGAGCCTGAACGACATGCCCAGCAGGCCGTAGAACTCTTGCAGGAAGTCGAAGCAGTCGTCCATCTCCTGCTTGATCTGGTCCTCCCGGCAGAAGATGTGCGCGTCGTCCTGCTGGAACCGCCGCACACGGGTCAGACCCGACAGGGCCCCGGACGCCTCGTTCCGGTGCAGGACGCCAAAGTCCGCAAGGCGGAGGGGCAGCTCCCTGTGTGAGCGCTCACGGTTGTCGAACATGATGCAGTGGGCCGGGCAGTTCATCGGCTTCAGGCCAAACTCCTCCTTGTCCACCTTGTTGATGAACATGTCGTCCTTGTAGTGCGCCCAGTGGCCCGACTGCTTCCACAGGTCCGCGTTGTACATGTTGGGCGTGATGACCTCGTCGTAGTCCCGCTTCCAGTACTGCTCCTTCAGGAACTCGACAATCTTGTTGAAGATACGGGCACCGTGGGGCAGCCAGAACGCCGAGCCAGGGCTGACCCCGTCGAAGAAGAATAGCTCCTGGTCCTTTCCGATCTTCCGGTGGTCCCGCTTGGCGGCCTCCTCGAGCAGCTTCTTGTGCTCGGCCATCTTCTTCTTGTCGGGGAAACTGACACCGTAGACACGCTGGAGCGAGTCGTTCTCTTGGTTGCCCAAGAAGTAACTGGCCGAGTTCTTGAGGATGGAGAAGGCTTCTATCCTGCCGGTGTCGGGCACGTGGGGTCCCCGGCAGAGATCGATGAGCGGCCCGTTCCTATATACAGTGGTGGATGTTCCGTCGGGGATCTTGTCCTTGATAATGTGTTGCTAGAGAGATCCCAGTTAGCTCGGGCCACTGATTCCACGCAGCAGTTGTCGGCGTGTCGCACCTTGTACTTGTTGTACTTGAACATCTCCAGGAGCTCCTCCTTGGTCATGACCAGGCGCTCAAACTTCTGCTTCTCCTTGGCGATCTTGCTCACGATCGTCTCCAGCGGCTTCCAGTCCGAGTTCTGAACGGCGGCGCCGTCGGGGAGGGCCATCTCGTAGTAGAAACCCGTGTCAATGGGCGGACCAATGCACAGGGAGCACCCGAAACGCCTCTCGCAGGCCTCGCCCAGCACGTGGGCAGAGCTGTGCCAAAAGACGGTCTTGCCGACGGGGTGGTCGAAGTCCAGCAGCTCAAGGTCGCAGCTGGCCTCGAGCGGGCGGTCCAGGTCCCACAGCTTCTCGTCGTTCTTATCTAGCCTCGCGACCACGGTGCGCTTGTACAGGGAGTTGGAGATGCCCTTGGCGATCTCGCCAGGCGTGGTCTCCCACGACGTGCCGTCAATGACCTTCCCGTCCGGCATGGTGATCTTGATGGGCTCGCGGGGCTGCTTGGCGGCCTGCTCGTCCTGCCTGGCCTTGAGGCGGTCAAACAGGTCGAGCCTGTCCTGCAGGAACGAGGGGGGAGGCTGCATCTCCAAGGGACCCGAGTCCTCGCCAGCGGCAGCCTTCTTGTCCTTCTTGGGCGCCTTCTGCTTGGGCGGTGGGGGTGCTGCGGCGTCCGCCATGTTGGCTATCGGGGCGTTGAAGCCTGTGAACGTACGGCGGGCGTGTTCGAATGGTTGAGGAACCCTGTAAACGGCGGGCGACGGACGGAACACCTTTCGCCTCACTTGGTTATTGCACCTGAACTGAGTTGGGGAGTCAGCGGAGGCGGCGGTGCAACACGGCTGTCGTCTCGGTGACTCACAGGTCGAGGAGGGAGAGTTGAGGGTGGGCGTTGCAGTTTCGAAAATGGTGCGGTGACTCCAATTTCATCTGCAGCATATGGACCTGGCCAGATGGGAGCAATTGAAGGTTCTGCCCCGCGCAGATCGACCCCTCCACTCAATCCATTCCAAGCAGTGGCCCAAGTGCCAGGGTCAAGGGTCCCACAGTGCTAACCGTAGTGTACCGAGTACTGCAGGTAACTCCTATACGATGGCTAGGTACACAAAATAGGGAGGTGCCTCGGTACACGGCCGAGGCGCAAGCTTTACATGTTCAGGTCTTGGACCGAAAGAGGCCGTCGAACAAACTTACATGGCCCTGTCTATGATAATATATCGACTCGAATTCCAAAATGATAGTACACAAAACCCCACAGCGCCTCACGGCTTCCTGTCGTTCATCTCGGCGCTCTCGTACCGGCCCCTGTGCCTCCTTGGTCCATTCCGCTCTTGCCAGTACTCGACGACTGAGGCTATCAAGCCCATCACCTTTCGCCTGAACACCACGGCGAACAGGACGACAGCCAGGAAGATGAGTGGCGTGCTCGTCGACACGCCCATCTCCCTGCTCAGGTCTTCGAAGGCGTGTTCGATGACCTCTTCCATTGCCTGCCCTCTCGTGAACTCGAGGCCCATCAGCATGATCACGCACGCCGTCCAGCCGGTGAACGCCCTGCTGTGGCGCCCCTTGCCCGTCTTGTCGTCGTACTGCTCCCAGACGAACCCTGTCTGCTGGTAGTTCCTGTAGACCGACTTGACAACCCGGTCCCTGAGCTCGGCCGCGACGGTCAGGGCCCGCTCCTGCACAGCTGTCGGCGGTCTTTGGTGTCCTTCGAGGCCCACGGCCCGCAGGCGCTGCACCGCCAGCACATTGATGTTCATCCAGACCGCCCCGCGCCAGTAGTCCTCGTCTTTCCTGTACCCGTGCTCCTCGGCGCTCAGGCTGCGCAGCCCCTGTCGTGAGTACATCTTGTGAGGATCCGACAGCAGGTCCAGCACGGCAGGGAGGTGGGGGTGGTCTGCCTTCATGAGGCCCATGAGCAGTGGGAATATCGAGACGTAGCCCTTGTGGCAGACATGCTGGAACTGCGCGCCGTCGTCATGGCCCACGACCGTTGCGTCGCAATAGGCGTTCTCGTTCTCGTTCCAGTGCAGCACGTCCATGTTGTGCTGGACCGCCTCCGTCTGCTCCCGGTGCACATCGGCGGCGTTCCTGTCGCCGAGCACCTGCGCCGCCTGCATCAGCGCGCGCGACGAGGCACCGACCCAGGCGAGCGCATCGACGTGTAGCTCGCCTGGGTGGGGCGGGTTCGCCCTGGGATAGTCATCCAGACCACTCGCCAGGGTGTGCTTGGGCGTCCTGCCGCGCCAGCGGTAACTCTCAACCAGCACGTGGTTATCGGGCCGAGGCCAGGCGTTGAGGTCGCCGGCTTGCGTGCGGCGGAACCACGAGAAGTGCCGGTCAAAGAGGGGGTACAGTTCTTTGATCAGGGCTCTTCCCGCCTCCTCGCTGGCGACATATTTCGAGGGGTGGCCAAAGTAGCTGGCCGGTTTCGTCACCTTCTTGAGGAGGGCGGGCAGGACCAGCGCCAGCATCGTGGGCGGATTGGCATGGTGCGGATACTGCGTCTGGAACTGAGGCGGCACCTTGTTCCGAGCCTCGGGCCCAATGACCTGTTCACGGGCGATCCACCCCTCGCCATCCATCTGCTTGAACCAGCTGCGGATGACCGACACGGCCAGGTCGAGGTCCCACTCGATGACGGGCAGCAGGTGGAACCCCTCGTCCCAGAGGAACCCTCGCGGGAAGACAGATCTCGACGGCGTGAATGAGAGGAGCGATGTTGGTTCTGTCATGGTGACCGTGGCCCTGCCCATTGCCGCTTTTTCTTTCATCCAGAAGTCGGGGTCCTTCTCCTCGAACTCTGGTTCTTTCGAGGCAACCTTGCTGTCCCCGTGGAAGAAGCCCAGGCCACCCAGCAGGTTCGACAGCAGGCCTTGAGCAAAGACTGCGTACTTGTCCTCGTGGAAGACAGAAGACCTTGGAAACACCTTGTCCACCTGCGAGGGAAAAGACGTTCGCAGCTCGTCCAGTCTCGTGACGTTCGCTAGGTCAGGAGCGGTCAGCACGGGTGCCCCCGTCACGCGTCTGCTGCAGGGAACTTACGAGAGTTGCGGTAGTTGAAGGTCGCAGAGAAGGCACCAATGAAGTTGTAATGCACAAAGTGCATGTTCGCCTTGCCAGTCTTGCTGCTGGGCACAACCTTCCTGTAGTCCTGGGAATCGTCATTCTTGAGCACATCGGTGAAGACAGATTTGGCCTGCCATATCCGGTCCTCCGAAACGTTGACGCTGTTCACAGCAGTGCGGTGGATGATATTCTCCCTGCTGTCCGTGCTGATGACCAGGTCGAAGGGGCCAAGCCTTGGGTCCTGGCCGTGACACGAGGCTCCGAACGCCAGCGAGTGGCCGGTGCCCTTGTTCAGGTGTTCGCAGTAGAGACCCTTAGTGTCGGGTGTCGAGCCAGCCATGGCCTCAAGGGCGACGTGGAAGATGAGTGTCGTCTTGACAGTGTCAGGAGCGCCCGGGCGCGGGGTGCCGGCGACCCTGACAGACCAGCCCTGGCCATCCTCAGACTTGACGAAGTCGGTGGTGAGATCGACCTGCAGCTCCTGGTCGTGGATGAGCTGAGAGCCGCCGACGCGCGGGTCATAGGTGGTCCAGCCGTATCCTTTCACCCCGTCCTCCTGCTCACAGGTGTCCCGCAACGCTTAAAACATGATGTGAGCACATGCTGGGTGCGCAACGGGGATATTGATACATACTGTCAACGAGGCGGTTACGGTCATCGCCGCTGGCCCAGATGAGCCCCATGAGGAGAGTCTCTGGGATCTGTGGGCGAACACCAAAGTAGAGATTCGGCCTGTAGGGACCCCATGTCTGCCAGTCAAGCGGCCTGTTACTGCTGTCGCCAGCCCGGGCGGACGAGACGAGCCATGGGCTGAGCAGGGAGCCAATGGCCAGCAGGTGAGTCAGAATGAGACCCATGGTGCTACTGCTACAGCGAGCGAAAGCGTGGGCATCAATTGCACAGGTAACCAAGCGAGCCGCGGATCAGGTGGGACGAGACATGGACCAAGGCCCTAGATCCAGGATCCGAGATGCACAAGGAATGAATGAGCAAGTGATTGATTCAATGGACGAGCAAATGTTTTGTTCTCTGCTCTCAAAAAATCATGAGGACGGGCAGGACGAACCGGCAGGACTGACAGGCTGGCCCAGGTATTGACCAGGTATTGACCAGCCCCCGTAACACACTTGGACGCCGCCTGCATGGTCCTTCATTCGGTCAGGACTGGCCTGTACAGGCTGAGCCTTAGCCCGGCGGCCTGCTGTGCCACAAGCAGCTGGGAGGTTGCAGATCCAGGCAGGAGGAGGGCCTTGCCATTGGACTGCCACCGAGACGGAGAAACGAAACGGCCAGCCGCTGTGTCCGCGGCTCAGATGCCTGCTTCGGCAAACCCAATTCGTGGCGGATAATCACTCAGGTCTCCCCCCTTGCATTGCAAGTCTTGTCGGCATCGCTATCGGGCCAAATCCCTCCTATCCGACATCCCTGTCGAGTCAGGCGCTGACGACATTGAATCGCTCGACCTAGCCAAGCTAGCGCCCGACTATTGGTGGTTTCGGTGGTTTAGACTGCCATCGGCCGTTGGCGTCGCCGACATCAACGGTTGGGGAAAAACACATCAAAGCAGCACCTTCGTCCTGTCGCAAACGGTCGAGTATGGGGTGAGCCCCCAGACAGGCCACTACTTATACTCCGTATCACTTCTCCATCCTCCTCTCGGCCGTGCACGCCAGGGGCATATTGCATCTTTGGCCCCTCGCAGGACCTGCATCAAAATCGCCATGGCGACCCTCGACAGCGTCCCCGACGAGATCATCCGCCAGATCCTGCACTACGTATCGCCCGAGGACTGCTGCCTCAACATACAACTTCTCTCCCAGAGGTTCAACCGCCTCGCCAATGAGGCGCTGTTGTGGAGGTACTACTGCCTGGCATCCTTCCGGTACTGGGACCAGTCGCATAACCTCGCCGGCAAGCTCTCCCTGAGGGCCTCGCAGACGGCCTGGAAGAAGCTGTGGACGAGGCGCAAGAGGCGGAACCAGGAGATCGCCCGGCTCCTTGACCATGCCATCTCGACAAAGGTCGGCCGGCTGCAGAAGATGGGCGAAATCTGCAAGTTCGGCTACGACGCCAAAGACTTCCTCGTGAGTCAGGCCCAGATCGACGACTCCGCCGACGACGTCCTCGCCCGGCGCTACTACTCCAACACCGCCCTGGCCAGCATCCACCGGAGCATCGCAGTCCACGAGTGGTCCCGGTACCAGCGCGCACCCCTCGCCGCACAGGGGCTCGACCGCGCCCTCGCCGCATTCGACATGTTCTTTGTCCACGGCGCCGGCGACGACATCGACGACACGTGCGCCACCCTCGACCGGCTGGCCAGCCGCTTCCTCGAGGAACAGGACGACGTCAGCAAGCTGTGCGCCCGCGACAAGGCCCTCGCCCTGCTGAAATGGGTGCGCGACAGGAACCTGGTCGGCATGGACGACCCTGACGAGAACTACCGCAACCTGCGAAACTGCCTCATCGGGCACGCCCTGCGCGACGAGAGGCACCCTTCCCTCCCCATCATATCTGCGGCCATCTATGCCTCCCTGGCCGACAGGGTCGGGCTGCGCGCCGTGTGCTGCGCCTTCCCGAGCCACGTGCATGCCATGGTCCTCGCACCGGCTGGGCAGGACCTCAACGGCAAGGCCGTGTCCGCCCCCGTCAAGGATGTGGACAGGATGTTCCTGGACCCCTACGGGTCGAGCGAGGAGATCCAGTTCGACGACCTGCGGTCGCGGCTCGTGGAGCTGGACTGGATCAACGGCAGGGAGGCCTTCCTGGTCGCCGCGCCCGTCCCCGTGATGGTGCAGCGCGTGTCGAGGAGCCTGGCGGCCACCTTTGGCACATTCTGGACCACGCGGCAGGAGGACCTGGCGTCGCTGCACGGCCGCCCCGCCTCCAAGCTGACCGTGGAGAGCGCCGCGTATGCCGCGCGGTGGGCCAACCTGCTGATGACCCCGGTGAGCAACTTCCAGTGGGACAGCACGCTCGACCAGTTCCTCAACCAGCTCGCGCAGCAGTTCCCCGAGGACGGCTGGATGGTCGAGGAGTACATACTGCCGCTGTACACCATCTACACGCAGTCTGTCCAGCCGCGCATCAGGTTCACCTGGGAGAACGTCCCGGAGATGCTGGGGATCATCCGGAACATGGACAACAGGCAGCCCACGGTCAACCGGCGGTACACCCAGGAGATCCACCAGAACGTGTGGTACTCGGTCGGCCAGGTCTTCCGGCACAAGAGGTACGGCTACGTGGGCATCATCAACGGCTGGGGCGAGCGGGGCACCCAGTCCCTGCCCATGCCGCACAACATGTCGTTTGAGGAGGCCATGGACGACATGGGGGACTCGGGGACCGACAGCGACACGGTCAGGCAGCGCCTCCGGAAGAAGACGTTCTACACCTGCCTGTGAGAAGCCCTGCCCACCTTGACACCCTGTTGGGGCCAGCTGACTAACACAAAGCCCATCCAGTAAGCACGATCACGACCGCCATGTTGTCGCGCAGGACAGGATCGAGATCGTGCGTGACCCGAGGCTCATACCCGACGCCCTGATGCAGATGGCAGGCAAGTTCTTCAAGCGGTTCGACCGCAAGACGTGCACTTTTGTCTCCAACATCAAGGAGTACTTCCCGGATGACTAATTGCAAGCGCTGCGCGTGGCATCCGGACGCAAATCTATATTAGGCGGATGCACTCTTCTCCTCCGTGCCCGCCCATTTCTTTTTGGTCATTGTTCTTTTCAGTCACACATACCCTAGGCTTTCAATGAGGATTACCTGCAGCTCTTATATCCCTGGCGTGAGAATGGAAAATAGAGAAGGCGGGCGTGCTGTGTGATAGACTGCCCACGTTGAGATTGCCTCTCAATGCCCGGGGGCCCAATTTTGACCCACCACATCTAATTTCCATGACTTTGTCTCCTCGGACCGTGACCATGTCTTGCCCCTGTACTGAATAATTCGTATACTTGTTCCTGGTCCCCAGTTCCTGGCTTGATACTTCGGAGGCCATTGATGAGACGTCGCTCGATGGCCTCGTGCGTTCCTGCGGCTTCATGTGGCGAGGGATCGTGCCGGAGTCAGTCATGTCTTGCCACTCTGGTGCATCATCGCCACAACGTCACTCTATTATCTTTTCTTGTCATCGTCCCAAAATCGTAACCACCCGATCGCCGTGCACTCAGGAGGCTTCTCCCACCCTCCCCGGCTCGAGACATGAATGCGACAAGCCGCGTGGGCCGCCGAGCTCAAGACAGGGCCCTTCCGGGCCAACAGAGCTCTGACGAGACAGCCAGGGAGTCTCCGTGGAAGCAAGAATCGTTTAATTCTACAATCCCAGGCCCCCACGATGCTGAAGCCATGGGCGAGTGCCAAATGATGGTAGCCACCTAAGAATACTGGGATATAGATCAAAATTCAGGACCGTTCTGGACCAATCAGAATTTGCCAGTATGGCCGAGGTAAGACTTTGCTCAGACTCCCCCAAACCGTCCGATTACGCGCGCTCATACTTCCCAAAAGTGGTCTAAGGCGGCAGATTTAAGCAATTAAAACTCTGCTATCCGAAAGGATGCGTGCGTTCGAACCGCACTGCTGGCACTTCAAATATTTTTGGAGCCTGTTGCTTCTACTTTTGTTCTCATGTCTTATTTTTTGACGGTTGCGCTTTATGGTTCAAACGTTACTTTCTCTTGTCTGGTTCATCACGATGTTTCCAGCCAAACAAGTCCCAAAAGCGTCTGGCATTGGGTATACGATCGGCCACGACCATCATAAGTCCCCTAGCACCACTCCACGAGTAGCTCCCTCTAGCACAGCCTAGGACGTTTGAGCTTGCATTCTTGTTTCGATCAATGTGGATGGCTACACTGGAAACAAAAAGGTTATTTAGAGCCCTAACCCCTTGCGATCTGTCGATCTTCTTGGCCAGCAAACGCGGCACACACGGCAGGAAGCTTGGTGCCGACACGATGGCAAAACCAAGGCGCCGGGCGTTTTTTGTTTTGGATCCCGTGGCCGCCGCCGAGACGGCCGGCGGCGAATCGGGCGCCAACAGCACGCGAAGGCGGCCCTCCCGCCGCGGACGACCTATGCGGTCCAGCTCCGCAGAACCTTGCCGGCCCAGAATTAAAGGCTTGTCATTAAGAAGTGAACGCGTGGTAGAGTTGTGTCTATCCTGCGGGGAACCTAGCCTGCGTGCGTGGTTGCTTGCCCATGAAGCAAACCCATCACATCACCAAGCACACACTGCCTTGGCCGCAAATGGGTCGCGCCTCAACTGGCGGAGGGCTCTGGTTTCAGCTTGGGACACGTCTGAAATGCTTCTTGGGTCGTTGGCCGCCCGCGGAGATTCTGTTTCTAAACGTGCTGTGTGTGTGTGTGTGTGTGCGCGCGCGTGGTGGAGGGCTGTTTAAGCCCTCGACCGCCACTTGTCAGGGCGCATTGCGATGCCCCCGAAGTCGAAGCCGCTCGGCCACCGTGGGCCCATTCTGCCGCCGAGGGACAGGGTTGCCACTTTCCAAGAGTCAGTATGCCCCGAGTGGTGATATTCTCTCTTATGGCGGAGGCTCATTTGTGACCAGGGAGCCTCGCCCATATCGGATGCTCCCTTGGGACACCACTACTAAACCTTAAACGTGCATGGTGATATGTGGGAGAGGAGCCAAGTGGTGGACGGAGAGTCAGTCACCAGGGCGGCCAGGACGCGTATGCCTGGCGGTGATCCTCGAGCAGACAGACAGACATCCACGTAGGTTCGTGTCCGACGGGAGAAATGGCCAATCCCACGCTGAGCCTCCAGCCTACACACCGCATCGACGGGCATTGTGCACGAAGCCAGCTGGGACTATCGGCACCTGCTGTCTCGGGCCGAGAAACTTCAGCTCCTTGGCGGGAAGGAGACGGCGCGGGGGATGTGTCAGTTGGACGTCCGAATCGCCTCGGGCTTTGGGGCGGAAGGTTCCGCCCGGGTCTGACAGCGCAATGTGAGTGAGTGGCGCGAAGAATACGCAAAACAACAGCCACCGAGGGGGGTGATGGCACCCAGGCGGTGGTAGTAGTAGCGTAGTAGGGCAGGCTGGCAGGCGGGCTGAGACAGCCAACATCATACGCTTTTTCTGACCCCTGCGGGCCATGTGTCCTGCTGGAGGAAATGAGCATCTGTCGGTGGCCCCGGGCCCGAACAAGATTGGAAGTCTCCGAACCAGATCTGCACAGGACCGGATGGACGACTTCAGGAGCGGCTGCGGCTCTTTGCTGGGCGACGGGCGTGCGACCTCACCGCATGTCTGGCCCATGGCGTGAGAAGCTTATTGACGACGACCCTGTTGGAAGGAGCGTGTCAACCCGTTAGCCCGTGTCAACCAGGGACGGCTCGAGAGGCTCAGTGGTCGGTGGTCGGGAAAGGGGGTTAGCCATGGGAAGGGGGAAACGATAGGGCAGGGCAGGGCAGGGCACGGATGGCCAGGCAGCCAGGATGGCCACCTGGGCTGCTGGGGAGTAGACAGACGGCTCAAACAACAAGGCCCTTGCGGCAGCAGGCAGCTTGCCATCCCAAGTACGGAGTACCGCCAGGGCGATTGAGAGATCTCGAGGTCTAGATCGCCTTGGACCACCTGGAGGGCGAACGGGTCCCATTCCGGGAAGCGTGCCTGGGCGGGCTGCGATTCGCTTAAGCTTTGCAAGTCAGGGACCTTGGATGTTCCCGTGGAAAGGTCTAGACCACCAGGGGGAAAACGTGGGGAGCACACTTGCATATGTACAAGATGGCAGCCATGTCGCTGTCGCCGACCGCTTGGGTTTTGGGTTTTGGGTTTCTCTTCGCGGCTGTTGCTACTGCTGCGGATGCTGGAGCAGGAGGACAAGGAGAAGGGCGACGGATCGAGACCTTACCAAGCCATTGAACCGAGGGCACCCCTTCCGATCAGCCAACAACAACGCCCCCACGCCCATGCCTGGGAGAAGAACCACGGCATGGGTAAATGAGCATCCGCTTGATTAACCGGGCACGGGTGATGCCACTTCCTGATGATGTGTGAGGGCATTCCCGGCAGCTGGTTAGAGTTCATGATCGCCAGAGACAATGGCCAGCAAGGGCCCAATGAGGCGACACACCACCAAGGCAGTCTGGTCTCGGAAGTAGTGGGAGCTTAGGCACGACGGGACTTGGGCTGTATCCGTACTATAGCAGAGGCGGCCCCATGGTCGCAGTAAGTCAGTCTGTCTGTCATCTGACAGTGGCTAGTAGATAACAACTCTGCCACCCCGACTGCTCGGCACAGCTCCCGGTCAGCTGAGACCCGATCCGCCCAGCGTGGTTGTGTGTGCCACATACACAGTACCTTTGGCGTGCAGGTGGTAGGCAGCTGATATTGGGCCAGGTACAGTGCGGGCTGGCTGGACGGGTGCTGCCGAGGGGACAAGCAGATACACAGCAGTCTACTCCGCTCAGTACAATAGCGAGAGCGAGACCACAGGAAAAGGAGAGGCCGGGCGGATTGGTGCCAGTAGAAACCGCAGGACTGGAGCTGGCTACGTAATAGGGCAGGGTGGAGCCAAGATGTGCCGCAGATTGATCCAGGAAAAAAGCCAGAGGGGGAGGGGCATGAGCAGAGGAGCAGAGGAGGAGCAGGAGGAGGAAGGAGGAGGGCGATGGAAGATGGGAGGCCACTATCTGGTGATCGTCGTCAATCTCCCCCTAAATGAGGCACGACAAGCCAAGTTCGTGGTAAGAAGATCCTTTAACCCACCCCCACCGCCTCGGACCCTAACCATTTTTCATCCACCTTCTTTCGTTCTTTCTTTGATTGTTTCTTTCTCTCTGGCTGCCACCGTGCCACCTCCTCGTATCCTCTCCTCCCCTTCCGCTCCCCGTCTGTGTGTCTCCTGTCTGTGTGCCAGATTGACTGCCAGACTCCCAGTATAAGCAAGGGTGAGTCTGCCTGCGTGCCTGCGTGCCTGTGTGTCTGTGTGTCTGCGGGACGGCGACTTGTCTTCCAGAAGCGCACGCACATGCAAGAAATGCAGCAACACACGGGTTCGACGGGCTGGCCCAAGAGTCAGCGTCGCAACACATGAGGAAATAAAAGATAGAAACAGATCCAGCCTCCACCCTTGTAGAAACGAGGCCATGGCATTGAGCGGTTTGATGTTCGTTGGACCTGCTCGAGTCGTTTGCGGTTGTTTTGAGTTCTTGTGCAGTTTCGGGGCTGGGAGGAGAGTGAGTGAGGCAGCAGAGGCCACCTACCCCATCGGGCAAGCCCCCGAGCCCATGAGTTCCCAGGCTAACACTCTTGGGGCGACAGGGGGCGTCCCCCATCCCTCCGCCGCTACCCGGCCACACAACCTGGCCCCACGGCGAGGCGGCGGGCAGGCGGGCGGGCGGGCAGGCGGGCAGCTTCCTTGAGCGCCTCGCCTGGCCGTGCTGGCCCATGCTGGGCTGTCCCCTGTCATAGTCTGTGGGTGCCACTGGGGTGGATGACGGAGTGGCAGAAGTGGGCGGGCAGGTGGGCTGCAGTCATCAGCGGCAACACTGACAGGCCCTGCCCGGCCTGCAGGGCCCCAATGCCCAAGTCCCAAGTCCCAAGTCCCAGCTGGCTTACAAGTTAACATACGGTGCGGTGCGTTGGCTGCCGTGCAGCCGGGCCCAGCGTTGGTACGGGGCACGGAATAGGTACCTCGGTGGCGGCGCGGAATTGTCAGTCTGGACAAGGTACCGGGCCCTTCCCTCCTGTCTCTTCTGCTCCTCCTGTGGCCGCCTCCTCTGCCAATCCACTCTTGCTCTTGCTGTCTTGTCTGTCTCTCTCTGATCCTGATCACATCCCGGCCCCCCCACCCCCCCAATCAGCAGCCACCAGCAGTGCGTGCGAGCAGCAGAGTGCCCAATGCGACAGCCAGACTGGGCCGGTCCTGTTCGTCACTTTCCAACCTCGTCCGCCCGTCTCCCTGACCTTGGAACCTTGGACAGCACCTCCCTCACCCTTGTTGGCCTGGTTTGTCCTGCTTGTATGATTTTATCCGACCTCGTCTGATTTGGCTTTGCCATTCGAGCCCCATTGGGATCATGCCGCTCTGGGCAGAGTCACTCTTCCTCGGGTCTCACTCTGCCTTGGCCGTGCTTGCCAGTTCTTTTGCGTCTGCATCCGCACCTGCACCCGCGCACCCTGCTGCACCTTAACTGCACCTTAACATTAGCTGCACCTGCACCTTCCAGCTCTTAACAGATTGAGTTGCGTCTCTCGTATCCATATTGTTAGACTATAGCGGCCCCCTCCCAAATCTGCCACCAGATCCACGTCCTCTCCTTCCAGCACGAGGCAGCCCCGAAAAAGCTCTTTCTCCGGCTTCCAGCAGCAGTCGACCACATTCCTGACTGTCCCACTGACTGGGCCCCAACCCAAAGTCGAACCCGTCTCCCCCAAAGCACTCCGGCCCACGAGCGGCCTCGACGTTCTGGCCTCGCCTGTTCCATAAAGACGGACGTACGCACGCCCGCCCGCCCGCACGCACGCACACCCGCCCACTCGCCCACTCGCCCACTCGCCCACTCGCTCCCTCACACAGGCACCGTACCGCACCGCGCCGACGCACTACCTGTCACAACGCCCGCGATCCCCCCGAACACCCGCCGCCAACCTTCCCCGCTGCAGCGGCTGGCCCTCGATTACGTACCCGCTCCAGTCCACCACAACCTGGAATCCGCCTCAACCACAACGCCCATCGCCTCGACAGCAAACCGCGAATTGACTTCGCGCGCGCACACCCATCGCATACTGCAGAGCTCCACCGCCCCCGCTCTGCCCGCGGCGATTGCCATCCCATCCCAAAAGTCTTCTTACCTGGCCGGGCTATGGTCTAAGGCACCAGGTCCGCAGGATCTCAAATACCTGCCTCGAAAGAAGGGCGGGCTACAACATCTCTTTCTTTCTCTCTCTCTCTTATACACACACACACACACACACCTTTACCTGAGGTCCCCCGGACGCTGGCAACGACATGCCGCCCGAAGGCGACATGGCTGCGCAGACGGGAGGAAGTAACTCCAGCGACTTTGTGAGTTCTGGCCCGAGAACCCCATTTCCCCTCAGTCCTTTGATCTCGCCCGGGTCGCAGGACTGGCCCCAAGCTTCGGCGCTGACATCACCACCAGGTTCGCAAGCTCTACAAGTATGCCCTGCCCCTTCCATGCCGCGATGCGCCAAGGCTAACCCGGGACGAAGGATGCTGGAAGACCCCCAATATGCATCGGTCGTTCGATGGGGAAATGAGGGCGACAGTTTCGTTGTTCTTGAGGTACGATCCAACAACCCAACAACCTTGGCCTGACGCATGGTGGACGGCGCTAAGCGAGAATGCGGTGAGCAGAACGAGAAGTTCACAAAAACAATATTGCCAAAGCACTTCAAGCACAGCAACTTTGCCAGCTTTGTCCGCCAGTTAAACAAATATGACTTTCACAAGGTCCGACAAAACGAGGAGAACGGCCAATCCCCATATGGCCCGCAGGTAGGTGCCACCGCCTTGTGTGGTCCTGGGAGGATACCCCGCGGCTCACATCGTCTCTCTGCAGGCCTGGGAGTTCAAGCACCCCGAGTTCCGCATGGACCAGAAGCACAACCTCGACAATATCCGCCGCAAGGCGCCCGCGCCCAGGAAGGCGCAACCTACCGAGGAGGCCTTCCCCGCTAACCAGCAGGTCGCGCTCCTGAGCGAGACCCTGAACGCGACCCAGCATCAGGTCCAGCAGCTGCAGGAGAACTACTTCACCCTGGCCCAGTCCAACAAGGTACTGATAGATGAAATAACATCCCTCAAGAAAACCCTCAACATGACGACCCAGGTCAATCATGAGCTGCTCAACCACCTCACTAGTCTCGATGAACGTAGGCGCAGTAGCCGGCACTCGGCGCACTCGAACCATTCCGGCCAGGCCTCGGCCAACTTCCACAACGGCACCCTGGGCGTCCTACCTGATGGCAACGACGAGCCCTCGGCCGAGCTGCGCAGGGCCCGCGAGCTCATGACCGGCATCGAGCCTGACCCCGTCGCAGATCGCGCCTTCCACCGCCTGTCCATGGCCTGGCAGACGCAGACGCCCCCGGACTCGGCGAGCTCGCAGGTCGCCATGTACCCCCAGCCCAGCTCGGCCGCCGCCGCCGCCGCCGCCGCTATGCCGGCCGCCATGATGCATAACCCCTTCGTCGAGGACCCGCGGCACCTGGTGTATCCCGTGGGACAGACAGTCGGTATCGATCCCTTCCATCCAGACCATATTCAACACGTTCCCTATTTTGTTAATCAGAGCGGTCCTTCAGAGGCTCCGGCACAAATAACACCCTCGTCAGGCAAAGACATGGACACGTCGCTGTGGGGGCCCAAGAAACCACGCATCTTCCTCGTCGAGGACGACAAAACGTGTTCCCGGATAGGCTCCAAGTTCTTGTCCCAGGTCGAGTGCTCTGTCGAGGTTGCAGTAAGCAGCACCCCCCCCCCCTCGTCCCAGCAGACCAGATAAAAAAAAAAGGCATCTGACAAGACCTGCAGCGAGACGGCGAGGAGGCATCAAATAAGATCAACAACGATCCCGAACGGTTTGACCTCATCTTCATGGACATCATCATGCCCAACTGCGACGGAATCTCGGCGACGGTTTACATTAGGGCTGTAAACTCGCAGGTGCCCATCATCGCGATGACGTCCAACATCCGCCAGGAGGACATCTCGAGCTATTACAGCTGGGGTAAGCACTGACTTGCCCGTGCTGCTGCGGCCTGGGGGGCTCATCTGACAATGTCACAGGAATGAACGGCGTGCTGGCGAAACCCTTCACCAAGGACGGGATGATCCGGATCCTGAAGCAGCATCTCCGGCACCTGCTCAAGAACCCTGCGGCCGCAGACGTGGAGCCCAACGGAGTCGCCCCCGTGCCAGTGCCTTCGGGCTCGACGCCCTCATATTCAGGTATGCCATCCGGAACCATGTCGACGGCGGGGAGTACCGTCAAGTTCGAATCCGGGACCCCAATCCAGTCTCCAGCAACGACCGGCTCCTGGCACTCGCCTGGCCAGCAATTAGCTCACGCGTCACCAAACCTAGATGCCGGAGGATACATGACGGCCGGTGGCGGCGTCAGCGGGCCCCAGATGGTCTTGACACCCGGGGCCATGCATCGAGGCGGGTTCACCCAACAGGTCGGCACACCACCCATCCAGCAGCGAATGCCCGACAGCATGGGAGACGAGCGGCCGGAGAAAAGACAACGAATGTACGGGCCCGGTCCCGGAGGATACATGCAACAATAACAACGCCGATCCTGCTCGGATTAGGATCCGTCCTTGAGTATAGAAGCCGGCGCAGCGCGCGGTACAGACTGGCCGCCGGGAGATATCCGGCTGGTCCCTTGTGAGAGACGCAACAGACCTTCGTGTTGTCGCCATAGAGTGTTGTCGGTTCGGGGCATTCGCGCCTGCCCCCCAGATAAGGATAAAAAAAGATACCATTCATATTTGGAGTGCCTGCTTAGGCGCCCGTCTTTCTTGAGAAGCCGGTTTCGGGGTAGTCTTTCCTTCTTGTTTCCTTTGGGTTGGGCATCTTGATCATCGTGGCGAACAAACGGTAGCCATACGCATATGATATAACGGAGTTCAATGGTTGGCTGGGACCGACGGCGTTTCTCGGGGCTTCTTCGCTTCTCTCGTCCTCACCACCGCTTTCACTCGATCGTTGTCGTTAGAATGGCGCTGAGGTACCTTTCGTCATCCTTTTTCATCGCAGACTGCTGTGTTGCTAGTAGTAGTATGTGGGGCGGGGACGTCTATCAGAACGAACCCGCCTCCGCAGCGATCAGTGCAGGTGGGGTGCGCGACTTGTTCTCTCCTCTTGGAGATAGGGGGAATGAGCAGTTTTATACTTGCGTATGCATGGCATCCTTTGGTGATTTGGGGGGACGATAAGACCAGACAAGAAGTCCCCAAAGAAAAAAGATGATGGTCAGCTTTTCCAAACGCGCTCTCTCTCTTAATCTTTTGGCAAGTTCCGGGACACATAATGAGAAACGTCACAATGAGTTGAGGCGCACATGAATCGGTGACTTGCTGGCTTGGTCGGACTCTCGTCGGTCTAGTGACCGCTGCCACTGCTGAGTGATCGCGCTTGGCTCTGTTGTGGTGCTCGAATCGATCGTAGGTAGGGTAGGTGCTGTACCGGTCGTCCCTTCGGTCCCCCCACTGAGTGTCGATGGGAGTGCTGATAGCTCGGGGGTGGCCACAGATGCGAGTGTATGCCATTGGGAGACGATGCATGCTTGGCGAACCATCGAGGTCAGTGTCCTCTTCCTTCCTCGTCTTCCTCGAGCGCATCTATTTCTCGCGTTAGGTTCGCACCGAGCCAACACGGCGAGGTAGTGTCCGCAAGGCGAAGTCCGTCGTCTCATATGAATCCCTCAATCCCGTCATGATTCCAGGTCGAATTCGGTTGCAAGGCTCCCACAGTGGTAAGGGTAAGGGCGTGTGCGCTTTTCTCTGTCGCTCTCTGTGCGTGTCTGTGTGTGCGCTGGCGCGTATATGTCTCTACTGGCCGAGCAAGTCTTTCCAATTCATGTCCACCTTCGCCTCTCGTCATTCACATTCAGCTTAGTCGTGCGTGGTCGATGAGCTGCGAGACCGGGTGTCTGTGGAGTTGCCAGTGAGTGTGGCCCAGGTGGGACCCGTCGTAACTAGGAGAGAGGTCCAGGAAGCCGGGACACGAGAAGCAGCTGGTGGGGACAAGGCGGGACAAGGATTGTTGATGGCCACGCGCGAACAGTCATCGGTCAGAGATGTGTGCACTGATGGCTGCGTGTGACGGTCGAGTAACCGGTGAGTGATGCTGTGAGTGTTGGCGTCCGGGGGGCAGTGCTAGGACAACATGGACCTGAGATGGAAGTGGAATCGCAAGTTGGACAAGACAGTGGTGATGAAGGACGGATGGGTGCGAGAGTGGATCTATAATGTCGTGCTGGTTTTACCAACGGTCAGTTGCCAACAAAGCGAACCACTTCCCCACGGCCTGGCTCACTGCAACCGCTTGTTGCCTGGGGAGTGATAGATCCCGGGGCAATACTCCGGACCGCTTGGGGTCGCCTGGTAGAAATATCCAGTGAGTCGCCGGAGGGAGGTCAAAGCCTAAGCCCCACAAGGATCCGGGAGATGCTGGTTCTGGCACCTTCCTTCGCGCCGGGGGACATGTAGCCCTGTCCGCCATGGGTCGAGAGTCGGCAGTGCCAACCCCCCGAGCGAGCCAGCGAGTGACATCTGAGGACCAGGAAGGGATCTCTGACCGAGCGGAGCGGAGGCAGGGGGGGTGGGGTGAGAGGGCTGGGTGGGTTTCGGGGCTGCCCTTCTTTTCAACATCCAGGCCAGGGTATCGACTCAGGCAGCCAGTCTGTGGGCATCCGTGATCGCAGACGGAGAGACAGCCAGATGGCCGTGAGTTGGGATGAGAGTTATGGGACGGGGGGGGGGGGAGGAGGAGGGAAGGACCAGAATAATAACGAGTGGTGAGTTGCGCATACACAGCGAGAAGGGAAAGCAGTGGAGAGTCAGTTGGCCAGCCAGGTCAGCACGGAAGAATGATGGGGTCCGCCGCGGAGCCCCCAGACCTCCTCAAGGGGCCCCGGCGAGAACCAGAGGGGTGAGGCAAACCTCACAAAGTTTCATTGCACCGGCAGCTGAGAAGGGGGGTGAGGGTACGGCGGGCGGACTTAAATATGAGCAGCGGGTGGGCGGGAAAGTGTGTGTTCCTGAAGCGTTCGGGACCAACGCTCCCCCCCCCCTCCCCTCCGTTTTCTTTCTGCCCTGCTGATGGTTACATTGGACCACAAAACGGGGCCGTCATGTCTCCCGAAGTCGAATGCCGTGGGCTAGACCAGAGTGGACAGTCCATAAGATACCATAAGATGCCAGTGAAGCAACAGACCAGCAAAAAAAAATAAAAAGAAGGAGAGAAAAAGGAAAAGACAAAATGGGTCTGGGCCTGTCAGGACCGGCGCCGTTGGAGCTAGGACGGTCTGGGGGGAGGGGGGGAATATGGTCATAAGTTGCGCCTCGTCATCCCGCGGACGGGGAAGGGACCAGATATTGCAGGCAGGGCTGGATGGATGGCTGGACCGGCAGACTTGGGCTTGGGGCTACGAGATCCAGACCTCTGCCTCGTGTCGCGCCTTCTGTGTTTGTGTGTCTGTCTACCCGTCCGGCCCCAGCTGGATTGTCGAATCAGGAGGCCGTGTTGGGCCGGCCAGGAGCCCAGAGAGGTAATGACCAGGGCCCAGACTGCCATGGACCTCTTGGGACCGCTCCACACCCTGCAGCTTGACTCTGCATGGATGATGCGGCTTCCCGTGGCTCGCAAGAACCCTCTCTGCCTCACGGGGGATAAACCTTCCCTTGCGACAAACTCCCTCCGTCTCGGCTATGGCTGGCCGGGTGGCTGACCTCGTTGGGAGGAGGAGGAGGAGGAGGAGGAGGAGGGGGAGGGGAGAGAAGAATCAAGAGAGACACGGCCGGGCCCAGACGCACAATATAGTAGACTACAGACACTATACCCAAGCACGCAGTCCATCTAGTAGGTAGGGACCTGAGTACATAGGTACCTAAGTAGATACGTACTGTGGTACGTACTTAAGTAGATACTGAAGAGCATAGTAATACATATACGCCCTACCCTGTAGGCCTATCTAGGACTACCTACCTACTACGTATTACAAGTACTCCGTAGGGTCAGTACCTACCAGCCTAGGTAGATAAGACGGGCCGGGTCCATAAGGCAGGACAGACGGACAAGTGGGCCAACCAAGCGAACTGGTCGTAGTTGAACTGGAATGATACCCCGGGACGGGAGTCACTAGCCTTTCAAAGGACGCTAGTACATAGTATGCCAAAGGTCTCGGCTGTGACTGCCAGTGCTGACAGCCGAGCGGACGGGCTGACGGCGCCCTGGCAGCCTGGACGGGGTTGATAAGCGGCAGGGCGACGACAGGGCGGGTGTTTTGAAACTTGAGTCGTGTGTTTGGAAAGCATCTCAATCTACCCAAGTATGTACATACACTAGACTACTTATTATCAGACTACTGTGTACACAGCCAGACTGCCAGACAGCACACACCAGATGATGCCCAGAAGTGCCAGTGCCAGTCTTGCCAGTCTCGAGGCGCCCTCTCTCGGTTCGACCCAGCCGCGGGATCCCTGCCGCGACCTGCTCCTGGCAGGCGTGTGAGCGGGTGCATCTCCGCCTTGGACTGGGGCTGCCGGGCCAGACAAGGATGGCCGCAGGGTCTGGAAGAGTCGATGGGTTACAGACCCGAGATCCAGACTGTCAGTGTCAGGCCAGGCAGGCCAGGCCAGCTCTTGTCCGTTGCACCCTCCGAATGAATGCCGCCTGGGGACTGGCTTGGCCACGGACTTTTCCGGTCTGTGTGTCTTTTGTCCTTCGAGAAGGCATCACGGCATGATGTTCCATCACCAACATCGGCCCAGGCTGCGGCACCACCCACCCGCTCACCCTGCCGCCTCCTAACCAAGATCTATGCTGTTTGGGTGATTAGATTAAATAGATGTCGTGAACCGCCAATATACAGACAGCGCGGGTAGTTGGCGCGCCCAGTCGGTCTCGACCATTGCACCGTGGTGGGCTGGCTGAGACAGCGCACAATTTGCCCGAGACAGCCAGGAGAAGGGACCAGAAGGGACGTATGTCCGTGGTACGGCATCGACGAGATCATAGATACCGTGTAGGCAGACATTGTGCTCCTCAGCATCGCCAGGGATGGTGCAGGTTGCCGCCCACGCCCTGGCCCAGCATACATACATACCACCTGACTGACCGGGCATGCTTCGTCACCGTATCTCCTCTGGCCAGGTGTACTTCGTAGATACCAGCCGGATACCGAATGGACAATAAATCATGAGGTCGACGAGGTCGAGGGAGCTCGCACGAGGCTAAGGAATGCGATCTGGCTGTGATTGGCCTGGAGCTCTCTGGCCCCTGCCATGGCCCTGGCGGGCTGGGCGGGACGGCACACCTTGCCCCGCCTTGCCCGCCTACTTTTTTGCCCTCCCTTTTTGGGCGTTGAGTCACTCGAGGCTGCAAGGGAACATGCACACCCTACAGCCTCAGAGCCTTCGGACAATGACGTGCGCCTCAATTTGACTTTTTGCCAGTCTCTGCTGATCCGTGCCTGCCCCCCGACACCACCCATCGTCTCTACCGCCGCCCACATCACCAGCCATGTCCCAGAAAGGCGGCAAGGGTGCCGCAGCCAAGGGCAAGAAGCCCGGTGGCAAGGCTGGAGCAGACGACAAGCGCGAAGATGCCCTCCAGGCAGTTGTGCGTACACACATACATACATACACGTCCTCCTCGGCTTGCATCTGCCGCTGACGCCCGACCCAGGTTCTCGCAGACTACTTCCAGGACAGATTCGTCCCCTTCACACATGAGAAGCCGAGAGTGAGCAGCACCGCACCCGCCTCCCCTTCTTGCCTGCTGCCCGCCCACGCTGACCCTGCCCCGCTGCCCAGTGCCTCCTGCCACTGGCCAACACCCCCCTGATTGAGTATACACTCGAGTTCCTGGACATGAACGGGGTGGAGGATGTCATCATCTACACCGGAAACCACACCGACCAGATCGAGAGCTACATCAACGAACACCCCCGGTGGAGCCCCGCCAGCAAGATGAACCCCTTCGCCTCCCTCGAGTTCATACGGGTCTCGGATGCCAGCTCCGTCGGCGACTTCCTCCGCGACCTCGACGGCCGAGGCCTGGTCTCGGGCGACTTCATCCTGGTCCACGGCGACTGTGTTGCCAACATCCAGCTGGATGCCGCCCTCGCTGCGCACAAGGCCAGGCGCGAGGCGAACCGGGACAACATCATGACCGTCGTGCTCAGAGATGGCGGCCTGAGCCCGCACCGCACCAAGCCCAAGCCCTTCACCCCCATCTTTGCCATCGAGTCCGGCACGAACCGGTGTCTGCATTACGAGGAGATGAACCCCTTGCAGAGCGACCATTACGCCATCCTGGACCCCGCAATCTTCGAGCACGACGCATTTGAGATCAGGACCGACCTGATCGACCCCGGCATCGATATCTGCACGCCGGACGTGCTCGCCTTGTGGTCAGAGAGCTTTGACTACGAGCTGCCCCGGAAGAACTTCCTGCACGGTGTCCTGAAGGACTGGGAGCTCAATGGCAAACAGATATTTGCACACGTCGTGGACGAGGGCTACGCCGCAAGGGCCAACAGCCTACAGATGTACGACTCCATCACGCGGGATGTTCTTGGCGGCTGGACATTCCCCTTTGTGCCAGACTCAAACCTGGTGTCGGGCCACTCATATGTCAGGACCGCAGGAGGCGTATGCCGGGAGAAGGGGGTCAAGCTCGAGTCGGACACATTCGCCTCGAAGTCGGTGTTTGGCAGCAGGGTCACTGTGTCCAGTGGCAGCAAGGTGACCAACAGCGTCATCGGGAGGCGGTGCTTCATCGGCAAGAATGTCACCATCGAGGACAGCTACATATGGGACGATGCAACCATCGAGGACGGCACGACTGTGACGCGTTCAATGATCGGCGAATCGGTCACTGTGGGCAAAAATTGCAGCATCGGCGCAGGTTCGATAATATCGAACGGCGTCATCATCGGTGATGACATCTCGGTTGCACCATCAACAGTCTTGTCGGTCCTCACACATGAGAAGAAGCCCGTAAAGAACGACACCAAGCTGCTCGGGCCAAAGGGCAAGGGCGCGGTCTACGTGTACGAGGACGAGGACGAGGACGAGGACGACAGCGACCCGTCGGACCCGTCACAGCTCCAACGACCCCTCATCTACTCGACCGAAAAGTTCAACATCTCCACGTCATCCGTCTCCACGCTCTCCTCAGAAATCGATTCAGACTCGGAAGACGACGAGCCGGCCGCCGCCGCAGACCCAATCCAACGGCAACGCCTCTCCTCCTTTGCCTCTGACGACTCGGGGTCCGGCCAGAGCAAGGCAGCCTTCCACAAGGAGGCTGTCAACGGGCTCCTCGACGCTCTCCGGGGCGAAGAGAACGACTTCGACGGCGCAAAACTCGAGTTTATGGGCCTGCGTCTCAGCCAGGACGCGTCCGATACATCGGTACGGCGGGCGGTGGCCTCGGCGTTCGTGCGGCGGGCCGCGGAGCTCCTGAAGCCCGGCCACGGCGGGCCCCTGGAGCCCTCCAAGGCGGCGGAGCAGGCCGTCGCCTCTAAGACGGGCACGGCCAAGTTCCTGCGCGAGGTGGGCGTCGGCAGCGGCAGCGTGGACGAGCAGGTCGAGTTCGTCCTGGCGCTCCAGAAGGCGCTCGTGGGTCACGGCGAGCTCGAGACCCTGCGCGCGGGCACCCTGCTCGCCGCGATGCTCCAGCAGATGTACAACGAGGACGTCGTCGAGGAGGACGGCATCCTGGCCTGGTGGGCCGACAGCCGTGCTGCCGAGGGCGAGAGCATGGGTGTTGTACGAGGCAGGTGCAAGGTGCTTGTTGACTGGCTGGAGGAGGCGGACAGCGACGACGACGATGATGATGATGACGACGAGGACGAGGACAGCGACTAGGAGATACTGGAATCGCCATGATGGTTGAATGGGGTGGATCGCACTACTTGCTATGAGGAAGAAGTCACCATCGTCACATTGTTACGCACCTTAGACAGCAGACAGTCTCAGATGACTTAGAAGACCATAGGGAATATCCCACAAGATGTCAGCCCACGAGACGCTGTTTGGTGCAGGACCGCGACATGGGGTGTTACTACTGGAAGATATTCTCCTATAATAGTTTACCCCGGGTGAGCTCGTCCTTTGGGAGGGTATCAGCCATGTAGGACTACAATGTGTTGGTCTATCAAAGGCTGCTCCACAGGAACTCGCCAATTGAGAGGCAGCCCGCGAGAAACAGGCTTACAGGCGACGAGCCCCGTCATTGGGAAATTCAGGCCAGGCTCAATCTTCAACTTCGAAACCTGGATCCAGTATCATGGTGCCACAGGTCGAAAGAAGGAACGCAGAGACGAAAGGTTATGTCAAATCGAGGCTACGTGTACAATGTCTCGCTCGCTCAATAGCGACCTCTAACTCGATGCCGTTGGACCTCGTACAGTGGATGATGTTATCTCTGCGACCACAAGAAATCCTCATCCAGCCTCCCGCGACGGGGCCAGCAATGTAACATCTGCTTCCTGAAAAGGGGGTATGCCCTCCTGTTCCACCTACACCGACCAATGACCTCTCGCGTTGGCCTCCCCCACACCCTTCTCCGTCTGCCTACCATAAGCCCGGCGAGCCGGCTAACATCGCCGTGGGCCTGTCCAGACGAAACCGGCACGAGCAAGCGTGCTTTGTGTATATACTCTTGCATGATGATTTCCCCAGCCCACTTTCCGCAGCATTAACTTCAAAGGCAATCATAGAGGACAAATAATATCCATGCAGCGCCTAGCAATAGCGCACCAGGCAGAGGCCATCGCTCAATAAAAGCTTATCAGGTCCGCTGCCTCTGGGGCGTCGTCCAGCATGTTGTCGGCGTGGGCGGACGCCCAGACAGCGCGGCTCCGAGGGCGCTGTGTGGACCGCGAGGACGAGACATGGGCCCAGTTGCCAGAGCGGTCCAGCATACTCAGGTACATCCTGTGCGTGATTTCCATGACGCGCTCGACACCAGCGGCCTCGGCCGCAGCCACGAGGCTCGTATCCGTGCTTCTCTTTCGGAATAGTGTGTCGCCAGGCATTTCTGGCGGGGGTCTATTCTCCTTGTTCTCATCCCCGTGGGTGGCTGAGATTCTGACTTGCTGCTGCTAGTAGTAGTTCTGCAAGTTCTCGGATCCGCCCCCACCGGACGCACCGCCGCTGGGCCTCGACGAGCCGCTGAAGTCACGCGTGCCGACGTCGTCCAGGGAGCGGTAGTGGTTACCTCGCCCCCCGCGGCCACCGCGGCTGCGCGCCCCGCCCCGTCCCCCCTTGGGTCCCTGGCCCCCGCGGAAGCCTCCGCCGCCGCCACGAAACTGGCCGAATGCCGACCGGTTCTTTCCCCCGCCGCCCTGGCTGTTGTTGTTGTTGTTGTTGTTATTGTTATTGCCGTTGTGATGCTGGTTGTTGAAGTGGTCCCTCCGCTGGTTGAAATGGCCTCCTCCCCGGTCGCTCGGAGGGTGGTCTTCTCCGGCGTACTTTCTCTTAGATGCTTTGTTGGGGAACAGGCTCTCGTAAGCATTCTCACTAGGGTCCTCAGGCTCGATCCTCAAGAGCACCTTCTCGTTAACGGTCGTCTCGAACTCGAAAGCCTTGTCGGGCGGTACGGGCTGCCAGTTCTTGATCTTGGCAGCGTCGATTGGCTTCGCGCCTTTCCGCAGTGCGAGAACCACGAGCGGGCTGGGGTTGTCGGTGTGGAACTTCGCGGTGCTGGGCACAGGCCGCAAGCATGCGGCCCATATGCTGTTCTCGTGGCAGGCTGTCCCTGTGACCACCCACTTCATCTTGCTTCCCATGCCGCCTACCTTGTCCAGAATACTAGCCGGACAAGGCCGTGGGCAGATCATGATGTTGTTGGCGTGGTATTTCAGGTCCTGGGCCGGCACCCCCGGGGGGATCTGCGCCAAGGTGAGCAGCTTCTTGGTGTCTGCCTGGTCGATCATGTACCCTGTGAAGAAGACCGTCTTCTTCATGACCAGCTTCTCGCGCGCCTTGGTCCGGCCCGACGCCGCGTCGTTGTGGTCGTTGATCAACTTCTGCACCTCGGCGATCTCCACCACAGGATCAAGGTTCGTGGACATGTCTGCGACCTCGATGACCTCGGCGAGGATGGGGCTCCTCGCGGCGCCCGGGCCGGCGATCTGCAGCCTCTTGTTGTACTCCTGGAAGAAGTCGCGGAAGTCCCTGACGTGCTTGACACGATCCTCGTAGATCCTGATCTCTTCGGCAGCCCCGTATGTCTCCATGAGGTTCCGCAGGAAGACCTGCTTGAAGTGCATTGTGGAGTTGAAGCGCTCGTTGTTGGGTCCGACGGCGGGCTTGAGCGAAACCATGTCAAAGTCCAGGCCCCTGGAGGCAGCGATGCGCTTGACCAGCTCGCCGAAGCCGGATTCTGACCGGCCTGTCAACAGCACGCACAGCGCGTCCTTCTGCCTTATGCTGAGCCTGACCAGCTCCACGATCTTCTCGTTCCACCAGCCGTCCCAGGCGCGGGGCTCCTCCTTCTCAATGCCTTCGCCTGTCGCCTCGAGGATCCGCGAGTCGTGCCACCATCCGCCATTGGCAAAGGCGTCCTGGTTGGATAGGAGACCAATCGTCATTCCATTCCATAGTTTCTGGTTGGGTAGCGGGGTCTTGAATACTGCGACGTAGGGGGTGTCTAGTCAGCGCCGGTGTACCGGGTGGCGCGCGTGGACCCCAGCTTGGAGCAGGACTTACGTGTGTTGTCGAAATCGTAGACGTGCAGCGCCTTGATCTCCTCGACGGGAGGGAGCTGGTTTGAGGAGACGGACCACCTGCTCATGGATGTCGGGGTCAATGGTGCCTGCTGGCCATGCTGGGCAAGGGCGCCAGGGCCATAATTCGGGGCCATGGGAGGGTGAGGCGGTAGAGTCAACTTCTTCAAGATGTTGCGAAGCCGAAGTCTGGCTCTCAGCATGTGAAGAGAGATCGGCAGGACGTGGGAGTTTTGGAAGCTTATTCCTGGACAGTGTGCCTCAACGTCCGAGGCACATGGCAGGATGCACGGGGCAACCCAACGTAGCGAGCGAGTCGGCGGATTCGCGATGAGGTCGACGACCAAGGGTCGGATAAATGGGCAGGGTTCTGAAATGTTACTGTGGACCGACGTCAACGATGGAGCTGCAAGGTGCCCACGGGCCAAAGGCTCCCTGCAGGAACTCGATGTCTTAGCGCGTACGATGTGCTAGGTAGGTGTATAAGGATTCTACAATACCTAGAATCCTACCTAGGTAGCTTAACATAGATAAATACTTTTAACTTCCTTATTTATCTTAAGTTCTCATTTTTAAAAAATTAAGACATAGAATATTAAAGAAAAAATATTATATAATATTAATAAGTTTAAAAATTAAAGTTTTTTTAAACTTTTTATATAAAAAATTAAACTTAATAAATATAATATATATTAATATTATATATATAAGTATACTTTTATATAATAGTAATATTAGTAGAGGGTAGATTTTAATATATCTTAGTTATCTTAGTTAAATCTATAACTCTAGCCTTTAGCTACCTAGATAGGTTTTATATTTTATTGTACCCCTGGTGAGCCTGTATCCCCTTGGATTCCATACGTGCCGTGCTTGGCCCTCAGAAGCTGCCTCAGTCTTACACCTCAACTGGGAAGGTTGCTCTCTAAACGAGTTCACCATTCCTCTTCAACCTTGAACCATTGCAAAGGGCTAAGTACCACTCCGAAATGTGTCTTATGTCTTGGAGACAGCAGTATTCCATGGCTCAATCGGCACGCAGGACTTCAGCGAGATCCCCATGGACTCTCATCTCCACACAACTGTCCCAGCATTTATATCGATCGCACAGACGCGGATATCTAACTCCGGGGAGACCTCTTCGGAATTATTTCACCGGAAAGGATTTGTCATGTCAAGCAAGCAATGACCAAGGCTGTACTGAGGCCAATGCTCTAGTAGTTATGTGAATTCGTTGACATGTAAGTGTGCGGGTTTGTACGTATATTGCGCGAATACAGCAGTGTCCTCATCATCATCCTCCTCCTTGTGGTAATATACCTGCGTTCGCTTGTTACGTCTTCGTCACATTACTGACCAAACTCCACAGAGTCGGGTCGGACCTATCGATCTGCCACTCCTGGATAATCTTGCCGGGAGATAAGGAGTATGCCCGCAAGTCATAATCAAGCGCGAGGGCTGTCGCGTTCACCTCGGCCGGGGCGAGCCCCATCTTCCACGGCCCGCCCAGTGAATCCTGCCAGTGTACGACGACGGAGCCATTCTGAAAGAGGATAGTGATGAGCGTGTGGTCCAGGCCTCGGCCGCCACTATCGGTCTCGTTCGCGTAGGCCACGACGGCCACATCGGGGGGCGTGACCTGGTCACCCAGCGATGCCTCGAAACTGCCTGGAGTCTGCGGGTCAGCGAGGCTGCGGCAACGCTCACGCCGGCGTGCGAGCCACAATGGACACATATAAGGCAGTCATACCGTTCGTCCATGTCCCATTCACCAACGTGTACTCCTCCAGCTGGTGGCTCACGTCATAATACATGCGCATGCCGCTCGGCTCGGCTGCCGGGCCCGGGTCTGGTGAGAACCTCGTCACGGCGAGACTGGAGTTCATTTCCAGCTGGGGCAGCTGAGGCACGTCGTCGACCGAGAGGTTCGTCACGTTCCATATCATCCAGTTCTGGACCGGGCTCGACGCCAGCATCAAGTCGTTGTTTCGGCCCTGGTAGAGCAGCCTGCTGTCCTGCGAGCACACCTCGGCCGCGCAGCTGTCACGGTACGCGGCCAGCTGCGTGCCCTTGGCGAAGCCCGTTGTGAAGATGACCTGGTACGTCTGCAGGCCCTCCTGGTGCCACAGCAGATCCTTGGACGGATCCGTCTGCGGCGTGCTCCACGTCCAGATCTGGTAGGGGATGTTAGACAGCGACATGAAGTACAGGTCGACCCAGAAACGCGGGAGGTCATTGGCGTCCACGGCGTCAGGGGCCACCGCAGTCAGGGGCGTGCCGGCCCTGGGAAAGATGGACGAGCCGCCGTCCGTCATGGACTGCGAGACGTTCTCGAACTGCCACCCCACGCCGGAGTCGTTCCACCGCGCACGCATGATGGCCAGCGACCCGGCGTCCTGGAAGAAGACCGACTTGTCTGTGATGTTCCCCACGTTCTGGAAGGCCACCGCGGCCAGCTTGGATGTGTCGAGAATGTCGTACTGGCCTTCGGCCGGCTCCTGCTTGTCTTCGTGTCGACGTCCAAGAAGCACGCCGAGGACTGTGGCCACCACCACGATAACGGCGAACACGACCACAACAACCAGCACGTTCCTGACCGTCTTGGACATGCGCCTCCATAATGTGCCCACTCCCCGAGGGACTAGGCCACTCTGCCTCGCGACCGGTACGACAACGACCTCGGCTTCCGCCACCGACTTGTCGGTCGTGTCGAGGCTGGGAGAGTGTGTCGTGGTGATGTTGCTGCTGATGACCTGAGGGTGGATGGGGAAGCTCGTCTCGCTGAAGTGCCTCCCACGTGGGACTGTAGGGCTGTCGAGCTCGACCGGGCTGAAGAACTCCTTCTCCCCGTGGCCTTCGTCTTGCACGTGCTCGGGTACAACTGGGTTTCGTGTGCTGTCATTTGTTGGGGACACAGGGGTCGAGTCCCTCCGACCGTCTTCCCCATTTACGTTGCTCATTCTGGACAGAGATGACAGATAATGTCGAAGATTTTGTCGCGCGAGTAGGACGAGGAGCACGCTGCGAAGACCAGCGTGGCCCGGGGACAGACTGGGATCCATCGCTGCACCTGGGTATATGGACCTGCATCTCAACACACAGGGTCGTTGGCCAGAAACCCAATGGCGCCTCTTTCCAGATCCTACCAGCCACGCTGGATAAGCGGGCCTCCTCCCACTGGCTCAACGATAGAAAACGGCGCGGGGGGTGGGGGGTGCCCAGGTCTCGAAGTGAGGCTGATGAAGCGGCCAAAGTGCACATTGCAGAGACGCGGCACAGACTGAACAAGCTCATTGGGCTCAGCATGCAGGAAAGACGCCTCACTCCAGGGGACCCAGGCAGTAGCTCTAGGCAGCAAACCTGTATCCGGCTGGTCAACATGTTGCTATCTCTCCCCCAGGAATCTGCACGACTTGTACAGTGTACAGTTTGTTGAACGGATTGTTCTGGCCACATTGATGCCGCAACTGTAGTTGATGAGCGAGCGTGGTTCATCGCTCGAGAATAATCGAGACTCAAATATTTGACAGCCTCGTCCTAACCGGAGAACTTGGTCGCCTGAAGATATAATTCGACCAACAGTCTACAGTCTCACCGAAATGATCACAATTGCCCTCCTCTCTAGTCCGATTGGTCATCAAATGCCAATTGCTCAGAGCCAAAGACGACACAACCCTGAGCCTTGTAAGGACCCCAGGGCGACGACCTCGGGAGGCATCCAGGGGCGACAACGCCCATGTGCACGCTTGATGAGACTGTTTCTGCTCTAAGTCATGTCTTTCAGAGTGGGTACGTTATGGCACTTCGTTCAAAGCCAGAGGTGGCACGTCAGCCGACGACGAAGGGAGACACGATCCGAAAAGACTCCAGACGGAGGCCTCGAGACCATGGGCGGACACAGGCTAGTAATGTTCCTCAATGCGGTCCCGCTGGACCCTGAAATCCGGCGGAAAGAGGCCCAATGAGCCTGATAGGGAGCATCCCGGTCGGGCGGGCAGATCGAATCTGGCATGAGTGTCCACTGTGAATTCGCTGTCGACCAGTTGGGCAGGACGGCAGGATGACTATTGCCTACGGCTGCTACGACCGCCGAAGCGATCTACACTCTTGCGTCTCAGGTTACAGAGTAATCCATCTTAGCGGCGAGGCTGTGCAGGCAGGCAGGCTATAGAGAGAAGGCCGGAGGTTACTGCTGTGGCGCTGGGAGAGGTGAGGTCGACGATGGTGACCCACCCGTGGATGGCAGAATGGCACCCGCCGACCAGGAGAGGCTTAGTGCGAACACCTCCCCGGGCAGCCGGGGCAGCAACAGCCAGGGATCATCAGCTGGCTACGTCATCGCCAGCGCCTATCTGGGATATCTGGAATATCACGGTACACAAAACAACGATGCCCTTGACTGAATGTCGGCCCGGGGGTCGCAAGAGGGAGCGATCGACAGCAAGGGACGAAACTTTGTTCTACAACTCTTTCGATGCCACAGCACGCATCATACAGTAGTTGATGGCAAGGCAAAAGGCTACGGGGGCCTGGGAGTTGAGGGGCCGGGACGAAGGGGCAGGAGGGGCTGCTCGCCCACAGCTGTCGCCAGCATTTCACATGCCATTGACCCGTCGATGAGCGTGCAGCGCGTGCCGGGTGGAGCTGCAGAGCTGCAGAGCTGCAGAGCTGAGGTGCTTGGGTGCTAAGAACTGGCCGTTGCCCGTAGCGTCGGGACCCCCGTCCTGGGAACAGTCCTGTAACTTAGTGCCTTCCCCCAGAAGTCAAGATCGGAGAGTTTTTGGATCCCTGCGCGGGTGTTGGGCTCCCAGGTGCTGGCCAAGGGTCCTTCCAAGATTGTTGCGGTGGTGCCATCTAATCTGGCCATTTCCTGGGCTGCCACGGGGCTGCAGATACCGAATGTAGACAGGGCAGCCGGGTTGGGTGTCCAGTACACCCATCCCGTTCATTCCCTTGTGCTCCTGCGTCACAGCCCAGAGGCAGGCGGACGATTCATTAACTGCGGCCTCCCTCGCCGCTTCCGTTACGACCCTCCAGCTCCAGCTCCAGCTCCAGCTCCAGCAGCGATACCCCTCCTCCAGCGGCCGAGATCACCGACAACGCCAGATCCAAAACCCAATTGCCATACGGGGTACAGCTGCATCGCAACAGCAGCCCGTGCGACGTGCTACCACCCCCCTTGCCCCCGAAAGGATATTAGCACTGGCCAGACTGCCAGAGCGGCTGACACAGCGGCGCTGGGCGCAGCAGCGTACCAGAAACGGCCAGTCGCTGCCACGGCCAGCCGGCACGAGACAGACAGGACAGGCGGGCTACCAAGCTACCAAACCAAGCTACCAACCAGGCCACCAAGCTACGTCAACGAGCATCATTCTGTTTCGCGCTGGGGCATCAGGGCCTCGGACACCTCACAATGGCCGCCATACCCCCGCATGCCAGTGGCCCTATCCCGTCCTCGGCCTCGGCCGCTGCTGTCAACGGCACGAAGCTGTCCTATGACTACGCGAACCATACATATTACCACGAGCCCGCACCCTCGTCATCGACCCAGGACCACTTCGACCCCTATTCCTCGTCGCACAACCGCCATCCCCAGCTGCCCGACCACCACGACAACGGCCAGACCCTCGCCAACACCCTCGCCAACTCGCACCACCACGCAAACATCGACCACCTCATCGCGCCCGCCCCTGCGAGACTCGGCGGCGCCGCCAAGTTCACCGAGGAATGGGATGCTAGCCAGCGCGGGAGCTCCATCATCAACGGACCCATCCCCCGCCGCAACAACACCATGGCGAGCAGCATCCAGCGCTCCAACTCCTTCTCCGGCTCCACCTCCGGCAGCCTCGGCGGCGGCCTGGACGGCCACAGCAGCGTCCAGGTCTCGCGGAACAACACCCTCAAGAAGAGGTCCTCGCTGCGCCGGGCCAGCAGCATGCGGAGGTCCGGCAGCCGCAGGAGCATGAAGGCCGGCAGCGTGAGGAGCCTGGCGCTGCAGAGCAACCCCGACGACGACGGGCTGCACAGCGCCTTCCACTGTCCCGTGCCCACCACCGGGAATCCCACCGAAGCTCTTGCCAACCGCTTCCAAGGTACGTGCATGCCCGTCGCACCCAGCAATCCCGAACCATCCAGCTGACCGTCGCTCCTCACAGAATGGCGCAAGGTCTTGAAGGATCTGATCACCTACTTCAAGGAGATCCAGACCCACTACGAGGCAAAGTCCAAATCGCTGGTCAAGCTTGCGAATGTCTTGAACAACGTGCATATGCCGCCGGGCTTTTTGGCTTCTGGCGGGCTCGATGACGCAGTGCAGGTCCTACGAAACTACAACTCGCAGGCCATCATCGAGGCGAACAAGGCCCGCGAGATTGAGGAGGATGTCATTCTGGCGCTGACGGGGCTGAGGAGCGACCTGCAACTCAAGATAAAGGAGATCAAAGGCCTCTCGGGCGACTTCAAGAACTCGGTGGAGAAGGAGATGGACGCGACAGCCCGCGTCGTCAGCAACCTCCAGGAAGTCCTCGGCAAGACCGATCTCGACTCTGCCTTGACCACCGGCAAGGAGGACCCATACCTCCTGCGCCTGGCCGTCGACAGGCAGCTTGAGAGGCAGCTCGACGAGGAGAACTACTTGCACCAGGTGCGCAAATCCGGAATGCGGCCCCTGCCCCAGATGCTGACTTGGTATAGGCATATCTGAACCTGGAGAACTCTGGCCGCGAGCTCGAGTCCATCGTCGTCGGGGAGATTCAAAAGTCTTACAATGCTTACGCAGGCATCATGAAGCGAGAAGGTAAGAGGCCCTCCTCATCTGGCCCACGCAGACGTTCGCCCACAGTGTATGATTGACCAATCTATCAGCCGAGGCTGCATGGACTGCCATCGACGAGCTCCGTGTGGGACCCATCGCCATGCCCAAGGACCACGAATGGGTTAGCTTCGTGAGGAAGGACGACCAGTTCGTGGATCCAAACATACCAATTCGATCCTCGCAGATGATACACTATCCTGGGAAGGACCATTATGCCTGCCAGGAGATCAGAGCCGGTCTGCTCGAACGGAAGACCAAATACCTCAAGAGCTACAGCGCCGGCTGGCAAGTTGACCCCCGCCCGGCTCCCGTGTGCCACTGCTAACCCTTCAACCCCAGGTATGTTCTCTCTCCGACTCACCTGCACGAGTTCAAGTCTGCGGACAAGGGACAGTCTCCCGTCATGTCCCTGTACCTTCCGGAACAGAAACTGGGGTCCCGCTCGCAGGTCGGTGGGAGCTCGCCCAAGTTCATCCTCAAGGGCCGGCAGACCGGCGGCGTTCATAGGGGTCACTCGTGGGTCTTCCGTGCCGAAAGCTTCGACACCATGCTGGCTTGGTACGAGGATATCAAGGCCCTCACCGAGAAGAGCCCCCAGGAACGGTCCGAGTTCGTCCGCGGCCACTCGAGAAGCTTCAGCCGGTCCTCGTCGCGACGGTCGGTCTCCAGCGACGGCGTCGTTGACGAGGACGACGAGGAGCCGTACTCGGCACACAACTCCGCAGCGGCCCTCGGCCAGCCAGGCTCAGGGCACCAGCAAGACGTGCCGAGACGTCCGTCTCCAGGTGGGCGATTTCCGTCAGATCTCCAGGTCAACGCACAACGAGGCTTACAGGCTCCCCTCTCGCCCTCTAGCTCAAGCTCGCAGGGCTTCCACGATAGGCAGCAACAACCTAGGGACCACGACCGGGATATCGTAGCTGCGGCGGGGGCCCTTCCCGGGAGCAGCTTTGGACAGCATTACCCCTCCTCGACGGGGCCACCCGCAGAGCCAGGATATGGGTATGGCAGTACCGCCCACGCCCCGATCGAACAAACCCACGCTCGTGCTGCCGAGGCAAGCCAAGAGGCTCGAGAGGACGGCGTCAACCCGTACACAAACGAGTCGCTACACCACCAGGACGGCCATGTGCTCTACGGCCATCAGCCAGGCACCCACGCCGCCCGACACGCGCAGGACAGCGACACTCAGGCTGAAGCCCTGAGGATGCGGAGGAAGAGCAGCCACGAGGCCAACTGGCTGGGGGGAGGGCCCGTGGAGGCTGCTGCTATCCCAGTTGTTGCCGACAGGACGACTCATCAGGCCCATGATCAGAGCGGCGGAATCAATAACTCGGGTGTCTATATGGATGGCACCCTGAACAGTGACCAGGCCATCTCAGCGCATGAGCCTCAGTACTTCAACTTGAAGGAGCTCCCGCACACGTCAGTCGCACCCGTGCCGGCGGAACCGGCGAGCAACACGATGGATTACCTCAACCGACCGGCCCTGAGCGAGAGAACCGAGAGCGATGCCACTCTCAGCAGCGAGGTCACCGTGCCGACCATCTCGAACCTCCACATCCCGGGCGAATACCCAAGGGCATATGCGAACTAGACTACAAAATATGGATCGGTGGAGTTTGGAACACTGTTGGATGGTCATGGGCGGAATTGTGCCCAAGGATCGATGGGATCGAGCGTTTTTATATTCTGGAGTTGTCTAAATACCCGTGCTTGTTCTTGCTCTTTTCCTCCTCTGCGCTTCTCTTCCTCTCCCTCGCTTCCCTCGCCCCATCTGCAACTACGTGCGCATAGCTTGCTCAACTTTGGGTTACTGTCGAAAGTTTTATATGAATATAAAAGAATGTCTATCGTTAACCGTTCGCGGATTGCCGGGCTGATGGTCTTGTTTCAGGTGTGCACGCATCAGCGACCGAGCATGCTTCATGGCCCGTCGTAAGATGCGGATCTGGCATCACGGAACGATCACCAGTGAATGCTAGAACAGCATCACTTTGACGGGGCTTCTTGGCTCACTGCTCGCCGCATATATTGACCCTATGTCCTATTCCTCATTAAACCTAGAAGTTATCGCGTGTCCTCCCACGCACTAGCCCGTGTCCTGACCCGTCCGCTCGCCCGCCCGCCCACCCACCTCTCCTCTGTCGTTCTTCTTCGTATCCGGCTCAATGGATCCCTCGATTGGTGTGGGAAGACAGAGAATGGAGAGGCTACAGAAAAACAACAAAGGAGCTTCAAAAAAAGAAGGGAATAACAAAAACAACCGGCCCCTTTCCGAAGCTATGTTTGCGCCGTTTCCCTGATGCTATGCCGTGGTATTGGAAGGAATAAAATAGAAACACTGGCGGCTGGAATGTCATTACTACGCGCCCGCCGCTGACCCGCGCGAGCGCGCCCCATCTGTCTTGAGATATCGGATCATTCCTGAGAAAAGAGGTGTCTCGTCAGATCGCCACAAAGAACAGAGAAATTCTTTCGTTTCGTTATGATGCCTGCGCGGAGGGCGCTGCCGGGGTCGGGGGTGGCGCCTCGGCGGCCCTCAGCCTGGTCCTGCGCGGAGGCGGCGTCTTGGGCGGTAGCTTCTTCGCCGGCGCGCCACCGTTGCCGTTGCCGTTGCCGTTGCCGATGCCGATGCCGTTGGCAGGGCTGGTGCTGTTGGATTTGTTACTGGCGTTGCCGCTGCCGTTGAGGAGCACCTCGGGCACGGCGGGCGTGGTAGGCTTTCCGTGCCTGTGCCTCGGGACAGCGGGCAGGACTTTCTTGGGTTTCGGCGCCAGCTCTTCCTCGCTCTTGGGCCCCTCTGCCCCTGCCCCCTCAGCCGCCGCAGCGGCAGCAGCAGCGGCGGCAGCAGCGGCATCCTTGGCGTCGTCCGCGGCGGCCCTGCTCCGGCTCGGGGTCTTGACGCCCGGCTTCTCCATGACTGCTGCGACGTCGACGACGCTGACGTTGCTCTGCGTCTGGGAGTCTGACAGGCTGATTCCGAGGAGCTTGCGGGCGACCTCGCCGACCTCGGGGCCGGTGCCGCTCTCGCCCAGCCACCTCACCTTGGAGACACGGTCGACCAGGCGCAGGGTGGTCTCGTCGGCGGGGGCGAAGTGGACGTTGCCCTCGCCGCTGAGGATGGACAGGACCTTGAGGATCTCCTCGCGCTTGTAGTGGGGCGGGTGGCTCAGCTGGGTGTGCGCCAGCAGGGGGTACAGCACGCGCAGGTAGGTGTGGCGCAGGGACATGGACTCGTCCGGCAGGTCGAGGAGGTTGCGGATGATGACGTCGAGGAGCACGCGCAGGTCGTTGGTGTAGAAGTACTCGTAGGTGCCCCTGGTGGTGAAGAGGAGGTAGAGCAGCTTCAGGATCAGCAGCTGCAGCGACGTCTCGGTCTCCCTGTTGAGCAGGAGGATGATGTTCTCGCCAAAGGTCCGGAAGCTGGGGCCGTCGAGGCTGAGGATCTTGATGACGCGGTTCGTGACGGGCACGGCCGGCGTGGCGGAGTCGACGGCGGCGGTGGTAGCGGCCACCATGTACTGCTCGTTCATGACCAGCAGCACCCGTATGATGGGGTAGTGGTAGGGGTCGTTGACGTCGTCGGAGAGGCCCTCGATCAGCTGGAACATGTATATGACAAAGTCGTCGTCGACGCACAGCAGGTCGTCGAGGCGCAGGCGCTCGATGCGCGCCATCTCGTACATGAGCTCGAGCAGCAGGCGGTGCAGCCTCCTGTCGTCGTCCCTGCGGCTCTTGATCAGCTCGACCAGCCTCGGGAAGCAGCCGCCGTCTATCATGGACTTGAAGGTGGCCTCGTCGGAGCGGCCGTCGAGCAGCAGGAAGTTGGCGATGGCGTTGAGGGCGCTGGGGTCGTCCTCCTGGAGCAGGCTGTGCATGATCTGGGTGCGGACGTAGTCCTGGTTGCCGCAGAAGATCTGGCTGTCGATGAGCATCTGGGAGCAGCTGGCGACGTCGTCCTCGCTGTGCAGGAACGAGTCCCGGCAGGTCGAGACGAGGTACAGCCAGGACCGCAGGGAGTCGTCGATGGTCTCGTGCGAGCCGCATTGTGCCACGGACACGATCTCTCGGAGTTCTGCACACAAACCCGTCGGGAGTGATTAGCCGTCAAGCGCTTCCTCGCCTGGGGGGTTGCCATGGCGTTCGTGGTGTGGACTGACCATCCCAGAACTGCTCCTCTGACTCCACGGACACTTCAATGTCCGCCATGGTGAAGGTAGAAAACCGCAAGCTTTCGCACTATCATCACGAAGCAGCCGGGTCGCACGATGGCGGGCGCGTTGTCGTAATTGCACAGTTACAAAGAAGAAAGGAAAATGGCGGGCGGGTAACCAAGTTGCAGTGCAAGGAAGCGCCCAGGTTCGACGTGGTTTGGGGAGGTGTCTGGTTCAGGGATCTGGTAGCATCCCGAGGTCGGTTGGTCGGGTGTGTGCAGACGTGCAGACGAGACAGAAGAGCGACAAGCCACACACACAGACCTGACTGAACCCAGATACGAACAAAGTTGGAGATTCAATTTAGCCCAGCCTGACCGCACCTGCAGGCGGGTGCGGCGCGTGGCCCACCTGAGAGGAGCGAGTCCCAGTCAGTCGGTGGGGGGCACACAGTGGCAGAGGCAGAGTGGGCAGGAGCCAAGTGTGGGGAAAAGGAGTCGTCGACTCGTCGCATAGTACTGCGCATAGCAGTACACACAGTACGGACCCCGCCGCGACGCAATCCCGGTTTGGCAGCCGTTTTGAGTATGTGTGGCCAAGCTCTGCCGTCGACAGTCCATCTCGTGTGCTGGCCACTTGGCAGTCAGTCCGACTGCTGGTCTATTTTACTTGATGGCATTCCGAAACAGACTATCCCTCGAGGGGAGTGGTCTTGGGGGGTGTTCATTATGCCGTCCTCCGTCCTCCGTCCTCCGTCCTCCGCGACCCCTACATGAATACATTACACTGCACACTGCACTACGGATAGAAAGGGCAGGCCGGTCTATTACGGAGCACTGCGCTGTCTGCAGTGTACTATAGTACATTGGACGATCAGCAACAAGGTTGACTCAAAGGGGTCCTTTGAGCTCTTGTCAGCCGACCAACCAGCCTAACCCGCTGCCTTGCGCTCCCGTCAGCCAAGACAACCCGGCGATAGACCCCGAGAGTGACAGGCACGGTGGCAAAGCTTGTCAGCTGTAGAATAATGCCTTGTTTAGTGTACAGATGCATAGGTAGCCAGTCAGTCCCACAAGCCAGTTCGCCGCCTGAATGCACCCTGATGCCTCTCCCGTAAGCAGAATGTGATATTCGGTACCAAAACGCCGAGCTGGTGCAACCCCTGCTGGGATGGGATCCCCTCCGACTCACCCCCGATCCAATGCCGTCCGCATGTCCTCCACCTCCGGTTGATGGCCCCCGTGCATGCCTCGTGGGAGACCTCCACACAATGGACCCTTGGCGGCCCTCGGCTCAGCCGTGCCGGTGCTTGCTCCGTCCACGGCGGCGGCTGTGCTCTGCCCCAGCTCCCTCTGGCGCCGATACTCTGGCTTGTCTTCCAGTTCCAGCCATTTGAGGAGGGGCAGCATCGACGCAGCTGTGCGAAGCATGGCAATACGGCCCCCGGCGTCCATCAGGCGCCTCCCAAGGACGACGGGCGTCGTGTACTGGCCGAGCGGCGTGGGGGCCGTGGGCATCCCCGCATCCTGGCCCGACCCGCGACCACTCAGGCTGATGGGCTGTGGGTTGGAGACGGCAGGGCCCTATCCCTGCTGCCTCTCGCTCTCGTCCAGGGCAAAGTCGGTGGCCGAGTCCGGGTCGACGCTCTTGAGCAGCAGCACGAGCCGGTAGGCGCTGTTGCCGTTGAGGTAGTACCTGTGCAGCTTCTTGGAGCGGAGGAAGCCCAGGCGCTCGTACAGGCGCATGGCGGGGGTGTTTGTCTCCTCGGTCTCGAGGACGACCTCGTCGGCATTGCGCTCAGCCATGGCGTCGATGGCCTTCTTGACGAGCGCGGTGGCCACGCCCTGGCCGCGGAAGGTGGACGAGACGGCCAGCATGGCTATGTAGCCCCGGCGCGTGGGCGGCGAGTGTGACGAGTGTGTTTCCAGCTTGCAGACTATCACGCCCACGAGGGACGAGTCCTCTGGGTTGAGCGCCTGGTCGTGGGGTCAGCGCTGGTGTGTGTGGGCAGGTCGGGCGCGAGCCGCGGGGGAAGAAAGGAAGGGGAGGCAGTAGTCGTGTGTATTGTATTCCTTACCATGAAGCAGAGGTGGCCCCATTGGTACAAGAAATAGCGGTAGACATAGATGCTGTAGGGCTCGCTCAGGTCCTTTGATATGAGGGCGCGTATGGAGGGCAGATACTGGGCCTCGAGGCGGTGGGCGTACTGGATGTACTTGAGCTCGGAGGGGAGGCCCATGGTGGTGGGCTTGGGGGAGGACGAGATGCTCTTGAGGGCCGGCACAAGAATGATTACAAGAGAAGACAGCAGGTAGAAGGAGAAGAGCGAAATCATAAGCGCAGCACCGAGACGTGCCTCCAAAGGACCATTGTGCAGGAAAGGGAGGCAGTGGGAAGACGTGGCTGCCCCGTGTGCCGGTTGGCGGGTGTGAAGTGGGCGAGAGCGGGTGTGCCGTCAGAGGATTGCGGATGGCGAGAAGTGGCCGCAGCGTCACCCGACTCGGGCCAGCTCTGGAAACCGTTACGCTAATGATGGCCGGTGCCAGGTGCGGAGGCTGACGGTCCTTGCTCACTGGCTCTCGGAAGGTGAAGCCGCTGGGAGGAGAATAGAGCGAGAGGGACAGAGAGGAAAATTTCACCCAGGCCGATTCAGGCCAATAGTGAGTGTGTGAGAGGCCGTTTCGGTCAGCTTGAGCAGCTGATGGACCAGGTAGGCCAGGCTATGTGAGCTTTCACATGCTTCGAGTCTGAACCGCCTGATCGCGTGCAGTCCTGGCAGGCCTGTCTGCCAGTGTGAGACGAGACAGGGGTTGGGGACCAAAAGGGGGTAGGCAGGACGGCAGACGGGGGGCCTGCCTCCTTCCTCAGCCAACCGACAGACCAGACCAGGCCTGACCAGCCCAGCCAGAGAGCCAGCCAGAGAGCTACCCGGCCCCGAGGCTGGCCTCCGACGCCGCTACCGTGCGGCAAGCACCCATGACGTCGATCCCGGGTCGCCAAAAACTTAAACAACGCGCGGACAGAAGAAGAGGACAGCGGCCAGGAAACGCCATATAATAGATTGCACACATTGCCCCTTGGACTGCTGAGGACCCAGGAAAGCCCCCGAGACAGGGCTGACGCCAGCTCCAACACACCCACTGGGCAGCAGCTCAGGGGACCCGCACATCAGAGCACAGCACAGCACAGCACAGCCCGCCCCTCGCTTCTCGACCAGAGATCCAGCCGCCCGGCACACCATAGCCGAAGCCATGGCATCGGAACTGCGTCGCAGGGTCGCCCTCAGAGGCGACGGCACTCCACCCGAGGCCGAGGCCGAGTCCCCAGTCTCCGTCACCCCGGCCCGCGACGACAGCCCCATCCGCCCCGGCGACAAGGTCAAGGTCGTCCACCACAGCCAGAAGTCCCGCAAGAGGAGGACCGGCGCCATCTTCCTGCTCGGCAGCCTCTTCGGCCTCATTGCTGCCGGCTTCTTCGCCAAGAGCAACGACCTGATCGATTTCCCAGAGATCGGCGACCTCAGCGTCGACAGCCTGTTCGATGTCCTGCCTGCAGGCCTGGTCAAGGATGTGCGCGACCTGGTGGTATGTTTCTCAGCCCCCCTCTCCCCTTGGGGCTCCTGCCTGACCCGTGTTCCGTCTCGTGGGATAGAAAGGAGAGCGCGACCTGGCCGACTCGTACGACGCCTTCTCCGTCGGCATGAAGGTGCGGTCAGAGGGCCTGGAGGCCCACCACTCCATGATCATGATCCCTGGCGTCATCTCCACCGGGCTCGAGTCCTGGGGCACTGCTAATGCCTCGCGCCCCTACTTCCGGAAGCGCCTGTGGGGGTCCTGGACCATGATGAGGGCGCTGGTGATGGAGAAGGACAACTGGAAGAAGCACATCATGCTGGACAAGAAGACGGGGCTGGACCCCCCCAACATCAAGCTGCGCGCCGCCCAGGGCTTCGACGCCACCGACTTCTTCATCACCGGCTACTGGATCTGGAGCAAGATCTACGAGAACCTCGCCTCGCTGGGCTACGACCCCACCAACTCCTTCACCGCCGCCTACGACTGGCGCCTGTCGTACCAGAACCTCGAGGTGAGGGACCAGTACTTCACGCGCCTCAAGCTCCACGTCGAGGCCGCGAAGCTGGGCATGAACCGCAAGGTCGTGCTCGTGTCCCACAGCATGGGGAGCCAGGTCCTCTTCTACTTCTTCCACTGGGTCGCCTCCGAGCAGGGCGGCCGCGGTGGCGACTCCTGGGTAGAGGATCACGTCGAGGCCTGGATCAACGTCAGCGGCTGCATGCTGGGGGCCGTCAAGGACATACCGGCCGTGCTCTCTGGTGAGATGAAAGACACGGCCCAGCTTGTGAGTCCCCTCGTACAACGGTACCCGGCCCGCCCAAAAGATACTGACTGCAACTGCTGGAGAACGCCTTCGCTGTGTACGGCCTGGAGAAATTCCTGAGCAGGGAGGAGAGGGCGGAGATGTTCCGCGCGATGCCGGGCATCTCCTCCATGCTGCCGATCGGGGGCGACGCGGTCTGGGGCAACCTGTCCGGCGCCCCAGACGACCTGCCGGGCCAGGAGCACTCGTACGGCTCCTTTCTGAACTTCCGCCAGGGCGTCAACTGGACCGTCCCCGAGAAGAACATGACGGTCGCCGGCACGATGGACTACCTCGTGAACTCGGCCGAGGGCTGGTACCGGGACCAGATCGAGAGCAGCTACTCGCACGGCATCGCGCGCACCACCAAGGAGGTCGAGGAGAACGAGCACGACCCCCGCAAGTGGATCAACCCGCTGGAGACGCGCCTGCCGCTCGCCCCGAGCATGCGGGTCTACTGCTTCTACGGCGTCGGGAAGCCCACCGAGCGGGCCTATTACTACCGGACCCCAGAGGCGCCGTCGAGCCTCAACATCACCATCGACACGGGGCTCATCTACGGGGTCGTCGACCACGGCGTCATTATGGGCGAGGGCGATGGGACGGTGAACCTGCTGAGCTCCGGCTTCATGTGCAACAAGGGCTGGCACATGAAGCGGTACAACCCCGCCGGGGTCAAGGTCACCGTCGTCGAGATGCCCCACGAGCCCGACAGGTTCAGCCCGCGGGGCGGGCCCAACACGGCCGACCACGTCGACATACTCGGCAGGGCGACGCTGAACGAGATGATACTGCGCGTGGCCGCCGGCAAGGGCAACACCATCAACAACTACGTCGTGAGCAACATCTCGCAGTATGCGGAGAGGGTCCAGGTGTTTGAAGAGGAGGATTAGTCGGGCCGGGCTCTGGAGATTCTTTAGCTTGCGGCGTTCCTTTATCTGTATTTGCATGTAGGGTACTCTAGACACGGGAGGCGTACGTGAGGATTTAGACATGGGCAGTTCGGCGTCGGCCCCTCGGGGGCCTGTAGATGTTTACACGCGACATGTACTATGCGTTACGTATACCCACTCCAATTTGGAGATATGAGATATAGCACAGTTTGTTCCGGCGCAATGACGGCGGGGTCTGCAGGAAGTTCCAGTCTCTCAATTATCCGCCAAGATGGACACCAGTTTTTGGCCTACCAGGGACACCACGCAAGATTACAGCAAGGGTATCATACAGCTCGAAACAACAACAACGAACAGATCGCTCAAGAGCACACATCAAAACTCCCAGCCCTCCTCTCCGTCCTCGTTGGCTTCGACCACTGCCTCCTTCTTGGTCGGCGTCTTGCCCTCCTTCTCCCTGAGGTGTGCAAAGATGTCCCTCGAGCTATAAAGCGACGCCCTCAGCCCCCAGGGGTTCCCGGAGCCGATACCCAGGTACGTGAACGCATCTGTGTGGCAGTCAGTCAACAACCCACCCCTGTGCGATCTCATGGGCACAGTTCGGAGCGGAAGATGAGAGAGAAATAGGGAAAGTGCACCCACCGGCCTTGTAGTAGATGGGCTTCCCACCCGCGCGGTCCCGCACGAGCTCCAGCTGCCGCAGGCGGTGCAGCACGCGGGCGATGTCGTCCTTGTCGCGGAAGTCGTGCGTGTAGATGCACACCAGGCGCTCCCTGGCCGAACCTCGCTCCTCGCGCGGGGCGACTTTGGCCGCGATCCCGAGCTCGTTGCGCGCCGTCGCCTGTGCCACGCTCGCCCAGACCTCGTTGACGGAGTTCGGCTCGACAAAGAGCATCCACTGCGGTCGTGGGTCAGCAGTCTGGGCTTTCACGCCGGGTGGTGAGTGAGGAGGCGCAGGGATGGAATGGGGCGCCAACTTGCCTTGCCCGTCCGAACCTTCATCACCCTCGCCAGCATCAAGATATCATTCACGCACCCCTCCCTCTCCGCCGCGGCCTGCCTGCTCATTGCCGTGCTCAGGCGCCCGGCCCCGGCGGCCCTCTTCTTCTCGTCCACCGTCCGCAGGAAGTCCCCAAACAGCTGCAGCCGCTCGCCGCCGCCCTCGATGAAGGTGCTCAGCTGTGCGCCGGGCTCGACGGGTGCCTCCTCGACGCCGCCGCCCTCGCGCGGGATGAAGGGGTTGGCGACGTAGATCCACGGGATGCTGAGGGTCACGTCCGTCGTGGCCGGCGGCAGGCGTGCCAGGAAGTCGGACATGGTCTCGCCGAGCTGCTTGGCGCAGACCTGGCCCTCGTAGGGGTTGTGCAGCTTGGGCGGTTTGGCTGCTGCGGGCGTCATGGCTGCGGAGGACGGCGTCGGGGACGGCTCGCCCTTTCTACGGCCTGGGTGCACCGTGTCATAGTGCTCAATCTGGCGCCAATAGGCCCTGACGTCGAAATCATCAGCTCTGGACTCGAGGGCGGCCACTTGGTCGTCGTCTCCTGTTGTCAGTGTTAGTGGTGCGGCGGGTGAGACGGTGTGAGTGGAACAAACGGGCTGACGGACTACAGTACTTACCATAAAAGTCCGAGTCTGAGTCTGAGTCCATCCTGCCTGCAGCAATGAAAATTGATGTCCAACGCCTTAGATAGACCCAACGGGATAACAGAACAAATGTGACAACTGGCAGACAACGAAAGACGAGCTTCGAAAGAACAGGCGCGTGTCGACGTGGGCTGCAGGCACGTCACCGAGCAAGGGTTGCCGCTGCCCTGGTGAAGTCAATGTCGACAAACCCCTGGAACTGGAACCCTTGCATATGGAAACACCACCCCGGCATTTTCTTCAACCTGAGCCACATCGAGTCCTCGTCGGGAGCGAGCAAGATACGGTGCGTTGGTTTGTTTGGCTCTGCGGAATCCGGCTGAGAATTCAATTGCCTGCAAGCCAGCTTGGCTGCCGGCACAATGGCTGAAGATGGTGACGAGATCAAGTCCTTCCAGTCGATGATCCTGGATCTGCCACCTAGCTGCATCGAGTTCTGCCCTCGATACCCCTCCCTTTTTCTGGTTGGTACATACTACCTAGAGACAAGCGAGGCAGAGTCGAAAGAGACAGAGACGGACGAAGACGGGGTCGAGGTCGAGGTCGAGGTCGAGGCAAGGCAGGCCCAGAGCAAGTCGGGGAGCATCCTCGTGTTTGAGCTCAAGGATGGGCAGGCGTGGGTCTCTCAGCGGCTTGAGAACGATACAGGGCATTGACGCTGACAAATTATGCAGGCAAATCAAAGAAACAATTCCTCAACCGTCTGCCGTCTTTGACCTGCACTTTGCGCCACAGGCAGACCGGGCAGATATCTGCGCCGCCGTCTCCAGCACTGGAACCATATCCTTCTTCAGACTGAGCCCCGGGGATCGGTGTCTCCAGGCTCTGAGCGTCTTGAGGATCCCGGGGCTGTCCGGGGACGACTCGTTCACCTATTTCACATGGCACCCCGAGACACCAGGCCTCATGGCCGTCACCACATCCACCGGAAAAGTGATCCTCGCCCGTGTCCAAGACAACTACGAGGATATCACGAGGCTTCGCACCCTGCTCAGCCACGACGCCGAAGCCTGGTGCGCCGCCTTCTCGCCGCTCTCACACCGCGACCCCGGCTCGGAGGAGACGCTGTCGACCGTGTACTCGGGCGGCGACGACTTCAAGATGCTGCTCAAGACACACGCCACGCGCCCTGACGGCAAGGGAGCCTCGAACTCGGACCCAGAACCTGCCGCGTCCTCGGACATTGACTCCGACTCCGGGGAGACCTGCATCCCGCCCCGCAACAACAAGGGCATCCGCCACGACGCAGGTGTGACGGCCATCCTGCCGCTGCGCCTGGCCACCCCGGACGGGTCCGGCGTCGTCGTGACGGGCAGCTACAGCGACCACCTGTCCGTGTGGGGGATCCTCCCTCCATACAGGGCCGGCGGCATGATGCCGCCGCCCAACAGGCTGCTGAGGCGCGTCAACCTCGGCGGCGGCGTGTGGCGGCTCAAGGTCATCGAGGAGCTCAGCGGGTATGGTGCCGATCCCTGGTCCGTCACGCTGCTGGTGTCGTGCATGCACGCCGGGGCGCGGGTCGTCCGCCTCGAGGGCTCCCTGGGGGCCGTCAGCGACATAAAGGTGCTCTGGCGCTTTGAGGAGCACGAGAGCATGAACTATGGGAGCGACTATGCGTGGGTCGACGGCCGGGGTTTTTTTGGCGAGGACGCGGACGAGGGGAGCAAGATCGTGTGCGTGTCGACTAGTTTCTACGACAAGAGGCTCTGCCTGTGGACGTTTTGAACACTGCTAGGGGAGACGATGCTGTGGGCCAAGCGGATAGCCTCGAAAACCTGGCCAGAACCATCCTACCACTGCGATCACACTGAAGCCACCAGCACATTGAGCGTCACCGATGCCACCGTGACACGAGATCACTCGGAAGCACAAGACTGGCGAGAGTGGCAGTCTAGCCTGCATGTAACACATCCATTTGAGATCTATGACACATTTGGTAAAGAAACACACAGGCCCCCTTTGAGGCGTCCGACGATGGCCCGGGAGCAGAGAAAGCACTCACTCCGCGGCCTTCTTCTCCTCTCCGCCCGCCGTCCCCGGACGCCCCAGCACAGCCACAGCACCGACAAGCCAGGCAGGCCACCAGACGCCCCAGACCACAACACTCGTGTACATGCTCCACACATGCCACCCGAAGGCGGCCTCGCGCAGGACCTCGCCCAGCCCGGACCACGCCGACCAGTAGGCGCTCCACAGCGCCAGGACAGCCGTGGGCGCCAGCAGGTGCAGGAGCAGCGCCGAGCCCCACCTCGCGAGCGGGGACGAGGGCCGCGGCCGCACGAACGACAGCGGCACGGAGAGGAGGCCTACCATCAGCGACAGGGAGAAGTTGAGGGTCGCGAGCGTGGACAGGAACATGCCCAGCAGCAGGAGGGAGAAGGACTGCATCAGCGCGTACTGCTGTGCTGTCGGGCGGAACCTGGCGGTTAGCAGGTGGGAGGCGAGGTGCGGGAGGGCGGCGTTGAGGATGGTGAAGAGGATGAAGACCGGAGTGTGCATCTGGGAGCTGTCAGTTTTCATCGCGTCTGGGTCCGCACAGAAACGGGGCCAGACTTACGCCCTGTGGCAGATTGTTGAATATGTAGAATGGCACGACCCCCAGGAACTGACACCCGGCGACAAGGGCCAGGGGAAGCAACAGGTCCCTCTCATTAGCCGGCGTCAGGATAGCAACGACCGGCCCTTTCTCGTCTGTTGGGTCCTTCTCCTTTTCGGCCGTCTTGGCTGGCTTCTCAACGTCCCCGGCCTGCCCGCTCTTCACCCACAGCGCGATCGAGATGATGGTGAAGTTGGCGGCGACCAGCATGGCGCTCGGCAGGTAGGTGCCGATGCTGACGAAGCGGTCCTTGTGCATGAGCAGGTAGAAGAAGAAGCTCTGGTGCAGGTGCTCGAGCAGGTTGTTGAGGGAGCGGAAGGTGCCCTCGACGACGCGGCCCATGGCCATCTCGTCCTGCCAGCCCTCGCCGTAGGGCCGGAGGGTGACGGCGTCGACGTGGTATGGGATGAAGCAGCTGTGGGGGCCCGAGGCCATGCCGAGCCCCTGCTTCATCATGCCGCGCAGCATGGTGCGCAGCCTGTCGTCGTACGAGTCGCTGTGCGACCACATCTCCTGGATGGACACGCCGATGCCCATCTGGCCGCCGGCGATGTTGACGACGCTGTTGATGAGGTCGAGGTTGGGCAGCTGCCCGTTGATGCCGTCGTAGACGACGTGCACCGAGTGGAAGCGCTCCTCCTGCGTGTAGTCGAGCGCGATGGCCCCCTGCAGGGCGCCGGACTTCATGGGCAGCGGGTCGATGCGCCGCGTGTCGTGGGCGTCGTGGTAGGCGTCCACCCACGCCTGGGGGCCGGCCAGGCTGTCGGGCGGCACCACCAGGATGATGTCCTTGGACCACAGCGACCACCGCCGGAAGTACCGCGCCAGCGTCAGCAGCAGCGCGACGCCCCGCCTGTTGAGCTCGCCCCGGGCGTTCTCCCAGGCGGCCACCAGCACGATGGCCTCGGTGGCGTCGCCGCGCGGCGCCTGCAGGATGGCGTAGACGTTCTCGCCGGCATACGTGTTGCCCGAGCTCGAGTATGTGAAGTTTTGCCGCCCGACCTTGAGCCCGACCGCCTTGAAGATGCCCTCCAGCCCGTCGTTGACCTCGATGTTGCTCCGCCCCACGAGCGCGTCCACCTCGTGCTTGTAGGCCCTGAAGACGTTCTGGTCGCTGCCGCCAAAGTAGGTGTGCACCTGTCCGGGAAGCAGCGCATTCTCGGAGATGTAGGTTCGCCGTGAGTAGTCGTTCTGCGGGAGCATAAGAAGCCACACGACGCCTACGACGACGCAGAGCAGGGAGATGTAAGGCGGTAGCTTCAGCAGGCGAGGGTCGCGTCGGAGGCGCAGGGCGCCGGCTGCGGCAGAGCTGTCAGCCACGAGGCCATGGAAAATGAAGAACCCCGACAGCCAGAAGGCAGGATGGGAAGCAACTCACATAGAAGCCGCGACATCTTGTCTGGCTCTGGCAGCCTCGGGCGGGCGTTCAGGGGCCCCCCGGTGTTCGGTGGCGAGAGTGGTTCTGGCAGCAGGTGTCCCCTCAGACGCCTACAAGCCCATCAATTGCCCAGCGGAGTCACTTTTGTTGTTCAGGGATCCATAGAGTCGAGATCCAACGTCAAACCCCAGGACCGGCGTGATGATATGGCAGTTGCCGTGTCCTGCGTGTGCGGTGCTGTTGACGATGGAGCTCGCATGTGCACAGTACGGCATGTACGGACTACGGAGTAGCTTGCTTACCTGGCTTGTAGCTTCCAATTGCATAAGGTCCCCGCTACATGCATCCGGCTCGGGCCCAGGTGCTTGTTGCTCTGCCATTAATTCTACACCCCAATGGAATATCATCACGGTAAACAACAGTCTATCTTGCTTTAATATCCAGCCTTCTTCTGACTAGATGAATGATTAAATGGCCCTGCAAGCTACCAAAGCAGAAACTCCGACCAGACCGTAATATTTGCCCTACCAGCAACGCCAGCCAGTTTCTTTCAAAAGCCATCGTGGCATGCACCACCGCACCGCGCCCATGCCGAGAAATCATCCCAGCGTAGAAACAAAGCATTTGAGCCAGCAAGCCAGACACCGCACCATCTATGGCCCCAGCCTCTGCCCGGCGCCGCCAGTCCCAATAACCCCCAGTGGCACGCCCTGCGAGGGCCCTGCGCCGGCACCCGCCGAGGGGAGCACCCCGAAGCGCCCGTACGTCTTCTGGTCGACGCTCACGTAGCGCGGGAGCCTCTGCAGCAGCTTCAGGCGGGCCTCGATCCACCGCAGCGCCTTCTCGGGCGGCGACAGGAACTTGAGGTAGCCCAGGCCGCAGACGTACCCCACGGCCAGCCCGGCCACATGCCCAATGAGGCTCGTGCTGGGCACCAGCGCCGCGATCACCACCACCAGGATCAGGGGCGTCGACCACGTCGGGATGTTGTACGTCGCGATGGTGAAGTGCGGGTTGCTCCGGTACGTGCGCATCGCCTCTGCGCCCAGCAGCAGGAAGAACCACACGCTCGCGCCCATCACGCCGTTGTTGGAGTGCAGGATCGCCTTTTCGATCAGGATGTAGAGGAATGCCGGGAGGGTCGAGAAGGCTGTTGGTTTGGTTGCTCTGGTCAGCTTGATCCGTCCCAGAGGGGGGGGGATCCAGGGCGGGAAGGGGGTCTCACGTCCAAAGAAGAGCGCCAGGCTGGTCAATGTCCCGTACTCGCTCTCGAATCGCTCCAGGAGCGGCGTGATCGCGAGGACGTTCATGATCATGTGCAGGAAGTTGAGGTGGATCAGCGGGTACGTGTTGGTCCGGTACACTGCCCACAGCTGTTAGTCCCTCGTTGTGTTGTGTGCATGCGTGTCCAATCCCCTCCGTGGCCCAGTTGGCCTTCGACCTGGACCTCCCTGGGGACAGTAGCACTCACAGCTTGTCAACCCGACCTCATCCGGCACCAGGGCCCCCCAGGCTTGGATGTCCCATTTCGCCCCCAGCACCACGCCCGCCGCCCAGGTGCCCACCAGGATTAGAATGACAAGCCGTGTGAATAGGGGGAGCCTGTAGACATATGATTTTGCGCGCCCGGCGCTGAAGGACTGCAGGGTCGGTGTAGACATCGCAATGGACAGCAGAGATGTTGCTCGCGGGAAGAGGTAGGGTTTAGGTGGGCTGCGTACGTGTCCCGCGTCTGCCGAAGTTATAGTCCAGTGGGGTCCGATTCCTGGGTTTTCTTGAGCTGAGAGACCCAGTCTGTGATCATCTTGCGAACGGTGATTCCGCTCCAAGTGTCACCAAGAATATTGCTGGCGCGGAAAATGATGACACGCCTCGAGGATCGGGAAATTGAATTCGCATGCTGTCGGCCTGTCGCAAATAGATACGGCCCTGAACAGGGATTATCTCTTATCTGGCCGCCCCGTCAGGTGCCTATCCCTGAGCCCAGATTGCGGGAGATGCTTCTAGCCAGAATAGAACCCCCGTCCTTCACATGTCAGAGCATGCCCATACATTATACCACAACACCGAATTCTGGAAGTTGTCTGTTGACTACATCCAACTTAGTTTTCTATAGGGTCTTTCTCTACAGAAACTCCATACAGAGGTCTTTAGGAGGTTGTCTGAGATGAAGTTCTAAGTTGAAGGAGAGGAGCTGGGAGGTTGACTGAGGGGAGGCTGTCGTATGAGAAATTTGTCCTGTAAGAATTTGTCCTATGGGCGGTTATCCGATGAGGTTGAGCTGTAGGATACTAGAAAGTTGCCTTTCAGGATATACTCCTGTGCGAGGGTAGCTAATAGGAGGTTATGATATAGGACGTTGGGAGGTTGACCTATAGGAGAGTACGAGGTTGCCTTACAAGAAGTTGGCCTACTTGCGGTTTGGGGGATGGCGTGGCCGCGTAGCATACACCTAGCAAAGCTTGTGATACTTAAAAGGCCTTTTAACATTTAAAATGATTCCATTTGTACAACCCAAGGAAAATGCGACGTTGCCTGTCAGGGCCATGTAAAGTTCCAACCCGATGAGCTCCATAACCCGAGAACCCCTCCGCCGAAAACAAGCCAGTATGGTATTTAAAGTATCGTCTTCTTCGTCTCCTTTCCTCCCCACATCCCCGTCGTGGCCCTGCACTGGACCGTGGCTGATGATGCTCACCGCCGAATATCTTGACACATCTGATTGGGTGCCTCAGCTCCCACGCAATAGTGTCATATTTATTTGTTGGCCTTGGCCATGGTGTTCAGGGCGCTGCCGTTCTTGAACCACTCGATCTGGCCGGCGTTGAAGGTGTGCGACAGCTGAACCTCGAAGGGCTTGCCGTCCTTGGGCTTGACGACCATGGTCATGGGCTTGCCAACCTCGAGCTCGGTGCACTTGAGGTCAACCTGTAGAAGCATGGTTAGTATACAGGTCTTAAATACGGTCCTCAGGTGTGAAAACATACCTTGGCGTCGGTTGGGATCTTGTCGTAGTCCTCGGGGTTGGAGAAGGTCAAGGGCAGCATGCCTTGCTTCTTCAGGTTGGTCTCGTGGATACGGGCGAAGGATCGGGTGATGATGGCAACGCCCCCGAGGTGACGGGGCTCCAGAGCAGCGTGCTCACGGGAAGAACCCTCACCGTAGTTCCAGTCGCCAATGACAACCCACTTGATGCCCTTGGCCTTGTAGTCACGGGCAACAGCGGGCACAGCGTCCCACTGGCCGGTGGTGACGTTCTGGATCTTGTTGGCCTCGCCGTTGGCGGCGTTCATGGCACCGATCAGCATGTTGTTGGAGATGTTGTCCAGGTGGCCACGGTACTTCAGCCAGGGGCCGGCCATGGAGATGTGGTCGGTGGTGGTCTTGCCCTGGGTCTTGATCAGGATGGGGGCGTCAACGTAGTCCTTGCCGTCCCATGCGTTGAAGGGCTGGAGGACCTGTAGACGGTCAGACGAGGGGGAGACCTGGACGGAGACGGCGGATCGGTCGGCGGGAGGAGCCTGGTAGGTGTCCATGCCGGGGTCGTAGCCCCTGGTGGGGAGACCATCGCCGGTGGGAGCCTTGAGCTGGAACTCGTTGCCGTCCTTGTCCTTGAGCTTGTCGGTCAGGGGGTTGAAGGACAGAGATCCGGCGACGGTCATGGCGACGACCAGGTCGGGAGAGGTGACGAAGGAGTGGGTGGCAGGGTTGCCATCGTTGCGGCCGGTGAAGTTTCGGTTGTAGGAGGAGATGATGGAGTTGGCGTCGCCCTTCTTGACGTCGCGGCGGTCCCACTGACCAATGCAAGGACCACAGGCGTTGGCCAGGACAACACCGCCGTACTCCTCGAAGGTCTGCAGCTGGCCGTCGCGGGCAATGGTGGCACGGATCTGCTCGGAGCCGGGGGTGACGAAGAAGGCAGACTTGGCCTTCAGACCGTGGTCCATGGCGTCCCTGGCGATGGAGGCAGCGCGGGACATATCCTCGTACGAGGAGTTGGTGCAGGAGCCGATGAGGCCGACCTTGAGCTCCTCGGGCCAGTTGTTGGCCTTGACGGCCTCGCTGAACTTGGAGATGGGGGTGGCCAGATCGGGGGTGAAGGGGCCGTTGATGTGGGGCTCGAGCTCGGACAGGTTGATCTCGATCAGCTGGTCGTACTCGGCACCCTCGTCCTCGCGCAGCTCCTTGGCGTAGGTGCGGGCGAAGTCACCAATGTCCTTGCGCTTGGTGGCCTTGAGGTAGTTGTACATGCTGTCGTTGAAGGGGAAGACCGAAGTGGTTGCGCCAATTTCCGCACCCTGCAGTCACTGTTAGTAAATAAAGAATCATTTCAAGGACAGGGAAAGACATTCCATATTGCACACAGTCCCCATGCCTGTAGCAGAAACGCTGTCGACGCCAGGTCCGAAGTACTCAACAATCTACTACACGTTAGTTGATCTGCAACGGACAAGGCCCAGGCTTGTACTTACCGCGCCCGTGCCTCCCTTGACGGTGAGGATACCAGCGACCTTGAGGATAATGTCCTTTGGCGAGGTCCAGCCGTTCATCTTGCCGGTCAGCTTGACACCAATGATCTTGGGGGCCTTGAGCTCCCAGGGCAGGTTGGCCATGACATCGACAGCATCGGCACCACCAACACCAATAGCGCACATGCCGAGACCACCAGCGTTGGGGGTGTGAGAGTCAGTACCGATGAGGAGACCACCGGGGAAAGCGTAGTTCTCGAGCAGGATCTGGTGGATGATACCAGAGCCGGGCTTCCAGAAACCGATGTTGTACTTGGCGCAAGCGGTAGAAAGGAAGTTGTAGACCTCCTCGTTGATGCTGACAGCGCGATCCAGATCCTTCTCACCACCAACCTGGGCCTCAATCAAGTGGTCGCAGTGGACGGTGGAGGGGTTTGCCACAGAGGGCATACCAGCGGACATGAACTGGAGGATAGCCATCTGGGCGGTGGCATCCTGGCAGGCAACACGGTCTGGCCTCAGCTTGAGGTATGAGCTGCCACGGGTGATGTCCTGGCCTTCTGGGTCGTCCAGATGGGAGTACAGGATCTTCTCGGCGTATGTGAGGGGTCGGTTGAGCCTGCTGCGGACAATGGCAAGGTTCTCGGACATCTTCTTGTAGTTGATGAAGTTGCCCTCTTCCCAGTTGTTCTGCTTGACCTGTTCACATGCGAGGTTGACGTCAGCCGGCAGCTCTGGAGATAAGAAACACGCACAAACTCGGGCGTGCGGGAGCTAGGGGCAGCTTCGCAGCGCGCGCGGTTGCGGGCGAGGGGACGACAAACGCACCTTGCGGTCAAGAGGGGAGTCTGTGACGGTGGCCATGCATCGTCGAAGGCCCAGGGAGCCGACGGCGGCACGGCTCCGGGCGACGTGGCCCAAAACCTGACGAGAGGCCAGCATTGCGGAGGATGATGGTCCCTTTGGCTGAGGGGAGGCGTGTGTCTAGAATCAACGATCTGAGTGGAGATGGGGGAGAGGTCACACGAATGGAGCTCTCAGTATTGGAATGAAGGCATTGATCTGCCACCTGAATCTTGGGGGGAAGAGACAGGAAATTGATCGTGATTGTGGAGGAGTGAAAACGTGGAAGAGAAAGGGCAGAGGTGAAAAGTGTGAGAGGAGCATCGAGGTTTTAGATAGCAACCTTGGAAAGTCGCTCGTGGCCGGTGGCCCGTGGCTCCTGGTCTCCTCGCCCTCGGCGCAGAGGCAGCGGCCCAGAAGGCCACTGGCATTGGCAGTGGGCGCCAGAGCAACCCGGCCACAGCTGGCACCCCTGCCACCTCACCTCTGGCCCCACCGAGGTTCGTCCTCCCCCAGTTTTTGCGCCGTGGGCATAGCCGGGCCAGCCAATCACGCGTGTTTGATTTTCAAATGCTCGGAGGCAGGGATCCCCAAAAGGTTGTGTAGCCAAAACGTCACCAGCATGCGGCCGGTGTACAGCCGGGCTGCCGCTCGGAGGGGGACGTATCTTCGACCGGATTTGTGCGACGCCCAGCACCGCCACGGCCGTCGAGGACGGCTGTGAACTGTCAAGCTGTGTGTTACGACCGTGTGCTACCGATGGCACAGGGCGAGGATATTCTCCGACCTCGAGTTACAGTTCCAGGAATGCTGCCTCCACCTGTCCAGAACATGCACGTGTGTGGGACTGTGTCATGTCAAGCTCGAGCATGTGCCTGTCCTGACGCCCGGGTGCAGAGGTGTACAGCCGAGGAGCAGCAACTACTGTGTACCATTGAGGTGCCCTCCATGGGAAGACGTATTTCCTTCCTCCCCTCCATGGTATAACCTCCAACGGGTCAACCTCGTATGGGATAACCTCTCATGGAACGACGTCCTATAGGACAACCTGCTACAGGGCAGCCTGTTAGGGGACAGCCTCCAGCCTCCCATGGGATCACCTCCAACGGGATGGCCTCCATGGTCATCATCCTGAGCAACCGGCATATCAACTCATCGCAACAGCCTGTCGACGTGGACTGGCTGGTGTGGTGTAGATATCCTGTGGTGTTTGGCCTGCAAATGCCTCAGGGACACCGTGTAGGCGTCGGGCGTGTCGTCCACTGCGCCACCAGTGTCTCCGTGGGGCCAGCCCTTCATCCGGCCGCCCACCAGCCGCGCTGAGCTCTACCACACATGTGGCCAAAGCTCTCAGCCGCATCCGGAAAACTGGGGATGCCCTCACGTCCACTTAATTTCCAGGTCGCCATTTCCTGCACGCAGACACCCATAAACCACGTAGATAAATACCCAATACGATCCCGTAAACAAATTGCCGGCAAGTCAGGCACATCGGAGCGAGACAGTCGCGGTCCCTGGTCTGTAACGCGGCGGTGCGGCGAAATTAATTCCTTCTGAAAATTTTCAACGGCCTGCAGACCACCACCCACCCTGGTAGACAGTCTGGAAGCTTGGAGGCGGGTGGATGGGAGGGGGAGGGGAGATTCCCAAGGTCGCAGTGGCCCATCCGACGCCCCAGAACCTGGAGAGCCTGTGGAGGAGCGCGCTTTTTTTGGGAAGCTCGTGTGGGTCTTGCGACTGCCACTGGGGCCGCGACGCCTCGGTCTACGAGATTCCGCCTCGGCTAAGAAAGGCGTTAAGCCCGCGGGCTCGACGACAACCTCGTTTTTCGGCCCAAGGCCGACTCGGGTCGTGGCCACAATGCGCCCGCGACCGCCGTTCTTCATCTCTGATACATGGCTCCAAATCCTCGCGTCGCCATCAGGGGCAATGCTCCCTGTTGCGACTGACTGGTTGCCGGAATTTATGCGGAATCCTCTCATGCGCAGCGCAACCCTGCCGGCGTGGTTACCATCTACGGATTAATGGTGCAAGTTTTCGGCGGGTACTCCCAGAGCCTACTGCTGGCATTGACATTGGTTGCGAGGCAAGTAAACATGACGTTGGGATATGGCGACGACGCGAATGCTGTTGTCTCGGAGATAGACCAGAAAGACTAGATACTGTGTAGTTGGAGAGAAGGGTGGTGCGCCTGGTTGCACCACCCTGTCCTTTTAGCCCAAAAATTGGCCGTCTCGGGAATTTTCAACTCACTCTCATCAAAACTTTCTCACACCGTACGGTCAAATCGCATGTGAAAACGTCACGCCCACAAGGCCATCCCAAGCATCCCATACCCAACACACAACCAGACCTGACACCCAGAACCCACCCCGAGCCCCCAGGTCAATCAAAATGGGTGTCGAGAACAAGCGGACGCTGACAAAGACCCGCCGGTACAGGAGGTGAGCGCGCAGCCCCCGCCCAGGATTGAGCCGGCACTGACAAGCCGGAAACAGGGACATCGACCAGATCAAGGCCGACCTGCTGTCGCCCAAGCACCTGAAGCAGTACAAGGACACCAAGCTCGTCGAGGACCTGCCCGCCCTGGGCAGGCACTACTGCGTCGAGTGCGCCAAGTGGTACGAGGCCGAGTCCGCCCTGGTCGCCCACAGGCGTGGCAAGCCTCACAAGCGGAGGTGAGTCTGTCATCCAGCCTCGTCGCCCTCGCCATTGCGCACGTGTATTGACGCTTCTCTCGCAGGGTCAAGCAGCTGAAGGAGGAGCCCTACACGCAGAAGGAGGCTGAGGCCGCCACGGGGCTGTGGACTGACAACAAGGGCCCCGCCAAGCCCAAGACCGACGACGTCGACATGTCGTGAGCGAGCGCGGATTGGACGGGTGGTTACTTACCTACTATACCTGCTGGGCCCATCTCCTGGTCTTCCGCTCCCCGGGCTCGGCAAACTAGCCCCACGACAACTGCTCCGCGATGGGAGAGCGAGGGCATCGCCACGGTCAAAGGCGGCGAAACCTGGGCATGGCTCCACGGTGGGATCGACGCACATCAGGGCCAGCGTCTCGAGGACAGTTGGGATCTTACCGATGAGCTGAACTGTAAGGTGGAAGAACGAACTCTGGTCATCCAGCCCTGAGGACCTGCTCCTGGCATCCTGGGCGCGGAGCTAGCCGGTATCCTGTCATCACAGCCCCAAAGGATCGTCGACAGGAGGCAAAGCGAGCCGAGAATGGCCTTGACGATGGTCACACGGTCTGGTCGCTGTCACAAGGAGGAGGTAGACGCCGCTTGAGAGCAGGACGTGCGTCGGTAATACAGGATCAATTCAAGACAAGTCGGTCGTGTGAACTTCTCGATTTCTGCAGTTTGCCTTGAATCCTCGTGACCTTGCACGGCCTGGTGGCTGAAGATCCTAGTTGCCGCGCCCCCCCCCCCCAAAGGCCCTCGAGATATCCAAGTGTGTACCAATATACACAAGTAGTTCCTTCAAGTGCTTGCGCCTAGCAGCTGAGAGCCATAGCAGACACCCGCTAGGGGCGGGCAGTGACTGGCTGCTGTCGTCTAACCCCTACCCCCTGTCCCCCCTCCCAGGCCCAACGACTTCCACATCAGACGAGCGCAGCTTAGATACCGACCCTCCCACACCTTCGTAATGTGGTCTCAGGGCGACCGGTGGCTTGGCGCGGTCAGTAAGTCGCCGAATCATGTCCATGGCCTGGCATGACGGCACCAGTCGAGCCATCCTGGTACAGACACCTTGCTTCGACCGTCCGGTTCGCCACGCTTGAGGATACCAAACCCGGCTTCCCAAAATCCAGTTCACTTCAATCGATGCTTTTCTTTTGCACCCAGTTCTATAGCATGTTTATGACAGTCATTGATTTCCCATCCTCGCCAGCTATCAAGGCAACTGGCTGACCCATCCAGACCACGTCTACGGTCTCCTCAGTCCACGATCAACTTGGTCAGGAGCTTTCCTTGGTTCTTTCCGCTAAATAGTCGCATCCAGATCTCAGGCTGCTCCTCGAGCCTCGCCTCGACAACAGTCTCGCCCTGGTCCAGCTTGATCGTCCCGTCGGCAGCAGCACCGATGAGCTCCCCAAGGATCTGCGGTGCCTTGTCCATGTAATCCAGCATGATGAACCCCCTGATTGTGATCCTCATGGAGATGACCTCGAACCAGTTGCTCAGCTCCATTGGCTTGTCCTGCGCGTTGTACGACGCGACGGCACCGCAGACAGCGACCGTCCCAAACCTCTTGACCCGCGTCAGCACCGTGTCGAGCACGAACCCGCCGACGTTGTCAAAGTAAACGTCCACCTCGTCCGGCGTGACGGCCTCGAGGTCCTGACGGAAGGTTGGGCTGTTGTAGTTGACGCACTCGTGCGCGCCGAGGTGGTCCTTGACCCAGGCGCACTTCTCGTCCGACCCCGCGATGCCGATGACCTTCTTCGCCTTGAGCAGCTTGACGGCGATCTGGACGGCCATGGAGCCCGTCGCGCCTGCAGCCGCGGAGATCACGATCGTATGCTCCGGCTTGGCCTCGCCTGCGAAGTAGAGCCCGCCGTAGGCTGCCAGGCCGGACGCACCGAAGGCGCCCAGGAAATGGGTCACTGGGAGTCCGTTGGGAAGAGGGGCGAGAGGCTGGCACGTCGCTGCTTCCAGCACGATGTACTCGCTCCAGATGCCGAGGTGGCTAAAGATGAGGTGCAACGTCAGCCACATCCGGCATGGGAGCACCAGCAAGCCTTCGTGGCTTTTCTCGACCCCAGAGGGCCAACATACAAGTCCATCACCAGATCACCCGGCTTATAAGAGGGCGACGCAGACTCGACGACCTCGGCGATGACACCGGAGCGCATCGGGGAGCCGACGGGTACTGTGGGCACATAGAGCCGCTCCGGGGCCACCGTGCTGGCGATGACTTGGTTTCGGCGGCGTCAGCAAGACGCCTCATGAGTAGTCTGAGCAGTTGGAACATACAATTGCGCAACCCGGTGTCATTGGAGAAGTACTGGACCTTGGCCAACACCTGACCCTCGTTCAGCGCCGGCACTTCTGCCGTCTGCAGTTTGAACGTTGCGTCGGGGCCAGACAGGACCGGGGCTCCTGATGGCTTGGACGCCAAAATCCATTGCTTGGTAGTGGAGGGCGCCATGATTTCTGCAAGAGATCTCGTGGGGGTTTGGCCAGAGCCGCCGAGAACTCAACATTCCTGGAACGACAGGCTTCGAGGAGATATAGTCCCAATGCCATGGCGCTATCCGCTTGAGACCCCGGTCACGATCATCATCACAGCGGGTCAACAAGCACATGCCGCGGCTCCATGGCCACCGCCCCGCAGAAACACCCGGAAGGATTGCCTAGAATCCAGTGTTCTGCGGCGGAACAACCTGGTAGTACTCTTCACTTTGGTCGCTAAGGGGAAGCTGCCCTCGGAACTTCTTTTCCTCATGGAAGGCTGCCATGGGAGAAAGGGGTTGCGCTGGATGGAGAAATGGGCATCGCCTGTTGCGGTCTCTCAAGATAAGCGATTTCCACCGACCATGCAGTCGCAAAAATTTCCATGCCTTTGAATATCCAAATCTACAAGAAGCCGGAACCAAAAAGACAAAACAATACATGCAACAGTCGGGATTCGCTGGTCGTCACCGACCCAACTACTAATCGACCTCTCACAAGCTTGATTACAGGAGAGCGAACGGGATCCGATATTTTCTTGTGGATATGGTCGCATGTGCTGGATTGTTGTGTCGTGGAAACTAAGTTCCTGGGTAGGTCGTCAAACAATCGCATTCTGTGGGGATATGACACCGTCCTGCAAGGACCAGCACAGCGGTCTCCCACGTGGCGTCCTCATTCCCCGGGTTGTTTCGTCCCAGGTGCTGTGGGGTGCTTTGGAGAACGATGGCAAAGAGGAGAACCCCATCTAGTGTTTCCAACTTCGGGATACGAGGTTTGGGGATGTGCCTCGATTTCTCCAAGGATGCTCCATCCAAGCTCGGCCGCTTTGATGCATGCACAGGAGCTGTCAAGTGCCAGACAACGGCTGCCCCTTGACGGGCAACCTGAACCGAAGCTTGCCCAGTCCTTGGCTCCAAACGAATCACTTTAGCCTCACGGGAACAGACACGATCTGCCCAATTTCCAGCTCCCTCGCTCGGCCCTCGCTGACCATCCTCCTCCTTGGTTAGTCCTCCGCTACGGACAAAAATGGAAATGCTACTGCGCAGCTGTGTGGTCCAGGCCTCAACTATCCAGGAAACAAGCGTGGCCTCCTTGCAATTTCCAGAAAAAGAACATTCCTCACTGCACTGGCCGCCGTCGGTCCTACAAGTGGTTTCCAGCCTCTCTCTTCACACCAGAGTGTGCTAGGGCCAGCCATCTCAACGATATCCTTGGCCGAAAGGGGCAAACTGGGGGGCTAATTCATCGTATCCCTCGAGAGATACCATAGCGTGGACTTGGGCCCCTCATGTCACCGCCCCGAGTCGCAGAGACCAGACCAGCGCGTGTCGAGTCTGTCTCGCTCCGTGATATCTCGGACGATCATGTCGATAACGACAGCGAGACGGACATATCGGCAGCCTGACAAGGTGTCGGCTGGCCTCTCATGGGCATATGCTGGGTTGCGCTTGCGCCGCCTAGATATCTCCGAGTCCTCTCTTACGGTCCGCTTCCGACCAAGTGGAGAGGAAGAAGTCGTCCTTGTCCATGGCAGTTCCGCCCAGTTTCAGTGAAGACGTCTGGCATTATATCAGTTGGACCCTCTGCCCCGACACTGCTAGCTAGCTAGCAGCTGCCCCCCATCCGTCCGAAGAACTCGTTCCCCGCCTTCCATCTATTCGCTGGGCTCTTTGTCTTTGAAAGAACGGTAAATAATACGCGACGGGGCTACTGCCAGTGCATATTGGTCGCCCCAAGCATGGCTGAGGCCTCGAACAGAATGGAGGAGTCATTGCCGGAGGCCCCAAGGCCAGATTCCATGACGCCACACGACCCGAACATGCAAGAAGGCCTGAGAATGGCCACAGAAGCCATGCAAGCGGCCGCTGATGCGATGACAGCAGCATCCGTGTCGTTCCGGCGGCAGACTCTCATGCAGGAGGAGCTTGCCTCGAGGCGCACAACATGGTTGCCTCGCAGGCAAGCAGAAGATGATCAAGACGGATATGAAGCGACACGGCCGGCGAGCCCAAGCCGGCATCGGGTTATTTCTGTCCACCAGCTGGCAGCGGCACTGGCCAGAGAGGGTTTCGCGATGCCAGAACAGGATTTTTCAGCCCGGTTCCTCGCGGAAATGACGCCTCCGGCATCTCAAGACGAGCGTGTACCAGCAACATTGCAAATGCCTCCACGGATGCCCACCCACCCGGCCCGTCCATCAACAGCTACACATCGGACAAGTCACCAGAACCTAAGGGGATCGTCTCGAAGGACGACACTATCGGAAGGCTCAACCTTGATCAACAAAAGCTCGGGCGTTGGGGCCGCACGTGTATCCTCTGAGATACCCAAGCCGGACCCAGCATGGCCGGCACAATCCATCCACGATGGCCAATCCTCCCACGGGCCTGAGTACGCTGAGCGTCGTCGGTCACGCTCGAGGGTTTCTCATGGCGCAGAACAGAGCAGGCGGGTTTCTGCAGTCCGTTGGCCTCTGGAGGCGCCAGAGCCAGAGATGGGTCCTGGTGGTACAAGAGATGTGCACGATTCCCAGGACGACTATTTCTCACCTGTCATCAGGATGGGAAGGTATACCTACATCCGGACCGACACGGGGGAGCTCAGGCCATCACTTGACGATCAGCATTGGCAAGACCAGCAATACTCAGGACAGAGTAGCCGAACCATCACAAGGCCCCCGAGCCCGCCCAGCAGGACGCCGCGATATCGACCCTACGGCTTGTCAGCTGCGGGGGAGATGTTGTTTCTGGCGGTCATCATCCTCGCCCAGGCGCTGACGCTGGCGGGGCTGTCCCAGGCCCTCGTCCCACAGCGCATCATCGGCGCCTCGTTCCCGGACACGAACCCCGGAAGCCTCGCGTGGTACTCGGCCGCCTATGGGCTGACCTCGGGGACGTTCGTCCTGCCGTCCGGCAGGCTGGGCGATCTCTTCGGGCACAAGAAGATCTTCATCATCGGCTTCATCTGGCTCGGGCTGTGGGAGCTCGCGGGCGGCTTCAGCGAGCGTGTGCAGCGGTACGGGTCCGGCAGCGGCACCGCCCTCTTCATCTTCTGCCGCGCCATGCAGGGTGTAGGGGCGGCGCTGCTCGTCCCGAACGCCCAGGCCATGATCGGAAGGGGCTACCCGCCGGGACCGAGCAAGAATATCATCATGAGCCTGTTTGGTGCCGCAGCGCCGCTGGGATTCGTTGCGGGCGGGGCCATGGCTGCCATGTTCGCGCAGCTTGTCTCGTGGCCGTGGGGCTTCTGGACGATGGCGGCTGTGTGTTTCGGGCTGGCGGGCGCATCGGTGCTGATCCTGCCCCCGGCGGCGGCGACGACGAGGAACACGGACGTCAGCCTCTGGAAGCAGGTCGATGGTGCGGGAATCTGCCTCGGCGTATCCGGCCTGGTACTCTTCAACTTCCCCTTCAACCAGGCGCCCATCGTCTCGTGGGGCACCCCGTACACGTATTTCATCCTCGTCATCGGCGTGCTGCTGCTCGGCGGCTTCGTCTACATCGAGCTGCACGCGCCTCACCCGCTGGTGCCCATCGCGAGCATGACCCCGGCCACTAATTTCGTGCTGGGCTGTACTGGGGCTGGCTGGGCGTGCTTCTCGATCTGGGTCTACTGTAGGTGTCTCACATGTGGTCTGCTTGGCCGAAGGCATGCCCTCCTTTGTACGTCCCCTGGCTGACGAGATGAACAGACGCGCTCAGCTTCATGGAGCAGCTTCGGGGCTACTCGCCCCTGCGTGCCTCGGCGGCCATGGCCCCCGGCCCAGTGGCCGGGCTCATAGCGTCCTTGCTGGCAGGGTTCCTGCTGAGCAAGAAGGTTAAGCCCTACATCGTGCTGATGATGAGCATGGGGGCGTTCACAGCGGGCAGTCTGCTCTGGTCGCTCGCACCGGTGGGGCAGACCTACTGGCTGAACTCGTTCATCGGGGTCCTGATCATCCCCTTTGGGATGGACATGTCAAACCCCGCCGCGTCGATCCTCCTGAGCAACAGCATGGCAAAGGAACACCAGGGCACTGCCGCTAGCCTCGTGGTGACGACGGTGAATTACAGCATCTCGTTGGCCTTGGGCATTGCTGGCTCTGTCGAGCTGGCGGCCCGCGGAGAACGGGGCGATGTGCTGGCTGGCTTTCGGGGAGCCCAGCATCTCGGCCTGGGCCTGGGCGGGCTGGGCATTTTGCTTGCTGCAGTCTTTGCGCTGCGGTCCAGAATCCAGGCGAAGCAGGCAGCAAATACGTTGGCGAAGGCTGGCTAGGCACCAGACAACCGAAGCCGACGGTTTTGACAGAAAAAACCACATCTAATCACAGGGGCGCGAAGGGAACTCAGTAGTACTAATTCACACGCATTGTGTCTACATAGCATTGAGCAACATAATTAGCGTATGTCTTGCCACCGTGAAGGTGCCAGTTAATAGACATTGAATAAAATATAATGTGTTTGGAAATACAGTTTCTGTGAGAGCGAGCCATTGTCTTTTGTTGTTTTCAAGTCACAACCAGCTTACGCGCTTGAGCAACTCGGCAGGCGGTCGGTCATACAATGCAGCGAGCGAGTTCAGTCCCATAGATTGCTGGGGGAGTAGTGTCGAGGTACAACCCCCAAGTGGTCATATTGAGTCCGTGGAGATGGCACCCTCAACTGCTCCCCTGGAGCTCGGTCCCTTGAGCAGAGCTATCGTACAGGCGCTTACTGGCTGTACCCATTGCCGGTTTCTTCACCCTCTTTCAGTGGTCTGACGCCACCCACGTCGTCCCAGGAGCAACGCCTGTCACCCGTGTGGCCTTGATGCAACCATCTTTCCAAGCAAAAGTCTCGTATCACCTCCAGGCCGTAGATCAGCGAAAGCATCGGCGTATGGTGGTCTGGTGCGTCCTTCGTTCTGCCGTAAGCCGACTAGCCAGCCTTCACGGTTCCCGAGGTTCGGAGAGGTTGGGTTGAATATCACCAGGGCATAGGACGACCCGGCTGTTTTGGCTTTAAATCTTTCAGATAACACAGAACCCCCTTTCCCTTTTCCCGAACGCCGAGAATGTGCCCAGCCGTGGGAGATTTTGGACATCCCACCTGCGAAAATAAAACTGAGAAATGCGCAACGGGAAGGGTTTCGCCGTCTAGCCCCGTCCCCTGCTGAAGCCACCCCTACCGCGGCCGCCGCCCCGTGAGAAACCGCCCGAGCCAGAGTTGCCCCGCCCGCCGAACCCACCACCGCCACGGCCACCGCCCCGTCCGCCGAAGCTGCCGCCCCTTGAGCCTCCACGGCCGCCGCGGTCGCCGAAGCCGCCACGGCCGCCGAAGCCTCCCCTTCCTCTTGCGCCCCCACGCCCGCCAGCGCCGCCGCGGCTGGGCTTCTTGACCTTTGGCAGGCCGGCCAATGGCTTGGGCTTGGGCAGGAAGCGGTCCATGGCCAGGGTCTTCATGCCGTCAATGTAGAACTTGTCGCCGGGCTTGAAGCTGGCGGCCTGGATGCCCTCGGAGGGCTTTATCGTGAAGAAGAGCTGGTTGATGGGGCCGAGCACCTCGTCGATCTTACCGACGGAGGTCTTGTTCTCGAGGTACATGATGGCGTTGAACTGGGGTACTCGTGGGTTGATGCTCTCGCAGACCATCTCGCCCTCGCAGGCGTGGAGGAACTTGCCCATCTCCTGCACCTCGGATGGTGGGCCGAAATCGCGTTGCTGGAAGCCACCTCGGCCTGCGACGGAGGGTCAGTCAGCTATGTATGGTCGTGTGCAGGTCGAGCACCCTTTTTTTTGATCGTAACAACGTACCACCGCCCCGGCCACCACCAAACCCGCCGCGACCGCGGGGAGCTCCTCTGAACGACATGCTGATGTGTACTTGTGATTGTCTCTGACGTCACAAATCTTCTGGCCGAGTCCTGGGCGAATTTGCGGTGGGCTGCCGTCCGACTGAGTGGTGGATTGAAGCTGTGGTCGGCTGAGCTGGTGCAGTAAATTTTGAGCCTCGAGAATTTCGTGGAGAAAGTTTGCTCGGCCGGCAGGCGCAATTGATGGCTCGGCCTTGCTAGTTTGGGACTAGCACGTGTGAGCGGCGGGCCGGCAGGGATGCCCCACGTCAGTCCTGCTCGTCTGCCAGGCAAGCCAGGATATCAGATTCCAGGTCGGGCTGCTGCGAGGAGAGGAGTCCCATGAACATTTACAGGTTTTGAAGATACGACTGGACTGGTACGGTACACGAGTTAAACAGACATACGCATGTGTATTTTGGCTGTATACCAGACAGGCCTGCGAGACACCCGTGCCGGTGCCACTGGAAGGGCAATGGCAACCGTGGTTGCTGAACGCACCAGGTGGGGCCCGAGCGTGTGAGTTGATTGGTCAGAGCCTCCCGGGCCTGCAGGGTCCAAAGAGCCTGACGAAACTTCAGAGGCAGTCGCGTCTGCTAACGTGTATGGTCAGGGAGCCGCTGGGCCATCAAAGTAAACAACCCGCCAACCGCCGCCCTCACTGAGGCTCACTCACTCTCGACCACCACGACGCGACTTGCTTCTGCCCCCCCAGCCCGACACGGCCTCAGCTGCATCCTAGTAATAACGAGCTCCACTCACATCTAGCCTTCTACTATCCAATTGACCCATATGTCCTTCTGTATCAAACACACCACCTCGCTCCTAGCCGTTTCAAAGCCATCGACGACGCGTCTGCCAGCCTTGCCCGCACCTGGCCTCATCCCGACCTGATCCCCGCCGCCGCCCACCATGGTGCAGCCCGGCATAGGGCTCGACACGCCCAGGACAAATGTCGGCGACGCGACATACCTCAGCCGCGCACCAGACTTCGACATCACACAAGAACCCTCGTTCCAATCCCCGGGCAAGGAGCCAAATGTCTTCCAGTCCCTGCGGGACGGCACAGCCCGCTCAGGCTTACGGACACCGCGCGGGACCAAGAACCGTGCCCCTTTCTCCGACAGGATGAACCTGCCCGGCGGCATCGGCGGCGCCGAGTTCACCCCCCTCCTCAAGTCTGCCACGCGAAACAGTGCCCGCCGGCGCAGTGGCAAGGAAAACGGCCTTACCACGCCCGCGCTGGGCAAGATCAGCGAGGACATGAGCCCCGTGCAGCCTGGCGAGAGCAGCATGTTCAGATCCAGAGACCAGTCCTACGTGGAACGCACACCGCTACCAGATGCCGACAGCGATAGCACCGCCTCGACACCAATGATTATGCGGCGCGGCAAGGGCGGCGATGGAGGCCCCTTGCAGGACGGCCAACAGCTGTCCCTCCGCGAGCAGGAGAACGTCATCGACAAGATCGAGAAGGAGAACTTTGGCCTCAAGCTCAAGATCCACTTCCTGGAGGAGGCGTTGCGCAAGGCCGGGCCCGGCTTCGGCGAGGCAGCTCTCAAGGAGAACACCGAGCTGAAGGTGGACAAGGTCACCATGCAGAGGGAGCTGCAGCGCTACAAGAAGCATCTGACGTCCGCGGAGAAGGATCTCGAGAACTACCGACAGCAGATGGAACGGATGCAGGAACTCGCAAGGAACAAGCAGGGGTCGCACGAGCACTCGGCCGAGCTCGAGAAGCTCCGCCGGGACCTGGACGAGAAGGACGCAGACCTCGAGGACATGCAGCACCGGATACAATCAGACCTACAAAATGTCGACAGGGTGGCGAAGCTCCAGGATGAGATTGGCGACCTCGAGGCTGATCTCAGGGAGAAGGAGCGGGCCATCAGCGAGCGCGACGACGAGCTGGACGAGCTGAGGTCAAAAGCCAGGCAGGCCGACCAGCACGGCCAGGATGAGGTTGACCGGCTCAGGGACGACATTGAAGACCTCCAGGCCAACGTGAAGGAGAAAGACCGGGTCATCAGCGAGCACGAGAACGAGCTGGGCGATCTCCGGTCCAGGGCCCAGCAGGCGGAGGAGAAGGCAAAGAGGGCTCAGATACGCATGATCGAGCTCGAGGAAAACGCACAGGCCAGCGACAAGCTCGAGGAGGCCAGGGAGTCCATCCAGGACCTCGAGGCACACGTTCGGGAGCTGGAGCGACAGGTCGATGACGCACAGGAAAAGCTCGAGGACGCAGTGTCCGAGAAGGAACGCGCAGAGGCCGACCTCGAAGAGCTACAGGAGGAGATGGCCAACAAGTCGGTGGTCACAAAGGGCCTGCCGAGGCAGCTGGAGGAGAAGCTCGCGCGACTCCAGGATGAGGTCGAGGCGGGCCGCCAGGACTACGAGGCGCTGGAAAACCAGTACAACACCAAGCAGGCGGAGATCGACGATTTGAAACACAGGCTGAAGGATTCTCGCCAGGAACGAGACGCCTCGGAGCAGGAGCGGCGGGCACTCGCCACGAGGATAGAGGAGCTCCAGGCGGACCTGAACTACCGCAGCGACGAGAAGAACCTGCTGCAGAGCCGACACGAGGCGCTGGCTGCCGAGTCTGCCTCCCTGCAGCGAGATGTGTCCCGCCTGCAGAAGTCGATGGCCGATCTCCAGGGCGACCTCGAACAGGAACGCCAGCACTCGTTGAGCATCGAGCGGGAGCTGCGGGCACAGTACAAGGCCGACTTCGACAGGCTGAACAACGAGATCTCCGACCTGCAAGCCGAGGTTCGCGAGAAGGAGAACCTTTACGACAACGACTGCGAGAAGTGGGAGACGGAGCGGCACAACCTCGAGTCGGAGCGTGACCGGGCGGAGGAGCGCGTGTCTGGGCTGCAGAAGACAATCGAGAGGCTGAGGGATGCCGAGGGCAGCCTGACCGACAAGGAATCAAAGCTGCAGCGAGCCCTCCAGAGCGAGACGGAGCGACACCACAACGAAGAGGCGGTCCTCGGCAGACAGATCAATGACCTGCAGCAGGACCTCTCTGACCGCCAGCAGGTGCTCGAGGACCTCCGGAGCGAGCTCTCTGCCGTGCGCGACGAGCTCCGCCAGGCCCAGCTGGACAAGCAGGAAGCGGCCGAGAGGGCCGAGGGCCTGGAGGACGAGGTCGAGGTACTGCAGGTTGCCCTGGACGAGGAGAGCGAGAAGTCGGCCCAGGAGATCGAGACCCTGACCAAGGAGTGCGACGACCTGCGACAACAACTAAGAGAGCTGCGCCGAGCATCGGATGCTGCCCATGCCTCGACAGACTCCTCCCGCCAGACCGCCGAGCTGAACGCAAAGGCGATGGAGCGCCTCGAGAAGCAGCTTGACGAGTACAGATCCAACCTCACGAAAGCCGCCCAGGAGAAGAGAGCCAGCGAACGGGAGTGTGAGGAACTGCGGCAGCAGCTTAGGGAGTTGCGCAGGCTCACCGAGTCGGCAAAAGCCTCGACCGATGCAACCCATGAAGAGGCCGCGTACAACGCCAGAGCAGTCCAGCGCCTGGAGAGCCAGCTTGCAGAGTTCAAACACAATGTCGCTCAGGTCACACAGGAGAAGAGGGACATCCAGAGCCAGCTGACCAGCATCAGGGGCGAGCTCCACTCGGTCCAGACCCGACTGGCCGAGACACAGGCAGAGCGGGATGAGATTGACATCGAGCTGCAGCGCGCCAAGGAGCAGGACAACGACACGTTCCAGATCGACCAGGAGAGGATCAACCTCCGGGCCACCAAGGCACGCCTCGAGAACGAGATCCGCCGTCTCAAGGATGACAACAGGAACCTGGCGGACCAGCGGGACTCCCTGGAGAAGACCCTCGAGGACGAGCTCGACAAGGCGGAAGCCGAGGAGGAGCGCCTGAACCAGGAGATCCTCTCGCTGCAGGCCAAAGTCAGGCAAGGCCAGGTCCCTGACACCCAGGACGTCTCCAAGGCCCGCCGCACGATCCGAGAGCTGGAGCGCAAGATTGCGAGCTACGAGCACCAGCTCGCCCAGGCCACCGTCCCCGTCGGCTCCCTGGAGGGCAACAGCGAGCTGTCGCTGATCAAGCGCGACCTCTCCGCGGCGCGCCAGAAGGAGATCGAGTTCATGCAGAAGGAGGGCGACCACCGTGCCCAGATCCGAGGTCTGAAGCGCCAGATCGGGGACCTCGAGCGACGGGCGCACGAGGCAGACATCTCACGCATGGCCCAGTCACCCCTGTCAGAAAACGCCTCTGCCCGCAAGGCCGAGGTGTCCGAGCTCCGCCACCAGCTCTCGAGCGCCCACCAGTCGATCGGCGAGCTCAAGAAGAAGCTGCGTGAGTCAGAGCGCCGTGCGGCATCGGTGGAGCGCGATCTCCAGCGGCACCTCGAGAACGTCGAGGATGAGAAGATGGCCCTGGAGCAGGCGCTCGAGGATGCCCAGCTGGCGGCGGAGGAGGCCAGGGCCGAGCTGAACGAGGCGTCGAACAAGTACAAGCGCAAGGCCGAAAGGTACAGGAAGGAGCGCGACTCGATGGCCGACACCCTGGCAAGCACCCGCCGCGACATGCGCAACAACATGTTCGACTCGAGCATCACCTCAAACATCAGCAGCGTGGGCAACGGCACCGTGACGAGCGAGGTGACGCGGGAGGAGCGCCACGACCTCTACTCGATCCTCCGCAAGACGCAGATCGACGCAGAGTGCCTGGAGCGGGAGGTGCGGGAGCACAAGGAGGCCCTCGACGAGCTCGTGGCACTCGAGAAGTCGCTGCGCGTCAAGCTCGACCGGGCCAGGTCCGAGCGCGCACAGTACCGGTCTGACGTGGAGCAGCTGCAGCGCGACATGAAGCATCTCAAGAGGGGCAAGGACGAGGCCGAGAAGATGGCCGAGGCGGCCAAGGCGGCGGCAGCTGTGGCCCGCGCCCGCGCCACCGTGTCCTCCGTGTCCTCCTCCTCCGCGTGGAAGGGCAAGGAAAAGGAGGCCAGCAGGCCAGCACCGCGGCCTGTCGAGCTCGAGGAGGTGGACGACGAGGACAGCGCCGCAGAGCCCGCTAATGACGACAACGCGGCGCGCGTGATCCACTTCCGGGACGATAACGACACCCAGGTGCACACGGACGCGATCGTGCGGGCGGCAGAGGCTGCGGAACACCGCCACGTCAAGCAGATGCGCGGCATGACCATGCAGATGGAATGGATGCAGGCGCGGTGGGAGAGGGAGCTGAGGATGCGGGACGACGCGGCGTTCGCGAAGAAGTACCTGCAGCTGGAGCTCAGCTCGAGGGATGCCTGGTACGTGTCCTGATGGCCCTCCCCGGTGCCCCGTGCTAACCGCAAGAAACCAACCACACAGCAACCAGGCCGACCTCCTCAAGCTCGAGGGCGTCTTCAAGCAGCTGGGCATGAAGGAGCGGCCGTACTCGCACGTGGCGGCGCACCAGCAGCGCACCAACGCCAAGCGGCCCTTCACGCTCAAGCGGCTGGCGATCGCGCTCCGGTTCGTCGCCAAGCTGCGCATCGCGGCGCGCGAGTGGCAGAAGCACGAGAAGACGCGCAAGATGCTCCACGACAAGTGGGAGAGCTACAAGCGCGAGGACCGCATCAGGGCCCACCAGCTGCGCTTCCGCGAGGCCCGCGCCGCCGCCGCGTTCGTCCCTGCCGGCGGCGAGGGGAGGCTCCAGGGTGCTGCTCTTCCCTGAGGAGGCGCCTGCCTGTGCTTGTGCATGTGCGGTGGCAGGCCTGTGTGTCACGGGCGTGCGTCGGGTGGAGAATGCGGTAGACTTGTTTCACGGCAGGTCCTGTTGCTGTTTACGAAAATACACTGATTGATTGCATGGGTGCGAGGGGGGAGGGAGTTCATAGGTCTGGATGGATTGGGCAGGGGTCTCTTCGGCATTATCTGCATGCATGTTATATGCGTTCATGCATAGGTTTTACGGCGTTGGTTTTCTCCATCCGATGTTTTGGTCAGGGTTTGTCGGTCCGGACAAAGCGGGGGCTGTGAAATCGGCCTGGCCGATACGGAAGGCTTTTATGACGAGACATGAAGTTGTGGTTGTATATCAACATTTTTGCCTTCTCTCCGCAAGGCCGAGCAAGGAGCGACGGGAGCGTCTCCATGTATCGCGGCAGATGAGGTACCAAGCGATGTCTTTTCCCCCACCACGGGCTCTATCGTCCAACCATCACATACAGGAGGCCCCCACTAAAAATAATAACGATGGTGATGATGCTTGGAGATATCCTAAATGTTGATGAGCCTTCCCAATGCTGTACACCCGCTCGAATCCTAAAATAACTATTCCCATGCCGTCGTCCCGGACCGCTGTCGTTGACAGCTCCATGGTGTCATCCCCGGTGTTCTCACAAAGGTACGACGGCCTCACCCTTCGCCTGCTCCGAAGGGACTTCCCCACCAGGGCCGACTGGTGTGTTTTGGCTGGTTGATGTTCAAAAATCCCAATTTCCTTTTGCTTGCAACCACATACACCCCCGCCCGTCCCAGTGCAGTCGCACTGCCGGGTTCTTTATAGACAATTATCCACACAAGTCATAATTGTGTCACGAAAGAGCTCGCGTCTCTCGAATGGTCTGCCCTACTGGCTCTCCTACATTACAAAAAGGAGGTTCGTATCTAATCACGACAAGTATTGTTAGTATGGCCGAGTTTGCAATGGCCGTGCCGGGGGCAGGCACGGCGGCCGCTCCGTGTACTCACTAAGAGGGTGGCTGCTCGAGAGCTGGGGCCGCTGGCTGTATTTGCTGGCGAGCTCGTCGCGGATGCTGTTGAGGAGCTGGACGTAGCTCTGCTGCGGGTTCTTCTTGAGCGCGGTGATGAAGGCCCATGACATGGCGCCGGTTGCCTGGGCGGCAATGGTCGCGTCGGCTCTGTTGGCGTGTTAGCAAGTGTGAGCATGGCTACAGGAGAGATGAGAAAGAAGGGGATCGCGGCGGTCGATCGGCTCGCCAGAGGACTCCGCCTCTGGTATCCCATCCCGTAGCCGCCTGATCCGGATGACATGATGATTCGCAACACCAAAGGAAGAAAGAAGAAGAAATGTCAAGGCAATTGAAAGTAGATTCGGCGCATCAGGGGCGTCTTGGATGGGCGGCGCCATGATGCTGAGATCCCAGGCGCAGAAACGGCCATGACCCCTGTGCAACCAGGCAGACAACAGAAAATATCGAAATACGGCCGGCAGAGATACAGTAGATGGCAAAAATGATACGTACGAGGTCTGGTCATCCTTGCTACCCGAAAGCATAATGACGTCTGCGGGCGAGGTCTTTGTGGCCAGAGCACGGTTGTGAGCCTCCTCCCCGTTCGTGGCCTTCTTGAAGAAACCCATGCCCTTCTTGATCATGCCACCGATATCACCCTGGCTGTAGGACGCAATGACGCCCAGCAGGCCCTGGCCGGCCTCCTTGGCCAGGTTGGGCTCCTTGAGGATGCCCTGGGTCGAGTAGATGTACGGGAGGTCCAGGGCGGTGCCGGAGTGGCAGGAATCGAAGATTGCCGTCAGCCGGGTGCCGGGCTGTAATGGCTTGACCAATATCCTGTGCATCTCGTCGTCTGTGATGTGCCCGACCTGCCGGAAGTCGACTGGGTATATGACCTCGTCGTAGCCGTCCTCCTCGTCGCCGTCCAGATCCTTGGTCTGTCCACCGTGACCTGGCGCCCATGTTAGCAAAGCGGCCCGAGAAAGAAGCTGGGGCATGCGGGCGCACCTGAGTAGTGGAAGAACAACGAGTCGTTGGGGCGGGCGTCCTTGACAAGCCAATGCATGGCGCGCAGGATGTTCTGCTTGGTGGGCTGGCTCATGGGGTTCTGCTGGTCGTCGGTGAGCAGGACCATGTCCTCGCGCTTGTAGCCAAAGTGCTCGACCAGGTAGGCGGACATGTTGCGGACGTCGTTGATACACCCCCTCAGCTGGCCGCGCTGGCCAAAGTAGTTGATGCCGACGAGCAGGGCCTTCCGGCGGCCGTTGCACTGGGAGTACTGGAAGGCATAGTTGGTAGGGGCGCCGTGGCCGAAGTGCTGCGGGGCGGCGGGCGGCGGGCGAGGGCCATAGTCGGAGCTGGGGTGCGGTGCGTGGTCTGCGGGACGGACAATGTGTCAGAAGGGGGGCTGCCGTACATGGCACGGGGCGGGCCCCGGGCTCCGGGCTGGCCGGACGGAGGGGGTTGGGTGCTCACTTGGGCGGCCGTACTGGCCCTGGGGCGGCGCGTTGTAGCCGTACTGCTGCTGCTGCTGCTGTGGCGGGGGCTGTGGGACACGGGCACGGTCAGCTGTGGGGATCTGGGAGGTGGTGCGATGCCATGCGGCTCAGTGAGAGGTGAAGTCGTACGTACCCCGCCGTTGAAACCGTAGGGCTGGGGCGAGGAAGGATAGCCGTAGCCAGGCTGGGGCGGAGGGGCGTAGCCGTTGTAGTTCTGCTGCGGAGGACTGGTGCGCACAAGGCGGTGGTGCAATGGTCAGTGGAGAGTTCGTATGACAACAGAGGCAGACGCCTCGCGGGGGGGGGGGTCCGTACGGGTAGTAGCCCTGTGAGGGTGGAAAGGCTCCTGGCGGGGGCGCGCCGCCGTACGAGGCTTGATAGCCGGGATAGCCAGACATGTCAGGCGTAGGCTGGATGTCGGATGTGGCGGGGGGGGGGAGAGGGAGAGGGGGAGAGAGAGAGAGAGAGAGAAAGAGACACCGTCTATGCGCACCCTCTTGCAGAGCCGTCGAAAAGACTTGGAGGGCTGGAAGAGGGCGCAAGATGAGGCCAGGCGAGCCGGCGACGCGACGTGGGTGCGATGCGATGCGATGCGATGCGATTAAAGGGTGTAGTATAGGGCACGACGTCAGAGCCCGGCCTGGAGAGTCGGGTGGGTTTTTTTCTCGAGCGGGCTGAGCAAGTGCTGGGTGGGCAGGTGGGTTGGATATGGATCCCAGGGAGGGGCAGGGCGGGCGCAGTTAAGTCCTCAGGCAGGCGGGCAAGTGGTATGCGTACCGAGTAGTGGCAGCGTACACTCAGTAACGGTATCAACCTGGCCGGGGGAGGCAGGATTTATTCTATTCTCCCCGTGTCGTTCTCTCCCGTCTCGAAACGAACGTAACGGATGTATGTATACCTGGGTAGGTAGGTACGGTGACGCGGCGGTGAGGAAAAAGGGTTGGAGTGAGACAGGCACACAGACAGGCACGGCAAGATGGCGAAGAGGTTAAAGGTTAAAGGTTAAAGGGCAACGGGTAACGGGTCATTCAAGATCGCCTGGACCCAAGCCACCGTCACAGTGTGGGTGCCGCGAATAGAACCCACGGCCACTGCGACGGAACCACGACGGGGAACCACGACGGTCGTGTGCTCAGGCCGAGCCAGCAATGCCCACGAGGAGCCAAGGCCCTAGAAGGCACGGGGACGGGCAGGGCAAGGGGAGCATCACAGGTGGGGCACTGGGAAGGTGCTGCAGAAGGCGCAGCCATCTGTCTCTGTCAGTCAGTCTGTCTGTCTGCACTTGGTTGGGCATGGCGGCAAGACCACCAGCAGTGGAGCGGAGAGGAAACATGGCGGATCGCCCCAGGGCCCCGACGGAGGCAGTATGCAGTACATGATGTCCCGCCGATATCGTGTGGGGCACAACCTGCGTTGGATGTACCCTGTACCGGCCATACATATACTGTATGTAGTGTAGTGCTGAGACAAGTCCTCCACGCTGGGACGAGAGGAAGGAAGATCCTGAGAGCATCCAGCAATCAATTACCCAATGCAGCACGCACTGTGTCTCGGTGCTGACCTCGTCGCATGCCATTGTTGCGGGTGGTGCCCGGAGACATCAACGTCGATGCCATCATCCAGATATGCATCGGCTTTGCCCGTAAGGCGAAGCACTGCCCGCCTGCCCGCCTGCCCGCCAGTCTGTTAGTGCAGCCCGGCCATGCCATGCCCCCGCCGATCAACGCCGCAGCCGCCCAACAGCCTGGCCTGCCTGCGATCGACCTCATCTTTTTGTCTCTCCATCTAACCAGCCTCCACGCCTGCACGCCTGCAGCCTGCACGCCGTCCTAGCCGAGCGCCTCCTGGCCCTGCCAGATGCAACCACCCTTGACGGCCAGGCAATCTCAGACAGTCCTCCACGCCGTCGCTGTCCTCCTATCGTGCCCTTCTTCAGAGGCCCTCCCGGCGCCCCCGTCCCATCTCAGCTGTCTCTGCCTCGGTCGTCCATCTCGAATCTGGCCACTCCCCGACACTTCGAGCTCACCGAGACCATGGGTTTCCTGAGGTCAGCATGGGACCGGTGACACAGCTTCGCGGGAAGAGAAGGACAGGAAAGAAGAAGAAAAAGACTAATCGCGCGGCCCCGTCTGCGCCTGGCCTCGACACCTGAGTTGACTGGCAGCACGCCCGGCAGGACCAGCGCACAGCCTTCGGAGGCAGGGCGGCTCGGCTTGCCCTGTTCAGTCCGCAATCCCACTCGCCTGGGGAATAGCGCGGGAGTGCCGGCGTCGGCTGATGATGATGGCTGCTGTGCGCGTCGCCTCAACAGCTCGAGTGCGTTAACAAGCCAATGGCGGCGGCCCACACACCTCGCCTGTTCCTTCCTGCCGCCTGCGTACGTCCTTGGGGGCCATTGTCCCTTGTCTAAATTGTCCCTAGCCAGAGTCTGTGGTCTGCTTGTCTGGCACCTCTCGAGGAGCTGCTGTCGCTGCTACGCCGCCTCGCCGCCTCGCCGCCTACGACGTCCACGCTGCCCACACACTCCATCTATCACACCACTGCGGCCCGCGCCTGGGGAACCCATGCCCTTGCAATGGTTCGCTCCTCCCATCACACCCAACATTTACCGACTCTCTTATCTGCCCCGTCCACCTGCCACCCAGCCAGAGGGGGGCTAAACTTAGCCCACATCAGCCGCCTGCCCGGGGCGCGGTGCTTAATCTCGCCACCCAGCCTAGGCCCAGGCCTGTCAATCAGGATGGCTGCTTCCTCCGGCTGGAGTGGTGTGGAGGTGGTGGGGGGTTCTTCACCTGGCTCCCAAGCCGAGTGGCCGGCGGCGAGGTGCTCTACTGGCCTAGCTGCCTAGGTAGGCGATGCGCTCCCGTGCCACCAATGGGATATGGATGCACCGACACGTTAACACTTGGTCCAAGACTGGCGACTTGGCACCATTGGGCTGTATTCACTCGTCAGCGCCACTTTCTATGTATGTAATACAGCAGCCAATACCCAATTAGAGTTGGTTACATTCAATTGCGTAGAGTCCTTTCCAGATCAAGCCGCCAGGGTATAGTTCAGGATTTGCATGCACGAGGACACCAACATGTCACAGGCAGCTTAAAGGCCGTCAGTTTAATCGAGATGAGGTTCGTATATTAAAGCCTTAGGCGGATTTTAACTCGTGTTCACTTCGGGTACCGTATGCCAGGTGCTAATTAGTTGATTGGTTTCTATCTGTTGCTAGACTCGACAACGCCCAGCCGGGTGGTACTTGATCCAGGCGTCAACCTTCAGGGGGGCGGCCTCCCAGCTTGGGATCCTGCAGGCACTCCGAGCAGCCGTGCGAGCTCCGACACCAGCCGTGCCATCTCGAGATCCTGCTCGTAGACTTTGATCTGGGCTTCTGTGGCCTTGATGGCCTCCTCGGCGCGTTCCACCCAGCGCGCGGCCTGCTCGGACATGTCCCGGACCATCTCGAGCTCGTTCCCCAGCTCCTTGAGGCGGTCGACGATGTTGTCGCCCGGCGGACCAAAGAGCGGCTCCAGGTGGCAGAACTCCTTCACAAAGGCGTGCCTCTTGCGGAGCTCCTCCACCGAGGCGAAGATGTTCTCGTAGAAGTGGCGCTCGCGGCCCTTGACGTACTCCTCGGCGGCGGTGTCGAGGACGCCGCCCCCGCCTTCAGCGGCCTGGGCGGCCGGCGGCAGCCCGGGGGACTTGGTGCCGGACATCCTCTTTGCTCTGGGCCTGCCAGACTCGCCGCCGCAGACCGTTTGGTTGAAGCCGTCTTGGGATATGTACGAGTTCCCCAGCGTGGCGATGAGGATCTCCGCGATGGGCAGCTCCGTGCCGTTCCACAGGCGCGTGACGCAGCGGCAGACGTGCACCGGCTCTCTGCCCTGGAACATCATCAGGGACATGACCATGGCATATGCCCTGTTGACGCCATCGAGCTTTGTCTTCTGCCCGGTCTGGGGGTCGTACGCCTTGGACTGGTTCTGCAGCTCGGCAGTGCTCCCGACGCACAGCGGGCCCTGCAGGAGAGGCCTATTGCCGGACGGGTCGAGGGCGAGGCTCTCGTCCCTCCTGAGCTTCAGGCTCGCGACGAGCGCGCGCCAGCCGTCGAGGACATGTTTCTCGTTGCTCTTCACGAAGCGGGGCCCGTCCTCTTTGGCGTGCTGGCCAAACATGTTGTCGACCATGGCCACAAAGTCCCAACCCCTCTGTTCCTGATGCCCGGGGGCGACTCCTTCGTTCTCGTAGTAGGATATCGACGCTTCGATGTACCTCTCGAGGTTGTCTATCAGGGTGGTCAACTCTCTGGGTTTCAGCCACGCCCCATGGCGGTCGGCGACGGCGACGGCGACGGCGTACACGCCGTACCCCTGCATGTCTCGATAGTACTCGGGCCTGTCACGCGTGCGCAGGAAATCGTGCGCAAACGTGCCGAGCACAAGGGACTCGAGGACCTTTCTGGGGATGGTATGGAAGATTCGCCATATCGCAGAAGTCGGGTCACTCATCTCCTCGAGCCTTGTGATGTAGGCATCGCCTTGGTTCACGCCCTGGAGATATTTTGGGAGCCTCCGCGCCTCGTCCGCCAGCCGCTGGAACATCAGCCCCAGCTCGTAGTAGGACTTTCCCTGGAGCAGCGCCGTGGTCAGGGCGAGCCTGTTGCCAGACAGCAGAGGGACCTGCGCGGTGGGCTGGGGGTTGTTCTTGGTGATGGTGTCCATCGCGAATGTTGATGGTAATAGGTTGTTAGTCTGAGGGGGGATTAAACAGTGTCGAGGACTCAGTATCCAATTCGAGCAGTAGTTGGTCTCTGAACGAGCGCTGTGGTCTTTGCGTGGTTTGTTCAGAATTAGGAGGTGTGGTGTTTGCAAGCAAAGCGCGCCCCGTGGTTCACACGCGCTGGATTCCCAACCTAACCACGCGACACCGCACTGCAGAACAAGAACATCCTCACGCGCAAGCAAACTCAACCCAACCTCAACCTAATAACCACTTCATCGACCAATCATCCACAATGTCTTACCAAGAAATTATCGAAAACAGCCAGAACCTGGTCGAGATGCTACGGCTGCTGAAAGACTTCGCGGCCGAGCTCATGGAGACCGGTGGGCACGAACTCAACACCCACCTGCTCTCCAACTATACCTCGCAGATCGGGTTGATCCTGGACCATTGCCAGATCATCCGTGACAGGCTCAGGACGGCCGAGCACGAGTCGAACAGGCGGGAGGGCGAGCTCGACGGCCGGGAGCGCGAGCTCCAAGAGCTCCACCAGAAAGGTCGAAGGCCTTGTTCTCGAGCTCTCAACGGCTAACTCGACCGTGCAGGAACTCAAACGCCAGCGAGACGCGGGCGAGCGTGACAGGGACACCCTCATGGGCTCGCTGCAGTGTGCCCTCGGCAAGGTGGGACCCGTCGTCTCCCGCGAGCTCGAGTTTGCGCGTCGCGAACGGGCTGCCAACGAGGCTCTGCGCAAGAACGAGGACCTCGTCGACAGCAACAAGAAACTCCAGGCCGATCTTGCCCGGGAAAGGCAGGAGGTCACCCGCGCGCAAGAAGCACACCGGGCCGCCGAGATCGTGCTCAAGCAGGACCAGGAGGTTCTCGAGCGGGAAAAAAAGGACCTTGAAGCAGCTAAAGGCTGACTCGAGCAGGACAGAAGGGACCTTGAAGGTGCTCAGACCCGGCTCGAGCAAGACAGGGCCAGCCTCGAGGAGAGGCGAGGCCTGGTCGTGCAGGAGAGGACCGAGCTCGAGGAGATCCTGAGCTGGGTCGAGACGCAGGAGCAGAAGCGCCTCTCAGAGATCGCCAGGGCCGAGGCCGACATGGCCTTGCATGACGCACAATCTACAAGGCTGGAGGCCGAGGAGCTCGACCGCGACTCAGCCTCGCGCAGCGCGCTTGCTGACCAGAGGCTCGGTAAGATGCTGGAAGGACTTGGCACCTTGTCGTCTCTTCTTGCAAGTTCCAAGGAGAAGGACACACAGGCAGACCAAAACCTCGCCAAAGTCGCGACTCTGGTGCGCAAGGCCGGTGGCCTAGCACATCGTCTAGAAAAAGATGGAAATGAGGCTGCCAGGGACGCCGCGAACAGGTCGTCGATGACCAGCCCGAGGTCGAGCACCCGCGCCGCAAGCATCACCGTTCTCCTGTAGTTCTCTGCTCTAGCACCCGTATGAGGACTAACGTCACCCTTATCAGCAAGGCAGCATCAAGACGTGGCTACTGAGCTCGACTGTCAGCAGGGAACGCTTGAGGAAGGTCACATGGGACTTGCGGTTGGCCGTCCAGTAATGCAGGGGAGGGGACACGCCCTGGGCTAGGCTGGTCTGGGCAGCTATCAGCCAAGAATCCAATTCGCCTGACCGACCACCGCGAGAACCGTTGGTTTGAAGGATCTCTTCCCCGCCTGCACACATGCTGCTTCTTCGGTTTAAAGACGCCCGTAATTCGGCTGAAAGGCGCCCGTCGCCTCGGTGCAAAGGTGCCGTAGTTGGTGCTCAGCTCCGTGGTGTCTTGGCCGCGGCGTCTTGGGAGCCACCATCAGATATCTCCGGTTGGGGGACCTGTGACCATGGGATGAGGCTAGCCGAGCTAGCTGCGCGTTCTTGTCAGGGGTCCAGAACGCCGGGTGGGCCCATGGGATTGTTCCCCATGGGGATATTGCGGGGACTTTGGGGGGAGGGCGGCTAGTAGGAACTCGGTGTTGATTTGTGCGAGTTCACCTTGGTACGTTTGCTCAAGTGACAGGTGGTTGGTGGACACCCGCTTGGCGCAAAGTTTGGCAACTTGGCATGGAACACCTGGTCCAGACCACCGGGACGACCAGAGACAAAATGCAACATTTGGACGTGCTTATCTGCATCCCGTCTCCCCCCTCCTCATCCCTTCCGTGTGCCCTCTGGTTGAGCCTCATCTTGTCCCTCACCGGAGTCCCCTATCCTTCAAACCACCAGGCCGCCGCTGAGCAGGCCGCCAGAACCCGACACTTGCACCATGGCCGACAACGAGAAGGGGCAGGCCGAGTCCGTGGCCAAGGGGCCCGGGTCTGTCAACCAGGCCGAGTACGCCGAGTACCACACCGCGGACATGGCCCTCGTGGAGGCAGCAGCTGCGTCCAGCGAGGCCGAGACCAAGCTCCCCCGCAAGGAGCTCTTCAGCCGGTACTGGCCGGCCGCCGTCTACAGCATGCTCCTGAGCATGGCCCTGATCATGGAGGGCATGGATGTCGGCCTGATCAACAACTTCTTCGGGCAACAGGCCTACCTCAACAGGTTCGGGTGGCCTGATGCGAACGGCAAGCAGCACATCCCCAGCTCGTGGCAGGCCGCCATCGGCAACGGCAACAACCTGGGCAGCATCATCGGTCTCCTGCTGAACGGCTGGCTGCAGTCGCGGTTCGGGAGTCGGCGAGTCTACATGGGCGCCATGACTCTCATGGGCGCCACGATCTTCACGCTGTTCTTCGCCGTCAACGTCCAGATGCTGTTCGCCGCCAACATCCTGTGCGGAATTCCCTGGGGTATCTTCCAGTAAGCACCACTTCTCATCCGTCGTGACCCCCGGCCTGTGATGTTTTGGGAGGCTCTAGAGTGCGGCATCCTAGGATCCGGGGCAGGACTGACGTCGCCATCAGGACACTCACGACTGCATACGCCGCCGAGATCTGCCCTACAGCCATGCGGGGCTACCTGACATCCTGGGTGTCCATGTGCTGGGGCTGCGGCTCGTTCCTGGCGGCAGGAGTGCTGCGTGGCTCGCTGGGTCTCCCGGGGGACCTGGCATGGCGCGTGCCTTATGCCCTCCAGTGGATCTGGGTTGTCCCTCTGTTCATCGTCGGCTTTGTGGCCCCCGAGAGCCCCTGGTACCTCGTCCGCCGCGGGCGCCTCGAGGATGCCGAGAAGGCCCTGCGCCGCCTCGCGCGCAAGGGCCACTACACGGAGCAGACCATGGCCGAGACGCTCGCCCTGATGAAGCACACCAACGAGATGGAGAAGATCGAGGCGATGGGTGCGACTTACCGCGACTGTTTCCGCGGCACCAACCTGCGCCGGACCGGCATTGTCTGCATGGCCTGGATCATCCAGATCCTGAACGGGCAGGCCATCTGCTCCTACGCCACCATCTTCCTGCGGTCCGCCGGCATGCCGCAGGTCCAAGCCTTCAACTACAACATGGGCATCCAGTCCGTGAACATCGTGGGCACGGCGATCGCCATTTCTCTGATGGGCAAGGTTGGGCGTCGGATCTTCTTCTTCTACGGGTCCTCGAGCATTGGCCTTCTCATGCTGGTCATCGGCATCATGGGTTTCGTGCCGGGCGCCAAAAACGTCGCCATCGCCGTGGCGGTCGTCCTGATCCTGGTAAACCTGATCTTCAAGCTCTCGCTCGGCCCGACGACCTACACCATCGTGGGGGAGATGTCGTCGAGCCGTGTGCGGGCGCAGACGATTGTGCTCGGCCGTGCCATGTACGTCGTCGGCCAGATCATCCTGCAACAGCTCAACCCGCGCATGCTCAACGACAGCGCCGACGCGTGGAACTGGGGCGCCAAGGCTGGTATGCTGTACTTTGGGCTGTGCTGCATCTGGGCCGTCTGGATCTTCTTCTTCCTGCCCGAGACCAAGAACCGCACATTTGCCGAGCTGGACTACCTGTTCCAGAAGAGGGTGCCGGCGCGCCAGTTCTCCTCCCACCCTGTTCACTGTAAGCCAACACCATCTCCTCTCCTGACCGGTTCCTGGCGAACGAGCCTTGCTGACGCTTGATGAATATAGTGTTCGAGATTACCGTGCCGGGCGAGAAGTAATCGCCTTGGCTGCGAGACGGGTAGAAGGTGGATCGCTGTTGTCAATATTCTTGGGCTGTAATACCACTGCGCAAGCCGTTGCAGAGCGATGTAGACTATCGTGTGTTCATGCTGAGCGCCTGACACCCTATTGAGCAGCAATACCATATTACCTTTTAGACTTTGTGTGTGCCCCTTTGATGGATCTCTGATCGGTAGGCCCGTGTCCGCTCCTGCGGGGTGAACCCACCACCTTGTCTGTTGTCCTGCTTGTAACACGCATGGCAAAGTTGCATCCCAGGCCAGCACGTGCTCGCCGTTGTGTAGCCTGAACGGGATGGCCAGCCAGCCTCGTTAGCAGCGTGAGTGGCTTTGGATTTGTGACAGGAGCCCAAGCAGTGGACAGTGGCCACGCAGAGCTAGGTGGTGGCCGGTGGCCGGTTGTAACTGTTGTGTCATGGGAGGGCGGGTTGAAAAGGGGTTGAGCGTGTGTTGTCTTTGTCCACGGTTGTTTGAGTGACGGAGCTGAGGTGATGCAGGCCAGAAGAACCCCTGTCAGGCGGGCGCCCTCGTGTCACTCACTGGCTGGTGGGGCTTCTGACCCAGATCACCCTGCCGAACGCTAGAAGCACTGATCCCTGCTTGAGCTCAGGTCAGACAGGGCTAGAAGGCTGGCCCACCAGGTGGGCGGGACCCGCCTACGTCGACTGTCAGACACGCTTCCGGCGCGCCCAAAATTTAGGGGAGTGGTACACCCATCATCAGCTTTCAACCTCACCGGCCGTCCTCTTGTCTGCGCATGTCCACGTCAAAGCCTCTCACAGCACCAACCCTCTCGCCCACCCGTTTCCTAGCTTTGCACGCCCTTCGTGACCCCACCACCCTCGCGAACCACCCCCAAAGGCTCGCATCTGCCACCTCCTTTTGACGGGCAACAGACCGAACGAGAAGAGGATCGCAGCCGTCCAGAGTCACCCCAGCCTCCCACCCCCGGCTGTATCTGGTGACTTTGTCGCGTTCCCGCTCCCCCCCCCCCCCGAGGTGCTCCTCTCGTGCGATGGACTAACCTTGCCCGTCACACAAGAGTCTCGCATCAGTGTGGGCGGACACAGGCAGTACCTCAACCGCCTCGACTGCCAGAGGGACAAGAACGGCGATGGCAACTCTGCACTCGAACGGCGGCTTTGGCTCTGGCGGTGCAAACGGAGCAGCACACGGCCAGGGCGACCCCGGCTTCAACCCCGGTGCCAACGGCGACATCGTCCCCAGGATCCTCGCTGCCCTCGAGGTGGTCTACAACCCGAGATCAGCAAATCAGTCCCGCATCGAAGCGCAAGCTTTCCTCGAGCAGGTCAAGTCCCTGAAGGAGGGCCCGTCGCATGGCTTCACCCTCGCCTCCGACAAGGCGCAGTCGCCCATTGTCCGATACTACGGCCTTTCGCTCCTCGAACACTCCATCATCCACAAATGGGCCGAGTACGACGACCAGGAGGCTGCCTACCTGAGGGGATGGGTGCTGGAGCTCGCCCAGCAGGCCTCGAGGGACGACCCCCAGTACGTCCGGAACAAGATCGCGCAGCTCTGGGTTGAGGTCGCGAAAAGGTGCTGGGGGGCCGAGTGGATGGACATGGACCAGATGCTCATGCAGCTCTGGCAACTGCCTGGGTTTGGCGTGCACAAGGAGTTCGTCTTGTCCGTGCTCGGCTCGCTGTCCGAGGAGGTCATCGGCGGGGACGACCCCATTGTCGCCGTGCGCGAGAATGTCCTGGACAAGGCTGTCGTTGACATCTTCATGCCCGTTTCTGTGCTGGCCGAGGACTTCCCCAACCGCGAGGCCGGCCCGCCCGTCCGCTATGGCTCCGACGGCTGGCTCCAACGGGCGGTCAGCCTGCTCGGCGAGGCTTTGGCATCTGACATACAGGGCAACGAGGAGGTGCGGTCGAGCGCTGTCAAGGCGCTCGGGCTGCTGACCATCGTCCTTCCGTGGGCCTTCCCGAAATCCGTAATCGCCGCGAGGACTGTTCACTATCTCTACGAGGGCCTTGTCGCGCCTCACGTCGCTGTCCAAAAGGTGCGCTGTCCGGCCTGTTGCACTGATGTACCGAGCTGATCTGTCCAGGCGACCCTCGAAGCCCTGCATGCGCTTTACTCCCGGAGCAACTTTGGCGATGAGCAGTTCTCGGCCCTGGTCTTGCCCATGTATGACAAGCAATGCGTCGAGCGCTTCTCCCAGCTGTTTGCGTGGTCTACAGTAGACGCCGATGACATTGACGACGACAAGTACCTCTTCGCCAAGAAGTTTTCAGAAGTAAGTGCACACGTCCTACGTCGCAAGCTATGGAGACCCTGACATGCCCAGACGATATCTCACCTGGGCAACTACCTGGACAGGAAGTTCAGCTTGATCCCCTCGAGTGCCGACATCCAGCCCTTCCTCGAGTTCCTGCTCCAGGTCGTCCAGAGCCAGAGCCTCGTCGTTTCGATACCAGTGCTCGTCACCTGGACCAGGCTGCTCAGCCACAGGGCGCTGGGGCCGTCGATAGTCAAGACACGCCTCGTCGGGCCATTGCTGGAGCTGTGCAGCGCCAGGCTGGTCCGCTACGAGAGCCTGCCGGAGGAGACTTCGGACCCTACGCTGGTCCTCTTGATGGAAGATACCGACACGATCCCGGAGCGCCATGCCTTCCTAGGGAACTACAGGCGCTATAGCTCTCAGGTGATCGAGAGCATCGTGGAACTGACGCTCTCGGATGCCATCAACTACATCCTCGGGCAGACCGACACTGTGTTGCAGCACCTCTACGACGGGCAGCCGCCGACCAACCCGGCAAACTATGTGAAAAGCTCCATGGCCTATCTCCGTGTCGATGCACAGTTCACCGTGATAGAGTCCGCGCTCAAGGGCTACGTGAGGTCAAGACCGCCCAAGGGTGCCGACCTGCAGCAGGTCGAGGCGCAGAAGGCACAGCTGGACGAGCACCTTGAGGCGTGGTGCAACCGGCTGATCGACATGAAATTCGAAGACCCGCTGATCCAGAAGCGACTCCTGCAGCTCTTGGTTGCCTTTTCCACAACCGCCTTGAGGAAGAACAACGGGTTCATGCTCAAGGTGCTGGAGCACATCCTGATGACCTGGCCCGCGACCCACCCCGAGCACAGGGCGTTCAACGAGGCGATCAAGGATCTCCAGGCCGAGAGCCTGAACGAGCTCCAGCGGCTGGCCTTCAAGATGCCGGACAACCTGCTCGGCGTCTATGACCAGCTCGAGGCCAAGATCAACGAGATGAGCGCCTCGGGGACGCTGGACGAGCGGAGACTGGTTAATTACAAGACGTTTCTTTTCATCATCATCCATCGCGCCACCAACATTGACCAGTCAACCCGCATCCAGCGGCTGCAGGCCTTTGTCGAGCCGGTCAAGGCCCAGTGGAGAGACGAGAATCTGAAGCGCGCCCTTGCATCATACGAGGGCTTTTGCGAAATGACCGGGCTCGACAAGGCGCAGAGATATCTGGCCAGCCACCGCGTCGATCAGATATCAGACTGGGGATCTGTCGAGCTTGACGCCGAGGGCGCTGCCCTACAGGCTGAGCTGGAGGAGCGACAGCAGGTAAGCTTGGTGTGTCCCCCCGCCTGTGTGGTCTACTCTGATCCTCTCGCAGTTCTTGCCCCTGCGCGCCACAAAATCCTTCCTGAACTACTCCGTCGACAAGCTCGAGAAGTCCTCGCCGTCATACCAGGCGTCGTGTGCCCTGTGGCAAGACAGCTTCCCCATCATACTCCCTGAGCTCCTCCAGTTCCTAAGGTGAGCTGCCATCCCGAGCCCTGCCAGTCCTGCCTGCTAACCCCGGCGCAGCCATGCGCACGCGTCCGCCAACCCCAGCAACTGGACGCTGCTGCCCAGCGAGATGCAGTCCATCGTCGGCCGGGTGCTCACGGACAGATTCTGGCAAGCCGGCATTTCTGAGGGGAGCAAGGATGATTTCTACGCCAGGGTGATCAACAAGAAGAACACCCTGGAAGGCCTGGCATCGTCCATCCGTGGCCAGATCCGCTACATCCGCGAGTTCTGCTACTCGGTCATCTTCTGCATGAGCTGCCTCGAGCAGCAGTTCTACGGGTTCGAGGAGCTCCCGAACCCGCTGGCCCACGCCCTGTTCGCAGACTCCCACTGCCTGTCCCCCCACCAGCTCATAGCTCTCCTCAACCTGGTGAGGCTGCTGGTGGACATGTGCCCTGTCGAGCTCCGACATCACTTCCTGCCACCGATACTGGCGGGCTGCTTCCAGCGGATGGACGCAAAGATCAAGTCGGAGTGGGACAAGCTGGAGCAGGCGGGGAACATCCAGGCGGCTGCGGACGAGCTGACCGAGGAGATGAAGGCGGAAAGCGTCCTGCGCCAGCTGACTTACTCTGCGGTCATGATGGTGGCGGACTTTCTGGACCCCGCGAGGCTGGGTGAGTGACCGACTACTGGCTCTCCGCCAGGGTTTTCCCGTGCCTAGCTGACTCTATTCTACAGACGCACCCCCAAAGAACAAGTCCCAACCCGAACACGGGGCTGAGCATGTCCCTCAACAACCTTCCCTGCGCAAATTCTGCTTGATGAACTCATCCATCATCGAGCCGCTTCTGGTCTTTATGGCCCACGCCATCGTCATGCATGACGGCAGGTGTTGTGGGGTTGTGCTTCGGGTGTTCCGCTCAATAATACCCGAGTTCCGGAGCATGAACGCGCCACAGGCGGAGGCGGCGCCCAAGCATGCATCCACTGCTGACAACTTCCCCATTCCCGAGGACACCGCGAATGCCGTGAGGGAGTTTATCTCGACGGACGTTCTGAAGGCGTGTATCACGTCGCTGCACGACCCGTACTTTGTGGAACTCCAGAGGGAGCTTGGGAACGTCATGGCAGCGATAGTTTCCAATTACAGCCCGGTCACACAGACGCCACGGGAGGTGCTGTGCTCGCTCGGTAGTATCAAGCATGGGGAGGTTGATGGTTGCATCGCCAACATTGCCCGCGCGACAGCCAACCCCCGGCAGCAACGCGGGCACATCCTCGACCTGCTCAAGGATCTCAAGGGGGTGAGCATCTCGGAGATGGGCAAGGTGCAGAAGAGCTCTGACCCCTCGGTCTTCAAGAAGAAGTCGTCAGGCCGCAGCAAGATGGCCCAGGAGTTCATGACCGCCCCAGCCTCGAACGGCAGGGCCCCGAGGCGGGACTCACCGGACCTCAGCGGGGTTGCGGGCCTGTTTGACAGCTGAGGGCCGTATCCGGTTTCGCACGTGGGGGATTGGCGAGAGAAGTGGTGTGGGAGGGGCCAGGGGCGGCCAGGGGCGGCGACTGTCGTCTGAATTTCCTCGCGCGCCCTCTGCCCGGGAATCTCTACGTAGCGATTTGTGTAGCTAATTTTACAGTTGGCAGTGCTGGCGACTGTGCCGTCGTCGGGACTCCGAGCCAACCTTCTCAGCGATTCTTGGGCGCCCCGGCATCCTTATCACGGTGCGATATACGGGCAATTTGGTGGCTAACCGCATGTGCTCGCCGAGTCTGCGTGCACAGAGGGCTGTGCTTGCTTTTTTTTTTTTTTTTTTTGGTCTTGCGCGGAGACCACATCTGCGCTGCTGTCCCTGGGATCTCACGCCATCTCCTTATCGCACCGGTAGTGACCTGGGCCCTTGTGCGCTCGCGGGGAAGCCATAGGCCCACTGTGCCGCCCTGTGCGACCCACTGTTGACTGCCGCAGAAGGACGGCGATTATTCCCTTGTGGGAGTGACACTGGGCTGCAAGGTGCCATCGCCGGGATGCCTGAGAGCAAAAGCAATGACCCCGGCACTGAAGCCGGAGTTTGCCGAGGGGGGAAACAACAGGCGAGAGGCGCTCGCGACATCCTGTCTGTTTGGGCTGGTCGGTCTGGGGGCACACGGAATACCGCGACGGTCGACAGTCGACAGCACCACGACCAGGAACGGATCTCACCAGATAGCCCTGATAGCCTCAGCAGCGCGACCCCCCGTTGCCCGCCTCGCCGGCGATCAAACGCGCTGTGCTGGGGAGGCTGCCACGGCCATGGATGTTGGGGCGAACAGGTCGAATATTGCCGTTTCATCCCCATGTGTTCACGAGCCGAGCCAAGCCAGGAAAGGTGCTCGGTTGGCCGACCCGTGTGGCCTGGCAGCCTGGTGAACCATTGGATGCTCCCGCAGCAGCGGACCAATTGCCAGGCCCCTCTGCGGCCACCCGGCGAGAAGCCACATGCGAGATCTTGGACGCTACGCTGCCGCATTCCAGATCGCTGGGTTGTGCAACGCCGGGCTCTGCTTTTTGTTTATCGTGCATGCTGCAGACGTCAACTGACTTGCGCGCTTACCAAGGCCCGCAGGGGCGGCGCAGGCCGTCACGTCGCGATGGGGCGATGAGGCGACGGGTCGGCAGGGGCGGCAGGGCGGCAGGGCGGCATGGCGGCATGGCGGCATGGCGGCATGGCGGCATGGTGATAAGACACAAGACGACTGCACATCACAGACGACTGCCCATCACAGTAGCACGTCCTGCCACAAGAGGAGAGATGTGATGACCCTTGCGCCCCGCGCCAGCATCTCCCACATGTGCCTGATGGGGACGTTGGGGGCGTTGGCAGGCTGGTGGTTCTCCCCGGCCTCCACTCACACCCGTGTCAGGCGTGCAGGCGTGCAGCGCGTGGTGGAGCGGTGGAGCGGTGGAGCTGGGCCGTCGTCGGCTGTGGAACTGCTGTGGTGGAGCTGGTGGAGCCGGCCATCTTGGTCGGGGAATTTTCATCATCACAACACGAAGCGAAGGCCAGAGCAACGCCCGATGGCACGTCCTGACTCTGGCCTCTCACCCTTTGAACCCTTTTTCGACGTCGTGCGGTCTCTCTCCCGGTGGGCCCGCACAAAAGTCTACTGTGAAGGTTACCGGTTCTCATGGCACCGGCTGCCCCCGGCGGCTGTGGTCGTCTGGTTGTTGTTCGGACGCATACAACGGCGCTCGTCACTTCCAGGCTGGGGCAACGTCATGTTTCCCCCGACTGCGACCTTGTTAGTCGTGAGGCTCGGGAGAGGCTGCCAGCCAGGGGCCTCACCATCGCGCTTGGCAGCCGCCATTTGTTTCGACTGGCTGTCAAAGCGCAAATGTCGGTTCTTGCCCGATCAGTGATCGCATCTGTCTCTTACAGCTCCCTGCCAGCCAGCCAGCCCGGCCTGGCCTGTCTGCCAGTCCTCCCCACTTTCTCCCGCGCACCAGAAGCAGATGCTGGGCCAGGCACGCCAATGAGGAACAGTCAGGCAATCAGGTACCGGGGATCACCTCCTAGTGCGTGAAAGGGCCCAGCAGATGCCAACCAGCCTAGCCGGCATCCACCTACTATGCGGGCCAGTTGGCGCTGTCACACAATGTCCTGCCTGGCGATTTGGCCTCGGAATAGCATCCTCGGCGGTGGCTGCTCCCCCTCCGAGTCGCCACAGCTCGATCACTCTCGGGAAGTCAAGGAGCAGATCGAACTGTATCGCCCCTTGGCCTGACCCGCCCTGCTTTCTCGGCCCAACCTTGCGGCAGCGCTACTGTTGTCAGGACCGTGCCGCGGCCCAGAGATGGGCTTTTTGCTTTTCCTCTACCGTGGTACACACAGCTGCTCCGAGCGCGACGCCTCCACCACGACATTGGCACCCGGCGCCCAAGGGACCAAGCCTTGCAAGCCTCTCAGGGAGCGCGGGGCAGCGGGGACGATGGGAGGGGGCCCACCTCGCCGGTGCCATGGGGGCGCTGCACTGCTTCACGGGCTAGTCGTCCGGGGAGCTCGTCGGAGCCGGGGATATCCTTACCCTCAGAGATGCAGGCCTCCTCGCTCGTCAATGCTACCATGCTACATAATGCCCATGAGATGCCCTCCATCGTTTCAGCCCTCTTTCTGATACAGTTCTGTCTGAACCATCTCTTGAGGCATCCAGCAGCCTGTCCGTCGCTCTCACACCCCCTCGGACCTGACCGCTCGCGCGCTGTTGTGCTCCCTACCTAGGTACCTAGGCCGCATTGCGCTCCATTGACCAGCCCGCCCGTCTCGTCCCAGTGCAATTTCCAAGCCCAGGTCCAGGCCGCATTAGCCTCGCATATCTCTGTATTCTCCTGCCCTCTTTGCCCGGGGTCGGATCCGGCGCCACCAGCCAGCGCCGTGCCGAGAGACATGTGCGTGAAGGCCCGCTGGTAGTCCACTACTACTTCGTCCTATCATCTCTGCGTCGATCGAAACAACCACACTGCCCACTCCAGACGGCCCAAGAGGAATCCTCGGCCTTGGTCCCCCAATCCCCAAGACATCCCCGACTTGTGCCATTCCTGGTGTCTGGCGCTCGTCCTCCTGCACAACTCCGTCCCACTTCTCACGGACTCTGGCTCCTGGATCCTTCAACTTGCATCTCACCACCGATCTGTGGGGTTATCTGTTTCTGGCCTATAGCTCACTCACGAATGATCGCCCGTCAACGACAAGTACGGTCAGTTTCAGTGCACTCATTCGCCGCTCATACTCCGTCGATCGCGCACGCCCCTGCTTGAGACGTACCTTGGACCGGCGACGGCACGCCATCACCGCGAACTGCCGTTGTTCAACTCGAGGCGTGGCCCCCATCTGTCAGAGCCGGGAAATATATACAATCCCTTGCCGTGCCAACGCTATATCCTCCTTGTTAAGTACTGGCTGGAGACCCGAGCACTTGGATATTGCAGAGTCCGGCCAATCTACCTGGGAGTTATCCTGTGCTGCTCTCAGACCGAAAAAACACATCTCAACGTCACCCGCTTGGACGCGGTAACCCGTCATCATGGTTTATTGTGGGAAGCCCTCAAGGGGCTGTCAGATGTGCCGTACAAGAAGGATAAAGGTTGGTTCGCTCTTTGGCAATCAGCGCCACAGTCCCACTTCTCTCCGATCCGAGACCCCCCTCCCTCCCCCAGGGAAGGGAAGATACGCTCCGGTGCTGATGCAGACGATCCAATCTAGTGTGACGAGGCAAAGCCGACATGCAACCAGTGTGCCAAGTCACGACGGCAGTGTCCTGGCTACAAGGACGAGTTCGACCTGGTGTTCCGCAATGAGACCAAGGCCACCGAGAGGCGGGCGCAGAAAGCCAACAGGAAGGGCTCGGTCGCCTCGTCGTCGTCGGACAGGAGCAGCATGGTCGGCTCCCCGTCGTCGATCGAGTCGCTGTCGCCCATCGCCAAGGAGTTTGTCCGGTCACCGAGCGGCGAGAGCATCTCGCCACTACTCAGCATCCCCACCGACCAGTTGGCCTCATGCCACTTCTTTTCCAACTTCATCCTCGTGCCGCGGCAGGGCAGCACCAGGGGGTTCATGGACTACCTGCTGCCCCTCATGAAGTCGGAAAACCAGAACAGCCACCTCCAGCACGCGTTCAACGCCTGCTCTCTGGCCCACCTTGGCAACCGTGTGAGGTCAACCTCTGAGGATATCCCGGACAAGGCGCTGTCAGAGTACACCAAGGCCTTGGCGGCAACACACACGGCGTTGAAGGACCCAGAGGCCTCGAAGACGGACGGCACGCTGGCGGCGGTGCTACTGCTGGGGCTGTATGAGGTGAGTCTGCGCCGCCCCCTGTTGAACGTTCCCCGTTGAATGTTGAGAGAGATGCACGGCAGTGCTGACCCGAGCCGTCCCGGCCGCAGAACATAACGGCAAAGGAGATGGGCATGTTCTCCTGGGGCTCACACATCGAGGGGGCCATCTCGCTCGTGAAGCAGCGCGGGCGCAAGCAGCTGCGGACCAAGACGGGGCTGCTCCTGTTCATCGCGGTGCGCACGCAGATGATCATCCACACGCTGACGTCGGGCAAGGCGCCCATCATGGGGGTGGACTGGTGGATCAGCGACGCGGTCAAGGACTCGAGCGCGGCCGAGTGCCAGAAGATCAACATCAAGACGTCGGAGCTGCGGGCCGAGGTGACGAGGCTGATGACGACGGTGTCGCGGACGCCCGAGAACATCGAGCTGATGCTGACGCTGATCCGGCGGGCGCAGACGGTGGACCGCGAGTGCGTGCAGTGGATGAAGAACGTGCCCGACAGCTGGGCGTACAAGTCGGTGGCGTGGGAGGACAGCGTGCCCAGCGGCGACTTCAGCAGGGCCGAGGTGTTCCCGGGCCGCGTCGACGTCTACCGCGACTTCTACATCGCCAGCGTGTGGAACATGGTGCGCGTGACCCGGCTCGTGCTGGCATCCGTCATCGTGCGCTGCGCCGCCTGGGTGTGCTCGCCCGTCGACTACCGCACCACGCCCGAGTACGCCACCGCCGCGAGGACCTGCGTCGACACCATCACCGACATCATCGCCAGCGTGCCGTACCACCTCGGCTGGCACCTCAAGCCCGAGCGGAAGCACCTCCTCGAGAAGCAGCTGAGCGGCTTCGCGTGCGGCGACGACGACTCGCTCAAGGGGCTGGCCGGGTACTTCCTCACCTGGCCGCTGGGCTGCGTCCAGAGCCAGGACTACACGACCGACGCGCAGAGGAGCTGGCTGAAGGGGAGGCTCAAGTACATCGCCGACGAGCTGGGCGTGAAATACGCACACATCCTGTGCCAGGTGAGAAACTAACCCCCCCCCCCCCCCGGCGCCGCTGTAACGCCCGGAACCACCTTGCTGACGCCAACACCCAGCTCAACGTGCGCATACCCTCCATGCTGATCCGCAGGGACGGGCTCATGGCGCAGCCGTACCCCATGGCCCACAACTTTGTCAAGCTCATGTCGGCCCGGTACGCGCCCCCGACAGCCGGCTACACGATGAACCCGCTGCAGCAGCGCGAGGCCATGATGAAGGAGCAGTTTGAGAGCAAGCGCAAGGAGCTCCTCCAGAACGCCACCAACAACACGGGCGGCGGGGTCGAGTATGTGGCCAAGAGCTGGCTGAGCGTCTGACGAGGGCCAAACCGCCTCGGTGTCTACGATGTTCGATATGTGTACCCTGGATGACCTCATGGGGCTGTTTTGGGTGTGTGAGGTAGTTCTGTTCTGATGCATGTCTCACGGCATTTCTTCTTCTTGCACGGCCTGGTTTTGGAGTAAGTTTTGTTCTTTCCCCGCCCCGGACGAGGGAGCATCTCAAATGTCCTTGAGGACGCCCGTGGTGGGAGAGTTCCCCGTCGGTACCCACGAAGGGCTCACACTAGAGGGCGGGCATACTCTACGCGGGTGAACCGTTCCTGAGAGCAACTGCTAGGCTAGCCTTGGAGGGCAGGCAGGATGAAGGAGAACCCCTGGGAAACCGTCTGCATATGGGTTGGAGTTGCTTTGGGCTCACGTAGTCGGTCTTTGTCCTTGAATGAATGACCGCTCGATCCACAAATAAATACATGTAGTGTTGTTGGCTGCATCTGCCGTCCCACACAGGAGTCAGGCACGGGGGATTCACACAGATCGATCTCGTCTGTAACACTCAATGTCTTATCCCCAAGGTTTGGGAGTTAAACGCACACTAGCACCGACGAGCTTCCAAAGCACGGCACTAGCAGTCGTGGGCGAGTGGATAAGGCACTCGCGCCTATGCTCCGTTCCCGCAGTGAAGCCCCGTAGGCTCATGACTACTCCGATTCGGGCTTGTGACTACTCCAGGAAACACATCGTGAAATCATCGAGACCAGTTTCCAAACGGGCCGGCCTGCATTGCTCCTCAACTGGATTCTCCATCCTGCAAGACGTCCAAAACACCCATTTGGACGTTGGGTAGCCGCACCGCCGTGAGATTCCGAGGGACCGCCCCTGGACATCAAAGACGGGTCTCCAGTGCCCGTCTCATTTGTTCTTCTTGCCAGACTTGTCCGACGACAAGTTCCAGGCATTGACGACCCAGCGCTGGGTGGCATCGACCTCCCTCTCGTTCTCGACATGCTTAAGGCCGACCTTTACGCCATCCTTGGTCCAGACGACGTTCTTCTTGCCCATGCGCTCCGACACACTCCCGCTCATCTTGTTGGCGCTCTGATAGACGTGGTAGCCCACGAAGACGAGGACAGCCACGACGACGAAGAGGATGACCAGAGGGAGCAGCTGGCTGTGGTTGTGCAGTCGGGGCACAGGTTAGCTTTTGGGCAATGTGACGTGTGACGGACGAGGCTGGGCGGTGGGGGCGAGAGTGACTTGCCCAAGCAACGAAGGGGGAGGCTTTGGCTTTGACTTTCCCCAGGCCATGATACCCCGGTGCGCTGTTCAATGGGCTGGTGCTGGCTGGGATTGACTCGAGAGGTTCGGCCTGCGGTCCAGGTTCCCCCCGTGGCTCCGTACAGCGGATGCACAGTTGCCCAGGTGTCAAATGTGGGTTTCGGAGAGGATCGCCAGGGGATCGGACAGCGACGAGGACCCGAGGGACGGCGTTCCGATTCGACTGATGGAGAAAGGTGATGGATCCACCAAGCAGCAGCTGCTGCAACAACAACAACAACAACAACAACAACGGCGGCGGCGGCGGCGGCGGCGGCAGTGACAACAACAAGCTTCTCACAGAGACTCGGCAACGACTCCTACGAGGCAGGATTGAATATTCAGCACTTGAGGGTGCCCAGGGCCGACCAAGGTACGGGAACTGTCTTGGATGCTGTGTCCTCGGAACTTTAGAAAGCAGAACCGCATCGACAGGGAGCAAGCCTGCCTTAAGTAAATAGCTGCTGTTCTTCTATGGTACCAAGGCCTGTCACACGGCTAGTCGGCTCAGGGCGCCCAGTGCCAGCCACGCCTGTCAGGCAGTCAGGTCGGCCAAGGTGGCTGAAGGACCCCTGGGAGATTATGAGGGGACCTTGCTTTTCTCAGGCCCAACTGAACAGGGCCCTCGTGCCCCGCCGGCCCTCCGTTGGAGCTTGGGCCAGTGCTGGCTGAGACCCCGCATCTGCTGAGCTGCACTGCTGCAGTGGCTGCAGGCCTTCAGGGCCTTGCGAGGCCTTGGTATGGCGCCGCTACCACAGTAATCCCCTGCTGTCTTAGCACGTAGCCCGGTGTATCCCTCCGCACGTGACCCATCACATGAGCCTGGCCCGGGAGGCTCCGCCGCGGCGCTGCCTCTCCAGCTGGCTGGTAAGGCCAGCGCTCGAGGCTGGCTGGCTGGCTGGCTGGCTGGCTGCCCAGTGCACACTGCGCAGATGACGCCGGTTGCTAACAAGGTGTCGCTGCCAACAGTCAGGGTCAGGTGTAGCATTACCTAGCCTCACCCTCACCTCGGGAGTGTTGGTCTCAGACTCATAATCGGGCTTGGGCTGGCTTGGTCGGACTCGACCAAGAGACATTCTGTCCTCTTTTGTCCTGTCTCAATGGTCCTTGGCCCGGCTCTTCCACCTGTCCTGTTCCACCCACTCGGTCGCGGGTCTTCCAAGGCCCATCTGTCCCGGCCCCAGCGCAGCTTGTCATTGCAGGCCCCCCACCCCAAATAGGAAAAGGCCAGACCTCCAGAGCTGCCACCTAAGTACCTGCCAACGACGACCAGAGCTTCGCCAGCTCCTCCACACCACCCCTCGACACCCACGACGGCGCCCTTCCGTGCCACACGCACACGCACACACTCACGCCCACAACTCACACACTCACAACCCGATCAAGGGCGGCGCCTCGTTTCTGCTCAGTCCAGCAACAAGATTCTCTCTGCCAGACACTGCCAGGAATCGTTGGTGCGGCTGAGCATCTGTCCTGTCCTCCACCGCCTCCCCCGGCGCGATCATGTCGGCACCCAACGACTACGGCCAGCAGGCCGCCTTCCAACAGGGGCAACAGGCGCCTTATGCTGATGATGGCCAGGCCTACGGGAACCCGGCCGGCTCGCCTCCCCCTCAAGCGAGCCAGCAGCCTGGCGAGGGAGGAGGCAAGAAGAAGAAGAGGGCCTACGCTGCCCAGGCCTTTGATGTCGGCAGCGGCGCGAATGCTGCCGTGGGCGGCCAGCTCCCAGGCGGCGGCCAGTTTGGCACCCCCCAGCCCGTGGCTGCCGGCTACGGCTACCCAGGCCAGGACGCACAACCTCAGCCTGCACCGTACGGTGCTGCCCCACAGACGTACGGCTCGCCGGCTCCTGCCACCCCGGGCTTCCAGCCGCCCGATGCTTACGGCGCTCCCGCGCCCGGCGTGGGCGGCATCACGCAGGGCATGGCAGGCATGCAGATGGGGCCGGGACCGGGACAGCCAGCGCCGCAGCAGATGCCTCCCCAGGCGCAACCGCGCATCGGGCCCCTCAACCAGCTGTATCCGACGGACCTCTTGAACCAGCCCTTCAACGTGTCCGAGCTGGACCTCCCGCCTCCCCCGATCATCCTGCCCCCGAATGTAGGTCTACCGCCTGGCCCCCGTGCGTGCCCCTCGCAGGAGCTGACCCGGACATAGTCCAGCTGCACTCCCTCCCCGGAGGCGAACTGCCCGCCAAAGTTTATCCGATCCACGCTCAACGCCGTGCCCACGACGCACTCCCTCCTGAAGAAGTCCAAGCTGCCCTTTGCCCTGGTCATACAGCCATACACGTCGCTTCACGACCTGGACGACCCGGTCCCCGTCGTCCAGGACCAGGTCATCTCGCGCTGTCGGAGATGCCGGTCCTACATCAACCCATACGTCACCTTCCTCGACCACGGGCACAGGTGGCGCTGCAACATGTGCAACCTCTCCAACGACGTCCCCCAGGCCTTCGACTGGGACGCGGCGGCCCAGAAGAGCGTCGACAGGTGGCAGCGGGCTGAGCTGAACCACTCCGTCGTGGAGTTCGTCGCGCCCCAGGAGTACATGGTCCGGCCCCCACAGCCCCTGGTCTACCTCTTCCTGTTCGACGTCAGCTATGCGGCTGTCTCCACGGGGCTCCTGGCGACGAGTGCGCGGACGATCCTGGACAGTCTCAACAGGATCCCCAACGCCGACCGGCGCACCCGCCTCGGCTTCGTCGCCGTGGACTCTAGCCTGCACTACTTCTCGATCCCCAAGGATGCCGATGAGAACGGCGAGACCAGCATGCTCGTCGTCAGCGACCTGGACGAGCCGTTCATGCCGGTGCCTACCGAGCTCCTGGTGCCCCTGACAGAGTCGCGCCAGAGCATCGAGAACTTCCTGACCAAGCTTCCGGACATGTTTGTCAACAACCAGAACAACGGGTCCTGCATGGGGTCGGCCCTCCGGTCTGGCCACAAGCTCATCTCCCCGCTCGGGGGCAAGATTGTCGTCCTCAGCGCCTCCCTGCCGAACCTGGGCCACGGCAAGCTCGAGATGAGGGAGGACAAGAAGCTCCTGGGGACCTCCAAGGAGAGCAGCCTGCTCCAGACCGCAAACAGCTTCTACAAGAGCTTCGCCGTCGAGTGCTCCAAGAACCAGGTCTCGATCGACATGTTCCTGTTCTCCTCGCAGTACCAGGACGTCGCGTCGCTGAGCAACCTCCCGCGGTACACCGGCGGCCAGACGTGGTTCTACCCCGGGTGGAATGCCGGACGGCCCGAGGACGCCATCAAGTTCGCGTCCGAGTTCAGCGACTACCTCTCGTCCGAGATTGGCCTGGAGGCCGTGCTGAGGGTGCGCGCCACCACTGGTCTGAGGATGAACACCTTCTACGGCAACTTCTTCAACCGGAGCTCTGACCTTTGCGCGTTCCCGGCCTTCCCCCGCGACCAGTGCTACGTGGTCGAGGTCGCCATCGATGAGACCCTGTCCAAGAGCATGATCTGCATGCAGGCCGCCGTCCTCCACACGACGTGTAACGGCGAGCGCCGCATCCGGGTCATGACGCTGGCCCTGCCCACGACCCAGAGCCTGGCGGACGTGTATGCTTCTGCCGACCAGTGCGCCGTCACCACCTACTTCAGCCACAAGGCGGTGGAGAGGGCGCTGGGCAACGGCCTGGACTCGGCCCGCGACTCCCTGCAGACCAAGATCATCGAGCTGCTGCAGACGTTCAGGAAAGAGCTGGCCGGGGGCAGCATGGGCGGCGGCCTCCAGTTCCCTGCCAACCTGCGCGGCCTGCCGGCCCTGTTCCTCGGGCTGATCAAGAACGTGGGCCTGCGGAAGTCCGCGCAGATCCCCTCGGATCTCAGGTCCGCGGCCCTGTGCCAGCTCTCGACGCTGCCGCTGCCGCTGCTGATGCAGTACATCTACCCGCGGCTGTACTCGCTGCATGACATGCCCGACATTGCGGGCACCCCAGACCCCGAGACGAGCCAGATTGTCCTGCCGCCCCCCTTGAACCTCTCCTCTGAGCGCTTCGTCTCGTACGGCCTGTACCTCATCGACGACGGCCAGACACAGTTCCTGTGGGTCGGGCGGGACACGGTGCCTGCGCTGCTCCAGGACGTGTTCGGGGTGGCCGACCGGACGCAGCTCCACGTCGGCAAGGGGACGTTGCCAGAGCTGGAGAACGACTTCAACGAGCGCGTGCGCGCCGTCATCTCAAAGAGCAGGGACTACAGGTCCCGCGGCGTGGGCAGCATCATCCTGCCCCACCTCTACATTGTCCGCGAGGACGGCGAGCCGAGCCTGAAGCTCTGGGCACAGACCTTGCTGGTAGAGGACCGGGCAGACCAGGGCATGAGCTTCGCGCAGTGGATGGGAGTGCTGCGGGAGAAGGTACAGTCCTGACCACCGCCCCAGCCGGCCCGGTGACCCGCTAACAGCTTCTGTCATCAGGTCGTCCAGTGATGCAATCACGAGGCATGTTTTAAGTAGCGATAACAATTGTATAGATTCCCAACGGCATTTTCTGAAACGGTCTCCGTGGGGCTACCCTTCCTTGGAGGAGAAAGACAGCTCAGTGCGCTCTGGTGCAATCACAAAAAACGACGCGGTGGCCCGGCGTCGGGCCCGTGCCGGCCAGTCAAGGTCAAGCTGGCCCGGCATGGGCCGGCCCTTAGTAATGAGACGAAGTCATGCAGGAAACAAAAAAAATCATACTTGTGAATGCCGTGTTTCGAACCAGATGCATGCATGCCTGCACACCCCAGGGCAGACCTGCCTGGCGACCCATGCGTAAATGGCGTAGTACCTCAGCGGGCAGTCCGGCCCGGGACCGATGTCAAACGGCCCCAGAACCCGTCCGATGCGGAGGCCATCTATCAGCCGCGCCGCGCCCCCCAATCCCGAGGTTTCCTCTTGTTTCTATCAGGGCCCGTTATTAGCAGACGCATGAGGTCACCGGGCCTGGAAGGATGGCCGCGCTGTGGCTGAGCGGGCGTGGGTCAGTCAAGACTCGCTCACGCACGACCCGTAAGCAACAGCCTCGATCCACAAGATCGGCGCCCCAAACGTGGCCGCAGAGTGGAAGGGCTGCTAGAGAGACCTGCCCGGCCCCTTGGTGCGTCCTTCCGGGCCCGGCGGCCCAAAAATAGACAGATGGCCAGGTCAAGATGATGATGGTCCGCGTGCGGCACAGCAGGACAGGACACAAACGGTGCACACCGCACACTGCACACTGCACACTGCACGCACACAAGGCCACCTCGCGTGAGGCGTACGGTACCACGGTGGTAGGTGGGGTGCGGCTGTGGGCTGGTCGTGTCGTGTGGTTGATTATAGAATGCCAAAATGACCAGAGACGGGTCCGTCCTGGGGCAAGGGGCGGGTCATTTAGCTTGACGACTGGACCCCCGGTGGATGAAACGGGCCTCCCAGGAACCAATGTGCGCTGAAACACACGCGCCCAGCAGCTTACGGCTGGCGCGTAACGTGGGCGCTGGTTGGCCTGTGGGGCCAGTCACATCTGGGACCTGACGGCACTTGGGTGATTATTAGCCGGGTGCGTTGGGGGAGTCTTCCATGGCTGGCGGCTGTGGTTGGCCAGTGCTGTTGATGCATCGAGATATCTGTCGCGACCATCTGCCATGCACCATCTCGCCTCTGCTGACAGGAGGCCCTGGCCGAATGGGAGGTACGGATCGAGACAAAGGAGTGCAATCCAGCCAGCCAACGGATGCGGCTCTACGACGACAGGATGGTGACAATGGCCCTTGGGAGGCGGGCCATGGGACTGGGGCAGGGCCTACTGCCACAGCCCGGTGCCCATATTAAGACAGGCTGGTTTGTTGTCTCGTCCGAGGCCCCTTGGAGACCTGGACCCGGGGAGGCAGGATGGGGCCGTGAGCAGAGGAGAGGAGAGGAGGAGTTGTTGATGATGATGAGGTAGCAGGTTCTACTACTGGCCTGCTGGCCCGGTAGATTAGTACATATCATCGGCCCTGCCGCCGTACAAGCCAGTAGGTTCCTTCTTGCCTCTCTCCAGCCAGACACGGGATAGCCCCCTCACTCGTCAAAGGAAACCTCGTCGACCCTTTTTCTTCCACCCTGCCCTCCTCACCTTGGTCTTGCTCCCCTCTCCCGACCTGCCTCACCTCGCCTGCTTGCCCTCAACCGAGTCCTCGCCCCAGACCACGAGCCAATCGTTTCCAGAGGTATGTCGCTCCAAGGCTGGTGCTGGTTGGAACCAGAGAGCCCAGCCCACCTGCCCCTACCACCCTTGCCCCCAGTTGCTCCACTCAGGAGTCGAGACTGTATCGGACGAAGAATTACAGTTATCTCGGCCCGCAGCTCTGGTTACAGGAACCCCTCCCTCCTCTGCCCCCTCCCCCCTTGCAGCTGCACCCGCCTGGCGTCGTACAGTGCCCTTGCCGTGGTGCCCCGTGGTTCTAGAAGACCTCCGGCCTGCCTGCCCACACAGCAACCCGATGGCTGTCGAGCTCCGGGTGGGTTCCAGGTTCGGAGGGGGGCCACACCCATCTGGGCATGCCTGTCGGCGCTTCTCCCACCCACTCACTGCCCACAGCCACCTGGCCAGCCAGCCAGCCAGCCAACCACGCCCAGGGTTCAAGCCCAAACACCTGCTCTCGAGCCCTCTTGCACCCGAGACTAGGGCTCTAGGCCTCACCTCTTGGGGCCCTGCGTCTCAATGCCCTTTCCGTCATCCCCGTTGCTGCTGTTTCAGCCTGCCAGTTCCTGCCCTGTCCCAAGCCTGTCCTGCCGTGCGCCCCCCCATCTCTTGAGCTTCGAGCTGGGTGCTGCTTTAGCCTCGGGGGTCCTCCTGTCGCATCAACCGGCCTGCTGACGATTTGGATGCTCACGATTGTCACTGCACACACACACACACACACACACACACACACACACACATTGACCCCATCTACACGCACACCTACTCACACTTCTCACACAGCAGCGAGCTCCTTTCTTTCCAAGCCGGCAGATACGACACGAGCCAGGGGGCTGAGGAAGTCGACGAGCACGGGCACGGGCACCGATACGACGACACACCCGCGACCACCAGAAACCTGGACCAGGACGAGGAGCAAGACCCCGCCCTCTAGCCGTCCATCCCACCCCACTTTCCATCCAGGGCCAAGTCCCCAGCTCTGCCTGCTGCTTGTCTCCCTCTCTGCTCTCGACCCCGACCACGCCAGACGCTTTTCATCCAGTCTGCTGTCTTGTTCTCTTCCTCTCGGGCCCTCAGACCTTCAGACGGCTCAATTCGAAGCAAGCATCCTGCCGCTGCCAGCTACTTGCCACCCCTTCCTCGGGCACGACACTGCTGCCGGCGCATCAACGGCCAACAGCTGCTGCACAGCCAACCAGCTTCACCCGCCACCCACCCGACTCAGCGGCGCCTTGACTGCATCCGAGGACCATAGGCACAGCTGCACATTAGCGCTCGAGCCGCCACCCTCACCACCTAACCTACCTCTACGGATCCACGTCCGGGCCTGACTGGTCTCTGCCTCGGACATTACGCTGCGTGGGATCTCTGTGCCACCGTCCCCGGCCAACTTGCCTCTCCTCTTCAATCCTGAGCTGGTCTTCTGTCGACCTACCGGGGCATAGCATCTACATCCGTCTCTGCTGCAGCGAGGAGCCAAGCCTGCCTCGGCCATATCCTCCACCATGTCTCGCGCACAACCTCCGAACCCTGCGGGCTCCCGCAAGATCTCCTTCAACGTCAGCGAGCAGTATGATATCCAGGACGTCGTCGGAGAGGGCGCCTACGGTGTTGTCTGGTGAGTCTGCTTCCCCGGCGCGGTCCTGCTGGCCCGGCCGCCGTTGCTGACCGGCTCTCAATAGCTCCGCGATCCACAAGCCCTCCGGCCAGAAGGTGGCCATCAAGAAGATCACGCCTTTTGACCACTCCATGTTCTGTCTGAGGACCCTGCGTGAGATGAAGCTCCTGCGCTACTTCAACCACGAGAACATCATCAGCATCCTCGACATCCAGAAGCCGAGGAGCTTCGAGACCTTCAACGAGGTGTATCTGATCCAGGTGCGTCCCTCCGGGGCTCTCGTGTACCCGCAACCACCACCACGCCTCCGGGGCCCGTGCTGACCTGTAGCTTGCCCATCCCAGGAGCTGATGGAGACTGACATGCACCGTGTCATCCGCACCCAAGACCTCTCCGACGACCACTGCCAATACTTTATCTACCAGACCCTCCGGGCCTTGAAGGCCATGCACTCGGCCAACGTCCTCCACCGAGACTTGAAGCCCTCCAACCTGCTCCTCAACGCCAACTGCGACCTGAAGGTGTGCGACTTTGGCCTTGCCCGCTCCGCGGCCTCCCAGGAGGACAACTCGGGCTTCATGACCGAATATGTCGCGACGAGATGGTACCGTGCGCCAGAGATCATGTTAACTTTCAAGGAGTACACCAAGGCCATCGATGTGTGGTCGGTGGGCTGCATCCTCGCCGAGATGCTGAGCGGCAAGCCCCTGTTCCCGGGCAAGGACTGTAAGTAGCAGCCCCTCACGCGCCGGCGCGCCACGTGCCGGTATGCCGCGCACCCAAGCTGACAATCACCGCGCAGACCACCACCAGCTCACGCTGATCCTCGACGTCCTCGGCACCCCGACGATGGAGGACTACTATGGTATCAAGTCCCGCCGAGCCCGGGAGTACATCCGCTCTCTGCCCTTCAAGAAGAAGGTCCCGTTCCGCACCCTCTTCCCCAAGACCTCAGACCTTGCCCTCGACCTCCTCGAGAAGCTCCTGGCCTTCAACCCCGTGAAGCGCATCACGGTGGAGGAGGCGCTGAAGCACCCGTACCTGGAGCCTTATCATGACCCTGACGATGAGCCCACCGCGCCACCAATTCCCGAGGAGTTCTTCGACTTCGACAAGCACAAGGACAACCTGAGCAAAGACCAGCTTAAGCAGCTGATCTACCAAGAGATCATGCGGTAAACCAGGGGCCGCAGCACGCGGGCACCAGCCCCGCCAATGTTGTAGCGGTGTTTTTGAAAAAAAGCAAGAGGAACTGGTGACGGCTTCGTGCATGGCTGTGATACCACATGCTGAGCTGGATATACGATATGAGGGGAGGAGGGGCAACGGAGCATTGGGATTATTCATGAGCTCCTTCGTCGTCATTTGGGAGGGCCAGAGACAGCCACGGGGCGTGAAGCTGTTGTGGACGCCGGGTCTTGTGGGGATTTTCCCGCGATTGATTTTCGAAAGCATCTATCGTTGTGAGCCACTAAAGGGATGAACTAGTGGGCTCTGTAGCCACCGAGTTTATCGTTGTGCCGGCCCCTGAGGCAAGGCAGGGATAACGGCCCCAGGGCTCGACCTACCAAACCCGTGGTAGGTATGTAAGGTAGCTAGGTAGTTGTGAGTCCTACCGGGGGGGGGGGGGGTGGCTTGGGTATGGGGACCACCATAGACTTTTTGCAATACATTCAGTCATTTGTTCAGCCGGTGAGCCCGCCGACCTGATGCGCATAAAGAGGCAGAGGCCAAGCGCCTCGCAAGTTGCGAGCCGGTTTATTATTAGCTGTACGCGTCGAACGATGCTGCGCGGGGCACACCTGATCGAGTCCCATACATACATATCACAAGACGAATGCGGAGCCCAACCCTATGCGTGTGGCCAGACCGGCCTAACCAATAACCTGTCCGCGGAGCAAACAACTGCATGGACAGAGTTGGCCCACCTGCATTGGCCCCGCCTGCCCTCATGGATGCGGTTGCTTTGCTCCAGCCAGCAGCCGAGAAGACGGGCACAAGGCCAATGGCCGGGGCGGGTTGGCCCATCTCCTCTTACCTCGCTGCGACCTTGGGCGAAATTTCAAACAAACTCAATCGCCAGCCATCGGGCCTGACATATGATTGAAATGCTAGCTCCTGCCGTCACGATCATGGTGTGATAGTCTATATGTACGGGGCTACTCCTCCACCCCCTTTTTTTTGGGTTCATCCCTCAAAGGCCTGCTATTTTTTGTTTTCATCATTGAGGAGCTTTTTTGTTCCACTCTTGGGTATCTAGAAATCGAAAAACGCAACACACATGCTGCTGCTCCTGCTCCTGCTCCGGCGCCGCTTCCTGGTCTGCTACTGATATTCCGGCGATATCCCATCTGAACTGTTGATTCACACACCCTCCGGATCCAATTACCCGCCGCAGACCTTCAAAAAACATGCTCCTGGAGCTGATCTTCTCGTCGTTTGCCGTGTTTAATCTCATCCTCATACCCCCGATGCTGGGGGTCTCTCTACGGAGCTGCCGCCCGACAAAGAAGCGCAGGTCGAAAGCAAGGTGGTTTTGAGGCATAGGGTGGTCCTCACTGCCGGGGCGGCCTGCCTTCATCGCCTGGGGCTGCTGTTAGGCGCTTCTTGGTAGAATCAAGTCAGATGGCATACGTCCCAAGCCCGATGGCCTGAAGGAAGCGCTGGATGGGCGCCAGGGCATCAGCTAGGCCAGCACACCACCTCACTGCCGCCCCCCGCGGCCAATCACCCACATCTCGACGCCCAACACCCCAAACTTCTCGCCCTCGTCACTCAGCGGCTCGTTCCCGAAGGTCAGGCAGCGCGAGCTGATGCCCCTCGCCAGCGAGTCGTTGAGCCACAGGCCGTAGTGGCCGTCGCCACCCCCCACGGACAGGCAGTGGGGCTCGCAGTACATGTAAAAGTCGTTCTCGCCGCTGTATGGAAACGCCTTGAAGCGGATGACCGGGGTCATCGGGATGTTGGGGCTCGGGGTCCTGGCCGGCGAGGGCGCCTGGGCCGCCGGCGGGGCTTGGGCCAAGCCGAGCAGCGATGCCATGGGGTCTGCGGGCGGGGCTGGCTTGGACGGCAGGTCGTCGGAGAAGTCTATGAGCAGGTCTTCTTCTGGTTCCGGTTTTGGCGGTGGCGGCGGCGGCGGCGGCAGCTGGGCCCTGGGGAAGCGGGTATGCGTGGGGCTGGATATGGTTGTGACGCGGGTGAGGTTTGTTGTGTCCTCTGAGGGCGGCGGTGGGAGGGCTGCGAGGACGGATGCCCGCCAGAGGAATGTCTCCCCGTTGCCGAAGTAGTGCGGCGACGGGTGCGGTGATTCGGAGAGGTAGGCGCCAAAAAGCTGCAGGTTGTGTCAGCGAGATCAGCCAGTCATGTAGCCGGCATCCACGGAAAGGCCAGCCCCCAAGAGCAACACTTACGCCGCCGTAGCTGTCCCTGATGACGAGGACGAAGCTGTTCCGCGTGCCCTGGAAGGGGCTGCACTTCTCATACAGGGTTCCCAGGCTCGCGCCGTCCTGGTCCAGGCTGTAGATGAGATTCCACTCCTCCTCGATGCGCTGCCGCTCCGGGACCATGATGCGGATCTCCTCCGCGACGGCCGGCGTGAGCAGCCTTGCCGCCTCCGTGGTGTCGTCCCTGAACCCCTTGAGCTCCAGGGGCTCGAGTGGCGGTGGCCTCAGCGGGGAGGCAGATCTGTTTATGGGTGGCGTGTAGACGCCGTTTATGCCATTGTTCCACTGGTTCGGATAAGACAGCGGGCTGCCGAGCGAGGCTGGGGACTTGGACATGTCATCGTGATGGCCCTGGACGGCGGTCATGTCCGAGATGCGGCGGACGAGGCCGCCGAAGCCGCTGGCAAGGCCGGAGAAGGAGTGTGAGAGGAAGGTCGAGGAGGCGGCGGAGGTGGTGGGAGTGGCAGCGCCAGACGAGGAGGGCGAGTAGTTGCCCGGCTGCCCAGGACGGACTGGTCGGTCGTGATAGGACATTTTGGCGTTCAGGAAGTTGTTTGTCGTCGCTAGGTCCGAAGAGGGACGTCGTGTTCGGTGGGAGGGCGGGGGGCTGGGTGAGAACGGTCAACGTGTCTCACTGACGGCCACCATGTCAACCGCGCCTGTCCAGAGACGGCGCTTACTCTCCCTCTCTCTCTCGCTTGGCTTGTCGAGGGTGGTGGGTTGCACGAAGCACTCGCTTGCTCAGGCTCTAACAAGACCGAGGACAAGGAGGAACGGAGGGCTGGCCGGGGTGAGATGTTTTGTTTCGTTGCGTTCCAGGTTGTTTGGTGAAGGGGAGACGACGGCGGCGAACAGGTAATCAGAGGGAAGGAAGTTTACGTAGATGGATGCCGTAGGGATCCATCAACCCATGGCGCTACTGCGGTACTGCACCCCCCAGGAGATGGGCGCACAGGGCTTATCCTGGGCTGCCTGGGCTGACACCCTAGCCCTTGGGCCGCCTATGACGTGCTGCCAAGCCGAGGCTTCAGCGGCCCAGTGCTGTTCGGGCATGCTGTTGACAAACATGTGCATACCGAGAGACTATTTGCTACTGCTGGGTAGATATAATATCGTAACACCTCCGCCCCGGTGCAGCTCGCTTGACTGGAGCTGAGCTGAGCGGCACGGCGCCCAGGCCAGAGTCATACTGCGGTGACTAATAACTGCCTGGGCCCTGCTCGGGTCGGCAGAGACATCCGGCCACGACCCTCACGGCTGAGCACGGCCTGTACTGTCATGGCATTCGCGACATGAAATCCCGGATCCCCTCGAGGACGCCCTCTGGGCTCGGCTTCTCAGCGCAGACGTCTGGGTCGAGGCCAAACGTCTTCTGTAGGTAGTTCCTCGTCGTAGGCCCGATGGTGGCAACAAACCTCGTCCTGGTCGGGTCTTTGGGCCTCGCCTTGCCTGTGGCCTCGTCGATCATTCCCAGGCCGCGCAGCATGGCGTCGCAGCCCGTCGGGGAGAAGACGACAACCCAGGCCATGCTGCTCTCCTTGGTCTCGCGCAGGCGCCTCTGGAAGTCATGGGCGAACGACTCCATGACCCCGGTTCCGTAGACCACCACCTCGTCAACGTCGATGCGCCGGTCGCCTGGCAGGCCCTCGTGCATGAGCGTCTTGGGGATGATGTCCCTCCTCTGCTCGCCCACCATGAACAGGAGCCCGGGCTTCTCGTCTGTGCGGTCCTCGTACCACTGCGCATAGTGGTCCAGGATGAAGTGGGCGAGGCTGTCGCCGTTGCCTGTGTGTTCACCAAACACCTGCAGGGGAGGGTCCTGGGCCACAGCCTTGAGCGCCCTCGTGGTGGCAGGCCCGACGCTGTACACGGGGACCTCTTGGAGATGGGGCCACGGCAGAGTCGTCGCCGAGACACGGCCCTCGTGCCCGCCTGCAGGTCAGGGTGAGCTGTGGGCATGCGACAGAAGAGATGAGATATGCAGAGGGACCAATATGGCTTGCTCACCTGGGCCATCCTGGACGATCTTGGCGAAGGCCTCCACGGCTCTTTGGGACGTGAAGATGAGGCCGCCGTATGCCGCGCCAGAGTGCCTCCCCACCATCTGCGACTGCAGGATAGAGCGGACCTTTTCCAGGCCGCCGTCATCGAATTGGTGCTCGAGGACCGGCACGAAGGAGGGGACGAAGCTGACGCCGCCGTGGGGCTGCGAGAAGATGTCCTCGTAGCTGTCCCCCGGCGTCGATTTTGTCTTGAGCAGCAGCACCGGCACCCCTCGGCCCCCTGCACCACCCGCTGCCGTTGTCGACATTGATAATCAGCACGGAAGTGTACGAGAAATATGGTGAAGCACAAGATTTATTGTACGGGTGAGCTATATGCCCCGAGGCGGCCCGGCTGGGCTGCTGTGTGGTGGGGCACGACAGCTCTTGGCCCTCCCTACTCGCCGTCCGAGCCGGGGCCCAGGCCGAAGCCAGCCCGGCCAGGCGTGGTCTTGTTGACGTTCGACCTGCTGAACATGTGCGTTGGACTCTTGGACGGCGCCGAGACGGGGCTGATGTCGAGGCTTACAAATCCCATGACCCGGATTTCCTGTGACGACGCCGACGGCAGGCAGTGACCGACCCCCAGCACGACAACCCGGCAAGAGCAACAGAGGCACAGAGGGAGGCGCACACAGACGACAGTTGGACCATAGCACGGCACAGCACAGCACAGCACAGCACAGCACAGCCTTGCGCGCATGGCCCAACAACAACAGCGCGACGAGCCGCAGGCGACCGGCCATGCCGCCGCCGTCGCCACAGAGCCCGCGAGACCACTGCCGCCGGGCGTGGTGCTCGGGCCTGACGGCAAGCCGTATGTCGATGTTGGACGCCGCCGTCTTGGTTTTCCCTGCAGGAACTGACATGCCTCGGTAGCTGCCGTGCCTGCTCCAGCAAGACCGCCTTCTCCGCCCTGGCGAGGTCCATGAAGGCGCCCAGCCCGACCAGCCCGACCAGCTCGACCAGCTCAACCACAACAACAGCAGCAGCAGCAGCAGCCGCCGCCGCCGCCGCCGCCGCCGCCCCGGCATCCGACTGCCCGGCCGACGTCGAGACCCTGGGCCGCGGCACCTGGACACTCCTCCACTCGATCGCCGCCACGTACCCGACCAGCCCCAGCTCGTCCCAGCAGAGCGACCTGGTCGGCTTCGTCGGCCTGTTCTCCCGCCTGTACCCCTGCTGGGTCTGCGCCGACGACTTCCGGGCCTACATCGAGAGGGACCCCGTCAGGGCCGGCAGCCGCGGCGAGTTTGGCAGGTGGCTATGCGACGCCCACAACGACGTCAACAGGAAGCTGGGCAAGCCCGTCTTCGACTGCTCCACGTGGGAGGAGCGCTGGCGCACCGGGTGGAAGGACGGGAGGTGCGACTGACCGCGACTCGATCGACGGCCCGCCTTCCTGTCGACATATGGTGTACGACTACAGAGCCACATAGACCCATCACCACTCAGCCTTCCTGGCCAGGCCAGAACAGCTCTCGGGCTGCCACCACAAATCTATAGACACTCCGGCGCACAGCCCCTTACACGGGCCTGCGCACCGACAGCAATGATTGAGCAGTTGCATACCTACAGTACGGGCCAGGCGCAGAGCTTTGGAAGCGTTTCAATGAAGCCGAGGTCCTTGTACCGTTGTGCTATGTATTCCCCTTCGGCACAGCAGAAAACTGGGTCCGTATTTCCGACGGACCGACCAGTTGGGAAACCTTCAGAATCCTTCTGGCCCTACCCAGTGCGATCCCTCAGTAAACATCTGCCCCCAAGCAGTACATACGTATCAGAGCGCTCGAGGCGTTTCGGATCATGCCACCGCCGCCGTGCATTCGATGTGGCTTACTGTGCTGCGCGCATCATGAAAACATCTTCACCGTCGGCAAGGACGCGCGAGGAATTCATTCCGCCGTGTGGAATCGGCCCGCTCAGTCGTGATGGTGGTCTGACGTTTGGAACCAGCACTCGGCGTCGCGAGATTTTGCCTGCGCTCTCCTGCTGTCTGTCGCATCGTCGCCGCGGATAGCCGCTCTGGTTGGATGATATACACACATATATATATGTACACGTTTTCCATGTCAAGCCACCAGGACGGGCCTCAAGTGAGGCTTGTGTGTGCATCGTTGCAGCATTTCCCAAGTGTGCCCCCCCTCTGTCGCTCTGCTATTCTCCAGACCATCAAAATGGGCTCCGCCGATTACGGGCTGGACAGCCTTGAAGAGCCCGTCGATGTGGCCAGGTACCTCTTCACGAGGCTGCACCAAGTGGGCATCAGATCTGTGCATGGCCTTCCTGGGGACTACAACCTTGCCTCGCTCGACTACATTCCGGAATGCGGCTTGAAGTGGGTCGGGAACGTGAACGAGCTCAACGCAGGCAAGTACTGCGGTTCGGGATGGGTGGGTGCGTGGGGATTGTAACTAACACACCTCATAGCCTATGCCGCAGATGGATACGCCCGTGTCAAGGGCATATCCGCCCTCATGACCACCTTTGGGGTTGGTGAGCTCAGCGCCCTGAACGGGATAGCAGGAGCCTTCGCGGAGCAAGTGCCTGTTGTCCATATTGTCGGCTGTCCCTCGACAACATCGGAGCAGAACGGGCTGCTGCTTCACCACACGCTGGGCAACGGGGACTTCAACGTCTTCAGGAACATGTCAAGCCTGATCTCGTGCCATGTCGCCAAGCTCAACCAGCCGGGCCAGATTGCCCGCCAGATCGATGCTGCCATCCGCGAGTGCTGGGTCCGCAGCAAGCCTGTGTATATCATGCTGCCCTCGGACATGGTCAGCGAGAAGATCGAGGGGGCCCGGCTGAGGACTCCCGTCGACTTGTCCGACCCACCCAACGACCCGGAGAAGGAAGTCTATGTTGTCGATGTCATCCTCAAGTACCTGTATGCAGCGCGGAATCCCATCGTTCTCGTCGATGCATGCGCCATCCGACACCGGGTGGTGAGCGAGGTCCACCGGCTGCTTGACAAGACAAGTCTTCCTGTGTTCGTGGCTCCGATGGGCAAGGGAGCCATCAACGAACAACACCCAGCCTACCGGGGCATCTACGCTGGTACCGCGTCCCACCCGAGCGTCGCACGGGCCGTGGAGGCGGCGGACCTCGTCCTGACCATCGGTTCTCTGAAGGTGAGCCGTATCATTCAATGGCCTTCCGTCTCGGGGCACAAACCCACTGACGTGCGACACAGAGTGATCTCAACACCGCGGGGTTCTCGTACCGGCTGTCCCAGCTGAACACCATTGACCTCCACAGCACCCACTGCACGGTGCGGTACTCTGAGTATCCAGGAGTAACCATGAAGGGTGTGCTGCGGAGGCTCACCGACGAGATCGACACCGCGAAGCTCTGCGCCGTCCCTCCTCCGCGCGTGGAGGACCAGGTCTTCGCCAAGGGTGACGGCTCGCAGACAATAACACAGTACTGGCTGTGGCCACGTATAGGCGAGTATCTGAGAGAGGGTGATATCGTCGTCACAGAGACGGGCACGGCTAGCTTCGGCATCTGGGAAACCAAGTTCCCCAAGGGCGTCACCGCATTAAATCAGTGAGTGCTTCACACGGCGGGGCTTCTCGCCCCTTGCCTGCAGAGCTCCCGTCAAGTTTTGTGCTTCTCCAAACAGCCGGGGCTGGGTTCCACCGGAGCTGACCGCGGGATATACAGAAACCTGTGGGGGTCGATAGGCTGGTCCGTAGGTGCTTGCCAGGGCGCCGCGCTGGCTGCCAAGGACGCGGGCGTGGACAGGCGGACGGTGCTGTTCGTGGGCGACGGCAGCTACCAGCTCACGGCGCAGGAGGTCAGCACGATGGTCAGGCACGGCCTGCGCGTCACGCTGTTCTGCATATGCAACGAGGGCTACACCATCGAGCGCTTCATCCACGGCGCCGATGCAGAGTACAACGACATCGCACCATGGAGGTTCAGAGACACCCCCGCCGCGTTCGGGGCGTCTGCGGGACAGGTCAAGACGCACGCCGTGAGGACCAAGGCCGAGCTGGACGGGCTGCTGAGGGACAGGGAGTTCAACGAGGCTAGGAACCTGCAGTTCGTCGAGCTGCATGTGCCCAAGATGGACGCGCCGAGGCCGCTGGTCACAGTTGCCAATGCAGCGGTCAAGAACAATTCGAGATGATGAAGGGGCGGCTTGGGGGGGGTTCGAGATGCTCACTTGATGAAATACTTGTACGTGGGATTTTTTTCCCAAGCCATCGTCAGCAAGGTCGTGGTGTATATAGACTACGAGCCATGCACAGTGTCAACATGAGGTCACGAACCTCGGACACACCTAACCTCCTGTACGATACTCATCATCCACTGGGACAATACTGGTATGGGACAGCCTCCTATCCTACTAATGAAACCTCCGAAAGAAGATTTCCTCCATAATCACCTGTAATAGAGCAACCTCCTCGGCGACAGCATCCGAAAAACAACTTTCTGTAGGACAACCCCCTACAGCATTGTAATCTTCGGGATGGCCATCTGAAGAACAAGCTCCTATGGGGCAAGCGCTTAGAGGCCGGGACCCTGCAGACAACCCCCCATCAGACAATGTACTGGAGCTGGTAAGCTATAAAGGCTCTGCCATAATATCAAATCAGTCTTGGAAGATTTGGCAGTGTGAGAATAATAGTGTATGTGAAGGAGGGTGTGAGAGAATCTCAAACAAGATTTGTGTGGATTCAACAGCGCTTGAGGTCGTTACCTCATATCTGGCGTCCTATCTCGCCGTCGTCCGAACCTGATGAGTGATCCAATGTCCACACAGACTGACTGTCACACTAGAGTAGTCCGAACCACAGCGGCCCCTGCGTCAAGCCAGCCCGCAAGACCCGTGCGGAGCCCGTTGCCCACGGGGAGTCGTGTTGCTGTACTGTAGCAGCTCTTCCTTGACCCAGTCGACCTGTGAGAGGCTTCACGGCCCAGGTGGTTCAACTGGCGGCCTTGCCCAAAGAATGACGCCTTCTCATGACCGCTGCACAAGCCTAATTCGAAACGGCGCAGGGCCACGTCTGTTCCCCCGCGACTAACTCGACGTTTGCCTTTTGAGTTTGGTTCCAAGAGCCGCGCCCTACAGCCAGGAACCCAGCACATCCAGAGACACTACCTGGGTCGGGAGTGCTGGGGGGTCTCACCTCCTACCACCCAGACCCAGATGATGTGCACCTGCTATTTCCGCACAAGAGATTGTCGAGACGATCAACCACGATTTGAAAACCAGGCTGCCAGGCCCCGCACCGAGGCACCCAGAAAGGGATTGCCGTTGTGCTTCTGGTTGTGAGGCGGAACATGACAAAGAACCAGGATTGAGGGACACAGGGAAGAATGGAAATATCAGGCCACTTGCCATGGGTTGGCGTGGGTTGTTCTTCGGACGGCTGACCAGCCGACGTGTGTAGGCGTTTCCTGTCGTCGATCTGTGTCTCAGGACCTTGGCGCCTGGATGGGTGTCGAACAGACCCCATGGATCCGGCCTGGTTGGCCAGTTGCCGTCTCATGGCTCGCTGATCACTCAATTGGTCGGCATTGCCACAACTCTATGTCTTTGTCATTCATCCTGGGCGTCTTTCTCAAGAAGCGCAGTGCAGCTTGGTTGCCTCTCTAGGGCGAGGGTTGTGACGGGCGGCTGTGGCGTATCTCAAACCCCCTGCCCCCTCGCCGCCGCACCGCGCCCACCTTGCTCTCCCGACGTCAGCCATCTCTGTGGTGGTAGTGCGGTGGTCTTGGCAGGAACAGGCCAGGAGACCTCGGGCTGTCTTTGCAAGGGTCGCCGCCAGGTAAACACCAACGTTGTCATGAATTAGTTTAAAGAGTTATAAGGAAATAATCATCGTAGAATAAGCAGCCGTCTCAAGGGTGAAATAGCTGCCGGACACCTCTCTTGCCAGCTCTATGTACACCATTATCATTCTCGTTTCGCGTCTAGCACGGTACAATCCAAACCCCAAGCCACCCCCGACCCCTTCTTGGAAAAACACCCCTGATCAAGCAAACATCAGCCCCGCCGCAAAGCCGAGTGGACGGACAAGACTCGGTCATGTCGCACAGGACCCGTGTCCCCTCGACACGGCACTTCATAGAACTAGCCCCAGCTCGTGCCGAATTCAGGCGACAAAGTCACGGGTGCTGAGATTGGCGAGCCGGCTGCGCTTGTCCCTAGACAGGCTGCGGCGACCGCCCTTGCCCTTGCCCTGTTGACCTTGTTGACCTTGTTGACCCTGCTGGGCCTGCTGGCCCTGTTGACCCTGTTGACCCTGCTGGGCCTGCTGTCCCTGTTGACCCTGCTGTCCCTGTTGGCCTTGTTGGCCCTGCTGGCCCTTGCCCTTTCCTTGCTGAGCGTTCTGACCGTTCTGGCCGTTGTTGCCCCCGTTGTTGCCCCCGTTGTTGCCCCCGTTGTTGCCCCCGTTGTTGCCCCCGTTGTTGCCGCCGCCGCCGCCAGCAGACACGGTGAACTTGGTGCAGTCATCCTGAGATCCACGCTGGGCGACGGGCATGAGGACGGGCTGATGGTTGGAGGAGGAGGTCAGGGTGCAGAGACGGTAGTTTCCGGCCGGGAGACCGCCAGCGACGTCGGCAGACAGCAGACCCTGTCCGTTGCCAGCATCGTTGATACCCTTGAAGAAGGCGAACTGGGTCGGGTCTGGGGGCTGGCTGGGATTCAGAGAGTTGCCCAAGTCCTGGACGGTGACGTGGGTGTGGCCAATGACCTGTCCCTGACCGTTGAGCCTCTGCGGAGCGGCGTAGTAGGTGGCATCAGCGTTGGTGAAGGAGCCAGCCTCGAGGTTCTGGGTCTGGACGCTGATGGTGAAGTCCTGCTCGGCCGGGACCTCATCACCGTTCTGGGGGAAGGTGATGATGGACGAGATCATCTGGTTCTTGGCGGGGATGTTTCCCATGGCTGCGCAGAAATTTGATCAGCCACACACACACACAACACACAGCGCGCGGGCAGGTTGTACTTACGGATACCGTTACACGAGCCCTCGGTGATCTGGAGACCGTTGGTGAGGGTCTTGCCGGCACACTCGTTGATGAAGTTGTTCTTGGAGGTGGCAGAGGCGGCCTGTCCGTCCTCGGCGCCGAGGCCCTGGGAGCCGTCGGAGAAGGAGCCGGTCTGGACCGCGTTATCGCTCAGAGTCGTCGAGTCGGCGTTGGCGTTGTTGCCACCGTTGTTCCCCTGGTTCTGACCGTTCTGGCCGTTGTTCCCGCCGTTGTTGTTTCCGCCATTGCCGCCGCCGCCTCCGCCTCCCCTCTGCTGGGCGAGGGCCAGGGTGAAGAGCGCCGCAGCGCTAAAGAATGCCTTGGAGACCATTTTGTTTTCTCGGGTACCGGTGAGGGAGCGTGTGGACAGTAGAAGGGACGAGACAAAGAATGGAAGGACTAGTCGACGCGAAGACCAGTCGACGCGAAGCACAAACGACAAATTACAAAGTACTAGTTATGTTGGGACCACGATCAACGTGAGTCGGGAGGTCTCGACTTGCAAGAACTTCAGTATAGAGAGCGAAAAGAAGTTTGCGTTAGTCAAAGTAGCGGCAGGAGAGGGGGAAAATCATCTGAAGGAGCGTCTGAGGACGAAAGCTGATATATGGGATGCAGGCGGCGGCACAGAGGGCTTGGCACCGTCCGGGAAGGCCCAGAGACGAACACCATGTCGCGACATGGACATGGCGGGCTGTCGAAAGGAGATTCTTCAAAGTGATGGCAGGGTAAGAAGATCCCGTCCGAGGTGAAACCTCATGCGACGAAGATGTCGTCGCAGGAGCCAAGCCGGCCGCGGACAGGGGTGTGGGCAGGGGTCGGGCCAGAGAGGGCTGAGGGACGGAGCACCGCACCTGACTGGAGGACAGGCTGGACAGGCTGGACAGGTGCCGGGCCTCACACATGGCCGGTGCAGCCCTGCTGATTTGGAAGACGCCCAGACGTCCGAGGGTCAGTTGTATGCTTGGTGGAGTACTTGGTGGAGTACCTGATGGAGCATCTCGATCAGCCGTGGCGATGTTTCTCGTGCCTGGCCGAGCCGGAACCACGACAGTTGGTGATGTTGATGTGATGATGACTGGACTGAATGTTGGGTTGCCGACAGCAACACATCATGGCCGACTCAGCAAAAGAGATGACCTCCCCATCAAGAAGGGCGAGGCTGGCCATCACATCGTCTGGACTCTGCACAGAGTACACATGCCCCGTACTTGCTGGTGGGAAAGTACCCCAGGTTTTGGAACGTGTGTGAAGCCAGGTGCTCGGTGTGCTGTGCCTGTGCCTGTGCCTGTGCCTGTACAGGGATGCCAAGGGCACCAGCAATAAGGCCGCAGCTGGGGCCCAAAAGCTTGGCGCAGTTAAGGTTGGATGAACAAGGCCCGCGTCGCAGATGGATGCCGGCCAGAGGTGAGATTGCAATGCGGCTCCGGCTGCTCAGCGCTGGCTGATGCAAGAGTGCAGAGCAAACAATCGTCCCCACATACGGGACAAGACCATGAGATGATGACTGCGGTACCCACAAGGACCTACCTACGTATGTGCCAGAATAGCAGACTATGGGGTAGCAAGATGCCCGGGCCGACATGCCCACACACAGCCCTCAGCGTCCAGCGTCCAGAGTCCAGAGGCCGAGGTGACGAGGTGACGAGGTGACGTCCCTGTCTGAGGAGGCTCTAATCCACACCCACCGGTACTTGCTTCCCCACCGCGGCACCACCCAGTGGGGATGTACTCTGTACTCCGTACATACCTAGGCACCGGCCGGGCTGCCGTCTGACTGGCCATCTCCCATCTCATCTCATCTCATCTGTACTCTGTCCTGATTTCACCCATCCAAGACGCGACAAGATGACAAGTCGCACCCCTGCTGCGGGATTTGTTATCCAAACTGCCCTCCAGACCAACAGATCTGTCTGTCATCCATGCACCTTGGGGATTGACGTCGCGCAACCGCTCCGGATGACTGTTGATCGTCTTGTTGCCCGCTCATCACACACCTTGGGATGAGGCTCCGAGTATGTACAGCCTGACCCGAGTGAAGATTCCAGAGCCCTGCGTCGGGACTCGGCCACTTTCAAGGTTTGAAGACTCTCTCCAGGCTGGCAGGCTGACTCGAGGCCGCTGTCCCTGGGGCCTTGCACCCCCAGCCCGCAGGCTCAGAGGCCGGCGAGTTACACCATCTAGCTGATCGTGGCCGGCCGAAACGGCTTCTGTCAGAGAAGTTGCGACCCCACGCTACACGGCTGCCCTTTCTTTCCCTCTCCCACACTCCCGACTCTCCCACCCTTCCACCTTCCTGCCTTCCCACCAGCCTGCCAGCGTCATCCTGCTAATCCCGCCCCTGGTCTTCCCTGTCGTGCATGTGCATGTGTCCTCCGCAGAATCCTCCGCAGAATCCAGTCATGTCATCGGCCACCGCCACAGCGCCCGTCTCAACTGCTGCACCCATGATGCCGGGCCGTCATCCCTTTTCTCTCCTTCATGCCCGCAACACGACGTGAGGCTGCCAAGTGCAGGCTGGAGCTCTCGATTCGGATGAAGCACTCAGGTCTGAACGTCGGTCGCATCTGGCATCACGCCCAGCCTCTGGGAAATGCAAGCCAATTTCAAATAAGCATGCCCACTCGGCTTGGGTGTTTGCTCGGCCTCTTCGAGGCTGCCGCCTGTGCTATGTGGTACCCTCCGTAGTATCCACAGGCAGTCCCCACCGCCCGCCTTTTCGCCCCCAGGGCCAAGGGGTTCCAAGACGCGATTCATACCCGCCGCCTACGCGGTGTAGAATCGAGAGCCCCGGCTGCCCGCCCGGCTGCCCGGGTTGCAAAACGACACTCACGACGGAAACACCAAATCAGTATCGCAGCACATGGCCCCCCGCCCTACTGTGCCACAGGCTGCAGCCCCTACCACGGAGCCCGCCCGCACGCATGCTCGCTGCCACGCGCCGTCCCCAGCCCGGCTGCCCAAAACAACGCCATGGTTTCGTCTTGGCGAAACGCCCGGGTCGAAGGGGTGCCACGCGCCCGCAATTTGCAAATTGCACGGCGCACGCCTTCGGCCTTGACAGTACCGCCGTCCGCGTGAGAGGCTAGGACGCTTTGGTCTGATGAGCCGCTCCTGCCTCCCTGTTTCTTGGAAGGATCCCCATCGCCGACATGTCTTGGATGGGATCCGTAGTGTCAGGCTCTGAAGCCCGCCCAGAGGGTATAAAGTTATCAGTTAACCAAGGTATATCATCACCGCACGGCACCTGCGCGCGCTTGTGAATCCCTAGGCGCGGGCTCAACGTCCGAAACGTTCAAACAGACGAGACAGCACAAAGTTGGGACGGGATGGCAGCTGTCAGCGACCTGCTCGTCACGGGGTCCTTGGGCAGGGCAATGCGACTGGCATGTTGCAGATGCGTGCCTGAGAAATGCCGAAGACAAGGCTGGTCTCGGTGCCTCTGCCTCGTCTGGCCAGGCTTGGCCACCTGGGCAGGCTGTCTACTAGTCGGCCAATATTCTCTCGACTCGGACTCACAAGGCCTGCAACCTACGTGCTTGCCGTCGGGCTGAACCACGGCTACGACAAGGCTGCAAAAGCTTAAACGGGGTGGGAGGGGCAAGAGGGGGCCGGGGGTCCCATACCCAGCCACGGCAACAAGAAACTCCGTCTGAACAACGGCTCTGGGCCGCGGATTGGTCGTCGCCAAGATGCGACGAGAACGAAACGTCGATCAAAACAGCAGAGCAGGGCTGGCCCGTCCGAGCTGACCTCACCTGCACCCCAAAACAAGGCCAGGCTGCGCTGACTATTCTCATGCTGCGCCGCGCACGTACAAACGCCTTAGTTAATTATTATTATCGCTATACCAACTGCCATACCACTTATTCGACTACGACAGAGGCCAGTCAGGGCCCAGACGGATCTGACTGATCAAACGGGCCTGAGTACAAGACGGTGGGGTCCCCGGATGATAGCATCAAGGGCGTTATTATCGAGGTGGGTCCTCAGCCTTCCCCTCCGAGTCGCTGTCTGTCTCCATCTCCCCGTCTCTCCAATCCGCTCGCACCTCTGGCTGCGTTGGAGGTCGGCCACCCGGCCTGCCCACCGTAGCCAGTCAGCGCCTAAGTCAGCCAGTCAATATCAGTGATCACTTCTGCCCAGTCGGGCCACCTGCGCTGTGGGTCCTGCGCCGCGCCGGCGCCGGACGACGTCGGTTTCGGATGGCCTGTATCATCGCCCTTCTTGATGTTGCAACATCGCTGATGAGATCTTGGCCTACGACCTCTCCCAATCCTGTGCCACGTCCATGCTGTGCCATGCTGTGATGGCCTACCAGCACGTCCGGAGTACGATGGGCGGGACAAGGTCACCAGATGGATGGACCGGAGTTGGCCCCGAGTAGAAAGAAGCCGCCGAGCCGTCGTGCCCACCGCCAATCCCGAGTCAGATGCACTGCAGGAAGGGCAATAGGCCGATGGGACGGACTCGTGGCGCCCGGCCTGGACCAAGATAGCCGCACACTAGCAAACCTACCAGACGGAGAGTTGCGGGATGAAAGGGCCTGACCGTGTGTGCCTGCAGGCGAGCGCAAATATGACCCGGAGGATCCGGGGAATTTATGCCCGGCAGGTGCAGGTGTACGCGCAGAACTGGACTCGGGCGCCGGGTCGGCTGGGCAGCCTACCCTGATAAACGCCCAGGTGTGTGGTACTTTAGTAACTGGGCTTGGCTGGTCTGCTATCTAATGGTCCAGTCCAACCCAAGCGCGCTCGCCTAACCGTCAGCTAGCTGCAGACTCCGAATGGTCGGCGGTCTTTGTTCCCCGAGTCATCGACCGACTCGGGGACTGCTCCGAGCCGTGTCAGGCTGTCAGCCCAGCGAAAAATAATCCAACTCCGGGTCTAGCGGCTGCCTTTCGCTCTCATCTCCCCCGCTTTGGCCCGCCCTTGCTGAAAGCTTGACTCCTCACCGTTAGTTTTAACCTTCATCCCTTCGACCACTGCGGACGTGTGCCTTTTAAACCACCCTCACCCTCCCGCCCAGTTCCCGTTGCGATTGAGATTGTGACACCACCAAGCCAGCTCCTGTCAGCCAATCGCCAATCGCCCACCTCTTGTCACATCTCGCCCGCCATGTCTTCCTCCCCGCCGCCGAACCGACGTGCTAAGCGTCCTCGTAAGTCCTTCCGCCTCATCTCATTGCCCGGGCGACCTCCGTCCATGCCCGACAGCGCCACTTGGGGTCAGGCCCGGCCCCTGGAGACAGCTTGATGCGTCATGTCCCAAACTACAAATACCCGGGTCTGTGTAGCCATGGACACGCAGCGGCGGGCGTTGGCGTCGGCAAGGTTGATGCGATTTGATGCCGAGGGTGCAAAAAATCCATCGTGCCGCACGACCAGACCAACCACTGCGCAGGGCAACCTCCCCAGCACATCAGCCCTTCCCTCCAGCCCCCTCCCAATCAATCGACCAGATCGGCGCGCCCGGCTTGTACACCTTGCTCGAGGAGGCGACGCTGAGGCTGGAGCTTGTGTGTTGGAGTGCGGAACTCGTCGAGCTCGGCGTCCTTCTGCCACCCCTCTCCGCCCAAAATCTACATTCCTCCCCCACCCGTCGTTTCCGCGTGTCAGGCCGCTGGCCCACAACATGCCATCAGTCTCCCGTACGGCATAGGCAATTTTACTCCCAGCCCAAAAAAAAAAGACACCCAGAGCAACACACCGCGGCGTCTTCAGTCTCTTCAAGACATCTTGTTTTTTTATTCCCACAGGCCTAACCTCTTTTCTTTGCCATGGCAGGAACCCAATCGCTCCCTCCACCCGAGCTGCCTCAGCTGGTCGCCGAGCAGCATGTCGCCATCCCGCCCACCGACAAGGACTCGAAGCGCCTGATTGTCGTCCTGTCGCACGCGTCGCTTGAGACTTACAAGTCGTCACACTCGCGGCCCGGCCACATGGGCGTCCAGCGCGAGGAGAAGTACTCCCTTCTCAACAGCGACGAGCACATTGGCATCATGCGCAAGATGAACCGCGACATTTCCGAAGCAAGACCCGACATCACCCACCAGGTTCGACCCCTTCTCTTCCCCCACTCCGGCGGCGGCACGCCCCCCGTCCCCACTGCCCATGCCATCTCACAGGGGGTTTTGTCGTCCAACACGGACCCGAGCTGTCCTTCAAAACACGCTGCATCCAACATGCTGGCCATGTACTAATCTGCTGTCTGTGGTCTCCAGTGTCTGCTCACCCTGCTTGACTCCCCAATCAACAAGGCGGGCAGGCTGCAAATCTACATATCTACCGCCAAGGGCGTCCTGATCGAGGTGTCGCCTTCGGTCCGCATTCCTCGTACTTTCAAACGGTTCGCCGGCCTCATGGTCCAGCTGCTGCACCGCCTGTCCATCAGGTCGACCAACTCGCAGGAGAAACTCCTCCGCGTCATCAACAACCCCATCACCGAGCACCTGCCCCCCAAGTGCCGCAAGGTCACCCTCAGTTTCGATGCCCCCGTCACACATGTCAGGAGCTACATCGACGGGCTCGACTCGGACGAGAGCATCTGCGTCTTTGTCGGCGCCATGGCCAAGGGCCCTGACAACTTCGCCGACGCATACGTCGACGAGAAGATCTCCATCAGCAACTTCAGCCTGTCCGCCAGCGTGGCCTGCAGCAAGTTTTGTCATGCCGCCGAGGACGCCTGGGACGTACTCTGAACACCACTCCTGCGCCTGAGTCCCGCGGCTGTGGGTCGGGCCCGGGAGTGGGGAGGTTCTGAGGGGAGAGGAGGGCCTGGGAGGCAGGGAAAGGGCTGCCCCTCCGCGCTAGCTATCACAACATGGCGATGACGGCGGGGCACGCGCCTCGTAACTTGGGTCGTCTGTGTTTTACACTGTCGCTGTTTTTACAACCAAAACAAGTGCGTTCAACACCGGATCCAGGAGCATTCTCCAATGCTTGTCTAGACCACTTCAACTTGGTCAGGCGGTTTCCCCCTGTTTTCTATTGTGGTATTCCCCTGCTGGGCTGGCCCTTGGTCACAAAAGGTACAGTACTGCCTGAAAAGGCCCTGAGCAGGTCTCCCGGTCAAGTGCCTGGCGACGACGTGGCTCACAATGACATCCCACCGAGGGGTTTGCAAGCTAGCGGGCTCTGGGTTGGACAAAGGCTGGGCTGGGCCGCCTGGTGAATGCACGCCGCAGCAGGCCGAGCCGGACAGGGAAGCAGCCCCAACGCCGGCCGCGCGGCTGATGGATGGCAGCTCGAGGTGATGTTGACGTACAGGGGAGGGTTGGGGTGGGTGTGGCCAGACAAGATCAAGACAAGCAAGAATACCATAAGCCGGCGATGAGCCAGGCATTGTGACAGAGTTTGGGCGCCTTGTAGTTCCGGCTCGCGAGCGGTGACCAGCAAGACGGCGTGACACGAGAGACACGAGGTACGCATCTGCATGGAATGCGTGCACGGTTCAAGATGCGGGCGGTGGGACGTGACGTATGAGCAGTGGGCAGTGGGCAGTGGGCAGTGGGCACCCTCGCCCCTCTGTTTGGCTGCCGGCGGGGTGGATCCGCGTGCGTGCAGGCCGTCGCAGGACGTACTGTGGTAGTTCTGATGTGTGTTGGTAGCCCCCGCGTGCTCGACGACCAGCACATAGTGTAGAGATTGCCGATTTCCCGCTGGACTGAAGGTACCTGGGGACGGGCTTGGGCAGCCAGCCACCAGACTTTGTGTGGGCGGGTCTCGCAGGTGGCGATGCCTCTGCCCATACGGTAAGTATTTGGACGGCCTGCAGCAGTCCTCCGTACACACCCTTTCCCCCCCTCCGAGTCGAGCTGGTCGACCGTCACACACCATCACGTTCACATGATTTATGCTTTGGGCACTCATCAGGGCGGCTAATAACAAACAGCTGGCTGCTGAAGGGTCCAGCGTCGTGGTCGGATGCCAAGAGGGCCTGCTGAGTGGCTCCCTGCAGCATGCAGCTCTTCCATCGCTCTGGCCAGACCACTGCTTGCTTCCCCTGCTTCCCCGGTGTGTCTCCACCACCTTCCTCCTGGTCTGCTGGTGTGCACCCAGGCAAGCTGGCAAGCTGGCAGGCTGGCAAGCCAGGCAAGCCAGGCACCCCGCCATGCCCGCTCGACCCCTGCGTGCCTGCCAACCTGCTTGCACACCTGCACACTTCCTGACTTCCTGCCGCAGAGCCCCCGGCATACTGTGCAGTCGGCCTGTCAGTAGTGTAGTTGGGCACCAGAGCATCAGCCCGCTTCGGTGGGCAAGCGTGGGCTCCGTCCGCCTCGTTGCAGGTCCGGCCATCCAATTCGGCCGGCTTCTTCCCCCTAGATCGACATGACCACCCCACGACGAGGCAGTCAAGCCTCCACGGCCGTCAGCTCCGCCAGGGGCGCAAGGGGCGCCAGGGCCTGGAGAGCCTGACAGCCAGACAGCCAGCCAGCCCAGCCAGCCTCAGCTCGAAAGGGTGGAGAGCATCTACCGAGTCCCGTCCTGCCGGCCATTGACGTGTCGCCAGCAACTCGACCCGACTCACACGCCGCTTGGCTACCTGCTGTCCATATATCTATGCCGTCTAGTCCCGCATCTGGCCATTCCTGCATTTTTGGCCTTGCTCTGCCAGGGCCACACACCACACATCCCGTCACAAGAGGCGTGTCCACCGCGGTAGCGCGCATACGGTACCTACCACACCCTACATAGTACCCCTTCGTCACGCCCACACGGGGCCCTCCCTGCTGCCTCCAGCTCCGTTCCTGCCTTGTGCGAGGCTGCCCCGGTCTTGGCAGTGTGCCTCCCTCCCTACTTGAACAGCCAGGCCCCTCTCCGCTCTCCGCCCGCGCCTGCTGCCACCATGTCTTCGATGCTGCCCTTTCTCGAGGTGAGCAATCTGGCTGCCTCTTCCTCCTTCTACTCTACCGTTACCCACCCCCTTGGCCTGCGGTACATCTTTGCCGCCAGCCCTTCTCCTGATCTGCCGGGCTCTCCGTCCATCGTCTACGGCATAGCCTCCTCGCCCCCGGTGCCCGTCTTCGAGCTGCGCCAGGTCAGGGACCGCCCTCTCAAGCTCTCGCGTGTCGTCTTCTCCGCAGCCTCTCCGGCAGCCCTAAGGGACTTCAGCGCGCTCGTGCAGAGGATCAAGGGAGTGGACTCGGGTGCCATAGGCTTCGGAGACCACCCCGAGCTTGACGACCAGGCCTCTGGGGCGCAACTGGCGCAGCAGTCAGACGACAGCCCAGCCTCGGCCCAGACCGACCTCGACGGTAATCTCATCAGGATGGAGGTGGTGTACGTGCCCCCCGTGCAGGACTATCCGGAATGGTACACTGGTTCCACCGTCAGGGAGACCCAATCGACCCGGAGCGAGGCCAGCCGCATCCTCAACTGGAACTACGATGTTGCCGCCGATTCTGCCGCCAGCCTGTCGTCTGAGCCCCCCACGCCGTCCTCGCACCGCTACGACGAGCGTCCTTCTCTCCTCCGCCGCAGTGTCACCACCACCACGACCCTGCTGGAACCGACGGACCCAGGGTCGGCGTCACAGAGCCCCCGCGGCCTCAGCGCTGTCGGTGCGGCTCTCATGGGGGTCGCCGCTGGCGCCGCGCTCGGGGCCGGCATCACGTACTCCGTGGTGAGGGGCTCACAAGACTTCGAACCGCCCTTGGCCCAGCGCCGATCGACATTCCCACGCCAGTACTCAGACTCGCACAGCCGGCGTGATGGTGGCACATCGGTGGCGGACCGCCGGCCGCCGCCTACCTTGCTGACCAGGCACTCGTACTCCCAGGCGCCATCCGCCGCGGATCGGGACGCCGACAGTGGCTATGACGATGCCCGCAGCCGGCACTCGTCGCGCTCTAGGCCAGCCGGCACGCCGAGTGTCCGCACGCGCAGCGAGCTGTCGACCAGCCGGAAGCCGCTCCTGCTGACGGACGTCGCCAGCCGCAGCAACGCAGGTTCTAGGTCCAGCGCCAGGACGGCCGAGATGGAAGACGTCGTCTTGGGGCCAGGAAACCCCAGACCCACTAGCTCCAGGTACAGCACGGCGTCCAGGACGTCGAAGCACCCGCCCTCGGTCCGCCGGAGCAGCACCTACGACGGCCCCGTGGTTGATAGCTACAGCTGCGTCTCGGCGGGGAGCTATCGCACGCAGAGCACTGTGCGCCCCCCGCCCCCGGCGCCGCAGCCCGAGCAGGTGCCCCGCGCCTTATCCAAGGCTCCCTCCAAGGCGCCGTCGAAAGCGCCGTCCAAGGCCCCGTCCAGGGCACCATCCAAGGCGCTGGGCCCAGCGAGCAGTCGGGAGTCTGCCGTCACAGCATGGCCGCGCGCGAGAGCCGACAGCTACGTCTCAGCGAGGCACGTTCCTTTACCCCCAAGCGGTGTAGGGAGCAACTATGCGGATGATGACCTTGAGAGCCTCGCCCCGAGTGACAGCATTAGCTGCGTGGGCAGTCGTAGGAGCGAGAGGCTGTACCAATAAGTAAACCCAAGGCAACACTGGCCGATGGGTCCAGTCAGGTCGCCGTGAGGGTCAGCCCTGCACCACCAGGGGCGGTACTCACCTATGGCTTTCCTTTTCTTCTAGGTTTGGCTTCTGATCTCTGCCTCCTTGTTTCTTGGCTCTTGTGTGTTTATGACCGGGTTGGTATACGTGAATTCGGCAGACAGGACGAAAACGACTATAACGACAGCAGCGGGCCCGAGGGCTCTGGCATCTCATAAATCATCCCACGCAGAGCAATCTGCTGCATGGAGCTCGGTCGGATTTGCAAAAGAACGAGCATGGGCAGGAGTTATGGCTTGCTAGCAACGTATCATTGCGGTGTGTGAACTTGGTCGCGTGGGATTCCCATGGGCCCATCTCTCCGAAGATTGGCCTACCATATTGCAGCTCGGGCATGCTCGTAGGTATTTCGGTATCATGTTTCCATAGGTACAAGGTGTGGATGCAGGCAAGCGCGCCCCGTCCGTCAAGCCTAATTACCAGATAGTGGGGTCGGGGGATTATAACGACAAGTTGTTGGAAGTACGACCGCCTGCTGCTTCGTCTCCCGAAGTTTTGCCACCGCCCAGATGTGCCTCCGATTGTCGGCCGGCCCATCTTCTAGCTCCGTTACGGGAACACAACGGCCCCGGTCCGGGGGCCTGGCTGAGAAATGCCCATGTACCGTAGATTGACTGGAGCGCATCTCGGGCAAGGAATGATGAGTCTTTAGAGAATCATATGGGTCCTCTATTTTTCTCCCCGTCCCCAAACCCTGCGGTCAACTGCACACACTCCTGCTAGCACGGCCATTCACACAGAGCGTGAGCACACTCTATAGATCTACCCTTGACTCACTCGTTGCCGTCCCGCCCAGTCATTCATAACCCCCTTTCCACGTCGCACCACAACGGCGCCAAGTACGCCGACACGGCCTGGCCTTACCTCCTGCTAGACTACTGGATCATCTTTGTAACGATCACACACCACCACCGGCCCTCCATTCCTGCCTCTCCGGTTCCCGAGGCTCGACGGCGCCATGCCTCACCTCAGTCTAGGGGAGTCCATCCCGCCGGACACGGCTCATGTAGGTTCTCAGCGCCCGGGACGATGGATGCAGTGGGATGTATTTGCTAACGCGAAGGACCCCTCTGAAAGGCCGTCAGCGTGTCACTGCCCACGTGGAAAGCAAACGTGGGCTACGAAGAGGGCGAGAAATGGGTTGTGAACAGCATGGTCACGGGCTACCCCAGATTCTTCATCCACCGGAGCATAGCTGCTCTTGCGCAGGACGTTGTGGACAAGTTCGGGCGGCCTGGATACTCGGCCATGCTGTTCCCCAATGCGACCATCGCCCTGAGATGCGTCGCCTTCATCAGGGAAAAGGCGCCGGCTGCGGTGCATGAGCAGCTCGACACTGTCCACCTGGTGCTGGACTCGTCGAACCCGGCAGCCGCGGCCTTGAAGCCCATCGGCCCAACAGTCTCGGCCGTCTTGTTCGTCCCCGAGGCATTCCCCTTTGCGAAGCAGTACTGGCAGCACAGCGGAGACGGCATCTCCAGCCGGCGCGCCGAGTTCTGCAGCAGCCTCCTTGACCAGGGCCTGCTGGTGCCAGATGACGCACCCAAGCCGCCGGCGTCCCCCGTGCGTCGAATGCCTTGTAAGGGCCCAAGGCGTTACCAGAGGCCCATGTCTGTCGACGAGACAGTGTCCCCACCGAGGAATGGAAACTCCAACGGGAACTCCAACGGGAACGGCAACGGGAACGGGGCGGCGCCGCCGGACACGGAAGAGACGTCCCGGTTCGTCGAGGAGCGCTTTGGCCGGAACCTGGACATATCCCTCGTGGAGCGAGCCAAGACGGCCATCAGGCGACGCATCGCCGGCACTCTGACGCACGACGTGGATGTTAAGAAACACCCACTCCCCCAAGCGGAGCCCAGCAACCGAGGCGTCAAGGGCCTGACAGAACGCGACATCTACCTGTTCCCGTGCGGCATGAACGCCATCTACACCACGCACCGCCTCCTCATGAAGGCCCGTGGCAGCCACAAGAGCATCAACTTTGGCTTCCCGTACGTCGACACCCTCAAGATCCTGCAGAAGTTCGGCCCGGGCTGTCTGTTCTACGGGCGGGCATCCGAGGAGGACCTGGACGACCTGGAGCAGAGGCTCGAGGCGGGCGAGCGGTTCCTGGGGCTGTTCTGCGAGTTCCCAGGCAACCCGCTGCTGATCTGCCCGAACCTGAAGCGGATCCGGGCGCTGGCGGACCGGTACGACTTTGCGGTGGTGGTGGACGAGACGATCGGGACGTTTGCAAACATCAACGTGCTGCAGGACGCCGACGTGGTGGTCAGCAGCCTGACCAAGATCTTCTCGGGCGACTGCAACGTCATGGGCGGCAGCGCGGTACTGAACCCAAAGAGCCGGTACTACGGCGAGCTCACCGAGGCGGCGCGGCACGAGTACCAGGACACGTACTGGCCCGAGGACGCCATCTTCCTGGAGCGCAACAGCCGCGACTTTGCCACGCGCATCGACCGCGTCAACGCCAACGCCGAGGCCATCGCCGAGCTGCTCCTCACCAACGGCCTGGTCAAGCAGGTGTACTACCCAAAGCACAACAAGGACAGGGCCAACTACGACGCGTGCAGGCTGCCGGACAAGGGCTACGGGGGGCTCCTGTCCGTCGTCTTCCACCGCAAGGAGGACGCCATGGTCTTCTACGACACCATCGAGACGGCCAAGGGCCCCAGCCTGGGGACCAACTTCACCCTGACCTCGCCCTACGTCCTCCTCGCACACTATGCCGAGCAGGAATGGGCGGCCAGCCTCGGTGTCGACCCCGACCTGATCCGCATCAGCATCGGGCTGGAGGAGACGGACCAGCTGGTTTCAATCTTCCGGGACGCCCTCGACGCGACAAAGGAGGCCTCGCAGAAGTCGTAGATATCGTAGAGTCTAGGTGGTATGGTTGAGAAATAAAAGCAAGGACGGGCCTGAGCATCACAACACATCGTTTCACATGGGCGGTAGTTGTAGCGAGAAGCATATTTGGGAAAAGGGAGCCCTCCCAAAAAAACAGAGCGGCTGCAACCAATAATAGCAAATTGAATCTCTATGTGCCTTGCAATCCCATTCATTCATTCATGGTGTGTGTGTGTGTGTCAAGATGCCGAGGACAGGCTTCGTTCGTCAAGACTGGATCCTAGCAGACCCCCTGACCCCCCCCCCCCCCAGCCCGCGACACTGCAGCAGCAGTTAGGGTCAGGGTCTGTCTGCACCGGTGCCGAGCCGGCGCAACGCCGTTGAATTTTGGATGGGCAGCCGCCTGCCGTGCGAGACACCACCGCATGCCAATTGACGACCAAGAAAGATCCACCGCCTCACAACCGCAGCCCTCCCCGAAAAGAAGTTGTCGCCAGAAAAACAGCCACGCGTCGCCCTGTGAGCCCCACGGCTCCATCGATTATATCACAGCTGGTGGTTCGCGACCCGCAATGTCTGCCAGAGCGGTGGCGCCAGCCGTATCGGCGGCGGCCAAGACAGTGACGAGGACGCCGTCGGGTGCATTTTCGAGGGAGCTGAGTGGCATAGTTGTCTCGTCGGGGCTGGCACCAAAAACGGTCAAGGTGCAGGTGGCAAAGGAGGTGTGGAACAAGAAGGTCAAAAAGGTGAGCCATGCCATCCCGACACAACAAGAACAAGTGCAGGCGTGGAACAGACCGCTGACCATCTGCTTCCTTCCCCCCCGCGGCAGAACTTCCAACACTTCGAGCGGTACCTGGTCCACGACCCAAGGGACTCCCTGCGGACGGGCGACATTGTGAGCATAAGCTCGGGCTGGCGGACGTCCAAGACCAAGAGGCACATCGTCAACCGGATAATAGCCCCTTGGGGTCCGCCTATTGACCAGAGGCCCGCCGTGCCCACGCCCGAGGAGAGGGAGGCCGCCCATGCCGCCGAGCGCGCCAAGAAGAACGCGCGCAAGCAGCTGCGCGCGCAGGCCGAGGCCATGGAGAGGGCCGTGGAAAAGGCCCACAGGACGACCGAGGAGCTCGCGCGCCGCGGCGGGGATCTGGGGTATCGCGCGCCGTGAGGTGGGCCTGCGTTGTGCGGTAGAGGTATGCTGCGAGAAGTTCGCGGCGGGGGCTGCGTAGGAGGGGGGCAGCCCGGGCCCTGTGTCCAGTGGCACGCAAGAGGCCAGGCGTGACGCGGCGTGGCGTGACCTGATGCGCCTACGGAGGGAAGTACAACGTCAAATCACACAGGCAGGCTGTAGTGTATGTATCACACGGTCTGTACATGCGAATGGCGGGTTCAGACTCGGCGGGTTGAACCTGGCCTTGGAACATCGAAAGGCGCCGTGAACGCCTTGTTCAATGCCTCGAGGCACATCGAAAAATTTGCTATCCAGACCGCTAGAACAATATGCATCCTCATCCCAATATGAATAGCTTCAACCTCCGCGCTCCCCAAACTCCGCGGCCCAGTCCTCGTGCTCCCTCAGGCCGGCTTTGCTCACGCTGGGCCGTATGTTCGTGAGGCTAGACACGAAATCTTCCAGCGCGATGGGCCGTATCTCCTCCATGGTCATGTGTAGCAACGCCTCACCGAGTGACCTCAAGGGGCCCATGGCAGCGTCCTTGGCTAGCGCAGTAATGTCGGATCCAGAATAGCCTGCAGTGGGACAAGTATTAGCCAGCCATCCCCACTGGGTCAACGCATGATGGGCAACTCACCATCGGTCAGCTCGACCAGCCTCGCAAAGTCCTCGTCGGTGAGGCTGTGCTTCTGCTGCCCCAGTAACGTCTTCAGGTGTGTGGCTCTGGTCTCCGACTCGGGCAGCGGGATGTACTGCCGTCTTACAAATCTCCGGCGGGCCGCCTCGTCGATGGCCCATGGCAGATTTGTCGCCGCGAGGACCAGGACCCGGTTGGCGTCGCCCCTCTCCTTGTCCCCCGAGTCCCGGCCGGCCGCGGCTCGCTGCAGGTCACTCCATTGGATCAGGAACTCGGTCTTGATCCTCCTCGTTGCCTCGTGCTCCCCCGAGCCTGACCGCTGCGAGAGCAGCGAATCGATCTCGTCGACAAAGATTATGCTGGGGGCCAGGACCTTGGCCAGCCCAAACAGGGCCCGGACCAGCTTCTCCGACTCCCCCAGGTACTTGCTTGTCAGGCTGCTTGCGGATATGGAGAAGAACGTCGACCTGGACTCCGTGGCAACAGCCCGAGCCAGCATCGTCTTGCCTGTCCCGGGAGGGCCGAACAATAGCATGCCCCGTGCGGGCTCCCGGAGACCCATGAAGAGATCCGGACGTAGGAAAGGGTAAACAACAGCCTCCCGCAACGCGCTCTTTGCCACCTCAAGCCCGGCGATATCGCTCCAGTGCACCTCGTCCCCGCGCACCACGATCTCGTTCAGGATCTGCTTGGCAGCATTCTTGTCGACGCCCGGGGGCAGGTTCTTCATCACTTCCGCCTTCCTCTTCTTCCATGATCTCTCCGGGCCTGCGTCGTCCCCGCCCGACTCTCCCGAGTTGTTCCTGGAATGCGACCTTGAATTCGACCGCGAGTGGCTGCTGGAGTTGGCCGCCAGGGCCCGCTCCTTTTGCGATACTCGTCTTTTCGGGCGCGAGGATGCGAACCCGGAATCGCTCCCTTCTAGGCTAGAGTCGGATGCCGATTTCCGGACCGCAGCGGGCGCCTTTGCACTGGCTGCCCAGCTGGAACTGGTTACGCGCTCTTTTTCCACGTGGCCGGCTTTGGGCCGCGTGGCCAGGCTTGCACTGCTCCCACCCTTGCTGTGAGACCGGCTTGGTGTGTGATCCTGGTCGCCTCGCAACAGTTTGCCCTGCAACCTCGCTGTCTGATCCAGTTTGTGACGGTGTCTTCGTTCGTGATCGCGGTGTTCAGACTCAGCCGACCCGTTCAGCGCACTTGACGCCGCGTTGATAGAGAGAGCGGACGCCTCGACATTTAGATCGTCCAAGAAAGGCGACGTGTCCGACAGCTCGGTACTACGTCTCCTCGCTACCGCCCCGGCCTCTTCGTCCCTGTGTCTGACTAATCTCCGCGAATGGCTGTCCCACTGCCTGGCCGACGAGGTCGTATCTGGCCTCCTCGAGCTATATGCGCGGAGGTCCAGGGATGGGAGGCTGGTGCTCTGACCGACAGAGGCATCCGCATCGCGCCCGAGTGATGACTTATTCCGTGTGCCCAGAGCGCCCCAGGCAAGTGTAGCAGCCCTGCTGGCGCCAGGTTCATCGGTTGCCTTGGGCAACGGCCGGCGTGAGGACTTGCCCGATCTTTCGCCAGACTTGTTCGAGCGCAGTGTAGTCCTCATCGTGTACTTTTCGGGGCTCGGTGAGCGAGAGGGCCTCCTGCTGGAAGAAGGCGTGTGGTAGCCAGAGGGCCGCGGCGCAGAAGATGGCCCCCCAACCTCAGCGCTGGCACGCCTGTCTCCCACCACAGCCTGCTCCGAGGAAGTCCTAGTATTCAGGGACGGACGCGGCGGTAAGGCTGGCCGTGACAGTTCCGGGTAGGTGATAGCCGGTATGGTTCCGTCGCCAATCCAACCTTTCCCCGAAGTACTCCTGCGTGGTTCCATGTCCGAAGGCCCTATGTATTCGACCAACTTCCCGCTCGAGGGTGTCCTTGGGGTGCTGGCGGCGTCCTCTTGACGAGACATTCTCAAGGCTTCCAGGAGATCTATGCGCTCCTTGCACTGTAGCTCGAGCTTCTTTAAACTCTCGACCAATGCTCTCTCCGTCTCGGATCTGGGGTCGTAGGTGGCTGGCACTTTATTCGCATTGTGATCGTATATATTGCTGAGAGCTGATTTCCAGCAGCGCATCGCCTCCTTCTCATTGCCCTGCAGGAACGTGTCAGCCGAGCTCCCGGTCTCATATTATGGAACCCAGGCAGCCAGAAGTTTGGGTTGGGGGGGGGGTGCACAAAGGCAGGCAGGGGACGCCTCGGGGACGCTTACCTGGCCCTCATAGTACACAGCGGTAGAACAGGTCAGGTAGCTTTCATCGTATGTTTTCTGCAGGGCAGGCAGTGTCGCCTTGTTTCGGAGCATTGTGCCGCCGTCAGGACCACCGCCGGGCCTGGGTAGTAACTCATGAGGCGGGCATGCGCATAGAATGTCGTAGGCACAAGGAGCCTGCGGGGGAGACAGTTACGCGACTCTTTGATCGTAGACAGAAGAGAAGCTGGCGCCTGCGGAGTTGTCGCCGGTTTGTGAGGCCAATACGTTGGGCCGTTTAGTGGTTGGCATGCAGCAGCGGCGGGTTGTCATATGTATCGGGCATGCATATGTGGGTGTGAGCGAGTGCGTGTCGTGTGCATAAATGTAGACGGATGCGCAAGTAGTTCGCGTTGCGGGACGAAAGAGTCTAGTAGTATGGAGTGGAGTGGGCTGGGCCCTCGCGGAATGGACCACCAGACCCGCATGGCCCTACCATTGTAAGTACTGTTAGGTACCTAGGCAAGTACTTCAGTAGTCTACACGCCTAGATAGCTGTCGGCTGAAGTCCCTGGACTAAACCCAGGAAGGCCGCTGACACCTGCTCAGGACCATTGGCTGACCACTGGCCGGGTGACGTAGGTAAGCCCCAACCCGGCGGAGAGGGCCAAACTGCCCTTTGATGACCATCCTCTGGTACCGCGACGCCGCACGCTTGGTACCCGCAGGGGTCACCCTGAGCCCGTCAGCATGGCCATTTTATGGGGACAGACCCCAGACGCAGCCGCTGGGTGTCCATGGGTTCCAATCCTACAACACCTATTTTCGGGGTGACAGCCACTGAATTTTGGAAAATGAGACGGACAACACCAACATGGCATTCATGCACCGCCGGCGTCTTCTGCCCCTTTCTTCTGTCTATTCTCCTGCGCAGTCCTGCATTACATAGTCTTTCAGCCGCGCATGAAGTCGGCACAGGTAGTCTCGTTTTACAAGTCCAGGGTCCCACCCAGGGCCATCACGACAGCAGCACGCGGATCTCGTCCGCTGTCCTGGGGAAGGCTATGCGCAGGCTCTCCACCTCCTGGTCCGCCCCGCTTGAGCTGCTCTGCCGCTCGGCGGCTTCGTCTGCAGACATGAGCATGTTTTCCAGGCGCCCAAAGTCTGCGAGGAACCTCTCTGCAGCTTCTTCAGTGATCTCCCTGGCAAGGCGCGAGTCTTGCAGTTTCTGAATGTTCTCCATGGCGTCCATGAGGGCCGACGCGAGGAAGTTGTCTAGCGTCCTACTCGTAAGCTCCAGCGAGGCCGGTTGGAAGGGCTCGAGTTTCCGCATGCGCCCGATGTCCTCGTGGCTTTCATTCATCGACTCGATGGAAGTCAGGACGACATCCAGGCCTGACTCCCTCCTGAAGAATAGGTACTGGCTGTCGACCAGTACCTGGGAGCTCTGATCCACCTCCCTTTGGAGTTTCTCCACGCGCCCCTGGGCAAAATCGAACCTCGAAAGCGTCTCGATGGCTGCCTGCGCGCAGTTGATGGAGAAGATGGATCTTGTGGGGGCTTCGAGTCTTTCGGCCATGCCCTCACACCCCGAGACGAACGGGTCCAGTGCTTCGGCTAGGATAGGCTCGAAGCCTGCTTCCCGCCTGTCCGAAGCGGTCAGAGACGTGTCATACGTCTTCATGACCGCGGAAAGCTGCTCGAGCGCCTCGCGGAAGATCTCCGGGGGCTCGAGGTTCGCGGAAGGCGCCTGCTGGAATTCCCCTTGGAGGTTGCCCACGTAGTCTCTCATGAGTGATCTGAACAGGCGTAATGCGTCGGACTCGAGGCCCTGAAGGCATTCCACCAAGACCGACGCGGCGCTAAGCAGTTTTGCAAAGGTGGCGCGGTAGAAATTCAGCAGGTTGGCCAGCTTGTATGCCAGGATGACATCCTCGTTGGTCTGGATAACCTGCTCGACTCTCTGCCGGAGGATCCTGGCGGCGCCAGACATGTCCCGATCTACCAGCTCGTTCAGGGCCTTGACGGGGTCGAAGACCTCGCTCTCGCCGTCCTCGCCGTCCTCGACCAAGTGCCACACCTCGTTTTCACGGCCGGCCTGGATTCCCTTGGCAATCTCGTCCCCTTCTGAGACAAACAGTATCTCCAGTGCCTCTCGTTCGCTGACGGCCGCCGAATGTATCCATGCGAGCATATCCCCCACGTAGCGCAGCTGGTCGTGGGCGGCCAGCTCGATGGGCTTCACTGACCGGTCCTCCACGCCAGATGCAGTTGATCCGGTGAGCGCAGTGTGGAAGGAATCCGAGAGGAGCTGTTCCCGGGTCTCGGCAAACAGGTCGAGGCAGTTCTGGAAAAGGGAGGGGCGTTCTGCCAGCACGCGCAGGGCACGCCGCATGGGGGAGCCCATCTGTGGGTTTTCCAGGTTCAGGCTCTTGAACTCGCGCTGGATCCAGCGGTAAAGCTTTTGGAAAGCCAGGTTCAGGTTCTTCGACGTGTTCTCCATGATCTCGAGCCCAAGGGCTTGGTTCTCGAAGCCAAGCAGGATCTCGCAGTCCTTGCGTATGCCCTTGGCCTTGGCAAGGACTGTGAAGAAGGCGTCGTCAACAGGCTCCGCAGTCGATGTCAGGGCCGACAGCTCGTCCTCGGAGAGCAAGAAATGTTTGTTGAACGACGCAAGCACCTGCTGCTTGGTCTCAACCTGCCGGCGCTGTGTCATCAGAGACGATGCGTCGTTTGTGACAGAAGCAGTTGCCCCATGCGCGGCAGAGATGTGCGCCTTCATGCCGTCGTAGCTCTTGTTTAGTTTGGCAATGGTGGCGCCTATGCGGCGCAGCTGATCGGCAACTCTCCCAAACTCCACGATGATGCTGCCATTGCTGTCGATTACCTCCTTCTGCAGCTGCAGTCGGACCTGGCGGCGGGTTGTGGCAGAGTTGGTGAGGCCGCGGTCATCTATGAGTGCAAGGGCACCGCGGAATTCAGAGTCGGCATAAGAGGTGGCCAGGACGGTGGTGACCTTTGACGAGAACGGGTTGGGTCCCTTGAAGGCTGACGCTGTTGTTGGCGTCTGGGGCACAGGCACCGAGCCCAAGGGGGATGAGGCTTCAGAAGCCATCATGCCATGCTCCTCCCGGGAACGAGGATACCCGCACAAAAGGTCAGCTACCGATGAATGTGAGGCCGGGCATGGGGGTGGGCATCGAATGGACTGTCTGGCTTGGATATAAGACGAGACCGAGTGGACAGACAGGCTGGACGGACAAATGAGGGCTAGCCTGCCCCCACGGCTCCAGCCTGCCAGGCCTGCCTGAGAGGCGCCGGGGGGGCTGCATGGGTTAGGGGAGCTCAAGCTTCAAGGTCCCAGTAGGCTGGGCGGGGTGCGGGTGGGCATGGGGCCTCTGACCGCCTGCCATTCCTGTCGCCGGCGTCATCAGACCCCATGGGCAGGCTGGCAGGAGGGGGACAGCTCGGTCAGTTGCTACCTACCTAGGTGCCTACCTAGGGTACTTAGCCTTGCAGGGCCCCCCCAACTCGGCCATGTGCAAGTCGTCTTGTCCCCACGCATCTGCCGCCCTTGTGATAGAACCACCAGAGCCCACCTGACCCAGGCAGCAGTCCGACAGCATTCCTAGGGAGCATCAGGGACCCTTACGTGCGTACCTACCGCTGTCCTCTAGAGGAGAGGCGGTCTCTCACCTTTACCGCTCGAACTTCGATATAGACCACCGCATCCCCAGATGCGTCATTCTCCCGGCCCTCCATCATCCACAAGAAGCGAGTACTAGTTAGACGGCTCGCCCGACTGCCTCCGCCTCCGCCTCCGCCTCCGTCATGCTATCATGATCCCCCGACAGACAGCCCTCTGCCAGACATAACGAAGACCGCATGCCTCGAACATGACATCCAACTTCTTCTCGAGGCTCGCTCCTGCGAGCCAACAGAGGTCTTTCTACGAGGAACTGCGCTCCCGCAACGATGATCTCGACGTCGAGGATCGCGCCGGCTTCGCGCTGGACGACGAGAACCTCAACCACAGCTTTCAGGAGGACGACATAGACCCCGAGACCCTCGCCATCGAACACAGCAGGATGACACAGGCCACTGACCCTCGCCCGGACCGCCGACGCAACACGAGACCGCCCCCCCAAGAACAAGAGACTGCGTGGCCACACCCCGATGAAGAAGGCGATAATGATAATGATGTGCCGGCCTCCCTCCTGGTCGAGAATCACACTGTGGATCCTCCAGCTGGGCCAAGCCGCCCGGGAAGGCCAGCCACACACCCACGGTCACATGGCGCCCCCGAGCCTTCGACCAGGAGGCTCCGTGCTCAGTGGGAGGCAGCACAGCAACAGCAGAGGCTCCACCGGGACGACCGTGCCGCGGCCGCCCCTCCACATGCCAGAGCGCGCTCGAACCGAGTGGTGGGCAGCATCATCACGGGAACGGCCGAGCAGAAAGCCATGTGGAGATGGGTTAACATCACGAACCTCGACAGCTTCATGCAGGACGTATACAACTACTACCGGGGTAATGGCCTGTGGTGTATCCTGCTGGACCGTGTCCTCCACCTGGTCGAAGTCGGCTTCATCGTCGCGTTCCTCACGTTTCTGACACAGTGCATCGACTATTCCAAATTCCCCCACAGCAAGTCGCTGGACCAGGTTCTCGTACCCCAGTGCACAAAGAAAATGTCCGGGTCCTGGAATTTTGGGCTGTGGATATTTGTCTTTTATTTCATTTGGAAAGCCATCCAGGTCCCACTGGACATCCGGCGCCTCCTACACCTCCGGGACTTTTATTCTCACCTGCTCGGCATCCCCGAGCATGATATGCAGAGCGTCTCGTGGCAGGACGTCGTTGTCCGAATAATGGGCCTCCGGGATCAGAATCCCAAGACAGCAGGTCACTTGACGGCACGCCAGCGCAAGTTCCTTGGTAGTCAGTCCAAGGAGAGGCTCGACGCGCACGATATTGCCAATCGGCTGATGCGAAGGGAGAACTTTCTCATAGCCCTGATCAACAAGGACATCCTGGACCTGACCATCCCGCTGCCGTTCTTGAGGGGGCGGCAGTTCCTCTCGCGGCTCCTCGAGTGGACGTTGAATTTCAGTATCATGGACTACGTTTTTGACGAGCGTGGACAGGTGAACCAGGAGTTCCTCAAGTCGGATCGCCGGGGCCAGCTGAGCCAGAAACTGCGGGCAAGGTTCCTGTTCGCCGGGGTTATGACCCTGATGATAGCTCCTGTCATGGCTGGCTACCTCTTCGTCATGCACTTCCTGACCTACTTTCATGTGAGCCCCGACCCCTCCACCTGGCCTGGGCAAACCAGGTCCGATCAAGATACTAATCCGTTGCGTAGGAATACCGCAAGAACCCTTCGGCCTTGGGGACGCGAGCATACACGCCCTTGGCCGAATGGAAGTTCCGGGAGTTCAATGAACTTTCTCACATCTTCCAGGAACGCCTCAATATGTCATACCCCTTCGCCACGCGCTACCTGGACCAATTCCCCAAGGAGATGACGGCGCGCATGGCGAGAACCGTATCCTTTGTCGCCGGGCCCCTGGCGACCGTGCTGGCGATCATGACGATGGTGGACACCGACCTGCGGTTCGAGATCACGCCTGACCGATCGGTGCTGTTCTACTTCTCCATCTTTGCTGGTGTGTGGGCCGTTGCGAGGGGCATGGTCCCGGAGGAGAACATGGTCTTCGAGCCCGAGTACGCCTTGAGGCAAGTCATCGAGTACACGCACTACGAGCCAGACCGCTGGCAGGCGCTGGGACTACACAGCTCTGCCGTCAAGGACGAGTTTTCGGCCCTGTACAAGAACAAGCTGGTGATATTCCTGGAGGAGATCCTGGGCATCCTCATTGCGCCCCTGATCCTGTCTGTCAGCCTGCCGCGGTCGAGTGAACAGATTGTCGACTTCTTCCGGGAGTTCACCATCCACGTGGACGGACTGGGATATATCTGCTCGTTCGCCGAGTTCGACTTCAAGAAGGGTGTCGGGAAGCCAAAGCCAGACACAGACACACGCGAAGACTACTACACGACGAAACATGGCAAGATGGCGGCGTCGTACTATGGATTCCTTGACAATTACGTGATAAACCCCAGGACGGGGATCCCGGGCCACCTGCCACCGGGTGCGCGGAACCAATTCCAGCCTCCCCCGGCGTTCCCCAGCCTGCAGTCCCCGACGCTGGCGGCAGAGATGGCTACATCGCGGATGGGCCGCAGCGAGCTGGGACGGGCCAGGAGCCGAGGGCCCGGGGGGGCCACGCACACGGGCAGGACGCCGAGGCACGGAATGGCGGCGCCACCAACGTTCTCGCCGATGGCGTCAATCCTGCTGGACCCGCACCATCAGCCGCCGGCTTCGACACTGGGCCGTAGCATGCACCGGGCGCGGCCGGGCAGGCACAGGGAAGACATCATCGAGGAGGGGTTCGAGGGCGAGGGCAACGGTGTGGACACGAGGCGACACGAGGAGGAGGATGCGTACGAGAGCGGACACGGGCTGGACGAGTCTGCGTGGCAGGCATCGCCAGCGCAGGCACTCAGCCGTGACAACAGCGCGACCAACCAAGGCGACAGGGAGGAGGGCGTGTTTGGGATGATGTACCAATTCCAACGAGAACTCCAGCCAAGGCCAGGGGGCATGCGCTAACCGTGTTGCAAGTGTTGGCGGGGGGGTGGGCAGGGCATTGGCAGGGCATTGGCGTTGGTCGGAGTATCGAGGTAATTAATGGGTTTGGTGGGTCTATATTGGGTTTTCACTGTGGGCATGGAAATGGGACCCTGGGTTTTCAAGGGCTACAAGCCTGGCACAACGTGCCCAGGTCATATGTCACGGGAGGCAGGCCTGGGGTCTAATAAGGGGTAGCTATTGTTTCCCCTACAACAGATAAAGACATCAACCCTGCCACATTTGCACATCTGACAGCTCTTGGAGTCCGGGTCGTGATGGGAAATGCGCCACGGCGAGGGGGCTGGACGTAGATGCGACGGTAGCCATACGGCCAAGACAGCTTATTATGTGGCACTGGTACGGACAGCAGATGGACGGGCTGGCTGGCCGGCCGGGGCTGGGACGGGCGAGCAGGGACGAAAAGACCGAGGCCGAATCGGAAGGCCGATAGCTCCTGCTGGCGGCTGGCGGCTGGCGGGCAGGATGGGCAGGATGGGGAGCGAGGTGTGTCTGGCCTGGCATGGTGCGGGTCCAGATGCTTATCAGATCCGAGAAAACAGAGGGTCCGTTCCCAGCCTGGCAGGCTCGGCCTATCAGGCCAACACCTAGGCCCCCGTTTTCTGGGGTACGTGCACTACCCGTGGCGCTGCGGTACGTCGGTACTCTGGTACTGTGCGTGGTGGGCATGGCCCCCTGTCTGCGGTGCTCCGACTAAGGAACCCTTTATTAGCTCGCCCCAGCTCAAGTTTTGTCTACGGCTGGGCCGTTGAGGTGAGTTGCGGAGGTATATGGGATACACCAGTGCCGCGGCCCTGCACGGTCAGTCCTTGACAGATCTCGACATCTCCGCGCATTAAAAAACAAAACAAAACAAAAAAAACCACTGCACTGCACGGCACAGCCAGCCAAAGCCAGCCTGTCGATCCGTCAGCCCGCCGTCCAGCCAGATCTGCCAAGGTGCCCGAGCTGCCCGACCGAGGTGCCTGTGTTTGTGCTTGTGCCTGTGCCTGGCCGGCCGTCTGAGAAATTTACCTGTTGCCGTCTTCTCCGGCCTGGACCTGCTCTGCCTGCCTGCCTGCCTGCCTGCCCGCCCGCCTGCCCGCCTGGCCCGCCCGTCCAACGAGCTAGGCACTGCGCTGGACCTTCTAAGTTGTACGTCCCATCTCTGCCTCCAACGTAAACCTTGCGCATTGGCCGAGAGAAATCCTCCTCTTCCCCGGGCATCATCACCGTCGTCACCACCGCCGCCGCCGCCGCCGCCGCCATTGGCCCCGGCACCCCTGAGCCACGCCCTCTTCCTCTGTTGCGCCAGCTGTCCTGTGCTTCTGCGTGCACTCGGCGCCCCCTTGCATCGCGTCACAAGCCTCGGTTGAGCTCAAACCCACAGGAGCGAGGCGCCCGGCTCCCCCCTTCAAGCCGCCCCGTTTGCCGTTTGCCGTTTGCCGTTTGCCTCGCGGGCACCTCGAGCTGAATTGTGCGCAAGCCTCTGCCCTAGGAACTTCCGGCGTGCTGCTGCTACGGCCGTCGCCTACGATAGGCCCCGATCCTCCGCCATCATCACCCTGGATTTCCAAAAGTCCTTCGGCGAAGCATCTGCCGCTGCGGCCCAGATGGCCCAGCCAAATGCCGCGCCCGTCGAGGACCATGACGACTACGAGTGAGTTGCTCCTGGCCCTGCGTCTGTCGCACCGCACCGCACCGCACTGCATGCCTGCTGACCTGGCCCCCGGGGGCCGCGCTGCAGCTATGAATCCCTACCGCCCAACTTCAGTCTGTTCCAGAACATGGTGGCCGGTGCCTTTGCCGGCATAGCTGTACGTCCAGTCGCAACAAGAGGCCCTCCCCGTCCCCTGCTCGCATCGAGACCCTGACCGCACCCAACAGGAGCACACGGTCATGTACCCTATCGACGCTATCAAGGTTCGTCCGCCCTCGCCACGCCTTCCTCCACGCTGCCCCTTGGTCGGCCATGTCGCCTAACCTCCCGTGCGCCGCGCAGACACGAATGCAGGTCCTGAACCCCTCTCCCACCGCCGTCTACAACGGCGTCATACAAGGGACATACAAGATGGCCACCGGCGAGGGCATCCTGAGTCTGTGGCGTGGCATGTCGAGCGTCGTTGTCGGCGCGGGCCCGGCACATGCCGTCTACTTCGCAACCTACGAAGCTGTCAAACACGTCATGGGCGGGAACAAGGCCGGTGTGCACCATCCTTTGGCCGCAGGTTAGGCTAGCCCACCACCCGTCGCCCGGCACGACCCAGAAGCTGACCCCTAGCAGCCACCAGCGGAGCCGCCGCGACCATCGCGAGCGATGCGCTCATGAACCCCTTTGACGGTACGAGCAGGAACGTTCCCCGTCCACGGCCTCCCGCTGACAACCGCATCACAGTTATCAAGCAGAGGATGCAGATCAAGAACTCGAGCAAGATGTACCGGTCTTTGACCGACTGCGCCAGGTACGTCTACAGGACTGAGGGGCTCGGCGCCTTCTACGTCTCGTACCCGACGACGCTCTCCATGACGGTGCCTTTCACCGCCCTCCAGTTCCTCGCCTACGAGTCCATCTCCACCGCCATGAACCCGGGCAAGCAGTACGACCCCTTCACCCACTGTGTGGCGGGTGCTGTCGCTGGTGGCTTCGCCGCCGGTCTCACCACGCCCATGGATGTCATCAAGACGATGCTGCAGACCAGGGGCACGGCGTCGGACGCAGAGCTGAGGACGGTGAACGGCTTCAAGGCAGGCTGCCAGCTGCTGTATCGCAGGGAAGGCTTCAGGGGCTTCTTCAAGGGCGTCCGGCCGAGGATCGTCACCACCATGCCTAGCACGGCCATTTGCTGGTCGGCCTACGAGTTCTCAAAGTAAGATCCGCTCATCCTCGAGCTCTTCCCTTGTCATTCTCACCTGCCTTTCCCCCTCCCCTTCTCTTCCTCCTCCCACACACCCACGGCGTCGCAACCCTTTGATCGGCCAACTCACTAACCCGTCGCACACTGTAGGGCGTACTTCATTCGCTCAAACGATACGTCATGAGAGGGCATCACCACGGGTACGAGACCAGAACCTGTCGCATCTGACCTCGAGACCCCTGCACAGGTCTCAGGATGTGGCTGGCGGGCCTGGGCCCGTCCTCTGGCTGGTTGGCATCGGCCCGAATCCACCGCGAACCCCGCCGCATCTTGTTGCTGATGTAGCAGCATCAGTCGCTTGCTGCGCGGGCCCGCCCGCCTCGCACTGCACTGGAGCTCCGACATGGTGCCCAAGGGGCGACCACAACAGAGACGTCCATCTTGTGGGTGGGCCGTCTCTTGACGACGATCTCATTCGGCGTTCAGCACGAGGGTTAAGCAACCTTATATGTACATAAAATGCGAGGCTGCGATGTACGGATGAATATGGATGTGCGGGTACTACTAGATCTATAGAGCAGGTCGCAAGCGTCTGTCGTTTTGTTTCCTGTCTGCGATAGTGACAATGTGAATGCGAGGATATTGGTGTTTTGTCTTGGAGATTGAGCTGCCTCTTGAGTCCCACCTCCTGGGTTGTCCGGATCCACGTAGTCCGCCGCTCAGGGAAGTTGATGAATGAATGCGCAAGTGAGACGCAGGGAGCGGGACGAACGCACGCCGAACTGGGAACCAGATCATGATCTGGACCTGAGCATTGGCTACGCATATTGATGCACTATCTCTTGCACGCAGCCAGCACGTCCTCGCAGCGCGTTGCTGTCATCTTGACTCCGTGATATCTTGAAACTCCAGCCCAGTATGTTGGGGCCCCCGCCAGGGTCCCGCTCAAACGAATAACGCCATGCATGTACAAAAAAGGTATTACCAAACCCACGACAAATCTAGATCTAGCTTCAGAAGCCAAAGGGTGACCCGCCGCCGCCGCCGCCGAACTTGAACTGGAACTGCTGGCCGCCATGGCCCTGCTGGAACATGAAAGGCTGGCCACCAAATGGGTTGCCCTGGAACGGGCTCTGCTGCTCCTGCGAGTTCGGGTCGTCGCCCCGGTCGAAGCGCGCCCGCAGCTCCGGGTCGCTGAGGACCTCGTACGCCTCGTTGATGGACGCCATCTTCTTCTCGGCAACCTCCTTGGTCAGGCCCTGCTGGGCGGCCTTGTCCGGGTGGTGGATCTTGGTGAGCTTCCTGTAGGCGGACTTGATCTGCTTCTCGTCCGCGTCGCGGGCCACCCCGAGGACCTTGTAGTAGTCCTTGGTCTTGCTGCGCTTCAGGTCGATCTGGGCCTCCCGCAGAATGGGGTTGACGACGTCCTGCTTGTCCGGGCGGACCTCCTTGGCCTTCTCCAGCAGCCTGACGGCGCCTTCGTAGTCCTCTGCCTCCCGCGCCTTCTTGCTCTCGTGGAGCAGGGCGTAGAACGAGTTCTCGTCCAGGGCTCGGGACTCGGCACAGAACTCATCTGCCTTCTTGCCGTTCATCTGCAGGACCAGTCAGCATCGTGGGCATCTACAGTTCCGGGGGAAAACCCTGGCGTCTCGTGGGACTCACCTCATAATAACCCTGACAAGCCATCTCGACCAGCTTCGCCACGAGGAGGCTTGGCGCGGCTGCTGGGATCACGCCTTGCTCTCGCAGCGCTGCCACCTGGTCCTTCACCTCCTGGATGAGGCCCGCGTCTTCGGCCGAAGGGATCAAGAGCTTGGTCCCCGTCATGGGCTGGTTCTTCCCAAAAGCCTTCTCGACCTTGGCCATCGTCTTCTCGATCGCCTTCTCCTCCTTGAGGAGCTTCTTGCAGACCTTGGAGTCGGGGTCCGAGTGCAGGCATTTCCTGATCTGCGCCATGCCCTGCTGAAGATCTGCGAGGGCAAAGTAGGTAATGGCCGAGATGGTGACGTAGGGTGAGGTGTCGCCGGGCTTCAGGTTGACGATGTGGTGCAGGTCGCCCATGCCCTCCTCGACCTCTCCCTTGGCGAAGCGGCAGGCGGAGCGCAGCTCTCTCAGGGAGACGGCGCGGCTCGCGACCATGATGGCGACACCAGCCTGGTTGATACACTCGTCCCAGTTCCCGGCCGCGTGGGCGGCCTCGGCGAGTTTGGCGGCGCCCTGTGCCTCGAGGAGCTCGTCCATCTCGGGCGAGCCCGGGCCCTTCTTGGCACGTGTGTACTGTTCCTGTGCGCCGTCCCAGTCGGCCGACTTGGCCCTGAGCTTGGCCAGCTGGGTGTGGGCGCCCTCGAAGCCGGGCCGGAGCTGGAGGCACTTCTGGAAGTCGTCGGCGGCCTGCGAGGTGCGGCCCAGGGAGAGCTGGGTGGTGGCGCGCTTGAAGTAGGTGAGGTAGTCGTTGGGGTCTCTGGCTACAGCGGCGTCGTAGTATACGAGGGCGTCGTTCGTCTCCCCCCTGGCGAGATGTTGCTGGGCGGAGCTGAGCAGGGCGGAGATGGGGGTGTCTGAAGGTATGTCCTTGACGGACAGGGCCGCCACCATGGTCATGGAGGGCGACAGCGACAGCAAGCTGGCGGCCAGGGCCAGCGTCGAGAGTCGGACGTGCATGGTCGCGGTGGATACGAGACAGGCAGACGGTCTCGATAGGCGATGGTTGGCAGCTGGCGCGGTGTCGGTCGTCTGCTTCAGGGGGTGAAGGGATCGCAGCGATTCGAAGTCGTTATAAAGCAGGCAGAGGCAGGCAGGCAGGCAGACAACACGATGAGGCAGAAAGGTGAACAAGGAGCGTGATGGGCCAGTCAGTCTCCGAGGCAACAACAAGGCGTGCGTGCCCAGTAACAATTTATTATCGTGATATAGAAAGAATTACAGGCGGAGGGGGGAACGGCAGGTCAAAACGGAAAGTTGGCCTTTCGGACCGCGTCGCTGCGGGATTGATCGAGGCCTCTGGAAATCATTAGACTATGCACCGGATCTAGATCCGAAAGAGGACACGGGCGTGAGCATTCCTGGATGGGGCACGTCAGGAACGTACCCACATGCAGGGAGACATGTGGCCTGTTCGGGACCACCTGCAGCCTGTGATAGGCTCGTGCTGGGTAGGTACGTACCTCAGGCTGGTCCGTCCAACGTGCCTACTGTACGTAGGTACCCAGGTACTCACCCAACGTGGGGTGGGTGCACTCACAGCTTCCATCCAAACTAACCACACTCACTTCCCTCCCTCTCTCTGCCTTGGGAGCCTGATGCGCTCGCATCTGCTTCTTACAAGCAAAACAATTCTCACCTCACCCAAAGGGCAGCTTCAGACAAGTAGCCATGGCCCAGCTCCCGCCAGACGCTGCCATATTCTCACCAACAGTCGCACGCATCGCCGCGTCAACGGCAAAGGACTGGAACTACGTCGACCGCTGGCTTGCTGCCAAGTACAACGGCCGCACTGTGCCCCAATTTGAACGCAATCCGGAGACACTCAAGGCCCTTCTCGCCCTGGCTACACTCAACGAGACGTCGGACGAGAACCGGCACCTGATCAGCCAGGTTGACGCCGCGGCACTCCGGGATATCCACGCAGCCAGGGGTGCAAAGCAAGAAGCGGCCGATGAGGGCGACCGGGCACCGGTAGACCTCGCCTCCTTCAGGAATGAATTCTACGGCGCCCTGGAAGACAACCTTAGCACCGAAGGAAAGACAGCCCTGGACGCAATGGCCTCTTCTGCTGGCCACCTAGGCATCGCGTACCCGGAGCCAGCATCGCTAGCGCGGGCCATGCTCGACCTCCAGATGAGGCTCTTTGACCTGGAACAAGCTGCTTCCCGCGTCGAGACCCTCCAGGGCATGGTCAAGGCCGAATCCGCCAGCCTGGACGAGCTGCTCGAGGACGTCCGCGGCGACGAGTACCGGGCCCCGGCCGACCTGGCACGGCACAACCTCGACCTACAGCGCAAGCTCAAGGCCATGTCCAAGAGGCTACCCGAAATGCAGAGCAAACTGGCATCTCTGGCACGCACGGTCGGCGTGCCCGAACCAACCATTCAGCAGGTCGGCGAGGAAGAGGCAAGGTACCTGGAGTCTCTCGACATCCGGCGCCGCCTAGACCAGCAGGTCGGCGAGTTTGAGGGCTTGCCGGCAGACGTGGATCGTGCTCGTCAGCAGCTTGACCGGCTTCGGGACGAGCTGCGCACTATCACGGGGCGGCGGGACGCCGTTTTCGAGGGGCTTGTGGAGAGGGAGACTCCGCGGAAGGCAAGGTGAATGGATAATGATGCGCTCAGGGTGTTGTCACCCGACTCTTTATGCAGTACAAGTCCCACGGCTACGGGCGAACCAGCCCACATACGTCATTCCAAGATCTGGCACGTCGGCTCGGCCATGACAACCAGTCAGTACACTAATTACTGGGGACCCCTCTTCCCCCTTCCCGACACCGAAGCCCCCAACCTCCCGAACTGCCTACCGAGGCCGGACTTGGGCTTAGCAGCCGGCGGCGTGGGTACAGGGCTGTCCTTCACGGGAACAGGCGGCCCAGCCGCTGCGCGGCCCACCACGGTCTTGGGAGGAGCCATCTCGGCCGCGTCCAGGATGCGCAGATCCCCTACACCCAAGGTCGGCTGGTCATCCCGGTCACCCCCAAGCCTCTGCGCCCGCCTCGCGCGCTCCTGCACGCTGCGGAACTTCTCGAGGAGCTCGGCCCAGCGGATGATGCCTTCTTCCCGGCCCTTGAGCCTGTTCGGCCTGTCGAACGACGCCGAACTTGGTGTCGCGGCGTTACTGAGAGGTGCAGCATGAGTATCAAATCCTGAACTGAAGTTCGAACGGGAGGAGGGGGTTTGAAGAGAATGAATCGCCTCCACCACAGACCCTTTTCGAGAGTGTGAGAGAGGCGCATTCGTTGGAACATACGGTCTTGGTGCGATGTGGAGGTATCCTATAGAGCTGACGCTGTTCAACCTATTCTTGAGCGCCGCGAAGGCCGATGATTGGGGCAAGAGCATCAGTAGTCCGTAGAGACATTTGTACAAGTGGGGGTATTTCTCCGGTTCCAGTAGCTGAAGTCGGAGGTCTGGGGCGGGTTAGCATTCCAGTCCGGGAGGCCATAGTGCCCATCCACACTTACACGTGAAGACGGGCGACTCGAGTAGCTGGACCAGCTTATCGATCTGGATGAGGATGTTGACCGTCATCTCCAGCTCGGCACTAATGAACGCGGGTTAGCAAAAGGTTCGAGGCAGATTCGATGGGTGAGGCTTAACCGACAAGATCTGAAGCAGGTTGTATGCCTGCTCGTAGGCTTGTGCTAACAAGCATAGAGAGAACGTCGCAACGGCGTTGTGACACCACGACCTGAAGAGAGCAACAAAGAACGTCTGCCCGTCCTGTTGAACACGGCAGTCAGTATCCTGCTTCTTGTACTGTGTAAGACGTGATAGCCGCCTACCCTGGATTCGAGGTTCCGCAGCCTCTTTCGCAGCTCGGAGAGCTCCGGGGCCGTGATGAGGTTGTTGTTGAGGTTCTGGACCATGATGCTGGCGAACTCGACGTCTTCTTCCTTCTCGATGCAATCGGCCAAGGTGCGGTAGATGCGCTCTGCACTCAGGCTGACGCAGAGCTGCCGGATGATGAGATTGCCCCTGGTCTCGAGCAGTCGCCGATCCGTGGAGAAGAGCTGGAGAAGGCTGACCATGAAGTTGGTGAAGTAGCTGTCCTCGCTGTTCCTAGATATCTGGGACAGGAGCTGCAGGTCCTTGGTCACCACTGCCTCGGCCGGGTCAGAAAGTGTCTTGAGCAGGGCCGGGAAGGTCCCATCGTTGAAGGCGAGCACCTTCCGCGGTGCTTTCCTGTGGAGCATGATCAGCCATGTCAGTGCCGCGACGCGAGTGGCCTCGTGGTCGTTCAGGAACAGCAGGGTCAGAGAATTGACGGCGGCTGCGTAGTCCAGGTCCGCCTGCGGGTGGTGCGACGGCGCGGGGGTTGGACCCCTTGGGGTCCCCTCGGCGGGCGACTGCGCCTTGTTCAGGTTGGGAGTCGGGCTCCGGGTATCGAGCTCCCGCGAGTTGGAGAGGGAGGCGCGGTTGCTAGACGCCCCATCCTGGTGCTCATTTGCAACCCCGGCTCGTGAGGGGTGGTTCGACAGATACAGCTCTGGCTCGTCCGAGAGAGAGACGACGTAGTTCATCAGCGCATTGTTGACCCTTGCGGCTGCCAGGCGGATCGACTCGACGCCGCTGGCCATGGCGGGCAGCAGATGGGCCAGGATCTTTGGCGTGAAAGGCAAGACCTCTTCGGGGCAGATGTCCAGGAATTCGACGATCCATTTCAAGGACTCGAGCAAGCCGTCCTCGTCCGTCGTGGCTGCCGACGCTGTGCGCTCACCTGGTCTGGGGGCTGCTGCCGTGTTGGACTGGTCGAGGAAGTTTGTCAATATCTCCAGGACAGCCTTGTAGTTGATCTGGACGTCCTGGCCCGGGACCCAGTCATCCTCACTGCTGGTCTCGTCCTCCTCGGCGGCCAGGGTGGAGGCGACCTCGTCGCCCTCCTCGAGGCCCGCCTGGACGCTGCCACTGTCAACCGACTCCTCACGCTTCCTCTTCCCGTCGCCCTTTGACTTCTTGCTGTCGGCGATGCCCTTCTTTATCCGGGCGATGCGCTTGATCTCGTTGAGGAACTTGTCTAGGCAGGCCTGGGTGGCCTGGTGTACGTCCCGGTTGGGGTCGCTCAGGAACTTGAGAAGGCTGCCGAGGAACTCGGGCAAGTACGTGACCAGCTCAAGGTCGGGTATGGAGTCGAGCAGGATGATCCAGCCAACGAGGAATGTGCGGGTGAAGGGGTTGATGGTGTAGCTACGATCCTTGAGCAGCGGGACGAACTGCCTCAAGGAGAAGGCGGTGGGCAGGTCGGGCGGGTCGTCGACAATGTCCTTATCGTTGCTGATCTCGTCGCCGCCGCCGGGGCCTTTTGTGTCTGGGAGCTCGAGGACGCTGACATAGGTGGCGGCGGACTCGGAGACGATGTCCTTGATGAGGCGGTCCAGCAGCTCGGCGCCGTTCTTGACGGACAGCTCCGAGTCGGCGCCCAGCTTGCACAGGGCGTCGAAGATGTGGTTGAAGTACTTGAGGATCTCGCCCTTGGCGACCTTGGCGATGTTGTACATGGCCTCGCAGGCGTAATACCTAACGCGCGCGTCCTGGTCGGTGAAGCAGGCCAGCACGGGCGGGACAATGACCTCGAGGTAGCGTGGCAGCTCGGGGCCAAGGGCGATGGCGGCGGCTGCCAGGCCGATCAGGCCGCCGTTACGGGCATGAGGCTGGTGGACCGCGTAGGCATACTCGTTGCACAGCTGGTCAAGAACAGCCGTGACCCTGGAGTAGTCCTTGGCGGCGACCAACTCACGGATGACGCGTTCGAGCCTGTGAGGGGGGTCAGCAGCCGACAGTTGACCGGGGGGGACGGCGGGGACGGCGGTGCCACAGACTCGAGGGCGCCAACCTTGCGCTTGTCGTAGAGCTTGTCGTTCAGAGCGCGCTGGACGTTGGGATCCATGGCGACTGCAAGGAGCGGCACACCACGTCAGGCAGGGTCAGGCCGCGTCGGAGACCAAGGCTTGGCCAGCAGCACTGTGAGCAGCTGCCTTCCGGACCATATGAGCCGTCTGGGACAGGGCGATGGCGACGGGCGGTGGGCGGTGGGCGGTGGGCGCTGGATGCTGGATGCTGGATGTCGGCCCCTCACCGAGTCGACCAGCCACAGGCGCGAGTCGGGACAAGATGTACACGGGCACGAGGGCACGAGGGCACGAGGCACAAGGCACAAGGCACGCTGTAGGCAAGCGGGCCTTGTACGAGCCGAGTGAGGCGAAGCAACTGGGGGCTGTTCTGTTCTCAGCGATGCTAGTTCATTACAGTATATCTGCTTGTGCTGTTGACGACGTTGGAGAAGGCTGGGGTTGTCGTCGGGCGGTGCAGGGTTGCGCAGGGTTGTGCATGCTGTGCCCGCTTATCTGGGCCTGGGCTTACCAGATAAGAAATGACGTCGCCGTACACATGTATCTGGGTACTCCGTACCTCCGTACCTGACCCCCACCCACCTGGCTGTCGCCGACAGTCCAACCAAGTCCCGTCCCAAGCGGACCCCTCACCAACGTCGTCGACAGCCGCAACGGCGACGGCCCCCATCATTCCATGAAATGCAACATCTGCCACGGTACTCATCCTTGAATCGTCCAAGACGAGCGTTCTGGGCCAGGTCTTGAGTGTGCTGACCATGGAATAGACCTCAAGTTGTGTTGTCGTGCCGCGGCGCTGTCAGAGACTCGAAGGATGCCACGTCGTTGACACGGCCACCTTAGTCGGCTCACCATCTCATCATCTCGTGCCTCAACTCTCCTCCGGGGCTCGGCGGCTGCCCTGGCTGCCAGGCCGTGTGCACAATTTCGCGACCCGGCCCCCTTTCCCCTGGCTTTGACGCGATGATACGTCAGCCGGTGGCCCAGAACCTTAAATCCGGTCCCTGTACGAGGGCAAGAGGGTCACTCAGTCAGTCAGTCAGTCAGTCAGTCAATCAGTCAGAACCACAGGTCATCCCGTTCCAGCACATCACGCCAGCGTCGTCTCCACCGCGCTCCTGCAACACGCGTCGTCCGCGTTGTGCACGCCGTCCCGCCCTCCCACCTACCTAGGCCACGCACTTGTGGGATCGGCCCTCTGCGCTCCGAGCCGACCTCGGGTCTTGGTCGCAGCCACGCCTTGGCTCTCGCTCCGGCTGCCACCTCCCCCCTTCCCCAGACAATAGGAAGTGGTGCCGGCAGACAGAAGCACATGCCCACCCCTCGCAAACTAAAGCCAGACAGACCCCCATTGGAAATCCCCTCCATTTCCCTCTACTTCCCTCCCAGGCAAGGGGCCCATGGGCTGGACGGGCCCCGACAATCACCCGACCCTGACCGCGTGAAGCGAAGGCCGATTCGGATGCGATCCGGTGTCGCCCTCGGTTTCAGCCAGAGGCGCAGGCACTTCACTGTGTCACCTCGACATCTCCCGTCGCCAACAGCCCCTCCCCCCTCCCCCCTCCCCCCCGGCAGCTCTAGAGACATGCAGGTGCTTGCATTTTATTTGCCTTATTTGCTAATGAGATTGCGGGATTCATAATGGTACCCTCTCCTGCGAGAGAGACGCGTCCCCGGTTGATAGACCCGGTGACCCAGCCGTTGTCTCTGGGTGCTAAGGTTCCCAATGGCTTCTCGACAGCACGTCCGAGCGTGATATCGGAGGGCCACCGCGGAAGCGTACACCCTTCTCATCAGCGAAGCGCTGTTCAGCACGGAGCGGACGGACGCCCCGGCACCCTCGGTCTGCGCTGGCCATCTCTCTGAACTCCAAACTCCACTCGCTGCCCGGTAGCGCCCAACCGGATGCTTGCGACCTGACCACGTCCAACCCGCTCTCCAAACCTTACTCCCCACGCCGGCAACCTTGCAAAAGATTCACACTCCAGGGACCAACATGTGAACCCGGTCTTCCCGTCGCACCTTGTCCCCAGAAGATCAATGTCCGAGCACGTCGGCCCTTGTTCCGAACTGCAACCTACTAAGCGCCCGTTCACTTCTTACTCCCTCCCCCGCCCTGCCCTCCACTGCCGCTTCCGCCCTGCCCTCCGCCCTGTCCGTTCTGCCCCGAGCTGTCCTTGTTTGATCTTGCAGCCATCGCGGCTCGCCTCGCAAAGTCGTCCTGCGATGCTGTGGTTAGCGCGGCCAGACATTCGAGGCGGTTGCCAGCGGGGCCATCGGGGCCATCCAACCTTTTCTCCCCGCGCCTTGCGTATCCGCGCAGCAGCAGCTTCGTCCATCTTGCCTCTCCCCATTGTGCCTCCTGGGCTTTGCTTCCGACGTGACCGGGCAGAATGTGAATTTCAAGAGTGTTGAGGGCTGACCACCTCTGGGCGGGACCCCGGATGCACAGTAGCACCCGAGGGCAAGACCAGATAGAAAAGGGGGACGCGGAAAAGAGGCAGGCAGCAAGCCGAGATGAGGGTCTTGTGTCCTTTCGCGTTTCGGTGCTGGGCTTGTGGGCCTCGTCGCGAGATTCATAGGCTTGTTTCGGCTGTTGACAGATGTGGGCTGAGGTGTGCCAGGTGCCGCTCACGAGCGTCCTCCAGCCTTGATATATACGGTGTGCCTCAGCCCAGCGAGGCCAGCAACGGTGGCCATGTCGAGAAAACTCGGTGTGAACGTCCCCTGGGCATCGTTGCTTTGTTGGTCCGAGCAGAGGCAGAGTTGTGAGCTGGAGCGAGGATCAAGCTCCATAGCGGACAACCCATGCCTTGTCACCGAGAGTGCACACATTGTCACGGCCAGGGAGGCTACAACCCGGTCCACCCTCTTTTTTTTCTTCTTTTTTTTTTAACCCTTTGTCAGTTCGTACACGTCGAATATGCTTCCGGCTGCCACGGGCTCGACCATCCGCCAGGCGGGATTGTGCAGGACTACACAGGAGGGAAATGTTCCGACGGGCCTCGTGGCTGCCGCACCAGAATGCAGCAAATTAACAAGTCCCTGGGCGAGGAACGCGCAGCATGCATGGTTCCCTCCTCACGAACCAGGGAGAAAGGGGTGGGGGCCTGATAAACCGGGACCCCGGCCTGTCATTTTCTGCGTGTCCCACGCCTCGATGGTAGGCTCGGTGCTTGAACCCTGCTGTGCCATGTGCGCAAATCTGCGGCGGCGGGATGCGGATGCGCAGCGGAGAGACGAGAACAAAAAAGCTATTCGATAGTTATGCGTGAGTCGCAGCGCACGTTTCGCAGCGGTGCTGAAGCCTCATTGCGACATCGAGGGTCTTCAGCGCGTCCTGGGTCCTGGAGCCGGGGCCGCGCACTGGCCGTTCACCGCTTCGGTGTCTCGAGGGGCTCGCCATACCAATACGTAGAGTAGAGCCTGGACGGCAAGGTTCAGGAACTCAGGATCATCATTCCGGGGAAGCGAGAAAGTCGCACGACAAAGACGCGCAGAGTCTCACGTCGCCAGATGACCCCCCTCCTGCCCTTGTATGGCATCTTGATGCGCGTGCGCCCTCCCATCTCACCGAAGCATATCCCTCTGCTTCTTCTGCTCCTGCTCTTCTCTCGGGGGGAGGGAAAAGCAGAACTAATCTACTCAAGATTTGCAGCAGCCACCCTGCTTCCACTTCCCTCATGCGCTCCCCTCCCCCCTCCGTGTTCGATGTCGCGTTCTCATTCAAACCAAAACGGGGGTTTATTAGTGCAGGCAAGCGACATGGCATTTCCGATAACATAAATATAGCACGGGCAGGCCGTCGTCTAGCGAGCCGAACCCCGTACCCCCCCCCTCGTGTCGGTTTCTTTCTCTTGGCATCGACTTCGAATCAAACAAGAAAAGAAACAAAGTGTGGCTGACGTCCAGCTGCCTCGGTCAGCCCCCAGGCTCTCTGGTTCTCCGGCAAACCCCGGCCTTGCCACACGGTGATCGCTTTTATTCATTTGTTTCAAGTCTAAAGTTCCGCCACGGGGCTGCAGCAAGATCGGCCGGGAGTTTGTCTCCACTCCCACAGTACACGCAATCAAGTGCGGTGGGCAGGGGGCAGGGGAAGTAACGGAAAACAAGCTCGAGGATATCCTCGCGTCACATGACGTCCGCTGGGGCCCTGGGCGTGCCTGACATCCGGGCGTTGCGACCCATCATCCCTTCGCCGGGCAAATGGCGTGCATCCGCCCACTGCAACCCTTGTCCCTCGTGCATCCGAGAGCCACATGGCACGAGTGTCATTGCTGGCAGGGCTGGCAGGGCGCCAGGGCAGAGAGGGCTAAGAGGGAAGGGAGGGCAGAGAGGGTCGGCTGGCCGAGGCGTACATAGCATACAGTAATAAGCGAGCTGGTCAAGCCCACCTTTTCTGGGCCCGTCTGAGGCTCGCCTATCTGGCAGTCTGGCAAGCACGGCGTCTTGCACATCTCGCTGCCACAGTGCCACGCGACCTATCATTTCCGCCAAGTCGTGTCCACAAGCGCGCACGTTTGATCTGCCGGCACATAATGATCATCGCTAACTTGCTGCTCGCGGGAGGGGTCACTGAGACAGGGAAGAACTCAAAGGAGATTTGGATTTTGGGAGGCCTGCAGGAACTGCAAGTCACCAGGCGACTGACTGCCCCTTTGAGTCGGACAAGGCGCACCAGGCCCTGCCTCGAGCATAACGGCGGGACTTTCTGGCTGACTCTCCACGCCCATTTACTGTCATGTTCTGTCGTGGGCCTCGGAGACGAGGCGCAAGCCGAATGAGGTCTACACATGTGAAATCTAGCACCAGCACGCATGCACTCATCTCTATATTGTACAACGCAGTGCCGCCCCGCGCCCCCCCCCCCACCCCCGAGTCCCACTACAAATGGCACGACGTGATGAGCTCACCGGACCAGGGTGAGATCATCTCGATACGGTCTGATGTACCACATCAGTGGTGGTGCAGGGGGTCGCCGCTCTCGGCCAGGACCTGCTGGCACTTGGCCAAGATGGCGGCCTGCCTGCTCACGTCGGCCAGGCGGCCAATGACCTTCTTGTTGCCGCCGACGAAGCCGTACAGGGCGTACGGGATCCCCACGTCCTCGCAGAAGCCCTGCACCAGCCTCTGCGTCCTGCGCAGGTTGTGCCTCGGGATGCGCGGGTAGAGGTGGTGGATGGCCTGGAACTGGAGCCCGCCGTGGAAGAAGTCGAGCCAGAGGGGGCAGTCCACGTCCATGGTGGTGCGCAGCATCTTCTGCGGGAACGACTCGGCCGGGCCCAGCTCCGCGGTGCTCATGGCGAAGTGGGACAGGGTGATCTGCACGTGCAGAGGCATGGTCACCATGTGGCTGACCATGACGAAGGCGAGGCGGGCCCAGCCCGAGTCGATGGACCTGTAGAGCACGATGTAGCCAAACCAGTACCAGAAGAAGGCCTGGCCGGCCAGCTCGAGCCAGCGGTGCCACCAGGCCGGGCCCCTGCGCGGGGCCTGCGCGCCGAGGAGGTACTCCCACGACAGGCGGTAGAGGTTGAAGCGGCCAAAGAGCAGGATCGGGTAGTACGAGTAGTGCTGGAACCTGAGCAAGACCTTGGCAAAGGCATCATAGGTCATGACGCGCTCGTAGTAGGTGGAGCGCAGGCTCTGCAGGAAGCGGTGGGAGATGGCAAAGAAGGGCATGTGCTCGATGTCCGGGTCGTGCTCTGGGGAGTTGGTCACGATGTGGTGCACGTTGTGGTTCCTCTTCCACCAGCCCAGGGACAGGCCGCCGGCGAAATCGGCTATGATGATGCCGATGACGGTGTCGACGTGGAAGTTGTGGGTGATGCCCATGTGGCCGGCATCGTGGGCAGAGAAGACCAGCTGGTGCCAGAAGACGCCCAGCCACCACGCGCTCGTGACCCACCACCTGCAGCGCAGGAAGAAGACGAACAGGCCGAAGAACAGGGCGTAGCGGGAGCACTCGATAGCATAGGCCCAGTAGTTGCACTGGTAGAGCCCCTCGGCCTTGATCCTCTCGTTCAGCCGGCGGTACTTGTCGACGATGTTGTCCTGGGTGGCCGGGTCCAGGGCCGGGTATATGTCAAGGTCCTGCTTGATCTCCTGCATGGTCCTGCGGTCCAGGAGGCTCATACCGTCGGCGTCGTCGTCGTCGGCGGAGGTGACCGAGGTCGAGGACGAGGGCCGCATGGACGACGGGGGGGAGACAGCACCGGTCTTGCGGCTGCGCAGGACCCGGCCGTTGCTGTCGTGTGTATCAAACACGGGCGAGGCGGATCGTGAGCTTGCATGACTAGAGGCTGGGGAGTCCTTCGAGCGACCGCTGACATGTGCCTTGGGCGTGAAGATGCCGCCCTGAATAGGGGGCACCATGTTGTCCCATCTGTGTTCGATGCGGCCGATCCTGTACTTGCCCATCATGGCCCGCGCCTCGGGGGAGTGTAGGCTGCCGAGAGAAGGTGTCAGTCAGTCAGTGCAAGCGGCAGGCGGCAGGCGGGGTGGGGAAGGGGGTGGACGGACGCGTTGACCTCGTCGGTGGCGTCTCTCCCGACCATGTGCTGGATGGCTTTGTCGCCGCCAGGGTGGTACTTGATCCAGGCGTCGACCTTCAGGACATGTTGGTCCATGATGATGATGGTCCTGCCGTCTGCGATGAGCTGCTCGACCTCGCCTGTTGTCATGACGGGGTACTGCCGGGCCCGGTCCGGTGCCCGACCCTTTGTCGTGTCCATGGCTGGCGTCGCGTCGATGTTGGGCTGGGCTGGCTCTCGGCGTGTGTCGATTGTCAATTGGGCTGGCCTCGAGGGGGGATACAAAAATGAAAGAGCACAGGAGCGGAGGGGAGGCAAAATTTGCACCCCGGCGGTGACAGGGAGGGCAAAATGACCAGACCGACAGCTCAACAACCGATGGTGATCGTACGACCGGGACCGTTGCTTGTCTCTACTCGGGCAAGCACTCGTCGACCTGCACTGCTTGGACGACTACCACGCCAGATGGCTGATCTGCGCCCTGTGTCGCTGGGGCTGCGGAGGTTATTTCTGGGGTGCAGAGCGGCGGGTGGTGTGTTGTTGCTGCATCTATCTGCATCTGCATCTGCATCTGCAAGTGCTGCCGAGGCGGACAGACGGACCCTCGGATTATCCTAGCGTGTTACTTGCCGAACCCCGGGCCCCGGTCTACCGGCCCCACCCCCGAGTCCGTCCCGACCTAGAGGGCCGGAGGCTGACGGCCACCAAGCACGTCGTGCACGTCGCCCCACGAATGTGCAAGTCGACCATCATGGATCTTGTCACCGTCCAGACATTCTTCTCAGCCACCGCCTTTTCGTCCCTGTGTGTTTGCCCAGCCGGCAGGTTCTCGAGCGGGATGCAAAGCGCGCCCGAGTAGCCACAGCAAGCAGGCAGGCAGGCCCTGGTAGCAAACATTCATGGCTTCGTGTATAACATATCATGCTCTATTCTCGTTCAAGGACCGTCTCCCATGTGCTTATTGCCACAAACTCGTGCCCCCCCCCCTCTGAGCTTGCGGGCTCTCGAGTTCCTGGAGACTCAAGTCATCAACCAACCATGCCTCGCTATTACGGCGGTGCTTTCTGGCCCTACGCCTTCGCCCATCAGCCCGGCGGTTGGGCTGAGCAAAGTGAGGCCTTCTCTGCGCCGACCTGGCCACTGAGCCTCGCCACCATGCTAACATGTTCACGCAGCATTTGGTATGGGTTACGGGAACCGGAACTGGAGGCAGTATGTTGTCCTCTGTCTCGTCTCTCTTGGGGCCCAGAGAAATCAATCACCTCTTGATGCGATGTCTGACCGTGCCGGGCCGCCCTCGTGACAGGAGTAACGATATCTTCTCCCCACAATGCAGCGGCGCCGACCACCACAGCAGCAACATCAGCCTGGACAGCCTCTCCGGCCTCGTCGCCCGCCTGATCCTGCAGAACCACCTCACCCGCCTCGGCGATGCGGGCTGTCAGGGTGGTGCCGTCTGGGGCTGCAGCCACCCTTCGCCGTCAACAGCGGCACACTGCCGCGGCGCCGCCCCGCCACACAGTTGCCAGGCCCCTTGCGTACACACCTGTCCCGGCGCCACACAGCCCTACATGGGTACCAACAACGTCTTCGTCATCCCCGCCAACCTCGTCAACCAGCAGCCACAGGTGGGCGGGCCCCCCTCGGCTGGCGTCGGGGGCCCGAACAACGTCAACATGTTCCTCAGCGGCCTCGGACCTGGTCTTGGTGGCATCAACACCGGGTGCGGCGGTGGCCTGAATCTCCCACATGGCCTGAACCCCCACCCAGCAGCCGGCGCCGCGGGCCTCGGGGCTCAGTTCAATCTGAGCAGGTTCAGCTGTCCATCCTGCTGCGGCCACTGGTGAATGTCAAGTTCCGCCGAGACAGGTGCCGGGGGTCAGTGCTGTCGCACACACGCACGCGCGCACATCACACAAGTTTGGACATCAATCGAACATTGAGACCTTTTACTGATTCTTGTTCTCTCTCTCTCTCGTCATCACCTCTCCCCCTCCCTCTCTGATTCATTCCTTGCCTGCTCTATCATTACTCCTTCACACCACCAGCCCCTAGACTTTCTCGTCCTGGCAGTGATGCGGGGGGGTTCATGTACAATACCGGACAGACACCTAGTATACATCCTCCCTCTCCACCTAGAAGTGAATAGCCTTGCCGTGTGTCGCCATAGCAGCCTCCTTGAACGCCTCGGCGAGCGTCGGGTGGGCGTGACACGTCCTCGCAATGTCCTCAGATGAAGCGCCGTACTCGAGGGCCAGCGTGCCCTCCGCGATCATCTCGCCGGCGTTGGGGCCGACAATGTGCACACCAAGAAGCCTGTCGGTCTCGGGGTCCGCGAGCATCTTGACCATGCCGTCCGTGTCGAGGTTCGTCTTGGCGCGGGAGTTGGCGCTGAAGGGGAAGGTCCCGACGCGGTAGGGGGTGCCGGCCGCCTTGAGGTCCTGCTCGCTCTGGCCCACCCATGCGACCTCGGGGTACGTGTACATGACCGACGGGATGCACCCGTAGTTGACGTGGCCGTAGCCCTTCTTGATGTACTCGACGACAGCAACAGCCTCCTCCTCGGCCTTGTGGGCCAGCATGGGTCCGAAGGTGACATCTCCGACGCAGCGGATGTGTGGCAGCTTGGTCCGGTACTCCTGGTCGATGATGACCCGTCCGCGCTCGTCGAGCTCCAGGCCAATGTTCTCCAGGCCAAGTCCGGCGGTGTACGGCCGGCGGCCAATGGCGACGAGGACGACGTCGGCATCGAGCTGTATTGTGGCGCGGGCGCTTTGGTCAGTAAACGTACGCCTTCAAACAAGCCAGTGCGAACAAGTCTCCCAGGAGCCCCAGGGGGTTCCCCCCAAAAGGGGGAAGTGGGTAGAGGGAGGGGGCCACCTACAGACTCGGCCTTGCCGCCTTTGGCGGCGTCAACATTCAGCTTGATGGTCTCGCCCGACTTGTCGCCGTCGACGACCTTGGTGGAGAGCTTGAAGTCAATGCCCTGCTTCTTGAGGATCTTCTGGGTCTGCTTGGCGATCTCGGAGTCCATGCCGGGGCCACCGATCTGGTTGAGGAACTCGACGACGGTGACCTTGGAGCCCAGGCGGGACCAGACCGAGGCCATCTCCAGGCCGATGATGCCACCACCAATGACGATGAGCTTCTCGGGGACCTTCTCCAGGGCGATGGCGCCGGTGCTGCTGACGACGCGCTTCTCGTCGATCTCCAGGCCGGGGAAAGGGGTGGCCTCGGAGCCGGTGGCGATCAGGATGTTCTTGCCGACGACGCTGGTCTCGCCGCCGTCGTTGAGCTGGACCTTGATCTCGTGCTCGTTGACGAAGGAGCCGGAGCCCTTGAGGTACTCGACCCCGTTCTTCTTGAAGAGGAACTCGACGCCCTTTGTGAGGCCGGCGACGGAGGTGTCCTTGGCCTTCATCAGCTGGGCCAGGTTCAGCTTGACGTCGTTGACCTCGATGCCCCTGTTCTTGGTGTCGTGGAGGATCTGGTGGTAGAGATGCGAGTTGTTGAGGAGGGACTTTGACGGGATGCAGCCAACATTCAGACATGTGCCGCCGAGGGTGCCGCGCTTCTCGATACAGGCGACCTGGTCAGGGGTGGAGGCTTGGTCAGCGTCTGGCGGCGTCGTGCGAGGGGGGCAAGACGGCGACGTCAGGGTAGGGGGAGGTCTGGGGAGGTCTGGGAGGGGGTGGTTTGAGCAACGTACCTTGAGGCCCTCCTGGCCAGCCTTGATTGCGGCGACGTAGCCAGCAACACCACCGCCGATGATGACGAGATCCTTCTCCTCAGCCTCGGTAGCGTAGGAGCGTCGCCATCTGGGGACCGCGACGGTGGGCAGGGAGGACCTGGTGAAGGCAGAGCGAACCGCAGTCCGCGGTATTAACCGGCTTGCGAGCATGTTGAGGATGCTGTGGTGACGAGCTGTGTGGCTCTGGGGCGTGCGTGTGTGAGAGTGAGAGAGTGGGGGAGTGGGTGAGATGGAGTGAGAGATATGTTTTTGAGGGCGTCGCCCGGGGTAATCAGCAGGTCGGGCAGGCTGGAGGACCGCTGGACTGGACTGGACTGGACTGGACTGGCACGCTCGAGTGTCGTCGGTTGTGGCTGGCTGCCTGTCGGGAGCAAAGGAGTGAGGCGGGAAGAATTGATCGCGCTACGGTGCACGCAGGCGGGACTCGGGACTGGAGAATGGAGAATGGAGCTTGTGGACTCTTGTGTCTGAGGAGTGGATTCGGGGCTCCGGGCTTGCAGCTTGGGGGCCTGCACGTCAACCTCCTGGGCACCTGGGATAGCAGATACACGGGCTACTGTTGGCTTGTTTGTGCTACCTCTATTATATGCCAGGTAGCTGCAAGCTGTGTTTTGTATGAGCTTTTTTTGGAGGTTCGGTTCAACGGTTGAGGCCTGGGTGCTGACACTGGCCCTGCCAATTGGGCTTGGGCCTGCGTGGGCCTGGGCTGGGCCGGGTCGGCTTAAAACCCTTGCCTGGCCGCCCCAAAAACCCGTTCTTTTCCGGCCGGGTGTGGTATGCCAGGTCCCAAAGTCCCGGGACCACCCAGCTTGGCTGCTTGGGCGTTGTTGCTACTTGACAACTACTCATCCCGTGTTCTTTATTAATCGATCTGCCGTCGTAGGGTATGCTCCCAAGACACCCGCCCGCCTAGGGTGAGCCGCTCTCCACAGCTGTTTGCTCTTCGTTGGCAAGCGCTGCGACGGCCTTGTCACATCCCCGCTTGACCACTTTCTTCTCCTTCTTGTTCGTCAACAGCTTCGTCTTCCGCACCCGGGTCCTCAGGAACCATTCCAGCCCCTTGGAGAGCGTCCTGTCAGGCACCGCCGCGAATATCGCCGTGGGCTCGGTACCCAGCACCTTGAGCTCCTGGAACAGCGTGATGAGCATCACCTCGACAAAATCCCTCGTCTTGGGTTTCAGGTGCAGCAGGTTGAGGCACTTGAGCACGGCCAGCCCGTGGGTCCCATGGGCCACCATGAACCCGAACATCTTGCCCAGGCAGAAGATCCGCCGCAGCCCCGTCCCCTCGCCCTCGCCCTCGTCCTCTTCGTCATCCATCTTCACCTCGTCCACCTCGCCGAACAGCAACTCGCCCAGCCGTCGGAACAGGTTCCAGAGGCCATCCTGGAACGCGAACCTGATCCTCTTGTCCTCACACAGCCTGCGCGCCACCCAGCTGTAGTACGGGTTGTACGATTCCTCTATCCCCGCGCAATGCATCGCCACATATGCCACATCCCTCCTCTGCCCGCTCTGTGTGAGCCGCAGCTCCTTCACGCGCCTGTACGCGTCCTCGTAGTCGACTGCTCCCACGATGGCTATGAATATCGCCCGTCGCACGTCCGTGTTCATGTTCTGCTCCCTCGCAAGCGCCGCCAGGTCCGGCACCTCGTCCTCGTCGAGTATGCTAGTTGCGCCGCCCTTCTCCGTCTTCTTGTCCTTTTCTCTAGAGCTGCCTTCATCTCCATCCTCCGCGGCTGGCTCCTTCTCGGCCAGCCTCTCTTGCGGGCCGTCCCGGCCTGCCCAGCTCGCGCCGACGAGCCACCATTTGCCTCGGGTGTCCGATTCCTCCATGTCCTTGAGACCGATGCGCAGGGGCTCCGTGGCCTTGAGCTTTCTTGTGCTCAGCGAGCCGAGGATCTTCTTCATGCGCGTCGTGTGGTCTTGGATCACCGCCGACCCGCTCGCCCCGGTCTTGACCCTGTTGTTTTTCAGGTCATTGATGCTCTCGATCATGAACTTGGTCCGCACGGAGAGGTTGGCCTCCCCGACCTTGTTGACAGCCTGTCGTACCAGGGCGACGATATCTTTGAGGGCCAGCGGGTCATCCCGCCGCAGGTTCTGCCCTGCCATGCGGACTATCCTCAACAGAAGCTCTGCGTTCAGTTCGGACAGGTGCTCCAACAGAAGCCGGACGTAGTCAAAGATCAGGTTGCACCGGATGAGCTGGAAGTTGTATGTTTGTGCCAGAAACGTGATCAGGTTGGAGGTATGTTTTGAGACCTCTCTCGACGCACTGTTCGAGACCTCGGCATAGTACGTGCGGAATCTATCGACTGTTTGTTGGATGAGCTGGGCTCCAACATCCGGGCCGATGACCTTGTAGACCGCGGTTGCGAAACCGCCATACAGGATCAGCAGGGTGTCTGACAAGCTGGTAGGCTCGCAGATCTGGACCAGGATGAGGTCCGCCAGTACGGTCGTGACATGCTGCCGTGGGTTTTCCCGGTACAGCCTTTCAATATCGCCCAGTATCGCAATCAAGTTGGAATCCGTGAGCCGGTTGATGAATCCCTGTGCCTGCCTCCTGATGCGCGACACCAGCTCTGCGTCCGAGCCGCTCTCCTGACGTCGCGCCGGCGGAACGTACTTCTGAGCGGCCGCGGTTGCTGGTATTGGAGCCACGTAGGGATTCTCGCGCTGCCGCACCGGCGCCTCCTCCATCTCGCGCTCCGAACCGAGGGGGTCCTCGTCATCATCGAAGTCAGCCTCATCGTCAAGGTCGCTTCCAAGATCAAGGTCGTCCAGGGACTCGTCCTCGTCGCTCTCCTCGCCTCTTCCCTTCGAAGCTTGTTGGGCGGCCTTCCTCCTCTTCTGTGCCAGCCATTCATCCGCCTCCGCCTTTCTCTTCCTCTTTGCAAGCAGGGCCTCATCGTCCTCGTGCTCAGCCAGCTCTCCGAGGACCTCGTCGAGGCCGTCTTCCTGGAACGATTTTGGCAGGGTCTTCCGTGACTTGATTCCCAGTTTCTTCTCGAGAAATGCAATCTCCGCGTCATCCTCGGCCAGCTTGTTGTCAATAGCTGGGCCTTTTGCATCGCGCTTGGCCAGCTTGGACTCGGTCGCCCCTGAATGCGTCGACATGCTCAAATCCTCCTCACCCGAAGACTCACCCGGCGACTCATCAGGCCATTCGTCCGCCGATTCCCCAGAAAAGCCGCCAAACTCATCGTCGTCTGTTGTGGGCTGTGTGCGCTTGGTGGGCTTGGAAACTTTCCCCGCGGCTGACTGCTCGCGGGAAAGAGTCTCATTTGAAGTGCGTCGCCGTGGAGCGATGGTGTCTCGCCGTCGCTTCTGGGACCTGTCTTCCTTCCGCCTGTCCTTTCGTGTCTGGGCCTGAGATGGCCTGCGCGAGGCCGATGAGGTTGGCGCGCTGCTGCCCAACTCTTTTAGTAGGCCTGCGGGAAGGGACGGCCGGAGAAGTTCGCGCCTTTTCTTCGAGGGAGGCATGGCGTCAGTGTTTTGCCTGGTTCCAGCCCTCTCAGACTTTGGTATGTACTGTATCCGGCGAGTTTGTCATGAGTATGGAGGGGCATTTTCAGATAGCACTGCTGTATGTGGTAGTCGCCGTCTGAAAATTTAAGTGGGTCCTACCCGCAGCGGGTCCAGCACGGGTCTAGCGCAAGTGCTTTGGAGGCAAGCATGTATAGCTAGCTACACCCACTCGGGTATGTGAGAAGTGCACTGTCTCAAGTACTCACTACCGCACGGCGCAGGCTAGAACCAGCCAGCCCAAGTGTCGAGGGGTACACGCTAGCATTTGCCTGCACCGGCCCCACTACCGACTTCACCAGACTGCCTGCCTCAGACCTCACTCATCCACCTGCTCATCCATCATCAGCCACAGCTCCCTCAACGTGACCAGGGGCCCCGACGATATAAGGCTGGCCAAGCACCCACAAGCCAGGCCTCCGTGCGCAGTCTCTCCCTCGGGCTATTCTGCTGGTCTGCGGGAACAAGCCGGGTCCGCCTTCCATCGCGAGCTTAACCCGTCTTCATCATGCCCAACACACACATCTCTCACGACGAGGTATGCCACCTTTAGGACGGGAGTATCCACCCACGCCATTCTGACATTTAATATAGTTCTTCAACAAGCTCGGGGATCTTTTCACATCTCGTAAAGGCAAAGACCATGGCTCGGTTTTCCTAACCCAGAAGCGAAGTACGACTCATCCCAACCCGCTGGAGGGCCCCTCCGTGCTGATTCCTTACTGCATTAGTTCCCGATTCCAGTGCCCCTGAGCCGACGGCCAAGGACGCCTTGGCAGATATCAAGGACTCGGAAGGCGGTGCTTCTTACCCCGTCCTTGTTCGCGCCACCAATGGCAAGTCCGGTGACGACAGGAAGGCAGGGCAGAGGGTAAAGCTAGCCACCGTGGTGCAGTCGGATGACCTGGACGCCTTCTACGCTCGTTATGCCGAAATCTGCAAGGCTGGCATGCTTGCCCTCAAGCCAAGGGTTCGGACAAAGCGCAAGACCAAGTCTAAGAAGAAGAAGACCGCGGCTTAGTGATTTGGAAGGCCGCCAGGCTCCGAGCTGTTTACATGGTGGGGCGGGGATCACAGATGGCCGCCCACGCCCAAGACGCAGGGCCTGGATAGACATGACGGACCTGTCGGGGGGAAAGGGGGGTGTTCTCTCTCATGGCTTCAACGAGATCACCTCGCTGTACCCTTGTAGACTTCCGGTCCAGGGCGTCGACCTAGTTGTCACTCGGCGAGCATCAGATGGAGAAGGTGCGACGACGACGACGACGGCACGGCGCGACGGGGACTAGTGACACCTGGGCAGACCGAGACACAGTTTTCTCACCCAATAAAATCTATCCTTAAATTGTAGCCTGCTCCAGCTCCACAATCATTCCCTATTCGTCTCCATCTTCTAGGCTCTCTATCACCTCTCTTAGTCTTCTACAATCTTCACACTCCCCTTTCTCGGGCCTTCTTGCAATACCAACATACATGACCAGATTGTCCGGGCATCTGACATCCTCGTCCGGTTCTTCGCAGCTTGCAAGCTTCCTGTGTGCCTCCCACCGCCTGCCGCAGCTGGTGCATTTCAAGTAGTGTATCTCGCACATTCCTCACGTTCTGTTTGAATCCAGCTGTCTTGATGTCGTAATATCCGTTGTCTCGAGGCATCCAAGTATAAGACGTGACGACCGCCGTCCCCCTTTTCAGTCGTTGACCCTTACCTGGTGATACTTCGCCCAGGTATCTTGTCGTGTGCTTTGTGCGATTTCTCTCTCGGCAGCACACGAGCATTCGTAACCGGCTGGATGTAAGCCCCAGGTATGGGGTATGCCTTTCTTCGCTCCCCCTGGCTTCTGGGACTATCCGGCGACGACAAATGTCTTGCAGGATTTAAAGTGACAGATCGGGCCCAACCAACGTACCGAGCTTGGGGTTTTAGCCAAGATATATTCTGTCGGCACGCTACAAGTACCTCTCTTGGGTCATGCCACCCTTCGGCAAAAGAGTCAGACACTCGTCAGGGCGGGAACAGCAAACTCCATGTTTGTTTGTGCAGAGACATGGTTCGTTTCAGGCCGCAATGGCCGGCGGCGGTCGAGCAAGCATCCAGCTCATCGCAGCCGGAATACATATCAGCAGGTGGGTATCATGCGGAAATCCTGGCAGGAGGTATCTCGGTAAGGCGCGTTGACAGGTTCTGGCACAGGGGCTGCAGAACCCGCGGGTCTCCTTAGGGGCAATGCACGCTGCAAGCACATGCAGAGCAATGGGATATTGGCCGTGCGGTGGCAATTATCCATGATATTAAATTCTTGACAACGCGGCAGCTGGTAGTTGATGATTTTGCTGCCCGTCACTCCCGGTCCAACGCGCCGACCACCAGGGGTGCGCCGGGGAGACAAGTCGAGCCATCCGTCACATCTCACAACTCACTGTCTCCTACTAAGCCTGCATGCGGAACCGCCAAGCCACCGGCCTGGGTATCTGCGCGATGCGTCGTCCTTTGGGAACGAGGATACGGCACCAAATAATCCTACAGCCCTGGTTCTCGTTCCCGATGAGAACCTCCGGAGCAAGCCCCTTGCGAGCAATCATACGCGATCATATCACCGTGTCGACCCGTGCACACCACAACGCCATTGCCCGATGCCAGCCCCAGTAACGCCTCCGATGAGAATCAGATGCTATTCGACAATCTAACTTAGAGCGTTCCGATCCTCCATCAAGTCCATAAAATCGACGCGTGTCGGGCTCTCGCCTCACGGTCGCTCCGAGCAAATCCACTTCAGACCAAGTCACATTCACTCCTTTTTCTTTGTCTCTCCTTTTGTGTGCGTGCGTGCTTTCGGGCCGGTGCGGAACACCTTGTCGACAGTTTGAATGAGCTCTCGCGGTAGACGACCGTGACCTGAGCGCGCGGAAGAGTCGGGTGGATAACTGAAAAAAAACAAAAACGTAAAGAGAGGAAATGCCAAAAGACGAATTAAAACACGTGGATAACGAGCGGGCCGGAAGATGTGGGTAGAACCCTTCATTTTGTGAGAACACACACTGCTTTGAGCAGGTTTCGAGTACTCGTATCGTTGGGTATGGCGACTACATGATGTCGCTCTGGGTCATGCCACCATGGTCGGTGTCCATGGCGTCGCCACCGCCTGGCTGGAGGTACTTGACATAGCTAAGCCCGAGCTGGCGACCACCGTATTGATAACCTTGGAACTTGGATATGGCAGTGTCCGCTGTCTCGGCAGCATCGAATCGAACGACACCAGTGCCGCGGGAGCGACCGCTTGGCTCATATTGGATCTCGGCCTGCTCAACCTTGCCGATGGTTCCGAACAACTCGACCAGGTCCTCGTTACTAGTTGACCAAGGTAGCTGCAAAAAAAGAAAAAGTGTCAGCGGATTATTACTTGCGCGGGACAGCAGTGGAGCAAAGGGTCCGTCCATGCTTGATGACTAAACTCACGTTCCGGACATAGATGATCTCGCTCCTCTCGGTGCCGGCTGTGGCGAAATCGGTAAAGGGGTTGGGCGGGACAGAGGCTGCGGCGGCGTTGTTGTCGAAGCCACCTCCCGCAGCGAAGCCACCCCCACGCCCACCGTAGCCTCCGCCGAAGCCGCCACGGCCTCCGCCAAAACCGCCGCGACCGTAGCCTCCGCCGAAGCCGCCGCGGCCGCCGAATCCTCCTCGGCCGCCGAAGCCCATGCCGGAATTGGCAAAGCGATCAGGACGGACCTCGAGGATGCGGCCCTGCCAGTCGTAGCCGTTGAATTGCTGGATGGCGTTTCGAGCATCGTCTGGGGTTTCGAACACTACAATGCCGGATCCCTTGGGTCGTCCATCAGGTCCCAAGTGGACGTCGGCGCGGATAACACCGCCAGTGCGAGCTATGGCTCTGAGTCAGTGTCTCGTCGCTCAGCAGCAGGAAGGGCATGGCACTGCGTTGAGTGTATCCGAATCGTACCTGCTTGTCTGAACAGATCCTTCAGGTCCTGCCAACCGACAGTGTAAGGAAGCTGGCACGCGGTCAGTTGTAGTTCTACGCTGGGGATCAGGGCCATGTCGGAAAGCCACAAACATTGGATATGTAGAGCTGGCGGTCGTTGCCGCCGCCCATGCCGCCGCCATATCCACCGTGGCCACCTTGGAAGCCCATGGGGCCACCGTGCCCGAATCCGCCACGGCCGACCCCGGCGCCTCCAGCGGCACCAGAATTGAATCGAGGCTCAGCCTCCCGGTCCTGTTCTGATCTCAGCGTTTCTTGTCCTGGGGCGGTCAGGCACGCGCAGGTGGGCTCAATCTCACCTCCCTGACGTAGACCAGGCGGCCCATGAGATTTTGGTTGCTGAGAGTTTGGACGGCATTCTGAGCTTGGTCCCTCGTAGCATATTCCACAATTCTAGGCGAGTGTCAGCCTGGGCCGGGCCTGGTGGGAGAGTGACGGTGCGACTTACCCGCATCCCTACAAGCACCATCGGACAACGTCCCAACCCGTCAATCCAACAGTTCCATCAAGAGTGCCATGAGAGGGGAGACCGCAAGGGAAATAAAATGAAACCAGCCAGAAGCTACTTGTAGAAGCCCACCTTCGACATTCCATTGGGAAGTTGCAAGACATCGGCATAGAGAACCTCTCCGGCTACAAGCACAACGACCCCGTTAGTGCCAGATTCCCGCGATCTTGTCTCTACCTAGCCCAGGAAGACCCACCCTGCCTCATGAAATCTTTGAGATGATGCCATTTGACATCGTAAGACAAGTTGCCGACATAGACACGGCGGTCCTGCTGCGAGTTCTCCCGGACGGTACTCATCATTTGCTCTCTTGCCTGCTGGCGATCCTCGTAGGACTGGTGTGGCTGCCTGTAGCCCTGGCCCGATCCTCCCGCAGGTGCGCCTTGGCCGGTCATGGGACTTCGCGAGCGTCGTTGTCTAGGGCTGCGAGAACCGCTTCGTGGTGAGAGGGAACGGTGACCGCGGTTTGCAGAGCGGACCGGACTCCGTGATCGACGACGAGATCGGGATCTCTCGCGCTGCATGTGTTGTCAGTCGCCTGTGCACGTGGCTGGCTGGAAAGGTCACCAAGATGCGAGGGAAATAATTGTTGTTGTTGTTGGCGGCGCGGCGGACAAGGCCATCAGGAGCTCCAGCTGGGCAGCCCGGTTGACAGCGACAGCTGGAGCTCAGCTCAAAAACGCACTCGGCCGGTGGCTCGGTGGCATGGGTTGGCCCACAGTTTTAGCGGCGGGTCAAGAACCCTGATGGGTTGGCCCAGCCGCCGAGCTCTAACTCGTCCCGTCCAGCTCAATCCAGGGGGGGGCATTGCCGTAAAGCCGGGTGCAGATGGAAAGTGGAGTGAGACGGGCAGGAGACAGGAGAACTGCAGAGGGCAGCAAGAAGAGGACAGGGAGGGAGGGAGGGCGTAATACTCACGGGACGGTAGGTGTCGCCAGAATCCGCTAGATGAAATATCCAAGGTTAGATCAGATCCAAGTGCCTGGGAGCAGTCGGAAGATGGCGGGGCCAAAGAGGAACAAGAATGAGGACGAGTGGACTGGAGGGAGGCGGGAGGGGCGCGGTGGGTAGATGTAGGGCCAGATTTGTAGGCTGTGGCAAGCGAGAGGGAGTGGCAGCACTGCAGCAGGAGGTGTTGGGGGCCAGCGCGGCGGCGGCGAGGACGGGCGTGGGGATCACAGCCGATAGTGGAAAGGCACGGCATGAGCGTGCATCAAGAGGGTGTGGGTGAGCTCATGGAAGCAGGTAGGGCAGGGCAGGGCAAGCACACCTGCGCCCGCCACGGATGGGACCGCAGCAAATGGTAACGTCTGGCGGCAGAAGCGAGGTGGAAATGGAATGGTGAGAGGTCAGGGTAGAGGTACCTCTGCGTGCTGGGAGGGACAGTAGCCTCGGCGGCAGGGTGAGGGAGGGCGAGGGAGGACGGGGTACATGGCCCAGAGCGGCGGCGGCAGCAGCAGCAGCAGCAGCAGCAGCGGCGGCGGCGGCGGCGGCGGCATGCGAGGCCAAAGCAGGCAACGTGCAAAGGGCAGTAAGGGTGCATGTGAGGGATTGCAGGGCGGAGGGCGAGGGCCAGTTAGGGCGTGAGGGTCAGGGAACAGAGAGTTGTGGAATGCCCGACGCGGCAGCTGCAGGCGCTGGATGGGAGCCGCAGAGCGCCGTGTGGCCGATGGGAACCACGGAGGATGGTAGATGCAATTGCATGTCTCACTCCGGGCCTCAGAGAAGACCAGAAGGGGAGCGCAGTGAAAAGCCACAGCAGGTCACAGCTCCTTTGGGGGGTGGGAGGGCGAGGGAGCGGCGCCGGGCTGGGCTGGGCTGGGCTGGGCTGGGGGTCTGTGTTTCTTGATCGATGATGGGTAATCACGAGAGCCACTCACCCATTGTCGATTGTCGGGTAGATCGCGGTCTACTTGAAGGAGAGGAAGGGGGTGGGGGGGTTGGACTGGTTGTGATCCGACGTCGTGTTCAGTTGCAGGATTGCCCGTGAGGTCGGGTACGACGACGGCGTGGAGGCAGGCTATTCTACAGCCCAGGTGCGGAGGTGGGTTGGTTCTGGCAGTCGCAGGCGGAAAGGGCGAGCTGGACAAGCAGGGCAGGCGCGTAATGCTACAAGAAGCTGGCTGGCAAGGTAAGCAGGTGCTCGAGGGCGGAGCAGGGGACACGCGCAAGCGAGGATGCATACTTACTCAGACAAGGTCGGGAGCTGAGGGTCTGGTGTGATGGACTGGACAGCGGAAGAGCACACCCACCTGTGGCCGAGGCGGGAGAGGAATGCAATGCAGGGAGCTGCTGCTGCTGGAGCTGGAGCTGGAGCTGCTGTTGCTGCCGGATCTCGCTGCCCCTGGTCGTCGGTCTCTGGCCGTGTGCGCGTCTCCTTCCAATCCTGCTGCAGTCGAGGTGTCAGCTAACGAGGCAGGCTTGGCCGGTCTACCAAGGTAGGTAGGTGTGCAGGCAGGCAGGCTGGCTGGCAGGCAGGCTGGCTGGCAGGCTGGCTGTACGTACCTAGACTGCTGGGCCGGGTGGCAGGAGAAGGTGGTGAGACGGGGAACAGGAGGAAGGGGTCCCAGTAGTAATGGTGGACGGTGGGACCGTGAGACTGTGTGTGTGTGTGTGTGTACCTCAGAAGGAGCTCTACTGCGAGGAGAGGCAGATGGGGCGGGTGGCGCGGCGCAGGGCAGGGCAGGGCAGGGCAGGGCAGGGCAGGGCAGGGCAGGGCAGGCAAGGCAGGCAGGGCAGAAAAGTCGTCGGTCCGTCTGTCTGGCTGTGTGGCCTGGGAGTAAGTCCAGCTGCTGCTAGGTCTGGGTCTGCCGGGAGCTGGGCTGGGTATCTGGATCTCCAGGGACGCTCCAACCTGCCGGGACTCTAGTGACGGCGACCAGGCTAACCGGCGCTTCCTCGTGGCGGCACGAGCCTTGCGCGGGCTTGGGCTTCGGATTGGGGATGGTTTGGGGTTGGGTTGGGATTCGGATGGGTGGGTTGTGTCGTGTCGCGTTGGTGCCAATAGGCCTCGGGCGGGAGACGACGAGGGTACGGGGTGAGTGAGTGTGCAGTGTGCAGCTTCAGCGTGGTGGACACGACACGACACGACACGACAAGGCACGACACGACACGACCGGCGCAGCTCGGATTTTTCTCCCACAGGGAATCCAATCTTGCTTCCCGTCCTGCCGTCTTGATTGCCTGGTCCAAGCTGCCAAGCCAGGCACAGCTTGGTCTGCCGTACTGTGCCCATGACGGGCTCTGATTGGTTCGGCGTGCTAGGCTGGGCGGTGGTCGAGCAAGGGTCAAGTGGGGCACGTCTATCGATACCTAGGTACATGGATACCTGTGCATGTACCGCCCGCTACCCCAGTGGGCCGTGAGGAGGGGGGGGAGGTGGTTTTTGGTTCGCAACCTCATCTTAATTCATCATCACCTAGACAGACAATTTCGTGTCTATCACCTTGGATGAGGCAGGTGGTTCCCAAATGCTATAGCCCAAAGGACTCCCGAGGTCGTCATGATGGACCCGGTCGAGACTGACCACCACCACGCAATGTGGTCCAGTCCAGAGCCAGACGACGGGCTCTCGCTCGCCTTGCCTAGGCACCTAGGTATTCGATATCAGTCAGGGACTCAGGGCATAATACAGGAAACGGAAGGTCGCATACAGTTCGCGGCTTCTTGGTCCGTGCTGACATCTTTTAGCACCGCCTTAGTGCCGCAGCCTGCAGGCCAAGATGGAAGAAGCTCCTTACATTGCTGCCCAGCACCCAGCACTCCAACCCCAGAAACCAGCACACGGCCAGCAGCCGACCTGCGTGTCCGCTTGTCCGCTTGTCCGCTCCGCCCAGGAGCCTCATGGCTGATGGCATCCTGACCGGTGCGAAGGCTCTCGGACACACGCACAATGCAATACTTTTGCATCCAGATGCTCGTCGGCGCCTGTCGTGCAACGATCCGTCCAGCCTTGCTCCCATCTGGCCAGTGGACCGACGGCGTGGGGGTGGGGGTGTGTTCAAGTGTTCCTACGGTCGCCCCCCTGGGCGGTCCAACATGTAGTTCCGTCGCGAGCTGTCTGTCTTCACTCCGGCACAGCTCGCCAACATTGTAACTCTACCCTGCCCCAGCAGCAGTATGGTGCCGCACCTCGTTGTCCTATCAGCTGCCAGCGCCGAGTACCGCACCCATGGGACGACGTACTGCTCTGCTGTAGTGCGAACTACCTTATTTATTGACCTATATTGGCGACTTGCCAAAGCTTCCTGCGCATGGTCAGTCGCACCAGGTGTGCTCACGGCCCCGCATGGCTGCCTCCCACACACCCCGTCAGTCCTCGTGGATACTGGGCCGCAGATAACCTGGCTACTGTCGACGGCACAATGATACGACGGGCAGCCCTTTGGCATGTTTTACGGTTCTTCCAAAGGCGAGCTCGTCAGGATTCGTCGTGCGAGGCTGCATGCGGAGTGGACAGCCGTTCTGCTTGTTCAAGGCGGCGTTCGGCATGGGGATGGGCCGGCGCTGCCTGGCGAGGAAACTCAAATTCCAGGGCTACGCACAATAATGTCTCTGGGACTATTACGGTCGGCCATCTCGTTGCAGGGAGGCAGCCTGACCCGTGCACTTCCCGACCCCGTCGCTGCCCGTCGACAAAGTCACCACTACCACCTGGGCATTCACAAGTCCACCAGGAGTGACCGGGACGAATCATTCGTGCGCCCACCAAGCAACCTAGTTCCCTGAGGGCGTCATGTGCAGCAGGGCTTGGGAGCTGGAGGGGGGTCTCACGCAATTGGAGTCGCTCAAAGGTGCCCACTCGGGCTCGATTAACACTCGACCGTTTGGTAGGTATACGATGTACACATGCGAGCTCAGCGCCCCATCACACGGGGCCGACAAGGGACCGTGAATACTAGCTACGTGATCCATGTCCTTGCCAATCATGCTGCGGGCTGGGCTGTATGTGCAATAAGTCTCACCCCTTCGCTCCTTCGGTCCATGTACTACCATGTCTGCCATCACTTGCCCAAGATGCCGCTACCGCTGACCGTGACGCATCACCACTGAAATCCCAATAAACCAGTGTACGGACTATCCTCTGGGCCATACGCAGGCTTCCTGATCTCGGAACTCATGTTGCTGCAAAGACCGGCCGCAGACCATACAGCTTCGCATGGTGTCTCAACGGCCGGCCTCGCTGGCTCGCGTGCGCCAGGACTATTATGACCATCATCCGCATCCAAACTCAAAGTTTCGGGCGAGCAATGTGTATCTTCCGCCACAGGAGGAAAGGTCCCCGCCGCTATGTGAGCTGTGGGTGGCCTAGCAGACAACAACGGCCTCGTGATCCGTAGCAGGTCGTGCCGGGCTTGGTTTCTACAATTCGATGGCGGCGTGCGACGCCCTGTGAGCAAGTGGAATGGGCAGCTCTCTTGCAGTCAATGGATGCCCAATCCCGCGGATGGGAACAGAGCGACAAGTCACTTGTTGCTTCAGGCGCAGGACGGGAGTGGGCTCGCTCGTGGTCGGGCCACATAGTAGAACCTACTTTTCTTCAATCAGTGGGTTCCTCCCGTAATTTATGCACAGGTCTTCATGCACACACAAAGTCGGCTGTACCCCTAGTTCTGATTAAGAGCCCGACCACGCACAGCCATCTTTGGGTGGCCACCCTGTGGACAAGTCGCATGCCACAAGCAGAAGCTCCCCCGCCCCCCCCCCCCGAGAGCGCTGCTGCTGCAAGCCCCGGACCACAGCTTGCGCCCTCCTGCACTCCGAATCATCTTGAGCGCCCAATGCCACCCACCACAAAGAGGATAATGTGACGTTACCGCTTGCAGAGTCAAGGTGATGAAGGAACGGCACCTAGGCCGGATCAGCGGCGTCAAGATCCCGAGGCTCTTGGTCGACGTGGCCTCTGCCGATAGCAAGACAGGACAATAGAGCGTTCGAGTGTGCTTAGGAAATCCAGTGCCAGCTGAGCACCGTGCCCCAGCCTGCTGTAGACGAAGATGATCGCCCAGACCCTGCCAGCGCGCCCCGGCTGGCTCCAGCTGCGGAGTTATCACTTGTCCAGCAACCGTGGGGCGTCAGACTTCCGGTAAAGACACAGCGAGACTGGACATAGATCACATAGCTTACCTTGGTTGGACAAATTGGGTTTGCCGCGAGCGTAATGGTGTCCTTGTAGATCAAGATACTTGACGGGGTGCCTGTGTGCACTTGAGGGGAGTGAAATAGGGGTGGGAGATGATAGGTATATCACACCGCTGGATCCCCACACATGGGGCCTGGCCTCGTCAGGGGATACTAGAATCAATATCAGGGGAAGTCAATCTTTTCCGGACCGGCTCCAAGGCGGCTGTGATCCCACCGGTCTGGCCTATCTATCCTTCCCCACGGTCCTCATCGAGGTAGACATGATCGGGCCCACGGCGATAGCTTCTGATTCAGTCACTGCCACCTTCAAGGCCCAGCCGGGTGGGTATCATTCCCCCATGGAAGGGACAGGCCAGGTGATACAATGCTTCCAAAGTTGTCATCCAATCCTGTGAACTGTGTGTGTTGGTCCAAGGGCCGTGTCTGTGCAACCTCTCCTGCCAAGCCACAAATGACCTGTCATGGGAGATAGGTTGGTGATTGGCTGTGGGCAGCCCAGACTCAGTGACCTCGTCAATGGCCCCATGCTTGTCTCTGGGGAAATGTTCGGTGTGAAAGGCTACACCGGCCGAGAACGTGGGGGAGTTCTACCCAAGGACGAGGAAGAGCCGGAGAAGTGGAGGGCCGAGAGAGGGCGGCGCAGTGGCCGATCAGTTGTACAGGCCAGAAGATGTCGTACGCGCAAACCCATGATATGACGGTGGGATCGATATGCCTATAAGCAGTGGAAGGCATGCGTGCGTCTTCGCCAGACATGAGGCCATTGATGAGAAACGACAGCCTGCAGTGGACACCGGCAGAATGTGAAGCTGTGGATGGAAGCATGAGCCTACCAGCATGATCGAGACAGTGATGAGCTGTATGTATACCACACCTGCCGGATAGAATAAAAAAGGCCGCTGTTCAGAGTCCCGATTTCTTAACCAAGGACAATGACTGAGGCAAGTTAGCATCAACTCTCCCGTCTTAGACGCCCCCATGGGACGTTGAATGCCCTGCCAGCCTGCAAGGTTCGTTGGGTACCCTAGCCTGACAGGGCGGGAACACAGACCTCTAGCCCCAGCGTTCCCGCAGGTGCACAGACACGCAGGCGCAGACAGACATAGGTACCTAGGTACATTGAAGACTCGACGCTTGTCCACCACAGCAGGCTCAGTCGTGGTACCTGCAACTCAAGCCAATGGGGACTCGCAAAACAGGATCGCATGGGAGCGAAAACAGATACAGGAAGAAGAAGAGTATTTGAACACAGGCCTCGACACGGGAACATGTACCCGGGCTCACTTGTTGGGTACTGCGTGTGTGTGTGTGTGTGTGCGAGCGTGGAAAAGCAAGTAAAACAAGGTACCTAGGTACCTGGGACGAAGCCTGCAGGAGCTCGCTTAGCATGGCACTGTACCTAGGTAGCTCTGAGACTTGCAGGAACAACCCTGTTGGCTGCACGTCGGCCGATCTCGAAGACGGAAGTGAGGCATCTGGGTGGAGCAGCCGCTTTTCTCTCCAGCCCGAGCTTGGGCGCCAAGGGTGAAATGTGCATGTATTACTTCATGTGAGATGATCTCTTTGCCAACGCCCAGAACCCGCCACACAACGCAGACAACGGCACCCTCAACATTGTCCAGCAGCCATGCCTCCAATTGCACGCAGGCTAACGTCCTGCACAACATCGTACCGCGTGCTACGCACCTTGGGTCGCCCGGCCTCTCCTGCTGGTGCTGGTGCTGGTGCTGGTGCTGGTGCCGGCCTGCCCACTGCCGCAAACTTGCCCCGGCCAACCCGGTCAAGACGGTCTCTGTTGCCCGGCAGCCTCTCGCCTCCGCCTCCATCTTCAAATCGCCGCTCTTTCCACTCGTACGACCACCCTGAGCCCGCTGGGCCCTTCTCCCCCACCGAGCGCGCCATCCTGGCCGCGGCCTACGCACACATCCCCCAGCACGGCTTCACACCAGAGACCCTCGCACTTGGCGCCAGGGACGCTGGCTACCTCGACATCAGTGCCAACCTGCTTCCCCACGGGGTCTTCACCCTGGTCCAATGGCACCTTGTGTCGCAACGGGAGGCCCTTGCCATGAAAGCGAATGCCCTGTTCGGGGGTGAAGAGGCAAAAGCTCTCGGTGTGGGAGCAAAGGTGGAACTCTTGGCGTGGGAGAGGCTCATGGGCAACAAGCATGTCATCGGGAAACTGCAAGAGGTGAGTCGAGCTTAGCAGCACAGTTTTTTCTCCCCACCACTGCTGACGGGACTGTCGAACAGGCACTCGCAATCATGGCCCAGCCCTCCTGCGTTCCGGCGTCCCTTGGGGAGCTGGCCAAGTTGTCTGACGAGATTTGGTTTCTTGTCGGCGACACAGCCGTCGACCCGTCCTGGTACACGAAGCGCGCCTCCCTGTCCGCCATTTACGCATCCACCGAGCTGTTCATGACAACCGATCACTCCACCGGATTCCACGAGACGAGAAAGTTCCTCCAGAGGCGACTGGCCGAATCTCACGAGCTCGGCAGCACCTTGAGGTCAATGGGGACCTGGGTGGGCTTCACAGCGAGTGCAGGTCTGAATGTCCTGAGAAGTAAGGGCGTGCGGATTTAGCAAGGTCATGAAAAACTCTCTACTACTTAATACAACCGCCCAGCTGCAGGCTGGGAACACGTCTGGAGACGTAAATACTCCCACGCGAGCGAAGCGCTCTTGTAGTACTACATGTATGAAGCAAGTATGGCGAGGGGCCCCGTAACTCGCCGCTTCCGCTGCCCTTGTGTTCGGAAACCGGCAGTGCCTGGGCCCCAAGAATAAGTGGTGCTGAAGGTGATGTGCAGTGTACGCCCAAACGCCTGGCAGTCAGAACCTCCGCTGCGTCCCAACACTCATGGACACCGCCCAAGATGACCGCGCAAATTGCTTTTTGTGATGCGAAACAATCGCGCACTGTCATCACGAGAAACGTGGATTCATCTGTCTAAAAGTCTGCAAGTCGCCTCTGGCGAGGATCGGTCAACCTGAAGCAGTCTGTCAGTCTCCCGCGAGTTCCTAGGGCATGAGACGCCTCTCAACGTACCTGGTGATCTTCACGTCCTTGTCCAAGCTCGCCCGCCCCTCGATGGCGTTTGGCGTGATCAGTATGTACTGTCGGCTGATAGAGCTGCGCGCGGCGGAAATCTGCGATGTTTTAGCGACGGCAGCCCTGGGCCCCTGGGCTGTGGATTTGCAACTTACCAGCATGTTTGTGCTGATTGCACGGTTGACGTTGTCCATGAAGACGTCGAATTCGTCCAGGCACCGGAGCGGAGAGCCCATGGCCTCCCATATCGCGAGCAGCAAGCAGATTGACGAGAAAGATTTCTCGCCTCCGGATAAGGTCTTCGTGTTGCGAGCGGCAGCATTCTTGCGGGTCTTATCGGGCTCGACTTGTACCTCGAGAGTGTGGGTATAGTGGTCCAGAATAAGCCTGCCCCTGAAGTCACGCTCGCTGAGAAGAAACATGAAGTTGGCGCGGGAGTTCGAAGAGATATAGCGTTGAAACATCCTCCACTTTTCCAGACGATTCTCGAGGAGTTTCTTGAAGTTCCTGTTGGCCGTTCTGACCAGCTCGATCTCCTCCTTGAGCTGCTCCAGTTCTGTCCTCGCAGTGTTCGCTCGACCTATCACCTGCTCATCGGTCGTGCCCCGCCTGCGCTCGCGTTCTTTCAGGGTCTTGCGTAGAGACTCGTAGCTGATCAGCAGGGCGTCGTATGTCTCCCCTTCCCCCACGTGGGCCCGCTCTGGACACGCTTCTGATGCCGCTGCAGTGATCTCGCGTACTGTCTCTTCCAGTTTCGCTCGCTTGCCTTCAAGCCTCGCCTTCTCGTTCTGCGCTATCCGCAAGCTGTCATGAGCCTCGTTCTTCTGTTGCACAGAGATGCTGCGCGAGTCGGTGCACCTCTTGACTCTGTCTTCGGCTTTCCTCAATCTCGCCTCGAACTCTTTCAAGCTCTTCCTCTCGGTGTTGAGGACTGCCTTGAGTTCTTCAACCCGCTTGTTCTGCTCTGTCTTTCTCAGGGTAAGGGCGCCATATTGGCCACCATGGAAGTCGTAATCCTCCTGATGCTTCTTCAGGTCCTCGCGGAGGCCCTCAAGCCGCCCGTCAGCCCCATCAAAAGAGTCGAGTTCCCGTTGGATGTCTTCGATTTCCACTTTGATTTCCCGCAGCCTCTGTTTGTTCAAGTCCATAGTCTTCTTGGCCTTGTCCAAGTCTCGCCGGGCCTGCTGCGTGATCTGCTGCTGCTGCTGCTTCTGCTGCCGGACTTCACTCAGCTCCAACTCGAGATGCTTCATCCTCTCATTTTGAACGGACACCTCTTGGAGCGAGTCACTACGGAGACGAGGCTTCTGGTTCCGGTCGGGAGGGCGGACTGGCGAAGAGGTGACCCTGTTTGCATTGGCCATAACACGCACCCCCCACCCAAAACCCTTCTCTTTAAAGAGATGAATGCATGCAACGACGTTGCGTGGCGGTCCAGTGCTGTCCATCATGATGCGCTCGGCGTCCAGCTTCGTCTCGACAAGCAAGGTTTGCTCAATCCGATGGTTGATGATGAGTTGGGATCGAATTAGCGGGTGGTTGATCTTGAGGATACGCAGAATGGTGTCGAAATTCTCGTCAGGCTCCGTCCTCGAGGTGTCGATCGGCCTTGGGTTGGCGATAAAGATGGGACACCTGTTCAGGCCCAGCTTCTTCATCATGTCTCGGAGCCGCTGTTGATCGCGCTTGCTCGTGACGACGAAGCCGTTCAGGGTCTCTCCGAATGTCCTTTCCAAGATCGGTGACCAGACCGGCTTCTTGACCTGGACGTGGGCGCCGATGGGCCCGACGGGCTTGTGATCAAACCCGGCATCGTGCTCGATCATCCTGAGCAGATTGGGCACCGCTTGTTCATACCCTTCATAGAGCGATCCCTGCCCTCGCTCCAGCTCCTTGATCCTGTTCTGCGTCGCCCTGATCTCGTCCTGTTTCTGGTGAATGTACTTGTCGATGGTCTGGGACTCCTTGTCCGCGTCCGAAATGGCCTGTTTGATATCGGGGAGCTTCTTTCTCGCAGTCTCGGACTCCGTCTCAACTTCTTGCTGCCTGGCCTGGGCTGCCTCTAGCTCTCCAATCTTCCGAGCGTGTGCATCCCCGTTCAGGTCCTGCAGCCTCTGCTCCTCCTCCTGTATCCTCTTCTCGTACTCGTTGATGCTTTCTAATGCAGACTGTCCTTGAGAGCGTGCGTCACGCTCATTGTTGTGGATTCTAACCAGATCCTTCTGGGCATCTTCATAGTCCTGTTGGGCCTTATCAAAGTTGGCTTTCAGAGTCTCGCCATCTTCCCTGGAGGCTCTCAGAGCTTCCTCAGCCTGTGCCAGCTTCTCGTCGACGACCTCTAGCTCCTGGGTCCTCTGCGTGAGCACGTGCTGTGCGCCCGCGATCTGCCCATCGGCCTGGGAGATATCCTCCTCGTTCCGCTCGGTCTTGCGCTCGGCTTCGGCTACCTGGGCCCAGATTGCCTTTTGGGAGAGCAGCCGGCACTGTTTCCGCATGTCCTCAGCCTGCAAGAAGATTTCATACTCCCTCTTTGACTTGTCGTACTCCTTTTGCGCGTGTTCCAGCCGGATCTCGAGATCGCCTTCCTTGTTTTCGTTTGAGGTGGCGTACTCCTCAATGATGCGGTAGTCGTCATCAAGCTGTTGCAGTTGGACGCCCTGGAGGAAGAACTTGTATTTTTGCTTGGCAGAGGCCTGGTTGAGGAACTGGCGCGCGTTGTCCTGGGAAAGGATGTTTAAGGGGTTGTCGACCTGGAGACAGTAATACTCGACGATCTGGTCCACCTCGGATTTCTTGTCGGATACTAATTTGCCGTTCTGGGATTTGAGGCGGAAGCCGCTCCCACCGTTGCGGTTGAAGTGCCGTTCGACGATGATGACGTCGCCGTAGAGATCGCGCTGGTACGCGTCATGGCCCTGGTTCTTGATCTTGACAATCAGGGCAGAGCTTTCAGCTCCTTCCTTGATGAAATTCTTCAAGCTGCCGCCGCGGTTGGTGGAGCTGGCCTTGGCGCCCAGGCAGAGGGTGATGGCGGTGAGGACGGCGCTCTTGCCGCTGCCGTTCTCACCAACAATGAAGTTGAGGAGCGGGCCAAGCGGGACGTGCAGCCTCTTGTGGCACATGAAGTTGATGCACTCGATGCTTTCGAGTATGCCATTCTCGGCGGCGTGGTTGAGATCGCCGGGGCGGTTGGTCCGACGAGCCAGGCTCTTCTGTTGCAGCCTCTGCGTGGCGCGCCGGTCATCCTCGTCGGCGTGCTCGAGGTGCTTGAATCCCGCATCTCGCATGATCTCGTACTGCGTAGCGGCCGGTTCATCGCGACGGTCTGCCGCGTCTTCCATCGGGACATCCTGCTCATCCTCGCTCGACGCATCTGAAGGGTCGCGGGCGGCTCTGGCCCCAGTCCTGGGCTGTGCAGCCCTCTTGTGGGCGCTGGCCGGCTCCGAGACACGCGGGCGTTTCCTCTGCTGCGAGTTGCATGTCAGCCAGATTCGGGCTTGCTGAGGAGTGCAGGGAACGGCAGACTCACCGGCTCACTGCGCAGCCCGGAGCTGGCCTGGTGGACATGTACGAGCTCATCTGCTTGATCTGAATCGTAGTCGGCGGCGACTTCCTCTCTGCGGCGGCCGCGCTTTCGAGACGCGGCGCCGATGTTGTTGACGGTCGCAGCGGGCATCTTTGGCAGCCAAGGTTGACCTAGACGACGCCGGTTTTTATATGAGCATGAGCTGTCGAGGGATGGAAGGCATGGGCGTGCACGATGGTTGAGATGATATGGTTGTGCAGTGTCGCTATCGCAATCACGGCCAGGCGAAATCGCGGGAGACGCGCACCGCGTTTGGGGATGGGTTGATGCGGGACGGCACTTTAGCGCGGACGTGTGAAATAGTGTACTTAAGTACTGTAATACAGGAACAAGGTTGCTCTACTTGTGGGCCGTCCCCAACGGTTTAGCAGTTAGAGTTCACGGACGCGTTCCTTCCAAGATTTTCACAGTAGACCGTAGCAGGAGCTGGCATGCAGGCTTTACTGGGCGGATTACCTGCCCATCAGCATACCTAGGTACCTAGGTAGGCAGGTTCCAAGAGGTTTCTACGCCTAGAGCAGGTACTTGGGTACTTAGGCAACCAGGGTAGGTTCAGTGCCTCTGTAAACTTCACCCCACCTGCCGCTTGAACAGACGTAAGCCACCACGCACGCCGTAGGACGAGCTGCTGGGCAAGAATGGCAGAACCAGCCGGCCCGGAAGCAGGGGCAACTGCAGATGGCAGTTTCAGGGGGTTCGAAAGATCTCTGCCGGAGAACTGCGTCGAGTACATGCTGTTCGTCATCGACACCAAGCTTGAGCAGCAGCGCCAGCAGCACGTCTTCTCCCGCCTCGACGCCGTGAGGAAGGCCGCTGTCCAGCTTTCCAGTCGCCTCACCAGTGAATACGTTTGGCAGCGGGGTGCCTTCAATGTCGAGGTAAAATCCGACAAAGGCGGGTCCCACGCCCCCCAATGCCTTCCAGCCGCCCGCAAGCTCAGTCTCGCTGACAATACGCGGCAGGTCTCGTCTATCTCCACGGCGTCACCGACTATGGAGATTCGGTAGAGGATGAATGGCTCATCGTCTACCTCCTCCGTGAGCTCACCAAGCAGTTCCCTGACCTGTGGGTGCGCATCTCGGACAGCGACGGCGAATTCCTGCTTGTCGAGGCTGCCAACGTCTTGCCCCGGTGGTTGAGCCCCGAGAACGATGCCAACAGGGCCTGGGTTCATGCCGGGCAACTGCGCATCATACCTCTTGCTCCTGATGGCAGCCCCCAGCCTCAGACCATCACACTCCCCCAGGCTGTCAGCACACTCCAATCCGCCTCCCAAACCCTCGTTCACTCGCCATTCGTCGAGGCCGAGGCATTCTATCGCCTAGAGAAATATCCTGCTCAGATCCAGGACTCCATCCATTATGCCATGGTCTCGATACCAAGGCGGCTTGCCTATCTTATTCACCAGGCCCCCAGGTCTATTGCACCGGCTGTAGAGGCCTTCTACCTCAGAGATCCCATCGCCATGAAGCCCTTGATGTCATCTCCGGGCGCGTCCCTTGTCTTTTCACCACGAGACTTTGTTGATGTGAGCGTCAAGTTCACAAAGGTCCTCTATGCACAGCTCAAGTCCCAGGTCTTTTCAGCTCCCCCGGCCTGGAACCACGTCTTCTCGTCTTCGGAAAAACAGGCTGCCGGTTCCGGCGGCGGAGAGGTCGCCCAGAACAAGCACGCCATGCTTGAGCTGGGAATGAAGGTTACCTGTGGCTATGAGATGTTGGCATCAACCGCAGCCAAGAGTAGCAACCGCGCGGCTCGGGAAATCGCACTATTGCTTCAAGACCTGGCAGAGGATGGAGACTCGGTGCTTCCCACAGACGCCGATATTGCATCCTGGGAGAACTGCTCCCGGAATGATGACGACTCGTGGATGGACATCAACTTTGAAGATTTCGAAAGGGAGCTCGAGGGCAAGGGGCTGGCTCCCAAGACAGGTACATTTGCCGATGCCGGCGCCCCTGCTGATCTTCGCAAGATTGTATCCCGCTTCGAGGCTTTTCTCAACGACGACAAGGCCGGCCTTGACGGAGCTGAGCACGATGAGATGGACGTGGATGACGACGAGGACGAGGACGAGGATGAGGACAGCGACAGCGAGGACCATGAGATTAGCTTCGACGAAGAGGAGTTCGCCCGTATGATGCGTGAGATGATGGGGCTGCCTGCGGACGCTAACAAGTCCACCAACACGAGTGGTGGGAAATCATCTGGTGCGGATCTGCCAAAGAACAACCGTGAGGATGAGGAAATCAGACAACTGTCCGAGCAGATGGAGGCAGAACTGAAGGGGTACGGGGCGCTGAGCTTGAATACTGAGGCGGATAAGCCGCGGGCCCTTAAAGGCAAGGGCAAGGAAAAGGAGAAAGAGGTTTCGGAGAAGACTGCCCTTCAAGGGACCGATGATGAAGGCGAAGACGAAGAAGTTGACATCGACTATAACCTGGCGAAGAACATACTCGAAAGCTTCAAAGGCCAGGCTGGTATGGCCGGGCCTGTAGGGACAATGCTTGCCGGCATGGGCATTCAGCTCCCTCGTGACGAAGGTGAGGACGAGAGTGGTCGCACTTGAGTGTCTGCTGTCATAAAGGGGGAAACGGGGGAACAATACAAGGCAACCGTATGTCATACCGCTTGAGCATGTGCGAGCGTCCAGATAGACACGTGTCTCTGTTTTCATGTCGCCATGTTCGAGTCCAACACCACCATGCTATCCATCTCTGCGGCTGAATGTTGCGTTCCAAGGCAGTGTTGGAAAGCTCACTTCATCCATCTCAAGCTGACCGCACCCCATGGCTCAGACGTCACTCTCCTCCCTGCAGGTGAATGATCCATCCTGTACGTTGGAAGAGGCCAGATTTTCGTTGTTGAACAATATACCTCGCCGAGATTAGGAGTTGGACAAAGCAGTCGGATGTTTTCGTCTTCTTGACGCTCTATTTGCTTGATGGACAATGTAGCCGCAAGACCCATGAGAACCTTTGGGGCTTTCCATTCGCGCGGTTGGCAGTGCCAGTCGACCAGTCTCACGAAATCGGTAGAAGGACCAAATCGGACTCTATGAAATCTACCTCGAATAGTTCGACCATCTTTTTCCCTACTCTCGAAGCACGGGAATTTTCCAATGAACCCAGCTCTTGGCGTCCATGCTCCGTGAGACCACGGCAGGAACAGCCAAAGATCCATGGCACAGACATCGGCACAGGGCATTGCGTGCTTGCTGTTGATCAACCAGGCTGGGTGGTTCAAGGCGGGTTTCCAAGGGTCACTCTAACCTGCTAAGAAACAGCCGCCGTCTCTGTCACCCGGCTCGCCACAGTTGAGAAGCCCAAGACCGCCCGACTAACTCGGCGAAAAAGGCCCGTACGCTTCAAGTGGGAGTTCCAGCCTTGCAATCGCCATACGATGCGGGAAACCCTCCCGCCCCGGCGCTGCGAATACGCGCACACCGACCGAACGACCCGACCTGCTCCCAGGTGCGAGGTCAGGCTTTGACGCAACATAGGGGATACACGAGGTGTTTCCGCGCCGCTGGGTTTGCCCGTTCCAGGCCGTCTATGTTGTCGAAGGTGCCTCGGCGCCAACACTCTTCTCTTCAGGCACAGTGGCTTCAGCCTTGCGTTCGCTTGACAGTTTGTAGAGTTCTGTCAGGTTGTACCTCTTCAGACTCTCCCAGTCGCCGGGGACAACACTCAACCCGCAGACCGTCTATGTAGCTCTTAGCACCACGCTGTGGTCGGGAGAAAGGGTGGCCATACCTGGTAAATTTCCACCAGAATAACCTTGTCTGGGGAACCAAGGTTCACCTTGTGGATGGGATCGATGGATTCAGCGATGCGTTTGATGACGTCGTCCCTCTTCAGGGTACTGTGACTGCGTATAGACGGTCGAATGGCGTACTACAGACACGATGGTCAGCGAGAGCATGAACCCGGTTGGACTCGCCGTCTTACCGTCGCAGGCCGTGTCTCTTGGCCGGCTCCGTCGTGCTGGGCCTCGGACTGTGCATCTGCGGCTCCGGGGCTCGAGTCTTCTCCAGTGCCAGCAGAATTGAGCTTGAAGTGTCCAGCGAGAGCCTTCCTCGTCGCATCGTCGAGGCCGCTCTCGGAAGCCTTTGCGATGGCAGTGAGAGGCGTCAGCCTGTTCAGATACCGGGCCTTGGCACCTCCGTGGCCAGTGGTAGCCGCATCCTGGCAAATGCGCCTGGCGAACTCGACGGGCTCTATTGGGGCCCTGCATCGCGTGAAGAGCACGCACTCCTCCTTGATTCGCACCTCTGCGAGCACACTGTCGGATGTCCGCTTGCCCTTGTCCTTCAAGGCGCCGAGTTCCTTCTTGATGGCGGATTCGATGTCCTCGTCCTCCGCATCCGAAGCGTTGTCATCCTCCCTGGATTTGATTCCGTACATTTTCTCGGCATACTGAAGCCCCTGTAAGCAAACACCGCCATCCCCGCAGCCACAGGGAGCCACGAACCTCGTCGAACAGGAGCTCCATCTCCCTCGCGGCCTTCCCCTTGACGTGCAGGGGGCAGGTCACCCAGATGCCCATGTCGCCAGGCTCGATGGCATTGGCCTTGGGCCTGTCTGATGCCTCTGCCCTGGGAACCTTCCATTTGCCATTGTTGCCCTTCTGTGTATATTGTCAGCCTCGCCTGTGAGTGTTCTCTGGATGCGAGAGCGACCGGAATCCTGGACAGGGAATACTCGCCGGCCAGCCCGCGACTCACCTTCTTCTTTTTGAAACCAGCACCGCCTGAGGAACCACTGCCGGCTTTCCTCTTATTAGAATCTGCCATTTCAACTGGTTTCGGACCAAGCGGTGAGCGTGCAGGTAGGTTGAAGGTGACCGTTCATGAGTTGGTGGAAATTTCATTGCCTCTCCTGGGGGTGGGTGGTCTAGGACTAGCGATACAGGGTTAAGCCCTAAGGTTGAACCACCACCTTAGGTTGAGGTGGATGGGACAGTGGAGGTGGGGGACCGAGTTGCAGTCACATTAAGAATACGTCTCGGTTTTTCTAATATGGATGACGACCTCGACGTTCCACTACCCAGCTCACTTAGTCACTGAGTATTTTTGTTCTGTAGGAAGGCTGCCCCCAGAACCACAGCCCTACGACGGACCGTACGAAAAAGGAGTTTGCCGCGATCCACCGATATAAACTTCCAGCCACGTCAAGGTCAGCTCCTGTTGAACACAACATTGAATGGTGCGTGTTCGTCACCTGCAAGATTGGTAGATTGCATGTAGTCGCGCTTGCTTTTGTGATCCACTAGTACTATTCATGAGTGTGTCAACCGACACCATTTCCGCTGAGAGCATACTGAATATCGCTTGCTTGGGTATCAAGATGTTGTCTGCCAACGCTACATCACATTACAAGACGAGTGCTTGTATTCGTCACCAAATATCTCCCGGCCCCTCTCGATCTCGTTGGCCTTCTGTTTCTCGTCTGTCTCGCGGCGAAAGTACAACCGCATGAACTTTTCCAGGTTCTTGTCGATATTCGCTGCCGGCGAATGTTAGTACGGCGGATACGACTACGACTCATCCATGGTTCGTCAAAGGTGGAATGCCGACGGGCGCCGTCTTGTACTTACACAGGTCAGCCTCCATGACTACCTCGTCGCGGCAGAGTGGGCACTGCTTCTTGTTTTCGCGTTGCATCTTGATGACGCAGCGAACACAGAAGATATGTGAGCACCTGAGGCGGACGGGGTACCAGGCGATGGAGAAGCAGATCGGACAGTTGTAGTCATCCACCCGGGGCACGACCGAGACCACCTCCTGCGCGAGCTGAGCACACATCTTCTTGGCCACGTTCCCGGCGAGAAACCTCTGCGACCGGACCGCTGCGCGGAATGAGACAGATGCACCGAGGCTCGTCCGTTTGTCAAACTCTGTCTCCAGGTTAGTGTCTGTCGCCGTCCTCGGGAGCAAGTCTCGGGAGGGCCGCAAGGGCTTGTCACGCACTCTTGAGGATTTTGTTGATGGCTGTCTTGTTGATCTCCTGGAACTTTAGGTTCTGGAGCAAAGTGGCGTTGAGCTGCAGGAAGCGGGTGTAAGCGAGCCTGCTGGACGGCATTTTGAACTTGTTCAACAGGTCCCGCCTTTGGATCTCCCTCTGGAACCACACGAGGTTTTGCACGGCTTTTGCGCTCGACCGAGAGCCGTGGTCGAGCTCGTGAGAGGAGAAGAAGACTTGAGCATCGACATAAACGTCGAAAATCTCTCGCCAGCGGTTGAGGTCCGACTTGGAGAACTTGGCCGGCCTCGTGACGGCCGAGACATCGTGGCCGAGAACGGTAATGTCACCTTCCATGGACTTCTCTTCCTGCTGCTGGAGGATGTCCAGACTGTCAACATCGCTCTGAAGGATGTTGAAGAACTCGCCATCAAAGACCAGGGGGATCTCAATGCGCTCGAGGCCAGCCTCGGCTCCCGCCAAATGCCCCTCAGCCATACGTGGTGCATCGTCCTGGGCCACGGCGTCTGGGCCCTGGCCTGAGGGGGGAAGGGGGGGATGCCTGCCGGACAGCCTGTGTAGGAGCTCCCTCGAGGCAGGAGAAAGGCCAGCATCGACAGGCTGGCCGTCCTGGAGGTGGACGAAGACGGACAGACATGGGCGCAGCGACTGGGAAGGGGCATGGTCGAGGTTGTACCGTGCCATGGGGACGGGTATGCCGTCAGCAGACACGGTCTGAGCAGCCCGCAGCTGTTGCAAAGTGCTGTTGTCAAGGCCGAGTTCCTGCAGCTCGCGCTGGACCTTCTTCAGGCATTTCTTGAGCTGCGAATAAGGTATGGCGGCGGAGAGCCAGTGGTCAGGGAAGGCCTCCCGCTCGAGGGTCTCCTTGAACTCGTGAGCGAACTTCATATCGAGTCCGACCTCTATGAACGCAGCTTAGAAATGGGACACGCAACGAGTGGTGGCGTCGACGGGAGATGCATCTCGGCCTAGCAAGGCGACGGCAAGTGCGTGTTCCTGGGGCGGTGCTGGCCTAGGGTGAGCGCCAGGTGCGATACGTAAGGTCCGGGTGGGCATGTATATACTCGGTATACAATACACCTGGGTCGTCGGGTGCTGCTGGCCTTTTTGGTATGATTGCCTGATGGCGAACAGCAAGGCTAGCGAGTGGGTGGGAATTCTCTGCGCGGCGGGAGGATGGCGCCGTCTCCCCCCCCCCCTTTGCAGGTCAGGGCGGCTTTGCTGCCGAGTTCCTTGATGCAGACCCAGATCGTCACCCACGCGCAACCACAAGCTTGTTCTCCCAACCGTCCGTTTCGGCGGTCCAGCTGAAGGAAACCGAGTCAGGACGTGACTCGACCTGGGCAGTCAGAGTCCCAGGCTGGGCTGTAGATGCACGAGCGGAGCCAGGCGGGGGGTGCCAGTGACCTCTCGCCTCGCCTGCTGTGATTGTCATGGGCCACTGGATCGTGATTCGGATCTGTTGTGTTTTTCCACCAGACGGTCCGGATGGTCTTCTCAATCTTGGCCTTCGTACATGACACACGATGTAAACAGCGTGCCGTATGGGAGAAATGTGCGAGTGCACACTGTCAGATCCTGAGGTTGTGCATCGCGACCCAGGCGCGGCTTATCCCAGCAAGAAATGGCCTGGTTCCAGAGGCCTCTGGTGCCCCGCCATCAAGGAATAGCGTGCTACTACTACTAGATGCTAATACTCCACCCGGCCTGGGTCTAGACTATACTCGGTACATAGTACTTTTTTTCTGTGTTGCGGCATGTTGCCCTGATAACTTAACCCTCGCTCTGTGTTGGAGGCCGACCACAACCCTCCGCATCCATCATCTGCTGGGGAAATACTGCTCGCCCACAACCCCGCGCTGCCAGTCCCAAAATCGTCCATGGGCGCACAGCAATCATCGCACGAGGGCACCGGCGCCCACAACGCCCATGACGCCCATGACGGATCTGCGGCGGCGCGCAAGACATGTTATTACGAGGTCCTCCAGGTAGACCGGTCTGCTCCCGACTCGGAAATCAGAAAGGCATACAAGAAGAAGGCACTCGAGCTGCACCCCGACCGCAACTTCAACGACGTCGAGAACGCCACCAGGAAGTTCGCCGAGGTTCAGACCGCCTACGAGATCCTCTCCGACCCTCAGGAACGGGCCTGGTACGATTCTCACCGCGACGCCATCCTCCGTGGCGATGCCGACTCCGACGATGCCCCGTCCGAGCACTACAATGTCCGCCTGACCACCACCGAGGAGATCATGACCCTCATCGGCCGCTTCAACCGCTCTGTTCCTTTTAACGACACCCCCAATGGTTTCTTTGGCATACTGGACATCACCTTTGGCCAGCTCGCTACCGAGGAGGAGGCAGCATGCCAGTGGGAAGGCGTCGCGCCCGTCGAATACCCACCCTTCGGCTCCAGCCACGACGACTATGACCTCGTTGCCAAGCCTTTCTACAACGCCTGGTCCGCCTTTGCAACCAAGAAGTCTTTTAGCTGGAAGGAGAAATGGCGGCTTTCCGACGCCCCCGACCGCCGTGTGCGCCGGCTGATGGAGAAGGAGAACAAGAAGATGCGTGACGACGCCATACGTGATTTCAACGACGCTGTCAGGTCGCTTGTCGCATTCGTCAAGAAACGCGACCCGCGATACGTGCCCAACACCCAGTCCGAGGCGGAGAGGCAAAAGGTCTTGCGTGATTCTGCGACCGCCCAGGCTGAACGAGCCCGCGCGGCAAACCGGCAAAAGTTGAGCGAGGCTTCCGTCGCGGAGTGGGCGCAGTCCAGGGAAGACCATGACGAGCACAATGACGAGTTCGCAACCAGCGAGGAGGAATCCGAGGTGGAGCACTTCGAGTGTGTTGTGTGCAACAAGACGTTCAAGAGCGAGAAGCAGTACGAGGCCCACGAAAAGAGCAAGAAGCACGTCAAGGCCGTGCAGCAGCTTCGGAGACAGATGAAGCGCGACAACCAGGCCTTCGATCTGGACGAGCCCGCTGGCCCGGTTGATGACCAGGGCGATGAGCCCGAAGCAATGGATGCCGCGCAAAATTCACTCGAGACTGACGCCCAAGCCCATGTGGTGCGCGGGCAATTACATGAGGAGGTGGACGAGTCGGCTGGGTCGTCTTCTGAGACGTGGAATGACGAGTACGCACCGCGGGAAGTCGTCGAGGGACGTCTCGCGCCAGGTCCAAAAGCAGACAGTCCGAGCGAGAGCGACGTCGGCGACGAGCTCAAAACACAGATGACAGAGGTGACTCTCGATGATGACGACGACGACCCAGCGCCCGCCCAGGAGAAGGCCAAGCTGAACAAGGCCAAGCTCAAGAAGGCCAGGAAGGAGGCCAAGCAAGCGGCCCAGACCTCCTCGGTACGACGGAAACCTACCTAAGTACCAAAATCACGTGGGCCGGTTGCATAGATTTGACTGACACGCAAATCTAGAACAAATGTGCAGTGTGCGACGAGGAATTTGAGTCTCGCACTAAACTCTTCAAGCACATCCGAGAGGAGAACCACGTTGGACTCAAGCCGGCGACATCAGCTGGTAAATCCGGTAAGAAAAAGAGGTGACCGCTCTCTTACTACTGAGTATAAGTGGCTGTGCTCCTGCCCCGTCAAAGCAGCAACGCCATCCCAGATGATTCCCCCGCTCCCTTTCACCAGTCGCTTGAAACCGACCGTGGCTTTGTGGCTTTGCACTTTGTAAAGGGGGCAGTCCTGGGAATGCAGGCCCGCACGTCCTCCACGCGACTCCGTCAAGACAAAAGGGACCAGCTTGGACCCAAGGGAAGTATCACGCATCAAGGGCGGGGTCATCGTCGTCGTCATCACTCAGGGTCTCAACCTCATCAATAGCGCCCTCTCGCTCCACGGGAAGACCACGCGCGGGATCATGTTCGGAGACCCTGATGACGGCCTTGCCCTGTACATACCTCACCGAGTCTTTCCACGTGTCCCAGTCTTCCTCATCTCTGATCAGAAACCCGATCAACATGCTGGGGTCCATCTCGCGCACATGCAGTCGACGGAGTCGTCTCGTATGACACGAGTCAATATCCTCCTTTGAGTACTTCTCAACGTCCTCGTGGAAGGGCAAGGCGGGTCTGGTGAAGTGCGGGTCGAGATAGAAAAGGTAGGACCCTGGCTCGGAATTGTCACCTGCCCGCTGCGACCCGACGAAGTAGTGTGATTGCGACGGGCGGCCGCTGCGTCAAGGTAGATAGATGTTAGCGAAGACACACCTTTGCGGAGGTACAGTTTGGCTGCATACCCGGCAATGCCCACGGACTGCGGCAGCTGAAGCGTGGCCGTGAGCGACTCCCAATAAACCTGGTTAATCTTGTCGATACCTAGCCGCGTTCCGACCAGTATCAGGGTCGGGTGAAAAGTCTCGCCGTCAGGCTTGGCGACTGCCATGAAGCTATCCTCGTAGACATCAGGTAGGTCACCTGTCGAGTAGACACGCAACAACGGCTCGTTGGAGCTGGCAAGAGCCCTAGACAGGGATCAGCGGCTTGACACGCGTTGGACCGCAGCCAGGGGCGCTCACTGTATACACCGCGCAGTCGCTGATGGCCCGAACCACTCGCCTGGGTACTTGCCGCATGCAACCGCGCCATGTCTGACAAAGTTGTGAACGGAGTAGGGGGCCCGCGGGTCGTCTGCAAAGCGGGCTAGGAGTTCACGCTCCTCGCGGTCAGCCGTACCTCGGCGCCAGTCTATCGTGATGATTATCAGCGAGAATCCCGTAGAGGCGCGCTTCCATGTCACGGGGTCTCACCGCGGCCGAGTTGGCAGATTGACAGAGTGTTGGCCAAGAGACTCTGTCCAGAGCGTATCATACACCCCCAGCCTGTATCGGATGGGAACCCGCCTTGGTCGGCAAGGCTCTTGAGGCGCATGGCAAAGGAAAGAGAAGCAGAGGCCTTTGGGTCCGTAGACCGGGCAATAGGCTCGAAGTTGGATCGATAGGTCATCCAAATGCGGGACTCGAAGTCGTCCATGAAAGCAGGAGGCCATCCGTTGTCCTCGGCCGAGGCCTCGTAAGCCAGGGACGAGGACACACTGCTCGAACTCGAGTCGGGAGGCGTTTCGGTTTCGGGGCCGGCAGCTGGGGTAGAGCGTGACGTAGCGGCGGACGGCGTCGGCGGCGGTGTCCCCTCGGAGGTTGCAGCGGCCTCGGAAGCGGGAGCCTTGCGGGTGGGAGACTCGTGGGTATAAGAGCGGCCCAGACACCAGACGGGCCTGTTGGCGGCGCGGTCGTTGAATGGTTGCGGATCCCATATCATCTTGACGATGCGTCGTCCAACCCGACCAGCCTCGGCGGCCCCGGCCATTACCGTCTCCCTGGCTGTGCCCACGGCCAGCTGGGTCCTCTGGGACATGTCGGCCATTATGCTGCGCCGCCCGTGTGACGAGGGCGGACGTGGGAAGAGTCGAAGCGGGAACTGGGCTTATAAAAATAGCGGTCGGGCACGTCTATCTACCTAGGAATTCTGTTTGGATTAGTACAGGGCGCGGGAATGCTGCCTGCCTGCACGGGGTATGAGCGGCTTTCGCTCATGCCGTGGGGGGGATCCAGAGGCCGGCCGAGGCTCGGGTCAGGTCTTTGGAGGAGATTTAGCAACAAGGACTGCAACAGGGTGGAAATGGAAAGGTTGTGGTGAACGAACGTAGGAAAGAGTGCTGCTGTATGTCGTGCCAGGGAGGAGTGGATGGGTGCGATGGGCAGGCTGGTTGTCGATACGGGCCGCATCAAGTCGACGGGTGAGAGCAGCACATGTCATTCCCAGGTTAGCTAGCCACTTGATCAACTGCCCCGGGCACCCCACCTTACCCTTAGCGGGCCACCCGCCTGTATGTACGGAGGAGGTACTCAGGTACTCACGAGCTGCCCCAGCTAAAGTACATGTATGTACTGTGTGCTACATCTAGCACCAAAATAAGCGGGGCATTGCTGCCTGGGTACGGACCACTCCGTTCTTTGTGTCACACTCCCGGGGTGAAGGGGTGACTGACTGATGGTCCCTCCCTCTTCCTTTTATCATCATCGTCATCCAACCCGCGCCAAGTGCTTTTCAAAGACGAAAACTGCAACAATTCTTCTTCACTACGGAGGGCTGCGCCGCCGAACACCTCGCGTTCTCCATATCACGTGTTTTCTCAGCTGGGAAGTCGGGCTCACAAGCGTTCTTGCCGTGTGCCAGACCCGCAATTTGTGCAGTCGGCCGAGTTAGAGTGGGGGGAGACAAAGTGTGAGTGAGACTGACGGCGCTGGTGAGAGTCGCCAGAGGGCAGCACATCCATCCTACAGGGCTGGCTCACTTGTCAACACCTCACATGGCCAACCCACCTTTGGTACCAATACAACTTTGAAAATGGCCAAGGGGAAGAAAGGCAGGGCTGCAAAGGCAGCTCGCTACCGGGCCATGGCAGCAACCCCTGCCCAGCAGCAACACCAACCACAGAGCATCATCTCTCAGTACGTGCCAAGGGCTGCGGCCGTCAAACTCCACGGTCAGTCTCCGTGGGAATATGCCCCCGTGCAGCCCCTCCTTCTGAACATTGGTGACAGGCTTTTCTCTGGCGGACGAGGCTAGAAACACCGCCGAACACCGGAAGGGTTGGGATGCTCTGGCCAAGCTCCGAACCCAGCCCGTCACCTTCGTGAGCGCCGGCATGGTCGAGCCCTTGAAAGACCTCGAACAGCTTGGGCACGACACCGAGGATGCGGCCGAAACGCCCCAGGCGCATCAGGGCGGCCAGGACCTAGGCGGCGACGCCGCGGGCGATGCGGACGATGCGGACGCACACCTGCAAAGCGGTGATCAGGAGCCCTCCTTTTTCATTGACACCAGCGGTGACCAGACCCTGTCACGCCACCACGTGGAGCCCGTCGTCATGCCCGAGCTTCAGTTGTCGGGTGACGAGTCGAGTTCGAGTGAGGATGTTGTTCTCTTCAAGGGAAGGAACGCTGCTCGCACCGACAATACTTTCCCGCCTGTTGCCGACGATATTACGATACAGGTTCAAGCTATCCAGACCACTGTCCAGAAAATATCTCAGGCTGGGCCAGTTCGACCAAACGCACCGGCCGCGCGTTCTGAAACTCCGCCGCTCTGGCAACTGCGTGGCCACAACGACGAGGACGCAATATTTGCCGACTACGTTGCAAACATGAGCGAGGATGATGAGGCAGATGGTGACGGCGATGGTGACGTTGAAAGGGCTCGGCTGTATGCGATGTTCTCAGGTAACCGGGATCTCGGTGGCTCCGATGGGGATGTGGTGATCGGGCAGGAATCCGATAGCGACGCTTCCGAAGATGCTGAGGACCCAGGCGACGGGAGGAGCCCAGCGGCTTTGGAGATAGGCAAGTCTATGACGGCCGAGGATACCGATATGACAGACGAGGCCTTGGCTCGGCTGCTCGCTCAACAAGAAGAGCTCGGCTTAGACGACGACGAGATGATGTTGCTCGCCGGCAATGGATTAGGCGTGGTGCGTTCATCAAGACACAAGAACTCCAATGGACGCGAAGAGACCATTTCCTTCAAGGCAGGGAGGTCTGCCAAGACAGGTGGGCGTGGGCCAGTTCCCAGTGCGAGAGAAGTCGCAGAGGCGTTTGATGATCTGGACTTGATGGACTGGGGCCGACACAACCCGCCTCGAAAGCCCAAGGGCAAGCGCGGACAGCCGACATTTGATATATCAGATTCTGAGCTAGAGGAGACACTCCAGGCTACTTGGAAGGCCGATCGTCTTCGCAAGAAGGACAAGAAACAACAGCGCGAAGAGCTACGTGCGCAGGGCCTCCTCGGCAAGAATGTCGACCCGAACGATCCGCGTGTGAAGTACCAGAGTGGCATGACTCTGGACCAGATCAAAGAGGAGATGCGGACCTTCCTCTGCGGCGCCGATGAGACGTAAGTAGTTGTTGGCCCGCGAGACCACGATGGATGCCGCAAGCTGACTCGCCCCCGCTTTACCTACAGACTGACACTACCCCCCATGGACGCTTCTGCACGCAAGATCATTCATGAGCTTGCCAACAAGTTCAACATCAAATCTAAATCCGCAGGCCACGGTGAGACCCGCCGGCCGTCTCTCTACCGCACCAAAAGAACGGTCAGATACTCTGAGCCATCTTTCGAACAGGTCTTCGCCCGTGCTGGGCGCAGGTACTTTCCCCGCCTCGATCAGAAGGGCAAGGCGCCCAGAGGAGGAGGAGGCGGCGGCGGCATGGGCAGGTCGGGTCGCGGCATCAACCATGCGGCATTCACACTCAAGGATGGTGAAGTGGTGGGAGGCGGTGCGCCGGAGCTTGATCAGGCTAACAAGGGCCGGGCTATGCTGGAGAAGATGGGCTGGTCCACGGGCATGGCACTCGGATCACAGGTACGTTCGCAAGGATCCGCGACATCGACAGCCAGGCAGTGTCTATGCAGGCAGCTTGGAGACCAGTCGTCGCTAACAGCCTTACTTCACAGGACAACAAGGGCATCCTTCAACCACTCGCCTCTGTAAGTAACGCTCTGTCCACTATCCTTCCTGTCTTCTGGCGACACACCTTGCGCAAGGGGCTGCTTCCAGGTCATCAGACTGTCTGCTCCTTTGCGTGAACAAAAGAGCCTTGGAACAGCGCCGTAGCTAATCTAGAACATGTAGGTCGTCAAGCGTACGAAGGCTGGCTTGGGTTGATCGGAGAACCCGTGTCGCAAGTGGAGGTAACTGCATCGAGAACCGGCCGAGTGTATCGGGTCATGTCGCACGAGGGAAGGGGGCGTGCCACAGTGGTGCTGTAAGATCACTGCACGGGCTGTGGACCTGGGTGATGGGCATTTCGTGTATGAAAAAGCATTATTGTCTTCCATTAGAACGGGACACCGTTTGTCTCGGGCGACGGGCTGTATTCATGTTAGAATAGAACAAACAAGCTTAGAAACTCGGAATGTGGTTTCAACAAGGACTTTCACCACCGCCAGAGACCGCCTCCATCTCCGCCAGCCTCCAAAAATGGGAAGGCACGAAGCGCGACAATGCACTCGAGTTCTCACATCATTCCGCGTTGTTCTGAAGTGTGACGCGGCAGATAATGTGGTAGCTGTGAGATCAGCAGATGCCGTTCCTGCGCGTCATCTCTTGATTTACGCGGGCCGGCCCCTTGCGGCATAATGTAAAGCACAAATAAACAAAGCGGAGCGCGTCTAAAGGCCAACAAACATCGAGTTTCTTGTTCATATGCACGATTTCATTGCTTCCGAAACCCTATTCTGAAGGAGTATTTGTACAGCCGCAAACCCCGTTGACCGTGTGAAAAAGCATTGCCCCAAAAACAAGACCATCCGTGACGCATTAAGACACCCAAGGATCATGGGCCTTGGTATATCTCATCAAGTACCAAATGCCAAAGCTCATCCTGTGCCCATAGAGAAAAAGGAAATCCAGACCCTAGCCACGCGCTTATTTCGTGGAGGAAGAGTACTTGGTGACGGCCTTCGTGCCCTCAGACACGGCGTGCTTGGCCAGCTCACCAGGCAGGATGAGACGGACACTGTGACATGGATGTTAGCAGCGCGTCGGGCGGGTCGGCGGTAGCAGCAGGGAGGGCTCACGAGGTCTGGATCTCTCGGGAGGAGATGGTAGACTTCTTGTTGTAGGCAGCAAGCTTGGAAGCCTCGGTGGCGACGCGCTCGAAGATGTCGTTGACGAACGAGTTGAGGATGGACATGGCACGGTTGGAGATACCAGTGTCGGGGTGGACCTGCTTGAGGACTGTTGCGACGCGTGGGGTCAGCATGTGCTGGGGTTTGGAGGGGCCAGGTCGCGTGTCGGAGCAGAGCGCGCGGCCCCACTGCGGACGAATGCGACACAGGCAAATGGGAAAGACGCGTCTCGATGCAACTTACCCTTGTAGATGTAGGAGGAGTAGGTCTCCTTGCGAGCCTTGGTGCGCTTCTTCTTGTCGCCAGAAGCAGCGGTCTTCTTGCCGGCGTCCTTCTTCTCAGGAGCCTTGGAGGCAGTGGCGGGGGCCTTGGAGGCGGGCTTCTTGTCTGCGGCCTTGGGAGGCATTTTGGTGATGTTTTGAGAATGTGGGGGAAAGTGGACAAGATGGATTGCAGATGCAGATGGATGGAATCCAAAAGACGTGGTTGTCGCGAGTAAAATGGGGTTGAGCGTTGGGTGGTGATGAGATGGGAGAGTGGTGAAGGCGGCGAGATTTGGGGGGTGGGAGGTGCCGGGCTTTTGTAGGCCTCGAGCTGGCGCTGAGAGCTGGCTGATTAAAAAACCACCTGCCCGAAATCAGAATCACAGAGGGCAGGCCGTAGCTACCCTGCAAGCGCGTGTTTTTGGTCCGTGCCCCCGCCGAGATGGGGCGCGCCTGCCCTGTTTTTCAGGTGCAGATACCGAAATGGTATAGTTCTGTTAACACGTTACTTTCGCAGGGGGCGATGAAAATCACAGGCTCTCCTCCCTTCCGTTCCCATGCAGGAGGGACCGCAAAGGGATCATCACATGTCCGCATTGCACACAACGTGCAAGAGCTGTGGAGAACTGCACCCTGCCATGGCTCATCCTGAGCATTCACTCTCCGTTTACCCTTCAACCACCCTTCCTTGTCCTTGGATGATGTGGTCCCATGGGGCAGTGGCCCGTCCTCCAGTTCCATAGTAGGGTTTACGTTAGAACTTCATTCCCTGTGGGGTGTCCTCCCAAGCTTCCAAAGCATGGCCCCCTATGGGATGTCCTCCAACATGATAGCCTGGCCCAGTCCTTGGTACACTTTAATACTGGGCATTTTCATATGGTACACTCGGTGGACGGTTGGTTCTTCTGAGATAGATCCAGTGTACTCCACACATGTGAATAACCTCAGGTAGACTGCATGCAGGTGCACTGCCTGGCAGCCTCCGAGGTCGTTGCAGGCACTTGTGTCCGGAGCCCTTCCCCAGAGAGGATGGCTCTCAACCCCGTCCGTACCTGCATTCAAAAATAGTATCTTTGCGCCTGCCCACACACCTTGGTACATTGGTGCTTGTCCTGCAAGCCGTGGTGGTGTGGCACGGTAACCAAAATGAATACCTAGGTACCTAGGTACCTGGTAAGTGACACACGGGGTGGGACTGCAGGTCCTAGCGAGCTGATTTTAGTCAGAGCCCAAGCGAAAATAAACAAAAAAGACAAGGGCACCGTCTTATTGGCCAAGTGCCGTAATTTCCGGTGTTTCTGGCTCTCTCGTCTGTTTTTTTGGCCGGGTGCAAGTGCATCCGATTCGGGAAAGGTCGATTCCTGGGAAGCGCGCCCCAACTTTTCGAATCACAGTACTGCAGATGCAACGAGTACTTAATCCACAGAGTCCCCCACCATCTTCTACTTCCACCAGATCCCACCACATCTCGCAACATCATCACCAATAACCAACCACTTTTCTGCATCCATCATTCTCGGACGTTTACGTCGCCTCAACATCAGCTTCTCAATCCCACCTTTTTCACCCCACCAACTACCATCAAAATGACTGGAGGCGGCAAGTCCGGCGGCAAGGCCAGCGGCTCCAAGAGCGCGCAATCGTGAGTCCACCATGCCCGATCCAGATCCACCCTTGCCTATTGTGTTCGGACGCGACTAGACGCGTCCCACATGGTGTTCAACCCCGACTGGACAGCTGCTAACCCTCGCTCTTCAGTCGTTCCTCCAAGGCTGGTCTGGCGTTCCCCGTCGGCCGTGTCCACCGTCTGCTCCGCAAGGGCAACTACGCTCAGCGTGTCGGTGCCGGTGCCCCCGTCTACCTGGCCGCTGTCCTCGAGTACCTCGCTGCTGAGATTCTCGAGCTGGCTGGCAACGCTGCGCGTGACAACAAGAAGACTCGTATCATCCCCCGTCACCTGCAACTCGCCATCCGAAACGACGAGGAGCTGAACAAGCTCCTGGGCCACGTCACCATCGCCCAGGGTGGTGTCCTGCCCAACATTCACCAGAGTATGTTTCCGTCCATCTTCCACATCGCATCACGCAGTCGTCTAACATACCTCACAGACCTCCTGCCCAAGAAGACCGGCAAGACGGGCAAGAACGCGAGCCAAGAGCTGTAGATGTAGGGTGTTTGCGCTTTTGCTTTTCATTTTCCGGTCGGCACGTTTGGGTTGTTCATGACACGGGGTCACGGTTACAGGGTCACTTTTACGGTTGTGTTTTTGCACGTTTGGGTTGTACATTAATTCCCAAGGGATCATCATGGTCATGAAATGAATACCACATCAAGAACAACAAACACTTGGCTCCCTCGACCGCTTGCTCGTGACTGTTTTCCAACTTGGTCCACTGGGCTCGGCCTCATGGCCATTCTCGTGCAGGGGCTTGGGCAGGGGTGCTCGGTTTCTTTGTATGCCTCCTGCTCCGCCTGCCGGTTGCAAAGGGAGGCCGGGCCCAAGCATTATGCTGCGGTATGGCCTGGAGGGCAGCGACCTTCCCCGCTCCAAATGCCATGGAGCAGATTGAGCAGCGCCCATGTGTCTCTGAGCGCGTGATGCTAGCCTTCCAGGTGCGACTTTCCCCGGTGGAGTCGAGAGAGGATGGAGTATCGCGAAAGCGCAGCTGTCCGACACGTCCGGCGGAAGCACAGGACACTGCATGTCACGTCACGTAGTGCCGCAGGAACGTGGTTGCGATTGTTTTGTTTCCCATTGAACTGCCCTGTACCACTGCGCTGCTATGTACACGATACCCTCCTGAACCCACGCATGCCGAATCTATGTCTAGTATTTTAATGGTGGAGGAGCTACGGTCCGGTCAGCTTAAATAGGCCCACGGGGGCAGAGGGCTAACTCACGTTCGAGTATTGGGGCCGGCAGGTTTCTCTCGTACTTGGATCCTGAGAGGCCCGGTGTCAGTGTCGAGTCCGCAACGGCAGAGCCCAGCGACGGTTGCGGGGTGGAACGAGGAGAACATACCTCCGGGTGCGGTGGGCGGTGCATAAGGATCGGGGTGCTTCCACGTATCCAGGAGCTTCTCTGTCTCCTTCAACAGCGCCTGATGAGAGCATCCCAAAGTCAGCCCTGGCCCTGAGCTGCGCGTTGACAGACACGCAGGATGGTCGATGGTGGTCTCCCGGGGCGTGACATACCCTTTGCTGTCTGGGCTCGGTGATGTTCCGGTTGGCTTCGAAGAGGGAGCGAATGTAGATGGCTTGGCCACGCCAGAGGTGTCGATGAACCGCCCAGTCGAGGGCAAGCTTCAAGGAGCGCCGGTAGAGGGAGCTGTGGACCAAGAGCAACCGGTCAGCGATTGGGGCCGAACAGGCGGCAGCCGGCAGCCAGCAGCCAGCGATACTCACCCGCTCACAGGAGCAGGGCGCGGAGGGCGGGGGAGCGGGTGGTGGGGAGAGAGGCTCACAGGGCAGCTTGCCGGGACGACATGATGGGCGAGGCAGGCTGTTTCGGGTTCCTCGTGAAGGAATTGGAATTGGGTGGGATGCGTTGTGCCCAGGGCGGGATCGAGTCGAGCGCTCGTGCTGCCTTGCGAGGCTTCGGGGCAGACGGAACATGCAGTGGCTGTCCGGCTGGGGAGGTGGGACAGCGTATGTCGTCAGGCAGGGTGTCAATCTGAATCTATCTCCAAGTCTCAATTGATGCCTCGATTACTAGGCCGGACTTGCTGCAGGGGAGCGAGCAGCCAGAAACGCTGGGGCTCTGGGATCTTTGGGGGGGGGGAGCTCTTCTGCTGCTGGTCATCGTGGCGGATCAAAATCTGATTGGCCTGGCCCCGGTGCGGCCAGCCGAAGTACCCAGGTACCGCAGTACCCTGCCAACCTGCGGGCTGCAGCTCTCCCACGCAGCAGCATCTCTGAGGTATCGGCAGCTTGAAGCTTTCAAGACAGGGAGGGCGAGATGAGCACACCACCACGTGCATCTGTAGTCGGTGTACATACAGTACGTACAGTACACATACTCCGTTGGTCGTCGTCCGGCAGAGCCCTGTGCCTCTCTGCCTGGCCGCCGTGACAGCCCCAAGGCGCATCGTGTTTCGAGGCCCCGTCCTCCCGGCTACCCGGTAGAAATCGGGGGCCCATACCCGACCGGCCACGGCGAGGACCGCTGACGTCCTACCCAGCTACCTTGACCAGCTGCCACCTGCCACCTGCCTCCCAATCCTGGTAGACGGGGCCATTTTACTGCTTCAGGTCCGCTTCCATTTTTGGCCCGGCTTGCATTTCTCCCACCGCCGTGACTAGACCAGACCTTTCCCTCTCCCACTCCTCCCTCTCCACTCCTCTCTTCCACAAGTCTTGCACAAAGGCCATTCGCATCCGGCCTCGTCTGCGCATCGCCCAGTCGGTTGCCTGCTTGTTTGTTTTCTCACCCGCCTGCCGCATCGCCCTCGAAAGCCTCTCGCTCGCCCAACATGCTCAGGACTCTGCGCACGACAGCGCGCGCTGTCCACTTGCGCCCCTTGCAATCCCTCCAGCACAAATCAGCCATCCTGCCCCTGCCCGCCTTGATGCAACATGTCCGCACATACGCCGACAAGGTCGTCCAGGTCCCTCAGATGGCCGAGTCCATCTCAGAAGGCACCCTCAAGCAGTGGAGCAAGCAGATTGGCGACTTCGTCGAGCAGGACGAGGAGATTGCCACCATCGAGACCGACAAGGTGCGCTAGCCACCCCCCTCTCGCCCGGCCTTTGTCCCTGCCTCCACCCTGCCCCTGAAGAGCCCCCCTTCCCCGTATCTTCCCACTCCCACCTGCATGTGACCGGGACGCTGACGGCCCTTTCCACACAGATCGATGTTGCTGTGAACGCCCCCGAGGCCGGCACGATCAAGGAGTTCCTTGTCAACGAGGAGGACACTGTCACCGTGGGCCAGGACATCGTCCGACTGGAGCTCGGGGGTGCCCCTCCCGAGGGCGCCGCCAAGTCCGAGGCTCAGGAGCCCTCGCAGGAGCAGCCCAAGGATGAGGCCAAGGAGCCCGAGAAGAAGCCCGAACCTGCGTCGACGGCCCCGCCCCAGCAACAAGAAACGAAGCCCGCACAGCCTCCCGCTGCCTCCGGGAAGAAGGAGCCCGCCGCGCCCTCAAAACCGGCCAAGGACGCCAAGGATGCGCCAGCTCCTGCGTCTGTGGGCGACCGCGAGGAACGCCGTGTCAAGATGAACAGGATGCGGCTGCGGATCTCGGAGCGTCTCAAGCAGTCGCAGAACACCGCTGCCTCGCTGACGACCTTCAACGAGGTCGACATGTCATCTATAATGGAGTTCCGCAAGCTCTACAAGGACGAGGTGCTCAAGAAGACGGGTGTGAAGCTTGGTTTCATGAGCGCCTTCACCCGCGCCGCCTGCCTGGCCATGAAGGAGATCCCCGCCGTCAACGCGTCCATCGAGGGCCCCAACGGGGGCGACACGATCGTCTTCAGGGACTACGTGGACGTCAGCGTTGCCGTTGCTACCGAGAAGGGCTTGGTAACGCCGGTCGTGCGGAACGCCGAGAAGATGGACATGGTTGGCGTCGAGAAGGCCATTGCGGACCTGGGCAAGAAGGTGTGTGGAACTCGTAGTTTGACCTCGGGGTCTCGTTTTCACAGAAGGCTAACAGCAGCTTCTCACCATAGGCGCGCGACGGCAAGCTCACCCTCGAGGACATGGCTGGAGGTACCTTCACCATCAGCAACGGCGGTGTGTTCGGCTCTCTGATGGGCACACCCATCATCAACCTGCCCCAGACCGCCGTCCTGGGACTTCACTCCATCAAGGAGCGGGCTGTTGTCGTGAACGGCAAGATCGAGGCCAGGCCGATGATGTACCTCGCCCTGACTTATGACCACCGTCTTCTTGACGGCAAGGAGGCCGTCCAGTTCCTGGTCAAGATCAAGGAGTTCATCGAGGACCCCAGGCGCATGCTGCTGTAAGCCCTGGTGGGCCCGGCGTAGGACTGGGATTGTCTCGGGTTGTCTCGGGTTTGGCCAGGTGGTCGGCGCAGGGGTTGGATTGCGTTTGTGTGGTGGCATACAGGCAGCCAGTGTCAATAGTGTACAATAGAATGAGCTGAGCAAGTGCCGGTACGGTGTGAAGGCAAGCTTCTTAACTAGGATTTGTAGCACTATTCGGATGGCGGGATTCATATTCGTCTGAACCATTACCTGTACAAAGTTGGTGCTCCCTAGGCACACAGCGAGAACGCGAGGCCGGCCAGGGGCGAAGAGAAGTAATACTGAGGATGCTTTGGGACGAGGATTTGCACCAAGGTGAGTGTCGCCAAGATCACTGCATGCCAATCACTACGCCGCAGGGGGGGGGGGGCGTAATCGAGGCGATATCGCTGCTACAAAATGCAAGTTGATTTGGCCTGCCTCGGAAAGCATGCCGTCTCAGGGCTCACTTTTACTGCGGGTGGTGCGAGCTGAGAAGTAGACTTGAGTAATGGTTTGTCTGGCGAGAGAAACCTAGGAGAATGCAGCGGTCTGGCCGTGGAGCTGCGATGTGCGGTCCACAATGGTTACCGTTCGGTCATCCCGCTGGCGGTGTCTTTGGCCGGGTGTGATGTAACTGATGTTTAAATAGGTGAACGGCTGTTCAGGTTGTAGTAATGTGGTCTGCTTGTGGGGGGGGGTTGAGTACCTACTGTATGCAGCCAGAGAGGACTCCGTCATGACTTGTTGTTGTCTTCATTTCGTATCCTCGTGCTGGAGTCTGCTTCGGCCAAGCAAAATGATTCTGGCGAAACCCACCGTGCTCCACAACAGACATGCAAACACGAACCTTGGCTCCAACCCTTTTCCCCGTGCTATTCCTGTCCCTTGCCTTGCGAGGCTTAAAGGGGCAAGTGGCACCCCTGTAGAGCCAAAGGTGGCGGTCATAACATTTGAATTGTATTAAGTACTCACCACGCTGTCTCTCACAAGCTCCTGCGTCCAGAGTATTGCCCACCACCAGCAGCCACTTCTCTCTCACGTTCACCTTATTTCCGGACGTCCAATATTCAACAAAATGCTTGCCCCCATCTTCCTCGCCGCCCTGGCCGGCACCGCCGCCGCCCTTCCAGCCCCCCAGACCAAGGGTGATGGCATCACCTATGGCAACTGGACTGTCCGCGCCGATTGGTCCCGTAAGTGCACCACGTCATGCCATCTGATGTTTGCGGCTTGGTTGCTAATCCACTGCTCGTAACAGGCTGCCCAGACGCCAGCCAGTACGATATCACACTGCAGGGGCGCACTGCCGTCACCGGCACAAGTGTTGGAAGTGGCATCGTCGACTTCAGGCTCCCCGTCGCCCCCTTCGACGCCTCCCTGGTCCTGAAGCCCGCTGGCAGTACCGGCTTCGGCTCCCCATTCCCCCCCAGGATGGTCGACGTGGCTCTGCTCGAGACCGCTGATGCCGACGGGAACTTCGGCACGGCCACCTTCCAGCCCGAGAAGCCCGGCGCCACCAGTGTCGACGCCGTCATTGCCCAGGTCGCTTGGTTCACATCGCCCTACCAGGCCTTCATGTCCGCCTCCGAGATCGACTTCGCCACCCTGCAGAAGAACGAGACGGCCACCATCGGTACTACCGTGGACCCCAGCTTCCTGAGGGTTTACTATGTGAGCACAGCCCCCATGTGCCTGGGAATCCCTCCTTTGCTGACTCGAGACAGTGCTCCCACCCCACGGTCTAGGATATATGGCTTTTTTCACCTTTGCAGATATCCAGGCGGGTCTTGGGAAAGGCCAAGTTTAATACTGTATATATCCAGCTTCCGCTCATATATTAACTGCGCGCTACCTTGCTTCGCAACTCTCAACTTTGAGTGACATCATGGCATTGTGCTAAGAATTGCGCACGCTCGTACCATATTCTACTATGAGCATCTGTGATGTACGTTATAGTGAGAATGCATTTCTATCTTATCCGTGTTCATTCTTGTTATTTTATACATTCAAAGTCTTAAACATACAGCACCTTCACATTTTCTATTATTATACAACTTGTGGAAACCTATAATATGAGTTACCTGGTGAGAAATGCGGACTATGACTATTATCATTGATTACTCGAGCGCATAAGAATCGGAATATGTACCGAAGGGGGGGGGGTGGTCTGAAGTACAGTCCGGCAAGGATGTTTGTTCGTCAGCACCACAAAATACAAATACATAAATATCAAGCATTATACACAGTAGCAATTATTTCCCGTCTTAGTGTGGTATTCATGCCTGGGAAGTAACGACTTTAATCTAGGAATGTAGCTAAATAGCTTTACAGTCTTTAAGGCCCCTTTTACCACCTGGTAGCCACCGTGAGATTTCAACTATAGCATTTACTTACACCTATTGTATTATAACTATCGTTATTGGCATCATCTTCTTTCCAAGCGCTGGGCCTTGAGTGCTTACCACCATATGAAGGCGCCATGTATGTCCTTGGATGTATACGGAATAGAAGCGAAACCACATATAGCCTATGAAATTGTAAAAGTCCACCTCTTTCCTCTAGGGAGGGCTCTCGCAGATCCATTTACGGGGTGAACAAATGTGTCAATATAGCAGCACTTGCAATTTTCTATAACTTGAAGTTCTCTTGTGGTGAAGTGGTCTCCCACGATTATGGCTCGAACACATATATTTTGCTCATGCCGAGGCCTTCTACACTGGCATTGCCTGGCGTAGTGGATAGCATTTAAGGTAAAGACGATCAAAATCTCACAACTGGAAGCACAGATCCCCCCTGGCAGAAATTCGCATCACCCTCCAACGTTGTTTCCAAAATGCGCACACGTGTTGGTCGCGCATTTTTAGCCCGTAGTGCAACCGCCAAGTCGAACGCTCTCGGCGTACATCTCATAAGTGTCTGCGTTGGCAGCAGCCTTGGTAGCCGAGAGGGCCTTGGCTGCGGTTGGACCATAGGCCCAGTCAGTGGTACCGTACAGATGCGTCATCTCGTGAAGGATGCTGCCAGCCTTGTCGTAGTCGTCGCCAGAACATTGCGGAGCGAGCTCGGGGAAGTCCCAGAAGCCGTTGTTGGGGCACGGCACGATGACATTGGCAGATGGAACTGTGTACAGCAACGCATCGCCGCTGGTGCAGTCGCTGTATGTGTCGGCACACGAGATCTTGGGCGACGTGGTCTGCACATTGGCGACATCGTTGTAGATGGTCTGCACCTTGGCCTCGTTGGAGGTCGAGATGAACCTTGAGACAAAGCAGGTCAGCGAACGAGCCCTTGGCCAAGGCAAGTGCAGGGTTTAGAGCCACCCACCAGGTTGTGAAATAGTCGGCGGCAGTGCCAGCAGCGGTGTACGCGGCTTTGGCCATCGAGATAGCATCGGAGACGCTTGTCTTCAGGGTGCTGGTCTGCGAGGTGGAGCACGACGAGTACGTGATGGCCCGTCTCTGAATACGAGACGAGGCTGGCACCTCACGCTTGTGCGAGATGTGCTGCCTGGAGAGGAGGAAATCAGTATTGTTCCGACTTGCTCTGGGAGTTCAAAACGGAGAGCCTACTCGGCGACAGAAGATTGGTCGGGGGTAACATCCACCTCCCCAGACGTCACATCCTCGCATACCGCCAGATCCTTGAGCGACGAGGGAGTCTCGGTGCCTTCTGCGTAGCGGAAACCCTGGATGGCCGTGACCTTGGCCTGGGGCACACCGCTGAGCTTGTAGCTCCTGGCAGCGTTGACCGGGACCGTGACTGTCTGCCCGGCCTCGATCTGCTGGAATGAGCTGGGCGTCAGGCCGGTACGCTTGTAGTTGACGTACATGCCCTCGAATGGGAGAGCGTTGCCCTCTGCGCGGGTTAGACACTGTGCTGGGCATCAACCTTGATGGTCATGTTTTACACACCTGCATCGGCCACCAACAGATCCTTGGTGGCATGGTCGCTGAAGACCGTGTTGCCCTTGAAGACCGAGATGGTCTCGCTCCCCGTGTTTGTCACTGCGACGTTGACAACATGGCTGTCGGAATCCGTGATTTCGATAGACAGGGGGCAGGCGGCCGAGGCAGCACCCGCGAGGAGAGCGATGGGAAGGGCTTTGGCAATCATGTTGGCTGGCTGGCAGATGGACTTGGCCGGGTGGAGGATGGCTGGACGGACGGGTGCAGAGGATGCCAGCATTCAGGAGGGCTGAATGCCGTCCACTTTATATACACGGCCATGCCTCATGGCTGCCCAGTGTTGGGCGGATGGACGTCGTCGTCGTCGTCCTCGTCCTCGTACAAGGGGTGAGATAGGCCAGGCCGGAGGAGATTCCCCCGTCGAGGAGGTGACGCCCAGGAGGTGACGCCCCAAGAACGAATAGCAGGAGACATTTGCCCACTTGTTCCAAGGTGTAGCACCGTTTAGGTGAGATATCACCTAATCTCCATTTGGAAGGAGGCGGGTTAAGCATACTAGAGCCTCTTGGCAGAGACTTGTTTAAGATAAGCTTCGGCAGCCAAGCCACGTCGAGGAGGTGCCGGAGCAGGGGGGTGGTATGCATGCTACGAGACCTCATCGCCGGACCACAAAGTGGATATAGCGATGCTCTGCTGGCCTGTGGGTGCGCCCAGACCTGCCAGAGTGGACGCGTAGGCGGCGGCATCACCCGGCCATTTCGCGCGTCGGTGATGGCGGCTTCGGGTCGAAACAGGCAGGTGTCACTCACTGCCAGCGAGACATGGGCGCAGCCGGGGCCTTGTGGGGGCGAGAATTACCTGGCAGGCAGGTTGTTTTGCCTGATTCCGCCAATATTATTCTCAAGTGGCCCTGAGTCAAGCATACTGTAACCTGGGCAGTACAAATCACCAGGCATTGCCAGACTTGGCCATGAGAACAACCGAGCGCGTGCTGGGAAAATGGGTCCCAAGTAACAGTACTGAAAAAACAATTACCAGGTAATCAATATGGTAGTAATGAGTGCAACAAGGAAGACACAGTGTGAAAGGGGACGGTTAACATTACGGTAAGGACAGAAGCCGACCTAGTATATTTGTTGCACATCAACACCACCTGACTGTTAAGGTGTGTACTGACTTAACGCGGGTTTCTCCTATACTAAGGTAGTACTTATTTTAAATTTAAGGATATTTATTTTAAATAAAAAAATAAAAAGAATTTAAATTAAAATTAAAGTAAATAAATAAAATAATTAATAAATTTTTATTAATATAAAAATATAATAAAATTATAAAAAAATATAAACTATAAACTATTAATATTTTTAATTTTATTATTAAATAAAAAATAATAATAAAAGTTTTAAAAAATTTAAAATATAATATTTTAAAAATTAACTTAATTAATTATATTATATAAAACTATTTATAATAACTTAATAATTTATTATATTTATAATATTATTAATTATTAAAAATACTAATTTGTATTAATTTATATTAATTTTATAATAATTTTAATTTTTATATAAATTAATTTTAATATTATTTAATATTATTATAAATATAAAATTATTATATAATTTAAAAGTTAATTAAAAGAAAAGAATTATTATTATTTAATTAAAGTTTTAATTTTATTTAAATAAATATTTATTTATTAATTTTATTATATTATAAATAAAATTATTTAAAAGTAATTATTATAATAAGTATAATAAAGTATAATTATATTTATATATAAATAAATAAATATTTTTAATTTATTTTAAAAATTATAAGTAGATTTTTAATTATTAAACTTTTTTATATTATATATAAAAGTTAATATCTATTTATTTAATTTTAATATTTATTTATTAAGTAATATTTATAAATTTATTTAGTATTTATTTTTAAATAACTCCTTTATATTTATAAGTATTTTTAAATTAATATAAAGAGACTTTATAAGATAATTATGTTCTTTAATTTTTAATACTTTAAATATATATACCTTTTAATATACCTTTTAATTATATATATTTAAATATTAATTAAATATTTAAATATAAAGAATATACTCTTTCTAATTATTTAATACTTTTAATCTATTAATACTTTAAATATCTAACTTTTTAACATTTAATTAGTATTTAAATACTTAGTTAGTATTTAAATATATATAGTTTAAAAGGTATACTAAAAGTATATTAAAAGGGTTTATATATAAAAGGGTTTATATATAGAAAAGTTTATATTTAAAATATTAAAGATTTAAAGAATTTTAATTAAATATATTAATAATAAATACTTTATAAAAGTTTATAATATATTAATAAAATAATATTTAAAAGATAAAAGTAAATTATTAAATTAATATAATTAAAAATAAGTTAAATAACTACTTTAATTAATAAGTCTTACTAATTATTACTAATTATTACTATCTATTTATTAATATTTTATTAATTATATAAAACTTTATAGATTTAAGTAATTTAGTTAAATTTAATAGTTAAGTTTTAAATTAAAATAAAAGTAATTTAAAGAAATAAAAAAATTATCTAAATTAAAACTTAAACTTAAAACTTTTATTATAATAAATTTAAACTTTCTAGTTTAAATTAGTAACCTTTTTCCTTTTTTTAACTTACTAACCTTTTAGGTTAGTATAAATTAAAACTTAAACCTTAGAGTATATTATTATTATATTATTTTAACTTAATTAATAGAAAGTAAATTTAATAGACTATAAAGGAAGAAATACAATTTTAAGAAAATTTTAGTTAATATTATTAAAAATATAATTTATATAAATAAATTAAGAATAGTTTATTAAAAGGGGATAATATAAATTTATAATTAATTATATAAGTAAGCTTTATAAATAGTTAAAATAATACTTTTATAAGCACCTTTTAATAGCTAATTTTAATTAATTAATAATTTAATTATTTATACCTTTAAATATTAAATTCCTTATAAATTCTAATATTTTAATATATAAATATAAATAAGAATATATATAACCTTATAATAAAATTATATATATATTAATATTAATATTAATATAATATATATATATTTTATATTATATTAATTTATAATTTATTTTTATTAATAGTTAATATTAATAATATATATTAAATTTTAATATAATAAGTTATAAATTTTAAAAATAATTTATTTTTAATTTTTAATTAAAATTTTAAATAATTTATTAAACTTTATATTTAAAGGTTTTATTATTATTAATTATTTAATTAAAATTAATATAATTATTATTTATAACTTTTAAAACTTATTTATTTTTATAGTTATTTTATTAAATAATAAATTAATTATATTAAATATATTTATTATTTAAAGTATTTATTTCTTTTATATAACTAATAATTATTATTTAATATTAAAGTTATTTATAATTTCTTTATAAATATTAGGTTATTTAAAATATTAATAATTAAAATAAATTTATTAATATTAAAATTATATATATAATAAAATATTTTAATAATTTAAAATAATTAATATATTTATTATATTTATTATTTTTATTTTATTAATTATAAAAAATTATTTTTAATTTTAATTAATTATTATATTAATAATAATAATAATATTATTATTATTATTAAAATTATTTTATATTTAAAATAAACTATTAATATTAAAATTATATATATAATAAAATATTTTTATAATTTAAAATATTTTATTATATTTATTATATTTATTTTTTTATTTTATTAATTATAAAGTTATTTTTAATTTTAATTAATTATTATTATTAATAATATTAATATTATTATTATTAAAATTATTTTTATTTAAAATATTAATATTTTATTAAATAAATTATTATTATTATTATAATTATTTTTAATAATTAAATTATAATATTTATATTAATTATAATATTAATATTATTTTTATAAGTTATTATTATTATTATAATTTTATTATTAATTATTAAATTATTAAAATTATAATTATTATTTTTAAAAATAAAATTAATTTTAATTATTTTTATATTATAAAATTAAATTATTTATTTATTTAAAATTTTATATTTTATAAATTTTATTATTTTTATAATTTATTAATACTTTTAACTTTAAAATTTAATTTATTTTTACTAAAGTTATAATTTTATAATAAATTATAAATTTTAATTTTAATATTATTATAATTATTATTATTATTAGTTTATAATTTTAAAAGCTTATAATTTTAAAGTTTATATAAAGTTTAATTATATATATAAATAATAATTAATAAAGCTTTATTTTATAAATATTTAAATAAATTATTAATAAATAATAATATTTTAATTTATTAAATAAAATATAATTAATTCTTTTATTAATTTATTAAACTTTTTAATATATAAAATAAATTTTAATATATAATATTAATATTTTATTAATATTATTTTAAAATATTTATATATATTTTTAAATTATTTATAAATAATTTTTACTTTAATCTTTATATTATTATTATTTATTTTAACTTTATATATATTAAAAATATTAAATATTTTATTTTTATATTTTAATAAATATATATTTAAATAATAAGTTTTTATTTAAAAATATTATATAATATTTATATTATTATAAATAAAGTTAAAAGATTATTTATATTATTATAAATTTTTAAATTTATTATATTTAATATTATTTAAAACTTTTATTTACTTTATTAATAAATTCAATTTTAATATATATTTTATATAAATATTTATTAAATTTTTTATATTAATTTTATTATAATTAATATTATTAATATTTAATAATTTTATTAAAAAATTATATTTATATATTTATAATAAATATATTATTTATATATATATTATTATTATATTAATATTAATATTTTATTAATAGAAAAAGTTAAATAAATATATTTAAAATACTTTAAAATAGATTTAAAGGAATATAATAAATTTTATTAATAGTTTTTTTAATTATTATTTTATTTTTATATTTATTAATTAATATAATATTATTATTAGAAAAATTAATATTATATATATTTTTAATTTATTTATAAATAATAAATTAATATTAATTTAAGTATATAATAAAATATTTTTAATTAAATATTTTTCTTTATTATTTTTAAATTTAATAAATAAATTATTTATACTTTTATTTTTAATTTTTAATATTACTTTAATTTATAATTTTATTATTTAATAGTTATAATATAATAAGTATTTTTTATAAAATTATATTTATATTAATATTATTATTAATAATTAAATTATTTAATTTAATTATTTTATATATTTTATATTTATTAAAATTATTATTTTTAATTTTTATTTAATTTTAATTATTTTCTAAATTATTATTAATATATAATATTATATTAAATATTATTATATAAAGAGTTATTATTTTATTTTTTTATTTTTTATATTAAAGTTATTTTTATTTAAGTTATTATTATTATTTAATTTTATTAAATTAAAATTAATATTAAAAGTATTATTATTTTATTATTAAAATTAATTAATAATATAAGATATTATATTAATATACTTTTATAATAGTATATAAAATAAGTTTATAAATATATATAATATATTTATATAATTATAAGATATTATATAAGTAATATACTTATATAATAGTATATAAAATAAGGTTTATAAATATATATAATATATCTATATAAATTATAAGATATTATATAAGTAATATACTATATAATATATATAAA